GGAAGGGGATAAGCATTCTTGACGGTCCATTCGTTCAGGTAGCGATAGTCTTGACATGGGCGTTTCTTTCCGTCTTTCTTGGGGACGAAGAAGAATCCGGATGCTTGTGGGGAGTCTGACGGTCGAATGTATCCTTTGGCCAGATTGTCATCGATGAATTCCTTGACGAGTTTCTCTTCTTCTGGTGTGAGCGGGTAAACCTTGGACGACCTCGGTTCGAATCCTGGTTTCAGATCTATCCTGTGGTCCCAAGGTCGAGACTCGGGGAATCGGGAGGCCGCTTTCTCGTCGAAGACAGAGAGGTATTCGTGATATTCCGGAGGTACGTGTTGCCTGATGTCCTTGATTTCTTCTCGCTGGTTGTACTTGAGCTCGAAGGCCTGTGAGTGGGTGAGGGTGGTGTTGATCCAGATGTCCTCCGTTTCGTCAGAAAGTTCTCCATTGATGAATGAGATCACCAGGTCGTCGGTCAAGAGAGATCCCTCGTCATTATCCCAATGGAAGTTCCCTTCCATAAGCTTGTTGACGTAGGTTTCGAAGGTGTTGAAGTGGTCCTTGGGTATCATAGGAGAGGTGGTCGGGTACCAATCAGGTAGTGGGTCGAGGTTCTGAGGTTCAGTATCCGGGATTTCTTCGATCGGTGGTCTTGAAGATCTGGGTGTAAGGCTTGGTGGGTCTGATCGGTGGTGTTGACGAAGGGTTCTGTCGCCACTCAAGGGTACCCTTCCTCCAGTCGATGATGGGGTTGGCTTCCCTCAAGCCAGGGAAAACCCATGATGACTTTCTGTTTTCCAAGGCCGGTGATGTAGAAGGTAATGGGTCGTGTGTGTCCGTGGATAGTGATGTTTATGGTGGTTGAGTATCGGATGGTTCCTTGTTTGTTCAGGGTTCCATCTACGTTGTAGACTTTCAGAGGGGTTGGAAGGAGTTGGAGTGGGAGTTTCTTGTTTCGGGCAAAGTTTTGGTCGATGAATTTCCCTCCAGCTCCAGAATCTATCATTCCTTCGGTGTCGACGATTATCTTTCCACTCTCCGTTTCGCCCTCGAGATGCATAGGAATAAATAAGCATTTATTGTTCTTTCGGGCTACTAAGGCAGAATGAATTGATAAATAGGGAGACACTGACGTCGATGCAGGTCTCCATTCTAAAAACCCTGGTTGGTTTCGAGTTCCTTGTAAAATTCTTCAACGACTTCCTCTCCTGCTTCTTGGATTGCAGCCCGGATGTTGGTGTAGAGATCTTTGCCATTCTTTGGGCGGAAAGACCAGTTTTGACGGCTACTGGTGTTCTGGTTGCTGGTCCCTGCAGAGCGATTGTTGGTGGTGTTATTGGGGCATTCCCAGGAGCGATGTCCGTCCTTTCGGCAACGGAAGCATCCTCCTCTCTTGATCAGGTCGGCTCTCTCTTGGGGAGAGAGCTTTCCAAGGCCGATTGCCCTGATGTGTTGCTCTAAAGCGGTCCCTGCAGACTGGTCTAAGCCCTTGACTTTGGAGATGATGGTGTCGATGTCCATGGCCATAGGGTCCTTGGCAGGAGCGGGGCGACTGAATTTCCACTGCCTGGTTGAGGTCGAAGTTTTGGTCGAGGCCTTGTTGGTGAGGGCAAAGTAGCGACGGTAGTTGTTGTCCTTTTCAATGGCCTTCTCTGTCCACTCCTTGAAGGTTCGAGGGGGTTTCTCGAGGTCGAAGAGCTTCTTTCGAAGCGGGTCGTTCAGACTGGCTTGGAAGTAGTCTCTAGCTACAGTGTCTCCAGCGTCTGCAACTCTTTGATCTTCGGTCTTGTTGGCGTGATCCTTGGAGAGGAGATTGGTTTTCGATAGGACAATCTTGAAGTCGGCTACATGTTCTTCGGCCGTCTTCTTTCCTTGGGTCATTGTCTTCAAACGTTGTAAGGCATCTTCTTGTTCGTTGATTGGGGTGAATGCCTGTTTGAAGATGGCGACAAAGTCTTTCCAGGTGCCCAATTCAATATCGGAATCGGTCTCCTTGGATCGTAGCCATGCTTCTTTCCAAGCAGAGGCCTCGTCTCCTTTGAGGAACGAAAGGAGATAGGTGATTTTGCTGTCGTCATCGGTGTAGATGTGCTTGTTGACCTTCAAGTAAAGTTTCACGTCTTTGAGGAAGGTGTTGAGGTCTTCCTTTTTGCCGGTGAAAGGGGATGGCGGATTGATTCGCCTTTCGGGGATCTTCTGGTTGGTTTCGTCGCTCATTACGACGTCTCGGGTTCCGTTGTCTGGGTTGGCTGGGCTGACCATGGTGACTGGTTGTTCAAGGGTGATTGGCGTAAAGGGTTCTTCCTCTTCACGTTCTGGAATCAAGGGTCCTTCCTCTTGATGCTGTGGCTCAGTGCTGGGTTCTTCTTGGGCGTCTTGGAATTCTGCAGAAGGCTCTTCTTCAAAAGAAACTTCTGAGGGTTCTTGTTTGCTTGGTCGATGTCTTGGGTCTTCCGGGTAGTTGGGGCAAGGTTGTTGGGCGCAGTTAAACCAGTCTTCTTCGTTGGTGTCGTAGTGTTCACAGTTAAACTGGTGTACCAAGTTGCTGCAGTCCGTGTTGTCAGTCTTGTCTTCCGAGTCTTCTTGTTCTTCTTCGGTTTCTTCTTCAGGGAGCGATTGGTTAACTGCTAGTGAAGATGGTGTTTATGGTCTGGTTGAGCTTGGGGTAAGCCCTCGGAGACGTCCTCTGGGTGTGGTTGACTGGGATACCGGGTGTTGAGGCAATTAGGGTGGCTACTGGGTCGACAAATGGCGCGTGGTGCTAGGAGAGTCGCTTCCGCGGGGAATCAGATGCTGCAGTATGTGCGCGAATTCTGTGTGGTCGATGGGGTCGTCACCCGTAAGTACGAGTGACGATGTGTTGGAGCTAGTTCTTCTGTTACGGTCAAGAGACGCGAACTCAAGTGAGCATGCACGTCGACCGTAGAGTCGTGGTTCCGAGGCGAGTTCGAGGAGATAGGCGTCTAAGAGTGCCTCACAAGAGGTATTGTCTTAAGACGACTAGAGCGAGTTCGAGGGAAGAGTAGAAGAGGGTATGATTCACGAGAACTAGCTAAGGAACAAGAGAGGTATCTACAGAGCTTATATACCTGTCTAGCTACGTGAATATGAGTCAAAAGAAGTCAGAGAAGAAGGCTGTGCGAGCACAGGTTACTGCGGAGCGCAGCAGAGATAAATTAGAGAACAATAGAGAGTGGCTGCGCCGCAGCAAGAAGAAGTCATAAAGAGTCAAAGAAGGCTGCACCGCAGCAGTAAGAAGAATTAACTGATAAAACAGTCACGAGATAAAGAAAGAGATCATGTGAACAAGAAAATGAGTCATGTGATAGAGAAAGGACGCGAAGAGAAAAGATAGGGGCGGAATTCGTAACAGTAGGAGCTGGCGCCGACTCTGGCCAGGGAGCGGAGGAATGGACTTGTACCACTGGTTATTGGCCATGCTGGGGCTCTGAATGAAAGAGTATGGGATGGTCGGTCTGAGAGGCTGCGCAGGTGTCGCCTTTTATCTAGTTGTCCTTTTCTTTCGTTGTTTGCCTTTCTTTCTTTTTTCTTATTGATTGTGGGACCGATGTCAGAGCAGTAAAACACGGGACGCCTACCCCTGCCGGCTATTCCTCGAAGCTGAACACATACTCAACCTATATGCACTCGAGGCTGTCCATCAGACCGCTCATGCAGGCGACGGTGTGCATATCGAGCACCCTCCCACCAACCTTCAATTCCATTTTGCTTCCACCACTATGAGACCGATCCCCAGGAGATTCTCCTGGGGAACTCCTGCCGGGTCCTGCGCAGGTCGGGTGGATTCCTGCCAACGCAGGATGAGTCCCGCGGAGGCAGTTTCGTTGATCAACCCCGCCCTGGCGGTAGGGTTGATCCCGCATGGGCAGGAGGAAAAGTCGGCCCCGCCGGTGCAGTTTTGACAAACCTGCACAAGCAGGAGGAAGCGCCGGACCCGCCGGTGCAGTTTTGACAAACCTGCACAAGCAGGACGAAACGCCAGCCCCGTCTGTGCGGTTTTGACGAACCTGCGCAAGCAGGAGTCCCTAGGCAGGTAGGGATGGTCAAGGGGTTTTAAAACCCCCAGGGTAGAGGCCAGGGGTAGAGCGGGGGTAGGGGTAAGGGTAGGTCTCCGGCTACCCTTGGCCAAACCCCCACCCCTGGTTGGGGGTAAGGGTTTTGATAAAAACCAAACCAAACCTATTTATTTCAACATCTATGTAATGTATCTACTGAATAACTGCTGTATGTGCAATAAAGCACATAAAAATATCCATATAGACTACTATAACTAATGGTTAGTGCCAAAATACTTAAAACCCTTGGTCAAAACCCTCAGGGTTGGGGGGTAAGGGTACTACCCCTACCCCTCAGTCGGGGGTAGGGGTTTTGGGGGGTGGGGGTAAGGGTAGGTGTCCGGCTACCCGGGGGGTTACCCCTGTCCTTCCCTATAGGCAGGACAAAATGTTGGCCCGCCTGGGCGGTTCGACCAACCTGCGCAAGCACAAGGGAACAATATCGAGCCCACCTAGGCGGTTTCAACCACAAGATACCAGCGACAACAGGCTGCCCTCGTACGCGAGCGCGAGATCATGAAGGACGTTCTGGCTGGGAGGTGTGTTCATTCATGTGGATGAATTGGACTTGGAGGGTGGCTAGCCACACTGCACAGTAAATAGACTTTGTGAATAAAATGTTTGTATGCGCCATCGGCCCATCGACGACAACGGCCACGTCAATGACGTCACGCGTGTCGATGGTGTCATACAAAACGTGCTTTAAGTCGACTCCTCGCTCTCACCTTCAACCTTCAACGTTCAACCTTCATCGTCAGCCTCCCTTTAGGTGTTTTCCTTAAATACTCGCGTTCCTTTCAAAACTCATTTCGAGTTGCCTTGATGGAGTAGAGCATGCCCCTTCTCAGACCACCTTGGATAACTCCCCCTCTGGCAGTTGGCTGGGTCTGCAGACACCCGGCGAGTGGGTCGTCTTGTTTGGCGAGTTCTTCAGGTGCGCTTATTCCACCCTGGTACCCATGGTTCGTCGTCTGAGACCTTGATTCCTCTAGCCTTCTCGTTTATCCTCTTTTTTTTCTCATAGGTCCGAGTATCTACGTAAGTAAATAATCTAATCACCACCAAAGAGATCGATGACTCCACTGACATTAATACATACTGTCCTTGCAGTCCGCCTTCCATGCCTCTCTGGGCCTCAGATCAGATCCCAGGCTTTGTTTGGAATGTTATAAGCATTTATTCGTGTCGTATATACCATGAATACAGTCATTCTATCTTTCCTGCACCTCCAGTTAAAATAAGGAATTACCTGCTCCCGCAGGTCGATGAGAACCCGCTCCCCCGGGTGCACCGTGTTCCAGCCTCCTGGGTAGGCAGGTCCTGCACCTGCGCTGGCGGAAATCCCGCAGTAAAACGGCAGATTTCCCCAGGAAAATCTCCCGCGAGGTGTATGGGGAGCAGAGGGACGAGACTTCGGGATTTCCTGCCTTGGCAGCAAATCCTCCCGCACTTGCAGAGGAACCTCCTGCTGGAGCGGGAGTTCCCTTCCTGCTCGGGCGGGAATTCCCCAGGAAAATCTCCTGGGGGGCGGACTTATAGTGCACAGTCACTTCACTACTATTGACGATCACTCCACGCCACACAGTCAGAGGATTTTTCAGCCTTGATAGGATCACTTAATTTTTTTCTCTTGCTAGCAGTTTGGTCGCTACGATACCTCTCATTAAGACTTATCTGAAGTGCCCGGTCGCCCAGCTCTTCGACGTACTGGAGGAGACGCCTGAATGTGGGGCGAAGGAGCTCGGACCAACTGCGCGTGCTCACTAATACTGGCCTCGTTTTCAGGTCGTGATGGCAGTACGACGATTTGTATCGTAATATGAGGATTTGCTAGTCCGTGTATGTGCAAATGTGGACAGATTATGTTGTACGTAGATTGTTTTGTTACAAGCACAGAGAGATGAGAATGGAGACGAAAGAAAACTCCTCGGGTTCAAGTCGGCTACTCCATCGTCGGCCCATTGGTCCCGATAACTTACTGGGCTGATGAGAGATTTTAAGGAGTTCCTCTCCATTAGTGGACCTTGGAAAAAGACACACACACACAGTTGTAGCAACATTATAAACGTAAACCCCGGCGTTGCATTTTGGGTTGATGCTTGCCTGTAAACAAATATCGGACCTGTCACCGTGGCTTTGACCCAACTGCATGGGAACTTACCTCCGACTGTGATTGGGAGATGATCGACACCGACGGATGTTTCGTTGGTATTCAATGGCTGTCATCTTGGGGAGTGTTTGATATTCAATGGTTGTTGGATCGGAGACGAGGACGGTTAGTGCATTCTGTTTACAACATGGAAGGCCGTCCATGCACTCCACACAAACTCCCGAGGCGTTCGCATTTGCAGAAGACCGGGGTCGGGGATCGACACTTATCTCGGCAAGCCCGCCGGTACCATGAAAGAAAGACGAATGGGCGTGGAAATACCAAGACAGCCTCGATTGATTGGCCGTTACTCTGCTATCGTTATAAACAAGTACACCAACTCGACATCGAAGGTTTACTTCGATAAAAGCTTAAATCCATTGTCCCTATGGAGGGCCTCCCTCCCGATTGAAAGCATCATGGTTCCATAGTCGGTCAGGTTCTCAATGTCGACCTTCGCACATGTGTCAAAGTCAATGACTCTCCAAGAATGAACAGCGTTGTGTCGGGAGCACCTGCTGCTGTTGATTGGGTCGCGGATGGATAGGATGTTCCAAGCCGAAATGTTTCCGTGGACGACTCCTTGTGCCATGATGTCGTCTAACGCCTCTTCAATCGCCTCTCTGTACAACACAGTCGTTGCCTAAATAATTATTCGGGATTATGAGAGTGTCAAGACTTACTTTACGTCGATCCCCCTTTCGCCAGTACAGGGCTCCCCCAACAGCTCGAGGATGAGGACACTGAATGTAGGGTTGTCAGCATCGCGATTCCATCTGTACCACGGAGAGTTTCGCTGGTAGCCAGATGGGTCTTCGTGGGGTGACTCAAAGCCTGCGTAGTGCGGCGTGAGGTCGTCAGTTAGCCAGTCCGCAGAAGGAAGATTGTCCTGGGGGGGTGAGTCCGTGTCTTCCTGGTAATGATGTTCCCTCGTGGTCCATGGGGTGAATTCGAGGTTTAGAGAACAGGCTTGCTCTCTCATGGACGATGAAAAGAATCCGTAGAAATTCGGGATGCATGTGCCCTGGCATGATTCCAGTTGCTCGTAGAACCAGGCCTCACGGGCTAGCCCCCGACAGAACTCTGGCTTCGCAAACTTGATGCAGACCGTCTCTGGAAGTGTCCCTCGTAAATCCACGTTGCCTCGCTTCGCGGAGACGACTTTCGCCACGTAGGTGATACCTATGCGGCCTTCCGAGATGCGGTCGAGGAGGGTGAGCTCCAGCTCTCCTTCGGCGTCGGAAATGTCTGTGGAGTTCCAATTTGGGGGAGGTGGTCCACCGCGACGTTCTCTGTACCAGATTGCGCCCGGATGCGAAGGAGAGACTTCGAGGGTGATCGCTGTCGGCTTGCCATCGACGATAGCGCAGTTATTGATGCGCAGCTTTGCGAATTGTTGCATTCGTCGCAAGAGGTGGTCGCTATGCGGGGAGAGGTTGGGCAGTGGGAAGGACCAGGTGCCGTACTAGTTCGACGTTGGCTGAGGACCCCTCGAGGAACAGCCACCGTGCTTTATACACGTCCCGAATCGGAGCTTTGAATCGAGATCGTTGCCGCAAACATACATAAAGGAATGCTACTGACATACTGAGTGTGGCCTTAGCCCCATTACATATTTGACTACTGCCTGTTCACACGTGGGTGCATTGAAACCTCTCTTCAGGGCACAACAGGCAGTCCTCCGAGGCTATCCAGATCCGACATCTCCATATTCCTCCCCTTTTGGCCGGTCCTGGCTTGAATCGGACAGCCAAGCACCCCAACAGTAGGTCCCAGATTCACCGATATGTAGGAGCGGCCGTTGTGAGGCTTGTGGAATGCTTCTTACGTGCGGGGACGCTGACCTGGCCTCTGGTAAGGTGCTTTCTATCTCGTGTTTTCTCCGAGTCGCTTCGTGATAGATGTAATGGTTGAGTGCCCTCTCCCCCTGTGGGTCCATAAAAATTGATTTCTTCTTACCCATGATCTTAATGTGTTACGGTCTATGCGAATATACCAAGTCAACTGCACTCCCATTCCATTCACGCGGGAAAAAGAACCTTTCAAGTCTGGGTAGACTGGACTGTTTTGGCACCATGCTCGGGCTCGCGCCAGGGAGTTGAGATGCGCCATAGTAGATTCTACCCTCTTCGACATGAAACCAGAAGATCACTTCTAGGGCGACACACACCGACAGAGTTCAAGATGAAAGTGATACAATATTTCCAATCTAAGTAGACTTATACAGGCCCACAGGAACCACCATCAAAAGGTTGTCGAAAATCTACATTAAGTAGACTACGAGTCCAGTGGGAAATAGCGTACATAACTATTTATAACGGTAAATCGCGGGAGTCCATTCCGCAACACACCAACGGGTTTGATAGCGGCGAGAACCCAGACTTGTTCCCTTCCCAAGAGAAACATTCCTTCGACCAACCTGGAAGATCGGTCTCCAGCATGGCGTCGGACGATGGCTTCGAACCGACGATCGCTGCCTTCAGGGAGGGGATCTGGGAGGCGCTGCAGATAGACCTCGAGCTGAGGGTTGAACGTTGTGAAACGCACCGCGGTTATGACGTTGTGCCGGGCTGTGGGTCCGTCTATTATGTTCCTGGTCTCACTTTCTACCCAGTGCCAGTTCTTCTGGTACACTGCAATCGTGAGCGCCAGATGCGATGCTCGGTAGCGGTGGCGGTATTGTTTGCGGAATTCTTTGAGGTCTGAAGCCATTCTTTGAGTACAAGCTGGAACCGACGTGGAGTGAAAGAGACCTACCGAGGTAGCCAGCGCGCGCAGTTTTACACTCATAGCAATGGAAAAGCTTCCAGTCCTTCTGGCACAGCGAAGAACAGTATGCCACCGAGGTGCATCCGGCGCAGGTTTTACTTTTGAACCTGTCCCTCGGCTCAAAGTTTTCGTGATGCTGTAATTGGACTGGTTAGAGCGAAAAGGCGGAGAAGAAAACGCAGACGTACGTGGAGATTGTCGCAGATGCTAAGCTCATCCCGAACCCAGCGCGTGGATTGGATTATCTTGGTGAAGAAATCGACACATGTCTTGAATCCGGTCCAGGTTCGGCCGCACAGCTGCTGGATGGCGAGTCCGCACCTCATCTGGTGCGGGATGGGCCCGTTGAAGTGGACCTGTAGCTGGCGTGCGACCTTGGGATAGATGGCATACGCCGTGAGGATTCTCAGGACGTTGTTGATGGCGTGGTCAACCTTGGACGAGTCGATCTTTCGGAGGATATGGAATAGCGCGTGAAGTAGCCCTCCCTTGATGATATTTTGAACGTGCCAAATGGGTGCGTAGTCCGAGTTTACAGCCATCGTCAGAATAGAACTTTGCTGCTCAAGGCATTCCCCGGAGAGCTCCAGCAGCCAGTATTCGGAGACGATCGGAGACATATGGGCGACGATGTTGTAGTTGAGCTCGACAAAGGCGTCGAAGCATCGGGCCTCGAAGAAAGTGATGGGATGGAATTGGGGGTGTTCGAGGAATATGTTGCAGATATCGATCAGGGAGGTGAGATACAAGCAGCGGTTGACGAGTCGGTTTTCTGGGTAGTTCGAGTTGAGAGTGGTGATGTTTAAAGAACACAGTTTCGCGCGAAGGGCCGCTCCCTCCACTAGTGACCACGCGTCGCAGAATCCTCCGTCCAGCGCCCGATCCAAGATTGTCACAGACGGCTTAACCTCCTTTTCAAGTTGAAGGAAGGTCTTGAATAGATGTACGACGAGACATTCTTCCCGTGGCTTCCGGTCGGTAAAGAGGACGAAAGGATCGCCTTCTGCCGTCTGGGCGTGCCAGAAGTACAGGAGAAGGTCCAAGAAGACGGGTGTGGATACCATAGCTTCCCTGAGGGATGGATGGAGATCCGATAGATTCTTCATCATGTAAACGTAGTACACGAACTGCTCCTTGAGCTGACCGTTGGGCACCATGGACTGGAACCTGAGGTGCTTCGGGTTTCCAGTGCTTTCAGTACATTTACCCATCTTATATGGTATACCTGACCATGCAAAAAGCCCATGTTGATGGCTTGACCTGGCCAGCTGACACATTGTACCTCCCATGTATAGTGGGTCAGCTGGCAGGACACCTGACCCAACTCCCAAGGCATTTCATGAGTCATTTGGTATGCCTTGGAATATGGGTCAGCTAGTTGGTCAGCTGACCTATATCTTGAAGGTTGGTCATTTATTATGCCCCGTCCACCCCCTCCCATTACCTGTCTGGTGTGTGTATGCCCGCTCTCTCTCCCATTACCTGTCTGGTATGCCCCGTCCGCCCTCCATCTCTCATTCTCTGCGTATTCCCATGGGTCTACTTCCAAGTACTTGCGGGTGCACCTATATGGGTACCCACACCCTGCGGGTCCTACCCATGGGTACCTGTTGGGCACAGGTTTTACATGGGCACTGTCACAGGTTTCTTGGCGAGTCGGGGGTTACTTACGGGTACAGGTATCCTGTCAGGGGCCTGTCATTCTGTCCGTCCCATATCTGTTTATCATGTCTATCCGTCTTCCGTTCGACAGTAGGCGACCAATACCTGACATGATCAGCTCTATATATAGTGCCAGCAGCCTATCACCTTAACCGGTGATAGCGGCCTTGTTGGCTCAGTTGGTTTATCGCGAGTTGCTGGCGCGGTTTCTAACATATCCTCCGGGTACGGGTATGGGTAGACACCAGGAGACCCCCAGGTTACCCGTGTCCAACACTACTCACAGGTACCTGTGTATGAGAATTAAAAACTTGAGAAAACAAAAGGTATTGAAAGGGATTGAGCTTGAGACCTCTGCAAATGTGACGTGACTCGGGCATTTCATCTGCTCCTCATCAAATTCCGTGCAAAATAAACAGAGTCCTGGACCTCGGGACCCGAAATGAGTAATTCCAAGCAATTAACATGTTAACTCGAAGATTACACTGGTGCACAGGGTTGTTGATTCCGCGGTAGTCTCACACTATTCTGACGATTATTACAGCCATATACTCATATGCGCGACATTTCCGGGTGGTTGGTTCCTGTTCAGCAAATGCGCCTATATATTAAGTCGCTATTAAAAGCCAGAGGCCCACAGAAAGCATGTATCAAGCTATGATACCAGCAAGAATGCACCTGGTCACCCAATGTCATTCAAAAAGAAGCCAAGCCTCAGGCCTCGGCACCACCGAATTGCGAACACAAGTCCAGCGTGTAGGAAACCGAGTCATTACTGTATTCAAAAGTCTAATTCCAAGGCATCAAGTTGTTAAATCAAACTTTGAGGAGATCTGGAAAAGTGGGAGAAAGATGGGGGTGGGCGAGGTATGGGGTATTAGTAATGACAGTAGTCATATGCGCAACTTTTCGTTTCATAGAGTCGCTGTTCAGCGACGGACATCGCAATGCGGCTCGATTAAGCCATGATTTTAAATCCCGAGGCCGCCGGAATGCCGGGACTTCCCTTTTGGTAAGTCCAATCGACAAACCCCAACCTAGGGTTAGCCTCCAGGCCCTCGCCTGAGCAACGTGGACGGACATCGCAATGCGGCTCGATTAAGCCATGATTTTAAATCCCGAGGCCGCCGGAATGCCGGGACTTCCCTTTTGGTAAGTCCGATCGACAAACCCCAACCTAGGGTTAGCCTCCAGGCCCTCGCCTGAGCAACGTGCTCCGCTTCCTCTACACACTTACTGACCGCCCTACACGTCACCGACCCTCGTACCCATCTCCTGCCCACCTTCGACATGAGCACCGAAACTGCGCGTTTTCTGGAACTGAGCAACGCGTCTCGCCGTCTCATCTGGGAAATCTACGCCAGCAGGAACAGAAGTCCGCGGGAAGCTCTGTTGATTCTCCTGGAGCATTCGGTGTGTTGTCAGTCATTGAGCGTTGATTGGGAAGCACTGACCACAGTAGAGAATTGTAAAGGATCTGCGAAAATCGCTAGGGCTCGACGCGAAGACTCTCGATCGCCCTATTAAGCTTCTCTTTTCGGAAATCGCGAAGAACCACGCAACGTACCTCGACAAAGATGTTAAGTCCAAGCCCCATATCATCCTCGACACTGGATTCCTATCCCGGCTCCCGCCCTTACCACCCGACTTCCAACCACCCGACGACATTCTCGATGACGTCAACGCCGCGGGAGCGATGAAGGGGAAGACTTCCGCGAACACCAAGAACGGCACTTCGACTAGAGGAGGGGAGGGGGAAGGGGAAGGAAAACGCCGCGGCGTCAGGTCAGCAAGACAGGGAGGGGTAGGGGAAGAGGAAGAGGAAGAGGAAGAAGCCCGGGGGAACGATGGAGAGGGTGGTATGGGTGTTCAAGGTGATGTCCTTATGGACGACGCCGAAGAGGGTTACATTTGGGAGGGTGATGAACGGGGAGGGGACCCGTTGGATGGAGATGAGGGGGTGGGAGGAACGGGTAGAGGAAAGGATGGCGAGGGTGAGGGGGAGGACGACGAGGAGGGCGATGGAAGGAAGATGAAAGACTCTGGCCAGGGGGGAGGAGCTTTACGGAAGCGTGACAACACTCATATGAGCCCGCAAGCGAAACGAACGAAGAAGAAGAAGGTCGACTTCGATAACTCCGCAACAAGGCCTTCTCCTCCCCCTCAGGACGTGGACAGTATGCCGGGCGGGGGTGTGACGAGGCGGACGACCAGAAGGCAAGCCGCGAAGGCTGGATCAAAGGGAGGGGTTAAAAGCGGAATGAAGGGTGGTGGAAAGGCTGTGAAGGGCGATGGAAAGCCCGCGGAAGGTTCGAAGGGGCCCGTCGTCGCTGAACCCGAGGACGAAATCGATGAGACACAGTGTCCTCCCCCGGAACCTGGGAAAGGATTCGATGTCACCGACCAGCCGTGCAGCCTCTGCATAGCGGCTGAGCAGCGCGTATGCTGGCGCCCAGCCGTGGGTTCGTGCCACCGTTGCCGACTGAAGAAGCAGAAGTGCACGTTCTCGAAGAAGGCAAATCCCAAGGCGCCTCCTCCCCGTGCAACATCTTCAACGGGGGCGTCGAGTTCGGGGAGCGTCTTGCTGCCCTCAGGCCAATCTCAATGGGCTCTCTACAGCCTGCCCAGCGGTTTGCCCGCGGGGACCATTGTTGGTGAGTGAAAAATGATTGTACATTGCTTTGTAACTAACTCCTCACACTCTAGGGTCGTCAGAGTTTGCCCGGCGCCAGGACGTTGACCTCCTTTCCAGCGCCACACAAGATCTCCAGGCGGATGTCTATAGCATGAGGGGCCAACTCCATGACCAGGCTGAAAAGGCAGCAGAGAAGATGGACAAGGTCACCGTTCGGCTGGGGGAGGTCGAGGAGGAATGTGAGAAGGTCCATGTCGATGTCGTGAAGGTTGCTGTGGAGGTGGAAGATATCCGCGCGCAGTTCGAGGAGATACGCGGACATGTTCCGGATGGTTCGACTGACATGGAGAAGGTTTTGGAAGATCTCGCGGCTATGGACGAAAGGATTAAGCAGCAGGAGAGGCAGTTTGGGCTCTTCAAACAGAGGTTCGGGGGCCGACTAGCTCAGGAAGTTGAGGAGAGGGTAGCCACATTTGGGGAGCGTCAGGATGGGAAATGGATTCCGCGGTTCGAATTGGTGGACGAGAGACTGGCGGAAATCGACAGGCGTCTCCGGGAGCTTGAAGAGGGTCCCAAGCTGGAGCAGCGTTTGGGACACGTAATTTCGAGGGAGGTCAGCAGCCGTTTTCAGGAGTCCGAGAGGAGGCTGGAGGGGTCATTCAAGAGAGCCCTCGAGCAGGAATCGCAGCACCTTGCTGACAGACAGGTCGATCCCGCGGATGTTGCGAAGGAGGTTTCGCAATCGCTCGAACGACACTGGCCAGCCCTTCTGACACCCATACTATCCACCACCCTTACCACCCACCTCCGAGAGCGTATTGGGGATATCGACGCGAATATTGCAAGGGTTGGAGAGGAACTTGAGGGAAGACTGAGGGCCATCGTTCAGGAGGAAATTTCTCGGAATAGTCAAGACATCATTCGAGAGGCGGTAAACGCGGCTATGAGAAACCTGACCGTCCACGTGCCATCTTCGACCGACATTCGCCTTCCACCCTACCCCACATTCATCGACCCTGATCTGTTTGAGCAGGCCTACGAGCCCCTGATTCTCCCTTCGGGTGGAGCCGACCAGGGTACCTCAATTTCGACCTTCCAACTTCAAGATCCCGAGGGCGTATTTCAGGCAGGAATCCAAGAATCGGTGTTGACTGCTGTTCCGGATGGCGTATCATCGGTGCGGGCAAGGAGACGGGCATCCGCAGGTACTATACAGTCTGATGGTGAAGAAGAGTCGGATTAACTGGATGGAGTAAGGACTTCGAGTTCTAGATATTCTTTTAGGTAGGTTGAATCTTCACAAATTGAGTAATATGACTATTTAACTATTTCCTTCCCCATTGGCGGCGTGTCTTCAAATCAAAAATATCTGCTGTTTTACTCGTACCTCCTGCCGGTCGAGCTTGTGCCCTCGGCCTTGATGATGTCTTATGGCTTGAGCGCGTCTGGACCCGGGAAGATTTTGCCATGGCTCTTGTAGTTAATCCAACGGAAGTCGTGGGCATATTCCTTCGGGAGCCAGTCGGTTTGGCATGGCCAGTATCCTCCTTCTGATGGTCCTCAGATGGATGCGTCTCGGAGGGACCTGATCGTGCATCACGGTTTGGGAGTCCGGAGCCTGACCTCTCGCCCCCATCCTGAACTCTCCCCTGTCCATGCGACTCACTTGCTGTACCCCCCGCATTAGCGCTATGTTCCTCACCCTTCGCTATTCCATCCGAATCGTTGCCAGAATCACCGCGGCTGGCCTTTCGTTTCGCATCCTTGCCTTTAACCTTCCCTTTACCCCCGCGGGAACCTTTTCCCGATGCCTTCGAACCCGACGCCTTCAACCCTGATGCCTTCGCCGATCCTGACCCGGTATCCTCCCTGTCTGAATCATCTTCCATCCCGCGGGAACCTTTTCCCGATGCCTTCGAACTCGACACCTTCAACCCTGATGCCTTCGAACCCGATCCTGACCCGGTATCCTCCCTGTCTGAATCATCTTCCATCCCGCGGGAACCTTTTCCCGATGCCTTCGAACCCGACGCCTTCAACCCTGATGCCTTCGCCGATCCTGACCCGGTATCCTCCCTGTCTGAATCATCTTCCATCCCGCGGGAACCTTTTCCCGATGCCTTCGAACTCGACACCTTCAACCCTGATGCCTTCGAACCCGATCCTGACCCGGTATCCTCCCTGTCTGAATCATCTTCCATCCCGCGGGAACCTTTTCCCGATGCCTTCGAACCCGACGCCTTCAACCCTGATGCCTTCGAACCCGATCCTGACCCGGTATCCTCCCTGTCTGAATCATCTTCCATCCCGCGGGAACCTTTTCCCGATGCCTTCGAACCCGACGCCTTCAACCCTGATGCCTTCGAACCCGATCCTGACCCGGTATCCTCCCTGTCTGAATCATCTTCCATGTCGCTCTCGCTCGATACCTCACCCTCTGCTGAACCATTGCCACTCTCTCTGGCCCGACCAGCCCCACTTCGGGTGACCTCTTTCTTCTTCCGCGGAGGAGAGTCCCCAGACTCCACGACGGCATTACCGATGCGTTTGAGAGGCGATTCCATCCAATCAGGCGTGTCGACGACTGGTTCCGATGCCTTTCCCTTTCCCTTCTCGGCTGCTGTCTTTGCAAGCCTCACGGCCTTTCCTTTGCCCTTGACTCTTCCCTTCTGCCGGTTAGCCCGCGCCTCCCCTTCCACTTCCACCTCGGGGTCATCGTCAATCACATCGCGGGAAACCCTAGGAATCCATCTGCCCTGTTTCTTCGGATCTTCGTAATGGGAAAACGAAAACACTGGGTCGGCTCCATCTAGTTGGCGGTTGTACCAAAACGTTAGGATAGCTTTGATGACATCATATTTCATGATGGAAGGGTCCTTCAAGTCTGACGTGAAACGGTCTGGCCAAAAATATTCATCGACAAACTGCCGAAGGTTTCCGAATAGCCTGGTCCAAGAGATGTCCCTTTTCAAACCCCCTGTCGCCGCGCCTGTTCAAAATGTCAGACACGTTCGAGGATTTCAAAGAGCGACTTACTATAGCTGTCAAATACGAAAGCTCGGAAGACCTTGGTAAGCCACTTCCGATGACTGGCCTCACCAGGGGGGCATTCATCGATGTTGGGTAGGATTGGTTCGCCGTATCTGTTCTTGTCCAAGTCCACTCGGGCGAGATCCTTCGTAGCCTTCGGAGGTTCCGCGGGTGGGGGAGTATCGCGGAACGAGTACACCGGGCGCATCCACTTATCGAAGAGCTTCTCGAATCCCGTCTGCTCGTATTCCTGGGGGAATGCTTCATCCAGTCGCGAGTGACCACCCAAGCGATCATTGAAGTCGATTACTTGCTTCACCAACATACCATCTTTGTCCCGGAATATCATCATCGCCCATACACGAACGTTGCCTTGCCGGTACAGATCCTCCGTGAACTTGAGGAAGCGATCAGCTGCAGCTTCAGCATTGCTGAAACCATTGTCATAATCATTCGCGCGGATGGGCCTCGGGGATACTCACTGGAATTGAATCTCTGGTGGAGGTGCAATATTATCCCATTCTACGGCCTCCCTCCTGTATGCCGCCTTCTCCCCCTCCGGTACGTTCTCCCAAAGTTCAGTTACTGCCTGCTGATGGAATCCAATATGTTGATCCCCCTGGAAGTTCGCCTCCTCCATCAACTCTCGCTTTCTCTCCGCAATGGCCTTCCATTCCTTGTGGGCGAAAACCTCCCTTCCACTTCGGGCCTTTGTTCCAGTTTTTGCAATTCGTCCGCGGGGGCGACAGTTTGCCCTGAACCAGGAAGCGATGGCCTCCTCGATGGATGCCTTCATCGACGCGTCGATTGTCTCCCCAGAGGTTTCCTCCAGCATTTCCGCTATGCGACGGCGTTTCTTTCTGATGAACTGAGAGGTGGACCGTGTGGCTTTAGCGGTGTACCAGTCTGATTGAGATTTCGAAAGATACTCAATGTGGTTAGTGGAGAGTTTGAATCTCGTTTGTCGACTCTTCTTTCTAGCCATTTGTCGTCGATGAGGGGTAGGTGGGTTACCGTAGGTTAGATATAGGAATGTAGGCTTGTTGCCCGCCTTCGATATCACGGCCCTCGGGGCGCCATTAAATATCCATTTCATTCTCAGAATGAAACGGATTTTCAACCACTGGCAAGCTGGAAAATTCCTTAACCCGACTTTAACCCGGCTCATCATGGGGCGATCTCGAAAACCAGTCCACGAAGACGACATAGTCACGTCTCGCATCACCGTCAAGCATACCTCTCGGGGCTATGTTGTCAATTCTAGGCCCATTTTCACCACGCCATTGAGGAAGAATGCCCGCAGGTTCTCATCCAGAGGGTCAAACTCGGAATCCCCCCGAAAGAAGGCGCGGTTCCATCGCCTTTCCCCCACAGGTGACTTCAGCATGGAGGTCGGCAGCCATGCGCAGACACCTCCACGGATCTCACCGCCCACCTTTGTCCTGTCAAGAAAGAAGACAACTTATGTGCGTACTTCCCTCGGCCCTGCCTCATGGTTTACTGACCCCACCTCTAGTCCCAGCACGATTTCATGGCTGACTGGATTCCTCACAAAGGACAGTTCCTTAGTGCCATTTTGGAAGGAGAAAGGAAAGCGTGCATTGCCTGTGCAGGATGTGGTGGCCCAGAACCACTGTGGAGATGTTTGGAATGTGTGGGGAGGCGGGAGCTTTGTAGAGTCTGTATGAGGGAGAAGCACCGGGACCTTCCATTCCACCGAGTGGAGCGTTGGGATGAAACTCATTGGAACCCGGCGTGGCTGTGGCAGATTGGGGTAGTGATACCACTTGGCCACGGAGGAGCTCCGTGTCCAACTCCCCAGGGCTTCTTTCAGGAGGGTGATGAAGGTGACGATGAAGAGTACTGGACTGATGAAGAGATTGATCCCGAGGACAATACTGGGGAAGGGGAGCCCTGGTTGGACGAGGACAAATTCTCATTCGCAGCCAAACCGAACGGGAGGCGGATTGGAGACGATCGTGTTGTGATCGTGATGCATACCAATGGCGTGCACCATGTTCTCTTCCACGTCTGTGGCTGCCCTGACCACCCCTCTGAAACACGGCAGTTCCTTGATATGAGGCTGTACCCTGCGTCGGTGAAGACAGTGAGAAGCGTGGCAACCTTCGATTTGTTGGACGACTACCACATGAACCAGGTAGAATGTCACACGTCGACATATCATTATTTTGCGAAGCTCCGGAGGGTCACCAACAAAGCATTCCCTCATACTGTCCCGGTATGACTCTTTACTACCAACCTATCTGCATGCTAATGACAAATACGATAGAATCGTTATCGAGAACTAGCCCGGATGGGCAGGCAGTGGATACATCTCAAAAACCTCAAATGGTTCGGCTTCGGGCATACTGATGCTGTCCCCGCGGACGGGGACCTCGCCCTCTTCTGCTCAGCGTGCCCGCAGAAAGGGGTGAACGTTCCCGAGGAGGAATGGGACTCTCTGCCCGATATCCTGAAGCTACGCAGCTTTGTCGCTGACGGGAACTTTTCTTGTGTCCACCAGAAGCAGCGCGCAGCACATAAGGACGTTTGGATTACCTCGGGGACTGGATTTATGGCGGAGAGAACGGCGTATTCAGCCCACATCAAGTCAGCAACCGAAGATAAACAGGTTGATTTCTATCACCGTCCCCTGCTTTTTTTCCAGAAACTGACCATGTTTTCCGTTCCCAGACATCGACATGCCATGAGCATCGAGCAATTGCGGACAAGTGGAAATCATTGAAGGGATGCGATGTGACGGGTATTGGAGCGATTGCTTGCATGAGACACGGTTGCTTTGTCCCCGGCGCAATGGTTGACTTTCAGAAGGGTGAAAGGTTCGCTTGAATTGTTTTCCTGCAGGACAGTCAGTGACGACAGGATTTATCTTTTTAGACAGATCAATATGGATTATGCGTGGCTGAAAGCTTTGAAGATGTCGGGGCTGGATGGTGTTCGTTGGGTACTCCTCGTCTACGACATAAACTGCCAGTATTGCATCAACTTCATGACTCGCATCAAGAAGTACCGGAACCCCGACCTCAAGCTCCCGCGGGGGTTGGTTATTGTCAATGCTATCGGACTCTGGCACGTCCACGGCCATCGTCCAGAATGCTACGCCAGGTTCGCTCCATCATTCGTCTCTGGCGCAGGTACCAAAAGCGGCGAGATTTTGGAACCGCTATGGGTACCGATGAACAAACTCGCGGGTCCAACTCGCACTATGTCGAGCTCTCATCGAGCTGAGACGCTGGATGCTGGTGCCTCGGATAGTAATTGGAAGAAGTTGACAGGTATCGGTGAGTTGTTCCATTGTGCTCTCCAGCCATCAACATGGGGACTAATGGTTGTTCGAGTGTCCTCCATTTGCAAAGGACTACCGAAGGCCAAGGAACAGGCGGAGGAAGCTTTGGAGAGGTACACGGCTATTTCCGCGGCAGTAACGAAGACTCAGATCGCTCAATGGGGTGCCGAGCTCGACGAAGCTAAAGCTAAACGACTCAAAGATTTTAAAGCAATGGACATATTGAATTCGAAGTTAGACAAAGGTAAGCTGCGGCCTTTACCCTAAAGCACACTGACACCCGATCGTTGTAGTTCCTAAACGTGCGGCAGTGGAAGCAGAATTAATGGACAAGGAGCGGGCTTCAGGGGAGGGGCTAGGGGTGACAAGCTGGATTTCGGCAGGAATAGACATCCAGGAGAAGCAGTAAGTATATTCTCTTGTTACAAATCCGTAGCGCTCAGGAAGGACTTGGGTCGACAGAATTGAGGTAAAACGCCTTGTTCGGAAGTACAAGAATCATACTACGCCCAAGCAGAAGCTGGAGATCGCAAAGAGCCGCCAGGAACTGACCTCCTCGATTGAGACCTTCCACAAGGACGCGGAAGGTCTCTTTCCAGGTTTTGACATTTCTTCCTGTTCATTGTCCGCGGATACTGCTTCCCTCGCGATAAACCTTCCCGCGGGAGACGGCGCGATCGAGGTTGGGTCCGACGACGACATGGACGGTGGGTCTAACGAGGAGGACGGTGGGTCTGAATATGAGGAGGACTGTAACCCCGAGGACATTGCGATTCCCCTCCCCTCAGCAGTGACTAATTGGCCGCCCTCTCATGCTTCGGTCAGGCGGAAGGAACAGTCAATGCGAGTTGCACAGGCTAATTCCAAGCTGGAGGCAATCCGCGATGCTATCGGGAGGTTGTCGTACCTCTACCGCTCTCTCATTCGGGGTGCCAAAACTAAAAAGTCCAAGACGCGGTCCTATGGTATCATCAAGGGCTCTCGGGATGAGCTTCGCCTCCTGGTCAACCATTACGAGCAAGCACGGTACGCGCTTCGACAGCTAGACGCCTCGCCGGAGACCCTATCGAAGTATCGTCCCATCCGGCCTGCTGATCTGAAGATCAGTACAGCCATTGCCGACCCGAATGCCCGTGGCCAAAGTTCAACCCACCTTTCCTGGATTTGGGGAGTACCGAGCACCAACCCAGCAGATAGAACCGTGTACTTGGATGAATGTTCGTTGGTCTCCCACTTAATTCTTCAACATCGTACTGATTTCTCCCTTTGGCAACAGTATATCGGGTAAACTGGATGAGGACCCGCGAGAAGTACCTTCGACAAGAGGAGGAGTTTCAGTTCCTCCTCCGGGAAGCAGGCTGGGTACCACGCTTTTTCGATTTCAAAGCAAAGGTATGGGATGGGTTGCGAACACAGGTGTCTGGATCGGGGCATTTGGCATATGCGTCAAGGCAAGCCCAATTGTGGAGGAATCTCGCGAGATATGCACGAGAGCGTTTCTCCAAAACTCTCAAAGATATGGAAGAAGCGGTTGGCCGCGCAGTCGCCATGACGTCGGGTGCGGACGCAGAATCGTCCGGGACGGATTCGTCTAGGGCTTCTCGGGAAATCTCTAGGGTTAACTCCCCTGATCAATCCACTACGACAGATTCGGACCGGTGTAGCTCAACTAGCATCTAGTAACTAGCCACCTTACCTGCATGTAATCATATACGGTGATCATTTGGAATCTATACTCACCTGTTGATTCATCCCCACCATGAGCACGAGCGACGACTCTGACGACAAAGCCAGAGCCTCCCTCAAGCGTCTCATTGACCTCCAAATCTCCCGTTCCCTCCACATCCTACAAGCACTGATGGGGGAAGGCGAGAGAATACGCGAAGATGGCCTAATGGCGCGGTTCGTACGATGTGTCGAGTTCGAATTGGTAACTATTGTCATTCGCTTTCCTGACTTTCAAAAATCGGGGATCTGATTGTCCCCTTGTAGGTCATAACCTCCTGGAGGATCGCTGGATACGTGACAGCATGGGGCTGGAGGGGTTTGTCGTTACCCGCCGGATTTATTCGACTGATCCAAGCAACCGCGCAAGGCCTCCTCGATGATGATTTGGTCATCGAAGCACTAGCGGGCGATTTGGCGAAGTCGCTTCCGCCTATTTCCAGCGACCCTCCCCGCGCATGGTGGATAAACTTCCCCGCGCGCGAGTCCGAGGCTCCAAAGTCTCAAGATGACATGGAAGATTTGGAGCGACTTTACCCATCCGAGGTTCTTGCGGAGAATTACCGCCATGTCCTACCACCTCCTCCAATCGCTGCCGACTGTATTCGACCGGGGGAGATAGGAATGAGTGGGCTTCTGGAAGCGAAGCTGGAGGCCGAGAGGCTTTTATCCGAGGTGGAAACACAGCTTGGGAGGGGGAAAATAAGAACAAATGAATTAGACTTTCGACTGCGTAGATTATGTGAACTCACCGCATAACTATCTCCCAATGTCGACTCCTACGCCTATCCTCTGTACTCCCTTCCTACTGTCAAAATGCGAATGGGAATCGTTTTGCTCGTACCTTGACCGGCGAACCGCGCACTGTCTACATTGGCTTTCTCAAAACTATCCACTGCGCGAGGATAGAAAGGAGAACTTTACTAATGGGTTGATACTGGAGTTTGTAAGTAATACAGCTCGAATCCGATGCCTGATACTCACACCGGCTGCCAGAATACCCAACTTACCGTCCTATTCAATGCAGTCGGCGCAGGAACCACTCCTCCCTGTCCCGCCCTCCTTTCTGCATCCACCGGTTGGGTTCCTTTGGCAGAGGAAATCAGGGATCACATTGTCTCCGCGGATAGTCTCCTCTTCAGCGTCTTTCGAAACGGCATTCCCGATGGATATCTCGACTTTCAGGTTGGATATAGGTGGTGGGAGCACCGGCCTCACACGATGACTGCCTCGGAAAGGTATCATCTGACCTTCAGCGCCTGGTGGAACGAGCAGCCTAACTCACTGACCCGCGGCGCGATTCGAATGAAGTCAACCTCTGAGTTAAGGTCGGCGCTTTATACGTTGATGGAAGAGCGGGGATGGGTGGACGAGGATACCGCTAAGGCTTTGGCGCGGGTTGTCGGGCTCCGAATTCAGCTAAAGCAACTTAAATAATCGACACCTGAAACTCAAACCGCAATGCAATTATATTTCATTCGTTTCCAACATGCTAATTACCTACATAATCTCTAGACCACCTGAGTGACGCGTGTATGTTGTCCGAAATGTCAGAAAGCTTGGGCGCGTATGGGAAATCAACCCCAGCGGCGTCGAATAGTTTTTCGCGCCAGAAGTACGCCATACAATATCTTTCACCGTCGACACGGGGGACCCCGTGGGGTACAATCTTGCCCATCAAAGCGACGACGCAGCCAGGATTGTAAACCCAGCTACGATTGAAAGCGGGCGTGACGAACCTTCCATTCGAATAGTTTCCCCCTGTGACCAACAGTTCCATTCCCTCCATCGGTCCACTTGTATCGCGGTGGATAGGTGTCTCGCGATTGACGATAAGCGTAGTCGAGCTGAAAGGCGAAAACCATATCTCGACGACCTTAGCCACTATAGCATGGTCTTTGGTGAGTCGACTGTTCGAATAAAGCTCTTCGATCACCCTCATTCCGTTCGTGAATAACGCCCCGTTGGTCTGCGACAGTATAGCCCCAATGACCGCGGATGCGAGGGCGATCTCCCCTAGGAATCCTCGCCCTTCTCCCTTCGCAGATTTCACAGTTGACGCTGGCCCTGGAAGTTGGTTCTAATACACAGTTAGCGTACACGCGGGGAGGAACACAGTGGTGACGCACCTCGTGGCCCACAGGCCACCATGCCGGGGAAAACGTCAAGACCCCAGGAATCATGTTCGACTCCTTTCTGAACAGCTCCGGTGACTCTCTCCAATTGCCCGAGGGCTTTTCCTGGTCGTTTGCTGACTCTTTACCCTTCCCCTTTGCCCTATCCCTCTCCAACCTTTCCTGCTCCGCTTCTCTTGCCTTTCTCTTCCTATCCAAGAGCCCGTCTTTCCTGGTAGCCAACGTACCAACAGCCGCATCCAGGATCTTCTGAGCAATCGGTCAGCAATTTCACAATCAGGAATTTCCGTAAACGACGTACCATGATCGCTGGTGAAATACAGCTGGGGAGGTAGCAAAACAGGACATGATCATCGGCATCGACGATCGTCGTTGGAAGCAGCTCTGGTAGCGGATTTTCACCTTGGAGTTGGTCTCCAGGTGGGAACTCCTTCATCAGCGCCTCTTCGCGGGTGATATTTCGGCCATCCTGTCGAGGTGTAAGTCGAGAGCTGTAGCGTTTTGCTGTCCAAGGAACACGATCTGACGAGTTTAGCGAGTTTAGCTCAACATTGGTTTGAAGGAATGTAAGGTATTTGACTTACATCGTCGCTGGTAGGCCTTCTCTATGACGTAGGCTGCCTGCCAAAGAGCAGCCTTTAGGACCGGGTTTTCCATGACCCCGTCGTCATCGCTGTGCCTGTAAGGCACACCTGTGCGGATTCCTTGAATCATCCGGCCCAGGGCAGAGGCTGCCTGGTACACCAGCGACAGCGAAGGGAGTATGTCGTCTCCTCCCAAATCCTCGGGGACAGGCGAAGATGCCATTCGTTGTGGGGAGCCGCGGGATAGGAAACTGAAACCAGGAATCGTTCCTTCGCGGGATGGGTCGTACAGAGGGCCAGTGCCGATGGCACAACGTCGGGTGAGGAAGCTGTAAGAGATGCGTCAAGCTTCGACCGCGCCGCGGATGCTTTACCTGCGCGGGTCACCCTCGGCGAAATAACAACACCCTTGTGACCCCTTCCCACTCCCCTCCAACGCCGCGCTTCCCATGTCAAATTCGAGGTTCGTTTCGACCCACCTTGTCACCCCAATCTCTTTGTCTATCTCTTTTCCAGACTACCGACAGACGTTGACGATGACTAGGACGAAATGTGGGTATCATCGTTGCTCCTGTGCTGGGATCATCCATTAACAACCTTCATGCAGTGCAAGGAGAAAAACGAACCAGGAATACACGTTCCCGACAGGCGGGGAGGGATGAAGGCAACGTTTTGAAGGGTAGAGACGAGGCCGAAGCTTCGAGCGGTAGTGAGTTGGGTAACCGGGCCGCGGACAAGGCCGTTTTGGGCGGTGGACCTGGTGCGAGCTTTTTCGTCGACTGCGGTTTTGTGGGATATCTGACAAACAGCGAATAGAAAACACGGCTACCCCTACCGGTGAACAATCAGCCGAACTCATCGATAATGCATCCCCGGGCAACCACACGGGAGCGTTAGCTGCAGAATATGCCGTCGGTAGCAGTCCAATGAAGGAAGATACATGGTTGGCCTTTGAGGAAGCGGACAACGATGGTTTGGGGTCCGATACTGCCATCGCCGCAACCGAATATGCTGTGGACAGCTCCCAGGGCATAGGGACTGCACCGGCTCCACTTTTGGAATTGGAACACCCCGCAGAGGATAGGTCCCCGATTGATGATACAGCGCGACTTGCTATGGACTACTTTGTTGACGGAGATCCTATGGAGGATGTTGAACCGGTTGCCTTTGGCAGTGCTGAGCTGACTGCAGCTTTAGCCAAGGAATATTCAGTCGGTGCTACTCAGGTAAGTGCTGCACACATTGATTATAATATACTTCATTCATTTGCTGAGATATACTTTTAGGACGATGTTCCACCGGGATCAAGTGATGGGGAGATGGGTTTGGTGCACAAAGGTCTTCCTGAGGGAGATGTTACATTGGTCAGTGTCCGCAAGAGGTGCCGTGACGCATTGTTGGAGTGCTACCTGCAGGAGAAACTGGCAGTTCAGGGGCTGTTGGATTGTCGTCGCCGGCTTACAGAGTATATCACACTGCTCCAAGCCGAGTTGGATAGCCGTAATAGCCCGACAATGGATTGAAATGGTACAATAGTCTCACATAAATAGAGCCGCATATTGTCGCATCTTCAGAGCCTCTTTAGTTGTCAGTGTGCTAAGTCAGACTCAGAGCAGTAGCATTATGGATGACCACACGTAAGGGAGATAGACCTTAGGGAGAGCAGTGGCATAACGGGTGAATATGGGAGAACAGCAGCATAATGGATAGGCAACCATAACAGAGAATAGGCATCCCAATGCACTTCAAGATATGGGTCAGCTGGCCGCTCAGCTGACCCATACTCCAAGGCATACCACATGGCACTGAAATACCTTAGGACATGGGTCAGGTGACCTGCCAGCTGACCCATTATACATGGGGAGTACAATCTGTCAGCTGGTCAGGTCAAGCCATCAACATGGGCCTTTTGCATGGTCAGGTGTACCATATAAGATGGCTATACCCTACTGAAACATGTGGGGTTTCGAAACTGGACGACGAGGATCCACGAGGCGATACCCGCAATGCGCTCCTGTAGACGAACCCTGATTTCATCCCTGACGTCCTCTCGTTCCTCGTATACAGTAATGGCCATGTTCACCCCTTGTAAGCAGGTCAGCCTCAGAGCAAAATCCGGTTTGTAGTCGGGGTGGTCTGTCCTGTACCGGTCAGCGGTTACCTGAGCTGACTCAGGGGTGAGGTGGTGTAGGATCGCATCGAGGAGGGCAGGCGTGTATTGAGATTTCAGCAGTGCAACTGCGGGCTGCATAAGAGGAATCGAGCCGCCTCTCGCTGCTTCGATAAGCTGGGGGAAAAGGGTATCTTCATGAGTACTGAACTGATCCGGGAAACAGAATGCGCGACAGTCTTACCTTCTCGAGGCCGTCTTCGCTGAGTCTGGGGCCAGACATAGTCAATTAAGTCTCCAGTTCTGCAAACTGCCAATCGCTTGTGGTGGTAGTGGGTAGAGAGCTGATCGCGCCTCGTTTCCCAGACCCTCAAGCTTCAAGAGTCGCTATGATTCAGTGGCGCGGGGTTTCTTTGCAGTCACGGCTCAGTGGCCACATGTCCTTGTCCTTTATATATTGAACAATGGTGAGCCACTGGTACGTCAGGATATGCTGCGCTTCCCTTCGGACCACGCTGACTCGAAGCAGGAACAAAACCCGGTTTGTAAAATTAATACCTACGCTTGCGACAAAGTCGACCAACGATCATCGCGACGCGACGCGTTATTTGCCAATGCTTGGTCCGAACGATCTGACTCGGAGGGCAATGTTTCTTGACCCACATGAAAGTCGTTAAAGCAGACGACTCTCGTCCCAATTTCAGGTAAAGGATACACAAGACTATCTAATAGGATATACGACATTCCAAAAGCGACATGCTACAACATGATATAACCAAGAAATGAGATCACATTTCATCGTCCTCGGTGTGTAAGGCCTTCAAAAGCCATTCCTTTAATTAGGGTATCACCCATCTATATGAGCCTATGACTGCAAGTACTGAACGTAGACGCATAAAAATACATTCCCACTGAAAAGGATCATTGGACCCAATTCTCCCGGTACTTCAAGTTGTCGTATCTTCCACGCACCCGTGCTCTGGTTATCAAAGCCGCCACCTTGGCTCTCCACCCTCACGATTTGCGAAGGAAAGCCCAATCCGAGTTCCATCGCATCTCCCCAACGGGATCCGCGCAATCTGCCCGGTATTCGTTGATCAACTTCGCCAGGCCATTCTGCACCTCAGTCGGCTTACTGCCAGCGTTCAAGACCATCCAAGCCTGATATATATCGTCTTTAGTAGACGGATCGCACCGTTAAATACCCATTGCAGTATTACATTCGTTGAATACCTTTCAGAGTTCCATGTGGTCTGCATTGTCTATGATGCGTAGTGAGCGGTATCCTGAAACAAAATTTACACGGCCATAGCGCTAGCCATAAACGAATGTCATCCATCGAAAAGAAGCGCCCAAAGATACGATACAGAGCCGAACGATAGCGTGACTAAAATACATACACATCACTGAGACGTATCCATCCCAAAGATCCCACAATCTCTCATAAACGCGATCCATCCTGAGTCCAATCTCGACTCACCAGAAAGCCCGAGTTCGACGGCGCCCGGATTCCCCGGATGGCTTCCGGGTGGGCCAGCGGCAGGTCGACTTGGGCCAGCTTGCGGCTGCCCGTGGAATATGTCTCCGAACGGACTTTTGAACTGTGCCAACTCGGGGAGTTCTGTCGACGATGTTGATCTGTTTCCAGTAGGAACATTCGAGGAGAACATGGATGACAAAACACCCGCGTTTTCTTGGAGATCGTACTGGCTTGCTTGCGGGTACTGACTTCCTGTAGAGGCATCAGAACCTCCAAATGTCGAAAACGGGGTGTTGCGTTCGAAGGATTGCGGATGGCGATGCATAAAGCCCTGGCTCGATGAAGGGAAGGAGTTGTGAGTAATTCTGGTGAGTGGCGGCGCGTTCGTCAACCAGTCCACTGGCCTCGAGCGTTGCGGCGCAGGAGCGTGACTCATGTTCCAGTCCCAACCACCCGCCCACTGTTGTACAGGTGGCGATGTTGATGGATGTCCTAGGTGAGTGGCTCCTGGCGTACTGAGAGGCTTGGAAGGGGCGGGTGGCGGTGGTGCAAACCGCGAAAACTGTTCTAAGAACCGATCTGAAGAGGAAAGAGGAAGGGGATACCCAGCGAACGTCGTCGTAGCAAGGGGAGAGTCAGACAGTGTCGTCGTAGAAGGCGTAGCGTCCATCGAGGCAGGGGAGCCTCGAACAGCCTCCGGTGACGGTGTGTTGACTGGAAGTGAAAGCGTCGTATCGCGGTCTCTGCTTGCTGACCTTGACCGCTCCCTCGCATCGGCGAGGGGGGAGTCGCCTCCACCGGTACCACTATTATCTTTCGATCGACCAGACTTCTTCGTGACAACCCTCAACTGCCCTCCGAAGATAGCTAGTTGATCATCATCTTCATCCTGGATGTCAGGGCTTGGGGGTTCCTTGCCACCTTCGATGGTTTTGTAGGAGCGATGCGCCTTGTCCTGTAACCGTTTGAGAACAGCCTGAGGTGAAATGGTGAGTGTCTGGAATTTTGAGGACACCGAGGCTGGACATACTAAAGCCACTCTAGCACGATGAGATTGGTCAGCAGCTTGTTCGAACAGCCCCACAGCGATGTCCAAATCCTTGATGGCATTTCGAGCCATAGTTGAAGCCGGTGAGCGAGTGACGATCGTTCCTGCAATGACCTGACTCAGACGTGAGCACAGCTCGCCCGCATTCGTGAGGATGGGTCCAACGCACCGCCGCGGAAAATGTATGATAAAGCAGGAACCAGACACGTTTCGCCATGCTCGCACAGCGATCAAAGTGGTGCACCGACGCTTTGATGATCACCGACGCACACCGATATGCCGTCAGGAACGAAGGAGCAAAGGTGCTCAACAGCGGGTTTGAGGGATGATCAAGAACGGCCTGAGCGAAGAAGCTTCGGTGGAGGTAGATCATAACTGCGGCCTGCAAGTCAACCATAATTTTCATGTCCTCGTTTGAAACTGGAACTTACTAACTGTGCGATATTGACTGACGTAGAAATCCCGTAGCGAAAGTGACGACGAGTGGTATATCTCCTTGCCATCTACCTCACGGGAGGCATAGGGTTTCGCCGACGATTGGTAGGACATCTCGCGGACCTTCCGATCGAGGTCGAGCACAGTTTCGTAGCTGGGTGCCTGCGCAGTCAATGTGGCTTCGGCGACTGCATAAAAGATGTGCTTCGCGTAGTGATGTTTCAATGCCCAGACTAAAAAAAGGTTTGGTCACTCGGACCACTTCAGGACAGGAAGGGATCACTCACAGCCGCTTTGTTTCTCGCCCGCTGGAGAGGTCGAGGCCTCTTCATCTTCGGGAAACTCGCAATCAACGTATGAAAGGTGTATGGCCGGAGGACGCCCAAGTGCTAAGCTCTAAAAAGGATGCAAGGCTGTTGTCAAGTTCAGGAAAAGCGAACGCAAGAACACTGCTTACATGTGACACATCAGCGGCAAAGACTTCCCAAAAGAGGTTTCGTCGCTTCTGTACTGTTTGGGCGTCAAGATTCCATCGTGCACTGTCCCTGTCTATTGGGAGCCAGTCGTTAAGCAACCCTAGAGGTAAGACCCAAAATAGTCACTCACGGAGCCCGAACTGTTGTGGCACAGCCAATCGTCATGCCTAGAACCAAGGTAACCAAGAAGGTAGCTACGTACACTTTGGGCTAATTTGGCAGCCAGGCTCATGATACACCACTAGAAGCCAACGTGTTCAGCGAAAGCGCGCTCAATGAGTCCAGGAAGACACATACCGCGCTATCCCTGGAGTACTTCTTGCCCGCAAGGTTATGGTAGGTGGCCATTAATCCCACCGCTTGAACAGTCTCCAAGCTTGGGGAGCCGCATACCGGTCTCAACGACAGCGCCGCCCTCCCTAGATGGTAGTAGTGTTCCGCCAACGCGTTGTATGGGGTCAACTGCACGTCCAACAGGGCACCCAGTGAAAAGATGAAGAATAGCGTCGCCGTAGCATGTGGAGCACCATCCTCCTCCATCGCAGGTTGACCTTGGGATCGAAGAAGTGCCCCCTGATAAACCGAAGGGAGGAGAACATCGTAGAGCTCGTCTCGCTTGACAGGGCGGAAGAAGAACGTTCCATGGAGGAGGTACACTTCGCACAGCGCTGTGGCCTTTTCCCTGCTCGGAAGGAACGAGTCGAAGTGTTGCAGGAGTTGTGGTGTGGGTTCGCGGTGGGAGAGCAACGGGACCATATTGTCCATTTGCTCGATCTCGGGAGACAACGGGATGGGCATCTCGCCTTCCTGGCCCTCATCTTCTTCGGAGTCCTCGGCCTTGACAATATATGAGAAGAGCGCCATTGCGTCGCAAGTGTCGACATACCATCATGAGTGTCTGTCCCCCAAATCAGAACGCACATCCTTCAATCCAGGGAATGCTACGCACCTCAGACCCGGCCGAACGTCCAAAGTACTTCATTTCACCGCTCTCTCCAAGCGTCAGCGTCCCCAGTGCATCGATCGCATGCTTGGCGTCATCCTCGTTCGCTGGCTCTGCTGGTTTCTTGGGGTCCAAAGCTTCTGAGCCAAACTTGATCTTCAAGTGCTCGTCGCTGAGTAAGGGGTGGCGTTCATCAGAGACTGTCGCCTGTAAGATAGCGAGAGCGTCCTCGAGTTGCCGTATACGGTTGCTCATCTCTGCTATCTTGCGATGCAGTTGGTCGGTGTCGGCCAATATGAACCTTCAGAGATAACCGATTAGTTATCGGACGGGCGGCCCCAAAGCAACCAAACTACCCACCTCGTTCCTTGGCCAGCCGATAGGATGCCTATGACGCCGAGTGAACAGGGGCTACGGCTTTGCAAGAACCCTCAGCGAAACGTACCACAAGGGCAAATGCTTTCGCATCCTCGTCGAACGCAAGAGCTGCATGGAACTTTCTTGTCACAGCGTAGCTTCAATCGTCGACACTCAGCGCATGACAATTCACCTCGGGCCAGATGCGTTAAATGGGTGCTGAGATTCAGAGGACGTCATGTGCTCACCTCGTAGTCGTTTGAGTTCGATATCTTTAAGTTCTTCCTCCGAAATATGCTTCTGAGTCCTCCTGGTACTGATAACCCTGGTGGTGTCGACTGGCATTGGAGGCGAGTATGTGCATGGGCTCTGACGCAGGTACTGGGAGGCTCATAAGTAAGAAGCCGAGAATGTGGGAAAGCGATCCCCGCATGAAGGGTGGGTGAGATTCCTGGGAAACTGATCTCGGGGCCAAGGTCATATGGCCATATGATCGCATCCGGTGATTCCAAGGAGAAAGCCATCACCCAAAAATGCTATTCAGAGTAGCGGGAAATGAAGAGCGGCGGTTCTCTCTAACCTCAACTGTCTACTGCACGCGACGAGAACAGCGAAGAAATCCCATTGATGGCAGAATTGATAACCGCGAACGAATAGCATTCCAAGAAGTGCTAATAGAAGAACTGGATGAACGGATTAGCCGATGTTACACTAATGCAAAGGGAAACAGTGAACCTATTGTAGTAATTATTCCCATCAAGAGTACAGCAGCTCATGTCTACTTGCGCTTCCTTTGGCGTGTTTTCGAAAGACCAGCGTTTTCAATGTCCTGAAACCACGTCGCCGTCACAATCAGAACGTGCTACGACCATCTCACCCCATCGGACTTGCGGAACGAACCTTCTTCGAGGAACCAGATTTGGGACCGGCGTTCACATTGCCCATACTTGGTTGCTTCGAGGTATCTTTGGCCTGCGAAAACGAGTACCAAATCTATCATAACGCCAAGAAAACGAGAGGGAGCACACATCACTCACCGGCCGTTTCCTGACTACTGCTGCCTCAGAAGAAACAAGCGACTTGGGACGGGGCCGTTTCTTCGCCTTATCCGAAAACTGGCTGATCTGCGAGAGATCCGTAAGTGGTGAGTGACCATTATAATCGTCGGACGCCGTTTCCTGAGCGAGTTTAGTGAAAGATGGCTCTTCAACTTGGATTCTGGGCGGAGTCTCAGGAGACTGGGGGCGATCGTGCTTCGACGGACCTTCGACCTACAAAAAAGGGCGACATCCATGAGAATTGCGAAAATCACGGGAATGGGGAGTCGGGGTCTGGGAGTTCTGGGCTACCTGCTGAGCGTTATCAATGGGACTAGATACAGCCAAGGATCGAATATTGAGCAAAGGGCGAGCCTCTGCTCCATTCTTTTCCAACATTTCGGCCACTCGTCTCTGCAGCAACTTGATACGAGCCTGGCAGGCGGCCAGTTGGTTGACTCGCTGAAAAGGTGCCGTGAGGAAGCAAGATTCGCGGCCGCAGTATAGGTGGAACTCACATCGCGAATCTCGTTCTCTTTCTCGATGATGCGCTGTTCATTGGAGGTTTCCGTCAGCTCCACCACATATTGTACCAACTCCCTTTCTCCATCGGTCTACAGCGGTGCTAGGTCAGCGCAGACTCGCGGCGTGGCGATAGGTATGGACTTACAAGTTCCCCTCGTTTATACCTGCCCATAACATCATCGGATCGCGAAACGAGATCGGCGTTGGCGGCTCGGAGAAGGTTGAGCTCCCTTTGAAGGGCCTCGACGTCAGCGCAAGGCAAAAGCTTCTTCACCTGCTCTTCACTCGCACGAAGCTGCTCCTGTGTCTCCTCCAATTTCGTCGACAGAAGATTCGCTTTCTCCTGCCAGGTCATCGCAGCAGCCCGGTGTTCTTCAGCTTCCCTCTGAGCCAAGGCACAAGCGGTTTGAGACTCAGTTGCCCGCAGATCTTGGGCGCGTTGCAATTGTACTTGGATCTCCCTTTCCTTGGCGGTTCGCTGTCGGAGCTCGGCGACCGTGTCTTCTAGAGCCTGAACGCGTTCCGAGACACTCTTCAATTCGCCTTTCGTTTTCTGTGAAACGCCCATCAATAGTCACGTTCGCAAACACGAGATCCAAACCCACAGTGTGTTCCAACCGCTCTTGTGACAGGCTTGACTTCAGGTTCTCAACGGCAGCCTGGGGAAAAAAATGTATGCCATGGATAAACGTGCCTGGAGACTGGAACAAGGACGTACATCTTTCGCTTGGAGCTCCCGCTGGTAACTAGTGTCTGTGTGAGTGGAGGGAGCACGAGTTTCGGGGTAAGGAGAAAGAGGTCTACCGAGTGTCCTGTTGCTTCGATGAAGCCTACGAGTATCCTGTTGAGGAACGACTTGCAAGAAGGGGAGGTGAACGTACTTCGTGGTCCAGCAGTTCCTTGCGATACCTAAATGGAGGACTTGAGCGATGGAACGAGAGAAACCATGAAGTTTGAGAAAGTGACCGACCTAGACTCCACTTCCTTCAAAGCGGCCTGTAAAGCCAGCGTAAGACGACTATGTGATACGATGGCGAAGCATCGAACCTCCTTCTCAACGTGATGGCTAAAGCCTCTCAGATAGGGATTGCGCGAGAGAAATGAACGGAAAACGAACCTCTGGGTAATCTCTACAATGCGAGTTTGCAGTGATGTCACCTGCCCTTCTTTTTCCGCGATTCGCTGGCGGTGGCTGGCAGAACAATGATATGTTCAATGCGCCACATTCGCACCCAGTGCAAATATACCGTTCGAGTTCGCCCTAACGGAGCGCCGTGTTATTATTCAGTCGCCCTTCCAGAGTCAATTGTTCGCTTACCTTGAACCTGTTCTCGGCGTCTTTGAGGTCTTCCCGGTGCCTAACATCTTGCCTCAGCGAACGTTGGCATGGACTAAATCAACCATTACTTATTCAATGCTTGTTGGAGGGCATCCTATAACGACGTAAGCATATGACGAATGATAACGCAGGCGATAGATGGATAAGCATACCTCTTTCTTTTTCAGTTCCTCGCGATGGCTACGAAGGGGACGTCAGAGACGAGGGAGACACAGGGGGAGGTAACGGACCTATCCATCAGGGCGTTCTTCTCCTTAAGAAGCTCCCGGCGTAGGTCTTGTAGCTCCGTGCGATGCCTTGGAACATATTCAGAGGCATCGTAGACGCAAAGGAGTTCCCACATTTACCGTTCTGCCAAAGTACTGCGCTCTTTCGCTGAGGCCTCAGTAAGGCGGTCAGAAGCCGATTTCCTGCCAGGACGTAAGATTAGGCCAGAGACATCTCTGACAAAGGGACGCACGCTTGCTCGGATGATTTTCGTTCCTGGTCCAGGAGGGCCTGCAGACCCTTGATCCGGATATCTCGCTCGCCACATTCACGCTGCAGAGCTGCGACCTTGCTCTCGAGTCTATTCGACTTTGTCAGCGTCATTTCGAGAAAGAAAGGAGGGACACTGACGCGCTGCGTTCAAGAATGGCGGTCTCAAAGCTTGAGAAACGCTCTTTCAGCTCTTGCATTCGACTTTCTATTTCAGGGTTCCTGGGGGAAAGTTAAGTCGGTAACGGCAGGGAATCGCGGCTAAGCTCACAGGCTACGGGCTTGGCTCAATTCCTGTTCCTTCTCGACAATGGACTTCTTCGCTTCAGCGAGACTGGGGATGGACGTGCGACGGTAAGAACAATGGTTGAGCGTGCCAAGAAAACGCGGTGCTTACAGGGCTCTGAGGTCTTCTTTGGATTCAAACAGTGACTTGAGCTCAGTTCGAAGACCTGTTATCTCTCGATCCCTGGCATTGACGATGTCTTGCATAGCAAGCATCTTCGAGAGATGACTGCGGACCGTCAATAGACAAGGGGGTCAGATATAAGCATCGACTCACTCTTCCCTCGCGGAACGCAGTGGAATCAGCTCAGCCTCCTTCGCTTTACATACTCCCGACAAACGAGCAATTCTAGAAAGGAATAAGCCGGATGATAGATGTCAAAGTCAGCCCATTCGTACTCTTTCTTTGCAAGAACCAGCATTTCTTCGACTTTCGCGGCCTCTGTTAGGGCATCAATGGTCTCCCGTTCTCGATCGGCAAGCCTTTTCAATATCTCTTGTTGGGCTTGATCTATGACGATCTGGTAAGCACGTTCCTGTCGGGAGGAGAGTTACTCGACGTACCCAGCTTCAATGCAGACTCGATACGATCGTTCGTCTCTCGCAGGTTGGTATCCAGCCTCGCCATCGAGTCGTACCTTTCCTGTTCAAGCTCTTTGACCCGCTCTTTTGACTCCAGCAGCTGAGAAGCCATATGATGAAGTTTATCCCTCAGGATGTCTGAAACGCGGCGAGCTGCAAGGCATTGTCAACCCGGAGACGGATGCAGGAAAAGCGGGAAACGTACAAGTTTCCAGTTCGCCCTTCAGCTCGTTGATGATGGTTCGACCTTCCTTTGCGCTGGCCATCCAGACGTTGGCGGAGGACTGTCCTTGAAATGCTGTACGAAATTCAATGAGCAACGCGCCACACGACAAGGGTAAGGACACCATACCAGAGGTGCATTCGCTTGCCTGGGAGCGCAGATCCTGGATTTCACGAATAGCGCGACCATACCGCTCTTGAATACGGCCCTGGGCTTCCTTGAGCTCTTGCATATCCTCGGATTGCTGCTTGAAACTGTAGAGGGTTAGGACCAACGGCAGAAGGGAGGTGAAGAAAACTACCTCTCGCGTAAACCCGAAACTACCAGGCGGGCTTCGTCCAACCGTTGGTTGGTCTTCGCCTCCTTGACCGAAATTTTTGCGTTTTCTTGACGAAGTGACTGAAAGTCGAGCGTCAGGGATTGTATCTTCTCCGTAAGCCCGTTGGTCGTTTCATTCGCAGCTTTGAGATTCGCCGTGGAGTTGGCCAGCTGAACTTCCGTTTCGCGAAGTGCTCCTCGTAGCTGCTCGTTCTTCTGTTCGGAGGCGGAGAGCTGGACAGACAGGGAGGACAACTGTGACTTCAGACGCTGTATTTCCTGTAGACTCTGCTCATGAGCGTCAGTCAAACGTTCATTTTGAGTTTGCAAAGTCGCGTTCCGCTGCTTCAAATTGGCAAAATCCCGAGCAACCTAAATCCAGACCCGCCGAGAATGAGTAAGTGGGAAATAGAAACAAGGCACTGAATCTGCACCTTTTCAACAAAAGAATCCTCGCCTCCATTATTATCGTCACGGTTGCTGGATGATGCGACTGAATTGGGTGTATTGAGCAACCCGCTCTGGCGAAATCCTCCGAAATCCAGGTGTGTGCTAGCCGGAAGGGTATTCTCTTCGTTTCCTTTGCTTAAGTCGAAGCCATCGAGTTAGCGACCACATTTGCACGTACCAAATCGCTCAGAGGGCTCAAAAGGCGATCCGTGAGTCTGAACGTTGGTCGTCGTGCTCAGGGTGCTCCGGGAAGTCGCTCGTCGAGCGGATTGCACCTCCAACGACCGTATCGGCGTCGAGGGCTGCAAAGAAAACCGAAAAGGCCTAGGCGGGACATTTTCTTCTGATTTCTGGTTGAATCGAAACGGTTTCAAGAGCGCCTTGGACAATTTGGGCGTCCCTTGATCCTGCAATCGAGCCTGAGCTTCTTGGACGCCTGGCAATCTCACTCTGGGCCTGTCGCCGCTGTCCTTCGCGGCTGAATATTGGCCAAAAAGCGGCTTCGACGTCGAGTCCGCGTTTCCGTCCATGCAAATTTGGTTCTAGACGAGAAAGACTGTATTGGGAGATGGTAGTGGTTCAAGTTCAAGCCTGGCGAGCGCGAATCCGGCCCATCGGAATCAAATTTGCGCGGAGATCAAAACTGCCGCGTGCGACCCCACCGATCTTTGTCTGGAGCCCCTCAATCTCAGCGGCCTCAAGCGCCTTGAGTTAGACGCCCTGTATCTTCCCACCTGCCGTCACTGGCCAAATATATCGTCTTCGATAGAGCGATATATATTGCGATCACTTCGCAAAAATAGAATTGGTTCGTTTCTATTCCTGGCCGAGCCGTATGTATGTCGCTACTGAGGAGTCCAGGCAAAGTCGACATAGCCGAAATGGTACCCTGAAAGTGCAACTCTCAGACGTCCGTTCGACTATGACAAATCGTGACATTGTTCGGTTAACCGAGCTGAGGTTCGAGTCTAGGAAGCTTAGATGAAGAATAGATCCGAACCCTGGCCCCATCCTCGTGCATATCTGACCTCCTCCCAGATGTATCTTACCAGCGGCGTTCCCCTAATCCCAAATCGACCATCACAAGTCTGTTCTCGGACTGAGGACTTTTTCAACCCTTCCCACAACCTCCCTTCGATTTCCTGGAGGCTGGAAGGGACTTTACTCGCAGATGTCCCTTTCCCGTTCTCATATTCTGCGAGCCAAGAACCGACGTTCCTGAGTCCTGACCAGACTACAACAATTTGAATCCAACATTCATTTTGAGGCTCCAGAACAAACGTCATGCCATCAGTAGCGGATCCACCTTGCCCTAGGCAGACGTAGCCTCTGGCGCCCTGCTCAACCGAGATGTTCTCATATCCTTCTCAAATCCAAGTCGAAAGCACAAGGCGATGCTGTAAAACAAGGGCAAACCTCCCCGCGCACAAGGTTGCAACGATTTCCTCTCCATCAATATTGGGCGCTTGGGGCATTTGTGGCCGTCCTTTCATGCGGTCTGGACCCCTTTTTCGGAAGTCAAAATCATTCCGAAACAAACATGGCCATCGGCAACGGGTCTCGGTGGCTTCTCGTCCTGGGTCTTCTTCCGTCATCCATGATGCTTTCCACTGCCTCCATGGCTCTGAACGCCATGTCCTATCGCCACCATACACCGCCAGGCACCCAAATGAATGCCTTCTCATAACCGCCCACTATACACCAGGTACTGGAACCCGGCTCTTGGTGTTTTGGGATCCAGGCGACGAGCTCGACGAGGCTCGATGCAAACATGGGTAGACTGACCCCTTTTTGCTCGATCTGTAGTCAGGCAGAGAGAGGCCCGCATGGAAACAACCGACCGTGGGCCAAGGCTGCGTTTGATCTTGGTACCGGCCCCTTCTAGCACCTCCATCTCTCACAATTACCGCCAAGACCCGTCAGAAATTTCTCCGGCTTAAAAATGCACCTGATATAAAGGCGAATGGCTCCGCTGCGAAGGCCTTCTTTTTCTCCACCACAACAAACACTTCAGTTTTCGTCCAAACGCACCTTTATCCACTGGCGGGAGACGTTCTGAACCTCCCTCCCTTTCGTTCTTTACCCTAAATCACCTTTTTCTTCCTCCTTTCCGCCCGATGCTGTCTCTTGAACTTCTCGTTCTTACGCTAACGGCACTAACCGCCCCTGTTCTCGCCCATCGCGACTACAACAATGTTCACGCCCGACGGTTTGGTCTAACCCCTCGGGACTACATCACCCCCGAAACACGACTCGAATCCTACGACTATATCATTGCCGGAGGAGGTCTTGCAGGACTGGTACTTGCTTCCAAGCTCTCGGCTGATGGGGAAACCACTGTTCTCGTCCTCGAGGCTGGAGGAACAGGCGACGAGCAGAGAGAGACTATTGGTGCGTCCCTTCTGAAATAACATCCTTGAATTATCAACTAACGTCCTCTAGACCGTCCTGGCTTGACATACTTCCGCTCTCTCCTCAACACCGAGCACGATTATGCCTACAAGACCACCCCTCAGGACGGTGCTGGTGGTCGTATCATGAACTGGCCTCGTGGAAAGGTGAGCTTCGATGCATCCTGGTACGTTAATGCTTCTTGCTAACTAAGGCTAGATCCTTGGAGGCTCTTCTGCGGTTAACGGCATGTATCTCGTTCGACCCAACGCGCTCGAAGTTAATGCCATGCACGAGATGAACGCCGATAACGACGCCAAGGAATATGCTGACGCGTGGACCTGGGACTCCCTTCTCGAAGCTATGAAGCAGGGCGAGACCTTCACCCCTCCCACCCAGGAAGCCCTCGATGTTGCGGGCATGCGCTTCAACCCGGACAGCCATGGCTCCAGCGGACCTCTGCAGGCCACTTACTCTGCCTAGTGAGTGCCACCCGTATTTGCATCTGAAGCTTTGTCTAACCCTTTTCCAGCATGGTTCCCATCTCGAGCGCATGGCTCCCGACCCTCGAAGCTGCTGGTGTTCCCATTTCCAATGACGCCTACTCCGGAGACAACGTTGGCGGCTTCTTCAGTATCATGGCAATCAACCCCTCCAACTGGACTCGATCATACGCCAAGTCTGCCTATATCGACAACCTTCCTCCCCGCTCCAACCTCCACATCCTCACCAACAGTGCCGTCACCCGTATCCTCTTTGCCGACAATGCTCAAGATGGCCTCCAGGTCGCGAGCGGAGTCGAGTTCGCCAGCGATGCCAATGATACTCCCAAGACTGTTCTCGCCAACAAGGAAGTGATTCTCGCTGGTGGTGCCGTCGGCAGCCCACACATGTTGTTGGTCAGCGGTGTTGGTGACAGGGCACTGCTTGAGAGCTTGGACATCCCCGTTCGTGTGGACCTCCCTGGTGTTGGCCACCACATGCAAGACCATTTGGTGAGTTCCTTTGTTCATCATTCCTTACTGACACATCTGACGGGTACCCTAGGCCGTCAGCGTCGCCTGGAGCACTGAGGAAGACACCCAAGGCACCATCTTCGAATCCGGATCCGAGTTCTCTGTAAGTCGCAACGTTTCCATCGCTGTGCACATCGACTCATCGTTGCCATTAGCAATCCCCCGAGTTCCTTTCCTTCGTAAACTCCGGTACTTCCTATGTCAACGGACGATTCCTGTTCGACGGCCAGGAGCAATTCGACGCCTACCTCCAAGGTCTCCGTGACACCTTCAGCAGCGCCGATGATCTCGCTCCCCTCCTCCCAGGCACCAGCGACGAGGTTGATGAGGGTTACAGGACCATCTACCAGACTTTGGTCGACAAGGTCTACCCCGAGGCTGGCCTGGTCGAGATGCTTTACAGCATCAACGCTGCCGGTCGCATCATCGTCCAGGCTGCAATCCAGACCCCTCTGAGCCAAGGCCGCCTCTCCATCAACTCGACCTCGATCTTCGACCCGCCCGTCGTTGACCCCAAGTACTTCTCCCACCCCGGCGATATCGTCCTCATGCGCCAAGGTGTGAAGCAGGTCCGCCGCATGTCGACCCTCTCACCCCTCCGTGATATCCTTGGCGACGAGCTCAGCCCCGGTCCTGATGTCCAGTCCGACGAGGACATCGAGAACTGGATCAGGCAGAATGCCAACACCGAGTTCCACCCCGGCTGCACTTGCGTGATGTTGCCCCGCGACAAGGGCGGTGTTATCGACCAGTCCCTCAAGGTTCACGGTACCGCCAACCTCCGCGTTATTGATGGATCCATCTTCCCTCTCTCTATGTCCGCTCACGTATGTTCCCTCGTTACCATGTGCTCCGTTTACAATGCTGATTGACCTTTGCTCTTCAGTTGATGGCCCCGATCTACGGTGTCGCCGAGAAGGCTGCCGAACTCATCCTCAACCCTCCCTCGTCATCCGGCGGTGGCTCTGGTGGCAAGGGCGGCTCCTCTGGTGGCAAAGGTGGATCCGGCAAGAACGACGAAGATGACGACGAGAGCGCAGCTGCTGGTCTTTCCAGCTCGCTCTTCATCACTGTCGCTGGTTCCCTCTTCACCGCTCTCCTCAGCGCTTTCTAAAGCTCCTCCTGTCTGACTGACTGACTGACTAACTAACGATATGGACGTTCTATGACCCTTCGGATTCCCATTGCTGGATTTGTTTCTTGACCACGACACTCATTTGGCTGTCTTATGGACTTGACTTGATACTCGTATATCTTTTCGTTCATTCCTAGCCTAATGAACAGGGACTTTCCATGCGACCTTTTGATACCATCGCTGTAGATGACGCTGTTATATTAGAGAAAGATGTAATACTGTTGCAAAGTAGTTACCCCCCCCCCCCCCTGTGTAGCATAGGAATGAACGGACTATTGTTTGATTTTTGGAACTTATACAACATGCTGGAAGACTTCGACAGTTTGGAGAGAGGAAAGTAGGCGCTGCGCAAACTGAATGATGTCGTCGTCTGAGAGGTTGCTGGTATCGCAACGGTCGAGCTCGAGGCGCCGTATTCTGCACTCGGATTCAGACTCGGCGTCATCCGTTTCAGGGAGCGTCTGGCAAGCTACGGTGATTCTGAGTCGATCGAGGTTGCACTTCATACGGGGTAGGCATAACAGGGACTTGAGTGTGAAGGGGGAGGTGGGTGTCTCTCCAGCAGGCCACAAAAGTTCGAGGGACCGGAGGTTGGGAGAGACATTGGACAGAATCTCGTCGAGAAACTTGTTGACCTCTTCATCCTTTTCATAGGACTCGGTGAGTAGGGCTGTGAGGCTGAGGTGCGTAAGGTCCCGGATTTGGAATACGGGAAGTATGGTTGGCGAGTCATATACCAATTTGCCCATGTCGACGGTGAGTCGCCGCAGGCGGCGCGACTCATTCGAGAAGAGGTCGGAGATGTCTTCCATCCATGCTGGGTCATCCGAGACGACTGATAATCCGCGGGCGGTCGCTTTGAGCTCCAGAGAGCCGAGGAGTGCTGTATCGAGGGACGATAGGAGCGCCAGCCACCCGTTCGGCCAACCTGTTAGGCTGGCTGAGAATTGCATCTCGTCCCATTCCTCAGGGGTCGCCACTTCGAATCTATATTTGGCTCCGCGCGCTATACCGAGAAGGAGGGGGTGGAGAGTTGAAAGCGACCGGGGAGTGGTAACGGAGTAACGCAAAGCTAGTCTTTCCGGTACCATTGATTTGAATTGTTGCCTTCTTGAAGTCCGGAGAGGTAAAGAGAAGCAGAGGGAGCGGGATGGTCTTGCCGAAGGGATCTTCTTTGTAGACGATTCCATGCAGGAGGGAAACAGTGAAGTCTTTCAAGTATAGGGCATATCGCGCCGCGGCCACAAGGCACACGGATACCCATTGAATATTGACATTAGGGTCGTTCACCTCGAAGTGCACTGTTTCTATCCTCCCGGGTAATAGGAGAGGGAAGCAGGCGACGGCTCCTTCGACACAAGACTCTACTTTGACGGTTCTGAGCCTTGAGAGAAGGCCAGTGCCTAGAGGCGAGTCGTCCTTGGCCATGTGCTCGCCGAGTTCTCTGTATACATAGACTGGGAACTGTGTGGTCCAGTCGCCTATCTTCACCGACCGCACGCATCTCGCGTATTGCAGGAAACGGTCCGAGAACAAGGGAAGGCTCTGTTGGTTGAATCAGATTTTCGACCTGAGCGAGTGTAAGTCAGAGACCGACATAGGACCGGGCTTCTTCGCGGGAGCTGCGAAACCCCTCGGGGAGAAGGTTCAGTAATGGCCACAAATCATCCATTACACGCCACAGTCGTTCCATAGCCGGGTCAAAGAAATGACGGCAAGTAAGTCCAACGAGTAAGATTCTGTGCCTATCTTCCTGACTTGGTTGGCCCCAGGTGGCGAGGAAATCGAATATAATGTCGAGAAGCTCCTGATTTCCTAGAACTTGGGCCTTGCCCCCGGTTAGGAATGGCGAATGGGAATCCGACGGCTCGAAAGCAATGGACATTTCAGTTCCCTGTAGAGTGTTATGTTTTTCTGTGAATAAGATGGCTTTTTCCCCCATGAAACGAAGGGATTACCTTGAGACTCGAGCCTTGAATGAATGAACGGAGGAAGGGGAGGTCGCGACAAAAGCGACGCGGTTTCGCTTGGCGTCGCCTGTCGCTTGTCAAGTTCCACCGAAAATAACATTCGCACACAATCTTCAAGTTCAAGGCATCCGAGTCAGCCTCGTGTTAACACCTCCCTCTCGTACCACACATTCTCTCTGCTTAGGACCCGCTCTTCCTACAAAAGATGGCTGACATCTCCCGTGGACCGTCGCGAGATGCGGTTCTGTACAACGAAGAGCTGTTTCATCGCATCTTGGACGATTACCGCCCCGTGGGGAAAAATCGATGCTCATATCCCTTGCTCTTCCGTGCAAGGCGTTCCTCAATCCAGTACTGGATGAATCTGGGCGTCATTGCCCTCCCCTTTTCCCCTGCTCTCACTCTTAGAATAATTTTCTGCTGCCAATGGTGGTCACGTCAGTCGCAATTGACCCCTTCGTTAAGATTAAGCGCTAACCTGGTGATAGTATCTTACAACAGAGAGATGGCTTACCAACCTGGATCGATTTCTCTTCTACTCGACGAGGGTTAAATGCATAACCCTGCCGGCTCATACAAGGGCTGTCTCATCGCAAGTTTACGCCGCCATCCTGGCACAGGTCAAGCTGCGCTACCCGTCCATCCACCCATTTCCACGCACTCATTACGTTGCGCTGGATACCCTCTCCGAACCCACTCTTCATTTCCTCTCGTTGGTCTTGTCGCCCTCTGTGACAGAAATTTCCCTCCAGGAAGACGAAGATGTGAAGATGGAGCCACATGTCATCCCGCCACTCTTCACTAAATTGAAGGAGGGGGCCCCGTTCCTGGCTCGTATTCGCTTCTCAGGATCCTCCCATCTCTCCAACGCAATACGTTCTTTCGCCCGGACAGTAGAACTACCCGCTTTGGTCAGCGTCCAACTCCACGTCGAGTCTTCATTTAGCAGCGTATCGCACGAGACCACCTTTGTAAAACCCGAACCTAACCTTTTGGCTCATTTTCATGCCACTAATGGGTCCTTGGACAAGGAGAACACCACGACGCAGGATTACTCTGTCCCCGCGAGCTTCGAGGCACGTCCATCCATTCTCGAAGCCTTGCTGCACTTGATGCAATGCGACCGAATTACTGCTTTGGACCTGACTATCTATCTTTTCGACAACTCGCCTATCAATGAATCCTCCATGCCGTCGTTTATCACTGCTATCATACAGGAGTTGAGCAGCGCGCGTCGCTCTGCTTTGAAAAAGCTCACGCTACGATGTCCCCGACCTTCTTTCCAATCTCGTGAACCTCCCGTTTATCGAGGACTTCGCTTATCATGGGTATCTGTTCTCGCGGTTCAACAGTGTGGCTGAAGCCGACAATTTCTTCAAGTCCCTCCTCACCTCGTCAACCAAAACGGTCCCCCTCCAACACCTTCGCCTCGACATTTACAACCGAGGAGATCATACATTCTCTTTCCGATCTCTGCTACACTTGAGGGAGGAGAACAAGTCTCTGAGGACGCTACAACTTCCGTTCGATTCAAGTCTACCCGATTTGGCGAAACTCCTTCAGAACCCAACCACACCCAAGGCGAATCCATTGCGCTCCCTCCAAATTCACGATTTACGCAAATCACCGTTACCTGGGGAACACCACCATCCCATTTGCACTTTCTTCAACCATGGATTTCCCCAATTACAGCACATTGAGGTTGATGGTCCTGATCACGTCGATCAATTTCATGTATTCCTTGCATGGGACCACCTTGAGCGATTTAGGAAGTCCCGTCGCTATCTAGCACTCCGACGTCGTTGACGGGAGCTGTCACGCTCTGTCAGAGAAGCTGGTTATGACCGAAGAGGTCAAGCACATTGCGACCTCTGTACATTGGCTGTTCTTTTCTTGAAACTCCGCCGAGTCTGTGTAAGCAATTTGCGTCTACTTGCCCTTGTATTATGATATTGAATCATGTCCTTGTATCGTGGAGACTTGGGCGGCGGCTTCGATAACTGGCAAGAACCTTCAAGACCAGAGCACGCCACTGGCAGAGCGTACCGAGAGAATGGGCTCGGTTAATCCTTTTCATTGGAGAGATATGGTTTGGAATTTATGTTGAGCACTGGTAGGCCGGTATATGTTGCACGATATAGTAATTAATTATAAGGGAACGACTCGGAGGGTGTTTACAAGTGCCTGCTCATGATCAAGAACGGTTTTCATTTGGTTTTCGTCGCCGTCGAGAATTTGCCCTCAAGTCGTTTGGACCACTGAGCATTGGCAAATAACGCGTCGCGTCGCGATGATCGTTGGTCGACTTTGGTCGCAAGCGTAGGTATTAAGATCGGGCTACACACTCCAGAGAGCCGCTACCAGGGTGGTGGTGGGACTGTCTGTCGTAGATTAAAAATTCTAATTTCTATAGCACCGGTGGCCCGTGTCCTGTGAGTGGCTCAGATGGATGCGCTGACCTTCATTATGTATTTCGATGGTAACCACCTTCCTAATCAAGAACTTCGAGGTTTGTCTTCCATCGGTCTCCATTGTCTCCCTCAACTTCGCGAAAACATGTGCAAACATAAGCAGGTCAAAACACTGAGAACTGGTTCTCACTCTCTCTTCTCTTGAACCGCTACGACCATGTCTCCGACTGCCAAACCTCCTCGCAAGCCTGCCACACGCTCTGTGGCAAAGTCCAAAGATTCTCTTTCTCAGCCTGCTGAGCCTACTACCATGCTTTATCGCGATGAAGTCGATCCTTCGAAAGACGCGGAGGACTTTGGTCGTTTGAAGTATGCTACTGAGTATGAAATTAGCGCTATCCATGACGGCGACGCCATCGTCGATGAGCTGTGCACTATTAGTCTCCGGACTGCGCGACTGAAGTCTTATTTGACGGCTTCGCCCTACTGGAGCACCGAGGCAAACGCTTGGAAAGGCGTGTCGGGAAAGAGAGAGCTGCCTATCGTTATACGAGCTTATCAGACCATCATCGACCACATCTTGACTCACTTTGGATTGGCGAAACCTTTCAGTGGCGGCCGTAAAGCTTGGGTGACTTGTAATGAGGCGATGGGGAACTTTAAGCAGGGTGACTTTCCCGTGCCTAACATCTGTGTGACTGGGAAGGGCGACTATCTCTCTGTTGACAAGCAAGATCCGTCCAACCCCAGCTATGAGCGGAGTCTTTTCTTCTGTCTCGTACAGCCCCACGTCGAGTTCGTGCCTCGTTCCTGGCAGCCACAGGTTTTCGAGCCTTTGGCTAGGTGCGTCCTTTTTCATGATGCCTATCTCTCTTGCAGTGGTACTAATACTCTCTATAGATATATCTTCTATGCGCAGCCTCATCGTCGTTTCTTCCGCGTGCTTCTTCTCTCTCAGGGTGGCCACATGCGCTTGTTCCATTTCGACCGAAGTGGATGTATCAACTCAGCCGCCATCGACATCAACGAGAATCCGGTCACCTTTGTGCGCACCATCTTGAGCTTGTCCTCCCACGACGCTGCTGCTGCGGGATTCGACCCTGATATTTTTTGGAAGTGGGAACACGTTGGGCCGGCACGCGTTCGACAAGGCTACATTCGCATGAAGACCGAGGACAGTGCGAATACCCTCCTCAAGATTGTTGGGAACGGCGCGTTCAAAATGACGGCTGGTGTCGAAGGCGCGTCGAACTCGCTGTGGCATGTCGTTGATGAGTCGGGGCGAGACCTTGTTGTGAAAGATGGGTGGAAGTACACTGGGAACCATCCTGATCCTCGGCACCTTGTTCGACCTTGGGAGCATGAGCTTCTCCTTGCTGGAAAGGACCTGCCTGGAGTCTGTCAGATCGTCGACTACTCGATTGGAGTCTCAACTGCCGCCTTCCGGGGAGCTACGGCCCATGTCCATGGATCCTATGACGAGTTTACGCATTACCGGTTCTCCATGGAGAAATACGGCAAGTGTGCGCTTGAGTGTGAGTCGGGGAAACAGCTTGTTTGCGGCGTCAAATCTGCCATTGGTGGTATGTGTTCAATTCTCATTGGTCATTCTTTTCCTGTGTTTTTTAACGAATGCTCGCTACAGGCCACCAGGGGATGTACAAGTTGAGGCGAATCATCCATCGCGACATCAGTCCCGGCAACATCGTCTTCGGTACAGCGGATCCTGAACCGGGCTGGGAAGGCGTGATTATTGACCCCGAGTTGGGCACCTACACGAACGGGCACCCTGAAGCCAACGAGGACCATGCCATCGCGACGTACAGGATTGTGAGTTCCTGCCCCCTCCCTCTCTCAGACTTGACCGAATTGACTGACACTGGAATTTCCGCTCCAGGGAACGCAATCTTACATGTCGATGCTTGTCTGTGGGACTTACAATGGGATGATCCCGCAATTCAAACACGACCACACTGATGATCTGGAATCATTCTTTTGGAGTTTCCTCTACATTCTTTCCGCTTACGAAAAGCCTGGAGTGGAAAAGCCCTCTATCCCCAAGATCCTCGAACCCGTCTACTTCTCGGAAAACATGGGTGAAGCGTATATAGCCAAGACGCGGTTCCTGGGCAAGAGATTGGATCAAGAGACGCTGGATGCGATTATCAGTCCGTCCTGGGGACACCTGAGGGAGAAAGGCGGTCTGGTCGATAAGTTCCATGATTATATCTCTGACCTGGCCTTTGAGAAGGAGCATTATGTGCGAGGCGGGGTTCGGGACGCCAAGAAGCTTGAAGCGTTTGTGGCCAAGTCGGATGAGCACTATGCGAGAATTTTGGAGATTTTCCAGGAGGCGATTGAGGGATTTGAGAAAGCTAGGGAGGAGGAGGAGGAGGATGCTCCTCGTGGAGGCCCGCTTACACCCAGTAGAGCTGCGAATGTTCAACGACCTCGCGAGGCTCGCGATGGCAAGAAGCGGAAGGTTGACAACGAGGATACAGAGGACCGGTACAACAAGCGAGTTCGGGATGACGAGAATTATGTGTATGAGTACGAGGTTTATGAGGGGGATAGTTTTGAGGTTTAGGTACCACTTTGGCTGCGCTGGATTTCTGATATGCTCCTATGCGTATTTTTGAACGATTTATGTATATGTACTCTGATATGTTCCCCCTGTTACGCTTACTATGTATCTTTTTCAAATTGGATTGGCTATGCACACATTTGATGCCAGCCCCCGTTTTAGGATGGAGGAATAACTCACCTTCCAGGTTTGTTTGGTCAGCTAGGATAGTCTCTATATCCATCACAGCTTGGAAGTGCGTAATATACGAGCAAAGATACAGATGTTTCTTACTGAGGAAACAGGTGGGGACATGACCAGCGGTGGTCCTGCGACCCACGACCTTCAACTGGCGGGCCCGACGCCGACTCTCGGTATCCCCAAATCCGGAGTGTCGGCCCCTACACTGTGTGCACCTCAGGCTCATGCCGTTCGTTATACGCGACAATGTATGTGATGCGCGTTAAGAAGCATCCAAGGTCGCAATTTCCAAGTAGACCCGGTGCCACCAGGGCCACTAATCGTTCACTTCCATCCCTAAAGCTTCAACGTTCAACCATTGGCCTATACCGGCCGTGACGCGCCCATATCAAAGATTATACGAGAAACCAAGCGCACTTCCTGTCAAACGGAGAATAAATATACAAATCAAATGTACAAGGTCTGCCTACAACTTCTGATATATACCAAGATGCGCACCCGCGTTGTGCTATGTACTCCCTTTCCCATGGGGCTACCCAAGTCACCACACTTCACCTAGTCGCAGAGGGTCCAAAAACTGTCAGATCGAGACGACGCCGGGCTCTTTCTCCGTGGTGTAATGGTGGGGAATAGTGTCGTTCCTCGCCAGCGACGGCATATCGTTAATCTGCTTTGGAGATCACAAGCACGCGTTAGCGGTGTGACAGAGGAAATTGCGCAAATAACTATGCAAAAGAGAACAAAACTCACGCTCATCCGCATCGACTTTTCGTTCATGGCCTCCATATCCGGGTCAGAGTCCGTCGCGAATTCCTTCGTCGTATCGATCTTGATAGAGATGTTGGTAGCGTGATGCCTCTAAAGCGAGAATACAAATTCGTTAGGGCTAGCAGGAGGCCACAGAAAGAGCTGAAACCCACACTTGGACTAACGAACGAGGGACTAACGCGGGACGCTCCACCTCCATACTTGTGCAACGAGATATTTTCGCTGGTGGTATGAATTCCATCTGCAGAGCCTCGAATCATTTTGCGGGCGTTGAGCGTCGCGAGGAGGGAGTTAGTATACACTGGAAAACCGTCAGATTCAGAGGCCTTTAGGCGGACGGATAAGGTAGAGAAGGAGCAACATACGTCGACCAATGCAGAAGAAGAAGGCGATGTATAGGAAGGTGTGCCCGGCTACTGTGATCTAGAAGCAGAACCTCGATCAGCAAGGAAGGTATCAGGCGTAGTAGGGCAAACGTACGGAGATCAACGAAGCGACTGCACAAAGGCTAACGATGGGGAGATATGGTTAGCAAAGATAGGGACGGGTGAACAACTAGCCCAGCTAACCTCGTCAAGAACCCGGTGTTCACAGAGAAGAGGATCTAAAGAAGTAGAACGAGGACGAAGATCGACGACGTTCTTCGTATCAGCAGCAAGAAAAGCACTTACTAGCTTATTGATCATAGTATCAGATCTGCGATTGGCATATCATCAATAAGCCTATCGTCGCTAATGAGAAAGAATCTAATACTCGCCTTTGAAAGCCGGTTCGCGAACGATGGAGGATAGTGCAGAGTGATGCGGTGATCAAGACATCTCCAGCTGCAGCAAGGGCGTTTACGGTAATCGAAAGTGCCTTGTGGGACGGAAAATAGGACTGAGAACGGGGCGTCCGGCCAGAAGGTATATGATGTGGCCCTTACCTCGAGGTTGGCCAGTTTGGTGAAGGTTTCCAGGCGCATGCTATCGATTAATGAGCCAAAGTCCTTGACGTATGTATGGACAACGTACGACACAGCGGTGAAGACTTGATAGCGTCCATTCGAGTTTCAATCTATGAAAGCTAATGAAGTCCAGATGACTGACCTAGGACGCATACTAAGACGACGTTAGGGACAGGTGTAACGTTAGGAAGTGGTCGATCGACTTACCAAATTCGGCGACGACCAATAAAGACTTCAAAGACCTGTTAATCATGGAGGGCGTGATCTGAGGTTGCTCGCGAGACGCACCACGAGCCCGGTGAGAAGATAGTTCCGACTGCTCACTAGAGTAGCATCGTAAGCAAGTAGAGCAAGATGAAACGACGTGGTCACTTGCTCTTCCACACGCGCATAGTCAAAAAGCTACAGTCCACAATCAGCCTTCTTTGTATAGCGTGCGTCGCGGTAAAGGGGTGTACCTCTGGACAAGAAGCGCAGTCAAACCCTACGCGAGACGCTATCAACCGCGGAACTGGATTGATCATGCCTGTAGAGACTTACATTGAACAGAACCTCAACCTTACACCCGAAAATCATTAACGATGTTCATACAATGGCAGTCAGAGCACCCACTCACCAAGAGGCTCCTGATTCCCGGGGTCAGTCAAACTCTTAGTGCCGCAACGCCAGACCAGGGGGAAGAGAAAGCTTACCAGACAAGGTTGTCCAACATCCTCGGATTTCCCCAATCCGTGACCACGTAGGTATATACTGAAGGCAGCCTAAGTCAGGACTTTTCGATCGAGGCCAGGGGGAATTCGGAGTACCAGTGTGGGTAATCAAAGCTTGGTGAACGGTGTCGAAAAACATGACAGACCCTACCTAAGATATACACGGAGCCTCGGTCAGCACACGCGTCCGAGGAGTGGCCTAGAAACTTACGAGGAGTTTGGTGGGCCATCGGTCCGTTTGGTGAGTAAAGTAGTACAGCGTTTGTACACATGAGACTGGAGGAGCGCTGAGACGACTCAGGTGGTCGAAGAATCCACGAAACCCATACCGCCATGCAGTCTAAATCGGCTAGGGTAAATGTCTGGAGCTGAACAAAAAGAACAAAGACACTCACGTTGCTGCGACTACCATTCCAACAAAGGCTGCTCCAAGACTTCGGAAAAAGTCAGCTCAAAACCTAGACTGGAAAAAAGGACCTCACATACGTGTTATCGAGAACGAATGGACGCGCGGTCGACTCCATAGCGCCAATCGAGCCAAGCTTCAGAACCGAAAGAGAGAACGACAGAGGGTCGGGAGAAAGGGAGAAACTTTGATGCTATAAAGAACGACTGGAGGGATATATAAAGGGCCCCGAGCGATGGAGTTACGAGAAAAAGAGAGGAAAAAAGAAATAGGCTAGGACACGGGACGCGATGTCATCGCCGTAGGGATGAACTCAGAAGCTGAAGCGCTCGGTATAGAAAGCTTAAAGAGCATCTGAGGCCCCGGTGCTGGGGAGACCCTGCACGCCACTCGGTCGTCACGGACAGTGATAAATTCAGGATCCGCAAGCTGTCGAACTGTAATCGAAGGGAAGACCATGGTTCCTTCTGATCCAGTCCACTTCGTATTGGATCTGGTACAATTTTGAAGTCCACAGATGTCCTCTTACATGGTCCATAATCTGAGCTTTGGCGTTCCAAAATGGTCAGAAATAGTCGGGAGACGGTTCCGATTGCCCTGGAGTGTCTTTTGAAATAAACTTGCAGCCACTCTTCGAGAAAAAGAATTGAATACATAATCAGTATATGAACGGTAGCGCGTTGAGGTAAAGCTAGATCTTTGCTTCCAGAAAGGGCAGAACTCCGCCGGCGTATCGTCGCATCTCGTCCAGAAAGGCAAGAACAGGTTGTGGTCCAAGAAGGGTTCGAACTTCGCGCTTGGGAACCGAGATCTTTGCCGCGGAGTCACGTGGGCTCAGATCAGCCTTCGCACGTGTTGCTCGGGACGCGAGCGCCGAGCTTGAAGTTGCTCTCTGAGAGTCAAAACCCTCCCATGTTCGACTGAACCTTCCGTTAAAACTTTGTCTGTTAAAAATGACAGTAAGCCTCAGAGACATCAGCAAATTTTCTCCGGGCAACCGAATTTGAGAAGACCAGAAGGCAGCCTCTTTGGACTTCTCGTGGGCGGAATACACATGCCCGACGACCACGAACAACACCAAGAACCGCGTTTCTCTGGGTAGACATAGACACACATACGCTCTCTAGCCGTTGCGCAAAGGCGGCACCCGCGTGTGTCGTCCAGTGGCAATTTAGATTGGAGACTTGTCATTTGAGGTTTTCTTCCGTAAGTGTTCAACAGAACATTCTTTTCGCTCGCTCAGACGCTCACTTACGAGGCTCCGCTCCCCATTCAGATTAAATTCATTGGATTAATCACCGCTACATTTCTATTTCTCAATGTAGATTTCGTGCCTGGTGAGGGCGCGCGATTTGGGCTTGAGAATTGAAGTTAAGCTCATGGAACATTCATATGTATGTCCAGTTCATCTATTGGCGACAGGGGGAACAATTTTCGATTTTGACCCCATCACCTTCAGTAAATGAATACGCCTTCCCTTGGCTCAACTTGATGGTTTTCTTAAGCACCATTGCTTCAGGGTTCTAACTGTGTGCAGCCCAAAGGCAAGGCCATCGAGCACCGTGACAGGGACCATTCTATTTTTAGCACAGGTCTTCCCTTCGACGGAGCCCTATATACATCCGATCTCCGCGATAACCATAAATGATTGCCATAAATACTTGTTCATTTCAGGAATACGTTCTCAACCAGCGCCAGCCCTGCACTCGATGACCGATCGCATTCAAACCGCCTCCATGCCTGACCTGAGATCCGTCTCTGAATCGCTGTCGGAATTAAACTCGCACTCTACAGAATCCATCCTCGAGCTCATGAGATGATGGGGACATGTTGAATCCATGTGCTTCCTGTCAATGGTGATAAGCGTCCGTATGCTCAGGCTTCCTTTCGAATTCCGAGAAACCCTTATGTCCTCTAGGTGCTCATTGAATCCTGATAGATACACCATCCCTACTCCCCCTGATCATATCGATTCTCCAACCTCGTCCAATAAGGGAAAGAAAGAGCACCCTTTTCTCGGACTGTAGCTACATACGTTTGCTTCCCCACTGGTGGGCAAGTTCGCGGACCTCCTTCCCAGGTCGCATCACGTGTGGGGTAACATCATAACATTCGCTTGCTACTTCCGACGATCCGGTATGTCGTTGATATACGATACCATATGCACCAGATCTTTACCATTGACTCATCTCATTTCCCAACATTCCAATAGATAAACCCTCACCCATCCATTCATTCGACAACCCAGACGGGAACGAAACCCCAATGTCCTCCTTCATCGATCTCAAAGACCTCTACAGCCAGCCACCCCCTCCATTCGGGAAACCCCTGCTCAAATACTTCGCACTCGATCCCGAGTACGCTAACCTGAACAACGGTACGGTCGTTCCACCCCCTATTCACGCTTTCCATTCACTAATATTGTGAAATGGAAACAAAGGCTCGTATGGTACCCCTCCCAAACCCGTGCTGCAGGCTGCTCTGGAGTGGTCGCACAAGGTGGAGGCCAACCCGGATCTCTTCCATCGTATCACCTACATGCCCGTCCTGGCGGAGAACCGTAAACTCCTCGCAGAGATGATTGGCGCCCACCCCGATGAAGTCGTGTTGGTCAACAATGCGACGACGGGTATCAATACCGTTTTGAGGAACTTTGACTGGGAGGCTGGAGACCTTCTCATCGACTGTGGGTGTGTTCAAGCGATCCACAGCCGGGCGGTCTACTAACTGAGGAACAACAGTCACCACGTCGTACCACTCGACCAACACGACGGTTACTTACATCTCGGAGATCCCTCCCCACCCCAAACGCCTCTCCTTCAAGCTCAACTACCCCATCACGCACGCCGAAATCATCGCCCAGTTCAGAGGGTTCCTCCAGTCTCCAGAAACCCAGGTGGGCAAGAACAACAAGAGACTCGTCGTCATCGACAGTATCGTCGCGAACCCAGGTCTCCTTCTTCCCTGGCAAGAGCTCGTCAAGATCGCAAAGGAGGAAGGTCTATGGACCGTCATCGACGCAGCTCATTCAATCGGGCAAGAACCCAACATCAACCTGGGCGAAAGCCAGGCTGATTTCTGGGTTTCCGTGAGTGTTCTCCGATTACACTTGAACCCACTCACTGCCTTGTCTGACTTGGTGCCCTTTGCAGAACTGCCACAAGTGGCTCCTCGCCAAACGGTCTTGTGCAGCGTTGTACATCCCATTCCGCAACCAACATATCATCAAGACTACTTTGCCCACATCCAACTTTTATGTTCCCCTAGCGAAGAGGAACGGTGATCCCCAACATGATATCCTTACCCAGTTTGAATGTACGTCCGAAACACCTATTTTTGCACTTGGTTAACTGACGGATAATGTGTAGGGACAGGAACGCAGGACCTGGTACCCTTCCTCGTAGTCAAAGACGGTTCGTCACTCCATCCGTTCCTCTCACCCATCTAACAGGTTCCACAATCAACCAGCCCTCGAATTCCGCAAATGGATCGGTGGAGAAGAGAAAATTCACGAATACTGCCACGACCTCGCCATCAAGGGAGGAAAGTACCTCGCCGAGCTATGGGGCACACAACTCCTCGATCCCGACGGAACATCAACCGTGCACATGGTCAACGTCGAGCTCCCCATTCCACCAGAAACCAAAGTGACTCGTCCGATGGCCAAATACATTGAATCGCGATTGTTAGAGAAAGAGAAGGCCTACTCGGCTTGGTACTTCCATAATGGAAAGTGGTGGACGAGGTGTAGCGCACAAGTCTGGAACGACGTACGTCCTCCTACTCGTTCTCTTTGAACTTGCTGACGGGTCTTTCAGCTCTCGGATTTTGAGCACCTAGGTAGAGCCTGGTTGAACGTGGCCAAAGGTTTGAAGGAAGAATTCGGACAGAAGGATTAATAAATAACTCCAAAAGCGACTGATTCCTGGGTGTATTTCTAACAATGTACTATTACATTTGGTTATCTTCATACCACTTCCCTTCATGTTCAAGCCTCCACCAATGCTCGATAGAGGGTAAGTCCGTCTTCGCCAGTCGCAGAGAAAGCCACAGGTGTTGCCGCACCGATGAAAACGACATCGCCATGGGACACCTCCAAAGATTTCTGATCACCCTTGTCCTCGCTCCACTCAAACTTCCCTCCTCCGCTCGTGACAATCGCGATACTTGGTCCATCCACAGCCCTCTGTTTCTCTTCATCGCCCTTCTTCAACTCCACCTTGACCACTGAGAATTCTTCGATAGGAGGATCGTACAACACGCTCGCCTTGTCCTTCTCGAAAGTCGCCGGTTGGATCTCATGCCTGCTGACCTCGCCACATTCATACGTGAGGCCCGCAACGAGATTGGGTACGTCTCTGAGCTTGGGGGTAAGACCAGCACGAATAACGTTGTCCGAGTTGGCCATGCACTCGAGCGCCTCCCCATAGACGTACGCATGCGGCTCTCCTGCTCCCAAGAAGATCGCTTGTCCGGGTTTGAGGTAAAGATGGTTGAGGATGTACGGGCAGAGAATGCCGATGTCGTCTGGGAACTGCTGGCTCAGTCGGAGGACGAGGGAGCGAAGTGTGGCGGGTGTAGGCGACGAATCGGGCGAACTGTTGTAGCGGGAGACGATAGTTTGGATGGCCGGTACGAACTTCTCGGCGGGTGTGGTCATCAAGGAGGAGAAGAGGTCCTTGAGGATCGCTTTGCTTTCGTCGGAGTGGGGCTTTGAGGAGACGGCGTAGAAAGATTCGAGGGTGGATGGTGGGATGAGGGCGGCGAGTTCGGGGGTCTCCTTGAGGTTGCGAGCGATGTCGGGGAGTGGTCTGAATCCACACATGGCCTCGAAGTCGGTCAACGCCAGCGTCATTTCGGGTTTATGGTTTGGATCTGGGATATAGATTTGTTATTGCTGGGAATGGATTCCTATAGGAGAGAGCGTACCTTTGTAGATCTGAGGGGACTGTTCATGAAGTTTCTTCGCTGTTTCTTTGTCGGGATGAGACTGGATGCTCAGAGCCTTCGCGATCGACAAGATCTTGAACAAGAAGGGCAGGTTCCCTCGACCCGCATCCTCGAACTTGGAGGTGATAGGCAAGCCTACGAGGTGTTGGTTCCGGGCGAGGTAGTCAGATAGGACTTCCCCGGTCTCTTTGACCTTCGAAGGGGAGGAAGGATGGGTTCCCATCCACAACTGCAGACATGAACAAGATTAGCCAAATTCTCAACATCGCCGTGGCAAAACCACTTAGGAGGTAAGAAAGGTACTCACCTCTGCATAAGGTTTATCCTTCTCTACCTCGAATCCAGGAATCTTGGACGCTGCGGCGAGCTGGGCGACTTTGGCATCATTACCCCGCTTGCCCCAGTCGTACTGCTGGATGGTGGGGATTATCTTGAATACATGAGCGTCGCTGGGCATCACGGTTGCTTGTAAGGCGAGGTGAAGGTTAAGTGAGAGTCAGGTGGATGTGGTTCAAAGTCAAGAGGCTCCATTTCTAATGGAGTGTTGTGAAGAATCTGATATGTATAACCTTGTTGGCCTACTTCACGTTCGTGACGGGGATGAATGGGCCGTCGTGTCGCCGTCATTTGTTTGTGGGAACATCATTTGTGACATTTTATCCGGAAGATTAGATAAGATCAGATAACTCCGATAGACGCCCGTCTTATCGACTCCAGGTTTGTTGAGGAAAATTTAAATGGGCGGTAGCAGGAGGTGAAGGCGAGCAAGTTGTGAGCTTCGAGAGAGGTTCATAGCGGAGGCGACTCGTATCAATGACTGTGGGCGTGAGCGCGAAAATTCCAGCGCTTATGGGTGTTGTCGGATCCGAAAGAGTCGTCTCATCCATTGGGCGCGAGGAAAAATACGATGTGGATGTGAGCCACCTCGAAGCTTGGCTGTTTCTTGACCAATACATTGGCTCGAGAAGAAGAAGGATTGAATTGATTTAATTGAATAGTCCCTGTCATCGGTTGAGCGTCAGAGCGGATCTCCGAAATCCCAGGGAAGGTTGGGTGGGTACGTTGCTCTTCTCTCGCGACCGGAAGAATTCTGGCTCTGGAACCTCTACATAGTGAGGGCTGTGACAAATTAAACGCGCCTTCGAGCCAGACTTCAGCCCTCCAAATGCATTACGATTTTCTTCAAGGCGATTATTAAGACTTGAGCTCACCGAAATACTTCTGTGGGGATGTAATATCATGTAGTATCTTGAATAACATCTTCGATCCGTTATTAGCCCTTCCAAATAGGCCAATCCCGGCGTGATTCAGAGTTCGCAGTCATGTCTAAACGGCATCGATTATGATAGGGGTTGGACGTTGAACGTTGATCACGCGGCCACGTGAGCCTGTGGCTGCATTTCGACGGGCGAATCAGTCCTCGGAAGCATCTTGTAACCTGACCACGAACATCGTGTGCTCGAGACTCAGCCTCTTTTTTTCTATTCCACCAGGGTATCTCTGTCAAAGCGAAACCCTGGTGCCTGAAGCAGGTCTACTCGAAATCGCCAGTTAACGGGGCCTACCTTGGGCTTGTTTCGAACTTCGAAGGATCCTAAACATTCTGGCTTGGATAAAAGCTTCGCCTGCACCTTCGAAGGCGGACGCGAAGGCCTTCACAGAGTCGGATAAAGGAACCATGTACAAGATGCAACTTCTGGAGATTTCGTTCAAGCCTAGGGATATCCGTGGTCGTGGAACAGCGTGCTGGGACGTCGAGGGGATGGCTGAGGAAGAGTTGCTGATCAAGGACAGTTGGATCTCACAGGGGCGCACACCAGAGTATAGTTACTTCGAAGGCGCTGCGAGCATGCCTGGCCTCGCCGATCCTATGGACCGTGACGGCGAGGTTACGAGCACTGCCGCCTTTCACCACGACGGGCAGCAGAAGCCAAAAGGCTTCCGTCGTACCAAGCACAGACTCGTCTTTACGCGGCATGGGCTTCTGATCTGCAAGTTCAATACGTGCTTGGAGTTTCTCTGGGCACTCATCGACGCCATTGACAGTATGTCTGTCGGTTTTACGCATTCTTCATCTGGTGCTGATATGATGCGTTCCAGCTCATGAGAAGCTCGTCGAACAGGGCGTCTTGCATCGGGATGTCAGCATTGCCAATATTCTCATCATCAAAATCCCGACAATCCCGTGGCATAGTATCTTAATCGATCTTGACTTGATGAAGCCATCGCGCGTAGATGAAGTGGATTCCGCTTTTGGGGCTGTATGTTTCGCGCATTCTTCATTCCTGTGAATGTATGATCTGATAAATCCTTTTCAGGGGACTCGCGAATCTCAATCACTGAACGTCCTTGTCCGTTGCACAGATCCCCGGATGAGTCTCCCTTATTCGTACCTGGACGACCTGGAATCGTTCTTCTGGGTCTTCTGTATCGTCTCCATCGGATACAAGAGCAACGGCAAAGCCGAACCCAGACCACCTTGGATTAAAAGGTGGAGGCACGCAGACATGCATCGTGCATCTGTCGCAAAGAGCGTTTTTTTCAGGTTTCAACCAGAAATTAGAGACATCGAATTCCCAGTGAGTCATTCCTGGGGAAAACATATCCAGCAGCTGTTCTGGGATTTATATGACTTCTTCGGAGATATGTGCCGCCACCCTGCTAGGATTGCCGTTGGGGTCTCGAAAATAACCGCGGAAGAGCTCTTCAATAAACGCGTGGAACATTATGCGACTGTCCGCGGTTACATCAAGAAAGCTATCGACGCCATCGAGGCAGAAACCTCTCCAGAGAAGCGGGAATCTGAGCACCTGCCACCGGAGGAGTCTGCGCCAGCTGGACGCAGAGAGGCGAGCCCACCCTCCACGTCGACTACCGTCACTAATCAGGATTCTCCCTCGGGTTAATGCGATCGACATTCGTAACCGGTCCCGCACCGATTCTGGCATTGATCCTGTTCGGTATATCCCGCGCTTCACGCTTCCACACTCATAGGCCCTCGACTCTCTCTTGTTATCGACAGTCTCTCTGTATGTCCGGCCTTGATGTCATTCGTCTTGGGCTCAGACTATCTATATACGAGCGCACGAATTCCATAGCTGTCTGTCTTTCGATTGGTACCCTTTGTCGATCCCTTTGTCTTGACTCTTTATACTCTCGAGAGAATTCAAACGCAACGGAAAACATTTTCTGTGTATAGGTTCTACATAGTTGTCAGAACCAGACAGTTAAGCGACTAATCTAACGCGAGGCTCCGACAGTCCGTCCAGCGCAATAGGGGCCCAATATCCGAATCGGGCTGATAGTTAAGCATCACGTGAGTCACACGAGCACGTGCACCCACCGCTTTGGGCGCCTCTTGTCATTGATTCTCGATTCTTGGACCCTGACCACGACCACTGTAACCTCACCTAGTGCTATAAACGACTGGCTTCAGGAAACAGTAAGTCCCCAGACTCTTCCCTGCCTACACAACTCCAAGGGCAGGTGTACTGTCGACGTCACTTGGAGACGGATGCAAAGTGCGAAGCCTCTGTTCAAGGGTTGGGACCCCCGTGGCTACGGAATAACGTGCTGGAACATCGAGGGGACGGTGGACGGCAGCATGGAAGAGTTGCTGATCAAGGACAGTTGGATCTCAGAGGGGTGGACACCGGAGTATGGTTGCTTCGAAGATGCCGCTGGCACACCTGGCATTGCCGCGCTGGTGGACTGGGAGGACTGTGTCCAACTTCGCCATGAAGGGAGCCAGAAGCCAAAATCCATCTGGAATCGTACCAAGCGCAGACTCGTCTCTAGTCGGTATGGGTCTCCGGTCTGCAACTTCAAGACGGACTTGGAGTTCCTCTGTGTAGTCTCTGATGCCATTGACAGTATGTATGTCGGTTTTAAGAATTCTTCATCTGGGACTGATATGATGCGTTTCAGCTCATGAGGAACTCGTCGAGCAAGACATCTTGCATTGGGATATCAGCACTGCCAATATTCTCGTCATCAGGAGCCCGACAATTCCGTGGCATAGCATCTTAATCGACCTTGACTTGGCCGTAATGCCACCCTCTGTGGAAAGAGCGCCTGTTAATTGTAGAACAGTAAGTTATCTATTTGTTGTTTCTCTGATGACCAACTGCTGACAGATTTTGTACAGGGAACTCGCGAATCTCAATCCATAAATGTCCTGGATCGTTCAAGGATGGGTGTGCCGACACTCCCTCATTCCTACCTGGACGACTTGGAATCGTTCTTCTGGGTCTTCTGCATAATCGTCACTGGGTACGACTGCAACGGAAAGCGGGTAGAACCTCCTCCTGAGTGTATCCAAGGCTGGAGGAACGCAGATAAGCATGCTGCTAACGCCAAAATGGCCTTTCTCTTTGCACCCCCCTTAGCTCCCGTCGATCTCACCTGGGGAAAGCAGGTTCAGCGGCTGTTCTGGGATCTCCGCAGGTTCTTCATGGATATGACTTTACTCGTTTCTGATGTTGCCGCTGGGCGATCGGAAATGACGATGGAGGAACTCTTCAGCAAGCGCGTCGAACATTATAAAACTGTTCGCGGCCACATCAAGAAAGCTATCGACGCTATCAAAGCAGAAGAGAAAAACGACCATCCGAACATTTTACATCGGGGGAGTCAGAGCCCAAGCGTCGTCGCTCTGAGCGCTAGTGGGGCAGGGAGGAGGACACCGCGGTGTGACCAATTCGAAGGGCGGGGTCACCGGGGTGCATGCTCAGGGAAGGGATACGCACTCCTGCACGCAGCTTCCAGCGTCGGTCGAACATGATCGTAAAGAAGTCATGTTGCTTGCGCATGGCTAGGTCCTGGAGCAAGATTGCTGTGCAGCGGGAAAGTCGTGTTCATTTCTACTTTGTGTCGAGTAACCAATTACACTGCATTCCCGGTGTTTCACACAAGCTTCTCGGAGCGCATGAAATTTATGGATGCTCAACTCACTTGGCTGTCAGGAGCTGTTCTCCTACCTGAAAGCTGTTGATTGACACGGGATTGGTCGGCCAAAGGGAAAGAAGGGTCTTCATGGACGCCGACCGCGCGACTGGGGTTAGGGGAGAATATTGTTCGGTGTTTGAATCAATGCTTCTCTCGATCTGAGCAATGCACAAGGTGCTGCGCCAATACATATGTCCGAGTTTCAAGGGTGACGATCGTACCGTGAGGCGAAATAGGAGACGAACTTCCAATTCGAGCTTGAGGTGGGTCACGCGACCACGTGGACAGTGCGCGACATGATGTCAGTGACTCTGAGCGGTGCGGCTGTTGAACGTTGAACGTTGAACCCTGACCACGACCACGACCACGACCACGACCACGACCAGTGTGCGTTGAGATTGGGTGTTTGGGTTATAAGAGCCATTCTTTAGGAAAATGTAAGTCTCCAACTCAAACCCGTTCACGACAATGCCCAACCGAATGTCCACCCCAGAACCTGGTTTCTCTGCCCGGAAACAAACTCGAACCGAAGGTAGGAATATCACTCTAGATTTTCGTTCATTACTGAACTGGTCACAGAGCCTCGTACGCCGCCGCGCTCCGTACCAACAGTTCAGGCCACGGCCACGACTGTCTCGGTTACTCCCTTCAAATCCAAGTCGTCTCGCAGTATTGCCCTAGTAAAGATGACCGTGGACGAACAGAAGGAGATTATTCGAATTGAGCTCGAAGGAAACAGAGTCGAAGCAGAGTTCGATTTCTGGAGCCAAGTCTACTCGGACGAGTCGGTTTCAGACGAAGCGACTGTCGAGAACTATCTCCAAACAACCGCACTGTACTGCTGTACTTCCAAGCGGTGGACTGGGATTCCCGCAAACGTGGCCGAGGAGATAAAGCTCTACCCACCAGGCACGGCAATCTTTCAGGATATTATCCAGCACTTCGGCCATGGTGAGCGCCGCCAGGTTTGGAACATGTATCATTTCAGGTCGAAGAAAAAGGCCAAGGACGATGACAACTATGTTGAGCTGAGCAAGACCAAGACCGCGATGTGCCATTGCGAGCCCCATGGAGCCGCTGCCTGTACCACACCCGACTTCGTTATCACCGGAAGCGACCAGTACACTCCCCGCCTCACGCACGATGTAGAATGCCCCTTGTACGACGACACGCGGTGGCTGGCCGACGGGAAGCTGGACAAAAATATGTCAAGCGACCTGGGCGCAATGACCACTCAGTTTGGCGTTTATGCAAGGTACGAATATTACCTATGGATCCTTACGTTGACACTGGCGCTGATATCTCCCTGTCAGGCAAATCTTTAACGTTCAACCAAACCGAACCTTTGTCCGGATCTTGGCGTTCAGCGAGAAGCACATCCGACTGTTCCATTTCGACCGGAGCGGCGTGAAGTACACCCCTCTGCTCGACTATCACAAGAACCCAGTAGCCTTTGTCCGCACCGTCCTCAGCCTTCTTTCCGAACATTCCAACCACTCCGGGTTCGATCCAAGCATCACCTACAGCATCGAGGGTGATGGGGACGGCAAGCACAAAGTGGGGTATATCAAGCTCAACAAAACCAAGTACAAGATGCGACAGCTGGCACCGTCGTTCAAGACTTGGGACCTCAGTGGCCGTGGTACCACCTGCTGGATTGTCGTGGGGAAAGTCGACGGCAAGATGGAAGTGCTGCTGATCAAGGACAGCTGGATTTCGGTGGGGAGGCAGCCGGAGTATCGCTATCTCGAAGATGCCGCTGCCGTCCCTGGCATCGCCAAGCTTGTGGAATGGGAAGATTCTGTCGAAACGGCTGCTTTACGCCATGAGCAAGAAGGGGCGATGCCCAACAATTTCCACAATCGAGTCAAACGAAAGATCGTTCAACTGTACTACGGACCCCAAATCACCCGGTTTCTTACTCGCTTGGAACCCTTGAAAGCGCTTCACGATACCGTTGGAAGTACGTTTTATTTTGAAGCACATCATGTTTATCAAATCGCTAATTCAGCTCGCCCTCCAGCGCATGAAAGCCTCGAAGACCACGACATCTTGCATCGGGATATCAGCACTAGCAACATCCTCCTCAATAGGAACCCAAGTTGCGATCGAGATGGCGTTATAATCGACCTCGACATGGCTATAAGGCCATCATCTGTGAAGGGGGCGTCCGCCGATTGTAGAACTGTAAGTCCCCTGGTGTTTTTTTATTATTCTTATTTTTTATTTTATTTTTTATTTTTTTATTATTCTTTTTCTATTATTATTATTTTCATGCATCCGACGTCGCGATCCTGATAAGCTGCTTGCAGGGAACTCCCGAAACACAGTCCATAAATATACTGGATAGTTCAAGGATGGGTGTGCCGACGCTCCGTCACTCCTACCTGGACGACTTGGAATCTTTTTTCTGGGTCTTCTGCATAATTGTCACTGGCTACGACAGCAAGGGAAAGCGGGCCGAACCTACTCCTGCGTGTATCCAAGGCTGGAGGAACGCAGATCCTGAGCATGCTGCTAACGCCAAAAGGGCCTTTCTCTTTGCACCCCCCTTAGCTCCCGTCGATCCCACCTGGGGAAAACACGTTCAGCGGCTGTTCTGGGATCTCCGCAGGTTCTTCATGGGTATGACCTCACTCGTTTCTGATATTGCCGCTGGGCGATCGGAAATGACGATGGAGGAGCTCTTCAGCAAGCGCGTCGAACATTATAGGACTGTCCGCGGCTACATCAAGAAAGCTATCGACGCCATCGAAGCGGAAACCCCTCCGGAAAAGCGACCAGCTCAAGACGTCTCACTGGAGGAACCTGAGCCCAAGCGTCGTCGCTCTGAGCGTCAGCGCTCCAAGCAGGCGGCAGCAGGGGCCCAGGCCGGTACCTCCACACCGACGACCGCCGCTGATTCTCCTTAGAGCTAATGTCACCAACATTGACATTAGGTCTCCCACCGGCGACCCTGTTCGCTACATCCAGTGCTTCCCGGGATATCGCTTTCCCCCGTTGCATGGCTTCGTTAACCCCCCACATCTAGTTTTATACCCTTTACTCGCTGTCTATCTATACCGTTTGTATTTATACCCCATTTAAATTATACCTGCTTTACCATCGTCCTGTCTCTTGCCACTTCTCATCGTCTCGACTCTCGATCAGTTTTCCACCGTAATGACTGTGATTGCTGAGGGATGGGACTCAGGGTGTAAGCCAAATGAGTCCAACGTTAAGCCTGAGCGGGATCAAGCTGTGCCTCTTCAGGGAAATGAATTCGAATTCTTTCACAGGTCTTCCGAGGATAGTCGAACAGGATAGCAAGGTATTAATCCCGCATAACACCCGGATATATGATTGATCAGGCCTCTTCCATGCCATCCTCTTCTGCCCCTTCTTCGATTTGCTGAGCGCCCGCCCACCATGCAACAGGGCCCAACCCCTGCTCTGCGATGGAACAGGTAATGGTATACGGAGGTCTCGAAGTCACCCTCTCTTGAACCACGCCCTCGACAACCTTCACAGGCCCCGGTTCATCGTCGAAGAACTCATCCTGCTCCACGCGGACACGGACGACCTCGTTCTGGTCGATGTACATTCGTTCGGACGTCGGTGTGTTGAGCAGGTCATTGGAATCGGTGAGGGGAGAGTCGGGGAGCCAGAAGTATGCACGTTCGTGGCGGTCGCTTTGAAACGGGTTAGTCCTTGGTCAGACCCGAACAGAAGGGTTCGCGTACAAAACGGATGGTTGGGGGAGGTAGATGGCAGGGATATATATGTCGTCGAAGAAACCCATTGTCACTGGAAACAGCGGTCAGCGCGGTTCAACAGGTAATCCTGGAACAGTTCATACATCGGATCCCGCGCTCGTCAGAGCTTTTCACTTTCGCTACGACCACCTCTGACACAAACGGTCGAAAAACTGTCATTCTAAACGTGACTGGGTTGCGATATCAGTCTTGTGATCTCGTTCATGGGTCCCGAAACGCACCTTTGTACCACAAAAACCCATCTCCATATCGAACACGTCCGTCTCCGACTTCAGTGAGGTCGAAAACGCAGATACACAGGCCGACATCGTGCAGGACGCGGTTGGCGTACTTTTTGTTTAGTTCGGCTGTGATCGCTTCTTCGGGTGGGATCCCAAAGTGTTGCGGGTGGATGGGAACAGTGTCCTTGATTACAGCGAGGCTGAACATTGGATTTATCTTCTGGATTTGAGGAACTATAAGCCAGGCTTTGTCTGGGAGAAGAGACTGACACTGACTGGGTGCTTAAACCGAAATTTGGAGGATTTCGGCGACCTATAGTGTGCTACAGGACCGTTTCATATTCCTAGTAGATATATCAGATATTTAGTTTCATTTTCCTGGATTTAGCTTACCTTTTGGCCTTTTTGGGCCTTGTAAGGTCGTTTGGAATTGGTGGAAGAAAGACAAGAAGCGGCCGCGCATCAACTTGAAGGAGGCTGTTATCGAAAACAGTTCGAATGAGCGCATCAATCCGGGCCGGAAAAGATAGGGGTGATTTCCCTTCCCGTTCATGGAGATGGGGAGTCGTGATTCAGCCCTGAGGATTCTGTGAAGAAAGTTGCGAGCAGGGTCTTGTTCAGGCATAATATTCCGCGTGAGTCAGAGAGACCAATATCTCGGAAGGTAAGTTCAACAAGTCAAGTTGCCAGTCGCTAATATGGCCTGAAAGTCTGGGGGTATACTAGATTAGGATTAAATAAAGCATGGCTCGCAGTAGGCACAGATAAAAGGGCCATAGTATACACTTCAGTACCACTGTACTGTCCTCTCTGTTTCCACCAGAATGGCTACTCCAGTATTACCTCCGAGTTTGCGGAAGTCCATCGCGCTACGGGATTGCTCGATCGCTCCGGGCTCCATTTCTTCGATGGCTTTGCGAAGATTAAGCACGAGGTGTGATCCCTGGTAAGTAGCCTCGATTATTTCAGTGATTCTTTCGGAGACAACAGAGGGACATACGGTGTAAGAGAAGGCTACGTAGACCCATCTGGTTCTCGCATGTCAATTTCAGTCGCTCTGATATCCAGCACGGCGGATCACTCACGGGACGACGGCGAGGGAGTACATGCCCTCCTTGTACATGCTGAACACTGCGGATACCACAATTGACACTGTTCCGAAGAAGGATTAGTATTAGTTGTTCGAGATTTACCGTTCCACGTACGAGTTGTTCTATTGGAGAAGGCGTGGTGAGAGGTCTGGACAAGTGAAAGGGCGTCGAATGCACGTACACAAAGTAGAAGTAAGCGCCGTCTCTGAAAAATATAGTCAAAGCTGGAGACGCTTTATGGCTCCATCCCAACCCAGTAAACATCCATCTGCCGGCAGACTCCTGCAATGATAGATGGAACTTCCACATCGTCGCCGCGAAGAAGAAAACTGTATGATATATCCGAGTCGGGCTTGGCTTCAGATGAGGTAGGAATTCGACGATGTGTGCCACTTACACGATCCTAGCAAAGCAGGAACCCTGAAAGATCGTCAGTTTTTGAGCTTTGGTATTAGAGTCGCGGGTAGTCACCATGTGATAAGTACTCCGGCCCTCACTTCGTCGTGCTTGGGCTGCGTGGCGCACCCTGTCCATTGAGGAAGCATTAGGCTTGGTACGAAGGAGTTCGCCGACGTCACATTGGCCGTCCGCCAAGACCCATAAATCTCTATCTGTTATGAGGTTGGTCGTAAAAGTGCACAGGCTGTACGCTTCGAGGGAGACGTACCCCAAGCTCAACTTAAACACATATAGTGAGCGGGACGTTCGACGATGGAAACCATAGTAGTACCCACTTGTACAAGTGATGACGAAGAAGGCCAGAACTGTCGACAGGTGAGCACCCCAGTCCATACTCCGTGTAAGGGCAGGTCCGTACCCTTTTTGCTTCGATTGTACAACGCAAACGTTCGGAAGGTGAATATGATGTTGACGGCGGTGATATACAGAATCGTGCAGCCGCTGCAAACCGAAGTGACACGGCCCTGAGTGGTCTAGATGGATATGAAGGGAGGGGAAACTCACCAGACAAGGAAGATATGATAACCTTTACAACTGCGTGGATCGAAGTCATTCACTCGAATCACGATACTAGAGGGGAGAGGAGAGCACTTACAACTATTGCCGTTCAGACAGTTGAGCGCTAGTTTCGGAGATGAAGGGTTGCGCGACTCACCTCGAGTGTCTGGACTTGTCTCTCCACTATCCCCTTGTCAACTACTACAGATAACCAGATTCCAATCGGACTCACTAGCGAAGGTAATTCTGTTGCAACGATAGTCAGCGCCAATGGTTATTCGAGGCAAGTCCTCGGGGCTATGCACTTACACCAGGAACAGCAGTCCATAATACCGTGTCACGATATATATCACTTTTATCGGTGTCCACCGCGCCCTACAGCCCACCGTCAGAAATCACAATTCCTCCCAGGGGCTAGTCCGTTATACCTCCAGATGTGGGTCAACTGTTGTAGGGATTGGTTGATATTATACAAGGTGGACATTGAAGTGGGGTATTCTTACCTCTTCCGAGAAGTTGAGGATTATATCGAACAATATGAAGGTTATCGCAGCCGCTGTATGCCCACCGACGTGAATAAGCACGCCTAGAACACGCTGACCAACTAGGCCCCGACCTTTCGAATATGCTGCTTTCGTCGCTTCTCCGAACGCTTCATAAAGGAGCTGTACAGCTGCAGCTTGCGCCTGGGGGTCCATGGCGGTTGGGTCGAAAGGGAAGCAGGTATCATCATATTCACGGCAGTTACTTATAGTGACTCTGATTCGAAGACTTTCTTGGTGAAGTGAGATAATTCCGCATTCAACGGGCGCGCCTTAGCCAGGGGTGAAACGTTTGGGTTTGACGGATCCAACACAATCGCTTCCGGGCGTTATGTGTGCCTAGCGTGAGGAAAGTAGTACGTATGTAACTGGCATGACTCATGTAACAGGTCATCTATGCAATAAGTGAGCACACCTGCACGGTGTGCTCGGAGAGAGCGTGGGTCAATTACAGCAGACATGCTGCAGCGGTAAGGCTGGACGTTCATAGAAAGATAAGAACAGATCAGTTGTTGTACACCTTGACGTCGACAGCATCACGCCAACTTGATCACATCTGTATTCAATCTGTGTGATAGCAGGATATTGAGTACAGTACTAGTGTATGTATCCTCCCCCGGACATCTAATCGTATGTGGGCTTCATTGTATCAGAGGAATGCTCTTCAACGTCCAGCCTTAGAAATTTCATATTCGGAATGTGGATTTTCAGTAAGCGCCCAGGAGCTTTCGAACGGCAACCACCAGTGAGAAATCATCAGCTAGTCCATATTCGATTTGACTGCGTCCGGACCTTTCCCCAGCGCATCCCCGCCACTGCCTACCTCTCCAAATGCGGCAAGAAACCTCCGATACTCACGAAACATGACGTTTGAGTTTCTGATAGAGGGTTACTCGGAGATGAGGCCTACATAAACGGTTGGCATTCGGCTAATTGCAGCGCTCATAAGTATCCCTTCTCCCATTGAGGTGTGGTATCGGGAAAGGATATGATCCTAATGATACGTGAGTAGTATTGCTTGCAGCACAGAGCGTTGTACATAAGCGGGTACCGTACTAGTAGTTTATACATTGCGAGGCGATGAGTGGCTTAAACGGGAGGCACACCAACGTTACTACTGTGACAAAGGAGTTCGTGTCGAGGGGATGATGATATCAACGAGATCAAAGCGGATACACACAACCATGATGAGAATAATCCACCCTGAGAGCTTCGAATTAAAGAGTCATGAGAGCGTATAGTAGGGTAGGTTGGCAGGTAGTTACTGGTGGTTGGAAACGCGATGCATAAGTGGTTGAGGCGGCAATAGTACGTACCTATCCGAGTCCTTTGCTGACCAACCACCCTAATGGTTATTCAAAGCTGGTATAGTCTCGTTTGACGCCTCAGGCCTCGAAACCTCAGCGCGCGTGTCCGTTGTGATCGACGCGTTTGTTGACTCCGTTGTTTTGGCGTAAAGGTTCAACGTTCAACATCCCGCCAATCGAGACATCTATCCAATCAACGCGCGAAGGAAGAAACTTAATGGGTCACAAGGTGAGGGGAATTAGCGAATCCTGCAGAAGCACATGGAAGTGAGTTCCGTTTCGTCATGACCCATCCAAAATGAGGCTAATTCTCTCTCCTGCTGGAAACGGATGAATATTTACTCGAGGCAGGTTCTCCAGGCTAATCTAAGGTTAATCTGAAGTCCTTCTGATAGCCTGCGGAGCTTGTAGCGATCACCATCCTGCCGACATTCGCACCACGAGTTGAATAGAGTTGAATTCATTTCCTCGCTCGCGTGTTGCTGCTCCATCTTTCGAACCGTTCCTTAAAAGGACAGCCTCATGCACAAAGCAGATAGCATCTGTGGGGTATGTCTTCTCGCTACCCGAGCTTCAAGCGACGATGGTTCTCTGGAAAAACCATTAGACAGGCCAGCAGGGTATATATACTGTGCACGAACTCGTCTCGAATCCCGAGAGGTAACTCCTTCCTGCAAACATGTCCTGGCTCTCTCTTTTCCTCGCAGCCGTGCTTGCTGTGCCGTCTGAGGCCGCCCTCCGATTCGGATGTTCGACCTTGACCATCCAACGTCTCGATCCCCTGGTCCAGCCGGGTAGATTGCCTTCCGCCCACGTTCACCAGATCGTTGGTGGAAATGCGTTCCACCCTAACATGACTGGGGACATCGGTGAGCAGGCCACTTGCACCACCTGCACGTTCTCCGAGGACTTCTCGAACTACTGGACTGCCTCCATGTACTTCAAGCATCCCAACGGATCGTACAAGGCTGTTCCCATCATGCAGAACACTGCTCTCCCGAACGGAATCAACGGTGGGATGACCGTCTACTATACTCAGCAAGACTTCTTCAACAACGGAAACCAGAAGATCACTGCGTTCCCTCCCGTAAGTAACTGCTACCACCCTCCGTGACAGCAGCTGATGACCTCGGTATCTCAGGGTTTCCGCATGGTCATTGGCAACCCGACCGCCAACGGGAGGCAGTCCGCTGGTCTTAAGTTCGTATGTTTGAACGACAAGGGCACTCGTTTCCCTGAGCTCGACACCTTCCCCACGAGCCCATGCAGGGCTGGTATCATGACTGTCCACCACTTCCCCGCGTCAGTAGTCCTGCATTTTCCCGCCTCGACTTTCTAACAAGTCCGTTACTTAGATGCTGGGATGGGAAGACCCTCGACCCTCCCGACCACCAGTCTCACATGTACGACACCGTCAGGGGTGCCTTCCAGAACGGCGGCCCTTGCCCTGCTTCTCATCCCGTCCGGGTGCCCCAGGTCGCCTACGAGACCCTCTGGGACACCACCCAGTTCAACAACATGTGGCCTTCCGACGGTTCCAACCCCTTCGTCATGAGCTACGACGACGACCGTGGCTATGGAACTCACGCTGACTACGTCTTCGGCTGGAAGGGCGACTCCCTCCAACGTGCCATGGACTCCAACTGCATGTTCAACGCCTGCGAGAACGGACGACCTCTTAAGTCCCAGAGCGTCCAGCAGATGAATGCCTGCCGAATCCCGGACATGGTTGGAGAGGACATTGGTGCCAACGGATGTAAGTGCTATTTCCTCGCAGATACGCCACGGCACCGACTAACGAGTTGTGCGCAACAGGGATCTCTCGTCTCCCTGGCTCAGGGCAGCAGGAGAACCCCAACCCTCCCGTCGTCGTTCCTCCCACCCAGCCCACCAATCCCCCCGTCGTCAACCCACCTGCTCCCGGCGGCACCGTCCCCCGATTCGGCCAATGCGGCGGGTAAGAACTGACCCTTTCTCCAAAGTCGACGAACTGCTGACGACCTGCTTTACAGCCAAGGATACACTGGACCGACACAGTGTGTTGCCCCATACACCTGCCAGGTCACCAACCAGTGGTACTCTCAGTGCCTGTAAAAGGTTCCATCTTCGCGTACATTCCCCACCGGCTGGCTTTAATTACAGGTGTTGGTTCCCGCTCTTACTTACGTATCCGCTACTTGCTTCCATTTTTTCTGTACTTTTATCTTTACTTACGAATATGAATATCTTTTCATCTCAAATCTGGAGCATGCATAAGCCCCCAATGCTTTACCTGCACTTTAAGCTTTAAGGTTAAATGGAAACCATAAGCAGGCGACGGAAGCGCAAGTTTACCCGCATTACTCCAAAGGGTCCTTCTGTTGCACCGCAGGGTAGCAAGAAGACATCCGATTCTAGTCGGGCATCGATGGCATTTTTTTTTTTTTTCCTTTCAGGACCTCGCAACTGGCGCACATTAGTCTATTTTCTGGAGTAAAGATTAAGAGATAACGCGTGATGTATATTGTATCGTCGTTAGAATGGGTCAAAATGACCCATGGCCATGGTCAGTCGGAAACAAGATAGAATCGATAAGATGTTCATCCGAGGCCGCCCACCCCAATCCAGGCTCCTACTTCACTTTCTTACAATTATGCATCGCCCGATGCATCTTCCACCCCTCCTTCAAGCAGTCGTTATCGCAAAAGAACGCTGTACCACGACACGACCCTCCACACTTCTTCCACAGTCCCGCCGATCCACATGCAAAGCATCGCCTCCACGGACCAGCCGTCGCTGTCTTCCATTCCTCCTCGATATTAACATCCTCGAAGTCCCCGCCGGAAAGATTCACCTTCAACTGCCAGAGATCATTGAACGACGTACTCTTGAATTGAAGTCGCTCCGTAGACATCCAGTCGTCGTTGGTGAACCCTCCGATCATGTACATCTTTCCCGTGTCGAGGTCGGTGAGGAGCTGGCCATGGCAGCGGTAGTTCGGGAAGCCAGGGGTGACGACCTGTCGCCATTTCGCGTGTTTGATGGATCGAGCAGTTGGCGGAGAGGCGTTTTGCGGGACCAGGGGGACATCGAAGACTTCGGGATCGGACTCGTCTATGTCGAGCATGAAGGTGTCCGCGAAGTAGGCATAGTTGAATTGACGTCCTTTCTCTGGTATTGAAGTGATGAACGCAGCGCTGTACCCTCCGAAGATGAATACTTTGTTGAGGTGAGGGTTCTAAGTATAACAACTATAAGCGCCGGACCAGGTATCCACTGACACGAGAGGACAGCAATAGAACTCACATAAGTTACGCCGAATTCCGTACGAGGACAGGGGAAGTTTCCACGTATTCTCTCCCTGCTCCACTTCTCCTTCTCAATATCCCAGCTCCAGTAGTCAGTACACGTGTGGGCCTTTTCGCTTCGATGATGCTCCTTCTCCGAGTCGAACAGGTGTCGGTCGAAGTTGCCATACAGCAAGTAGAATTTGCGCTGGTCGCGGTCGACCCAACTTCCGCCATACTTCCTAGGGTCGGGACACGAGTGATCGCCATCCTTCGAGGGTACGACAGTTCCCGAAAGCCTCCTCCATTTCTTGGTCAATAGGTCCAGCTCCATGAAAATGTTGCACCCCATATTGGTGAATTCGTGGGTTCCGCCGAAGACAAGGATCTTCACTGCCACATCGTTCCGGAACACGATTTGCGCGGTATAGTCAGATGTCTGACGCCCAGGATACGGCCACCCAAGATTGACGCCCGCGGCGATATCCGCTTTGGTTGGGTTATAGCTGCAAGAAATGCGACCCCATTTCTCAGTTGTGAGGTCAAAGTAGTCGACGTCGATTAGTCCGTTGAAAAGGTAGGCCCGTTTGGCGTGAGGATCAAGAAGGAACGACCACCCGAGGAATAGATTGGTGATCGCAAAAGGAAGAGGGTATTCGGGGAGTTGTCGCCAGCCCTTCGATGGGTTGTTGAGATCGAGACACCAGAAGTCGCGGAAGTAAGGTCCATTCACGTCTTCCCGACCTCCAGCGATGTATAGATGACCTAAAAGGTTCGGTGAGTAACCTCGGTCATAAATGAGCGTGGCGAGACACACTCTTCCAGATGAAACTAGAGAACCCAGACCTCTTCATCTTGTTCTTGTTTGGAGGAGGACGATGTCGAATCCGCCGCCATGAGCCTTCAATTTGGAGGCGCTTGTTCTTGAGGCCGTACTTGGCGTACACGCGAGCATCAGGGTGGCGAAGAACGGTCAATGGGAGCATTTTTTCGAGGTTGTTCATGTCCTTGATATAGGGAACCTGATGTGTCCAAGGAAGGTCTTCGAAATGTGTCGAGGCCTTCCAGCGAAACCAGTAGGCCGCAGATGTGTTGCCGAGTTCGCTCAACAACGCGTCGGAGAGCAATGTCCAGGCCATAACACGTTGATATGTCACTTCAGGGACATCGACGTTAAAGAACATATATTCTAGAATGAAGACGTGGTTTTAAAGACTGGATTCAACAGGAAAGGACCGGAATGACGCACCGAACATTGGTTTTGGGGAAGTGAGGAAATGGTTGTACCACATCGCCTCCATTTCTTCGATCCACATTAGAGCCTACAAATTGCAGAGGATTTGCTTCGTCAAGCCAAGAAGATAAAGACATAAGAGCCACATACGGTTTCAATATCCTTGTCCTTCAAAGCACAGCGTATTAGAGCCGTATAGCAACCCGACAGCTGTACCATGTCGATGCCATCTTCCATAGCCTTGTACTTTGGACAGACCATAGTACCTTCTGGTTTCTTCAACGTCGGAACGTGCAAATCAGGTCCCAACATAACTCGAATAGCAGGCCAGAAAAACTGTCGAGCCTCCTCTATCTTCCCTTGGTCCAGCAGCTGATCACCGCCATGTTTTCTGGGGAATATCAAGGATTTGAGATGCCATCGATAGAATTCTGACATACCGTAGCAAGAACTGTTCGAATTGGGGACCGTGATGAGGACCTGGACGGCTCCCACTGGGAAATTGAGATGCCATGGTCAAAGTCGCGCACTGCAAGTTGGAACGCGAAAGAGTCTTCGGAGCGACGGAGTGGCGTGGGGTGATCCTCTTGATCGGAAATTTTGAGGTCTTGATAGGGGCTTGAGCACAATTTGGATGGGCGCTTCGGGTCATGATCAGGGGTATTGCTGAATTAGCGCCACCTGCAATGTGAACCTTTCCATCCCTACAGCGACCTCATAATGGACCAACGACAACGGTATTGTGTGGTAGTAACATTCCTGAACCAGTGAGACGTCCACAAAGTATGGTGCTTGTCGATGAAGTCGGATCAGCGCCCAGCGAGAAGAAGCCCACAGTTGTATCGACTCAGCAATAGCACCAGCCGCCACGAGTAGCAAATGACTTTCCTTTCCCCCCATCCTCCAATGTTCCCACTCGAACTTTTAGAGGTCACCATTGAGTGCCTTGCGGCTCAAGGTACACTCGAAGACCTTCACCAATGCACCCTCGTCAACAAGAAGCTCGCTCAACTCTGCCAAAAACGGATTTTTAACACCGTCGCACTTGTCCAAAGAGAGACGCGATGGCACATACCAGCTGAGCAACGAGTTCCGTTGCCTCCCCATCCTATTGAGCGATTCGCTGACGTGGTGAAGCAAAACCCCGCCATTGGGACGTACGTTTGGGAGTTGGAGATACAGAGTATGCTCGATTACAACGTCGACGATGGTTTCAAATTCTTTGGCCATCTGCACCAAGTCCACACCTTCACGCTAGTGTTTGCAGATGGACCTCGGCATGTCGGTGACCCAAAACCTTGGCATACCATTTCTCCAGGTCTTCGAAACTCGCTTTTCTCGTTTGTCCGTCAAAATCCCATCGCATCCCTGAATCTTTACCACCTCAGCGACCTTCCCCACACCTTCCTCCAGCAATTCGGCCACCTACAAAAGCTTACAGTCCTTGGTGTACACCCAGACATTTCCGTTTGTCCAGCAATCGGCGAGTGCTACATGAAGTTAAAGGAGCTGAAACTGCTGGACAAATCAATTAGCTTTGCTGAGCATTTCATCTCCATCCCAGTTCCCACACAATCGACATATCGGAGATCTCAGTCCTCAAGGTGGACTTCGGGATACACGATGAGGACCATGTCGTGTGTCGCGTCCTGCGTTTTCCTGTTCAATTGGAAACCCTTGGTTTGCATTTAAGGAGTGAGTGCTTAGCGCTTAAATCTCGACATTTTCCAAGAACTTACCAGAGTTGCATCTCAGAGGATTTCTCGGAATGGACCTGTCGCGGAAATATCCTCAGCAGACTTCCTTCCCCCTCCCTAAACACCCTGCGGCGCATCGACTTGATGATCAACACCCTTAACACTCCAGAGCTTCCGCCCTATGCCGAGTTTGCTCATGAACTCAGCCGGATACAGGGCCAATTTGACAGTGACTTAAATCTGGACCCAATTCGGTGGAAAGAACTTGGAGATATACTAGCGTCGGGGTTTCCTTACCTTCGGACGCTGACACTCCGTGCGGAGGTGTCCATATTTGACAGCCCTTCGCCCTTTGAGGAAGCCGCACACAAACAGGCTCGGATAAAACATAGACATGGGATTGAGCTGACTACGAGCGCCGAGTGTATGGTGATATGAACGTCCAGTGTGCCCTGTGCCACAATAAGAACTTTGTCTCAAGCATCATAGTGCTCACCGTCTCACCGTACGTACTCCGTCTCCAAGCGCTTTCGGTTTTGGATTGAGAAGAAACCTGGTCGGTTTGAAATGAGCGGATCGTCGTAGAAGGTGACGATGACGGGCAAATATCATGCTCCCTTCCACCCCATGCACAGAAAGAAACCCTCGCGCGATTCCGCCCTGCTCGAATCTGGTTTGATGTACTTTACGAGATTGAACTTGGGAACGAGTTCCTCTTCGCGGAACTGTTGTAATTCGGGGTGCGCAAAGTGTTTCATCCTAAGTCACATTGCAAATGATCAATGACTTGTGTGATTGAAAGATAAAAGACCACTCACAACACGACGCCCCCTCGTTTCCGCCCAATCTTCTCTGCCGTGCGTAGATGTCGTCCCGCGAATTCCATCACAGCCTGGCATATTTCCAGGCTGCATTCGATATCCCTGGTGACATTCCCAGAGGCATTTGCCGCCATATCGGAGAGGATTACGTCGACCTTTCCGTCGTTGACCCCTTCTCGTTTTAGGAGCTCTTGGATGACCCTGTCGGTATCGGGTGCCAGGAAATCAGCAACAATGTCGTGGACCCCGTGGATGGGCCGCATTCTAAGAAGGTCGACAGCTATTATCGTACCCCTGCCTTGTGCCGGTGCGCTGATATCGTCGTCTATAGCCAGAGGGTCGAACGTGGAGGCAGAGTCATGGGTGGGGCTCGAATCAGTCGACTCGGACGTCCATCCCAGCTTCTGGGCGACAACTTGGCTCCATCCTCCAGGTGCCGCACCGAGATCCACAACTGCATTGACGTCGGATTTGGACAGAAAGTTATCCCATTGGTCGTTGATTTCGAGCAACTTGAAGGCCGACCGAGCTCGGAACGCTGCTGGGTCGATTTGTCGTTTCTTGACATAAGAATCTTTGGTTTGCCGGGCTAGCCATTGCCTAGACGACTTTTTCGCTAGCCTACAGAATGTGGGTCGGAAAGACATAGGCTTCAGCCTCTAAGGCACAGCAAAACTAAGAGACGCGAGTGGAACGAAGACAACCTTGTTCTGGGCGCTTGACTGTCGTGACAGCGCATAAGCGGCCCGGAGAACGATGCCATCAATCATGTGACGTCTACCCAAAACTTTTCCCCTGTTCTGGTTCTGCCTCCGAACTCCATCCCGACCCCCTTCGTCACCGTCAACCGACGCGTATCGCCAGCTTCAAAACCCTTGATGGACGTCGAGGACGACGCCGAGAACACCTCAATGTCGACCGCATCGTCTTCAAAAGTCGTCCCCGCAAAGCCATGGACGCATTTCGTAGCCGGAGGGCGCGTATTGGTTCCTGATTTCATCTGCCAGCTGGTATTGACATCGAGTCTGGGGCGCTTTTTACAGGCTTGGAGGCATGTGCGGCGCAATCGTGACATCGCCTTTTGACGTTGTGAAGACGCGTCTGCAGTCCGACTTGTTCCAGAAACAACCAGCTGCGTCGTCGACGCCGCACGGCGCAGCAGTGAGCGTGGTGCGGAATGGAGTGTCGGGAAGCGCAGTGCTTCAGGCAGGAGCAATACCGCGACAAAGAGGTCTGCTGTACAACTTTGTAGAGACTGTCCATATCATTCGGTCAGTAGTCGTTGTTCTTACCAGACTAGCTTTGTATATTGAAACCTTTCCGCTATTAGTGACGTATACGTGCATGAATCCCCGAGGGCCCTGTTCAAGGGCCTTGGTCCTACCCTCGTCGGCGTCGTACCTGCTCGTTCCATCAACTTCTATACATATGGGAACGGCAAGCAAATCATCGCGAATACCTTCAACAATGGCCAGGAGAACAGTCTGGTCCACCTGACAGCAGCAGCGATTGCTGGTGTCGCAACTGGAACCGCAACGAATCCCATTTGGGTCGTCAAGACACGACTGCAGCTGGTACAGGGCTACGCCAAAGGATCAGGACCAAAATCGACCATGTCGGGTGCGAGTGCGAGCTGGGTGTGCATAAAGCAGATCATGAGGGAGGAGGGCATTCGGGGGTTCTACAAGGGTCTCAGTGCGAGTCTTCTTGGTGTGACGGAAGGAACAATCCAATGGGTGCTATACGAGAGGCTGAAGCGATTGACGGCTGCGACGGAAGGAAAGGGCGGCGTTCTGGAGTGGGTTGGAATGATTGGGAGCGCTGGCGCTGCGAAATGTGTCGCTAGCTTGATTACTTACCCTCACGAGGTGCGTTCGGCGTCTATCCTACCACGGCTCCTGGCTTAACCCTCGTTCAGGTTATCCGAACACGGCTACGACAACCACCACCAAAGAATGGACCTCCAAAATACACTGGCCTGTACCAAACGCTGCGGGTGGTCATCGCGGAGGAGGGTGCTCGTTCTCTTTACGGGGGTCTCAGCGCCCACATGATGCGAGTCATTCCCAACGCAGCCGTCATGTATGCCATCTATGAGGCCGCCTTGAGATGGAGCTCATCATCGTCATAAACCTCGGTTTCCCTTCTTTCTCCCCACCGAGCCCACAAGGGGGTCCCACCGCACCAGGAAATCCCCTCCTTTCACTGATCTGGGAATACCTACACCCTCCGCACAACCCTTGGCGATCAGCTGTTATTCCGACCACCTGGCTGGTCTCTTTAACACTCCCACCACCTTCAGCCTTCAGGCGACCCCGTCCCACCGTCGTCCATTCACCGGCTAAAACGCATCGCACCCATCTGCATCTGTACACCTAGGAACTATCTAATCATCTGCATACGACATCACAACTCAACGCAATCCCCTTGCTAATACCAATTAATGTACATAGGTTCTGACTATCTCCAGTGCTCTTCCTCGTGCTCTTCCCTTGCACTACAAGTCCTCTGCAGCAGCTCACCACCACAGTTGATTTTATTGCTCTTTATATGGCCCACGAATGTGTACGTGTGCTAGATCGTGATGTCTTTTAGTTAATATCTAGACGTAATAAATGCTCGACGTAAACTACACTCCTCTCAGATGGAAGGAAATTACTGTAGCGCCTTCACCACCAGGCGGGGTTCAGCGGCCCTCTTGGCGCAGTGCCGTCAGCAATCAAAGATTACAATCGGAGATTTACATAATGTTCCAGAATGCGTTCAGCGTTCCGAGTCAGACTGCTGGAATTTTCTCTTTGCCTTCCTCCACCACATGCCCTGTCGATTTGTGAAACTCCTCTTTGCGCTTTACTAGAAGTGACCACTGTGATTTCCATAAGACTCGCTACAGCCTGGCCCTCTGCTCTGTTGCTAGGTCATTCTCGGACTTGCTAGAACTGGCAATTCTATCTGCGGACAACGGATGCTACGTGCTGTACATAACATCGCGTTCCTCGGCACCTAACAGCTCGGGCAGAGCAGGCTCGTGCATGCTCCACCTTTTTCATTATGCATTTCCTCGGCCTGTCCTGCATCTCCTGGATCAAGAGCTGTTGCAAATGACGACACAGGAACACGAACTTCGGGACCGCTACTCGGAAGATTCCTTCGGTTCAGGGGATAAGTATGTAAGTCTGTTAGAAGGCTGTAGTGTTGCGGGACGACCAACTTGCAGAGTGGAGCTAAGGGTGGCTGGTCACTCTACTCACCCTGGAACTGTCTGCTTGGTCAAAGTGATCCTGTGGGTCCCACAGCGGCTGGCGGTAGGTCGGAAAGGAGATCACCAAAATCGGTATGGAAATGACGCACCAATGCCTTTCGGCGTTGATGGAACTACTGCAGGTAAGTAGTGAATTCAAACCCTTGGAGTGCGGCGTATCTGGAGAGCGACGCCCACAACAAACAACGGCTCGGCCTTTCCTTTCTGACTCCTCTCATCATGTGCAGTGGATCTGGCAAGCCCGATGAAGACTTGAAGGCGTGACTTGGGCGGTAGAGACGAGTAAACTCTGTAACGCGAACAGGTAGGGCTCATCGCCAGCATTTCAATTTCAGTTTTAGGGGATGAATTCCTTACCCAGAGTAAATTCAAGCTATCTGACCGGTACCCTTTGAGGTCTGTGCGACTTGATAGGCCAACTTGGCCCTTTTGCCAGGTGTGCATCTCTTAAGTTAGGAAAGGGAGATCAGGTCAGGGTTCCGCGGCTTTCGAAGTTGCCGAGAATTGAGAAGGTTACACCCCGGCGACCACGACGCTAGCTATAGTGTCACTCTCCCTAAAAGCTGGAGAAAAGTGCAATGATTGATGGGGGAGATGGTGCCATCAATGCTATTTTTAGACATTGGGTTTCCTCATCAAGATCATTACAGCAGACCATTTGAAAAGAGGAGGTTCAGTAAACCCGAGCGGAATTGCCCCTCTTGATACCTCCGTAGATAAGGGTGACGAGCGCCTTTGGTTTAGGATGTGGCAGAAACGTGTAAAGTCTGGAATCGCATGGCAGTATTCGAGTCAAGTACTCAGAGTAGCACGCCTCCGCGTGCACCGTTTCAGCGCCCACCTCAGACATGTATTGACTCGAATCCCGAGATGCAGTTGCCGATCGCGGATTTCCAGACTAAGGAACTTCTTTTTGCTCATAGTTAAGGTGCTTCATGAACTTAGAGCAGGAAAATAAGCGTCAAAGTGATTAGTTGTGTGGATAGACATCTTGCCCACCAGGGAGTATATTGCATATAGGTACAGCTGTAATACATGACTATAAGTAATTAAACAAGTCGGATCTATAAGGATGATCTTCCGACGCCACTGATTCGACCCAACTCCTAGTTGGACGCACGAGGCGTAATCTTAATGGTGAATTCCTCGAACTTGCTGATATCAGGGAGGAAAGAATTGCTCTCGCTCTGCGGAACCTTTCGATCCTTCCCACTCCTTTGAACCAATTCGACGTCGAACCTTCGCAGGACGGTGACAACGAAATCGGGCATTTGGTGCAAAGCGAACTGTTTTCCTTTACACTAAGGGCGATAGTCAGAGTCAGATTCTGTCAAAGAAGGTAAGTGAGTATTGACTCACAAGATGGGCACCGTCTCCAAAGGTTTTCGGCTTGGGCAAGGACGGGTTTACGAGGAAGCGGTCTGCCTTGAACTCGAATGGATCTTCGTAGATGCTTGAGTCGTGGTTGATGAGTTTGGAGATGATCCAAGTGTCTTTGGGAATGAAGTAGCGTGTTCCCTTGAAGCTGACGTCTAGGTCTTCGCTGGCGCGACGGAGCTGTTGCATGCTATAAGGCCAGCGTAACGCCTCCCACATAACCGACTCGATCAACCGCATCTCTGTGATATCCTTCCCACTCCTAGCCTCGTTCTGGGCTCTGATCAGTAGATCTTCGTCAAGAATAATCTGCGCCAACATCCAGTAAAGATGGAACCAGATGTTGCTGTGGATCCCCCACAATAGCGGCAGGAGCACAGCGGCTGCATCGGGGAGCGAGAGTCCAGCCTCTTTCATCGTGACGAGTCCTTCGACCATCACGCCGCTGAGTTCCTTGGTGGAGTGGCCGTCGGCTTCCCACCATGGTCGGATGTATTCAATAACGAAGTTGAGGAGTCGGTCGCGTGCTCGACCGGTTTTGGACCAAGGGAGGTGGGAAAGTCGAGAAGCCAGGAACGAGATGTCGGGAACGGTTGCTTTGATGTCGTCATAGGACTCTGCCGGGAATTCTGGTCCGAATATAACAATGCCGGTAGCTCGGTAGAGGGTCTGGCGAAGGAATTCGGAAAGGAGGACGGTCGTTCCGCTCGGGTTCGAGAATTGGTCAAACTCTTTCTCGAGCTCCTCGTGGAAGCGAGATTTGAGGCCGCTGTCTTTCATCCGTTGACGAGAGAATTCTCGACCTGTGATGGGTACGAGTTCGTTCATTAAGATTTCGACGATTCGATGGACGTTGGCTTTGCCAGACCCGGCCTGGGCTGCACCCTCGAAGGGAAGATGTGGGGATAGTTCTTTGGTTTGGCGTTCCAGCTGGCTTAAGCTGTATGGATGATGAATAACGATTGCACTCGTTCCGAGTACTCTGAAGCGGTACAAAGGACCATAGCGTTGCCTGCTCAAAAGAGAGATTTGTTATCGAGAGTTCAAAGAGGATGGTACTACTCGTGTAACTCACCTCATCTGTTCCATAAAAAGGGTGGGATTGTTGTAGAGACGCCAGCCATTGTCTAGACCGAGGAGAGGGAACCATGTTGAAACGGTGGGGATTTGCCCAGACTGAAAACCATTGTTTCGGCGGTGGGAGTAGAGCGCGATGACAGAAAGAATGGCAAGGAGGGAAAGAATGAAAGACTCTGTGTCCCAGACTGACATTTTGGGGTGTGTAGAACAGCTCTGAGACTGGGAGGATGGTAGGCGGCGTTTTATCTCAGTAAATTCTTCTGCTTTTTAACCCTTACAATTATCCGTGTGCCGTTGCAGACGGAGGGCTAATCCTTTTTGATGTACCATGGATTGACTCTTTGGGCTATGTGCCTGTCTCCTACTGCCTAGTCATGATGGAGAATGGACTGGAACGGTCGTTATCTGCCATACGATCAATACGGTTGAAATTGTACATGTTTTCCTTTCTCCGGAGTACATTTCTCGTAAAGCCCACCCCATCCAATACCTAAGTTGCATGCGGGTGCACCAGCGCAGTCCTCAATGATGCGGTGTTGTTTACACATAGTCGTCGCGTCCCATTCACTGCTAGCCCGCATTGGTTGCCACACAACTGTGGAGCAATGCCTATAGAGCATAGCGGTGAGAACTATCCTCATACCGACAGTGAAACGTCACTGCGTCAAAAGGCGCATCGCTGAATTTTGGCAGTTTAATCATCGGAAACGATAAGACACGACCGCGTCCTTGTCAAAGATACTCGGGGTAATACTCTTCAATAGACCTGCTATTCTTGAGCACGTTTGACGGCCTTTATGTTTGACTTATGTCAGATGGCAGCAGGAGAGAAAATTCACCGTCCACCGCATTTACTTAAAGTCCGATGAATACGATTCAAACCCTTGCTGTAATACCTACCGCCGCGGTAGGCAAGATCTATTTTATCTTCTATGCAAACGTTAGACTCACAGTTGTATCGTAGATAACGCCGACTACTCAACCGTCTAGTAAAGATCCTTTCGCAACGGTGGTCGAACTGTGAGCAATTGCAGTAAGCGCCCATTGGTGATCGCATCAATGCCTTGGCAATTGGATCGTGGTTGGCGCCGGTACCCACTGAGAAACGAAGTTGCGCAGGTGCAGTCTTTTTTTGGCCGCTAGTTTCTAGTGGTAATCCCTCTAGCCATGCAGGATGGACCTGCAAAGAAGTCGTTCCGCGTACCTGACTCAATGATGTGAAGACTGTCAAGTGAGCTTCTCACTCCGGACTGGAGATAGCAGTTGGCCCGTGCTTGCACTGACATCCGTTGTTTGAGGTGGACCGATCCAACATTACTTTTAGAGATTCCCTAACTTGCACGTCCCATCTTCTCCGAGTATTTCAATCATGAAAGGGGTCCGTTTCAGTCGCCGCATGCACGTAACCCCTATGTTCCCGCGGATAACAAACCAGATAGACACTGAAGCTTGTTGCGCTGAACTGCCTACAGCACTATTACTTAGGCCCATTTGATCTCGAACACTGCGACGCGCGTTAATTTATGACGAATGGATCTAAGATAAAGCTTGCAGGACTCGGCCCAGTACCTACTTATAGGAGTTAGGAAGCATATACTTCGTAATTCCGTATTGTCACAGGCAAATTCTCGGGACGAGTCCTAATTTTAGATCATAGCCATGTCTGGTGTCCTCTCCTCACTCAATACAACCATTACAAAGGCCAAGAAATACTCTCAATTGATTTTGAACCTCGGTAGGTACAATGGATGTCTGAGCGTTGCTTCGCTCAAAAAGGTTAGTGACAGCGATTGCAATGTTGTACAATCCCTGTGATAAATATAGCACTGAATCGGTGGAGATCTAGGGTGGCCTCCGGACGCTAATGCCCACCGCATCAAAAAAAGTAGCGCCCAAAGTCGCGACTCCGCGTTGATTGCCAGTGGTGTGTCAACACAGTAGCCCTCGGCGTAATCACGGTCATTGATGGGTCCTACCATGGCGGTATCGAACGAGAGTTGGACCTGCGACAATGGAGCTTTTAGGTATAAGAGATAGCAAAACTTGATAGGGAGTCCAGGCGTCCTTCAGAGCCATGAGCGGCAACCAAGAACCCGACTTCGCCTTGTACCCACTGACCTCCTCTGACATTGGTCTGAGCGGGGTGGATATGATCAAGACGTGGATTGTTGAAGGTCACATCAACGAGAAGATACTGCGCGGGGCGTTGGATTGGGTTGTAGCCAAGTGGCCGTTGTTGGCCGGGCGGATAGAGTTTGTCGAGAAGAAGGTGGGCGCGCAATAGCTTTCTCGTGAACCTTGACTCAACTTCCTTGTTAGCCGCATTTCAGAGTTCCTTTCGGAAACCTTCCACCAGGGTATGAGACTTATAGTCTCACTTCACGCACGTCGCACCTCCCTTTATCACACTACGTGAAGCTCCCGCTCGCCCCCTTCACCGAGATTCCGCCAATTGACCTGTTCATGTCAAATGAACGATATAAGCTGGGCGGTCTCAAGAGCTACGAAAGCGCTCCGTTCACGCATTGGCACATCACATATTTTGAAGAGGATGGGCAGAAGCACTCTTGTATAGGGGTGTTGTACTCACATGCCCTCTTCGACGCCGTTGGATCGTCGATGCTGCTACACGCGGTGGAAGCCGAATTGGCGGGGAAGGATTGGGATGTGCCACCCTCGCCAACGCCTGGCCTGAGCGCCAACCCGTATCAAGAGTTGCTGGAGAAGGAGATATCTGGCAACAGGAGCATATCCTCACAGTCAAAGACTTCGTCAGGAAGCGCGAGGGTTGTGGGCATCCTGGGACTACTCGCATGGATACTTGGCGACCTAATTCAGCAATGGATATATGGGTCTGTAAGGAACCATATTATCGTTCCTCATGCCGTGCACACGCGACTGGCCAAGGAGACGCGCATAGAGGCAGAAGCTGCAGGGCTGACTGATGTTCGCTTAGCTGCAGGTGACATACTTGTCGCGTGGGCTATGAAGGTGTGTTGACTTATCGCATATTGAATCGGCCTAACAATTCTGCTAGGCTGTTTATAAAGGGGAGAACCCAAAGAAGACCATCAGTTTCTCGAACGCAGCAAACGTTCGGTCGGAATGGAGCAAGGAGCTCTCGCTTTACCCGCACAACTGTATCGTGCAAGTCGCCTATCCCCCCTTAACGGTTCATCAAATAGCGACCATGCCTGTGTACCAACTTGCACACAAGTTGACTGTGGCTCGCATGGAAGGGTCGCGGATCGAGGACGCTATCGCGCAGCAAGCTCTTCATGCAGAAGCGCAGAGGAAACAACCGCTGGGTGCTGTCGTAAACAACAGTGATTCCACGGACGAGACCTTCCTGACGACAAACGCTTCGGTGGCTCGTATTGCGCACATCGACTGGACGGGCGCTGGGGGCGGGAAGACAATCGCTCATTACAGGATGGCGCCTGTACAATTTGTCCCTCTCAACGTCTTACTTATCAATGGGTGGCTCAACGACGGAGACCTTGTCTTGAACTCGAGTTTCACGACTCGTAGGGCAGAGCGTCTCCGAGAAGAGTACGATAAACTAGTTACTAGATACCAAACGGAGAATGCCTAGGAGTAGACTGTAGGTGGATCTGCAATTGAAAAAGTTCATCTAAGCCTCCTGGAGAGTGACGGGACGCCCTTGAAACCTCGTTGAAACCCAAGCCTGTTGAACGGAGGACGACAGTACTAGTGATCGGGAAATAGGCGCCGAAAGCAGAGGTGTCGGGCCGACTAGCTCAGTTGGTTAGAGCGTCGTGCTAATAACGCGAAGGTCTTGGGTTCGATCCCCACGTTGGCCATTTTGTCCAAAGCAATCTTTTTACTCTTCCTGTTGCGGATTAGGGCATCGGGATACCGAGGGTTTTCTGAGTCGCAATCCTATGTTCAGTTATGTATTCACTTTTTTACATTTCCGTCAGGAGGGACAGGATTTGTGGTGCCACTGCTATGGGCATCATCAAATGTCGCTTTGGGATGCCACAGTCGCCGTGGCACATACATACCCAGGTCCTACTTTGGCCTCAGTCACTAGGTTCAATATAACTACTAACTAGAACAACAACCTCGGACCAGGATCGCCATCAGAGTCTTTAAAGCCTCGCCCGATATCAGGCGCCCATTCGAAGAACCTATTGCGACTCACTCTCGAATTCCGCTCAAATTACTCCGCTCCATCGTCCTTGAAATCCCGCCTATATCCCCCTGCTAGACTTGTTTGCTATTTGCGAGATCTTGTAACTTGGAGAGAACTGTCGTGAAACATCCTTTCACGGCGTCTAGATTCTCAGATACATTTCTACAGGTCCGGGCTGTGTTCCCAGTTTCCCCCTTCATTTATTGGCTCTTCGTGAACGTCTCAGAGAAAGCCATTGTGATTGCGATTAACTTTGGGCAAGCGCGAGCGTGACCGTACGCGACCTTACGCGACGAGCTGGGACGCTTTGTCATCAATTGATCCATAATTGATGGGATGATGGGCGTCTACGATTTCTCGGCCACGCGCGGTTGCCAGAGAATTCTCATGGACAATTACCTTTTCCTCGACTGCCTTCTTCCAACCTTCACTGAGGACGTCGTATATGGCTCTGATCTGGGAAAAGGGCCCAGAATTTCGATTACTGAACGCCCACAGCGCTCAAGAAGACACTCACGATGGCCAGAGCGACGGCGACGGGAATGGTTTGGTCAAAAAGGGTGGCGGCCTTGGTTCAGGGCCTGCAGGTACGTGTCCTGTCGGTTTAACTGGTAATTCTCCCTGAGTAGGTCCTGTAGCGTCGGCGCTTGTCGCCGTCGGCAACGACGAGGAAATGGACTCGTCAACGATGCCCGTGGCTGGGTTGAACGGCCTTGAACCTCACGGAACCAGGTTGCTTGATCCTGTGTCAATACGGGGCTCTAGTAACCAGGGGAATGAAAAGAATGGGAGAGACGATGAAGGTATGGAGATTTCGCTTAATTTGAACGCACGGATAACCTCTTCCGATTCAGTTGCACCCACGGAGCCTACCTCAAATCCCACCCTGACCGGGACTTCACCAGGAAGTGTTTCTGTTGCCGATTTTATCACAGAAAATCGTGCTGCCATCTGGGGAGATGGTGCGTCGAAGAAGGGGCGCAAGCCACGCAAAGACAAGGGGGTGAAAAGAGGACCACGCAAGGCAAAACCAGCCTTAGACACCTCGACAATCTCTGCTGCCCACGAGCAGGCCAGTGCCGCAGATCCAGCTCCCAACCCAGTGGAAGTATCCGCATCTACCGTGACACGAAAGCCTGGTGGTCAGAAGAAGAAAGCAGCTTCTCCGGCAAGCATTGTAAAGGCACCTTCTCCAATGCCTTCGGTTGGCCCCTCTGAACCCTCACTACCACTGGGAGGCGTGGTGTCTGGACGTCTTTCGGGACAGGGTACAACACCAGGGATAGACGTTGCGGAACCTTTCACAGCGGAGACCGTCCCTAATGATATTCCTGTTGATTCCTCGGCGACTGCACCACCGACGGATAACCCCGAACAGACCAAGAAGCGTAAGGGGAGGCCGAAGAAGAATCCACAACAGACACTGGGCGTTGAAGACATATTGGGTGCGTCGCAAGCCTAGTGCATATTATTTTTGCTGACGCTGTGTAGACATCAGGCCTCCCGTCGAAGATGAACTTTCAAAGTGCAACCAAACCTGGAAGGTCGCTGCATCCTCACTACCCGCCAAGCCTACTTCTGCCTCAATTCATGGGCTCGATAAGAAGGGAAAGGGGAAAGAGCGACCGCCGTTGAAGCCCCGTGTCTGGACCTCAGTACGACCTCCTCCGCACTATGGTTTCCGCCTACTGACTTCGTTGGTAGTCGAAGACTGAGCTTCAAGCCGCAGTCCCCGCCTTCACGAAGGACACGAATGGCGTCTGCTGGACACACTGCGAAACGGTGGTCGTTATCCTAGACGATGACGCTGGCGATCCTCGAAAGTCTACCATTCCTTCGAGGAGCATCGAGATGATACCCGTTCCTGATGGAGGGGATGTAGTCTTCGATCTTATTTTGTAAGCGCGGCTTCTTTTAACCCTGGGTAAACCCTTCCTGACTGAGATTACTAGGACGAGAGCTCTAGTTCCGGTAGCCGCCTCGGCGAAGAAAAATCTAGCGCCTATGGTTTCCGTGGAGAAGGGCGACGGTGATGTCCCCACCGCCGACCCCTCGATGCCGATCACAGTCCCCACCCAGCCTGACCCACCACCTGTTGAAACCGGCCAGGGGACGCCAGCCCCAGGTGAAAAGCAGCAAGACAGAGACGCACCGATTTCGGAGGAACCCCTATCCTTGGACTACCCTCCAGACCCGGATCCGCCAACCCACCCCAGAATCGCCACTGACCTACTGGATCCGGTGTTGTCGACTCGCGCTGCCGAGGCTGCCCAACGTCAGGCCCAGTCGAGTGAGCGGCTCCAGAAGGCGTTTGAGGATTTTGAAAGGACAGTAGAGGAGAGCGCTGATGCATTTATTGCGAGGCTAGCACCGGTCTTCGACACAGACGCGGCGCTCGCAGGAGGCGTGAAGGAGGACGGGTCACTACAACCGCCGGTCTGCAGCAGTAGAACTGCCGGAGATATCCGCCCAGCCATTCTCGCTACCATCGATTCCCAGAAATCCATTATCGAGCCGTCCACCGAATCGGCACCGCCCACACTCCTCCCAGCGACCGCTTCCGCGCTTACACCTGACGTCAACTTCTCTGTGTCAGCGTTGCACTTATCCAAAGGCGACCCTTCTCCCGCCGATCCCAGCACGATCTCCGTCAAAACTGCCTCCAAGCGACGCAAACCATTAGCTCAGCAGATGATGGAGAATACCACTCTTCGACGGTCTGGGAGAGCTACTGGGAACCGGTATCGTACGACCAAACAAGCTTGGACTCAGGAAAGCACGGGGCCACGCCGGTCTGGAAGAGCCACAGCGAACCCATACCGGTCAGAACACCAGTCGGCGCCTGTGGTTGTTCGGGTTAAGCGGGTAGAGAGGTCGACCAAACAGTCCATCCAATCTGCTTCAGCTTCTGCGCGGCAGTTCCGGTCTCGTTGGAAGCAACCCGTTGGAAAGGATAGTGTCACCTCGATCTCTGCACCATTGCTTCGGAAGAGGAAACGACCCAAGCTCCCGCCTTTGGATATCCACGCCGCGTTGGATGCGACATTTACCCTCGACTTGGAGCTCTTGTCCCCGCTCTCCCCGATCGCCTCAGATGACGACGGTGAAGTCAAGGCGGTCGCCAAAGCTGAGCAGAGACGTAAAAGACTGGGAAAGAGGAAACAGCGACCTGTCACCGCGCCAACGAGGGTTTCGAAGAGGTTGAGGGTTATGAGAGGGGAGATGGACGAACAGGACGCGATGGCGGCGAATTTCGTGGAGGTGAAGGAAGAGGTTGAAGTCACAGTTAAGGTGAAGCGCCCGCGAACGATGAAGAAGGCGAGGGGTGATGACGTGCACAAGGAGGACAAACCAGCAGAGTTACCCATGGAGCATGCGCCAACCACTGCGGACGACACGACCACAATCGCTCAAGCTCTGAAAAACGAACTTTCTCCAGCGCACCGGATGGTGCCATCTGAACAGGCACTCGCGAAGCTGGAGGACTTAGCACCCCTACCCACCATCCCTTCAGCGACCACCCCTCCAGTTTCTGTAGCCGAGGTTGACACCTCAGTTGCACAAGCCTCCATCTCGACCCCGCCCGTAGGGCATGTGTCGACCCCTGCAGAAGACACGACTGTGATACTTCAAGTTCCCCAAAACGAACAGTCACCCGCACATCAGGTGAAGCCAACTCAACCACCGGGGGAGGTAGCACCTCCAGTCACCATCCCTCCAGCTACCACCCTACCAGCTGCTGTAGCTGATGTGGACATTATAGTTCCGCGACCGTTCATATCGACTCCTCCAGTCCTATCCGAAACTTTGACTCTCGAAGTCACCACCATCATGGAAAAGGCTCAGCGAGCCTCGCTCTCTCTTCCGTCGCTTCCTATGGAAGTCCGTACCATCATCGACGCCTTCATCCAAGACTCGCCGGTCTCTATCATCGCTTCCCGTGAACGAACACGGGAACTCCTTCCAGGCGGATCGAAAACCCTTTTGGATACTGAGTTTGGTTATGCTTATCTTGGACTTTTCAAGGTTCTTGGTTTAGAGGTGCGTCGTTGGATTTGGGCTGGTGGTTCGAACTAATCGGTGCTGGTATTTTAGGAGAAACCAGTCGTGCGAAGTGGTGGCGGAAGTGACTTAGCGGACCCGTTGACGGTGGAGTGGCGGTTCCGCGTACAGTGGAATGTTGGAGGAGAGACTATCGTTAAGCATGAAGAGGACGTATCTCGTCCATGGTGGAAAGACTCGAGTATATCCTCATTGAAGTTGCAGTCGTCGACCATGATGGATGTGTGTGGTGAACGGAACGAACCCACCCTGTCTACCGCGACCACCGCCGTTGAGTCCTCTTCCTCTGGAGGATCCACTCGGCGTCCAAGCGAAGAAACAATGGACACCTCGCTGGTACCCCATCCTAGCCCACCTCGCATCCTTAACGACCTCACAACACCCCCGCTGTACATGCGAGCCAAGATGGAGCATCCGAACTGGAACCTCCGGGACATACCACATTGGGATATGTATTTCTCGTTGGTCCCATCTTCGATGTTGGCTGGGCTGGACTCCTGTATACCGGATGACGCGTTCCCTACTGGCTGGTTCTGCTCCGAGTGTGGGATGGTCAACTTTCAGCGGGCGATGAGGCATCGCAGATGTGGAAGCAAAGCGTGTTCTGAGGTAAGACCGTTTCTGCCCGTAATCTGCTGGGAGGTGAGGTTGACGATAGGCTCGCACGATAGCGCCCACCCGAAGGATACTCCAGGGAACTTGCTGACATTCGTGGACCCCACGGGATGGTACCTGTTCCTTCGCCTTATAACGAGTTCCCCAAGGAATCTGTCACCTCCTTCTCGACGAAATGGAAGAATGGAATGCAGACATTCTCGTATTATCTCGATGGCGATCAGAAGAAGGTTTTCGTCAAGCACGTCTTCACGGCCAACGTCGCCAAGTTTCAGAAACCGGCTACGAATTTGCTCGTCGAGATTCAGAAGAACGTGGAGCTGTTGAGAGTGGCTGGGGACAGTGGCAGTGAGTCTCCCGATAGTGTTTTGTCTGTCGCAGACCGACTGACGTACGTTTGGGCTATTTTTAGATCCTTACTTCGTTCGCAATTATGACTTGCCAATAGAGCAAGCACTAGGCCCGTCAGATGCTTCAAATAGCACCCCAGATCGAGGATCCTCCGCCACAAATCCCGAATGTATTGTCCAAGCTCGAAATGTCATGGTATCGCGCTCTAGGAATTATGCCGAGGTATCCGGGGATGTGATGAAGATCAACCGTCTGGAGATCGTCGGTTGGGTGGCTGCTGGATCGCGTCGGGTTAGTCCTTCACTTTCGTCATAGAACTCAAGACTGACCGTTGTCGTAGAACCACCCCACCCTTCGTGCAAAGGAGAGCCCTGTTGCAGTGCTGTGTCTGGGGTGCGACGTTGTGATGACTGTGACACCTGCGGCAGATAGGGCTGCTGTAAGTGCCCGGGTTCCTCGCGCGACGAAGCCGAAGAAGCCTAAGGGGAAGCCGGAGGCAGGGCAAGAACCTCAGGAGAGCAGTGCTCAACCGCTTCAACCTGACTTGGATCAGCTCATGCCCATGGACGAAACCCCCGCAGAACCAGGACTGGAGCCACCAGCGACAGGCTCACCAGATGAGCAGGTCTCTCCCCCGCTTCCACTCGAACCCGTTTCTGCGCCAGCACAGGCCTCATCAACGGCTCCTGTTCCGAGAGACGTCAAGCTGACCATGGTGCATGGCGATATCGTCGTATTTTATGGGAGTGAATTCGAGGTCAGTTTCCTTGCTTTCGTTCCTCATCTCCAACTGAATTATGGTCTTTTTTTAGTATTCCTTGAAGAGAGCTGGTCCTTCGATTCGTGAGTTCCCCTCATGGTTATCACAAGCTGATTCTGATTTCGGCTTACAGTTGTATTTGGGTCATCATAATGCATATCCAGGTAGTTTGAGAGGCGTTGGCATTTTTTGAACTTGGGGCTACCATGAATGCTACGTCGCTGTATCGAAATTCGCCTTCGTAGAGAGAGTGCTAGGCCTCCGAGTCGGCCTTCAGTCCACAGTTGAGCATGGCCGACTAGCTCAGTTGGTTAGAGCGTCGTGCTAATAACGCGAAGGTCTTGGGTTCGATCCCCACGTTGGCCATTACGTTCCTTTTTCCTGGTCGGCCGACTCAGGACCCCCGACGCAAATCGATCATATATGCACTTTTGTAACCTTTTCATTGAAATACCAAGTTGCGGTATCTAGCTAGATCAGATGACTCGACATTTGGCAATCGTCTTCAAGTTGAGGTTTTCTTTCGACCAATCGAAACATTCCTCGAAAATCTGATCCAACTGTGCTTGCTTCTCTGCAGCTTCTTCGAAGGGCCTGTCGCTATCAAAGATAGCTACATTTAAACAGATCCCCAGCATCCGAAGGGATGGGAAGCCGGATGAAAGTATATCATCAAGTTCCTTCCACTTGATGGGATCCAAGTTGAGGTCGCTGCAGAATTGGACCAGAATGTTGCTATCCAGCTTTTGTAGGTTTTTTTGCCACAGAGTTGAGCGAGCTCATAAGTAAACTCGCCGTACGGCGGAAACTCTGGGGTATCTTCAACCACCATCGTCAATCTGATGTCTTGGAGAGTGTTCAGAGAAGAGGGAGGAAGCTGGCTGAGGACGTTGTTCCGACATGTCCACTGTGAGAAGTCCTCTGGCATAGCCATTCGTCATCAGTACGAGGTCGTGTCGTATCAAAGGAGTACTCACTGATTAGATGCAACTCAAGAAATTCGAGCTTCTTTGGCAACGTCAGGATGCAAGTGAAGACGTGGTCATGGCCGTGTTCCCCAAAGTCAATCTTCAGGGTTGAAACCTCTGAGATATCGATTATGTTCGCAGTGGTTTGGAGAATGAAATCTTCAGCAAAGCCGATTGAATTGGCGTCCAGATCTAGCTTCCGCAACTTGACGGAGGCCTTGATGGCGCCGGGTGAGATATACTTGCTCGCTCCTACATTGAGCACAGCGGGTTTCCCCAGGAGCGAGCATGCTCGGAAGAACTCGCGAGTGAGGTTGTGAAGTCCAAAGAGTGAGAGGGTGGTGATGAAATTCCGCCGCATGAACGATAGAAACGATGACTGGAGGCCTGACGATATGGTATCCCAGGACACTTGGGGCACAGTATCGCGAGTGTCGTCGGTGAATCCGAATGTAAGGGTGTAGACTTGGTCCAGGTGATCCAGCACCGTATAACCATCGTCGACGTTGTACTGCCGCATGTTTTCTATCTCCAACTCGCGTCCTACGTCCGCGAGGGAAGGGTTCTGTTGTACCAGGTGGGCAAATCGCTCGATAGGATGGGGAGGCAACGAGAGACGCTGCTCAGCCGGGGTCCATTTCTTCTCCTTTTGAACTAGTGGGATGTGGGCCGCTAAACGGCAAGTATCCTCGGCCTGTTGGGTGGACGGGATTTCGTGCCGCACAGTGACACTTCGCGCGCACCTCTCAACCCGCCCATAACCCCAGATAAGATAAGAAATACATAACGATGAGAGTCACGTGTGGGGAGCGCGTCGCGTCTTGGCGAAACAGAACCCCACGGGAAAGAACCCGAGACCCAACAGGCCTCGGAATTAGAACGACCGTGCGGAAGATTCGGTTTTGGCAGAGTTGGGCGTTGGCGAGGCAAGCTATGATGAGTTCGTAGGGATGGTCAAGGGGGTTTTAAAACCCCCAGGGTTGTCAGGGTCGGATACAGAGAGAGAGGAGAGAAGGACGTAGGAGGGCGGAGGGTAGCCTTGGTCTCACGTTATAAGAACGTGTACCCTTCGTCACGGCTCCAAAGGCTGGCTAGGCCGAAGGACCAGACGGAAACGCCTTCCGGCGGAGAGACGAGAGTGAGGGACGACTGGAGCTAAGGCTCGACGGTCGAAGACGATGAGAAAGAGAGTTTACTGAGGAACTTAGACTGAGAGATTCGAAGCGTATGAACCTAGTCGAGATTCCGGATGGGGTACCTACTACAAATTGAGATAGTACTTATAGTAACTACCGGCGGGGAATCTACGGGCGAATCAAGACAAGAATGACGAAGTCCAAGAGGGAAAGAATAAGTCGAGAACCAGAACAAGAAAGACGAAATCGTACACAAGAAAATCTAGAGTACTCGAGAACGACTACAACGACCAATCGTAACCCGGCGGATAAAATCCAAACAAGAACGTTCGTACGAAGAGGTCATCTGAGCAAACTGGAAATCAAGTGTAAAGAAATAGAAGCAAGGAGAATAACGACACGGCGGAATAAGAAATAGAAGAATAACAGAACAAGAACATACTTCGAATACACAATACGAAACCCGTTTGACAGCTTGCCAAGCGCGCGTCTAAAGTCCACAGGATTATCCGGCGGATCCGAGAGTTCCGGCACAGCCGGAATCATCAATAGACGTTTATGGGCATACTCGGCACGACACGCCAGGGGCTCTTTTGTCGTGTTTCCTTCCTATTTCGTATTTCGATTCTCTCGTACCTCCGCTCCGTCTCTCTACTCTCATCGTCTGTATCATGCGCACGTATTCGGTTGTTTGTATAGTCTTTGCTAGTCTTTATTTCGCAGCTCGTAGTCAAACAATTTGTACCATATATATAGGCCCGCCGGGCAAAAGAATCAATAGATACCCCTTTGACTCGATTATACATCTTGTCCTGATCGACACGAGTCGTTCAGTAAAATAAAGAGGAATTCTCCGAGTGTCGAGTTAGCGAGTTAACGAGTTAGAGTTGAGTTCGAGTTTGCGCGTGAATACACAAGTCCGAGTTTAAAAACGAGTCAACGAGTGATCCCGCCGGGACGAGTTTAAGTGTTTTCGAGTTCAAATTCGCGTTTCGAGCCTAAGTCGTGTTTAAATCGAGTCACAAGTCGAACTTAGTGTTTCCCTTGTGTGTAGAGCACAACAAAATACCAAAACACCATCCGCATAAAGTCAAGAGCCTTTTCAAAGCTCTAAAAACCCTAAAAACCGTTCTATACGAGTCAGAGAGTCTTCTCCTCGTTAACTTAGTCTACTAAAACAACAACCCCATCGAACTTGCGTGCCAACGTACAGACAGTACCTAAAAGTCTTTAGATTCGGCCGTCGGTCTTCATTTTCGTGTCACTTGTCTCACAACAAGTTCCACTCGATTCGGGACCGCCAGTTGTTTTCTTGCTCTTCTTTGTGCTTTCTGTGCTAGCCAGCACATCAACGTGTGAAATGGAAGCAAGGAGTTCTCAGTCCTGCACCCACTAGTACACAGGATTCTGACGCTGCTGCCAGATGGTGGCAGAAATAAGGATGTGGGTTCTCAATTTTGTGAAGGCCTTTCAATCTGATTGTAGCCAGGTAGTCAGGATTGCAGACTACGCAGTGTTTGGCGATGATGCAAGATCTCCTATTGGGAGGTGTCCTGCTCACGGCCTATCCACGCTTACATACAGAACATCTTCGATGCGCCGTGCGGTGCCGGCTTCAACCGTGTGTACGTCTGCTTGCCTATAGACATTAGCATGTCCTCATGACCATTTATTACAGTGGGAATGCGCACAACTAAATTGGTACAATCGATCAATGATACCCAAGTACACTACACTCGTTCAGATGACCCAACAATTCGCGCTCTTCGTGAATTCTAGGTGCTCCTTCGACCAATCGAAGCATTCAGTGAGGATTTTCTCCAATTGCATCTGCCTGTCCGCAGCGTATTCGAGCGGTGAGGGAATATTGAAAATGGTCATTTCCACACGGATTGCCAACTTGCGGAGATAAGGAAAACCCATCGAAAGTAGATGGTCAAGTTCCTGCCACTGTACCGGGTCCAGGTTCAGGTCGCAGTCGATTTGAACAACCAGGAAGAGATCCAACTCCTCCAGAACGTTTTCTCCCTGTATCAGAGCCAGTTCGTGAGCAAACTTGCCATAGACTGGGAACTCTGGCGTTTCCCATGTATCGAGCATCAGGGTGATACTTCGGAGTGTCTTCAGGGACGAGGAAGGAAGTCGGCTCAATATGTTGTTGCGACAGGTCCATTCGGAGTAGTTCTCTGCAATTCAGGTGTGGTGAATTCATGAAATATCTGGCCAATGGTTGGTGATTAGATACGTACTTTCCAAATGTAAATCAAGGGATTTGAGCTGAGTTGGCAGTGCCAAGACGCGAACCACGACATGCTCGTCGTCGTTGTGACCAAAGTGGACCTTGAGGGTCGAAGCCTCCGATATGTCAATTGCAGGCGAGTCGCGACGTCGAATGGAGGATTAAATGTTCTGCAAAGAGGATTGATCGGTCCAGCAGCATTAGTTCCTTGACTTTGACGGGAGCTTCACTTGACGACGGGACGATGCTCTCGTCGGGCTCGAGATTAAGGACGCTAAGTGTTTCCAGATGTCGACATTCGCGGAGGAAGGTATGGGGAAACTCGCCAATGTTGAAAAAGGACAGGGATGTGACGGGATTTCGACGGACAAATGAGTGGAGCGAACTTCGAAGACCAGGAGAGATGGTACCCCAGGGTCTCGCGTGTTCCGCATGTCGGGGTCCATCCGCAAAGGCCAATGTGAAGGTGTGGACCTGGTGAAGATGGCCAAGGACTGTAAATCCATCGTCAACGCTGTAATTGAGCATGCTTTCTATCTCCAACACCCGGACGTAATCCCCAATTGCAAGTTTTTGCTGTACCACCTTGGCAAATCGCTCGATAGGATGGGGAGGCAATCCAACCCGCTCTTCCGGTGGGATCCATCCTGCTTCCTTTTGAACCAGCTTGACCGTATGGAAAATTTGCTTTTGGCAGAGTTGGGTGAGTTGCTTGTTGACGAGGGCGCATTGGTGCAGGTCATCCATAGTGCCTTGGGCAGCGAGGCATTCAACGGTGGCCTCAAAAAGTTCGAGTGGAAACATGACGATCAGTGGGCCAAAGAGAGTCAGGTCTGCGGATTGTTGTTACTGGTGCAGATCATAAAGTTCATGCATCCATACGGCTGCTCCGGTGGGCGTCCCTTCGCGGGCGCTGATCGGGATTTATGATTTATCGAGCTCGTGAACTTCTTAATGGCTTCTAAAACTCTTTTGAGATCCTGTACATTGATCAGAGGTACCCATATTCCGGCATGAACACATCCCGGACGATTTACAGCAGTTTCAACGTCAGGTTGCATCTACACGCTCGCCTCATGTTTCCACCGTGGCTGACGGCCGACCCAGAGTCTCAGCGCAAGGCAAGGGTTGTCGCTTGTGTTGCATTTCTCCCTGTTGAAAACGAGTATATCTACCTTATGGAGGAATCAAAGTATCCCCGTCGAGGATCTGTATGACCAAAAGTGGATGTTCAAGTGCACAATTCCACAATGTGATCATGAGGCCTGGCGTGGGATAGCCTTCAGCCCTCGTATCAGCCCTTGACTTCTCATGTTACATCCAGAGGGGCCTGTCTCCCCGAAGCTATAAGAGCGACTTGTCACGAGAAGGAACCAATGTTTTCTTGTCATACTTAGCCCACTATGTCTACGCAAGAACCTCGGACATAGATTGCGTCTTCCCAGGCGCTGATCCGATCTCCTCAACAATGGCTGTACTTTGCAGGTGTCTAGTGGGCTCAGGAACCACACACAATGTTCGCATGCTCTTCATGGATGAGTACACAACCTTTCTTCTGTATCTCGATTTCATCTCCTAAATCAGGCAGCCCTCCACCTCGTAGCTGAAGCCCAGGTTTTGCTTTGACCACCGGAAGTTCACCTTGAATATCACTTCCAGTTGCTCCGGTACCTGCATGACTTCGTCCGAATCTATGAGATTCCTATGGCCATTTCGAGCGTCACTTTTCGAAGCGACTGGAATCCGTTGGAGAGAATATCATCGAGCTCGTTCCATTGTAATGGGTCCATAACGAAGGTGCCGAGTGTCTCGACATTGGATTTTGATCCACCAAATCGGCGAAACGTTCGAGTGGATGTTGGGTGCTATCTTCGTCTAGGATGACCTTAATGGTCCTAAAGATGTGCTTCGGCAAAGATGGTTGAGTTGCTTGTTGGTCAGGGCGCACTGACGCGGGTCATCAAGTGTCCCCTGGCCTGCGAGGCGCTCGATGGTAGCCTCTAGAAGATCAAGTGGGAAAATAGGGGGGAAAGCAAAGTAGGTCTGTCGCCTGGAGGTCTGTAAGACAGCAAGCCGACGCACTTTGCCGCTACACCAAAAGGTAGCATGACTGAAGAGCTAAGCTCTTCAGCCACCATCGGGTATATGAGTGTGTGGGACTGCGCTGTAAGCCTCCGGTGTTACAAGGTCCCAGAATACCGAGTGCTATGTGTTCGAGTACAAACTGTGGACAGATTCATGTGCAATGATCGGAATTATCCATCGGCTCTAATAATGGATGTTTCCTAACGCCCTCAAGCATCTGCACGAGGCTTGAGGCTTGAAGCTTGAAGATCGTTGCCTTTGTAGGCGCCGATCATCTCATCCGGAGACACACTGGAACCTGTCGCAGGTGCCTAAAGTGGACAGTCTACAGATAAATCATAAACACATCTGCATCTTGCAAGTCCAATTCTTTTTCGAACTTCTCCTTTGACCGTTACCTTTCGATCAGTAGGTGGCAGGTGCCAAGAGAGAAGATCTCTTCTTTGAGGTGGAGACCATGTGGTCTTGTGTGTAAGTGTGGACATATTCTTATGTATTCTTCATCTTCTGTAGACATTGAACACCTACAGATTATGTGAACTTTGTCTCGAAGACCTCAGAACAGCGCCCGCCGATTTCAAATGCCCGCAGGAGACTTTGTGCCTTTCCCACTCATTCTTCCTTTCGAGTGCGAGGGCATCTAGCTTTGTAGATGGATTCTCGAGCCTCTGTGGATGCTGGATGCCTACAAATTATGTGACCTTTGCCTCAAAGATTTCAGAACAGCGCCCGTCGATCTGCATGGTCCAATGGAGACCGTGAAATTCCAACCGATGGGGGATGGGCGGTGAAGACTCCAGGCGACTGCGATATTTACTAATTCCCTTCATCATCTATCAGACACATCCATCGCGGTTACGCTCGGCAGCATCTAACCCTTCAGCGTCCCCGTCGCTGCCTCGCGCTCCTTGACCTAGGAAGTCTGTGAATACTGGTCCCATATAATCCACCAGGCCCCTTGACATTTCCCTGGTACGACACTGTATATCTCCCTTGTTGAGATAAACGTTGACGACGAACATATCCTCTCGATGGGGCGGGGAATTGGAACTTGTGCGTCGATCTGCCGAGTGTCGGATCATTCCTGTAACCAAATTTGGCCGGCCCCCCGCTCTTCCTTGTCAATCCAACAGCAGTTTTGTGAACGGGAAATGCTTCGACGCGCGTTCCACGCAGGCCCCTGGGCAATATTTTTGGAGGGATTCCCTTCTTCTTCATCGATGGGTGCTTTGGCAACAGTTTGTAAGGCCTACTCGGAGCGTTTTTTGTGCGGAGGACCAGACTGTAGCTTGCTCGTTGATGGTGTTCCCCCGGAATTCCGGGCGCTTCCAGGACCTTTGTCTGCTTCCTTCTTTTGTCGCTTTGGATCTCTGTCATCCGTGTTGTCGTCTTCGTGCTTTTGCTTTGCCGAACTTCCACCTGGTGAGGGAGGTGGTGTTGGTTGCTTGTCGTGCTTCATTTCCAACCCATTGCCGGTGAAAAGGGAGCCGGGTGGCTTTTGTCCTGTGGTCTTGAAGGTAACAAAATCTTGCGTAGCTTTCTTGATAATGTTAACGACAGTGATGTCGACTGGAGGGAACTTTCGGCGATTCCAGAAAGCTAGACGAGCGCCGGGAAACTTCATTGGCGGACGGGTTATCACAGCAGAGGTTGGTTTGAACATCGGATTTATAAATGCAGCGTTTATATGAGGATTCAGATCCGGGCAAGGGTGTGTGCTGATTACATTCACCAGCCAGATGTTACCATCGATGGGGCTGCCAACTATTATACCGGGATGGGTTTCCGCGGCGCCATTCCCCGAATTTCCTGGGGGTAATACAAATTTCTGGAAGTAAGTGGTCAGATTAGTGAGTACATACTCGGAACCAGGGTGGATGACATACTACAAGAGATTCCGTCGGGTTCAACGATTGGATTGGTTTAATCCTGACAATCGAGCCAATTTGCCATTTTGTTGCATCGACAAGGGTAAACGTGAAGTGGAGAAATATGGCAATACCCCATCGCATGGTTGCAGCTTACGGTGCGAGTGCAGTTTCTGCGTTCCTTGCTCTGGGGTGGAAGGCTGAGGTATGGTCTACTACCTCATTCTTTGGCGCCGCTTCAGATTATATCCAGACGACATCTCTGGATAGCGCAACGCCATCATCACACAAGTGTACAGCCGAGCCCACCTTCGGTTTCCAGGAGATGGGAGCTACAAGATCCTTGTATCCTCGCATGTTCGTGATAGTATCCGAGATAAGGACTGTAGAGCCATCCGTGTTGCTTGTCCAGCTTATCTGCTACCATGTGTGGTGCGTTATTATTTCACGTGTGAACACTTCTATAACACATGTATACATAGGAATATGTACATATCATATGTCTTGCAGGACTTTGAGAATTCCCTTTCCAATTGCTTCACCGGACCCAGCTGAGAATGGTCCTTGTTCTATGTGTATGTATCAGCTGAATGCCTCTTCTATTTCCTTCATATTTTTTGTTCCAGCTGGTTGGTGATATGTATTTCACACCAGGCCCTGGTGTCAATGCTGATGTCTCAGCTGAACGGCTCGGTGGATGCCAGCCTGCGCCAACTGTCCGCTATCCGTCGCCGATTTGACAATCAAAGACTGTACAGTTCAGACTGGGACCAAAACTTGAATGGGAGCGCCCTGTCCCCCACTTCCAACCCTTGCCTATCCGTCCACGCGTGACCTGGCTGATAAATAGGGAGAATTATACGCCGTAAGTAAATCCCATTGTCTCAGCTGAAAGCCCCTCGAAAATACTCTACCCCCAGCTGGAACATCGAGTACAACCACCGACCCTCCTCGCAGGTCCTTCCACAGTCCATGGGAGTTGTCTCAGCTGAATCCTCCTTGAAGATGCCCTCCCACTCGGCTGGGACATCAAGCACAACGAATTGACGAAGAAAGACTGTACAGTTCAGAACCAAAACGTGAATGGGAGCGTCCTGTCCCCCACTTCCAACCCTCGCCTATCCGTAGGGAAGGACAGGGGTAACCCCCGGGTAGCCGGACACCTACCCTTACCCCCACCCCCCAAAACCCCTACCCCTCAGTCAGGGGTAGGGGTAGTACCCTTACCCCCAACCCTGGGGGTTTTGACCAAGGGTTTTAATCATTTTGGCACTAACAATTACTTACAGTTGGTCTATATGTATATTTTTAAGTGTTTTATTGCGCATACAGCAGTTATTTAGTAGAAAATATACATAGATGCTGAAATAAATGGGTTTTGATTGATTTTTATCAAAACCCTTACCCCCGACCGGGGGTAGGGGTTTGGCCAAGGGTAGCCGGAGACCTACCCTTACCCCTACCCCCGCTCTACCCTTGGCCTCTACCCCGGGGGTTTTAAAACCCCTTGACCATCCCTACCTATCCGTCCACGCGTGACCTGGCTGATAAATGGGGAGAATTATACGCCGTAAGTAAATCCCATTGTCTCAGCTGAAAACCCCTCGAAAATACTCTACCCCCGGCTGGAACATCGAGTACGACCACCGACCCTCCTCGCAGGTCCTTCCACAGTCCATGGGAGTTGTCTCAGCTGAATCCTCCTTGAAGATGCCCTCCCACTCGGCTGGGACATCGAGCACAACCACCCCACCCCCCTAAAACCTGCCCTGCAATGTCTCAGCGCAACGCCTGTCAGAGACACCCTCCCATTCAGCTCCGCGAATATGGACGTTGATGATCTCGCAGAGCCTTCCATAGTCCATGGGAGTTGTCTCGGCTGAACATTCCTTGAAGATACCCTCCCACTCGGCCGGGACATCGAACGCACCCACCCCGTGGTACCGCAGTTGTGTCGGCTGAATCCTCCTCTAACATACCCTACCACTCGGCCGGGACATTGAGCACAACCACCCCACCCCCCCTAGAACCTGCAAGTTACAGCGAATATAGACGTCAACAACCGGAACCGGCCCAAGAACCGCGGCTGCGTTGTCTCAGCTCAACACCTGTCAGAGGTGGTCTCAGCTGAGACAAATTGGTCGAGGGCCAGGTAGAGGACCAGCTATCTGCTCGAGGGTGGATAGATATCCGGCCAACAAAGCTAACCCTTATCCGTCCGATGGGTCTTGGTGTAAGTGGGATGCCCCAGCTGAGCGCGAGGAGATTCAGAAACCAGTCTCAGCTGAGACAACTGGGTTGAAGTCGGCTGAAGATTCTCTTTCACAGGCTGAACAAGGGCCCGTCGAACCAGGGGGAGTGTTGATCATGGTTAATGTCCCAGCTGAGCACTGGGTTAATCCAAGAGGTAGTTTGGCTGAGACAACTCAATTGCAATCTGGGATAATCCAAGAGGGCGCTCCGCTGATACAATTTAGTTGCAGTATAAGCTTGGGTTCCAGCTGGAACAATTCCGATGATAGCCTCCTGGGTTGACTACGGGTCTTGGTGGATGTCCCAGCCGAGTGTGGGATTTTCCCAAAGGTCCTTCAGCTGAGACACGCTTGATGGCCATTTCTCCCCCATGGGTCCCGATAGACATCCCTCTCGAGCCGGAAGATATTTTCGAAACCATTTCAGCTGAGATAATTGAACTGCGGTGTTTCCCATTGGAGCACTGATCTTCGTAGATGTCCCAGCCAAGTCCGAGGATAATAGAAAAGGTTGTTCAGCTGAGGCAACTTTGGCCTTGACCCTTGGGAATGTCGCAGCTGAGCAGGAAGTAATGTGGCCAGATCGTTGAGCTGGGATAATACGGACTGAGCACGGTTAAATTACGAGTGTTGGTCTATCCATCCTTGATTACGGAAACACCTGGCTCTTCTTCAACCTCCGGCCGGGTTCCAGCTGGAACAACAACAATGATCTCGCGGGCTAGTGTCAAAAGCATGTACATAGCCAGCTGGAATATCAGTGGTGGTAGTAGGGGATGGACATTCAGCCGAGATATGTATGAAGGTGCCACAAGAATTCCCAGCTGAGTCCGTTGGCTCATGAGGCTTGGACCTTTCCTATCTCTTGCGAGACATCATTCTTGGAGTTATTCCACTGAGTGCCCTGTCTATAACACGCTAGCCTTCAGGCCTCCAAAATTTGGGAGCACCCACTCATGCTATGCGGAGGTCTTGAGCGCAACCCTCCAAGCGGTAACATCCATGGGCTAAGCAGGACGGCACCGCGAAACTCAATCAGATGCCTTCATGACACCCACCGCTTGCAGGACAAGGTGCCCACCCTAGATTTAAAACCTTTGATGAGGACTTGAATCTCCAAGCACATCGCACTGGGATAGATCTTGTTCAGTGGCTACCGAAACTTCTTAAGGTGGAAATGGGCAGCGGTGGGTCTGCATTACGTGCAGGTTTGGGCGATGTGTTCCGCGTAGGGTAGGCAATCCTTTTGGTTAATGGTAATATAACCCCGTTTACTATACCTTGTACTTGATGCACGCGGGAACCCCTTACTACGTGCTATCTGTCGGAATCAAAGTATTTATTGGCATGCACACACACATGGCGTTCAGATTTCCCTACACCGGGCACTTGTAATCAATTCAATGTTAGGATCTATCAAAGCGAAGCTTTCATCGAGAATCTTTTCCAATATCACCTGTTTCCATGCGGCTTCCTCAAAGGGTGAAGGACCGTCAAATATGGACACCTTCACATGGAGTGACAGCTTCCGAAGGGAAGGGAATCCCGACGACAGTAAATCACCAAGTTCCTTCCACCGTATTGGGTCGAGATTGAGGTCACTGTCGAATTGGCACATGACGGTAATCCTCAACTCCTCCAGAACGTTTTGGCCTTGTAGTCGGGTGAGTTCATGAACAAATTCGGCGTAGGGTGGAAGCTCTGGAGTGTCTATAGTGTCGATAAACAGCACAATGCGTCGAAGAGTGTTTAAAGAAGGAGGGGGAAGCCTGCTGAGGACGTTGCCGCGACAAGTCCATTCTGAGAAGTTCTCTGAGACCGATCAACGGTGAGTCTTTCAAAGAGTTCGAGATTTAAGGTACTCACTGGACAAATGCAGGTCAAGTTCTTCCAATTGCACAGGTAGATGCAGGATGCGACCCACGACATGGTCGTCGTCGTTTATCCCAAAATCCACCTTCAGACTTGAGATTTCCGATATATCGAATGTATGGGCAGTCGGATGGAGGATGAAATGTTCGGCAAAGCCAACCGTCTCGTCCAGAAGTTCCAGCTCCTTTAGCTTGATGTATGACTCGCCGGTAGCGGGACAAATGGAACTGTCCGGGTGAACGCCGAGGACCGTCAGCCTTTGTAGGTGGCTAAATCTCTGGAGAAAGGTGGGGGGAAGGTCGCTGAGGTGGTAAAGGGACAAGGATGTGATGGTTGAGATACGGTATGCCAAGGTTTAGGGATTCCGACATGTCGGGGTCCATCCGCAAACACGAGTGTGAAGGTGTGGACTTGGTGCGATTATTAAACTCACCACCCTTAAAAATATTCGATTTATTTCTGAATTTCGATGTAAATATGGACAAACATTGGGCGTGTCGCGTCGCGTCGCTGGGGTCGTCGCACATTTCTTCTGTACGCTCTCCATCGACCCCGAATCGATTTGTTTCCCTTCTTTTACATCTTTTTCTCCATGGCGAGGAAGCGAAAGATTGACAAGAATGCCATTCCAGAGCTCCAAGCCGTACCGAAGCCCTCGAAACTGCCATAAGGCTGAGCACGAGTACGAGTATACCTGTCGTACTCGCAGGTTTACCCGTGGGAAAACCCGCAAAACCCGTATCCGTGAGTATGAGTACCCATGGGAAATTAAACCCGCGGATACAGGTATGGATTTTTTCATATTTTTCCGCAGGTACCCGTGATTTTTATGGAAAACCCGCAGGTAACCTGCAAAAAACCCGTACCCGCGAGTGCGGGTACCCGTGGGAAAGTAAAACCCGCGGATACAGGTTTGCCTTTTTGAGTCGCAGGTACCCGCAGTCACGGGTACGGGTGTATCCGCGGATGTGCCTTAAACCGCCAAACGCGCAAACGCGAGATGCACACACACGACGACGGCTCTGTAACCTGTTACGGACACCGATGAGGCTCCCAGCTATCTCTGTTTGTCTGAGGACGACCGTAAGGCGATGGTTCTGTATCTGAAGGAGGCTGAATTGGACTGCTTGAAGTTTTGAGTGCTCCGCAGATAACCAGTGCTGAGTGTACCTGATTTCTGTGGAATCTGGACTGTGCTTTTCGAGCTCATTCTCACCCTTTTGCCCTATTCGCCTGACTGATGCCTCCATCGTTGCAGAACAATATGAACTTGTGAAACATTTGGATCAATTGCAGGTAAGCTAAATTCACATTCCGGGTGTAACTACATCAACGACATTCAGCGAGAGAACCCTTTCAGACGAGCATTGCCACGAGGCGAGGAAAGCATGATCATCATCCTCGATGACTCGGACCCTGCTATTCCTCCTTCCCACCCTGCTATCTCCGTCTCTGAACCTGCTAACCCACTGCCTCTGCTGAGCCTACTATTCCTATCCACGAGCCATCATTGCCGATGCAGGATCTGTCAATTGTAAATCAGGTCACAACTCTCACCATGGAGATTCAGAATGGACAAGATGAACTCACTAGTCTAGTTGAACATCTCCTCTCCATTGCACCAGACAGTTCGCGCGAAAGCGTAAAGAAAAGCGAATTCTCTTATAGTATTCGTTGAGGTAGTATACAGGTCGGAGTGATGCAATAGATATGTTATTCTACAAGAACAAAAACATCAGTATTGTAGGCTCGAAAAACGAACCAGGGGGTCTGGGGGGAATCCCCAGCGCGTCGCAGACACAAGGGGGTCTGGGGGGAACCCCCAGAGCGTCGCAGACAGAAGGGGGTCTGGGGGGAATCCCCCAGAGCGTCACAGACACTGTCTGCAGCGTCGCAGACAAGCTGTCGGCAGACCAGGGGGTTTGGGGGACAGAGTCCCCCAACCGGGTCTGGGGTGGAGCCCCAGCCGTCGCGGCCGGCGCCGCAAATAACACAAACGATTGCGACGGTAAACAATCGTGAACTCACCTGGGCATCCCTTCCCCGCCCTCTAGTCCATACCCCTGCCAAAACCCCAATCCCGCCCAAACCGATCTTTTTGAGGTGATGTGACGCGGACGAGCCGAAGTCGCCTGCGGCGAGAGACACACTCACTCAACGTCGCCTACGGCGACAGCGAGTAACACAACGCGAGAGAAGCAAAAGATACATACACAAAAGATACAAAAGAAGCAAACCAACGTCGCCTCCGGCGACCTTCCAATTCCGCGTTCCCACGCTTTGAAATTCCGCTTAAGGGTGGCGCGTTTAATATCCACTTGGTGCAGATGGCCGAGAACTGTGAAGCCATCGTCGACGTTGTAGTCGCGCATGCTTTCTATCTCCAACTCCTGGACGTACGTCCCAATGGCGGGGTTTTGCTTTACCACGTTGGCGAATCGCTCTATCGGATGTGGAGGCAACGAAACTCACTCTTCCGAGTCAGATGGCCAAACCAATCGTGGCACTGGCTTTTGAACCAGTGCAACCGTGTGGAAGATCTGCTTTTGGCAGAGTCGAGCCAGTTGCTTGTTGGCGAGAGCGCATTGACGAAGGTAGGGAATGACGAGGGGTACCCTCGGGTAAACTGAGAGCTACCCTTACCCCTACCCCTGTAAACCCTTACCCCTCAGTCAGGGGTAGGGGTAGTACCCTTACCCCCCAACCCTGGGAGTTTTGGCCAAGGGTTTTTAGAATTTTGGCACTAATCCCCGCTACCTTTAGGTAGTGGGTCTTACACCTCCACACCGAAAAAACCACTCCCTCACTTTTGGCGTATTCCGTTCGCGGATCAAATGTGGCTATGTAACTGTGCGACTCTCCTACCTGTCCTTTCCTCCTTCATTCAAACCCCTTCGTCCATTGGAAATACTATTACCATTCTTCTGTACCAGCCTCCAGGACAGGAGCCGAGCGACGAAGTCGGTCGGCGGATGGCCTGGCCCCCTTGGGCCCTCCATTAGAAATTGCCGTAGGTAGCGGGCCATGCCGCTCGACGGCCTTAGTGTTATCATTAATTACAGGAGTTTATATGGATATTTTGATGTGTTTTATCACTCATACAGCAGTTATTTGGTAGAAACTATACACAGATCTTGAAATAAGCAGGTTTTGGCTGATTTTTATCAAAACCCTTACCCCCGGCTAGGGGTAGGGGTTTGGCCAAGGGTAGCCAAAGACCTACCCTTACCCCTACCCCCCCTCTACCCCTGGCCTCTACCCTGGGGGTTTTAAAACCCCTTGACCATCCCTAGACAAAGGTCATCGAGAGTGCCTTCTGCAGCAAGGCGTTCAATGGTGGCCTCGAAAAGTTCGAGTGGAAACATCGGTGTATGGGGGAAGGAAAGTTAGTTCCGCAGATTGTAGTGACCGGTGCCACTGGCAGATAGTTTGAACTTGGCGCGTCCATCGATACGGCTGTTATGGGCGTCCCTTCTCGGGCGCTGATCGGGCTTTATTTTCCAAAATTCTCTTGAAATCCTGTACATAGAACAACAGGTACCCATATTCCGGCATGAGCACATCCCGGACGATTTCAACCTCAGGTTGCATCTACACGCTGCGGCTGACGCCCGACCGAGAGTCTCAGCGCAAGGCAAGGATTGTTGCTTGTGTTGCATTTCTCCCTTCTGAAATCGAGTATATCTACCTTATGGAGGAATCAAAGGATCCACGTCGAGGATCTGTATGACCAAAAGAGGACGTTGTGCGATTCAAAAATGTGATCATGAGGCCTGGCGCGGGATAGCCTTCAGGTCTCGTATCAGCTCTTGAAAATTCTCATGTTACGTTCAGAGGAGCCTGTCTCCCCGAAGCTATCAGAGTGACTCGTCACGAGAAGGAACCAATGGTTTCTTGTCATACTTAGCCCACTATGCCTACGCAAGAACTTCGGACATAGATTGCGTCTTCCCAGGCGCTGATCCGATCTCCTCGACAATGGCTGTACCTTGTAGGCGTCTAGTTGGCTCAGGAACCACACACAATGTTCGCATGCCAGCCCTTACTGGGACCTGTCGTAGGTGCCTAAAGTGGACAGTCTACAGATAAACATGTTTGCATCCTACGAGTCCAGAACTTCTCCTTCGACCGTTACCTTTTAATCAGCAGGTGCCAAGAGAGAAGATCTCTTCTTCGAGGGGGAGGCCATGCGGTACCATGCGTAAGTGTGGATGTATTCTTCAACTTCTGTAGACATTGAACACCTACAAATTATGTGAACTTTGTCTCGAAGACCTCGGAACAAGCGCCCGCCGATACCAAATGCCCGCAGGAGTCTTTGTGCCTTTCCCACTCGTTCTTCCTTTCGAGTGCGAGGGCATCTAGCTTTTTGTAGATGAATTCTCGAGCTTCTGTGGATGGTGGACGCCTACAAATTATGTGACCTTTACCTCAAAGATTTCAGAACAGCGCCCGTCGATGTGTATGTCCCACGGAGACTGAAATTCCGACCGATGAGAGATGGGCAGTGAAGACTCCAGGCGACCGCGGACATAAAATAGGAAAGTACTTGTGAGTGGAGCGGTGGTGAGCAAAGCTAGATTCATCGTAAATCCAACAAATACGTTACAAGATGACGAGGGGGTTTATCATAAGCAAATAAAAGCACACAGATCGCCGAAGCGCAAAACCAAGAGAAAGAGGAACGTGCAAGCCACAGAGCAAGCAAGCAAACAAACATAAGTGAGTTATACAAAAAGAACCGTCAAAAATACAACATAGGGCGGACCAGTAGGCGTCCGGGGGATATTTCTCAAAAAAGGACTGGTAGCACGTTGGCCAGTCGAGGTGGGAGATGGGCAGGTCGATGGCGTGACGCGTCGACCCCCTCTCTAGATTTGCGAGAGGGGATCAGGAGTGTGGAAGGGCGAAACAACTACTGCCTCTTCTTCTTGGCAGCTAAAGAACGAACCATCAGCCTCGTGTCCAGACTCATCCAGAACGAAAACATACCACCACCGCGACCACCAGAAGCCTTCCTCTTTTTCCTATCACCATCATCGCTCTCCTCATCTTCATCATCGTCATCGTCATCATACTCTTCAGGGGGAGGAGCAGGCCTCTTCGCCGGCGCACGCTGCGCACCCGCAGGCAGGATCGTCGGCTTGGGCCGCTTCTGGTGGCGCCACGGGTTCCCAATCGGCGTGCCCTCCTCCTTGAGGCACTCGGGGCAGAACCACTCGCCGGGCGGGACCTCGGGGAGCGGCGGGTTGAGACAGTGCAAGTGCCACGGCGCATCACACTTGTCGCATTCCAGAGGATCGCCGTCGTCCTTCTTGCACCCGCCGCACACCTGGGGAGGCTGCACGTCCTCGGGGTGCCGGGGCAAGTCGGAGAACTTGTCGTTGGGCTTGGCGAGGAGCAGGGTCGTGTTTTGGCCGGCTGCGATACTGTTGAGAGGAGTCAGATGGGATATTGTTAAGGAGGGGCGGAGATCACTCACTCGATGACGTGGATACCGCTCAAGGGCATGTTCTTCGTAGGCTTAGTGGAGCTCTTCGGCTCGTCCAAGCCAAGTCCAAGCTCACCGTTGGCGGCGTTCTGACCCCAGCAGACGGTCATTGGGCTGCCATCTTCGTCGGGAGTGGTCAGCCAGTGGGTTACACCACCAGAGCGGGCAAGAAGGATCTTGCATCCCCTGAATAAAGGATCAGTATCGCTCCGGAAACAGTCCAACGGCAGCACGCACATGATGTCTTGCATGAATCTGAAGGTAGAGTAGGGAGAGCCAGAAGAGCCCTCGCCGCTGTTCTTCCACTTGCCCGCCATCCAAAACATCCCCTGCTTGTCGATGACGATGCTGCTCGTGGGTCCAGCAGCGATGTCTGCACCCATCGTTGCCTCTTCGGGGCCAGCGAACTGAGGGAGACAGTCGTCAGATCTAATCCTCGTCATATTGATCGATACAGACCTGGGGAATGACTTTGGGCTTCAGAGCGTCGACCTGGTTGCCAAGACCTAGTCGGCAATAGCCATTGAAGCCCCATCCGTAGACAGTACCGGCGTCGTCAATAGCCAAACTGTGTTGCTGACCAGAGGAAATCTTGACGACCTTCTTGTCCTTCAATTCCTTGACGAAGACTAAAGACGATGAGCGTTGAGAAGCGAAAGAGAGGCTCAAGACTCACCTGGTTGCCATTCGATATCGAAGCCAGTCTTATTTCCAGTGAGGATACGCTCGCCAGTCACACCGTTACCCAGTTGCCCCTTTTCGGCACTACCAAAGGAAAACACTAAAGGCGCTCTTTAGAACACGTTTCTGGGGTTATCAAGATGAGAGCCCACCTTTTCCGGTGTCGGTAAGGACCAGGGAGAACGAGATGCCCGCCGAAGCTTGGACGACCTTTTCCCTGTTGCCCCCGTGCACAACGGAGACGGGCTTGAACGCAGGAACGTCCGGACTGGGTGGTTGGCCACACTACCCGCTCGTCAGTCCTCTGGGGAATCTCAAACTTCACAAAGGACCAGCGACTCACCTGCCCGACATTATTAGCGCCCGCCGCCCAGACAGACCCGTCGCTCCCAACCAAAAGCGTGTGGTTGCGGCCACACGCAGCATGGACGAATTTAGTGCCCTGGGGCGCACCGAGGTCGGTAGGCTTCAGAGGAACGGGCGCGTTCTCCGAGACGTAGTCGACGTCCGCGATGCCCAAGCACGAGAAGCCGTTCCTCCCAAACAACCACGCAGTCCCATGAATGTCGAGTGCCACGAAATGGCACCCAGCGCACGACGTGTGAATCGAAACAATCTTGACGTTGAGCAGCGACCTTAGGATGTTGGGTTCGAGCAAGTCTGGGTTGCTGTGTACCGCCGGGAATTCGATTTGTGGACAGGTTCAACGGTTCGGCGTCGCCATTGTTCTCGTGAGCATCGGATTTGGACCCCTGGCGACTCAGAACTCACAATATAGCGTCGTTTTCTCCCTCAGTAGACTTGTTCCTGTCTTTCCTTCCAAGCTTTGGCCTATTGAATCCATGAATGACGAGAAAGACACAGGATTTGGTGAGTCCTGAGCGTAATTCAGACGATCTGAACCGAAATAACTCACCAGTCTGTACCTCCACATATTAGGACTATTAAAACGCGGATTTTTGCAGTCAGTAAGGTTGTAAACGGTATGTAGTATTGGTTAGACGTACTTCGGCCCCATTGTGGCTCGTTTGTGGTGGTAGAATCGGTTAAAGCGGTATTTGCCATTGAGCTTTGGGTTCAAGAGCGAAGCTGGGGAATATACACAAACAAATACCCAACTCTGGGCCGGTGTCATTCCCTTTCTTGATCTCGACCAAATTCGTTCACAGCCCGTTCATGAAACTCCAGTTTCCAGGAAAATACATATTATGCTTTGGGGAAACTGAAGGACGGTACAAGGGGTGTCTGTTAAGGTAGATGATCAACTTCATACATCAACTTTACTTCGTTCTAATGTCAGATGGTCCCTCGCCATTTGAGCATCGGCAAATTCGCGAAGTTCGACTGTGGGAATAGGAACCCCAAACGCTGCCAAGACGTTGACGATCACGCAGAAGACGGTCGTTGTGAGTGAAGGGGAGGCTAAAGTAAATGTAAACCGCTCAACTAGACGGCAGAGAGGAAAACCTGATTCAGGGTGTCGGGCCATTTCCCCAAATCTCAATAAGCAGGGGTTAAAGATACTCCAGGGTCCGACCAGGGGAGAGAAGGATTCAGAAAAGTATTCCACTGTTTGACGAGTCTCAATTCTTGAAGTTGAATGGTACCAGCAAAATTCTCCTGTGAAAGTACCCGGCGAGTACGAAATAAATCAACCCAGTAACCATTTGGAAGGGCCGTCGAAAGTTCACTCGAGCCTCGATCGCCAGCCATAGTCGATTTCTCCTGATCGGGGAACGGTGAATATCGACTCACGTCTCCCCACTCTGAGGTCCCACTCCAACCATACAATTCGCCGATAGATTTCAAACGTCGGGACAAATTGGAGCGACCCTTTCCCAGATTAGTCTGAGGAGGATAGCCTCTATTTCCCTCGAAAGTCGAAAACTCACCAAGAGGGTTTCCCGACGTCCTTCGCGGGGAACCATTCAAACACGGCACTCTCCTACCATTTCCGGTTACTTCGAACGAATGCACGCAGATTCTTAGTAAATCTCCTCAAAAGGAGCTTTTGAGTTTCGGTCATCATCGGCATTCAGGGTTTGTGTGGGGAGGCAATTAAGGTTATATGGACCGGCCCATGCTGTATGGATCCGCCCATTGCGCAGGGCTGAAGCGCTGAAGTGGCAATACAGGGCACGCCCGGGGAATTCACTTCTGGCAGGGGAAACGGATCGATGAGAATAACGATTGAATACGCTTACCTGTAATACTACTATTGAATATTGAATCTCCTGGGAGCATCCGCGGATCAGCCCAGAATCCCAGAGCGTTTAGATTACTTCATGGGCGCTGTCGAAAAAATCTAACCGTTGGACTATGGAAACATTGTGCTTCAGTTGTTCCTGGCGACAGGATCAGAAACTCACCGCAGAAAACACAGGAACGACGAGCGTCTCTCGTGCAGGAGTTACAACTCGGAAGATGACAATCGACAAAACTCAGGAAGTCAACAACGTCGCCAATCGACATGAAAGGCTGTTATCCTGTATCTTAGTCCAGGCACATATCGCCTCGTTTCTTGGAATGGCACCTAGTCGAGAGCTAAAAGTTCCCTTGCTGTCCCCCCGTCTGACATCACGTGCAGACCAAATAGATACAAAGGAGGAAGGTCAGAACCGCGAGCTTCGCTGTCAACGCGAGCTGTCACCACACTTATAAGATAAGATTGATGTTCTCTTACCAAGGATCGTATGTTCTGTATGTTATTTTCAAGATATTTGGCTTTCTCGCTGAGCGATGACTGGCTGTGAGCAAGAATCAAGATTTATTAGGGGTATATCTATTTTGAGAACAGAGTTTGATGGGTTATGTCGACGGCTCGGGAATTGTTCGGACGACTGCGGTAAAACATCGCATTTGTCGTGGAACTGTCCCACGTCAACGGGTTGGGCCCCCTCGTTGCTCGCATCCTCTTCTCTTTCTCCAAACACTCCAATGCCAGTCGCAGAAATGCAGCTCCCTGCCGCTCCAAGGTATGCAGCAGTCTGTCATCTCGGAATTGAATCTGATACTCAAGACCATCCGCAAAGTCACGAATAAGTTTTATTTTTTCGTGCATCGCTTCTTCGAAGGTCGCTCCACCACCGGGCATTGGTACGAAATTTTCCAATTCTTCGTCAATGTCAGACTCATCCGAATATACAGAACGGACTTCCTCGTCGTTGCATTCGTTGGGCTCCGGCTGTCCGTCATCGCATGGCTCCGAATCGATGTCGTCACTTGCCAGCGGGATCAACGTTGAGTGGCTCCAGAATGGTGTTGTTCGGGCGCGTTTCACTTCGGCGAAGAAGAGAGCAGGGACAGGGTGGACTCTTTGGATGAGGTGTTTGCAGAGGAGGAATCGGCTGGTCGCAAATGAGGGGCAAGTGCACACCCACAGTGCTACGTCTGGCCGGTAAGCATCATTCATTGGTTGTGTGATGGGCCTGGTCTCAAGCGCCCTCCATCGTTTTTTGAAATCTTTCCTCCAGCTAGCTAGCTCTCGGTAACGCCCTGTATCGGTGAACACCCTCGCAAGTTTCCGGTAATACGTCGGCGCCAGTTTCGTGACAAGTATCCAGGCGAGGAGGTCGCAACGGGGCATATGGAATTTATTGAGGAAATCACGTTTGATGCGTCTCCAGCTACAACAGACGACCCGGTGAGTCCCTTCATAAAATACCAGGCTAGTGGGGTACTTACTGCGCCTCCAGTATCATCGTTGTCTTCAGGACCGGTATCTGGCTATGCACCGATCTCGCCCACAGCTCCCATCGTCCCTCTCGGTACCAGTTCTCCCACAAGTAGGCCCACACCTCCGGTAGCTCATTCGATATGCAATACATATACATTTGCGATACCGCCCATCGTTTTATTTCTGTCGTTGTCGGCCCAGACTCGCCAGGGATGAGTGGATGGGCGCAGTAATGCTTTTCCATCAGTCGCCGTATTTTTGGCCGGTGCTCTGCGGGGCAGAAGATCCGTTGGCTGCTCCGGGCAGGCGGGGCTTGCTGACCGCCTTCTGGCTTTACGCTGGGGCTTAGCTCTGTGTCGGGCGCAGTGGTTTCCGTTGCTTGAGGCTGTGTGAGTGGTGGCTTTTGGGTGAGGGCGGGCACACGGATTGTGAGGCCAACCCCTGGTTGCCTTCCTGCTGTGAGTGCCGACGGAACCGCCGGAGGGGTAATGTCCTCGGGAAGTCCTCCCTCGTAGTCGGCGATGTCGGTACTGCCAATGGGCCCAAACGTAAGGGAGATAAAATCATATTCACGATGAGCACGGCTGGCGTTGTAACTTGTAAGGGGTCGTCTGGAGCTTGTTCGTTGACAAGCGCTTGCTGACGGCACGGTCAAGGTGCCACCAGCAAATGTTTGTCTTCGCCTTGGGCCAGACCTCCTTGACACACCCAATCTCCGCCATGTCCTTGTCCAGATGGGCGAACGTGGGTTCAACGCCATACATCTTCTTGCATGCCGAGGCAAATGATGCCAGTGATTTGGTCCGTTTCTTCTGATCGATCGCGGTCGCTGTTGTGAGGAGGCAATAGCACAACGGATAGCCAGCGTTATCATATTCAGCCATGATGCTATACAATTCCAAATGCTTCGAGTTCGTGTTATCTAAGCTTTTGGGTTAGAACATTGCTTTTAGTAAGGTTTAAATGGGCAGCTTACAAGTAGCATCCATTCCAATCTCAACGATGGATCCCTCAAGGGATCCAGCAATCTTCTTCATCCCCCATGCAACAATATCCACCCCGTCAGGTACATCCGACAATTGGAAGACATCAATGTCGTCATGAAACCGTGATTCGCCAAGAAGAATTGTGACAGATTCCAGTTGCTGTTCGGCTCGATACCAATGTGCTTTGCTGAGCTCCCGCCATGCGGTATGGACCTGGTTTGCCGTGACTTCAGGGTATGTTGCTTGGATCCTTGGAACCATCTCTCCAGGGCGGAGGAAATCCAGGTACTCCTGGATGAGTTCAACGGCCTCGGAAGGCATTGCCACGTCGAGATAGGGGACATGTCGGAAATGGTGCCCCAATTTGATGGAAATCTTGAGGCTGTCGGGATCAATCTTGGAACAGCTTATCCGTAAATAGCTTTCGCATGGAAAGCGCTTCATGCCGACATGTTCTCGGTGCTTGATATTTGGGTCTTGTGACGGCCGATGCAGTTTCTTGTGGCCATCATCTTGACAACACCAGTAACGTGTTTTGTGTCCGTTTTTCAAAGAGGGGTGGTCCTTAACTCTGCAACCGCGGTAAGCAACATACCCCTTGGAATTAGACATGACCACTCACGTAAATCTATACCCTGTGACACGCCATATCTCATTTGCCACAGCCACAACTTGTTCTCGGTATGAACGTCCATTCATGGCTGTGATTTGATATGTTGCATCAACAGAAATGTGTATTGTGGTCCTGAATAACTCTTTAAGGTATACAAAAAAATCTGAGGGACCAGGGAAGTGTTTCTGTTGTCTTTTCTGAGCAACGGACTAGCATGGTCTTGAGAATAAATAACATACGGCATTACTGCTATCCTCTTCTTCGTCAGAATCGTCATGCCAAGGTATTCCCGTTCCAAGTCTTTGCTGATTGGCCGGTCTTGGATTCCCATGTTCTTCATCACGGACTCTTTTGTTTCCCGCCTCGTCGGCTTTCTGTTTTTGTCGGGAGCGACATGCGCGTTGGTTTTGAGCGGCTTGGGCACGGCAGTGGGCGCATCGCTTGTGTGGGGGCTGGGTGATGTTTTTACAGCTGGACTTTGAGCATTTCTGTCGGTTTTCAGGTGGGTCCATAGAGTGAAGAGAGTGGATTAACGTTTTAAGGTTTGGTTTATTAAACTACCGGGAAATAGGCTATGGACGCGTATAGAACAGGCACGTGAGCGCGGTTTCCGATCATCGGACTGGTCTGCACGTGATGTCAGACGGGGGGACACCAGGGAACGTTAGAGCTAAGGACAAAAAACCATGGAAGGTGAACTAGGCTCGCTACCAGCCGGTACACACGTGACCACATCAGGGTCAACTCCGTGTACCGGCTGGGAGTCACCAAGCCCATTTTGGCGTGTCACGCTTGTCACACTCTGACTTAGCGAAAACTCGATGAAAACGCGCGCGCGGTTAATTAGCCTATGGTACACTACGGTAATTTCCTCCTCACTCCACCCTTCCTCCTCGCCATCTGTAGTATCGTATAGTTGAAAATTATCAGAACCATCGCCTGAATGACTGTAACTGTCAGAATGTGAATGGTCACGCTCGGGAGTCGGGCTCTCGCACACCCACAACCTCACCTCCAGCCCGGGCCATCCCATCCACCCCCTCCAGTCCAAGGATGGCACACAGGCCATTGGCTGATATACTATGTTCCTCCCCCTCCTCCCCACATGATATACCCTTATCCCTATCCTTTCTATTATCCCCGGCCACCTCCAAACGGACAGTTACGCTGCGCTCCACTTGTTTGTGCTGGCCATCAACCGGCATCGACCAAATACGGTACAAACATAACACAAACAGAGTGGGGCAAGGCGTAACGACTGGTCGCGAGTCTATCTAAAGGTGAACGATGCCTCCAATCGGCCAAGCGATATCGATGATGGCCGTGATGGCCGCGGTATGGCTGATCAGAAAATTCAAAGTCCTCAGCGCTTCGAAACGGCTTACTACCTTCCTTCCACGACCACACCAACCTACCTCTCGAACTTGTCGAACGCTTCATATGTTCTTCCGCTCCAAACACTTCTCGATGGGCCCTGCCCGTATGCAGTCGTCAGCAACCACCATGATCCACGGTAAGGCCTGCAAGCTCGAATTAACTATAAGTCGAGCTGCCGGGCAACCTTAGTAGCCTTACGCCATCCAGTTTAGGACTGTGCCGGCTGAGGAAGGTAAGTATCTGCACCCATAACTATGATAGTCTTCCAGCGTCGCCACGTGCGTGAGGGCGTAGAAATACCCTAGGATTCCAATCAGCGCCCACTAACCTGTCCACAGTTTGTACACACTCGAACACACAGCGCTCAGTATTCTCGAGCTGCCAGGCGACAAACCTACATTGCTTTCCTCTATGTTTCCACTCGACCTCTTAGAGGCTACCATTGAGTTCCTCGCCAGCCAAGGGACACTTGATGACCTTCGCCAATGCGCCCTCGCCAACAAGCAGCTCGCTCGACTCTGCCAACGCCGGATCTTCCACACGGTTGTGCTGGTTCAGAAGCCAGCGCCAAGAGCAGTTCCATGGGACTCGGAGGAGCGGGTTTCGTTGCCTCCCCATCCTATCGAGCGATTCGCGGAGGTGGTAAAGCAAAACCCCACCCTTGGGACGTACGTCCGGGAGTTGGAGATCGAAAGTATGCGCGACAGCAACGTCTCAAGGTGGATTTTGGGATACAGGACGACGACCATGTCGTGAGTCATATCCTGCAGTTACCTGTGCAATTGGAAATACTTGATCTGCATTTGGCCAGTGAGTACCTTAAATCTCGGACTCTTCGAAAGACTCACGGTCGATGGATCTCAGAGAACTTCTCCGAATGGACTTGTCGCGGCAACGTCCTCAGCAGACTTCCTCCTCCTTCTTTAAACACTCTTCGACGCATTGCGCTGTTTATCGACACTATAGACACTCCAGAGCTTCCACCCTACGCCGAATTTGTTCATGAACTCACTCGACTACAAGGCGAAAACGTCCTGGAGGAGTTGAGTATCTCCCTCATGTGCCACTTCGACAGCGACCTAAATCTGGACCCGATCCGGTGGAAGGAACTTGGCGATTTACTGTCGTTGGGATTCCCTTCCCTTCGGAAGCTGACTCTCCATGTGAAGGTGGGCATATTTGACGGTCCTTCGCCCTTTGAGGAAGCGGCACGGAAACACTGGGCGATATTGGAAAGGATCCTCGATGAAGGCTTCGCTTTGATAGATCCTAACGTCGAATCGACTACGAGTGCCCAGTGTAGAGAAATCTGACTACATGGCCCGTGTATACCAATTGATTCGTTACAGAAGACCCTTGACATGACTACCAGTCTACCACTGCTCTGTGCATCTGAGTCGTGGCTTGATCGCCGACTTACCCCTTTCCGAGTCGGTCTAGAGTCAGGTCTCGCATGGCCATCCAGTCTTTCAACACAATCTGTAGATTATATATCTGAATCAATGCTTTTTCACTTGATGGTCTGGAATGTAGAAAACAGGCTAATAAACTGCCTGGATTCTCCGAATGAGCTGTGTGCACACACGCTGGAAGCCAGCGCCCGTAGACCCATAGCTTACCCACATAGATTCTGACCGTTCATTCTCCCCATCATGTCCAACGTCCCTCTCGAGCTCATCGAGCTCATCGTGGCCTACCTCGCGTGTCAAGGAACCCTAGGAGACCTTTCCCAATGCGCCCTAGTCAACAAGGAATTCGCCTCACTCTGCCAAAAGCGGATTTTCCATACGGTCATGCTGGTTCAAAAGGAAGAAGGATGGGTCCCACCAGAAGAGCGTGTCGAATTGCCTCTCCATCCCATCGAGCGATTCGCCGAGGTGGTGAAGCAAAACCCGGCTATTGGGACGTACGTCCGGGAGTTGGAGTTAGAAAGCATGTATGATTACAACATCGACGATGGCTTCGTGGTTCTTGAAAATCTGCACCAAGTCCACACCTTCACATTGGCGTTTGCGGATGGACCCCGACATGCGGAGCGTGCGAGACCTTGGGGCACCATCTCCCCTGGCCTTCGAAGCTCGCTCCTCTCATTTGTCCGTCGAAATCCAGTGACATCCCTGTCCCTTTTCAACATTGGCGAGTTCCCCCATACCTTCCTCCGCGAATGTCGACATCTGGAAACACTTAGCGTCCTGAATATAGAGCCCGACGAGAGTATCTTCCCATCGTCAAGTGATACTCCCGTCAAGATACAAGGATTGACGTTGTTGGACGGATCGATCCGCTTTGCCGAACATTTCATCCTCCACCCAACTTCGCCTGCCATGGATATATCAGAGGCTTCGACCCTCAAGGTCCACTTTGGGAAGAATGACGACAATCATGTTGTCGTTCGCGTTTTGACGCTGCCGAGTAAACTTGAGTCCCTTGATTTAGAATTGGAGAGTGAGTAATTATCTAGTGTGATATTCCACAAACTCACAACGTATGAATCTCAGAAAATTACTCCGAATGGACCTGTCGCAACAATATCTTGAGCAAACTTCCCCCCTCTTCCCTTAAGACACTCAGAAGCATCACCTTGATTCTGAGGACTTGGGATACTCCAGAGTTTCCTGCCTACGGGGACTTTGTCCACGAGCTCGCTTTGATGCAGGGACAGAACGTTCTGGAGGACCTCAATATCATCCCTATCGTTCAAATCGGCTGCGATCTGAATGTGGACCTGGGCCAATGGAAGACGCTTGACGATCTACTCTCAATGGGGTTTCCTCGCCTTCGTAAACTGACAATCCGCGCGTACGTAACGTTCTTCGACAGTCCTTCGCCGTTCGAAGATGCTGCGGACAGGCAGGCGCAATTGGATCGAATCTTCGCCGAATGCTTCGATTGGTCGAAAAGACACCTGCATCTGACGACCAGCACTGAATGTTGGGTCATCTAGTTATATCACTTCCTTACCCTTCCAGGACTTCTATGAAAAGAAAAATTTAAGTCATGGTGATTTTTCTGGACTCTCAAAAGGGTTAGTAGGAACAGGAAAGTGCCAGGATTAACAAAAAGGGGGCTACTGGCCAACGTGGGGATCGAACCCAAGACCTTCGCGTTATTAGCACGACGCTCTAACCAACTGAGCTAGTCGGCCGACAAGAGTCCAGCTGAGGGCGACATTATTGGTGCTCTTTTAACTTAATATAAAGCGTACCACAGCCCTGCCTAAAAATCTGCCTAAAAGTAGAGAAGTGCTATTATTATCGACTCTAACGCACTGGAGAGCCAGCGTCAAAGAGCCACTGTAACAAAGAAAGATAATTACAAGTGATAAAAAGCGTGATTAATCGATATTTCAGAGGCAAACCGACGGGATACTGCCTTTCTCTTACTTTCCTTCTTGCTCCCTTCACGTCAACAGCCTTGAATTGAACGACTTATGTGTTGGGAGGGAGAGCATCGTAGATCGGGCAAAGTTGGTCCCAAGCAGCTGTAAAGTGGAAAACGTTTCACGTTGAGCTCGGGTTTCACAACTCCTCAAAAGCACGGGCGCTACTCACGAGGGGGATCCATGGTTGCAACAGTAGGAGCGTCCTCAGCGAACACTACAGCCAACCCCCTGTATTCCCATCATCGCGATCAGTAAAGTTAATCACGTCTGGAAGAAGGGAAGACTTACAAAACAAGGTGCCAGTCGATATGGCTAAGTATGTGATATCTTGGTTAGACAATCAATTCAGCACGAGGACGATGACTTGACGCACCAATGGAGAATCCATGGTCCAGGGTTATCGGTACGGAATCGAATGGTGACGTTGTCACCAGCAACACCGGCACTCACGACATCCCTGCGTACCGGGTTCGCGAAGTTGTAGGTCGAACTCCCCGCGCTTCTCACCACAGCAAATTCGTGCTATCAGATCGAAACAAAGAAGCACCGTCAGTAACGCTTCCGAATGAGATCAGACAGAGGCCTACATACACCGTGGAGATGGAAGGGATGCTGTAAGCGAATGATCCAGCGTTAATCACCGACTTGTTGGAAATGAAGACAATTAAGACTTACGGGACTGCCAGTGGAGCCTCCAGGCATAGAAAGCTCGATGACCTTGTTACGGGGAAGGACGTAGACCGAACCGGAGGGAAGAAGCTGCTGGGCAGTCTGTGCACCGCTCATGATCTGAAGCAAGACAGGGACGGGCGGTTGATGGAAAGTGGCTCCGTTAACGGAGAAGGTGAGACTACTGAAATCGAATACCGTGTTAAGGTTGATCGCGACGTCGACGCCACCTGGGGTAGGCAAGCCAGGAGCAGCAGGGTTGGTCAAGGGGTGGAGATTGGTCTCAAGGAGAGGGTTGCTGAAAGGAGTTTGGGTGGTAGTGGGGTCTGTATTGGAGGCGCCCACATAGCGCAGAATCGCAGAATTGACTCCACCGACGAAGCCCGTAGTACCGATGTTGGGGTTGGCTCGCACCCAGTAGTTGCCGACGGGGCGGTTGGCGTTGAGAACGAACGAGTAGCGCTGACCTGCGAAGATCTGGATCGAGTCGACAACGAGAGGTTGGACGTTAACTCCGTCGACCTCAATAACAGTCTAAGGGATGATACACGTCGTTAGCACCCGTTTTACAGGGATGGGAACTAGTGCGTACCATGGTATGCCCATCGATAGAGAATACATAATTAGGATCGCATGAAAGGGAAACAAGGCGGAACCGGTATCGTCGGTTTCGGGTTACAGAAATGACCGCGAGAGGTACGGTAGGGCCACCAGCATACCGGCCCTTACCGTTGATAAGCGTGGAATCTGGGGTGGGGACGAGACCTGCAGAGGGAGCAGGGACGTGATACCTGGCGAACAGAAGGGCCCCGAGTTAGGTATGCTCGAAGGTAATCGAAAGTAATTAGATTCTTACCAGTCTGCGAGCGTAATGATCGTGGCCTCTGTAAAACAAGGTGAACTGCGGATCACAAGACGACCAAACGCCGGAGGTTACATACCGTTGTCAATGTCATACCTAAATGGCAAGTCATTAGACTGATGGCTTCCTTGGGAATAAAGTAAAGGATGCTCACAAGTTGCGATGTGGGTCGACTGGGTCATATACGACCATAGCCCCACGCAAACCATCACAATATTGCGATTCTGAGAATGACTGAGTCAACATCGTCACGTCAGTACAGATAGATTGTAGTTACCGTGATGGGAGTGGTACCAGAAAGTACCGGCTTGGTTAAGAGCCTGGAACTTGTACAAGAACGAATGCCCTGGGGAAATAGGGCATTGGGTGACGCCAGCAGGACCATCAGCCCAGGCAGTCCCCCTTTGGAACATGCCGTGCCAGTGCTGTTAAAAGATGGTGAGCTTCCGCTGATCGCAGCATCAATAGAACTGACTTACGATACTCGTAGTCCTCAGCATAGTGGGGTCGGTCAGAGCGTCAATGACGTTGATCGCAAAGAAACTGTTCTACAAAGACTCAACATGATGTGACAGGAAACGGTTGAAATCTGCCTACCTTATTCCCTTGAATGACGGGGCCAGGGAACTGCACCGTTGGCTGGGTAGCGCCAGCGAGGACAGCACTGCGACATGATCAGTCACTGAAGAAGCGTCCAGTCCACAGAAAAGGCTCACGATCGACTGAAGCCGTCGGGAGCGATGACCTTGTTCGCGACGACAAGGTTGGTACTGGGGCCAATGGCTCCCAGCACGAAAGGTAAGAGGGATGTAGCGAGAGCAGTCGCTAAAAGCAACATAACGAGTTTCAAGAACGGGTGAACTCAGCCGGCTGGTGGTGAGTGGGGAACGTCGGATGGAGAGTAGAGCGCTTTATACCTGCCTCGCCTGGTAGCTTGAGCCCTAATTTGTGCACTTTGAGGACAAGATTCAGGCTGTACGATTAATCATACAGGTCACACGAAATAACTAGAAACGTCAACCGGAACAAAGGTCAGGAATGCCAGTCCAAAACACGCATTGGTATGAAACCAGGGACGTACCTGCATTGAGATTGGAATCGGGCATCGCAAGGAATGCATTTGTGCCTCTCACGAGGGGGTACGTAAAGCAATATTGAGTGGTCGCAAAGATATGAGCAAATCGGCGAACGATCCTAGATTCGAAATGGTGAGTAAACGTCACAAAAATGGATGAGACAAAACCAGATTGCATCTTCTGGAAAGAAAATTCCACTTCGAGGCATATCTCCTTCATGTCACGGAGAACTCCAATGTTGTACCTAGATTGCGACAGGTTTTTTGAACCGATAGTTCAAGAAGTCGAAAAAAGGGATCGCTTATGAATCCTTAATGAAGGATCAGTATATATCTAGGTCGTACTTGACGCCGGACTCACCAAGTTGGATCCCCATCAACTCCCATCATGCAATTCCAATCCACCCTGTTCGCTCTCGTAGCCATCGTTGCCATGAGCTGTGCGGTACGTGTACTGCCCATGACCGACACTTACGTTGGCTAACCACTGACTAGCCCGTCCATGGTGCGGAGGGGGACGTCTTGACGGCCACCAAAATCTTCCACACCATCCAGCGAGAATCGCCCTTCCTCATTGATCGAACCACCACAACTGTTTGGACGTAGGTCGTCGGCATCGATATCAGCGCTGTCCATGCTCATGATTTTGATAGCCAAGGTCCCAGCCTGAGCGAGACAGCGCCCACGCCCACGCCTTCCAATTAGCACAGAAGCTGCAACCATAGTATCATAAGGTTAGTTTCTCCAAAAACCTGCCTCCAAGATGAGGACTCACCCGCATTAAGGCCAGACACCCCAAATCGTCGTAATACACCTTGACATGTAGTATTAATTGTTTCATTGTACTTAACGATGCGAGCAAATGATTAAATGTACCCGTTACCTTCAGACGACCGCGGGACCTAGGGTAACGCGTATACATCGTTTTCGAGAAATTGTTGAACGGTTGGAATGATATTATAGGCCAGAGTGAAGATTCTTTCGAGCACGACTATAGAATTGTAAGCCGAGAACTCCTGCTAGCCTGAGCTAGAGTTGCTCTTAACCAATCGACTTAGATTAGAGCGTTCGCCGTGATAAATCCCAAGCCCTGGTCAAAGCTAGACAGGGCAAGGATAAGCCGTCCTCGGTAAGTTCATTAACCGAGTCATCCCTCAACTACTGAGCGTTGTCCGTGCCTGACCGATACTACGCCAGTTGCTCATAGCAGGGGCTCGGTTTCTCATGTCAAGCAGCGTCTGCCAATAGAACTCGTCAGATTTGAAACGTCAAAAGCAAGCTGCGAAACATAAAACCTACTGACAAACATCTCACTACATAACGGTTGTTTACTCCAGTAGACTATACTGTTTGCGCGACTTTTTTATTCCTTTTCATTCGGGTGCCTGTCCGAGTCGTTTTGCAATTTCTCTGAGAGAAAATGGCGAAGAGGCGGAGATTTCAGGACCTTTGGGTCTTGAGGAGAGGATAACATGTCAACCGCGACTCATCGACATCCTTGGCTGCCAGGTTCGCTTGGTCATATGTTTGCTTTACAAGCTTTCCGCCAACAATGTCACTCGCCAGGTTACATCCGAGGTTTCACCGACGACAGACTAACGACGGATTCATCTAATGCTGCATCCGATACAATCGACACACCAAGCATAGCTCTCGTTCCTTACACCTCACCAACTGCCAGTAGGTTACGTTTGTTGGGCTACGACGGTTGTGACTTTGGCCGAATAACGCTATTTCAGCTTCACCTAGGTCTACCGATCTGATGATGGGTATTTCCAGCGATCACCCCATCCACCAGATTCCAGACGAGGTGTTGAGCAAGATATTCTTGGTTACCACGCTATCTTCGCTCAGCAAATGGGATGAGCCAGACCCCACAGCCGGTTACGACTCGATTCTCCCTTTCCCTTTGGTGGCCTGTGCAGTTTGCCACCTATGGCGTTCCGCAGCGCTCAGTAGTCCCGAATTATGGGCCACTATCACGACTCCCATGTCTATGAAGGGCACAAACTCTCTCCGTTTTGATCCAGTCAAATTCACTAGACTTTGGCTCGAACGATCTAGGGCAGCACCGCTTCACGTTTACCTGTCCATACCGCCTCTGGCTTTAGCCCTCAACCTTGCCGTCGAAGTCATTGTACCCGAAGTCATGCGCCACTCCAATCGTCTCAGAACGTTGTTCATCAATGCAGATTTTGGAGGTCTACATTTTCCCAATTACAGAGGACTCTTGTCTGCGATCAGGACGCGTACGGAGGCAAACTCACCCCTGCGCCATGTCTCCATTCGATTTTCACCATGCGTTCACACCCAAGTTACGGAAAACGAGTCCCTTATTGAAACATGCTGGGGCCAGGACACTGGAACGACATCACCATTCTCTTCTGTGCAAATGTTGCGCGTTGAGGGTATCCGAATCGGGCCAGCCTTTTTTCCCAGTTTGGTGTCACTCGTCCTTTGGGACTTGACATCGACTCCTCTAGAATTCACTCGCATGATCACAGCATTACCCAACTTACGGCGGCTCTCTTTACTGCGCCTTCGCACATTCGTCACAGAGGACCGCCCCACACCGGTAATCGTACCGAACCTTGAATTCCTCGCCCTCAGCTTCTCCCGTCGTTTAGCGAATGCCAACCCAGCATACCCGGCCACGTACCTTCGCCTTCCTAACCTCAAAATATTGGAATTGGACGGAGAAGTTGCAGTACCCATCTGCTCATGTCTCGATTCGGCCTTCGCAACTTCCATCAGCAATTTGGAAACCCTACGGCTTCGGAATCAAGTCCGGTTCGCTCTCGATTCCGGATCGTCCTCCACATGGACGGACATCCAGCTCCTCCACAAGCTCCTATCTATCCGCTCTCTTGAGCTCATCAATTCGTCTGTAGGCGCGCTTCTTCACACGGAGAGGCCCCCCTCTTCCCGCCAACGACGGAGTTCCCTTAGAACCGCTCGACCGACCATCTCCCCACGTCTAGCTGAAACAAGTCGCAATTTAGACGCTATGTTCCAGCAGATGCGTATCAATGGACGACAAGAGGAGGCAGTACCTGAACCAGCAGCTTTGGACGTACCTGGCGAGTCCGTGTCGTCAATCCCACCGATTACCTGGCCCAACCTCGAATCCGTTTCACTCGATTCAATGAACGTACAGGACCTTGTCAGCCTTTGCCGTTATGTTTCTAAAAACAGAAACATAAAAACGGTGCGATTGTCGGCCACTCCTAGACGTCACTTGTCGCAAAGTGTCAAACACCGGATTGGTGATGGTACGTTCTACGCCCCGACCTTCATCAGTTCGAGGAAAGCATGGGGTGGATCGAAGGAAGAGGCGGTTGGCACGGGCTCTGACGTAGAGAGTGCACAAACATGGATGGAAGGACGTGTCCAGATCTTGCCATTTGAGCACGACTTGTAGGAAAGACATGCTACATCAAGGGTAATGCATTGAAGGTATTGATAGTTGTACTGCTTCCATATGCGTCGTTCTTTTGTTTAGACCATCCGGATATCTACATTGCAGTTAGCCAAGGCACCGCTGATCAAACATCTATAGCTACCATGTGTCTGTATTCCGGGTATGTATGTGCCTCAGCACGGTAGATGTAGACGTGTCAACGCGATAAATCACTCAATGTGGAGCGGCCCGTTGAGTGCCTTTGGCGCCCGTTTACGGGTCCTGCGGGTGCTACAGCCAAAAGGCAATTACGACAATATTATTATCAGAACATCACTGATATTTTACACCCATTATCATCATCTCCATGGTAAGCCGGCTAGCTGACACCCCTTGCGTTGGAGCCCGTTCATCAAGAAGGTTACAAAGACCCTCATAAGACCTTGCGCGCAACTCATGAGAAAATATCTTCCCAAGTATGGAGCGAAACTGTCGGTCGCCTTGCTACGATACTGAGGGTTTAGAAAGGGGTCAAAGGCGGTACCTGTTGCCTGGAGAATGAAAAGCGGCGAGGCGGAGATAGTGCTCTGTTCCCGTAAGTACTCAACCAGACGCAGTGGCGGCGTTGGATGACGCGTACAGGGACACCCTTTTGAGTCGGTATAGGAAAGAAACGACGAAAAAGTGGTACCACTTGCATTCCAAAGGGCATCCATACGAACCGATGTACCTGATTAAGTGGTCCTTCCAAATGCTGGCCTCCGATACTCATGCTTGTTGGTTTTGTGATTTCGCTTTGAGAGGTACATATTTCCAACTGATAAGGAGCATAGGTTCGCGGTGGTAGGATTGTATCACTTACGTTAGGTACCTAGAAAGGGGGAACTTGGCCTTTGGGCTGCGGCTTGTACTACGGAAGTCTGAAAGGGGATGAAGAGAAGGAATTGCGATCAGAAGAGCATCATCTCAGCAGAAGAGTCATGATATTTTTACGCCTAATGGGTGTTTCGATCTACTGAAAGGAGACATCTAGGAAGAACTGTTAATCCGACTGACCTTTGCCATACTGAAGCGCTCAGCGCGAGCAAATGTACATTCCGATCTCGACATGGCATTGTGCAATGACCGGTAGAATCGTCATCCTGGGGTAGAATCGTGTGTTTTTTGAAGCCAATATGGTATCTGAATGGTGTCCGGGAAGATATTACTCGTTTTACTTCGAACGAGAACGGGAATCGGCGTGGCCCCGGTACAGGTAGACAATAGCGGAGCAGTTCCATATGGCCAGTAAGGATATTGCGCGGTCATCTTCAAGATCGGTTTCTGGTCAGTTTCTGCCTCTTTTCTCTGACCGAAAACAGGGTGGTCTTCCTACCTTACGCAGACCAAAGCCAAAAGGCAAGATGCAGAACGACGAGACAAAGGGCATAATTGATCCGCTCCAGACTTTGATCCGTGCATTTGCCAAGGACGAACGGAAACCAATGTCCGTGTCCGCGTCTGGTTCTTCGTGAGGGAGCAACGACCGCATTAGCTGCCTTTGAACTTTGGAGACTCTTGTTAATTACTACTCGCACTTTCTCTTGTTATGATTCCCAAATTAGATGTTTCACGGTTTTGAGCCTGAGAACTGCTCGCGGAGAAGGTCGGGGTTAGCCGCCTTGACTAATACCAAATACAGCTGATGCCTCTTCCTCTTCTACTTTCACGTCGACCGCCATCATCCATCGTCAACAACCTCGATTCATGACCGGGCGGGTAGATTAGTGCCAGCTCCGCTTCGAATATATTCATTCCTGACTTGTCGGAAATCTCACTACGACGGTCCACTCTACTAACAGTCCAATTTAAATGTCGACGGATCCAGGTGGGCTGGATGATGCAGTTGAAGAAGCATCATGAAACCCGTAAGGTATGTTCTCGAAACTCCTCTGGGTGGACTCAACCTCTTACACCGCCAGTGTCTTATAGGACAAGCGATCTAGAACGAGCCGAACGATCCTCAATGACGATGTGGACGGCTCCTTACGAACCCACTTATTATCCATCCGACGCTCGCTTCAGAAGACCTCATTTCCCTGGTCGAAGTACGAACGGGGAATGGAAGAGTACGGCGAAATCAGGCCCCCGCTCTCTGGCACTGGCATAGAGAAGCCAAATTTGGCAGACCGCCACGCCACACCATGGCTCGAGCGGGGGAAGGCAATCTGACCAAATGAGGTACGTCGAGATGATGACTAGAGGGACCTCTATGATTGTTAACATATAGCAGGGATTGATTATCAACCATTCTCGTAGAGAAGGTCTTTGAATAAGTAGGTACGGCAGGAAAGGCTGATGCGAGACGGCTTTCCAGGCTTCGTCAGTAGCGGCTCCTTGCCGCGCTGGGGCTACTAGTACAGTGTCTATCCCGAAGCGACAGTCGGACCAGGTCTAGATAGAGAAAGGTCAGAACGCCGAAATACTGGAAGGTCACAGCCGACTCACGTCCAGACGATGGTCTCGGTATGGTCAACGACGTATGGCCATTCATTGGCCAGGGTGTGATGCACACGAATCGCCGTGTGAGGCTCTTGAGCCGCGACTTCAGGCTTCACGGTGATGAAGTGAGTGTTCTAGCCCCCGGATAACATGTCAATGGGCGCCACTCACCAATGCGCAGAGTGCAATGAAAACCGCAAAGGAAAGGAGACGACGTTGGACTTGCATGTTATGGGCTGCTGTTTCTGTCTGTGAAAACGACGATGCAAGCCTCCGCTATATACCATTCCATCCTTCAGAAGATCACCTAGCGGTCACCGCCCTGAGTCTCGCAATATAAAACCTTGGTTACCAATTTATCGCACAGCTAATTCAAGAAGGCATTCGCTCGAGCCCTCCAAGTCCTCTCGAGTTCCGCACAAGAAGCGCCGGCGAATCCTAATCCCATCTAATTAACATAGAGAGCGGAGTGACAAGTTTTCCTCTCCGCAGAGGATGGCATCTAGTAACGCATTATGCTCAACAAATGCTCAAGCCCGCTCTTCGTGATTACCTCCTCACTAACGTCGCACCGCCCCCCGCCCCTGCCAAATGGTCGCTGAGAATTGGTCTCCTTGCTGAATGACTGATCCCGTTTTCCATTGCATATTGCATATCCGATGTCGCATATTCACCAAAAAACCAGAGGTTATTTTTGTGGTGAGGCGTTAATCTATCCCGAATCTCCTCCTTATACCTACTATTTTCTTTTCGCAATTTGTGGCTGCATTTTGCATGCGGTCTACAGGTAAAAAATAAACAACCAATGGTGTAGGGAGGGAGTAGAGAGGCAAGTAAAATGGTTAAAAGTCAAGAGTACTCGAGCCAAACTTAACACGATTCCCTCCAACGGTCGCCTTGGTGAAGAGTCGACTTCCACCAGAACCACCATGATACTGCTTACCTTTTCATTGCTTATACTTCTGTCTTTACCAGCTGCTTTGGCAGGATTTGGCTCATCCGGAGACCTTATTGTCGGTAACAGGTTCATTTCCCCTGATGGTTTCAGCAGATCGTGAGTGTATCCAATCGGGCATCCATCCTAGGGGACTCCTCGCTCATGTTGGAATTTTAGCGCCGTTCTCGCTGGTAGCTCAGTGAGCGGATTAACCTTCCCTGGGCCAATAATCACCGGCACACGAGTCAGTGACCCTTCAGATGCCCAAATTACGAGTACACTGAACGTTTTCTGAACTTGGCTGACAGGGCGGCCGATTTCATCTCAACGTCGTGAATGAGCTCATTGACCCCGCGATGCTTCGAACTACGAGTATTGTGAGTGCTCGCCTTTACCGCTTGTGAAAATTGGATCTAAATGAACATTTCTCGGGCTGCGGGCAGCACTGGCATGGTCTATTCCAACGCGGAAGTCAATGGGCAGACGGCCCTGCCGGCGTCACTCAGTGTCCCATTGTTCCTGGAAGTTCTTTTCTTTATCAGTTTCAAGTTCCCGACCAAGCGGGGACGTTCTGGTACCATTCTCACCATCGTAAGTTGCTCATCGATTCTTGTGAAATGACGAGCTCATGGAATTTAGAAACCCAATACTGTGACGGCCTGCGTGGAGCATTCGTCCTTTATGACCCTCACGATCCCCATCATCAACTGTAAGTCCGTCAAAGGTGTGAATCAGAACACTTCATCCTTGCTGACCTTTGGCTTTCAGGTATGATATCGATGATGGTGTGGTGATTTCCTTCTTGTTCTGTGACGCGATACTTACGCCCTTCAGAATCTACGATCATAACACTGGCCGACTGGTACGTATCTCCACTCTCAGTCCGAGTCATTGTACTGGCTAACGCCGTGGTAGGTATCACACCCCTACCCTATCTGCTGGTGCTCTCCCTATCTTCAATTCCACCCTCATCAATGGAAAGGGGCGCTTTGCTGGTGGACCCCCTGTCGACCTCGCCGTTATCCATGTCGAGCGCAACAGACGGTACCGCTTCCGACTCATCTCCATGTCATGCGATCCCAACTATATCTTCTCTATCGATGGCCACACACTGGTAAGCGACCCTCAACCATGTCTATGTCTCCATGCAATGCAAAGTTGACCACCACTCTCCGTTAGACTGTAATCGAAGTGGACGGCGTTAACGTCCAACCCCACACTGTCGACTCCATCCAGATCTTCGCCGCCCAACGCGTCTCCTTCGTGCTCAACGCAAACCGACCCATAGACAACTACTGGATCCGCGCAGACCCTAACTTTGGCAACACAGGCTTCGCCGGGGGGATCAACTCTGCTGTCTTGCGCTACCACGGCGCAGAGCCCGCCGACCCAGTGACCGAGCGCCTCCCCTTCTCCAGCCCTTTCCGCGAATTCGACTTACGGCCCCTCTTTCCCGAGCCAGTTCCAGGCCGTCCTGAAGTCGGAGGCGCGGATATCAATATCAACCTCGAGATTGGGTTTGACTCCCAGAGCACCAGGTTTTCGGTCAATAATGCGACTATGATTCAGCCTACTGTCCCGGTTCTGTTGCAGATTCTGAGTGGGGCTAGGACGCCGCAGGAACTTATGCCCCCAGGGAGTATCTACACTCTGCCCAGGAACCGGGTGGTCGAACTCTCGATTCCTGGAGGGTCAGCTGGAAGTCCTGTAGGTCTCTCCCTTGAGCTTCTACTGCCCGAGCGCGGTGATGCTGAGTTTTGATTCCAATTTTTTAGCACCCGGTCCACTTCCACGGCGTAAGTACCTCGTTCACTCCCTCTCCTCGTAACGTTTTGTGGCCTGTAACCTGACCTTCCATGGACAGCACACGTTCCATGTTATCCGAAGCGCGGGTAGCTCTGAATACAACTACTTCGACCCTATCCAGCGCGACGTCGTCAGCATCGGCGAGGCGACTGATAATGTCACTATCCGATTCGTAACTGACAACGCTGGTCCCTGGATTCTTCACTGGTGCGTAGTACATCCGGCCTCTCTACATCCCGGATGACATGCTGAGAAGTTCTTCTCTGTAGCCATATCGATTTCCATCGGGCTTTGTAAGTCTTTCTGGGAGTTCTGTCAGGACGGTAGAAGAGCTGAGCTCGTGTACATTGCTTTAGGGGTTTTGCAGTTGTGTTTGCGGAAGATGCTGAGAGGGTTGCTGCACTCGAACCTCCTCGTGCGTGGTGTCTTCTCGTACTATGTTTTGGCTTGACTCAACCCGCCGGTTCTCAGCTGCTTGGCACGAACTTTGTCCGAAGTATGAAGCTTTCGGAGAACAGTGATGAGCATTGGACAGACCCTCTAATACTTCTTTATCTTTCGTCCGTCGCACTGAACCATTCCGACCTTTTACCAAATAGACATTGATCTCCATCTTGACAAATAGATTCTGTTGCCATCTCACTCTAACTCGAGAAGTCGCACCTCGACTCGAGTCACTATCACTATCACCTAATGCCAGTGTTCCCGATCCCCAAAGCATGAGTTATTTCTGACTACTACCGGCGTTTAACGAGACCCAAATCTTTCCATAAATGGATAAGCTGTGACCTTGATAGGCAGCTCTGAATCCCCCATTCAATTGAGGGTGGCTTGGCTTCGAGCTTCGAACGCAGCACATCGGATTCCATGGAGACAGTACATACATAATGACGGCAAGCTATGACATTTCTGAAAGCTCTTCCGAAAGGCTAGATTGACTATGTATGAGCCAAACGCGGGGTAGATAACCACTGGCAACAAACCCCGCGGCCGTCGTCGATGTGGTTGTTAAGTATGTACCTGAGATGACATCGCTCCGATTCACCAGGCGGATTCAAGAGAGTAAGTAGTAGGTTTTGGTGAGATTGAGATCTGTGTGGTCAATGTTAAATTTGATGAGTATCAGGACTCGAGGAACGTGTAGTACGTCGCTGGATCGCGATTTGTGTCGTGAATGCAGACGAGGTTTATCCAGAGTTTATCCTCTAAGCTCTTGCGGCTGGTAATCAAATTGTTATCACGGAAGGCGACCTGGAGTTCACTGTTTGATGTCTCCACAGGACACAGTGCTTGCGTTCGCCTCAGAGTCAACTGACGGAATTGAGGATGGTCCTAGTCCAGCCTACACTGATATCCGCCGGCACTCAACCAGCACTCGCCTTTCCCCTTTGCCGACTTGCCTCCAGCCGGAAGGTGATTTGCTAACTTGAATTTGCTAATGTAGGATGGGAAATCAAGCCTTACCGCCGCCAACAGAGCGATCGTTCACCAGCCTCGAACACCGGACTTTAGGGGTCGGGCGCCTAATACCATCAATCCATTGACTCATCAAATTCCTAGGCATGAGTTACAAGCGCTCGTTTCCCGGTCTCTTTCTCACCTCCAGCGACTTTGTATTATATCTGACGCCCTTTCGGCCAAGACGTAGACGGGGGCCTGAGTATGAGCTGCAGGTACATAGGGCTGGAGGCAGAGCAGTTAGCACTGGTACGCTCGGCTTTGAACCAGAGTCGTTGGGACAAGATTGGGACAAGATTCAGAGACTCACTATAACGGAAGCATCGACGATCCGAAGGCCCCTAACACCCTTGACCCTCAAGTCCGGATTAACGACCCCTTGCTTCGACCCCCGCTTCGACATAGCTGCAGTTCCAACGGGATGTTGCCACGAACTGACCATAGGCTTTATCGCGTTAAGGAACTCGTCTTCTGAGAGGGTCTCTGGATCAGGCCCCAGGAAACTCGTTCGATAGCCCTGCCAGACTGGCCCACTATAGAATTTCTTGCCGAGGCGGATCCCTTCTTTGAAAGCTTCGATGTCAAATGGGTGGCCAAGGAAGTTGTAGTCGATCAAAGGGTCATCGAAGGGGTTGGTGGAGTTGATTTTGACGGTTCCTCCTGAAATGTGCATTCCGTTTGAAGGCGGTGTTAGCATCGGGAGTTTGCGACGAGATGGAGGGTGCTGACTGGAGTAGGGAGTCAAGAGCACGATGCTTTCGGGAGTAACAGGACCCCCCGGCGACTAAGTCGAAATGGTGGGCGATGTCAATACAAGATATATAAATGAGAAAACGAGCGTGGCGCACCCTAAGCGTCATCTCAATATGAGGTGAGTTGGGGCCTGGAGCAGGATCCCTATATTTCTTAAACACGGGCGAGTCTGAGGATATCCGATTCCACAGCAGCTGAGGTGATGAAACACTCGACATGGTTAGCGGACCTGTCCTATTTGCTTGCCATTCAGCCAATGCTTCCGCTGGATCGACGCTAAAAGAATATTCAAGACCCAATCAGTGTGTGGGTGAGCATTGAACTCGAATTCAACCCACGGGGGTAAATGTGTAGCGGTCGTGCCCCATCTAGCCTCGATGGCAGCGTGGTCTGTCAAGCCCTCTCCGACATCTGGGAGGTCGTGGATGACTTTTACGCCAATGAGGTCTAATTCTGTTTTGTTGCCAATCCCCGAGCTGAGGAGGATTCGGGGTGTTCCGAATGAACCGGCTGATAAGATAACTTCTTTCTTCGCGGTCAAGGTCTTGGAAGCGCCTAAAACGAAGAGTGAGTTACTGCTACAAGAAGGGTGAGGAATTAGGGAGTGCAAGTGGCTCACCTCCGGCACGAGGGGCGATCTCGACAGTCCTAATGTCTAGAGGGCCGTTGACTGAGCTCGGTACGACTCGAGTGACGTATGCGTTTACGAGGATTGTCAAATTCGGTCTCCTCCGAACGTCAGGTGTGAGATAGGAAGTAGCAGCGCTACTCCTTTCTCCTTTCCCAATCGACCATTGAGTCCAAGCTAAAGTGCCATATGCGTCATCGTCAATAGTTGATAAACTGGCAGTCGCCTCCAAGAACTACTACGCACTCAAACCGACCGGTTTTCCACCATTTATGTCAAGCGTGAGGGGAAAGAGTTTGGGCTGGAGCTTGGTATTGTTGAGGCACCGGAAGGAGTGCTCGTCTGGGCCCTTTGTGGGCAGGCTAACGAAGGTTTTACCGTTGTATCCGTGGGCTTTGGGATCGTACTGCCCTTCGATGCTGCGGTTGCCGACGGGTGCAACCCAGCGCTCGTGCTATGTAGTAGCACTCAGTGCATAGCACCCTCAATGAAAGTAAGCGTTGAGAATACGTACCTTCTTGAAGTAAGGCCAGAGTGCCTTCCATGACCACTGCTGATCACCGACATTTCTTGCCCAATTGTCGTAGTTGTCCGATGATCCGCGAGTATAGAGCATCCCATCTATCTCGCAAAACGATTTGTCAATGGATCGGTCATGGATGAAATGGCTAGACGAACTGATGCAGGTGCTCCCACCAAGGACGTGCCCTCGGGGTATGTTGATCGCCCTATTGTCGAGTCCACGCTGGGGAACGCTGACAAAGTTCCAGTTGTAGGTTCTAGGAATTTGGAAGGCCAATCCTGGGGCCATGATCTCTAAAACACCGACATTGCTAAAGAGGGGGGTCGGGTCAGCGAATGAATTCCAGCCTATTACATAATTAAAGGAACGGTGACAAACTCTGGACCCGCTTCGACGAGTAGGACGCCGAACTTGGGGTTTTCAGAGAGACGACTTGCGAGAACTGAGCCTGCCGCTCCACCTAAGAATGGTTAATCAGATAAATATCAAATGTAATGGAAAGTTCCCATACCACCAGCAATGATAAAGTCAAAAGTCTTGTCTGCAAGTTGGTCCACATGACCTAGCAGTTCTGCATGGACGAAGACACGCGGCGCAGCGCCCCATAATGCGAAGGTAAGGAGTAGTACCAGTATGGCTGGATAGTAGGAGACCATCCTCGAACACCTTGAATCACCAAGTTTCGTCCAGTCCTTCTTCTCGACTCCCCGAGTTAAGTACTAAGTATTCCACCATTTATGCCACTCCAGCAGCACAAACCCGATGCGATACCCACGGGCCTTGAAGAAGAAGTCGTCTAAAGAAGTTTCAAGTTGGTGTTAAGAAATTAAGAATCAGCTAAGTAGTAATGCGGTAGTTGAATGCAAGATGCCAAATGCCCATTCTTCGGGTGGAATTACTGAGGGACAAGATGTTCGTTTATTCCGGTAGGTTTCTTTTTCTTCATCTATTTACCCTTAGGATATTAGATAAGTCCGTATAAATAATAACGTGGTGGTTACAACCTCACTGGCAATCGTTATGGGCTCCTCTGAGCCTCGTCTAGTTTCTTAACAGTTTGGTCACGCCCAAACTGAGCAGCACTGCCCGATGGCCGAAAGCACTGACCTGGGAGGCTTAAATAGCGTCCTCGGTTTATGTGGGAATGGAAGTCTACGAACAGGGGCGTTGGAGACGGCTGGGCTGCAGCGGGAAGGGGGTGATGATGGTTCTATTCTATTCCTGGAGGCTCTATCGTGCACTGTAACCCGCGCCCCGCCACCGTCTAATCTAATCTACAGAATCTACGAATCTATCGTCGAAATCTAAAAGTGGAGAATCTATCTAATCTAGCTCGATTGCCCTACCACAGCGTAGACTAGACTAGAGGCATAGTCTCGAGTTTCTCTGAACTTGAAGTTGCTCTCAGAAGCGCCGGCGCCTTTCCTGGGAGAAAGCTTGTGGGGTGCTTGTTGCGAATCAATGTAGATGAAGGGGAATGAAAAGGGATACTCCATGTGGTGCACAGACATCGCAGAAGATCTACGCGATCTACGCTTCTACATCAGACAACATCCGGGAGGTACAAAATTGCGAGTCCGGAAAAATATGCGCATGCGTACTTCGAGTCACGTATTTGCAATGGTCGACACTGTCTAGACGCGGGTCATGAGTACTGCATGAGTCTCCATTCATCCTGATTGAAGCCGAAAGGTAGTTACCAGGATGAAAGTATTGAAAAAGCGTCAAAGTGGTTCGCAGAGGATTAGAAAAGAAAAAATACAGTGTACATCTGTGAGCCCAAGTACCTAGAATTACGTATACAACATAAAAACGTTCGAACAAGTCCCAATTTCTATGGATCCAAGCGTGTCTAATCACAAAACCCACACCCAACCTGGCTCAAAGATTAAGCAGAACCAGACGACGAAGCCTTCCACCCAGAAGCCAAAACGCGACTCCTCCTCCTCTCCAAAACACCCCTCCTCAACTCAGATGGGAGACCATCCTCCCCTCCCTCTCCCTCTCCATCCACCTCATTCCCAGGCCTCATACTCCAAATCTCCACCACAGTCTTCCCACCCCTCTTACACACAACCACACACACGCCCCACCCAACCACCACCCTCCACACAGTCTCGCCCCCACTCAACTCTCTCACAAAATTCCCCGAATCAACATCATACAGCCGAACGCGCCCGTCATTCCCCCCCGTCACCAAGAACCGCTCCTTGTCGCCTCCGGCATCGACGAATTGGAGGGAGGTGACGGAACAGTCGTGGGCGGCGATGCGGTGGGAGATGGTCAGCGTGTCGAGGGAGAAGCTGATCACGCGCCCGTCGGAGCCGCCTGTGATGAGGAGGTTGGGGGAGAGCTGGAGTTGGCAGACGAGCGCTGTGTGGCCTTGGAGAAGCGCTATGCATTCTCTGAAGGAAAGTTGACAATCAGTTAGTTGGTCACGTATTAAATTGAATGGGATGAGATGAAGAGAGGAGGCGTACCCAGTGTTGGCGTCCCATAGCCGAACGGTGGTGTCTAGCCCGCCGGAAGCGACGTATCGCCCGTCGAACGCGACAGAGTATATCTGGTGGAAGTGCCCGCTGAGTACGTGCAGACATTCGCCTGTATCCACGTCCCATATCTACGCAGGGTGAGTGAGGGGGCAAACGGACTAGGATGAAAACACACCCGACAGGTCGTGTCATAGCTCCCACTGACAACCTTGTTCCCGCACGCATCCAAGCACCTGACGCTCTGCTGATGTCCTTCCAGTACGCGCAAGCACCGCCCTCGCTGGATATCCCACACTCTCAGCGTAGCATCTCGAGAGCCCGAAACTGCGATCGGACGATTCTGTAGCACTCGGATACACCGGATGGTGGACGTGTGGCCTGACAGGCGGTAGATCCGTTGCCTACCAAGACGTCTGTTCTACAGTCGAGCAATTGTAGTGTACTTGGCACTTACCCGGATAGAGCATCCCAAACCATGAGCGCCTTATCGCACCCACCGCTCACGATGATAGAGGACGGCTGGCCCCACCCGACCGATGAGTAACACATGTCGCTAAACTTTCTCTTCGCCTGCGGCCGCGGTTCGGGTTCCGCCTCCTCTTCTGGATCTTCATCCCCGATTACGTCCAGCCCAACAGCGATACGAAGAGAGGCAGGTAGGTAGTCGCCCATGCCCGATAGCGGTGCATTGTCGAGGCTCAGACGAGCCAACTTGTGTCGTAACGATCGCCGTCCACTCGGTGTACTTCGATCTGCGGCAGGAGGGGGATCCTGGATCGGATCTGGTACCCGCCATCCACCTTTACTGACCAAACACACGCCCCATACGCCCGACTCGTGGCCGACGAGCGTCTTTGCCAGGACACCGGTGGTGGCGCTATAAACATGGATCTTGGCGTTGGCGAGGCCCAATATGACCCAATCGCCGTCCAAAGCCAGAGAAGTCACCACGCCGCTCTCTGGCGTGAGCACGGGTATACGATGTGAACGTAGTAGATGCCCTCCTTTACGCCAATTTGACACTGCGTAAATCCAAAACGTCAGCGTTGTTCAAGCTTGAGAGATCGGGTGGGACAGGACGTACTGGTGATGTACGAGCTCTTGAAGCAACGACGATAAGAAAGAGAACCGTCGTCCTTCTCTTTCCCTTTTCCGACTCCGCCGTGATTCTGTGACTCGGAATCATCGCCCATTTCGTATCCGTAGGACTCACACAGCCCCTTCCACACAGACTCCTCCTGCACCAGGGAGCGCCAGTACCGGCTTACCTGCGCAGCCCGGGCGAGGGTCCTCGGATCATCAATAAACGAGAGGATGTACAGGGAGAGTTCTGTGGGGAGTGAGAGCAAAAAGTCGCGCTTGAGCCGCGGAGCGATGGTTGCTGAGACGAAGAGAAGTTCTTCAGGGGTGCAGGAGGCGAGGACGTTCGCGAGGAACTGGCGCCGCGCGAGTTGGCTGCCTGTAATGGGTGGGAAGCCGGTCTCGTAGGGGTAGCTGGGTGTCATGATGGGGCCTGGTGAGGGTGCGGGGGTAGGCGGGGAGACTACAGGCATGTAGAGTGTGTGGGACTGTGTAGCGTTGTCCATCCCGAAGAAAGGGGAGTTGCTGGATGAAGATGGCACCGAGCGGCCCTCTTCTTTATCGTACCGTGGGTCCTGCATGGTCAATGGTACGATTCCTAATCTTCTCGACCATGAGAACGTCGTTACATTGAAAAATGAGGGATGTAGGCTCACCGAATCCTGTTAATTAATGAATGATGGTCCGCCGTCGTAATATGTGATGCTTCCTGGTCGACGACGATGTCTGAAAAGTTGGGCCAAGGTCTTCTGGGCTTCGTGAGTTGCTGGAAAGCCTTGATAGTGATAGGCTGAGGGTCGATAAGGGAACCCGTATTGATTAACGAGTTCACGATTACATCTGGGATGAAGGGACTTACCAGGCCCGTTTCCCGCTGTGTATCGGTCAGAAATCAAGTCAGTTCCTTTTCGGTAAGCCTTCCTTAGTACCCTCTGCTGCCTGAACGCAAGCGATGCAGTCCGAGTTAAATCCTAATCATATTTCGTCATTCTTCTTCCATTTGGGGCGAAAGCAAAGCGCGATACCGGGGTGAAAGTTCTGGGAAGATAGATAGTTGTAATCAGATTTAGCACAGAGGTAGACGGGTATGGCTTACATTCGATCTCGTGTAGGTCGTCGTCGTGTTCGTCGTCGTCGCCAATGGTTGAGGTTGAAGGGATCGGAGCCGGCGCCAGTGCCTGAACAATTGGCGATGGCATCCGGGTCTAACAGGGACAAATAAAGCCACAGGACCGGCGCCTAAATAATAATTACAACAACGGCGTTGATCATCCCAAACACGCGGATTGTACAGTTCGTTTTAAAGCACATACCTACGGCTCACATAAAGGAGTATGTGGTTTTGTTGGTACAACAAGCGTTGGACGAGATTCGAAGTTAGGGGCTGTAGCTGCCATATTCGACCCAACTCCCACGACCTGCCAGACACGCCCCTCAACGCAAACCACGACGCACGACGTCCACCACAACCATCCCCAATCTCCCAAACACCCCTGCACAATGGGCAAAAATAAGCGTAAAGGGGGCCTCACAGGGCTGGCAAGGTTTGTCCAAGAGTCGTTCAAGTCGGACTTGCCAACCCCCAATTCAAACCAGGATTCAGAATCGCCTACGAAAAAACGAAAATTTGACGAGACGGTCGTGAAGAAGCAGTATTTTGCAACGGGGCTTGTGCCTCATTATGAATACGAGTCTCAAGTACCGGAGCATCTGCAAAAGTGTCTGTCCTTTCTCTGGTTTTTTGGCTGGTGGTTTAATTGACTCTACGACCCGCAGATTTCTCCCAACGCTACCGGATGTTCTCTTTGTACTCTGAGCCCCCTGGGTGTCTCCTGGACGAAGAAGGCTGGTTCAGCGTGACGCCAGAACGTATAGCCAACCAAATTGCTGAACGCTGTCGATGTGATACCATCCTGGACGCATTCTGTGGAGTTGGAGGCAACGCGATCGCCTTTGCGCAAACCTGCAACCGAGGTGAGATTTTTGTCATTCTTAGTTGGAAGAACAATCAATGATAATAGTCAAACAGTCATCGCCTTGGACACATCTCCCGTTCGTCTAGCGCTTGCTCGCCATAACGCAGAGATATACGGTGTTGCAGACAGGATAGAGTTTATCTTGGCCGACTACATCTCATTCGCGAACACACTCGCATCCTCAACCCCCAAATCCACATCCGAATCGAACTCGAGTTCAACGAAACAACGTATCATCGACGTGGTATTCCTCAGCCCCCCATGGGGAGGCCCCAGCTACCTCGCTTCCGTCGACACCAACGGTGACGCAGTCGAAACCACAGAACACCCATCATACACTCTCGACTCAATCTTACCCATCCCCGGCACCGAGTTGTTTACCCTATCACGCAAACTCACACCCAACATCGCCTACTATCTGCCACGCAATACCAGTATTGATGAAATCAGCAAGCTCGCGCCGAATGAGTCGATTGAAGTGGAAGAGGAGTGGATGGGGAACAAGCTCAAGGCGCTGACCTGTTACTTTGGGGGACTGGCGGCTGGGCAGGAGGAGTTATTCTGATCCGTTGGTTATTGTGATGTTCGAGGAGGGATAGATTCCAGCGCTCGGCGGTCTGCTGTGCCATGCGCAGTTAGACTCTTCGAGAACCGCACTGGACGGCCATTCGCCATTCAGCGTCAATCCACCGCTCGTTTGCACCGACTTTGCGCCGATGTTTGCCAATCCATCTTCTCCCTCCTTCCCTCCCCATGGTCCATCTCCGTCGTCGTTTATCAAGGCTGTGGTAGCCAAACCACTCCGACTGCCCCATCAACACAACCCAGATTGACTTTATCGAAGCCACGGATCAAACCACTTCCCCGAATCGCCGAAAAAGAAAAAAACTTCAACAAAAAGCAATGCACCAAGCTGCGATGGCATCTTTCTTCCGCCCTCCTTCCATGATCCATCTCAAGTCCCCAAATTTTGCAATGGCGGTAGATCACTTGCTACAAGCGTGGTCAGTCTCTTGTACACCGACAACGACTGACGACACGCGACGACCTTGATCATTCCAACAAGGTTGTTTTGTGTTGTCCGCCCCTTCTGAAGCTGTACTTCACCCCTTCTGACATTGTTCGAGGGAGAGGGAGACTATCTATCAACAATCGATCTCAGCGCTCCTTCTCTCGGTGACTTCCACCGGCACCGCCCATCGTTCGGAGATGTAAACTGGTAAAAGGCGCTCGAGTGGCTACGCTGGTCGTGGCACCCCTCTCCTTTTCCCCCTCTCCCACTGCTACGTAGATTCTCTTCTCGGAGCTGCCCACACTGATCGTCATCCACACCCACACAAGTGCGACAGCACCAACCTACATCGAGGCAAGAAGAGTAGAACGCCACATTGAAGAACGAGTACTCGGACGCCCTCATACTCGGATTTTCACTGAAACAAGGGAGCGTCTGCTTCCTCCCGCGCTCCCTCAAATCAAGCACACAACGCTGGATCTAGTATTCATTCCCTGCTCCCCAAACACCCATTCCATCAGCCTCGCCAAACCAGCAGAAACTGCCACTACTACTACTGCTACTACTACTACTACTACCCTCCCCATCTCACATTCAAGATGATGCCGATGTCAGTTGCAGAAGACTTCCCCCTCCCACCCACACAAGTCCCCCGCCTCTCCCAAACCTACCGCACGCTCTTCATCACCTCCATCCTCTCTTCCACCTGCATCCTTGGGATCTCACTTGCGGGGTTAGCACTGGCAGCCGCATCAAGATATCTATCGCCTATCACTTCTATTTTTACTATCATCCACGCTTGTGTGTTGTGGTATCTTTGTTGGAGGGAGGTGAGGAGGGGGGTTGTGTCGCCTGGTGGTGGTGCGCTGCGTAGTAGTAGTAGGAGAGCAGGAGGAGGAGGAGGAAGAGAAAGAGAAAGAGGAGGGTGGAGGAGGAGGAGGATGCCAACGACGAGACGCCTCGCATTGTGCGCTACCGCGGTGTTGGTGGTGATGTGGATGGTCGTCATCGTCCTCCTCGTATTTTTCATCACGAAATCGAGGGGCGTTTCTGGGGGCGGAGTTGGAAGTGATGATGGGCGTGTGCACCAGGGTTCAGGGGGATCCGCGGGAGAGTTGACAGGTGGTGTGACTGGGACTGGTAGGCCGTGGACGTGGTCGACTGAACGCGTTTTGGCGGTTGTGGAGTTGAGTTTGGCGGGTATACAGGGGTGTGTGACGTTAGCTTTGGGAGTGGTTAGCCTGCATGAGCGGATGGCTTGTTTACATCCAAGACAGAGCACTCGTCACGGTCGTCCTCGAGGAGGAGAAATGTTAACAAGAGGGAGTAGGAGTGGGAGTATGGATACGACTGGCATACTAGCCGCTGTCGCTGTTGCTGGACGGGGGTCCCGGGGAGGAGGAGGTGATGAAGCTAGCGCTGAAGCCCCAACTTCAACCGATGGTGATAACGCGCGGAATTTGAATGTTAGGAGTGTTTCTAGGCAGAGTAGTCGGTGGTTTTGGAGTTTGAGGTGATCTCTTGCGTTGCGTTTTTTTTTAAATCCCTGCTCGAGAAGCCGTTTTGAAACGCTGCTCTTGCTGTGAAGTTACACTTGATGCGCACTCTGTTGTATGTATCATGTTTTTTTCTTTTCTTGTTGATCATTTTGATCTCCTTCGTTCGTTCGTCGAGGTCTGGTTTGGTGTTTTGATGTGATGATGATAGTAGTCTAAGTGTATCATGTTGTGGAGTGGTGGTGATTAGATGTGTGGGGAGATCATGTTATGCTGTAGCCATTGTTCAGAGTAGGTAGATTCTTGTGTATTTCTATTTTTGTAGCTTTAGTCTTGTAGAATCACTTTGTCCTTGCTGTCAACGTCGAAGCTGGCCTTGGCGGTGTGCGTAACTCCTTTACTTAATGCGTGAACCAAACCTGACGGGGCACTTGAAGGTGCGATGGAACCTTTCTGGGTCCGTCACGGTTCCTTTACAATTCAGAATCAGTGTTCAGGTCCATTCATGATTCTAGGGCCAGGGCTCTCCGTTTCGCGAGGCGCATGTCACGTTGCCTACCCCACCCCAAGCTTGAGGCAAAATGCCGCTGTAAGTACAGTAGTGTACACACAGGTCGGGGACCTCGGCTCCGAGCTCAATTGATATTCCAAGGCGAAAGTATACTTACAATCGTCCTATTCTACAGTGGATGTCAAAAGTCCTTGGTACATAATTACGCCATTGTTAATCGACCTGCAGGCTCTTGATTCTTGTGGTGAGCTTGATGCTGAAGCTGCTCTGTGGTGTCGTATGTGCCGCGACGACCGGGCTCCTCGAAACTCTAACGGAGAATTCGTGAGCCCATTTGAGTGGTCGCAGATCCTTTTCTCTCTGAGGATGGTTAGGCTGTATAGTCTGGGTCTGGGGCACGAGAGTGCAAGTTGCGTGGCCCTATAAAAAGCTCTCTGGGTCGGTCCTGGGATACTGGTACATATCTCACCAGCGCTCCGTGGTTCCTCTCACAGCATGAATCGCGTTATCGCATGGGGAGCTCTGGCTGTTCTGCTCCTTGGAGCTCTGGGCGCCCGACTCGGGTTTTCAGGCACGGGCGGAGGTGCTTCACAGTGTGGACGATCTAAAGGTGGACGGGGAAAAGTTCGACTTTATTATTGCTGGGGGTGAATCGAATGCTTAGATCTAATGGTCCCAATTGCTGATAGAGCTTTGCGAATCGCTCACTGTTGATGAGTAGGAGGAGCAGCAGGATCTATCATCGCAAGCCGTCTATCTGAAAACCCCAATTTCAAAGTTTTATTGGTCGAGGCCGGGCCAAAGTCAGTATCTTTCTTACACTTTCCCAAGTTACATCTTTTTCCAATATTCAGACAATGGGCAATGGGACTGACGTCCGACCGTCCGCTGGGTTTTCGCTGACGCACACCTGCAGCAACGAGGACATACTCGAGCTAACTGTCCCGGGGTGCTCGAGCCGTGTCAATGGACTCGTCAGTAACGGAAGCCGATATACCTGGAATTTTACGACCGTTTCGCAAGTTATGCTCAACGATCATGAGTTGCCTATTGTACGAGGACGTGTACTTGGTGGTTCGAGCTCGATCAGTGAGTCTCGCCTTGCCTGGCACTGTGCGCAGCAGTCGAAAAGGCTCACAATTTAAATACGACCGGTTAGGTGGAATGCAATATGTACGCGGGTCATCAGATGATTATGATGCGTGGGCGAAGGCGACGGGTGATCGTTGGTGGTCGTGGAAAGGAGCGTGGCCATACTTCAAAAAGGTGAGGAGTAGGGGCTCTTTTAAGTGTGACTTGATCCATCTTCAAAGCGACGTGCTTCAGCCTTCCTTTTTCCAAGTCCCCAAGTTGTGTGATCGATGTGCTAACACGCCCCACTCCATCAGAATGAGCGTTGGATGGCCCCCAACAGTGGTCGAAATATCACAGGCCGATACGATCCCCGAGTTCATGGCTATGGTGGACAAGCGCCCGTTGGCCTTCCCAACAGTGAACCTAGTGATTTCGCAATGCGATGCGTCAAGAACACAACGTGGAAGCCCGACTATTTCCCATTTACCTCGGACGTCAACTCAGGGAGGCCTCGAGGAGTTGGTAAGTCAACTATTTATGTATTTATCCTAGTCGCTCTCTTGGGTGAGCAAAGTTCCAACTCAAGTACTCCTTTGGCAACATGAGCGCAGTTTACAGTGGGAAACGGAGAGAGAGCAAGTGCAGCAACTGCATACATGGGATCGGAAGTCAGGAAACGACCCAATTTGACCATCCTTCTCAACACCCATTTCACACGAGTCCTCCCTGTAATCGGGTCGACTCGAGGGCTGGAGGTTAGGACGCTCGAGATTGTATCCGGGAGGAGTGCAACGTTTCTAATACCGTTTACCCCAACCCGACTTGACCGACGATTAACCTTGAATCTTAGGCGAGCGTAAGACCATTACCGTGAAGAAAGAGCTTATTCTGTCAGCAGGGGTGTACGGGACACCTCATACCCTTCTCAACTCGAGGATCGGAAACAAGACCCAGCTTCGAGCAGTAGGAGTGCAAGTTGTTCATGACTTGCCTGATGTTGGGCAGGGACTCCGGGAAATGCCCACTGTCACGCTATCCTGGATTGCAAATGTGACTGATCCTGCACCGTACGTTTCAATCTCCCTCTTACCAAGTCAAAGCCTTCGCTGCAGTGCCAGTCCGGGGCCCTTATGGATGCTAATGGTTACACTATTATAGGACAGACCAGACGGCGGCTCTGGCTGAATGGCAGGCGAACCGGACTGGCCCGCTGTCAGAGTTCTTGCTCGGGCGCGTGCAATGCCTTTGGCATAGGATCCCAAAGGACGATGATATATGGAAGAAACATGAAGATCCGTCGTCTGGGCCTACTACGCCGCATCTTGAGCTTTGGCTGCGTGTACGTAGGCGCTCATCTTTCCTTACCAGCACTGGGTACATAATAATATTTCAGGGAGGGATGCGCAATATGAGCACTTGGCTTCTACTTAATACTCCCCAGTCCCGTAAGTCCCCGACTGCTAGTTTTCTCAAGGCATGAAAAGAGTAGCTGAGAACGTTGTTTCCTAAACCCACAGGCGGAACGGTCAAACTCGGATCGAGCGACCCACTCGATCCTCCCGTCATCGATTACGGATTCCTCAGCCATCCCTTCGACCGCGAGGCTCTTAAAGAGGGTATCCGACTAGCGAAGAAGTTTTTCAGTGGGCCTGTCTGCGACGGGTATATAACCAGCTTCCTCGGTCCCGACCCCGATATGCTCTCAGAAGTGGAGTTCGACGCGGTAGTGAGGGACAATCTTAGTGGGTTCTCGCACGCGGTTGGGACTTCTGCTATGACGAGAAAGGGGGACAAGAGGGGTGTAGTCAATCCCGATTTAAAGGTGAAAGGGGTGAAGCTGCTGAGGATTGTAGATGGTTCTGTTGTTGTGAGTGTCTCTGATATGTCTGCTGGGATATAGATCACCTGGGTGCTTACCAAGGTATCTACAGTCCATAACAGCTCCTCCACAAGCGGCGGTATATGTTCTGGCGGAACGAGCTTCTGATCTCATACAGCGAGAGTGGAAGCGATCGCATGCGTAACTGCATGCTTTCTGAAAATTTCTGTTTCTTCATTTCATTTTGTTTGACTCAGTACCGTAATAAAACCATCTATCAATGAATATCGGAAAATACAGCTATCTGGATAGAATTTGTGTGTGAGCGTTGCATCGAACTTGAACGGGCGCTTAATCCCATCAACCCCACCGACTCAAGGGTATCGACGAGTCTCTGACATCACGGAGATTACTTAGTCATTTGAGAAGCCCTTTTCCACCTGCGAAGAACACTGTTTTGTTTTAATTAAGGGATGACATCTAGTAACACATTATGCTCAAGCCCGCTCTTCGTGCTTACCTCCTCACTAACGTCGCAGCGACTCCCGCCTCGTGTCGTTTGGCCGTTGATAACAGGCCTCCTGGCTGAATGACTACTGCTCCCACTTCCAATTGAATATTGCACCTTTGATGTCGCATATCCACCAAACGAGAGGTTATTTCTCCGGTGAGGCATTAATCACTTCTTCCGAGCAATATGTTGTCCTCCTAAGCACTTATCAGTTCCTTTTCGCAATTTGTAGCTGCGCGTTTCGTACGATCTAGAGGAATGGACTCGATAACCGATGATGTAGGGAGGTAGTAGAGGGGAAAGTGAAACGGTTAAAAGTCGAGGGTACTCGAACCAAACTCCCCAACCAAGTTAACACAAACCCCTCCAACGGTCCTTGGTGAAGAGTCGACTTCCACCGGAACCACCACGATGCTGTCTATCTTTTCACTCTTTGCTCTTCAGTCTTTACCAGCTGCTTTGGCAGCTTTTGGCTCCTCGGGGAACCTTATTGTCGGTAACAAGTTCATTTCCCCGGATGGCTTCAACAGATCGTAAGTGCCTCTCAGACATCCTAGGAGACGAGCTCCTCGCTCATGTTGGATTTTAGCGCCGTGCTCGCTGGTAGTTCACGGAATGGATTAACCTTCCCTGGGCCAGTAATCACTGGAATAAGGGTCAGTGAGCTTGCGAGACCCAAATTAACTTAACACCCTCCTGAACTTGGCTGACAGGGCAGCCGATTTAACCTCAACGTCGTGAATGAGCTCACCGACCCGACTATGCTTAGAACTACGAGTATCGTGAGTGCTCGCCTTTACTGCTTGTAAAATATAGATTTAAAATAACGCCTCTCGAGCAGCACTGGCATGGACTCTTCCAACGAGGGAGTCAATGGGCAGACGGCCCTGCGGGTGTCACTCAATGTCCCATTGTTCCAGGAAGCTCTTTCCTTTATCAGTATCGAGTTCCTGACCAGGCAGGGACGTTCTGGTACCATTCCCACCACCGTAAGCCAGTACCAGCATACTCCGTTGAGAAACGGTTGGCTCATGGAAATCCAGAATCCCAATACTGCGACGGCCTGCGTGGAGCACTCGTCGTTTATGACCCTCGCGATCCTCATCGTCGACTGTATGTCCATCAAAGTGTGTCCCAAAATATCAGATTGCTGACTTGAACCTTTGGCTTTCAGGTACGATATCGATAATGGTGCGGTGATTTCCTTCCTGTTTTGTGGCGCAATACTTACCCCCTTCAGAATCTACGATCATAACCCTGGCCGACTGGTAAGTGTATCTCCGCCCTCAGTCCATGTACTGGCTAACGCCGTGGTAGGTATCACGTCCCTGCCCCCTCTGCCGGTGTTGTCCCAACTTTCGATTCCACCCTCATCAATGGCAAGGGCCGCTATGCTGGCGGACCTGCTGTGGACCTCGCCGTTATCAATGTCGAGCGCAACAGACGTTACCGCTTCAGGCTCATCTCCATTTCATGCGATCCCAACTATATTTTCTCTATTGATGGTCACCAATTGGTAAGCTCTCAACCACCTCAATGCAATGCAAAGTTGACCACCACTCTCCGTTAGACTGTAATCGAAGTGGACGGCATCAATGTCCAGCCCCACACTGTCGACTCCATCCAAATCTTCGTCGGCCAACGCGTTTCCTTCGTACTCCACGCAAACCGACCTGTGGGCAACTACTGGATCCGCGCAGACCCCAATTTTGGCACCACAGGCTTCGCCGGCGGAATCAACTCTGCTATCTTGCGATACCGCGGCGCTCAGCCCGTCGACCCAGTTACCGAACGCCTCCCTTTCTCCAACCCTTTCCGCGAAGTTGACCTACGACCCCTCGTTCCCAAGCGCCCTCCAGGCCGGCCTGAAATCGGAGGCGCAGATATTAACATCAACCTCGATATTGGTTTTGACCCCAGCAGCATCACCTTCTCGGTCAACAATGCGACCATGCTTCAGCCTACTGTCCCGGTTCTTTTGCAGATTCTGAGTGGAGCTAGGACACCACAGGAACTCATGCCCCAAGGCAGTATCTACGTTCTTCCCAGGAATAAGGTGGTCGAACTATCGATTCCTGGAGGCTCAGTTGGAAGCCCTGTATGTCTCTTCAACCTCTCCTACCCGAGCGCAATGCTGAGTTTTGTACCCCCCCCCTTTCTAGCACCCGATTCACTTCCATGGCGTAAGTTCGTCATCCCCTTGTAACGCTCTGTAGTCTGACGCCCGCGGACAGCACACGTTCCATGTTATCCGAAGCGCGGGTAGCTCGGAATACAACTACTTCAACCCTATCGAGCGCGACGTCGTCAACATTGGCGAGTCGACTGATAATGTCACTATCCGATTCAAAACTGACAACGCCGGTCCCTGGATTCTTCACTGGTGAGTACATCCGACCTCTCTACAACCGGGGTGACATGCTGAGAGGTAACCGTAGCCATATCGATTGGCATCTGGTTCTGTAAGTCTTTCTAGCAGTTCAAGATTTCACGGAGGCAGAATAGGCTCATGTACACTCTTCCAGGGGTCTTTCCGTTGTCTTTGCGGAAGATGTTTCGAGTATTGCTAGACTCAACGCTCCTCGTGCGTACCGTCTTTTCTTAACCTTTCAGCCCTTGACTCAACTGCTGGCTCACAGCTGCTTGGCACGAACTCTGCCCGAAGTACGAAGCTTTCGGGGAAGAGTAAACTTGGACCGACCCCCTCTAATACGCCTTAATCTTTCGTTCATCTCACTGAACCATTGCGATTGTTTACAACGGACATTGATTCTTGACCAATGCTTTGCTCTTCCCTTCCTTGTACTCTAGTATATCATGCAATGCTAATTGCTCTGTCGCCATGATAAGTCACATCCACCACCCCTACTCGAGTCACCCGGCATCCAAGTTACCGATCCCCAAAACAAGAGTTATTTCTGGCTAATAGCCGGCGTTTAACGAGTCCCAATGTTTCCATAAAAGGAGAAGCTGACACCTTGATAGGCAGCCCCTCCATTCAATTGATGACAGGGCTTCGAACGCCGCACTGGAGACTCCATGGAGACCGGCAGTGACTTTACGAAACCTCTTTCGGAAAGGTTAAATTGACTCTTAACGAAATGGCGGGTAGATACCCAATAAAGCCCGTCGATATGGTTGTTACTTGGAATGACATCGCTCCGATTCACCAGGCGGATTGTAGATAGTAGGTTTCGGTGAGATTGAGATCTTCTTGTCAATGCTGATGAATATCAGGACTAGAAAGCGCAGCGCGACAACGACGTTTATCCAGAGTTTATCCTCCTCCTTCTGGTATGGAATTTAAACCGGTCACCAGCGCAGAGCCTTTCTGGTCGCGACGCGGGGGTTCATCCTACGAGGTCCCGATAGGTTACAGTGCTTGGGTTCGCCTCGAAAAGAGTCGATCGAATCGAGATTAAAGTAGTCCAGCCGAGACACCGGGTAAAAGCCCCAGATGGGGAGGAGAGGGACCACAAGAACGAGTGTATTCAGAGATGAGGGAGAAAAGTAATCCGGAATCAACTCGATCCCGTGGCCATACAGCAGCATAGACATCCGTCTTCTGGAACGAGAACAGCTCCTTGCAATGTCCCCATGTGCTTGACCCAGCGCAAGGGACGATGTCAAACAAGGAGAGGAGTTCCAATGAGCGTCAGGGTCGATGCATGTTTCATCCCACTACACATCCGCATCACCATCCACCCCTCCCTTCCGCTTCCGACTCGCCTTCCCAGCCTCCCTCGCCCTCTTCTTCCAATCCCTCGTCAGGTCACCCTTCTCCTCCTCCCAATCCTTCCTAATCTCCTCCTCCGTGCTCGTCTTGTAGAACTTGACCCCTGGATCACACCAGTCCCACCTGTTGTCTTTGATCACGTCGAAGATATCGCGTTGGCGGGCTTTGATTGTGAACGAGTCGGACGCTGAGGAATCAGTGGAGGTGTGGTGAGGCAAAGGGAAGAAGAGAGGCTGTTTGGGGTTCAGGTATGTTATTGTGTGAGAGGTCGTTGTTGTCGTTGTGGGGATGCTGGGCTGGAATGCGGGAACGGCGGTAGATAGCGGTTGCGTAATCGAAGGTTCTTCGATAGCGAATGGGATTTCGTCGTCCAACTCGAGGTCGATATCGAGATGACCGAGTAGAGAGAATCCAGCTAGAAAAGGGCGTGTTAGAAATGAACGAAAGAAGACCGGTGCCGCTGAGCTTACCCTCTTCGTTACGCGGAGCAAAAAGATCCTTGAGATTGGTCGATTTTGGTTCGGGTGCTTGTGACGGTGCCGGCTCAGGCTCATCCCGAGCCTCTTCGTCCCCGAGACCCCCCTCATCCTGATCCATGGCGACAGGTTCTGGACGGGGAGATGCAGAGCGCGGAACGACCTCGAAGTCATCAGTCGTGGGAGCAGCAGCAATTTTGACTCCTTTGCGCAGTTCCTCTTCGTCAATGTCAGAACCAATACTTTCGCGGCCGTCCCAGTCGTCCTCGCCGCCAAAGAGGGATGACAAGAAGTCCAAAGTCTGTTTCTTCTCTGAAGCGAGATCGACACCGGCAGGAGCATCAATGTTTTTTGGTGGGGCAACTGCAGGAACCGCCGCAGGTTGTGGTTTTTTAGGGGGAAGAGGAGACGGGGATCTTTGAGGTAGCTGGCGCTGGCTTTGCTTCGGTGCCACAGGGACGGGTTCATCGTCCTCGGAGCTGGAAGATTTGTCTTCCTCCATCGGTTCTGAGGTCGGCATCTGAGCAACAGAGCCCTGGGATTCCAGGAAAATCCCCTTCAGCAGGGTACTGCCCCACTTGGTCATGTCTATCGTCCTCTTTCGCGCCCTTGTAGGCGGTGCCTTCAATTTAGGCTTTTTCGTCTTGGTTCCACGCATAGCTGCTGCTCGTTTCTTGAGGATCTTCTTCATAGCTGCCAATTCTTCCAGCGTTGGTGGTAACGGGCGTTCTGGTCGCATACGAATAGGTCTGTATATACGGCCTAGAGACGTCTTCTTCCAACCGCCTCGCTTGTCGACGTTAGTAGAGTCGACGAGCGACATATCGGCGGAGTAGACACCGTCGCATCGTCGTCGCTTTCGTGGACGAGCCTCAGGTTCAGAGATGGCGTTCTCTGCAGCAATTCTGTAGGGATGTAGTCAGTGTTTAGCTCGACGACGACCATATCGTTGCTCGCCTTTCTCTGAAATCTGGTTTTGCTTCCCCAAGTCGCAGCTTGGCACCTTTCCAGGTCGCCCCGCTCAAGACGTTCATGCCTGAGAGGCTGGTCAACGACAAAAAAAGCCTTTACAGGATTGGACTTACATTTAGCTAGCTTCCCTGCTGTCGTCTCGATGGTCACATATCCAAATTTTTGTGGTTGACCGACGGCGTCGAGCAAACCAAACCCATCGACGGCCTTGACGGTTCCAAAGGTCGATAGACGTTTGGCGATGTCGTCCGCCGTTATCGAAGGCGTCAAGCCTGATATGTGAAGCCGTTTCGTAATCGGTGTGTCCATTTGGTCGTCGTCGAGGAGGACGATGAGGAAAAGGTTGAGCGGGTTGCCGGCCCGCGACCGCGTTGTGTTTGTCACTGTTGTTTACGCCGCTCCAAGCGCGACTCGAACCGTGTCCGCGTCGTGCTCAATCTTTTTGTCCCCAACCACGACTGTCGACGCCCCAAAATGCATAACTCGCCGTTCACAGTTGCAGGCATGTCGTCCTCGACGACGTCTCACCATACTCCCAATGCTTGGGGAAGTTCGAGCACGAACTCAACGTTTGGAGAATCGTTGTCGCAGTCGACTCGAAGCCACTATCAGTCTGGATATCTTATGGTGAGCAACTATCGTTGCTGAATACCGAAAGTCGTCTAACTGGACTGTAGTCTACAACGCAGAACAACGTTCGTGCCCACAGTGTCGAATTCCTGTTCGAAAATGCTGAACTGCATCCCAGAACTCACCGCCAGGAAACCAGCGCGTTGACGAGGTCCCTGTGGTCCAAACCAAAGCGAAATTGAACCAGGCTTTGACCAGAGGAAATCACTCAGACTTTGGGATGGAATCTATGTTCCAGAGCACCAGGTAAAGCCTTGACAGACGCCCACTGGAAGGTTGGCTCATTTGGTTAGGCAGCGACAAAACCTAGCAGACGAAGATGCACCTCCCATATCGTCTGTGAACGATATCCCAAACGAAGTATTCGTCGAGAATACGTCTTCTCGCTTTAAACCACGGGTAAGTCCTTTTACTATTCACATCCATGACATGCCTAAGTAAACGACTCTGTAGAACTCAACCAAGCTCGAAAGCTCTCACTTCGGCAAGCGTGCCACAAAAGTCCTAGCTTCTTCCTCTGGCCTCAGCTCGCAGCAACCCTTATACATCATTGTCTTCGGCTACCCCGCTGATAAATACAGCGTCACCGTTGAATATTTCAAATCCTTGGGAGAATCGACTGAAGCGGATCCGAACACCGAGATTGCCAATTGCTTCAGGATAGGCTACACAGATCCAGCAGATGCGATGAGAGCTGTCCGAAAGAATGGGGAAGTGCTGGGTGGAAGCTGGATGATTGGCGCGAAATGGGCGGTGAGTTTCCTCGTACCTCCCTTGCCACCCCTCGACCATCGCTCATTCATTCCCGTGTTTCGTTTTGATAGGATCCTGCGCAGGCTGAAGCTCTAGTCGGCCAGGCCAACCTTCGCACTTCCACTGCTTCTCCAACCCCATCCAACAACCAATACAACAACAGTAACGCAATGCAGGTGGATGAACCCATGAGTGGCGGTTACCCTTCCTATCACAGCGATACACCCACAGTGGGTACGCCCATCCGACTCGAACCTTCGACATCAGCCTTCAAGAAGCCTGGAGTTGGTGGTAGTAAATCAGTCGCTGGCGCCCACCATCATACCAATTCGCTCTGGGGCTCCCCTGCTTCTGCTTCTGCGGCGAACAATGGCGGTGGCGGGGTCAGAGGAGGGTCCGGAACTACCGCAGCGGGCTCGCAAGCCCAGAATACCCCGACCAAGTCTGTCCTTGGTCAGGTCTCGGACTTGATCTTCGGCTGGTGATCTTCATGTGGGATCGTATACGAGTAGCTCCTGGTGGGTCATCATTTAGCTTTTAGTTGCGGCAATAGGCACGGTTTGGCTTAACTGCGGGCACTTGGCTATAGATCATGTGCTCGACCATTTTTTCGATGTCATCGGACCCTAATTATCGTCACCCAATGCCATCGTGACCCTCACCAGGGAATCCCCTTTTCAGAAATTCTGATATCCTGTTTAGCTGTGATGTCTATTCCTCGGTCGTTGGGTTCACCTCTGTGGGTGGGATCCATCAGTTAACCTTCCTCCAAAGTACGCCGCCGTTCTCTGACTCGGCGGTCTCTGGGATGTTTTCATTTCCAAACGACTGGCATGTTGTTGCATTCACCTTGTCTAAGAGTCTTTCACTCCTTCGTTACCTCTCGAGACGTGTACGTATGTGTGAGCGACGAACTTCCATTAATCCAGCTCCGCCCTAGACCCAGGCCATTCCAACTTGTCCCTTGATAAAGGGACATTGGTTCCAGTACCCCAGGGAGGGGAACATGCTGTGGTGTTAATTAACCTCAAGTTGGGGCCCAACATCTGAAAGTGAATTGTCTGGGGCCGATGAAATGGGTTTGTGGCAACGAATGCATCACCTAGGCCCTATCGTTAGCCGATGGAGAGAGTACTCATTCTACCTAAAATAGGTCCATACACCGTGGCCCCTCGAGAGAGGAGGTGGCGATTGTTTAAACAAGACGATCTCTTGGGCAAAGTGGAGAAAGCCTACGTATGGCGACCTCTGGCTACCCGTTCGACTGTCACCAGCAACCCATGCCGAAATAAAGGTTGGCAAACCTCAAGACCACTCACCGAATCCTCTTGTCGAACTCTTGCACTCTGGGCTGGCCACTGCGAGGGTGCACCGGTGTTTTGACTTCATAATAGGTTCGAATTTCACGGAGGCGCTCAATCAGCGCTCTTACGGTTCGTGGCAGCTAAACGCGATCTATGAGAGCAGGCAGACCAATTACTTGCAACGGCGCCCAGCGAGCTACACAGGTATACATGACAAGGACGCTGCAATCGGTACTTACTTTCGGAGCCTTTTGCGAGGATTGAGGTCGCCTACCCGTGCTCGTGGTGTTGCGCCGGAGGGGTGGGTGGGGCGAAGGAGGGGATGATCATGGCATAAATGAGCGAGAGATTGCTTTGCTTTCCCCCTTTGCTTCTTTGTGCACTCACAGTTATACCCTCCCTAAAGCCGATTTGTGCGTCATATCTGACTTTTTGGTGCGGCTGTTGATCATGATTCCTGGCGTCCTCGGGAGAGTCGGAGGCGCTGAGGTGTTTATGCTCTTTTGGGTGTCTTCCTGTGGGCTGCTATCGGCGGACATAAGCTACAGTGGAAAAAGATAACATCTAACGGTACAACATGTGGATGGAAGGTTGTACGAGAGGGCGTATTCTTCCGAGGTCACGCTCTCGGTGGTGGACTCGGATTATTCTATATTTGATAACGCCGAAGGGCTGGCGGCCATCCTGTTAAGCTTTATCTGTGCCTCGCCGCCGCTGCGCTACTTTTAACTGCAAAATGTATGTAATTCACGCTACGCGGCGCATCTGCATCTTCTGAGGTGGGACTCTAGCACTATGCAGCACTTCGCAGCCACTTCCATTCAACGTCAAGTACTCTATTGTGGGCACTTCAAGTTGTGAAGTGAAGAGAGATTATTACTCTTTGTCAATCACAGCCTTCGAAGACGACTGTTGGAAGACCAAGTGTTTGGCCTGGGACTGCCAGCCACATTTCGGGCAATAGAAGCCCTCTGGAGTAACGGCTACTAACGGCAGGGCTTTACATAGTTGTGTAAATCCGAGAAACGCTCCCGTGGGCTGGGCGTTGCCTCGCGGAGGCTTTCGACCGACTAAATCGTGTTATTCTTGGAATACGGATCCGTGAAAACCGTCGTCTGGTCATCTCCAGGTTGACGAGTGATCGAACGAGGCCCGGCTGTCAGAGGAGTCTGGAAAGTCACGCTGTCCAGTGCCGTGTTAATATCGAGTTCGTTCTGTTCACAGGCGCCGAGTAAAGACGTTCGAAACGCGAAGACTGTGAATGAAGCAAACTCGTTTAATGAAAGGGTTCGATAAGGAGAAGCGGGAAAAGGACGTTCGACTGGGGCAATTCAGTTATGAACTGAGTGTGAGATGGGTTCGATGGTTTATATTGAGACTAAGTCTGTGTGAACTTCAGCCACAAAGGCGAGAAGATATAGAAAAGAAGGATGGGTGATGTCAGTTTGCGTGGATCGTCATTGAGAGTTGTGATGTACGAAGTGTTCTTCAACTTAGTTTTGGGAACAGATCCCTTGGTTTTAGGAAAGGTGGATCACATGTGTGCATCTTCCATCAGATAAAAACGCCCATGTCAATGTTACCAGATGTTACCACACTTCATAGTCGAAACTTCTTTCTTTCTTGCTCTTGCCTTCTGCACTTTCAGTGTAAGGAGAGGTACGAAATTGCCGAGTGAAGCGCTAGTTTTTTTCAGCCGATCCATTGGAATCGCCTATACTTGACCCATATGTAAGGTTCAATTCCGTCTATGAATATGTCTGTCCTCTCCTCGGGCCAGCGAGTGTTGACGAGACCTTCCCATGTCCCCGGTGTGACGAGGAGTTCTAGGTGGGCCCGAAGGGAGGCCTATCGTCAAGGATAAATAGGACGTCCCGGGTTCGCCGACCGTATCGGTACATTTGAGAATGTGCTCTTCGCGCAGAGACTTGCAATAGGAAACGTTCAAAATGTGTAGATTGCTTGCAGGGGTTTATTTAGGTGAGTGGAGTCGACCTTGGACTCCGACGTTACTTCAGTCTCGTTTTAACTGTGAATCTGCCTTGCAGTTCGGATGTGGGTAGTTCGGAGATTATAAAAACGTTAGGCGCCGACTATCTGTTAATCGGCGCCTACTTGTTTGCGCAGAAGATACTGGTGCACTATTGTGGATATTATCTTTCTCCGGCACCGCTCGACGACCATCGGACAGTGTCCGTCAATCCGGGTGGCCACGGTGGCCATGGATTTCTTGTCCGCTCGGACATTGTTTAAGGTCCCGGTGGAGCCAGTTTGGAGCTGTCGAGTTCCGCAGTGGTACCGAGAGATGGATTTACAGCAGAAGCTCCGATGAATGAACACCGTCTTTCTGGTGGAAATATGTACAAGTATACACCACATGGCAGTTATATTCGAACCTACTGAAGAGGGCGAGAAGGGCAATTTTTAGTTTACCTGTCCGAGAGTCCGGCTCAGCCGTTTATATAGGAAGTTGGGTGGTGGTTGCGGCCAGGCCGCAAAGAATAAGGATCGGTCTAGGCCAGAATTCGCGGGATGGACCCATGAAAAAGAACATCCCGCTCTTGGAAACGGGAATCAACATCGTTTCAGGATCCATAGTGTGATTTTCCTGGCATTTTGCACACTTTCCCTGTCTGTCTGGAAGCGCCTACTCACATTTGTCAGGGGGGAAGGAACTGGCAAGGCACAGTCAAGCACCAGGAACACGAGGCTAATAGGCGCCCGACATCACTTGGCGCTCGCGTACGATCAAAATCCGCCCGTACGGCCAAGTGGCGCCGAGCCGTGTTTGCCGAGTCTCGGACCCGCCTGCCGATTGATTTCCAGCGTGGGCTGTTCCGAATTCACCCCTTTCATTTCTCCTTGCGAGTTGCGGATGGTCATGGTCGCCACATATGTTCTCCTCTTCAAACTTTACGTGATTCCTCAGCCCCTTGAGGGCGCCGGAATCAACGACGTCTACGCGATGGATTCGATGCCAGAAGCTTTGGTTTTCTGAGCTCTTTCGTCGAGTTTGGCGGGACCTTTCCAGCCTCCCGGTACACTTAGTGAATTGGTATGTGCGAATACATCACTGTTGTTTTCATTGTCTCTTATCGCTGTACGCTAGTACCACTATAGCTTCGACAGTTACTAACGAGTGGCGGCTAGCAGGCCGAGATGCTCTGGTTGTGATGGAAACTATTAATGTAGATGGCCAAGCCAGTGTCACGCAAGGTCAAGTCGAGGTTATCGTTGGAGGAAGGAAACCACGTTCATGTAACCGACTTCAGCGGGTCTCTGGACCTCAAATGCTCTTCAGCCGGAAACGTACCATCGCAATGTGGTGTCCCCTGCAGTCGGACTTAAATCAAACATGGGCACAGTCCGACCATCTCCAAGGTATAAAGGGATCCGGCCGAATGCTGATAGCATTAAGTGACCACAAGCCCTTCCGGACTGAATGTAAGTAATCGACCATTTCCTGAACAAGGTACATTTGCTCTTGTACACTGCTTTCTGTGTGGGTTTCTCGACGCTACATTGGGCTTCTTACGAAGGTAAGTGTTGTGAACAATACCATTCTCAAGGGTAACGAGATGCTGATACACGATGTTTTCATGAAAGCCCACTTCCCAATTCGAGTTAACCGAGGGCGAAATCAGCAATATACGGGATCAATCTTGGGTGTTTCCAAACATAATGCCATGCTTCCTATGCTTCCGCGTGCCTCGCGGTGCTTGGCTCTTGAAGATTCTGCATCTTTCTGTAGCCCAAGGTAGACGATCACTTGACCACGAATAGTCGCGAAGGTGGGGATATCTTGGAATACTTGCCTTCGAGGGGTGGGTTGGTGACGAATTGTCCGGTGTATAAACTGGTCCACTGACGCTCGAATTGGCGCGACTTGATCGTGGGACAGTTACGGACGCCCTCCCCCATTTGACAAAGCAGGAAGGCCCCATCTGCTTTTGAGATCTTGCATGTCAGGGATTCTCGGTTGAAGGTCCCTATGCCTCAAACACGAAGTCCGGTTGAATCGTGTCTTCCGAGAGGTCCAGAAATTCTACAAAATGGCCTAAACCTTTCAGTCACTTCCAACATTCCTCTGGGTCCACCCTCCTCACTCCTCCTCCTCAGCGAACGTCGTCGTCCGTGCTTGATCGACAACTATGACTTCTGGTCCGAAATTTAGAGTTGCCATTTGGTCAGTCTGGCTGCCTGTCTCGTTCAAGGGGGGTCATTGATCGACGTATGCCTTCCACGAATAGCGGGGGCGGTATCGGGGGCTTGACTGCTGCAGGTGCGAGTTACGTCGTTATCGACAAAGGATATCGTTGGCTAACGGCGCTTGCGTAGTGATACTCTCGAAATCGCCAGACGTTGAAGTGCAAATTTACGAGGCAGCGGAGAAGCTCACTGAACTTGGCGCGGGAATAGGCCTTTTCTCCCGTAAGCACTGCCGCCACACCCACCTTCCTAATTCGATATTCAATGTCTTCTCCGCAAACAGGTGCTTGGGAGATCATTCGGAAGATAGGGCTCGACCAAGATCTATTGAAGACCACTGAGATTAAGCCCACGGATGGACCAGGTACGTCTTATCGCGACCCCGTCTATCCAACTCTGTTTGACATACGGGGCCTAGTTACTGCTTTCAACTATCGAAAGAGCGACAGGCCCGAGGGGGTGGAGTTCTATACTCTGGTAACCAAAGGTAAGCACTAAGCTTCCTTCTTCTCCCTTCGTCTCCCATCGTTTAATCTACTTTCTTTTTTTTAATCCAGGAAATCTGATGACCTTCCACCGACCCGACTTCCAAGCCGCGCTTCTCCGGAATCTGCCCAAGTCGTGTAGGGTGCACTGTTCGAAGCGGCTTCGAGCGTATGTTCAACACGCAGCGGGGCCTATCGAGATGCTGTTCGAAGATGGGACGACTGCCACCTGCGATGTTCTTATTGGCGCGGATGGCCTCAAATCCGCGGTCCGTCGCTCCATGATGACTGAGAAGGCTCAGTTGGCGCAATCACAGAAGCGGTGGGCAGAAGCTGCGCAGTACACCGCTTGCATCGAGCCACTATGGAGTGGAGTCAATGCTTACCGGGCTCTCATCCCCGCTGAACGCCTCAATGCTCGTGCACCCGGTCACCGAGTTTTCACTCAGCCAACACAGGTACGTTTTCCTTGTCTTTATGAGGTGCGAACCGTGCTGATCGTCGACGACTTTCCTTCTTACCAGTATTTGGGAAAGAATGGCGTAAGTGGTTCTTTGGATTCGTTTCAGTGAAGACTCTGGCTCATGTTTATTTATTTCTCTCTCTCCCATCTCCCAGTACGTCATCGCCTATCCAATTGCAAAGGGCAAGATGGTCAACTTTGTCGCTTTCAAAGCGCAACACGATCTGGAGGATACAAAGTTCAACGGGCCATGGGTGTGTCCATCAGATAGGGCCGAGGTGGCTGGTATGTACCAGACCTGGGAACCTGAAGTCCAGGCTTTGTTCGATGTAAGCCTTCCTTCCTCTTCCTGCATCGAAGCGAAGAAACTGACCACCGCATCCCCTCCTACCGCTACCTATTCTTAGTGCATCGAAAGACCCCTTCGATGGGCGATTCATACCGTTCGCCCGCTCAAAAGTTTTGTTCATGACCGAGTTGCCTTGATAGGAGATGCTGTAAGCTTTTCTTTGTTTTGTTTCTTCTCATTCACCGGTCCCGTTGTTGATACCCTGTGATACAGGCTCATGCGAGTGGTCCACATCAAGGCGCCGGTGCCGCCCAAGCCATCGAGGTGAGCCATCCCACCCCAACAACGCCCAGTCCATATCTAACCTCTCACATCCACCCACCCCCATTCAGGACGCCTGGGTCCTCTGCAACCTCCTCCTCAACCCCCTAACCACCCGCGAAACCCTCCCGCGCGCACTAAGCATCTACGACCACGTGCGGCGTCCGTTTGCGCAGGACGTCGACCAGCGGAACCGGCGCAACGCGCAGTACTTTACGTTCCACAACATCGATATCGATCCGCATCTGTCTGCTGAAGAGATGTATCCTATACTGAGGAAGCATGGGGAGATGTTTACGAGGAATTGGGAGTGGTCGTGGCTTACGTCGGCGGCGCCGTTGATGCAGGAGGCGTTGAGGCTTTTGAGGGAGGGGTCATAACGCTAACTTGAACAGAGGCGCCAGTGTGATAGGATTTTTTTTCGGTTTCTCGTGGTTCGGGGGAGGTTCGAGGGAGGTTTATTAAACTCGGCAGGCCTTGGTTCCTTTCTTATTTCTCGTTAACGACAGACACGACCTCTTAGCGGTTTAGCTTTCATGTCTTTTCATGCATACCCCCCACCCCACTGCTTTCCCTAGCAGCGCCGCCTCTCTCCGCTCTTCTTCATTCATTCATTTCATTCAAATTTCAAACTCTCATGGTGAGAGTCCGATTTTTCGCTTTGTAGCTACATATATGTAGATGTATGTATGTAAGATTGTAGGATTTATAAGTATTGTTCTCAGCCCGGGGTTGGTTGGTCGGTTGGGCCAGTACTAGTACGGATACATACCAAATACTTAAACAATGGATGGAAAAGTATGTTTCGATAGAGATGTACCACTACGACTTACTGCTTTGTATTACTACTACTACCACCTCTACCAGCCGTGTATACGCCGCTTTTTTCGTTGTTACGAAACAAACCAATGGATATGGGGAATCATGAATCGCGAATCATGAATCACTGCAGACTCGGACTTTGGATCATGAATGCATGACGACGGATAGGTATAGTATGTAGTGTCAGATTAGCTGGTGGAAATTGAATATTGAATCTGAACAAGCTGCATGCTCTTGAACCTTGAACTCTTCCCGATTACTACATACCATGGCTAACACCGTTCTCCGCCGCTCCCAGCTCAGGCTGAACACATAAGTACACAGATCGAAAGAAACTTAAGCTCAGAATCTCCGAGAAACAAGCGATAACAATGCGTCAATGACAAGACGTGTTGCATGTCAGTCAGTACATAACTTCAGTAACTAGTACTCGCCGGGAAGCGAAATATCGCGAAGGGATCCACGAACCGAGCTCGCATTTTCTGATGTCAATGTTCTGTTCGAACATGAGTGTATGTATTCCATAGAAGTCGATCAGGCGGTCTATGGCGGCACTGTAAGCACAGCAGCGTCAGCTGGTCCCTTCGGACCACACAGACTCAGAGGAAGAGGAAATGCCGATTCGATTTCTAGCGCTAGCCCTGTGCTCGAGGGGAAACGAGCGGGCGCTTATATGTACTGTATGATCACGGGCTGACATAATCCAATGTTCAGGGTCGTTCCAACTCCCAATCAGACGCTCGACGTTTCGCGGGAAGCCAGGTAGCACTGGGTGTGAGTGTTCTCGTCGGAATGAGGTGTCGAATCTTACTTTGCCATGGCTGGAAATAATGTGGTCGATGGTGATTGAAAGTCCTTCGTACAGAGTACGTCCTCCCCGGGGCGTTGTCAGATCGAAATGCATCGCTTGTCACCAACGTTATTGGATATTCCCTAGATCCCCGAATTATCGAACAAGAGGAAGTAATGGTCGGGCCATAGGTAGGCATTGATATATCGCGAAAGCTTCGATCGAGTTCTTGAAATCTATTCGGAAAGAGTGAAAAAGAATAGTATACACGATAGGGTTTCTGTATAGAGGTGGCCTTGAGAAGTGGTACCGTCCTGGAAGTGGTACCGGAATCGGGTCTGGACAAGTTACTGAGTCGGCAAGTTACTGATCGTGAGTCGGCGAGTTACTGATCATGAGTCGGAGAGTTACGACGGATCGTCGTCCTTCCCACCTCCCAAGCTGCGGAAGAACTCTGCGTAGGCGTGGTCGACGTCGAAGAAGAACTGGCGTGCTTGTTCTTCAGTGAGCTCTTCTGATGCTTTCATGCCGTTCAATGTGATCAGCCTAGTACCCGTCCGCAAGTCCATGGTTAATTAAGAGAGGTGGAGAAGAGGGTGGAGGAGCTACGCACCATGAAACCATCTTACTCCTCCCTTCCCAATCTTTGCTCCCTTTGAAACGGGCGAAGCCTGTAACGAGTTCTTGGAGGAGCGAGTGTAGCTGGTCTTTAGCCCGCATGTTAAGCTTGAGGGCGTCCATGAGAGTGATAAAGCTCTATAAACATAAAATAAGGTCTTAGATCCAAACCACCCAGGGGACTGAATAAAACGAACCTGGGTGGTCGCAGCGACCCATTTGGCAGTTTCGGGTCCTGCTTCACTCGAGTGCTCTACAGTCGCTGGTACACCGACTCGGATGCGGTGCAGGGCTGCAGGGTGGTCCATCTACACCATTCGTCGTCAGCCCTCTTTGAATTGAATCGTTCGTTTAAGGCAGATGGAGGAGGACTGACCCGATAGCTGGCCATAAACTCCTCAATGGAGGGTACGTCGTCTTCTACCAATTTCAACATGGTCTTGTACTGCGATAGCAGCCGGGTGCATGCCGGCGAGTACCTCTTAGAGTCCTGCCTCAGTATCTTCCCTTCCACGCCTGTGCAATAGAAAGAAGAAGAATGGAGAAGGGATACTCACTCAACGGCTGTTATCGAATCGCGAACATACGCCCTTTCCAGATAATCCAACGCCACGATGATGCCGAATAACGTAGCCAGGAGGTTGTATTTCTCTCGTTCGGCGTTGGAGGTGTACAGTCTGACTTCTTCGTCGAGGGATATCGGAGTTTGCGTCGTCATCGTTGTTGGCGATGGCGAGGACGACCGTCGATGGTGGGGGGCTGCGATCAACGTCCGTTCACTTTCCGGGCCAGGATCAGGAACCGGAATGGAGCGGGCCGAAGTACAGCAAAGAGCCCGAAAGCTGGGTTGACGCCGAACTACGACAGACGACCGTCGACCATAGAAAACACCGGCGACAACGAGCAGCGGCAGTTGTCCAGAGGATCCCAGACATAGACGCACACTTAGACAGGCTCTAATCCATCTGATCTCTCCACATCAAGCCCAAGGACCAACCTATTCCCTAAACGGTTGATAGGGTACAAGTACAGCAGGCCCATTACAGAAACGGTGGTGTCGACGGATCCACCACGACCGTTTCAACGTTCCATCGAGGAAGCGACGACTATGAAGAACGCTAGACGATGGGGCCCGATACGTTCGCTGCTTGTGCTGGCACCTGTGTTCATCGGAGCGCCTTGGTTGGCGTATTGGAACCATTGCAGTGAGTCCATGGCAGTCGTGTGCTCAAGGTCTCTCTCTGATTAACCTACGTGACCACGACCAGACTTGCCTACACCACTAACTGAACCGTGAATACCCTCCAACTCCCAACTCTTTTTAAAATGGAGCTAATGAAATGTGTTTTAAAATGCAGAGTCGACCCGTCGACAGGCCTACCACAGATTTCCGAAGCGAACATCTTGCGTGTGGCCAAGTACCTCTCGGAGGACATTGGTTATCGCACTGTTGGGACGAAGGAGCATGCGCTTGGAGATGCGTGGATGCTGCAGCAGGCGGAAGACTTTAAAGAACACTGCGACGAGATTGCTTTGACTACCGGACGTGAACTGGAATGTGAAGTATGGCGGCAAGTAGGGGACGGGAGCCATCGGTGAGTCTCGTCCTCCACTCATCTAAATAACAAATCCTCCAGCCATAATTTCTCTCTTCCTTTTACTTAGGTTCGACATGATGGGCAAACGCCTGTACAAAACCTACGCCAACCTGAGCAACATCATCGTCCGCATCTCGGACGGGACAAACGAGGGGAAGGAGCACGCTCTCCTCGTCAACGCGCATCTGGACAGCACCCTGCCGAGCCCAGGCGCAGCAGACGACGCCATCTCCGTCGGCGTGATGCTCGACTGCATGCGCGTGCTCGTTGACACACCAAATTGGTCACCCAAGCACGCCGTAATATTCTGTGCGTAAACATCTCGCTCTACCCGTTTGGCATCCCGTCCGCTCACACTCCCACCTCACCACCACCACTTTGCAAATCATGCAGTATTCAACAACGCAGAAGAATCCCTACAAGACGGCTCCCACCTCTACGCAACACAACACCCGACAGCCAAAACAGCGCGCGCAGTCATCAACCTCGAAGCAGCCGGCACCACCGGGCGCGAGCTGCTCTTCCAAGCCACGTCCGAGGAGATGATCGACGCATACAGCCACGTCCCCCGGCCCTACGGCACCGTCTTCGCCAACGACATCTTCAGCTCCGGGATCATCCTCTCCGATACCGACTTTAGGCAATTCGAGGAGTATATGGATATTACCGGCTTGGATATGGCGATTGTGGGGAACAGTTATTTGTATCATATGCGCAAGGTGAGTGTGCTGTGTGCGTCGTTGGGTTCGTTGCTTGGGCCTGAATGCTATTAATACCTTGTGACAGGACTTGGTGGAGAACATCTCTCCAGGGGTAGCCCAACACATGGGCGAGAACACCCTCGCATTAATCAAATACCTCACCTCCTCCGACTCCTCGCCGCTCGCCAAACTCGCCAATGGGTACTCCAAACCGCACACAGTCTACCTCGGCTACCTAGGCAGGATATTCATCAAATACTCGTTTACAGTTGCGAAGATCCTCTACGCATCGGTCTTCCTAGCCGCCCTAGCCTACGCGCGGATGTCGTATACGGAGCTCAACTCCCCTCCACCCCCTATTTCTGCTTCTGCTTCTACTACTACTACTACTACCACACCGAAGAAACCCTCGAAACCCAAATCAGCGTTAAAATCCCCAAGCAAGAAAGAATCATTCTGGTCCGTCCAGTCCCAAGGGTTCATCGCAGTCGGAACCGCAGTAGCCGCTACGATCCTCTCTCCAAACCTCCTCGCCCTCCTAATGAAGCACGTCCTAAACCGGGGGCTGAGCTGGTTCACGAGCCCGTTCGCTCCCCTTGCCTTATACGGACCCGCCGCCCTCCTCGGCGCCCTATCATCGCAATACCTCTCCATCGACACCGTCTCCGAACACACGATCTGGACGAGCCTCATCCTCATGCAGACTTTCCTCGCGCTTGTGATCCAGCTGCTGAACGTTGGCTCGGCAGCGATATTTTTTATCAACGCTGTACCGGTTTTCTTTGCCTTGTTGGTGGTTAACCCGTTGTTTAAGAGGGGAGGGAGGGAGAGAGGGGAGGTTTCGATGGTGACGTATGTTGTGGGAAGCGTGTTTCCGTTGTTGACGGGTTCGTTGTTGGCGATTCCGACTTTGGAGGTTTTTGTGCCTTTGGTATGTCATGTCCCTTCCTCTCCCCTCTCCCCTCCCTCTCTCTCTCTCTCTCTCCCCCCCCCCCCTCTCTCTCTCTATACCCCCTCTCTATCTCTTTACCTCACATTCTAACCACCCCCCACCCTCCCCCAACCCACAGACAGGCCGCATGGGCGCCGACGCCCCCTCCGACAACCTAATCGCCACCCTCGTCGCCCTCCTCGGCGCCCCCGCCCTCCCGCTCCTCCTCCCCCTCTCCCACCGGTTCGGCAAAACCGCGTTAACGAGGGGTGTGTTGGTGTGCAGTATACTGGTTGTGGCGAGTGTAGCTGTGTTTGTGAGGAGGGAGCCGTTTGATGAGATGCATCAGAAGAGGTTGTTTGTTATTCATATGGAGAATGTGCGTTTTTTTCCCCTCTTTCTCTCTTTCCCTTCTCTCCTCTCTTTTCCTTACCTCCTTCTCTCTTTTCCATCCCTCCCTCTCTTCTTTCCTTGCCTCCTTATCTCCTTCCCTTCCCTCCTCTCGTGCATCGTGGAGAATATGGATGCGTAGAGAACACGTATGCTAACCCTGATTTTCTGATTGGTTGTTTACTTGGATGGATGGGTTGGTGGATGTAGATCACGACGCATGAACAGCACCTCCACCTCGCAGCGGCAGACGGCGCCCCGGGCCTCCCAGAGCTCGTCTCGAGGATCGTAGACGAGTTTGGGGTCTCTACCGCCTCCTCCTCCTCCACCAACCACAACACCACAACCGACCAAAACAACACCAGCCAAGCCAACGACAACGCCGTCCCAGCACCCTCGGCCATCGCAGTCACGATGAACGACCACAACTCGGACTGGGACTCTCTCTACCCTTTTAGCCAGTTCCTCACACCGTACAAGGTACCTTTGCCCGTTGCGAAGGAGTATAATAGTCCATGGCTAGGAGGGAAGAAAGAGTTTAAGATCTCAGCTGTGGATGATACCACCGATTTTGTACATGGAACGAGGAGTTTGAGTGTGAAGATCGAGCATCCTGGGTTGATCTGGACTGGTGCGTCTATGCTATGCTCTCTTTGGGGTTTGAATTCTCATCCACTGATTCAATGCTTCCCACCAATACACCAACGATTCAAAAAATAACGACTCAAATTACCGGATCTATCTACCACCCATTCAAAAAAAAAAAACCCTCCAGCCATCGCATTCGACGCGCACGTCCTCTCCTGGTCGCTCGACCAAAACCCGCCCAACGAATTCGCGCGGCACCACGTCAAGGAGGCTTCGTTCTACGGTACCGACGTGTACGAGTTGCAACTGACCATCCGGTTGACGCCGCAGAACCCGGGTGGGAGGCTCAAGATTAATTTTATGGGACTTAGGGAGGACGCGGTGTGGCCTGGGAAGAGGAGGGAGTGGGTGCTCCGGCGCAGGGCGTTGGAGGAGGAGGAGGCTGGTGGGCAAGGGGAAGAAGGGAAGAAGAAGGATGGGTTGGGGAATGATAATGCACCGATGGAGCTTTTTGAGAGGATGGATCGGTGGTTGGAGGAGACGACGGGTGGGACGGTGGATGCGCTGCTTATGGGGTGTATTGGAGGTGTGATTGTTATCTAGTAATTACAAGTAGGAGTGCAATTAGACAGAGGTAGCATCGGACAGTTAACGAGGAGTATGTAATGTAGATAGATTGTTCTAATGACAATAGGCGACTAATCTTTCTTGCCTTGCTCCCCTTGTGCTTGCCCCTGCGCCTGCTCCGAGTCACCACCACCCTTCATCACCTCCCGCTGCCGCTTCAACTCAGCCAACACCTCTCCCAAAACCTGCGACTCGGCCTGCACCTCCCTCTCCAAATGCAAATAATGCCTCCTCAACTCCTCAGACACAACCGGAATATGCTCCGGGCCCAAATTCCTAAACAGCTGGAACAAATCATGCATAGGCTTGAGCTCCTCAGGTGTGACCTGCTTCATGACCTGCAGCAGCTGCCTGCTAAACTCTTGCTGCTCCCGGCCGCTCGACATGAGTCTGATAAAGTGGAGGAGCTGCTGGTACGCCCTGTCGCTCTCGGCGCGGAGTTCGGGGTCCATATTGGCGCGGTCGTACTCGTCGAGGAGGGTGCCGTAGCCGAGTTCCTCCATCAGTTGCTCGGTTTCTTGGAGGTAGTGGTTGGAGAGGTCGGTGGATGGGACGGGTGTGTACCCGAGGTAGTTTTCTTCGAGGAGAGGGACGACGGAGGCGTCGCGCGCGAGGATGCGGTCTGCTACTTCCTCGCCTTTGGGGTCTGACTGGATCAGGGAGAGGGAGAGCGCGGAGAGCCCGCCGCTGTGGATCATGAGGCGCGCGAGCTGCCGCGGTGTGTGCGCGTTGGTTATGTGGTACAGCTCGCCTTCTTCCCAGTCGAGGTAGTACAGTTTGCGGTGTCTGTCTTGGTCTTTTTGGCGTTCCCGCTCCAGTTGCTCTTTGTCTTTGGCCATTTGAGCTTGCACTTCTTCCTCAGATTTTCTCTCGACCACCTCGAACACGAATGCGTTCAGGTCGTTGTTGAACATGACGGGCTGGACTTCTCCTGGTATGGCGTAGCGGACGTTGATGATAAAGTCGATTTGGGGGATGACGACAAAGTATTGGGAGGTTGGGTAGAAGAAGGAGATGAGGTTTTCCCAGTTGGGCCAGGTGCAGGACCAGCCGGTGGGCAATGTCTTTGTGCGCGGCCAGTGCGTGTTGGCGTAGTCCAGGATGGCGTTGACGTGGTCCATGTCCTATTTCAATCCCAACATTAGTGTTTGGGTACCAATATAAAGAGTAAGACATTGGAGACGCACGATTAAAATGTCATCCCCACCCTCCCTATTCGATTCCTCGAGTTTGATAAGGTCTTCAGGGTCGACTTGCACACCGCTTTTAGCCAGTTCGGCTGCTCGTTCGCGGATTAGACGAGCATAATCCTCCTCCCATTCCCCTTGTTTAGACGTCCTAGATTCCTTCGACCTTAGCATTCAGTTTCTTCCTCGATCCTTTTCACGGAACGGACAAAAAGAGAGAGAGAGAGACTCACAACTCTGGCTTTTCTTCTCCTTCATTAGGATTTGGGTTGCGAGACTGCTGTCGGGAGTTGGGAGGTGGCCGTGCGGCTGCTGCTGCGGAACTATAGGTCCTCCTTTTCCTCCTCGTCTGCAACCCGCTCCTCGAACTAGAATGCGAATGTGAGACTAGAGTTGTACGCCATTGTGTACAGCTCGTTGCGGCGGCGGTGGTGGTGGTGGGTAGCGTCGAGAAAAGCCTGTTCTGTGCGTGCCTTGGAAGAACCGTCTTGAAGAATCGTTGAAGGTTCATGGAGATTTCATGACCATCGAGACGGTTGAACGTTTGAGTTTCAGGGCAAGACGTGATGCGGCTCTTGAGGAGCCGCTGCTGGCGCTGCCGATTTCGGAACAGATATGTAGCCACCTCGGTATTAGAAATCATTTCGTTTACATAGTAAATAGTGTGTCGGAAAGATACAAGTACCCTATTGAAAGGAGTGCATTTCCATGCCGGAAAGTGTGTTCTTCTTCCCTTGTAAGAAGAGAAGAAGGAAAAAGTAATGGTCCTTGACCTGCCCCAGTGAGGCTCGAACTCACGACCTTCCGATAGTCACAATAACAGTCGGACGCTGTAACCAACTCAGCCATGGGGCATGTGATAGGGGTACTTCTATGCTCAACAACAGAAAAAGTGTCGGGAAAGGACCATCCTCATTGCCAAAGTTCACAACCGTTGAATCATTGTCAGTGCGTCTGTTTTTGATTAAACCTAATTACTCTTGACGGGGTGAAGGTTAACGCAGAATTGTGCGACTACCGTCTTGAGCTCGGCTGTGATTCAGCCAGGCATCAGTGTACCTCACCAATGTTCTTAGTACTTACCGCTTCTTTTGATTCATACAATCCAACCGTTTCATGAACCGGAACCGATAACTCCCAGATCTAAGGAGTTCTGGCGCTGTATTCATGCAATCTCCAATAGCTCAAGGTCGTACAGTCATTACCCGGCCAGTGGGACAGCAAAATTGGAAACGTGTCGGAGAAATTCTGTGTTGGCCTCTCCGCAAAATAAACTTGATATTAGGATGTAAGATAGGTACAAGTACTAGAATATGCAGTTAATCAATGGACTTGTGCAGTAAATGGATAGAGATTTGAAAATCAGTGGAGGTGCTCGTTATCGGCCCCATACCTAGCCAGTGGGACGTGACTGTCACATCAAGTCACAGATTGATGTGTCCTCAAAAGGCAAGGACCTCGTTAATTGTCTGAGTCCTTGACTTCCATTTCGTCGTCATATTCTTCGTTTTCATCCGCATCCTTCTTCTTTTTGAGTTGGACGAGGTGTTTACCGTTCAGTGTGAGGTCAATTTCGTGACACATCGTGAAGAGGATGGTTTTTCAGACGTGTCGCGTCTTTCCCCTTTTGGTGTGTGACAGGTGCCATCACTGCTTGACCTCCCCCTCCTCCTCAAGATTAACGATTTCGTGGAATTCATCTATTCCACCCATGTATACGCGCTAACGTAGTAGATACGAACTGAAGAAGCACTGATATCCCTTTTTTTCGCTCCCAATGAACATAGATACGAGTGAATCTTAAAAGTACTGAAAAAATCACTTTTTCGACACCATCTACTGAGTATCGCAAGTGTCTCTTTAGACCGATAGTCTTCAAACTGCTATCCAAAGTGCATTACCTATCTATCTACCCCAAAACAATTTCTCCGAGGGAGATTCCATGACACCCAGGTTACAAAAAGCATCCTTCCCACTGGGGGGTCATTTCCCACTGGCCGGGTAATGACTGTAGTTCCACGAGAACGGAAAGGAGCACCCGACGCTATGGATAGAGATCCGAGAGAGAAGGTCACTGGATCTGGGTGCGGTTACAATGTAACATTTGCTGACACCTCCCTGCCTTCGAATTTCACCATATGACTCTGACTGGTATGTCATTCGAAGCTACGTGCAGCCTGCGGATTACGCTGCCAGCGAGGCCTCCGGGCCTTGGAACAACTATTAATACTCGCTTTGCGACATTGACAAAGATTCAGAACTCCCCTCAAACCTAAGTTACTTATCGTTCTTAGCATCATCTGGTTTTTCTGCTATGCCTTCCTTCGACGTACACCGAGCTAGAGCGCAATTTCCTTCATTGGAATCAGGATTTCTATTTGCAGACAACGCTGGTGGATCACAAATTGCCCAAGAAGTAATCGACAGGCTTACCGACTACATTATCAACACAAACGCACAGCTCGGGGCCACATACTCCCTCTCGCGTACCAGCACCCAACGGGTTCTGGTGGAAGCTCCTCAAGAAGCAACGAAACTGTTCAACGCCAAATCTCCTAACGAGATTGTGTTCGGATCCAGCTCTACCCTGAATCTCGAGAACCTTGCGCGAAGCTTGGAGAAAGACATAAAGGCCGGGGACGAGTTTATCATTACAGGGGAGCACGAAGGTATATATTGGACGGACCTCCGTTGAATGATAAACGATTTTTAGCTGACAGCCCGCCTATACAGCCAACGTCGGTCCATGGAAGAAACTAGCGAGTCGCACCGGCGCCGTGATCAAATACTGGAAAGCCCGACCCACCGAGGAATCCAACCCATACTCGATTGCACTGAAAGTGGAAGACGCCCTCTCCCTCGTCTCTTCCAGAACCCGAATCATAGCATTCACCGCCTGCTCCAACATTCTCGGAAGCATCGTACCCGTCAAAGACGTCGTCAAAGCCCTTCGAGCGCAAGTGCGTGCAATGGGAGCACCAAAGGTCGAGATCTCCGTGGATTGCGTCGCGTACGCCCCTCATCGCCTGATCGATGTGCAAGATTGGGATGTCAACTTTGCGGTCCTCTCTTACTACAAGGTGCGAACTTCGGTCTGTTTTTTTCTCAGGCTACCGGAAGTTGGAACTGACTATTAGACTAGGTCTATGGTCCCCACATCTCCGCGCTCTACGTCCGAGAAACATCTCTCGAACAATCAGTGTCTTCCCTTGTCCATCACTTCATCGACGTCGACGCCTCTCCTTCGTACAAACTCCAACCCGGTGGGCCTGGCTACGAACTCGTATATGCCACCACAGGCGTCATCCAATACCTCCGTTCTCTCACCTCGGCAAACGATCTCAAAGCTTCGTTCGAGGCAATCGCAGAGCACGAGCAGACATTGTTGAAGCCGCTCTTGGAATTCCTCACAGCTCCTGCCCAATGGGAAAGAGGTGTTCGCATAGTTGGACAATCGACCGTCGATCTCAGCCGAGTCCCAACGGTCAGTTTCGTCGTGGTTGGACCAAAGGCCCTCAGAAGTCGGGATATCGTCAAAGCCTTCGACGAAAAGGAAACCGTATGTCATTCCCAGTTCCTACCCAGGTTTCCATGACTGACAAGTCGTTCATCTAGATTGGCATTCGGAATGGCCATGTCTACGCGTACACCCTTCTGAACGACCTGGACCCCAAGATTGACATGGATGACGGCGTCGTCCGCATTTCATTAGTGCACTACAACACGGTGAACGAAGTACTTCGCATTATCGATGTACTTAAGGAGGTCCTCTCTGCGTAATCTATCCAATTCACCTGTTCTTCTGATTTCCGAATTCTATATCATAACCAATCCGAATTTGTCGTCTTTTGGAAATCGGGTAACATTAACGACAGTGCAGGACATGTTCAGAATTCAAGACGGAATACAAATACAAAGAAATACATTTACACAGCAAGACTCGGAGAAAATAAGAACAATCACATAATGGTACACCAACCACCCTCGTTCTCCTTCTGACGACGTGCCTGCTCCTCTCTCGCTCGCTGCTGGGCTCTTTCAAAGGCGACAGCAGCCTCCGCACGCCTACGCAGCTCCTCAGCCTGTTCTTCCCTTCTCCTCCGCAGAATCTGACGCGCTTGCTCAGCCTGCTCCCTCAATCGTCGATCCATCTCGATCCTCCTCCAGAGTGCATCCATCTCAGCCTGCCTCAGCCGCTCAGCATATCGTCTATCCGCTTCTTCTTGCACCCGGCGAGCAGCGTCCGCCTGTGGGGCTTGAGGTTGGGCGCCGAAAGGACGGAGTGGCGGGATCGGCTGAGGCTGAAGGGGAGGCGGAGGTGGAGCTGCCGGCTCGTCTCCGTGGATACCTCCATGCGCACTGTGCATGTGGGTGTAGATTTCATGGTGGTCAAAGACGCCCATACATCGCCAACAGATATGGGCACCGCAGGGGCACGTCATGTGGTTGCACCCCTCCGCCTTCATAATCATCCTGCTACACTCGGGACATTTCTTGACGTTGTTCCTCGCCGCCCATTCGTTGTTCAATCGTTCCTGCTCCTCGGGGTTCCTGTGCACCCTCGCTTGTTCGCAGCTCATCCCATCATGCGATTCCTCGTGGCACTGGCCACAGATCTTGGAGAAGCACGAAGGACATTGATGCGTCGCTTTGCCGTTGTCGCACTGGTAGATCTGGGTGCAGTCTGGGGTGGTACAGAATTTGAATGAGCGAGGGTTTTGTTCGAGGTAGGTGAGGAAGACGACGTCGACGAGGCGGTTGAACCTCTGCGGGGTGAGGTAGCGCTGGATGATAGGGATGGCGATGGGTTTGCCGCAGGTAGCTTCCTCCCCCATACAGACGAGTGGGAACTTCTTCGAGTCCGCGGCCGAAATCAAGTAATGGCGAAGGCAGGCTTCGCAATAGGAATGGCCACAGCTGAGGACATCTGGGGATGAGACTTCATCGTAGCAAATTGGACACGTCTCTCCGTCACCCGTCCTTTGCACCACGACCTTCCCATCCCTCACGCTTGCAAGCGCTTCTTCCATCAGCTTCTGTAAGTGGTGTCTTGCATCGTCTCCTCCCTTAATCTTGATCCTGTTTGGTGTCGAAGTCAGGTCGAGCGAGACGTTGTCCTCTCCTAGAGCGTCTTGCAACGTCTTCAGTCCGACTCGGACAAAGAAAGAAACCGATTGCCGTTGAAGTGGGATGGACCACTCGAGGAACCCCAGCCTCTCCACCTCTTCCTCAATAATGGCTCGGGCAGCAGCTTTCGCTTCGTTCATCCCGAAGAGCCGCAAGGCATGGACCTTGCGGTCAACCGAGACAAATGCACCGGTGTCCGTCTTCACCCGGCTCAAAAACGATGCACCTTGGTTCGAGAGGAACGAGCTGTGCCAATATTCCGCACCGAGGCGCTCGCCAGCGACTAAACTCTCAACTCGCACCTTCAGAGCCCCCACTTCCTTCTCGTTCGATCCCAAAACCTTGATGAACATCCGACCGTGCCTCCCTTCATTGATGCGCACAAATGCACCGTCGCGACCCCTCGATCCTTCAGCTATCTCATCCCACAACTTCCGCTGCGCGTCGTACTGGGCTCGGATAATGCTGATGGTGTACTCGTGGCTTTGTGGCAAGACTGGACGTAATCTTGGATTTTGGCCGAAGCGGAATTGACCTGCTTCGATGGCAGCGAAAGCTCGTTTGGCAGTCTCATGGGAGGGGAATCGAACCTTCGAAATGACTCGGGTACCGTCAATTGTAACCTGGAATGATCCCCGAATCATATCGTGGCGCTTCAAACCAGCCTCTAGAGTCCCTTTGAAGCTGTCGAGATCGTATACGGGTCCCTTGACTTCCCGAATCGAGGTGGTTTCGGCGATTTCCCATAGCTCGTGTGTTGCCGTGTGGGGAGGAAGGTTCGTCACTTTGACAGAGGACGGGACATAGTATCGGGCAGCAGGACCGTTTGGCCTCTCGTTCATGGCCGCCTTTATCCTCCGTCCTCCAAGCATCCGTCCATCCAGCCTACGTGCCATGCGCTGAGCCTCTTCCATGGACGTGTAGGTGGCGATCATTGTCGTCGATGGGACGGTCCAAAAGATGGAGAGCGTGTTGAGATCCTGGTTGCTCCCGGAAGCGTTCATCTTGCCCCATAAAGCATTGGCTCCCATCTCGAACTCGAGGAGTCGCCCACGCCACTCGATTCCCTGCAAAACCTCCGTCTCTATCGCCTCTGAATCTTCAACGCGCGTTAGCACCACCGCCTTCTGACCCCCATTGTCGTACTTCATCTCGGAGACGCAGAACGTCAAGGGGTCGAGTTGCAGCTCCTCCATGAATAACCTGGCAACTTGGTCCTTCTTGGTGTCCGCTGTCAGGTTGCGAACTACGACAGCACAGAGGTCGAATCCAGCAATGATACTTCGCGTCTCGAAGCCAGCTCCGAAAGTCACCAGATTGGACCCCCCAACGACGAGCTGGATAGTCGCTGCAGCTTCTCGCCTTCGGCGTTCCCGCTGCTCCCTTTCCCTCGCCTCTCGTTCCCTTGCCTCCCTTTCTTCCTTCTCTCGCCTCTTTCTCTCCTGCTCGATGCGGCTGCGCTCCCTTGCCTCTGCCTCTTCCCTCTTCTTCCTCTCGATTGCTTCCTGCCTCTCCCTTTCTCGCCGAGCTTGTTCTTCCCTAGCAATCCTCTCAATCTTCTCACGCTCTTTACGCTCGGCCTCCTGACGCTCCCTTGCTTGGCGCTCTCGCTCCTCCCGTTCGATTCTCTCCCTCTCCCTCTGCTCGGCCTCTCGCCTTTCCCTTTCCTCTGTAAGCAGTCGCTCACGTTTCTCTCGCTCCTCAGCTTCGCGGAGTGCTTTTTGCTCACTCGCTGCATCCCGTATCTGCCCAGAAGTAATTTAGCGATCGTGCGGTAACAACTAATCCCAGATGAACCACTCAAGTGCTTACCTTTGGGTCGTGGCTATATCGACAACGATCACCTCGAGGACAATTGCCATCTCGCCAAGCAAAGCATGGCTTCTTGTTTCCCAAAATAGCTCGTAACGGAGGTCCGGTGACGAGCGTTTGGTCAACGTGCTGCCTGGAGTTCTGAATCTTATCTCGAGGCTGACTTGCGCCCACAGACGCCACGCCCCTCGAGCCTGGCTCTGTCGCACGAGGACCTTGCTCTGGTGACATCGCCACGCCCTTGTTCTTCCTCCTTTCAGGGGAGGATCATGATGCATGAGAAACGGCTATGAACCTAGAACGACGGCACATACCGTCTGTTTCGTTTCCCTTTAGTTCCTTGTGCCCCATCGACTGTCGGAGCCTTTGGTCCATTCGCGATTGGAGGTCGATCTCGCACCCCTTCCGGGCGCTGACTTGCACCAGCAACACTCTTGAAAACCCCGCCATGCCCCTCAGTTTCGCCATTGGCCAAAGACGACATCACTAATACTGACCTCCTGAGTCTGGTTTCCAGCCGCCGCTACAGCAGCATGAACAAATCGACATCCGTCCCCCGCTCTACAGTATCCTTGTGCAAAGAATCGACATTGCTTGGTCGTTACCGACTGGCCTCCAGCAGATGTGGAGGACCGAACATCCTGCTTTCCCTGCGCATTGGACATGATGAGAGGGAAAGAAGTATTGTAGGTCCGCTAGCCACGCCGGTAACCCTTTTATACAGATCGAAGCATCAATCCGAGTTTAATTTGGGTTTGGTCAGGTGTTGATGGCAACTCTTTAGTCACGTTTCTTGGGCGCTTAATGTTGTACTAGTATACATCGACCGGCGGCGGGTCTATCTCAACCCCTATCATGGAGTACTCCTTGCCATTCTTGAAGATTCTCGTAAGTGTGTACCCGAGGCCAATTCCATGCACACCACATTACCGTACAGAGTGAATAAAGAAGGTATCTCTGGTCCAATCCCCTGGAATCCCTGAATTTCGAAGACACCTCTTCGTGTCGCTCCCTAACCGCTTGAACCAGGGCGCGAAGTAACCTCTCGAGTCTCGACAACCCCATCGAATCCATGGTTCGAAACCCAAATGAAGATGTCTCATCACTTCGGGTAGAATTAGTCTAACACGCGACATCGAGGAGGGTGAACCTGCAATGCACTGAGCGAGGCGCCATACCAACCTCTGCAATCGAACCAGTACCACTGTGATCCTCATCGTATTGGCCGGTACAATACTATCGTTGTTCGGTAGGCGACGAATATGTATACGTGCTCGGTCACGCTACTAACTGTCCCCAGCATCTCGCAGCAGGCCTGTCTCCTCCAAGTAAAACGAAGCAGGCACACCAGTGCCGTCCTTGACCTTCAAGTCAACTGCCGGATGCTGCAGTAATGCCGTAATGATGTTGTCCAGGCGTTCGTCCACAGTGCTTCGGTTAGCGTAACGATCCTTAGCCGCAAGCAGTAACGCCGTGTTCCCTTGATGGTCTCGAGCGTTCACCTCGATTCCATCGCATTGCAACAGCTCGCGCACGACTTTCTCCTTCCTCTTTTGGACCGCGTACATCAAGGGTGTCCTCCCCCCTTTGTCGGGAATGTTGATTTGGTTGCCCCCGTGCTTGATTAATGCTAACGCCCCGCTTTCGGGCCCTTGGGCGATGGCCTCTAGGAGGGCTGTGTCACCATAATCGTCGGTAAGGGTAGTGTCAATTCCCGGGGAGCTGAGGAGCATGCCGACTGTTTCCGCAAGTCCCGACGTGCTGGGCCTGGTCAAGATGCGCTCCAGGGTATGTTCCTTTGTAAATAGCCATAGGAAAGGTCGCGAAAACACTGAAATCAGGGCAGTGCACCCTTTGAGATCCCTTTGATTAAGTGCCTTAACCTCGCCATCTCGAGGTTCCAGCAATAGCGACACCACCTCAGACCTCGTAGCAGAACACGCCAACATCAACGCAGTCTGTCCCTCCAGTTTGGTCTCCAACGTGAGATCCACATCGCGGCGCTGCAACAGGCAGCGGACGGCGGATGCAGCACCGGCGTCCGATGCTCGGTGGAGAGGTGTATACCCGTCATCATCTACCGCATTCACATCGATTTCTGGGCATTCGAGGAGCAGCGAGAGCATAGGCTCGTTATCATTGGGAACTGCAATATGGACTGGCGTTCTTCCGTCGCGATCCTTGGCGTTGACTAGCGTGCCATCCAAATGGAGGAGTCGTTTCACGATGTCGAGACGGTCGTAGTCGACTGCGAAGGCTAACGGGGTGAGTTTGTACATTGAGGTTGGAGAGCGGATATCACAGAAGGAACAGAGTGCGCCCAGGATGTCGATCGGGAGATCGAAGAACGAAACGAGGTGCAATGGTCCAACGATGTCAAATCGAAATTCCCAGGGACGGCGCGGAATGGCAAGGCGTATGGGAAATGAATTGCAATTGCGTAGGAACTCGACGGTGGCGTGGAAGAGCCCTTCGTCTGCGATGCCTTCCCGGGTATGGGTTCCCCAGTATTTGATGGCATATCTGAGAAGAGTGTGTTGAAAGAGTCGCTGGTCATAGTCTCCTGGTGTCAGGGTCGACTGGGTTCCCCAGTTGCAGGACACGAAGCGCTCGATCAAGGTTCTCGCGATGACTGCGTGGGGTTGAGGAATGCGCTGGAGTATAAGCGACGGCAGCGCATCTTTGGCGGTAAAATCTACCAAAGACCGCTGTCAAAATCGGGCAGAAAGGTATCAATAAAGAATGAACTCACGAACAAGCCGCAAGACGTTGGTCTCTGGGTGAAGGTCGACCAAGCCGCAGCAGGCTGAGAGGATTGTTTTTTGATGAGGCACCCTTCGTTCGTCGTACTTGTAGGTTTCTGGGTGGACGGCCAAAGCCCACTGGATTTGCTTGAGAGATAGAGGTTCCTTTGCGAAAACAATCCAGAGAAGAGTTCGCATTGCCAGATCTCGGGTCTCCGGGGGCTGGGCTTCCACTCGTTCGATCGTGGCTGCGTACATGCCCTCCATCCCCGAAGGGAACTGAGCGAGACGGTCATAGAGCGTTGCAATGCTCGTGCACTCCCGCAGCGCTTCCACTTGCAAGACCGCGTGAAGAATCCTAGTGGCGGAAGCCGTCAGTGTACATCGGGATGATGTATAAGTAAATGAACCTACATCCCTCCCGCCTTGGTGGTGATCTTTCGGACGACCGCCTCCTTTTCATTGTTGTCTGCCAACAGCTCGGAGAGTCCGTCATTCCTTTCGAGCCTGTCGTCAACGAGGAGGCGCACATCTTCTTCCTGGGCCTCGATGGTAAATAAGACAGAATGCTTCAGCTTCCTTCCCAAGTCGTCAAGGGGGCGAGAGGTGAGGATGATGTTACCGTGAAGTTCGTTCATGACCTTGATGAGATCAAAACGAACGTCCACCAGGGCCTCGTCGACGCCATCGATGATGTAGAAGACGCACTTGAAACGCCTCTCGAGTTGCTTCAGAAGATCGACGAGATCGTCCAGGGTTGGTTCTGTCTCGTCCCTTTTGTGTTGCTCGTAGAAGGGTAGGATATCCTCCGCCGCGCCCGGATGTCGTTTCAAACATTCCTTCACCAGTGTTTTGAGGATATCGCTGATGGTGAGGGCCTCTGTGTAGCGGCAATACACGAAAAGGACGCATGTGTCGTCGTCCTCGAGCTTTAGGAGATCGTCGATAACGTGAGATCTAGGATATCGTGAGCGTGAGCCACATTGCTAACTCAGAAGAAGTGGTCGGCTCACGCTAAAACCGTCTTTCCGGCACCCGCTGTGCGAAGGTCGTCAGGACAGCAAGATGAAGAGACCGTAAAATTAGACGTACGAATACCCATCCCCCAAAGAATGGCCGCGGGCGTCGATTTCCACTCCTTGTACAGCCGCATATCGAGGAGCCATCTCCCCGTGCCTTTGCACCGCTTCTTTTTAATATCGTTGTGCATAGCCCTGAAGTTGATCGTTGCTTTGGAGGTTAGCCACTTTAGCAGTTCAGCATCGGAGACTGGCGCTACACGTGTCGTCAGAATCGCAGTCGCTGCGGTATCGAAGAGACTCACCTCCGTGGTTGCTGGAAGTCGGTACTGGCTGAGGTGGATGATAGTTGTTTGTTGTAATGTTTATGACGCTCTGTGGGCCATCGGAATGGTAGACGTTGCTGTCCTTGATCTCTCGTGTAGTCTCGAATATTGGGCTCTTGCTAGCCTCATACTCGCCTATGTCGCACAGGTGTAAAGAGATCAACAAGATGAAAGGACTGGGAACGTACGCGCTGTCGGGGGATCTCTCACTCCTTCCGGTGCCTGCTCCGTCGACTATTCGTTTGGTGGGCGTCGAGTCAGTCGGTTTCTAAGGCGGCCAAGCGATCTAAAGGGCTACACTTACACGCCAGGACCAGCCTTGACCCATCTCGATGACCTTGTTGCGGAATAGAGCCTGGGATGACGGTGGCTGCGGTGAAAGGTGCGAATGGTCAAGAGGACTGAAGGAGGTCGTGAGGCAGATGGCGTGATACGTTATCGATCATCGATGAGAATAGGCGCCAGCATGCAAGTCAGACCGGTGGCTGAACCCTCATGACTTCATTCCTACAGTGATTCAGCTCCGTCGAGCCCGTGTTGTCAGAACACGAGGAGGGAATGTCATAGAAGAGAGCGATGCATTCAGTCGCGCTGTGCTTGAGCTCTGCGATGATCCACGTATCCGCAACATCACAGCTGCGACCAAGTCAGAACTTACCCTGGGCCCATGTTTATCGATGAGAATAAGCGCCCGCAAGCTACCAAAGGTGTAAGGGTGACACAGCCTTCGATCCGAGCAGTGGTCCTTTGCCCCTCGTGTCCTTTTGCCCTTTCGAGGTGAATCGTAGAGAGAAACGTACATTTGAACGCATTACTCCCAGCAACACGCCTTTGGAACGAGGAGGGAGAGAAGGAAAGACGCTGCTGGCACGCTCCGGGATTTGTCTTGGCACCCGTCCAAAATTGCACCGCCTTAGGTAATCCACTGATAATATTAATCGCTCTCTTTCCTCGCGGTGCTTTTCACAGCCAGGATCTCTTTCCCCTCATCCCGCCCTACCCCGCTTCTTGTCGTTCTTGGGACTCCCTTCATGTAAGTATCCAATTCACACTATATACAAGTACACCAATGAAAGTCTAATCAACTATAAACGAGTTCAGATACCACATAGATTTGGAAAATAAAAAAAGAACAGCTAGTACAACCCATAATAATGGCGAAAAAGAAATCGGGCGGTGCTAAAAAGGGTGCTGCTGGTAGTGCCGGCGGGAGCACGAGCCCCGGTGCTGGGGCAGCACGTTCAGCTACACCCGGACCTGCATCTGACAATCCTCCAGCGTGAGTACCCGTATCTCTTGCCCATTGGTCATGTGTCTGTTCGTATAGGCTGGCCCAGTGGGTTGTGCCCGTACAATGACAACACACAGAACGCTGTTTTCTAATCTTGTTTTTCCCTTTTTTTTTTTTGCGATTTTGTTCGTTGGTTGTGCGACGGTTGTTGGGTTTTTTGGGTGTCGTATGCCGATCTCTGAACTTGGACAACCGGGACGAACTTGAATCCGATTCTGCGACCCAACTCGACTCGACTCGACGGAATGACGACCCAACGACCCCATTTTGAATTCTTCAAAATCGGATAAAACCCCATCGCTGTGCCTACAGTGGCGATTCCTCCCGGGCAACCTCGAGCCAAGCAAGCGAGCCACCATCGAGTCCAACACCGTCGTCCACCCCGGCCCCGTCCAAACCCCAAGACCCAATTAAGGCCGCAGAAAAGGTCAAAGAAGAGGGCAACGTCAAGTTCAAAGCTAAGAATTACGATGATGCGGTGGATCTGTATAGCGAGGCTATCGGTGAGTTCAACAGCTTTCAAGTTCACTCCAGAGCTGTAGATTTGGTTTTATATCCTTATCATCGTGTGCTGACTGACTTTCTGATGATCCTTGCATTACGATCTGCATTTGGATATGGATTTGAACAGACCTAAACCCGCAAGAACCGTCCTACTGGACGAACCGGGCAGCCGCCTACATGGCCTTGAAGCGCTTCCGCCCCGCGCTCGCAGACTGCCAACAAGCCCTCTCCATCCTCTCCCCCTCCTCCACACCCTCCTCCACCCCCGCCTCGCCCTCCACAACCACCACCCCCGCGCTCGTCAAAACCCTCTTCCGGCTCGCGCGCTGCCAATTCGGCTTGGGCGAAAGCACCGCGGCGCTCTCGACGCTCTCCCGCCTCTTCGCGCTCGAACCCAGCAACGCCGCTGCGATCCAGCTCAAGCACAAGATCGAGGCTCTGCAGGGGCACGTGAAGAACTTTGAGCAGGCGAAGGGGAAGAAGGAGTGGGGTATGGCGCGGTTGTCGTTGGATAAGTGTTTGCAGGCGATTGAGGCGGAGGGTGGGGAGGTTCCTGGGGAGTGGAGGGTTTGGAGGGTCGAGTTGGAGTTGGCGAGAGGGAGTTGGGATGCTGCTGGGATTGCTGCCAAGTGCGTTTTTGTAATATGTCTGTTAATCGTTGTCTGTGATTGCTGATATCTATTTATCTGACTTGTAGTGATGCACTCCGGTTGTCGCCCAACTCGCCTGAAGCCCTCACCCTGCGCGGATTGGTCCTCTTCTTGACAGGAAGGCTGTCCTCGTCGCTTACGCACCTCCAGAACGCGCTCCGGTTGGATCCTGGACACGAGAAAGCCCAGAAGCTGCGGAAGCGGGTGAAGGATGTGGATCGCTTGAAGGAAGAAGGGAACGTTTTCTTCAAGAGGGGCGGGCTTGTGGAGGCTGTTGAGCGGTACACTGAAGCTCTGGAGGTGCGGAGGGGGATTCTCTATGTTCATTGATTGTTACTAACGTTCTTGGTAGAAAATCGGTCAAAGTGAGGAAGAAGGACATGGTGGACAGATACGTGCGACGCTATTGTCGAACCGGGCCACGACGCTTCTCAAGGTGCAATCTACTCTCCCTGATTTTGTGTGTTTACCACTAATCCTTGTGTGCAGCTAAACCGCAACGAAGAAGCCCTCGCCGACACGGACGAATCCCTCAAACTCTTCCCTCACTCCTTCAAAGCCCTGCGCACACGCGCCCGGCTCAACCTCAACCTCGAAAACTACGACGCCTCGATCGCCGATTTCAAATCCGCCATCCAAGAAGCGTCGAACGAGGGCAGTGCGACTGAAGCGGACGTGAGAGCGTTGAAGAGCGAGTTGAAGAAGGCTGAGGCGGCGTTGAAGAGGAGTAAAACGAAGGATTATTATAAGATTTTGGGTGTTTCGAGGGATTGTACGGAGGTTGAGATTAAGAAGGCGTATAGGAGGGAGAGTTTGAAGCATCATCCTGATAAGGTGCGTAGCCTGTGTAAACCTACAGTCAGAAGCTATGATGCTTACTTTGCGATGCTTGGTGGTAGGGAGGAGACGAAGAGAAATTCAAACTCGTCGTCGAGGCTCACGCCGTACTCTCCGACCCACAAAAACGCCGTATGTACGATATGGGCGAGGATGTGGATGGGTCGAGTGCGAGTGATGGGATGGGTGGTATGGGTGGTATGGGCGGGATGTCGCATGTGGATTTGGCGGAGCTGTTTGCGCAGTTCCATGGGAGTCCGTTTGGGGGTGGTGGGTTTGGTGGGGGGCGGAGGGGGCATAGTCATGGTGGGTTTGCGTTTTAGGGGCGCGTATCCGTGGTTTGGTTGGTGCTTGAAGATATGGTTTGCCCCCACCCCCTCCCCGGTCCAGGTTTTCTTGTGAAGTTGAATTGGAGTGGGGACTCGGAATACGAGTCCCTTCCCCCACCCACCCTTTCTTGTAGAATAATCCGTTCTTTCCGTCCATGCACGTTATATCTGTCTTTTTTTCAATTCATATTTCTCATATCCCTGTATCCGCAGAAAACAGCTTATCGTTTCTATCATCTATCTACGAGTTTGAGATACAACCTATTATCATTTCTTTTGTTTTTCCTTTTTATCTGTGGTTGGGAGGGGATTGCGGTGAACCCGGGGTCGTCGCATTTATGAAGAGAGGAGGTGTGGCTCAATTTTTGAAGCCGCTGCGGGCCTCGTGGAGGGGAGGGGGCGCAGGAGACCCTGAGGGCCTTTAACTTAAGCCTCGGTAGATGCGAGAGGCGAGAGGCAAATCTGCCGCCGGCCGGAGAGTGGTTGGGTACTTTGCATTGCGCCTCTTTGTGCCTGCAGTAAAGTTTCCTCGATGATACTTACTTTACGCGCGCTAATCTGATTGCGTGCGTCTTTGCCTCACCTCGTTTGCAGTGATTTCTGGGTTCGGCAACCGTGGTATGCTCTGCAGTTCTTGCCTGACCTTTCCACTGGGGGCTGCAAATTGAAAAACACGCACCCCTTCTCATTTTGCAACGTGACCCTATAGCCTCGTGTTCATTTAGCTCATAGAAAACGAGGCATTTGGTGGTCCGGGTCTTTAACCCGGTGCCGTAGAGCAAGACCAATGGGGTGGGTCAGTCTTTCTCTGGAATTAATGCGGTGGATGCCTCGGATGTCCTTCGTTCGCGGGGTGATTCTACATCCCCCTCGCGCAGCTCCAAAGCTCTCGCCTCACAGACCTGGCAGGGAAGCCAAACACCCAATGCAAACACCACACCTAAAGTCCGTTCACGGAGGAGACAAGCGAGGCCCTGAATAGGCCAATAACGGCATGCCAAGCCCCCACAAGTCTGATGGGACTGATGCGAGCGCCTCGTGGCCCCGTGTGGATCATATTCGGGCGGGGGTGACAAGCGCACGAACAATGGAATTTTTGGAAGGAAGAAAAAATTGTGGAGGGCTTGCATTGAGGACACGAGGCAGGGCGGGATTGAACGACATCCCGACGACGACGCTTTCTTCATTCTTGTTCTTCTTGCTCTTTCTCTCTCTCTGCTCTTACCTGTTTGACTTTTCCGTCACCTGCGGTTCTTGGTTTTCTTTTTTGGTGCTACGTGGACGAAGACGGACATCCATCGATCCCCCCTGATTCGATATTCACCAACCGCTTGGAGAAGGAGTTTGGAAGGCTAACTAACCTTCTTGCTTGCATACATCCACGTTGCGGTCTTCAAGCTCGAGACTTTAACCCGGACGGACCCACGTTATAAACGCTCGATCGAACAGTTCAACAAGCCGGTTCCTGAAGACCACGCCCCTAGACGCACGCGAACGCAGACTATCGCCTCACAATCTCATCTGTCCTCGACGCTTCTCATCGATTCGCTTGGGATCGACCCATCGCCGACGGCCACCTCATCATCACTATTCCACCCGACGCTTAACCCTACCCTTGTTAACTGCAACAACGCACCCTAGCGAGGTTGCCTGGACTTGCCACACTCCCCACTCACCATTTCCTCGAACACCGACAACCGCATATTCCGCAACCAGCCATGCCAATAGCACCAGACGCCCCAATGCCCCGCCGACAGCACAACGACGACCGCGGTGCACGGACGGACGACGACTACTACCACTACTACCTCGCTTCACAGCGGCGCGTCTCGCGGTGGATAGACCAGACGAACCGCGAGCTCGAACCCGTACCCGACGAATACCCCGACTCCAACATCGACTTTGGCGAGGCCTCCACCTCGGCGTCGACCTCTGTCGTAGGCCGCAGCCGGAGTAGCAGGAGTAAAGGACGGGGAAGGGACGGCGAGAGCGAGGTGACGACCTCAACATCCAGACCCAAATCACACCACTCTTCTTCATCAAAGAGGCGCGAGATGTACGACGAACCGCCAATAGACGACGGGGCGACGGACCTAACAGCCACAGCGCTCCTCCTCGATTCAAAGCCTCTTCCCGCCAACCTCTTCCCCTCAGCACCCAAGGTGCGGTACCCCGACGTTCGAACGAGGAGTGTCGTGCCCGACAACGAGCCCACTTTTACAGAAGTCATGGCGCGGTTTGGGGCGAGGAAGACGCCGTTTGCGCCCGGGAGCGAGATGCCTACTATTACGCAGCGCACGGAGTTGACGTCGATTAGCAGGAGGGGGAAGACGAGTAGTAAACATAGAGAGAGGGAGAGGGATAGTGATGAGGACGAGCCACCGGAATTTGATATTTCGTGGTCGTATATTCAGCCTGTGGTGTTGATTTTGGCGTCGAGTATGGTCCTTGTTGCGATACTCCCCTCGCTGTCGGCCGCTGCTGCGGTGGTGGTCTTGATTGCGGTGGTGTATTGCACGGATTTGGTGCCTGATATGGTGAGCTTTCTGTTTCTATTCCGCGTTGGGGGAGGTACTGACGGCTTGTTAGTTCGGGAGTGGGAAGAGGAGGTCCAAGTCGAGCTCGTCGAGCTCGAGTTCGAGGAGGAGGTCGGAACGCGAGAGGGAGCGGGAAAGAGAACGGGAACGAGAGAGGGATAGGGAGAGCCGGAGGTCCAAGTCGAGTCGCAGTTTGAGGTCGTAAATGACCTACTTGCACACGCCCAGCCAGCACGACACTCCCCCGCCATTTCCTACCCTCGCCATAGCCCCTGCAAGCTAGAGCCATGTAACACGATTCCCGAAACACAGCTCCTCACCAACGAAGAGTGGCGAATAGCGCCACATCCTCGCAGGGGCCGACATGAATGGCACTCCAAGATTGACAGCAACCGCCTGTAGACGAATAGAAGAAGACTAGAATGCGTTTCGCTGTTGCTTTTGTGTGGACTCATAAGGAGTTCACTTCATCACACCCCATCGCTCTCCCCTCTCAACGCCGTATCCGACCTGTCCAACTTTCCTTCCGACCGCACTTTCCTTGTTCACCTCCCCCCGCTCCATGCCGACGACCTACCCCTTGCCGACGATATCTCTCTCATCCATCTCTCCCTCCGCCCTCTAACACACCTACCGTCCCTACCTCCTCTCCTCTCTTTCCCTGCAATTAGTGCTATCCTTCTCTATCTCCGTGTTGCATTGGCTACTCTCCTACCCTGCTTCCGTCCCCCTTTTCTTGGATATATGTTTCGTAAACTGGAATTTTGACTCTAGATGGGTTCTGTTCGGTTTCTCGATAATTTTTTTTCCTTTCCTTCTTTCGTCTCGTTCTTTTCGCTTCTCTATTTTCCTTTTCTTTCCGTTGACCTTCACTTTTGTCTTCTGCTATTATATTCACACCATCCATTTCTCCTCGCTATCTATTCTGTTCTATCTTACTACATACCTCCACCTCATGGAGCGGTGTTTGCTTCGTGGGGTTGTACTATTATACTTCGAGTTTCGGGGATTCGACTTCGCCTACGATCCTCTCCACGTCCTACCACCCACCCGTTTACGCCCGACGAGTGTGTGGTTACTTGTGGAAGTGACAATCTCTAGTCAGAGGCTCGAGGGATGCGTGGCGGAACTGGAGCACTCATCGTAGCCAACAACCACTGGCAGTCCCATTCCATCCATTTCCTTTCTCGATTCTCAGTACCAAATATCCGTTCTATCCGCCTGCGTGCTATCTATCCTCTGTTTTCATTCCGTTTCTGCTCTGCTCTCTGTCTCTCTCTCGTCTATCATCTCGTTATGCCATTACGACCCGCTGATTTCACGACTACGACTTTCTGGATTCAATCTAGCAAATCACGATACCTACATACACATACCATACAAACAACGATATACTATCAAATGCATTTCTTTTTCTCCTTTTCTCTCCTTGTCTCTGTCTCGAACCTTCCTCTACTCCCTGATCTTTGGGCTTTCGGGCACCACCAGGGTCTAGTACGACAAGCGTTTTGTCAGGATCCCAAAAGGGAGCTTCAAAGACTTCGCAACGAGTCTAGCGCTCAGGTATAGCTGCTACCGGCCGACTAGCTCAGTTGGTTAGAGCGTCGTGCTAATAACGCGAAGGTCTTGGGTTCGATCCCCACGTTGGCCATTACATGGAATGTTTCCTTTCTTTTTTTGGTATGTGGTGTGCAAGTATGGTCCGTCAACCTATTCTGCTTCTGCTTCACTTGCGTGACGGAAGGAGTTTTGTGGACTGAGCGCTTAAGTACTACTAGTCCGCGCGTGGGTTAAGCGCCTGAACTTTGAAGTGATTAATCAGTGCATTTTATGCTTGTCGCCAGTAGGTACTAGTAGTAGAACCATACCCCCCAAACCTGCGACAATCACATGACACATATGCTCACCCAAGGGAGTGTACGTACCGATGGAGGGCGTGGGTGTCCGGGTTGCACCCGCAGGTCCGCCGCTGGGTGTGGGTGTGACAGGGACTTCCAGTCTCATCGAGCAGGCGATCATATCGGTATCGTCCGAGCTCCCGTCTATGTCCCCCTCGCATTCGGTTATAGTGTTTATGTCTGGGTACTCGACAAGTCCGAGACCGCCTCCTGCGGTGCCGGTGGGTTCGACAGCGCGGAAGAGGTCGTCGAGTCTCGACGCGGATTGCTTCTGCCTTGAATGTGTCTGTATTGGGAGAGTGAGCGAGGTGTACCAGTTAGCTCAGTTGAAGAAGAGGCCAGATGCTCGGGAGGCTCACGTACAAGCAAGAGTTGTAGGCGTAGCGATGTAGGTCTGCCCCCGTATCACACCGAGTGTCTGGACGTGCGACGCCACGTAGTGCGTGTACCCCTCTGCGTCGGTGGAGAGGGCTTGGACGCCGAGCATGGTTTCACCCACGATCCAGTCAAGATTGACCGTGGATGGGTCTTTGGCACGGAAAAGGGTTACGAGTCTTCCATCGTTCTGAGCGAGTGTAAAGGTTTAATTAACGAGTAATGGAGGGAGGAGTGTTAGTGAAGTGAATGACTGGAAGCCAGCGAGTATTGCGGAGCTTACAAAGTAAGAAACTGGAAAGGACAGCAATGGTGGGAGCAATAAAGTGTCGCATAGTGACGCGATTTGGACTGGCAGTGAGTGTCAATGACTGTTTTGAGGGAGTGAAAGTCGGTAGACCCACACAAGTACAGGTAGTGCTGCAGTGCAGCAACCTATCCACAATCATTTCCTTTATGTGTAAAACGAACACCCGCATAGTACCCCCGCCCCGCCGGGCGTCACGCGTCAGGGCGCTGGAGGGGTGTGCACCGTAGTGTTGTGAAGCGTGTGAAGATCACACACGCACTCCGAGTCGAGCTGGAAGAGGCGCTTTTCCCTCTTCTCACCTTTCTATTAATGGTATGCCTGTGCACTCTGCGAGCAACACTCAAGTATTAAGCCATAGGCTGTGGTCGGGATAGTTGTCAAGGCTCTCCGAGTCACCAGAAATGAATGATCACTATCACTAGGCTGATTAAAGGTCTACATTGAAGTGCGTTGATTGACCGCTAGTTCTAGAGCCACACCGACATCCCACCAGTAATACCCAGCCAAACGAGGGAGACACCCAGCTTCAGCGGTAACATTGCACCAGAGTCGTCGTCTGCACCGACACCGTCGTTCGAGTCGCTTGTTCCCTCGCTATCAGTTCCGGATCCATCTTTAGCGCTCAAAGCTGTAACGGTAAACATGGGCACTTTCTCAGCTGTGATCGTCATTTGCAAGGTGCGAACGCCCGTGCTACCGTACGGACCTTCTTGGATGTCTGAGCAGACGATTGTATTCTCGTCGAGCTCTACTGAATCCGGTGAGGAAGAGGTGCCTGAGATGGACTCTTCAGAGTCGCTGATGGAATCCTGATCGCCGGATTCCTGCCTTCCGCCAGAGTTGTTGTAGACACAATCGAAAATCTCTTTTCCGCCTTCAACAGTGACGAGCCCGTAGTCTCCTGCCTCGTTAGTCGGCTGGACGTCGCGGAGGACATCGACGGCATGGTAGTGCGATGCGTCTGCTTTGAATGTATCTGTATTAAAAACAAATGGGGAAGTTAGTCATGCTCAGGCTGCTGCTGCTGACTCATATCTCGAATTTTCAGAGGGACGGCTCGGCGAAGAGACAGAAAGCAACGGGGAATCTTTGGGAGTATGTATGTATAGCAAATCCGACGAAACGCTTCAGAATTACAAGTGATGGCAGTAGGAGTGGAGAGGTAGGTTCCCATCGGACCAACACCGAGCGTTTGAACCTGCGACGCGACGTAGTGCGTGTACCCCTCGGAATCAACCGAGAGAGCTGAGGCGCCGCGTGTTTGCCAAAAGCCTCGCGGAAAGCCTTGCATCGTGGGGAGTTTGGGTTCGTAGAATGTTATAACCTCGGCCCCGTTTTGAGCGAGGGCAGAGGCTAGGAGAGTGTCAAATTGAGTGAGTATGTCAACCTCAGCTGGAACAATATATTGGATAAGTGAACGTACAGAGTAAGAAAGCAGAAAAGATTGTTGTGGTGGCGATGGGGTGCATTTTTCGATCAGGAGAGCACTTGAAAAGTTGTAGAACTCTCTAATTTAAATATACCAGAAAAAAAAAGCTCCCTTCCCGGGCGTCGCGGCGGGATATAGTGCACTCCACAAAGACCTGTCACCTTGGCATTTTCAACCGTCTGGGGAAGGCTCGCCAGTATCTCAGTCCGTCACATGCGAAGATGCGGATTACACTGATGAGGGACAGTTAGAGATGCACTGCATCGAGTCAAGCCCGAAGGTGTTGAGGACCGTAATCAACAGCATGTGGGGTCGAAATAGACATTGTACTGGATCATATCCGAGTCACTGTGGTACACTGTACGACGCCCCATCTTGGGATTGATGCATATTGATGGGTTGTTCAAAAGTTTGGTCTATGCGTTACCGACTAATAAAGCCACACCACCATCCCTCCAGCAGCGATCCCCGACCAAACAAGCGCCCCACTCATCCTCAGTGCCGACACCGCTCCAGATTCCGAAGCTGCGATAGTAATCATTGGTTCCTTCTCCCCAGTTACCGTCCACATCTCTCTCGTACGAACGGAGGTGACTGTTTCTGCAGATCCACTGTCCGAGTCGGTGCTTGCGACAGCAAACTCCACTCTCATCGAGCAAGCAATCTCGTCGGTGTCTTCAGAGCTCCCGTCGATGTCACCCTCGCACTCGGTTATGGCTTGTGCGCCTTCTCGATAGGTGAGCCCGAGTCCGCCGCCTACAGTGCCGGTGGGCTCAATTACGGCGAAGGGGCCAACGCCACGGTAGCGCGACGCGTCTGCCCTGAATGTATCTATGTTGGAATAGATGGTCACCAGCTGTTAGCCCACATGAAGCTTTGAAAGCTTGCTAAGTAAGACGTACAGGTAACAGACGTAGGCGTGGAGATGTATGTCTCTCCATCCACCACACCGAGCGTCTGAACGTGCGACACTGCGTAGTGCGTGTACCCTTCTGCGTCGGTGGAGAGAACTTTGCCGCCAAGCGTGGTGATACCCTCGTTCCATTCAGGTTCCCCCTCGAGAGTGGTGGTCGGGAGTTTAGGCCAGAATAGCGTTACGGCGCCTCCATCGTTTTGAGCGAGTGTAGAGGCTTAACGAAAAATGAAACCCGAGGAGTGGTTAGGCGAAGTATGTTGCGGTACTGTGGGTGTGGACGTACAAAGTAAGAAGCCAGAAAGGACAGTGGTAATAGCGATCAAGTGTCGCATAGTGGTGCGATGGCCAGTGACTATTCCGAGGCAGTAAAAGTCGAGTCTGCTGTAGACCCACACAAGTACAGGTAGTGCTGCAGTGCAGCAACCACAACCATAGCCATTACCTTTATGTGAAAACGAACACCCGTATAACCCCCGCCGGGCGTCACGGCGGCGCTGGAGGGGCACCGTGTCATCTTGAAACGTGAGAACATCTCCGAACGCGCCTTGAGGAGAAGGGTAGAGGCTTGAAGTGTACCCAACACAAATCGAGAAATGAAAGGTATGTAGAAGTTGAGGACTGGGTACCCATCACAAGACTTCTTGGGGGCACTAAAGATGGTGGGACGACTGACGGCGGGCAGCCAACACTCCATGGATTGGAGCCACGGTCTTAGATCTTCAACCTGATCGCCCCTTTTGAATTCGAACTTGTTCACGACCTTGATTCGACTCTCGAGAACCCGCCCAAGGGGCTAAACTTCCATCAATTAATCAAAGGTAAGAGATCATCGATACCAGCCCAATGAACACACTCACACGAAACTGCACAGACTAAAAGCAACATTGCCTTCACGACAAAGTCAATCAACAATTTCCGAAACTCCCTTAGTCTAGGTCTCTAGGATCCAGCGTCATGGAACTTCCACTGGAGATCATCGAAAGCATCGTCGAGGTGTTCACAAAGGACTCGAAGGAGAACAAGCAGGCACTCATCAACTGCAGCTTGGTTTCTCCCGAGTTTCGCAGCTGTTCCCAGCGCGTCCTCTTCCGGACCATCCGCCTCGAGAGAACGGCGAACTCGGGGGATCCGGGACAAGACGTCCGCGCCATCCTCAACGTTCTCAAGGCAAGCCCAGATCGACTCTGTCACCATGTCCACATATTCGCATTAGCACTGTTTGCCGGTATTCGGACGTCGTAGGGCGTGAGCGCGACCTCGACAAGTGCCCTCTCAACGACTTGGCTCGGCTGGAATTTCCAAACCTCACGGATCTGACCTTGGGAGAAGCGTGGTATTGGGCGTCTTGGATTGCATTCCCCGACGCCGCCCGACGGTGGATAGAGGATCTGTGCAACGGGAGGACGCGCACGAGATTGCAGTCGCTTACGATCTTGGGTATGAGGGGAACCCCGCCCTCTCTCCTTCTCACAGGGCCGTCGCTTCAACGGCTTTGGTTCGACGAAGTGGTCCATACTTTCCATTCTGTCGACTTGCACACCTTCAAAGCTGCCGCTACTGCTCGTGGTGCCGAAACGAGAACAACTTTGCCCTTCTGCCAGCCGAGAGTTTTGGAGTTGGGATGGGAGACTGAGCGGTGTCTGGATGACCTGTTCGCGTTGGACACGAGAATACTCTCGCGTGTGGAAGAGATGTGCGTGTCGATGGCTAATCCGCTGTCAGGTGTCCAGAACATAAACAGCGCGCTTGGTCTATGTGGTGAATCCTTGCAGAAACTCAGGATTACGTTCCTCCATGACCACGGTAAGCTACCACCATCTCCCCTCCCCATTCCAAAATCTTCATTGATAACTCATTGGATGACATTATTGATAGCTCTAAATCTACATCCCCTGAAGAACCTGACGTCCATCGTCCTCGTTGGAGTGAGGGGACCCACTTATTTTCCGTCTTTCCTCCCCGCGTTGAAGAGTCTCAATACTCTCGACGATGGAACCCCACTCCAGTCACTGGAACTGGAAATGAGCAACATGCACAACGTCGACAGCTGGGACGACCCAGCAAGTTTGGCAGTACGCCCGCTTGATCCTGGCGTCTGGGACACCCGTGAAGCCATCGACGAATGCCTTGCGACGATTATCCGTCGTTTTCCGACGACGTTCACCCGAGTCCACCTCAATTCGAAGATCCATGTTAAGGCTCCGTGTGAAAAGCCTGCTTCGAGACAGGGGTTGGCGAGGGAAACGGGTGAGTTTGAGATGTGGAAGGAGAGGGCAGAAGTGCTCATGGTTACGCCGGAGGAACTGTTTCCTGTCGCTTCGTCGAAGGAAAATGTGCTGTTCGACTTTTCTTTCCCTTGGGGAGGTATTTTTTGGAGATGGGAGTGGTAGGACCCGCACATGAAAGGATACGGACTTTCTGAGATATGGGTGACAGAGTCGGGATGATTGTATTTATGAGTAGGAACGGTTGTCGACTGGTAAGCTGCGTCCCAAGTCGACCAGGTCACGGATACTAGTCAGGTCTCCATGCTCCCAACTTTCACCTTTAGCACCGAAAGCCACAATGGTATACGTACTTCCTTCTCCCCAAATACCGGCTAAAGACGCCCATCACACCATACAGACACACGTCCCCCGTGAAAGACTTTGTGCGCTTAATTTAAACGCGCAACGAGCACTTACTCAGGCCTACTAGCCGAAGGACCGACTAATTTTGCAATGATCAATGATTACCTGGGACTCGCACCCGACAATAACACTGGCAGCCTAGGACAACGACCGAGCCAATAACCTGAACGAACCAACGTTGTGATATCAATTAGACAGGATACTAAGTACTGTAGTATGCGTATTAGACATGTAGGTGATAGAGTAAAGTGTGCAAAGTGCAAGAGGCTCCTCCAGGGGCAGGGAGGAAATTCAGATCGACTATATCTTGTACAAGAAAAAATTTTGAAGGGGAAGGGGGAATGGAATGCGGAATATATGAAGGGGGATGATGATTGACTGACTCCAGAGTCCAATGCAGAAGAACAAGAGGAATTGCGGTAAATAGAGGAATGGATGTGGGAAGGGATGGTTGAAAGACTCCAGAGTACGTTGCGTGGTGTGATGTGGTAAAAGAGGTGTGTGCGGAAGGAAATGGAGGTTGGCTTGGAAGACGTCGAATCCGTCTATGAATCGACGCCTTCATAGATAGGTATCATGATGGAGAAAGAAACGGAAAGATGGGAATAAATACGAAACGATAGCGAGATGCAATACGAGACGAGAAGACTGGATGTTGGGGTATATAATTAGAGAGGAAGAGAAAAAGAAGAAACGAATCGGCCTGCGGTTCGTTCCAAGAGAGGGGTGAAGACGAGAGAGAGAAGGGGACAAGAAGATGGCCGGCATCCCGAAGTCCACCATCCCTCTGTCTCCATAACATAGAAAAGATCCCAAGAAAGATAGAGACGGAAATCATACAAATCATCATCATCGTCATCAAGCATCCGAGAGACTGAGGGAGAAGGGAAGCGGGTTGCCAACCGAGGGCAGCACTCAACGCCTCGAGGTCGACACCGAGCAACTTGATTCCTCCTAATTCTCCTTCATCTCCTCATCAATCCTCCCAACACTCAACGTACTGCTAACAGACAACCCCCGATCACGCGTCGTCGGATACTTTGTATTGCCAAACGTCCGCTGAGGCTGGTGGTGGTGCTCTGCAGTCTTCGAAGAGTTAGTCTGGGAAGTAAAGGGTTGTCGGTGGGCATAAAGGGATCGTACTTGGTCATTATGGTTGCTGTTTTTAGGCGTCATGATGTTCGTGTTTGGGGGTAGGGGAGGTAGAGCGGGCAAGGGAGCTGTTGGGGGAGGCATGGGCGCTGGAACGGTGGTTGTACGTCGGACGTGGCGCCGGATGATTCTATTTTTGGGGAAGAGATTTATGTCAGATATGGGAAATGGTTTGTTGAGAAATTGGAAGATGGATTCTGATGGAATGAGGTGAAGGGTACGATGGGAGGTCACATCGAACCAGGGTTCGCTCTGTTAGATGGACCCTTGATTCCGATGGAACACGGAACACGAAAGAACAAGGGGAACAGAACAGGAGAACTTACCTCCCAGGAACAGCACCAGCCATCCCAACAGACGTCGGCGGTCGCCCCAACGTGCTGCCCACACTGCCGCTCCTCAACCGCCCCATCAAACTGGTCGTCTCCTTCGCGGACATGCCTCCAGGCACGGCAAAAACGTTGTCGGTGGCCGTAGGCGGGACGCTTGAGCTGACCAAACTCCCACTGCGCGAGCGACTGCCCAGGTGCCGCTGCAATTGCAGAGCAGCGTTGGCGGTGCGAATGGGCGAGCGAATGGCGTTCATCGGCGAGACGCTGATGGACAGACTCAGACTCGAACGGCGTTTACGGAGTCTTGGGGCGCCGTTTCCGGCAGGTGGTTGACCATGTACGGATCCGTTCGAGGATGTGGAAGTGTTGGACGAGGTTGAGGCGCGGAGAACGGATTGCTGGGTGGGTGTGATGTCCCGCTTGGAGATGTCGTCCATCTCGGCGTCGCTCGAGTCGAGGTCGATGTCGGAAATGTCGCTGTCGGGAGGCCCGCTCTTGGTCACCACCGGCAACGGCGAAAGGGGCCGGATGGGCGAGGTGTCCCCGTAGGGCACAGGGAGGCTGTCGACTGTGGTGTTGCATTTCAAGTCGGCCTTGGAGGGAGTCTTTGGGAGATTGTTGCCGCCGTAGACGTGTGAAGGAGCGAGCAAGCCTGCTGAGAAGAGAGCCGAATAGCCTGCTGTCATCTTTCTTCTTTCCTAATTGCCGTTTTGTATGTGTAATGAATAGGAGTTGAGCGAGCAATTAGCAAGTGTCGGTGTTGGAAGAGAAAGCGACCAAGACGATGATAATGAAGGGTGAAGGAAGAGAAGTTGGGATGAAAGCAAGTTATATGGAATTGAAAATATTTGAAGAGCGGGTGTTGTCAATGACAAGAGGCAAAAAGTCAACCGTCAACGAGGCCGACCACGGTTCGACTTTCATCACGCCCGCCGAGCAAACAACGCGTAAATAAACTCCATCCCTCGATCAATTTCTTGGCGGTTACCCGGCCTTTCCGGCGGCGACCACCCTCTGCTCGACATCCCTTTTCAGCTCTCTCCGCCATGTCTCCAGCAACCGGATCTCGTCTTATGAAATTTCCAGGAACTCGCAGCGTGTGGGGTATAGGAGCCAGGCCGTTGCTGAGCCCTGGCGGCTTGGGTGTACTGGAATCGTACGAGGAAATGTGCCGCGCAAATTTTCACAATTTCAAGACCTCGCTTCGCCTAAGGGTTCTTTGCCAAATAGTATATTGGACTCGAGATGCATACATACTGGCGCCCGGCCTACCAGCTCGGTGCCGACGCTTCAAATCTTCGGTCAAGATGTCGACTTCGTCCCCTGCGACGTTCAAACCGTCCCCCTGTCCGAGCCTTCCATTTTGCTGCTTGACGACCGGAACCTCGGAATAGCCACTGGCCGATCCTCTCCCAACGATGCTCATCCCTCTCTGTGCGATTTCGATTGTCCCCCAATAGCCGTTGGCCAACAACTACATCTGGTCCATACCGTCTCTCAATCGCCTTCATTTCAATTGACATCCGGTGGACACTCAGAACAAAAATCGCTCCAGAGCTCACAACCAATTGCCCGGCATTCTCCACTCCATTTCAACTCCACTACGTACATTATGGCTGACAAAAATGCGTGTCTATCGTGTCTATCCCAGGTGGATTCGACGGCTGTCAACTGAACAGGCGCGTTGCTCTGGTCCTATCTTTCTTGACGACACTTTGCTTCAACTTGGAATGGTTCGGAATTGCAGGTACTATACAGATGTCCTTCTCGGGTGACTAGGAACAAGGGCAAGAAATGGTGCTGGAGTCCCGCGAAGCTCTAGTCCAGAGTCCAAAAACTACAATATTTAAAGGTGACTGGTGTCGAACGTTAAAGTTCCGACTGCCGATTATTGGCTGTGGTTTCCTGACCAAAGTGACCGTTGTCTTTGCATGGACGGACCAAATTCGTGCTTTAAGTAGAAGGAAGCTGCCGCACACTTGGCTAGAACTTGGTTCTGTATCGCGTTACGAATGCGACATAGATTACCCCGCTCCGCGCGCACTGCATGACAGCTGGACCCACAACGCCCAAACTCCATCGATAAGGACCAGGCCCATATCTGCGGCCTACGGCCTAACCCCACGACCTCCACCTTCCTCCGCCGTCTTGCGATCGCTAACCTCGACACTATGGGGCAGCTGTTTTCGACCCAGGCGAGTTTTCCGACTAATCAACGACGACGGTTGAGAACTTTCAGCTCATTTCTTCGTCGCCACAGCCCCAAGAAATCGTAAACCCACCGAAAGCCAGTGCGTCTCTTTTGCGTAGCAGTTCACGCGATGGCGGGAATGAATTGGCTGATTCCTTCTCTGTAGGCGAGTACAGTGCCAGAGCAGGACCGATCTTCAACAACGCTCGATCGGTGGAGATCCATGGCGGCAATTTCCACGATGGTCCTATCACCGTTACAAACCATTACCACCCATCCCCGTCTTCTGCTGATATTCAAGATTCCAAGGTTCACTCTTGGTTAAGTTCCAAGAGGGCGGTCAGCTTTAGGGCAATTCACGGTGATGTTAGGAAGAAGCGATGCGAAGGGTCGAGGGGTTGGTTCATCTCCAATCGATTCTATCAGGAGTGGAAGGGACAACGCGGGGCCATAACTTGGGGAATGGGAATTCGTGAGTCTGGTCGTTTAATTGCATTAGATCTTGACCTCTAAGGTATCACTCTACGTAGCCGGTGCCGGGAAGACTACCCTTGCGTGAGTTCGATCATTCAGAGGGCCCGCCCTTGAGTAAAGCTGACTGGAATCGGTACATAGATCAAAGGTCATCGATGACCTGCTACCATTGGAAGACGACACCACTTGCGTTCTCTTCGTTTACTGCCGTTATACTGAGGACCTCTCCGTCACCGATATTCTCAAAGCCCTCGTAAAGCAGTGTCTCGAGCGACATCCCAACGTCTTTCCAGCAGTCGAATCACTGTATAGGCGGCACAAGCTGGAGAAAACAGAGCCTTCGCTAGAGGAGCTCGTCGATCTGCTCAAATCATTGGAAGGTTTCTTCATTCGCATCTTCTACGTGATCGACGGCGTCGACGAAGCTCCCGTCGACGTTCGCTTCGATCTCATCAAAGTCCTGAACAAGCTTCACGGCAATATTTTCCTCACCTCGCGCCCTCTGGACCATCTGGGAAAAAAACTGGAATTCGCGGTTCTCTTTTCGGTCGTGGCGCAGGAGGACGACGTGGTGCTCTTGATTGAGGAGAAGCTGGAGCGCAACGAAGGACTGTCAAACCTACTTGACCGACACAACATGAAGGGGGAGTTGGTTCGTAAAATCATTGATAAGGCGGAGGGAATGTAAGTGCACATCGCTTGATCCATTGTAGTACCGAAGCTGATGCAGAGCGTGTAGGATCCTACACGCTGTTCTCCAGGTCGACGCGCTGCAGGAATGCGCCACCGTCACAACCCTCCGCCAGAGACTCGAGGAGTTCCCTTCAGGGATTCAGGGAATGTACGCGACGACGGTAGCACGGATCGAGAGGCAAACACCGGAGTTCTGCGACATCGCCATGCGCGCACTTCTCTGGGTCGTCTTCGCCGATGCATCGTTGTCGATGGAGGATCTTCAACGGGCTTTGGCTGTTCACCCTGAAACATCCAAGTTCGACGACGAAAGGATGCCTGACAGCAGCACCATCCTGTCGGTTTGCTGCGGATTGATCGAGATTCAAGAGGAAACCAAGGTCGTTCGTCTTGTCCGTGAGTCATCTGCTTTTTGTTTGTGCGCTGCGAGGCCAGAACATTTATTTCTTGCTCAGACTTCACTGCAAAAGACGCGCTGAAACCGATACTTCTTGAACGCTTCCCTCAACCAAAACTGGTTATGTTCAAAGTTCTGATCGAGCGTGTCAAGGCATCAAAAGGCTTGCGCAAACCCGACACCATCATCCTCAGCACCGAGGCAGAGCTCCCACCGAGCGCCGAGGACCCTCTCCTGTTCCATGCGCTTTTTTTCTGGCCAGTCTATGCGAATTGGTTCATACACGACCCCAGCGTTGTCGAAGCCATCCTGTCGCTTCTCCTGGAAGCCAAAGCTTTCGGGGTCATCCCTGCTCCCAACGACTTCAGGTACAACAAACCTGGAGCCGAACTATACCAATTCATGGATTTCGTCGGGCCACTGCATGTCGTTATCCAGTACACCCTCCCCATCTCCATCTTCGATGCCGTGATCTCCAGGACCAACTGCTCGATTAACGAGCAATCACCCCGGTTCCAACTCACGCCTCTCTTGATAGCGGTAGTGTTCGGGAAGCTCCAATACGTAGAGCACCTCCTGGACATGTACTCTGAGAGCGTCGATGTCAACGCCAGTGACTGCGAGGGCAAGACACCATTGGGGATCACCCTCCTCCGTCCCCCAGAGGCCGGTATACCCATCGCCAAACGCCTCCTCGAACACCCAGACATCAACGCCAATATCCCTGACAACACTGGAGTGACACCCTTCATTCGGGCGTCGGCCCTGGCCATCGAGCCAATCGTAGAGTTGATGGTGGACCGCGACGATGTCGACGTTGCGGCAGTGGACAACAACGGAGCTGGGGCTCTGCTTTTCGTGGTCACGATGACTATAGCGGGCAAGGACACCATGACACCGGAGATGAAGCGTGTCATAAAGCGCCTTATTCAGTGTCCTAGGGTCCCTACCGTCAGCATTTTGTTTGGAGTCGCACGTCGGCCAGTTTTGCATACGACTATCTTTTCGGTTTCACCGAAGCTTTCTCTGGATCTCGTTGAAATGTTTATCCTACATAGACCCGACGAGCTCAACATTACAGACCATGTTGGAAGGACTCCATTGGCATGCGCGGCCATAGTTGGGGACAAGGATATAGTGCGGATGCTGTTGGCGACAAACAAGGTGGACGTGTGTGCGCAGGATCTACAAGGGTACTCGGCCGCTGTGCTAGCAGCGAAGAGCGCTCACAATCAAGTCCGACGCCATCTGAATGACCCCGATCTACCCAGGCCTGAGGAACATATTCTCCTCGAAATACTATTACCTTCCCGCCGTGCCAAACGCCGTCTGAGCGCCCCATTACCCAATGCGGAAGAACGAGCGCTTCTCCAGCAGCGCCATCGACTCGAATTTGCGTTGGAAGTATTGCTGAAGATGGATGTGGGGCAGGTTTGGATTGCTCCTCCACCAGAAGCGCCGCTTATTCAGGAGCGAGGGATGATGGAGTTTGAAGAGGTCGTCTGGATGTTGTTGTCCCACTCTGACGTCGATTTGAATGCCCGCGATGAGGACTGCGCTGATGTGGGCCTCGATTCATGGATGCAAAGAGGTTGTCGAACTGTTGCTTCAGTACGAAGGGATAGATGTTGGACTTGTGGACCACGGGGGGTTAAGCGCCATGGACCACGCGAGTAAGGAGGGACATGAAGCTGTTATCGCCTGTCTTCGACATTTCACCGATTCCAGGTTGTGATACATAGCCTTGTTGATTACATATGTACTAAGAATTTAGCTCTGTCCGTGTGTCCTTAGTGATTGAATCGGAGCGTCGGCAGATCACTGCCGAGGGTGACAGAGGCTATGTAAAGGTGCCGGGCGCTTATTCTCCGAGTCATCGATAACCTATCACATTCATCATCTCAGTCTGGACGACGACCTCCTTCATTCCTGCTAGTCATACTCCTGAATTGAGACACCGTCGTCGTGGGCTCTGAATTTAAAGAAGTCCTCGACATGGGTCAAGGTTTTTCCTGGCGTGTAAGTGTAGCCCTTTGACCGCCTTAGAAACCGACTGACTCGACGCCCACCAAACGAATAGTCGACGGAGGAGGCACCGAAAGGAGAGATAGATCCCCCGACAGCGCGTACGTTCCCAGTCCTTTCATCTTGTTGATCTCTTTACACATGTGCGACATAGGCGAGTATGAGGCCGGCAAGAGCCCGATATTCGAGACTACACGAGAGATCAAGGACAGCAACGTCTACCATTCCGATGGCCCGCAGAACGTCACAAACATTACAACAAACAACTATCATCCACCTCAGCCAGTAGCGACTTCCAGCAACCACGGAGGTGAGTCTTTTCCATGCAGGGGCAGTGACTGCCATTCTGACGACACGTGTAGCGCCAGTCTCCGATGCTGAACTGCTAAAGTGGCTAACGTCCAAAGCAAAGATCAACTTCAGGGCTATTCACAACGACGTTAAAAGAAACCGGTGCAAAGGCACGGGGAGATGGCTCCTCGATATGCGGCTGTATAAGGAATGGAAATCGACGCCTGCGGCCATTCTTTGGGGGATGGGTATATAAATCATGTTTATTGTCCTAATAGGGTTAGACGGACATCTCCGTTCGTAGTTATATCCTAATGGTCTATGGGCCCCTATGCCCTCTATATGCGTTTGGACCGTGCACCAGTCGACGGCGCACCCTTGGTGCTCGCTCCCCCGACTGGTCCGACAAGGAAACGTCGTTTCGATCCACAACGTTGGTTAATTAAGGGTATACTGCGTGCCTAAGGTCCGGCTGGGGTTTGCACTGCTTGCACCCGACCCTTGCGGGTGGTGCGAGGACACGGTGACTCTGCAGTCCCGTTGGAAGTTTGTCGATGTGTCGGCGCGATGGCGGGTGCTTGAGTTATGTGTGTGGGGTATAGGTTTTGGGGTGATTATGGGGATGGTGGTATTTTGAATTAGATTGAATTATTAGAATTATTAAGTTGTGTGTTTGAGGGGTGAGATGGGGAGGGGGGGTTGGCCTTGCTCAGCTGGTCCTGTGCTTATCTTGTTTCTCGAGTCGTCCCGTCGTTGCTAGAAATGTCAGGATCGCTTTTGCTTTTGCTGGGTATCGTATGGCTTTGATCGGGTCGCCCCAGTCCCTTCGCCAGAGTTCCTTGTGGAGTGTCGTCCTCTGGGTTCGGTATGCTGGACAGTCGCGTAGGACGTGAGTGATCGTTTCGCTGGCGTGCAGATTGCAGTTGGGGCATGTCGGGGAGTCGGTCAGTCGTCGTTTGAAGAGGTAATCGTTGAGTGGTATGTGGCCTGTTCTGATCTGTACTAGCCAACTTGCTGCGCGTCTGTCGAGGTCGTTGACAAGTTTGATGTACTTCTTGTACGGGATCGGACCGTCCACCTTGTCCATCTTCGGCTTCCTTGGTGACGTCTCCCATCGTTTCCTCCATTCCCTTTTTACCTCTTCCTTCACCCTCTGCTTCATTGCTGATTTGCTGATCTTCAGCTTCTGTCGTAGCGTTGGCGGGAGGAAGATTGGTGCGGTGGATTCTCCCCGGGCTGCTTTCTTTGCTTCGTCGTCGACTTTCTCATTGCCTTCGACCCCACTGTGCGCCGATATCCACCTTATGGTGAACTTGGTACTTCTCGTTCCCCGGTGCTTTATGCGGTCGGTGATACGGTGCAGCTCGTTGGTGATGGTTTGTCCCGGGCCTGGCAAGTTATGGGCGTGCGCTGTTATTGCCGCTTGGCAATCGGTGTAGACCGATATGTCTTCCATCCCTATGCTCTTCCTGCCTTCGGTTGCCACCAGCCACGCCGCTAGGACGAGTCCGACTTGCTCCGCCTCGAAGGTCGAGTGGTCCTGTTTGGTTCCTAGGTGATATTTGAGTACCTTCACGAGCTGGTTGTTCTTGTACATTACCGCTGCTGCTCCGACTTTGCCTTCATATCCTGAGCCGTCGGTGTAGATCTTGGTTGGAGCGTTGTCGAGTGCTTCGAATTCTATCGACTCTTCCCTCGTTGTTGGGATCACAACCTCGAAGGGTGGTTTGTACGTTGGGGCTCGTTTGGTGGGCGCGATCTTTTCTACCTGGGCCGGCTGGGTGGTTAGGTGACTAGTCCTTCTTAGCCTTTCGATTGGCGTCTCGTGCTTTGGCGGTTTCCCTGATCTTGGAAGGCGTGCTGCTAGCTGGGGATGTAGTGGGTGCGATTCCGGGAGTGTGCACATTCGAACATAGGACCTTTGGCAGATTTTGTTAAGCAGGATTTCGATCGGCGGGATTCCGGCATGTGCGTCCAGCGTGTCCGTGGCGGTTGATCGTAGTGCTCCTGTTATAGCGATAGTTGCGAGTCTTTGGATTTTTGCAAGTTGTTTGAGAGCGCTCACCGAGCCTGAGTTACGCTTCTTTCCCACCTCCTTGTGTGGGGGGCTATACCAGACTTCGAGTGCATACGTCATCTTTGGGATCCCTACTGCCATATATAGCTGTCGCATGAGTTGTTGTCGAACTCCTGTAGATGGTTTAGTTAGCCTCTTAAACAGAAGGACCCATTTCGTAGCTTGTTCAGTGACCCTTCTTGTCTGGGCATTCCATCGTAACTCGCAGTCGACTACTACCCCGAGGTACTTGTACTCGGTGACGATTTTGACGTGCTCTCCTCTGAGAGCCAGTGGAGGGGCTTCGGTATGGATCTTGACGCGTGAGCCATCGACTTCTTCTCTCGTCCGCCTGGACATGTGCATGATTGCGAGTTTTGACAGTTCAAATCTGGAGTTGTGTTCAGTCGACCATTGGAATCCGCCGCCTTCTCGCTCCATCATGTCTTTCAGGATTCGTACGGTGTCGTCGAAGGTGTTTGCTATGGCTATCAGGATTGCGTCGTCGACGTAACCGATCGCATCTTCGTCTTCGTTCCTGGGGATCTCGAGGAGGTCAGCGTTATAAAGGATGTATATGATCATGGATAGCGGGCATCCTTGCCCTATGCCGTTGTCGATAGCAATGAATTCGGAGAGGAAGTCGTCGAATCGTAGTTTGGTCCTTCGCCCTTCTAGCATCTTGGCTATCAGCCTGACGTATACTTCCGGTATTCGTCGTATTCGTAGGTTATGGATGACCCTGTCCGTTACTGCGTTGGGGAATGCCCCTTCGACGTCTAGGTAGAGAATTGATACCACCTTTTTCTCCCTCCATGCTTTCTTCACCTTGCCGACCAGGTAGTGCAGAGCGTCGGTTGTTGTCCTTCCCGGGCGTCCTCCGAAGTGGTTTTTTGGCAGCAGTCCGTTGACTTCGATAATCCTAGTCATGTCGTCCGCCACGGTGGCGGATAGTAGCTTGGCCGTCGTTGAGAGCAGTGCGATTGGCCGATACGCTTTGGGGATCTGGTAGTCGGGCTTGCCGGGCTTGCGTAGAACGCAAGTGATGGAGTCTTTCCAGCTCTGGTGGTAGAAACCGTTTTGGACTGCTGCAGTGAAGATTCTAGCGAGGTGTTCTGCCAGTATGTCGGCGTTCTCTTTGAGTACCACGTTCGGGATTCCGTCGAGGCCGGGGGCCTTGTAGGGCGTCAGTCTCTTCAGTTGGGCCTTGACCCGGTCGGGGGATATTGGTGTCGCTGCTGGCAGTGGTTCTGGGTAGTCGAAGTCCTGCGGCACGGAAGTCGTCTGTGGCTTTTTCGGGAAGAAAGGTGCGCCGAGATGCTTAGCTTTCCCCTTGTTCTCGTTCACCTCTATGACCCTCCCGTTTTCGAATACTTTGAGTGTTGGCATTCTGGGTCGCCCACCGTCGGCTATCGGTTCTCGGATATACTTGTTAGCTATCCATATCTCCCTTTCGGTAGCTTCTTCGAGGAACGCTTCCCAGTGCTCTATTCTCGTCTTTTGAATCAGGTCCGCATAGGCGTCTGCATGTTCTCTGGCCTGCTTGTGGATGGGGTGGTCAGGTATTGCTCGGAACTGGTATGCCAATCGACTTAGCCGGTTATTCTCCTTCTTGGTCTCTCTTAGTTCCGAGGTCCAGTATCGTTTTGAGAGCGGGGATGGCCTTGACAGTGGTATCTGTTGCTTGATCACATTCTGCAGTACCTGGGTCAGCAGTTCCACCTGTCGGTTGAATTCATCTTCGTTCGCTATCTCTGGCCAGTCTTGGGACTCCATCTGTGGTCGTAGTGCTTTCCGGAATTCTTTCCAGTCGGCCATGCGGAAATTTCTCGTTGGTGTGGTGGGGGCGACGCTCTTCGAAGTATCCAGCGTTATTTCGATTGGGATGTGGTCGGTCTTGACTGGCCATAGGTGCGGCGCGGTACTGCATTTGAGGATCCATTCTTCCATGTACTCGCTGTGGAAGACGTTGTCAGGGCGGGACCATCTCTTTGTTACCATGTGTCTGAGAGTCGGTATCCCTTTTGGGAGGGCCTGCTGCATGTTCCATTTCGCTTGGATCTCGATTAGCCGTGACGCTGCTTCGAGAGCTGCCGTGGTGAATAGGTGCTCGTCTTCATCTCGGTCCCACAGGGGATGATGTCTGTTGAAGTCGCCGCACCACAGTACGTGCCTGTTCGGGCCGTGCACTTCGTCCTCGTGTTGCTGAAGGTAGCTGTCGAGGGCGTTTTGTGCGTCATCGTTGTTGCAGTCGTTGTAAATGTTGAAGATTGTTAGCTGCCCGTTATCCGTGTCGACTTGTATCGCTGTGACGTCGGCCGAGTTGGGGACTTCCAGTGCTCTCCAGCAGTTGGTGTTAATGGCGCTGTTTACCCATATCGCCGATCGGGCTGTTTTCCTTTTTCTGAGCTGGTCGGACGGGTAGACCTGGCGGAAGCCTGGGGGGGTCCGTATGGCTTTGTAATATGTCTGGTGAGGTTCCTGGATGAGAACAATGTCGAACTTTTCTGCCAGCGAGTCGTTCAGTAGGTCGAGATGGGCCGCTTCCGATTTGTTCAGGTTCGCTTGCAGTATGCGCAGTTGTCCAGGGTTCGTCGTCGGTGAGGTGCCTTCTGCTTGGCTCATTGTTGGCCTGCGGAGGTGTCCTCGTCAGCGTCCCATTCGTTGCCTATATACTGGGAAAGGGACTTCTCCTTTTCCTTTGCGGCTTCCTCCTCTGCCTTCTTGGCTTCTTGCCTGGTCCTGTGCTTCTCCTTGAGTTCGTTCTTCCGTTGGCGCTGACTGGGTGGCTTGCTCGCTACTTCGGCGCTCGCCTTGGTGGAGGAGCTTCCCCAGGTCCATGGGGGGGATGGGTATCCGTACGTCTGGCTATGCGCGCTCTTTATCTTGATATCCTGACGACCTTCGCACAGCGGGTGCCGGAAAGACTGTTTTAGCGTGAGTCGGCCGCTTTAATTCTTCCGAGTTAGCGACGTGGCTCAAGATCTCCAGATCTCACGTTATTGACGATCTCCTAAAGCTCGAGGACGACGACACATGCATTCTTTTTGTCTATTGTCGATACACAGAGGCCCTCACCGTCAGCGATATCCTCAAGGCACTGGTGAAGGAATGTTTGAAACGACATCCGGGCGCGGCGGAGGATATCCTACCCCTCTACAAGTAACACAAAAGGGACGAGACAGAACCAACCCTGGACGATCTCGTCGATCTTCTGAAGCAACTCGAGAGGCGTTTCAAGTGTGTCTTCTACATCATCGATGGCGTCGACGAGGCCCTGGTGGACGTTCGTTTTGATCTCATCAAGGTCATGAACGAACTTCACGGTAACATCATCCTCACCTCTCGCCCCCTTGACGACTTGGGAAGGAAGCTGAAGCATTCTGTCTTATTTACCATCGAGGCCCAGGAAGAAGATGTGCGCCTCCTCGTTGACGACAGGCTCGAAAGGAATGACGGACTCTCCGAGCTGTTGGCAGACAACAATGAAAAGGAGGCGGTCGTCCGAAAGATCACCACCAAGGCGGGAGGGATGTAGGTTCATTTACTTATACATCATCCCGATGTACGGCTTCCGCCACTAGGATTCTTCACGCGGTCTTGCAAGTGGAAGCGCTGCGGGAGTGCACGAGCATTGCAACGCTCTATGACCGTCTCGCTCAGTTCCCTTCGGGGATGGAGGGCATGTACGCAGCCACGATCGAACGAGTGGAAGCCCAGCCTGCAGAAATCCGAGATTTGGCAATGCGAACTCTTCTCTGGATTGTTTTCGCAGAGAGACCTCTATCTTTCGAAGAAATCCAATGGGCTTTAGCCGTCCACCCAGAAACCTACAAGTACGACGAACGAAGGGTGCCTCATCAGAAATCAATCCTCTCATCCTGCTGTGGCCTAGTCGAGCTTCACCCCGAGACCAACGTCTTGCGCCTTGTTCGTGAGTTCGTTTTTCATTCATACCTTTATGCCCGATTTTGACAGTGGTCTTTGGTAGATTTTACCGCTAAAGATGCGCTGCCGTCGTTTATACTCCAGCGCATTCCTCAACCCCACGCAGTCATCGCGAGAACCTTGATCGAGCGCTTCGTGTCCTGCAACTGGGGAGCCCAGTCGACCGTAACAGATGAAGACTATGGCTATCGACCCTCCCAACACACTCTTCTCACCTATGGCATCGAATACTGGGGAACCCATACCCGGGAAAGCATCGCAGACGAAGGGCTCTTCCGTACCACCGTCGACTTCCTACGCAGTTGCAATTCATTCCCCATGCTCCTATTCCGTGGCGTGGAATTTCTTGGACCATTGCACCTCGTTTCGCTCTTCGATCTACCGATCAACATCCTGGATTCACTTTGTTCCTTCTGCGATATCAACTCTCCAACCTCGGTGCGCAAACTCACACCGTTAGCCTTCGCAGTCACCCGCAACCGTCTCGACGTCGTGAAACGACTCCTCCATTTGGATGGCACACTAGTCAACGCCAAGGATCGCGACGGAAGGACGCCAGTCCATATTGCGGCTGAAGGTGACAACGAGCCCATGTTCTCGCTCCTCCTCGAATGCCCAGGGGTCGATGTGAATGCGCTAGATGATGACGGGACCACTCCACTGAGCATCGGAGGACGGTGTTGCATTCGCCGTCCGCTGCCTGTTGCAGCGCGTGGATCTCCACGTTGGAGATCGAAAGCACGGGACGAACTGCGTTGGGGATGGCGTATTCTGCCTTGAGGACTGAGGTGGTGTCGCTATTGCTGGAACCAGGCACTGCTTGCGGCCAAGGATGGTTACGCTAACCGAAGCACTGTGGACCCATGGCTGGACAACATTATTATCAAGACATTACTGCAGCATCTGGGAGTTGACTTGGAGGCCAAGGACGACACTGGTGTGCCTGCTTCGTTCTACTTGAAGGAAATGGGCCTGCTTCAAGATGCAGGAAATGATTAGCAGCGAGATCATGTATTTGTAGGCTATGCCTCAGTCGAACTTTCGACCAACCAATTGCTAATTTTTTGGGGGAAGAGCTATAGGCTTTCGGGAGCGCCGAGCAGTATGTGCCTAAGCTAGATCAGGGTGCGAGCCTAGCTCGCCTTAATTCTTGCTGCGCACTGTCCTCGTGAACGTTTCTTCGACTGTTCTTATTCCAGGATAAGTAGTCACCTTGTGCCTTCTAGAATCCGCACGAAAACACCTGACCAAGCCAAACTGACAGAAGGTCCCATATAAACCCACGCTCGTCAGCCTCATGGCGATGAGCCATAGTGGCATTCGCCCCCACATTCTGTCTTGAACCATCGTCCTACTGCCAGAGATGACCAGTCCTCGTACGACTACTGGGGATCTCCAGACAGGCGGATATGCTTCAAGGCGCGAGTCATCTAGCGTTATCTGCCAATCCTTCCGTGATTATGGACACTGTGAATTGGGAAAAGACTGTCCAAAGCAACACATCCTCCTCGTCGCGAGTGGAAAGGCAGTGTCTGCGTCCCCCCATAACAGGGATGAAAACGACGGTGCTTCTGAGCCCATCCCTCCCTTACCCGTCTCCTCCACGCCTCGAGTCGACGTCACTCAGATTGCGGCGATCAAGGCGATCTCTGATGCAGCAGCCCATCATGGGCCAAGATCCAACGTCGATGTTCGCAAGAACCCCTGCTTTCGTTGGGAGAAGGGCAGCTGCCTTAGAGGCGACCAATGTCGCTATCGACATGACCCAGAGGTATGCAAATTATCTCGAGATCAGCCCTTTCTTATACTATGTTTATCTCTTCCCCAGTTCACTGGGCTGAATACCCAGGGGACGGCAGAAAAGAAGGCGGACGCGAAGGTATGGTCAGAGGAAGACCAGAAGAAGTTTGAGCAAACAGCATTGAATGTGCGAGAAAAGCTGCGAGCGCTCGCTAGTAGAGGAAAGGATCCCAACCGTGACGTTGGTCCATCGACACCAGGAACTTCTCGTGAAGAGACTCATATGGTGCGTCCCAAAGCTTACCATTCTAGCTTCCATCCCTAACTCACGGTGGCTACTATTCCAAAGGTGGGGTACAGGGAGCCGATAACACCGACGGATCTACGGAAACTGAGTGCCGCTGCTCGAAAGCGACATGTGAAGGCGTCAAAAGAGGAGAAGGGGGGAATACTGTCTCTACTAGTCCGCGACGTGGAGGCCACGGGGTTAGTGCAAGTGGCTGCTCCGAAGAGGCAGAGGGAGGAGGTCGAGCTTCAAACAGAGCTCGACCGTGTTAAGCAGGAGATGATGGCGGAACTGGAATTCCGCCAAGCAATCGAGGAGTCTGAAAAGTTACTGATTGCGAAAGCGGTGGGAACGAAGCGACAACGAGACCAGGAGGAGAAAAAGACACGGAGGAGAAAGGAAGAAGAGCGGGAGAGGGCAAGGAAAGCAATCGAGGAGGCAGCGAAGAGGAGACGGGAAGAAGAGGAGAGAATTGCCGAAGAGAAACGAATGAAGGAGAAAGAACTAGAGGAGCAGCGTAAACGAGCACTCGAGGAACACCAGAAGCGTGAAGCTGAATCGACACTTTCTCGCGTCGTTGCAGGCTCTAATTTGGTGACATTCTCCGCAGGCCTTCAGATCATGGAAGTCATTCCAGGGTTCGAGCTTTGCACCGTCACACTCCACGACCTTCCACCCGACACTAAGGAAGAAGAGATTGTTCGAATATTCACGGAGCACTTGGGAATCGACAATCTCACCTTCCACCTCGCTTCCTTGAAACCTATTCCCGGTCAGAAAAAGGTGGCGACCCTCTTCCTTCGTTCTGAACAGGCCAGTCTCCTCCCCTTTGCGTTTGAAGACATCGAGCTCCGCGAGCACCCTATCAGAGTGGAAGTTGGAGCGAATGCAACATGGGGACGCATGAACGCCTATTCCAATGCGACCACGATCACGACCCTCACCATCGCTTGGAATCTTCCATCGCTCACCATGATCGCTACTTGCTCTTCAATGGAAGAAGCCCAGCTAAAGGTCCACGAGATCAACGCCAAACCACCTCTTCTCGGAACTCGGAAGGTTCGAGCCGCAATGAACCGGCAGCCCGCCGGTCATGCAGCTAGGTACTGGACTCCAGCTTCGATTAAACTCACCAATATTCCTTGCCAGTTGTCGACGAGCGACATCGCAGAGTTTACCGGTATCCCCTCGATCCGACAGATCAAGTCCCCCACCTACGATCTGGAGTCGGAGAAGCAGCGGCTGGAAGCTCGCCTAGCGGCGTACCAACCTGTGAAGGACTCGTTCGAGACGAGTGAAAATCCCAATGGACTACAAGCAAAGATCAAATTTGAGTCATACGAAGACGCCGAGAAAGTTTACGACGCAATTCAACAAGGTCACTTTGGTTCTTTCCCGCACTTTCGACCCTCCCTCCCCAAACGACACGAGTACTCGATCACCATTCCCGTTGCCCAATACGAGGCGCAAAGGAGCCGTTGGGACGAATTGGCGGACAGTAACGGCGATAAGAAGAAGGCCTTTGTGACGGTGAAAACAGTTGCAAATGGTGCTCGCATGGTCGTCAAAGTCCTGGGATCGGATCAGGAGGAGGTCGGGGTGCTGAAGGTTCGAGTCGAAGCATTGGTCGCTGGCCAGCGACTCGACTCGAACCATTGGCACAGTTCGTTCTTCTCCTCCGATGGCTCCAAGTTCTTGGAGAGGGTGAATGCGGATACGAAGGCTTACATCGTCCTTGACCCCAAGCTCCATGCGTTGCGTGCGTACGGAGATGATGCGTCCCTGACGCTGGCGAGGGGGTTGATTAGCGGGGAGGTTGAGAGGCTCAATGCGTCGGAGTGGTCGGAGAAGCTACCGCGTCGCGCTGTGGGCTTCTTCATGCGAGAAGGGTTGAAGGTTTTGAAGGACAACATCGGGGAGGAGAATGCAACACTGGACTTGGCTACCGGCACGGTGAAGATCAAGGGCGGAGATAACGATCGTCAGCTTCTTCGGAAGCTCATCAGGGAAGCTACGCTGTCCGGCGGTGGTGCCCAATCTCCCGTATCCGACAACGAGAAGCTGTGCCCGATCTGTTACAATGCCGCCTCCGCCCAACCTTTCATCTGTGGCCATTCCTACTGTCACGGGTGTCTCCAGCATTACCTCGTTTCCGCTCTAAATTCGGACAAGTTCCCTCTCGTTTGCATGGGGGACGAAGACACTTGCAAAACACCCATCCCCATTCCTGTTATCTTGCGCAACCTCCCACGAGAGTCCTTCAACCGATTGGTGGAGGTCGCATTCCAGTCCTACATCCATCAGCATCCTCTGGAGTACAAGTACTGCCCCACCCCAGATTGTACCCAGATTTACCGACAGCAGGGCGAAGGGACCACCCCGACCCATCAGTGTCCATCGTGCTTCGTCAAGATCTGCGGGACCTGCAACGAAGGGGCGCACGATGGGATGAATTGCGAAGAAGCTCGCGTTCACCGAGACCCCAAGCTCCAAGAACAGTTGAACGACGAATGGTTGAGAGATAACGGAGTCAAGAAGTGTCCTGGTTGCGGCGCGCTCGTTTTCAAAGAGAGTGGCTGCAACCATATGACGTGTTCGAAGTGCGCGGCTCATTTTTGCTGGTTGTGTCTGGATGTTTCGGGCGATGTGTATGCGCATCTGAACGCGGTTCATGGTGGGTTCTTTGACTGATACCCCTGTACCAACGTGTACCTTGTACGTTACTGGTGTCCTTCTCAGATCGTATGAACCGCGTAACTGCACCTACAAATAGCATATTTACAAATGCATTGTTTTACAAGAACATTGAGACACTCACTATGCCTGAATTCTTCTGTCCCAGAGTCACCGCGGTTTGATGTAGTCCTAAGCCGAACCAAGCCGACTTGAAGTATCAACAGACGATCCTCGAGTCTGGAAATTATCTTCGCCCTCCCTGGCGATCTCTTCATGTGGCATGAAATGGGACAGACCTACCCTTGGTACCTGTCCACAAACTTAGCTCAAGACGCGTTCAATTTATTGGAAGGGCAGGGGATGTATTAGCGCGCAAAACCCATACCGAAGGCGACTTGTCGTCCTCTCATACAATCATCTCACTCGTTACGCATCGCACCCATCCCTGGCCTAATCTGAAGGGGTCGTAGTACCTCCCTACTCCTTTCCTCGTCCATGAGCGGGCCGTGAAGGAGGTTACCCCATGGCTTGGCGTCGCTCTCGTTACTGGATTACTATCGGCTTGTACGTGAACAGCCCTGTTAGTCGACGCGTGTATTCACTCTTCATCTTCATCGCGTTCCGTCTTCGACAGTTTGCCGAGATATGAGGCGTCCAAAGCCCCTATAGCATAAAGTCAGCCTCCCCCGCCACGGCAATAGTTGCAACAGAGAATCTACGCACGTCCAACACTCCCTGCACCCACACCCTTTGCTCTGTACACGCTTACTTTGGGGCTGGGTGAGTATCCGGGGGTCGACGTCGAGCTTCCAAGACTTCCAGCGCTTCCAGGTGTCGATGTGCTATAAGTAAAGGCTGCAGAAGACAACGTATGTAAGAGTTGCCGGTTCCATATCGAGAATATTATTTCGACAAGAATGAAAACCCATCGTCACAACCGAGCGCTTCGCTTGGCATGACAAGGAATTTGATTCCGTCCGGGCCTTTGTTGTCGATGTCTACCATTAAACAGCGGTCGAAATCAATGACTCTCCAAGGATGAACAACATTGTGTCGTGAGCAGGTGCAGCTATTCAGTGGGTCCCGAATGGATAAGATGTTCCAAGCCGAAATGTCTGGGTGAATGACTCCTCGCGTGGCAATGTCATCCAACACCTCTGTGATAGCGGCTCTGCCGTCGTTTCCTCATTCCTCAGAAATTGTTCGGAGTCAATCGACGAGTAAAACTCACTTTACACCGAGTCCCTTTTTGCCAGTACAGGTCTCGCCCAAGAGCTCGAGGACGAGGACGCTGATCGTCGGATTGTCTTCACTGGGGCTCCATCTGTACCACGACGAGTTTTGCTGGTAGCCAGATGGGTCTTCGATCGGCGATTTTCTCCTCCAGTCTGGCAGCATGTCGTCAGGTAGGAGGTCCAGAGACGGGTATTGGTCGATTTCGCGGGGGAGCGAGTCTGTGTCGAATTGGTGTTTCCTTGTGGTCCACGGGGTGAATGTGAGGTTCGGTGACCATGGTTGCTCTGCCATGGAAGATGAAAAGAAGCCGTAAAAAATTGGGATAGAGGCGCCTTGGCATGACTCGAGCTGTTCGTAGAACCATGCTTCCCGTGCTAGACTCCGACAAAACTCTGGTTTCGCGAACTTGAGGCAGACCTTCTCTGGAAGCATCGCTCGTAGATCCACGTCGCCTCGCATAGCGGAGTCGACTTTGGCGACGTAGGTAACACCTATGCGGCCCTCCGAAATGCGCTCGAGAAGGGTAAGCTCCAATTCGCCTTCGCCTTCGGCAACCTTCTTGGAATTCCAGTTGACGGGGGCTGGTTCGCCACGGTGCTTTCGATACCAGATTGCGCTCGGGTGGGAGGGGGAAACCTCGAGGCTTATCGTTGTGGACTTTCCACCGACAGTAGCGCAGTTATTGATAAGTAGGGTTGAGAACATTACTGAGTTTGGTCTGAAGGAGCGGCCGAGTGGTGGCAGCGGACGTGGTTAGGTGAGCCACCTTTCCCACGAGAACACAGCCACTCTCCCTGTCTCGTACCCATCCGTTTTCGTTCGTTTGACCTCGTTGGTACCGGTACACAAACTTAGCTCAAGGCGAGTTCAATGTATTTGAAGGGGTAGGGGATCCATTAGCGCATAAAACCCATACCGAAGGCGACTTGTCGTCATCTCGTACAGTCATCTCATTCGTCACGCATCACACCCATCCTAGCCCAATCTGAGGGGCCATAGGACCTCCCTGCCCTTCCTCGTCCGCGAGCGGACCGTGAAGGAGATTACCCCCATGGCTTGGCGTCGCTCTCGTTACTGGATTACTATCGGCTTGTACGTGAACAGCCCTGTTAGTCGACGCGTGTATTCACTCTTCATCTTCATCGCGTTCTGTCTTCGACAGTTTGCCGAGATATGAGGCGTCCAAAGCACCTATAGCATAAAGTCAGCCTCCCCCGCCACGGCAATAGTTGCAGCACAGAATCTACGCACGTCCGACACTCCCTGCACCCACGCCCTTTGCTCTGTACACGCTTACTTTGGGGCTGGGTGAGTAGCCCAGGGTCGACGTCGAGCCTCCAAGACCTCCAGCGCTTCCAGGTGTCGATGTGCTAAGGGATAGAGAGGAGTAGTGGAGCGTTCTCGAAGGTGTGGAGACGGGCGACGGTGGGTAAGCCGCAGAGCCTGAGAGGAGTGCTGAGGATGAGAGGGATGAAGAGGGCGAGAACGCAAAAGGTTTTTGCGGTTGTGGGCTGGACTGGGAGTTGAAATCAAGCGTCAATTCAAGTGTGTGTTGGTAAAAACGGCCGGAGATACATACCTTCGTAGAAAGCAGCTTGAATTTCGGTGTTGTGTTCACAGGTTGAGGAGACCTCATGTGTTTCAGCGCTCGTGAGGGAGTTGGTGGAAGCGGTGGTGGTGGATAGTTTAGGGCGTAAAGCGATTCAAGGATGTTCCACAAGAGCAATGCGAGCACCGTCGCTTCTGTTCCAGAGCACAATGTGTCATCAGCTCTTTTCCCAGATGCTCGAGCTCGAGCCTTAAGCCAAAGAATGGGACTCACCGGCGATACAAAGGCTTCTATGGACCCAGTCGTCCGACCAGAAATCGGGCTTGGGTCCTTGATTCGCAATGAGCAGTACACTCTCCACAAGCCCAGGCAGGGGCAGTAACGTCGTTGCGACGACAAGAACGAGTAGATAGAACGAATTGTATCGGATGCGTGCTAGAGCTTCAGACCTATACGGCTTGAACGTCTGCTGGATTCCGTCAAGGACATTGGAGGCTTTCGAGGCTGCAGCGCGCTTTGGATTGGGCATGGCCGCTTGTGTTTTGGTCGTTAGTCGGTTTACTTTGTGGTTTTCCCCTTGGAGTATGGTTTTGACTTCGTAGATACAAGAGTCTTCGAATTGGATTCTTGAACTGGAGAAAGAGAGAATGCAGAGTAAAAGAAAAGGTCGTGATGGTGGTGGCAGGAAGAAAGACGCGTTGGGACGAAACAAAACCAACGAGCCCGAAACGCGGACCCTCGCGCCAACGAGGCGTGCCAAGCCACCGTCGAAACTGTCGGCCGACTAGCTCAGTTGGTTAGAGCGTCGTGCTAATAACGCGAAGGTCTTGGGTTCGATCCCCACGTTGGCCATGACTGCTTTTTGCTTCAGTACTACGCGACTCGTCTTACCTGAACCTCGCCTTTGAGACAATTCGGCATTGGACATATGCCAGCATATGCCTCATGTACCGAATCTGCGATTTGATTTTTCGTAAATTCGAATATCCACAATGTAACGTGCACAGACAGATCCAACAAGGGAGCCCTATTAGAGCCCGATTTGCCAATGCAAAGTTAAGAAGACCGTGACTATTGGCAGTAAGCTCTGTGGTTGCGGTTGAAAACGGGCCCTTTCCGAGATGCCAATTCCTCTGGGGAAACAAGAGGGCCTTGAGCCAAAGGTGGATACGTGAACGCGGGGTCGAGCATGGTAGATAGAATTATTGGGCTCCAAAACACGGCTCAGCAAGGCGAATGAGGTTGTGATGGGGCGGAAGTCAAGACCAGTGGACTTGGCAGAAACGCCGGCGGAGACAAGGTCACCCAAAATGGCAGGATCCCCTATCCAATCCCTCCAAGCCATCAATTCGCTGGCGGAGATTCTGGACACGCACTCTACACCGAAGTTTCCAGCGCCCAAAGGTCACTGGGCAACCGGTTGGCTCAGGTCGGGTACGACAGAATCTCACCATGTTTGTGGCTCGTCAAGGGGCGGTGACATGTAGAACGATACCACCACCAGGTCCAACAAGTTCAGCACGAAAACGACGTAGCATCTCTTCATCCCAGATACCGCGACATGTGTCCCATTCATTGTCCCACCTTCGAATCTTTTCTTCTCAGTCTGTGAGGCAGAACTACGGTCGCCAGCACAGCCATCATAGATATCATCCTACACCCAAAACGTCGCCACCCAAATTAAAACCGAGCTGGAAGGGCACCACCTCGTCGACCACCGGGGATTTCAACATCGGGAACTTTTCTTCAACCGACCAAGAAGAATCCCTCTTTGCTCCGTCGAATCAGTCTCCCCCTCCACAGTCTCCCCACTCGGGTGTGAAGGACAAAGCCAAGGCATTGTCCAGCGATCATTGGAGCCCAAGAGCTACTTCAAGAATGAGACAGACCCAGAGGAAGAGATGTACGGCCGTCAGAGAAGCAATGAAGGGGGAGACGAGATTTAATCCAGTGATTTCTGAAGGTCTCAAAGGGAAGGATACTTTCTTTGAACAGATAGAAGCATATAAATCCCGGTACGTAGCGCTTTCGTTTTATCCGCTCCAGCAGTGTACTGACAAAGTACCTCTCAGGTTTATCCCTGCAATCAGAGCTGAGCAACTACGACACGAAGCTGTTCTCAGAGAGCGGCAATCAGGAAAGACCTTGGAGCAGTTGAAGGCGGAAGGCTATTGCATAGACGATATGCAGGGTTTCTGGAGTGGATCACTCGAGTTGGGGAAGCACGTCGCAACATTCTCCCTAGGACCAGGCATCAAGTTACCCGAAGGCCATCAATTCGAGTACGTCTTTCCTCGTCCTTCCTGTCCTTTCGCACCTCAATATGCAACATGATCAGACGAGGAAACCAAGTCTTACTGTCCCGGGTCTGCCCCTTGACCGCCGCGGATATCATATACAAAGGGACAGTGATGAGTGTCGGTGAAATGAAGTTCAAAATCTACTTCGATGAGGAACATCAACATCGTTTTACGTTGACAGCACCGGATGGCATAACACCATTGCGGTGGAGGCTCGATCTCGGTTCAAACAACATCGTCTTTGAGAGGATGGAAGCCGCTATCCGATCCCTGTGGCATGATCCTAAGCGTTACTATTACCAAAATGTTTGCGAGGGGACCCACCTTCGCGACATCCTCTTGAAGAGCTTCACTCCAGAAGCCGACCCTATGCCTGTATCTGACGACCCTAATTCCACAATTGAACAGACCCCGGAAGACCCGACGGAGAAGCACCCTGGAGAAGGAGGGAGGGGAGGAGGTGCTTTCTCAGACGACACTCGTATCCAGAGCTGGGTCAGCAGGTATTCTTTACCCGTCCCACTCGTCTCGGAAGGCGACATGCCCATTCACAACCTTAACTCTTCCCAAATCCGAGCCATGGCATCGATGATTGGAAATCGGCTAAGTCTGGTCCAAGGAGTACGCATTTCTCGGAATTTGCTTCAAACTCTGACGTTAATAATCTTTCCCCCGTGTAGCCTCCTGGAACTGGCAAAACGAAAACAATCATCGAAACACTCAAGCTTCTCAAATTGCATTTCCGGGTTCCACACCGCATCCTCGTATGCACCTACACCAATGTTGCAGTTGATAATCTGGTTGAAGGACTTGCTGCTGCTGGCGTCAAGCCTCTACGAGTCGGCGCTGTTGGTTCCGTGCGCCCATCGCTCCTCCATCATACACTGGCAGCCAAACTCGAGTCGCACCCTTTATACTCCACACATCAATACCTTGTTGACCAGCTGGAAGTGGTCAAGAAGAAAATAGCGGAACTAACTGAGAAAGTCCATTTGGCCCAGAAAGAGCTCAAGGACAAGGAAGGCAATGCAAGATATGTATTAGCTAGGAGGGTTGAGAACATGGAGGACGCGAAGTCAGACCTGGTGAATTCGGAGAAGATGGTGAAGTCGAAGAAGAAACGGGTGAGGCAGGCCATGTTGAGGGATGTGACGAGCGAAGCTGACGTAGTAAGTTTCGATTCTCTACATCTCTGTGCCCACCAGGCGGATGCCGTAGCGCTCTTCGGGTCCGTGTTCTTCCTTTTTACTTCACGACGTCCGGTTTTTGTCCCATTTCTTTGAGCAAAGCTGATCAGGTATCGTCGGTCTAGATTTGCTCGACGTGTATCGCGTCTGCTACCTATGACTTGAATGACATCGACTTCCCTGTCGTATTCTTGGACGAGGCGTCAATGGCCACTGAACCAGTCTCATTAATTCCTCTCGTGAAAGGAGTGAGTATCTTCTACACATCATTCTCCATGGTATACTCACATTATCTTTATTTTTCGACCGCGTTCGATGATTTCCGCCCTCGCGCTGCAACGAATATCGGCCTCCATCCAATAGTGCCAGCACCTGGCCCTTATCGGTGACCATCTCCAGCTTCCCCCGATTGTCGTCAGTCCAGAAGCTCAAAAGCTCGGACTCGGAGTGAGTTTGTTTGAGAGGTTAACTAAGGAAGGAGGTGAGTTATAGTTTGAATCCGTTCGGTGGATGCGGGAATGAGTTCACGGTGCGCCTTGGATTTGATGTGTCGATTCCGGACACCCAATATCATTCTCTTCGAGTTTAATCCCGACTTGCCCCTCCCCTTGTTGGCGCTTCAAAAATTCCCCCATCTAATTGCCACGCTTGTCCAATGTCACTCGGTCAATGAGACTGATAGAAACACTTTTAGTCGTCCCCTCCGTAATGCTCGACACACAGTATCGAATGCACCCCAACATTTCCTATTTCCCTTCGAACGAGTTCTACTTGGGAACCGTCCGGGACGGTACAGTCGACGAGCAAGGTCGTGTCTCAAAACACCTTTCCCCTCCCATGTCGCAGTATCTCGACTTGGACCTCAGTTTGGAGAGGCTCAGTCCTTTTCAGTCCGGGTGTCAGTATAAGGAAGGACAAGGCGCCGATGAAAGCAAGCCAAGACCTAGTGTGATCTTTTTGCATCATTCAGGGGAAGAAACAATGAAGGACAAGAGCCGGATTAACAGGACCGAAGCACGTATCATTGCTGATGTCGTCATGGATTTGCTCCGTTCCAATCCTGTGAGTGCTTTTACAATTTCCCTTGGTTCTTGGGTGGCTTACCATCGCCATCGAACATAGGACTTACAAGGCAAAGACATTGGCATAATCGCACCCTACGTCGCGCAGATATCACTCCTGACGCGTATCTTCAACTCGCCTCCCGATTCCGCGCCCTCTTCCTCATCTTATGGGTCAAAATTCTGTTCAGCACTGGGCCATGACCTCACCGTCCAACAGCTCTCTCAAATCGAAATCAAAACTGTCGACGGCTTTGAAGGGCGCGAAAAGGACGTTATCATCTTCTCTACCGTTCGAAATAACCCCGAAGGGAATATTGGGTTTTTGGCAGATCCGAGGAGGTTGAATGTAGGGCTGACGAGGGCGAAGAGGGCGTTGTTTGTCGTGGGGAACATCGCGACGTTGAAGATGGGGAAGGTTAGTGGAGGGAGGTTTGGTACAACGACCGATATTGCTGGAGGGGAGGTCGTGGTGGCTGATAATGGCCAGGGTGCAGTCAGGGTAGAGAAAGGCGCCGAAAGTTGGAGGCGGTATGCCCAATACCTGCTCGAACGTGGGTTAGTGGTTCATGTGGAGAAGAATTACTAGTATATTATGGAGAACGGAGTGCTGGGTGACGTTGAAGTTCCCCGAGCATTCTAGCGTGTTGCGGCCAATATAGACGGGCGTCTAGATTACAATGCCAGCGCCAGTGTAAAAATGTAGTTTAGAACTCTGCTACCCGATTATAGAGCTATAAATTACGTCGAAATTGTGAGTTCCGTTGATATACCTGTGGGCATTGCTCAGAAAGTCATGTCCCCATTCAACGAAAGTCCCAGGACTCACCTAATTATCACTAGGACGCGGCCCATACCTACCCCGCCAAACCCCATAATCAGACTCGTCCGTCCACACATCATCTTCATAGCCCATAATCGTCTCAACCTCCGAGTCGTCCTCGTCCCCAGGATAATACCCATCATCAAGGTCATAATCCACCCAATTCGCAAAGACTTCTTCCTCCTCCGAGTCGTCAGATTCTTCGACTTGGGCGAACGACAGAGGACCTGTAGCCCGGCTTTGGAGGATAAGGCGACCTATCTCCTCCATGGGTACGTACGCCTTCGAGGCGAGTTGGCCTACGAGTGGGTAGGACGTGTCCCATTCCCTGTTGCACCTGTCGATGGCCATGAAGAAGAAGCGGTTCTACGCACCAGCAGAAGATAGGTGAGTGACCATCCAGTGTACAAGCTGACTGAGTTATGGCGCACCTCAGGTCTATTCCTGCACGCCAAAAGCTGGACATGACCACGCCACGCTGGGTCATCCCGTGTTTCAGAAAGCGGCCTCCCCTCATACTTCTCGTTATCGTTTCCAAGTAAAGGCGGGACCGTGAATTCGGTGTAATGGTCCACAACGTAACCTTCTAATCCTTCTTCGTACCGACCAACGGCCGCACTTAGTCCTTCCCAGGACTAGAGGATTCCCTGCCTGTCAACCAGTGGTGCCAAACCATAGGTCGAGTTGCGTACCGGGTCCTCAGACAGCATCCCTACGCAGAGACGAACATATCCCAGGTGAAGCTTGTTGATAGGCTGCCCGCGCTGAAGCGTATACCCTCCTGCTTCCTCCCCATAATAGAAATGCGCTTCATGATCCTTGTTGTGGACAGGCCCGTCTTCAGAAACCAGCTCGTCGCCCATCACTGACGGTCCTTCTCGCAAAGGCGGGTACTTGTATATGTCAGAATCGGTATTCATACTGGCAAAGGAGCGTTGTCGTTAGTAGGCGGGCGCGTGCATTCGCCGTTGGATGAGGAAGAAGAAGAGAAGGGAAAAAAAACTCGACGACGATCGGCAAGAGTGGGGCTTCGAAGCGGCGCAACGGCCTCTCTATCTCCGCTGATCGCCCTTTGCCGTTTGCCGTCGTGGGCGCTTAAACTGAGCGCCTGGCTCTCGCCTCCGTTAGGTGCCCGACACCAAAAAGATTACCCCGCTCACCGAGTAATAACAATGTGTCCTATTTCTTGCGTAGTAAATTACATTCCCGTGTCCAATATAACCCATTCCCATGCATACATGGTCAGGCCTGAGACGACGCACTAATGGGTTGCAAGGCAGCTTCAACTTGGCTCGAGCTCCAAGTAGAAATGGAGTGAGAACCACGAGGGTCAGTTAAAAAGCGGTCGAGCGCCGCAAAGAAGAAGCGGTACTACCAACATCCCATCAGTTCAATGCAAACAACATTCTGCAGCATTGAGTGCTCACCTTTCCACCCCTCGAATCATACGCAGGGATCCAATCGTCTCCGGGATGCTTCATAAAAATGACTTCATCAGCAAGTGTATCCTCAGTCGATAATTTAAAAGTTACTCACCCATCCCCCTTGATGCTCCCTCAACCAACTATTCTTCTCCGAGCTCAAAAACTCCAGCCACCCCTCGTCGTCAACAATCTCATACAGCTTCCTCCCTTTATGCTCCCGCCCAAGTACAACCACAAAATCCTGAAAATGGTCTTGCACCCAATTCCACAATCCGGTTTGATACGTCCGAATCGCAGCGTCTAATTCACAGGTGCACTATTCATCCACATTCAGCACAAGCCCAATGTGCCGACGACAGTCAGCTCCGACTCTGGTCCAATCAGAGAACGCCTAGCAGTAGGTGACTTACCGAGTCACCATGATACTGGGAATCCAAATACCCAATGCTAACATCGCGAATCCTCTTGCCATACTCTCTCTTCCCAGGACTCTGAAAGATGAACCCGCCTGCTTTCTCGCCATACCACCAATAGAACGGATGGCTGGAGTTGTAAACAGGGCCGGCAGGGCTCAACGCGTTGGGAGGGTCCTGAACAAGGAGAGGTCCTTTGGAGTCGAGGGGACCAGGGGAGGCTGGACGGGTGAACGTCGGATTGTATCCATACATTATGGCGATGAGAACAGATGGGAGATGAGATGGGAGTGAACCCGCGTTGGAGGGTTTTATAGACCCAGTTCCCGCTGCCGTAAGGGCCGGGACAGCTGACCAGGTTTGATTCTTGAACCTCACAGCAATTCTTGACCCGACGTCATGTACAGAGGCTTGGTGGGAGGGACCTTTAGGACCAGTGTCCGCGGACTCGGAATTCTCATAAAGAAATCGGGATTAGAGACAACGCCGATTAGATATCGAATCCTGGATATATAGAGCAATCAAAAGTGACGGCATGCTAGGAGAGCAAAGATCAGAAACGCAGCAACGGTTAAAGAGCACTTACAAGGGAGGTCGAACAAGCGATCTTCATACCCGCCGTCGCTTCGCAGATTGAGAAGATGTAGACGCTGAATTGCCCATCTTGCGCTTTCCCCCCTGTCCACCCGACGCCTCTGACCCCGATTTCTTCCCTTTCTTAGACTTGGAGCTGTTCCAACTGCCACTGGAATAACCTAAGCAACAACGGTCCTCGCAGTAAGTATTCCCTGTTCAAACACGCTGAACAGAAGCGAATATCAACACACACACCTCTTCCATAATACCCATCGTCGTAGTAGTCCCCATAGTCCTCCCAATAGCCATACCCATAATCCTCGTCATCGTATTGAGCAGCATAGGCTTCATCGACGAGCTTCTTAATCCTCTCGAGTTCCTCGAGCTTCGCGACGGAGGTTTCACGGTAGCTTCGATCCGTGGGTCGGGTCATGAACTTGTCGAACGCTTTCCAGAATAGCGAGTACTTCAGCCATCGAAACCGAGAATATGCGAAGAGAAAAGACGCATACGACGTCAGTATCAAAGTGGGAAACGAGAAGAGGCAGAACGCACCTCGGGATTATTCCGCTCATGGCAATCCACTTTCGACAACCACACGACATCCCTATACTTCTCATACAGCTTCTTCCCATGGAACCTCCCAAAAGGAACAACAAACTCCATATAATGTGTCTCGAGGTACTTCAATATCCCTTCTCGATATCGTTCGAATGCTTTGCGGAATCCGGGGTAGTACTAGTGATAGCATAGTTAGCCTGTGTACTGGTTGGAAAAGGGAGACGAATGCCTGGATATCCAAGCTTCTCTGGGGAAAAGAAGAGAATATGAAGCTCACCGTATTGACATAACAATACTCCAACCACCCCCACCGAATACAACTAACCTTCTTCCCAGCCTGACTCCCATAACTTATCACATACCCTCCAGCTCCCTCTCCATAAAACCAATAACACGGGTGCTCAACGTTCTTGTAAGCACCATTCAAGTTCTTTGGATCCGCATCCTCAGGCGTAGCCAGGAAAGGCCCTTCAGCCAACGGGGCAGGCGGCGGTTTCTTCACTTTCGGCTCGGGTGGCTGCTTGGCCTTCTTGCTATTGCCACGCTTCGCGGGTTTGGCGGGTTGTGTGTCGCCTGTGAAGGAAAGTGTTATTTGAGTTAGAGAAGAAGAGCGTGAAGGAGGCATGGCCAGCGTTGGACAGTCGCGCACTGGTTGGAGGTCGCTGCCAACGCGTACTAGGATCATGCCACGCGTCAAGACGCGACGCGTCGGGTCTCTGATTGCACCCGAAGAAGGGTACATATCCGAGATTCCCGGAGACACGAAGTTCATCCAGTCTGCCCTAAACGAACACCAGCAGTCCCAATAACAGCTTACAGCAACCAATCCCGTAGCACCAAGGTCCAAAAATTAGATAAAACAGTTGAAACACCATTCGACCTCAGCAAGTAATAGAAGTACAAACACCAATTTAGCTCAACGGTAGGTAATCAATATACAGTAACCGCCCACCCAAGTCCACCAACTTGCCCCACATCCTGCCCAAACAACCTTAGCTTCTTCAAATGGGGAAAGGACAATCCCCATCGCTCGCCGAGTGAGCACAGCTCACCCGCCGTCAGCCCTCCCTCCAAATCAGACCCGTGTTCTTCGCTGGACTCATTCCATGGAAGAAGCTGCAAGAGGTATATCGGCGTTCTAGCCAACGGAGCCAGCCCTTCTCTGAGTCGGTTGTAGCACTCCTAAATATGATAAAGGAATCCCAATCCCTATCAGAACTTTCTAAACACACCAGCAGTTTAAACACACTTACTATCTTGTCAGCGGGACTCGCTGGTCTAGATCTAGTCAAGATCTGCAGCACTTCTAGTGCAGGAAACGACGCAGAAACCGATTCTGCGAACCGCTCGAGCTCAGAAACGGTCAAATCGCCGCTGGTCAACCCAGACCAATGCACCATCAATCTCCCAACCGTCAACTGATCCTTCTCCATGGTACTCAGCTGAGCGGCGATTTTGGGACAAAGAGAGAGCCGCTGCTCTTCTTCTGCGTAAAGCCCAGGGCAGATGCCAACGTTAACCATACCGAGTTCGTCCAGGGGCGTTACTCCATAGATGGCGGGGAGGTGGAATCCAGACTCCCCACGGATGTTTCCAGGGTAGTAGGGCTCGAGATCCCCGGGATGGGACGGTTTCCCGGGATCATGCGGTACTACCAGTTTCAGGAAATACAATAATTCCCCCGGGGAAAAAAGCGAAAGATACCAGAACCCTAAGACATCGAGGGTCTTGTGGCAGTCGATGAGAGGGACGATTTGCGCTTCCGGGGTGGCAAATTCGATCGGATGGTAAAGCAGAGACGAAAGTTGGTATTGACCTGCACTGGAACCGCCACCAATGGATCCAGAGCCTTAATCAGCGTCAAGCAACAAGTCATAGAGGTGAATGAAACATACTTACAAGACGAGGCCACGGTGCAGCTTCTGAGTCAGAGAATCATCCCAGTCGTCCTCCAGTCCGAATTTCAAATCCAAATGCTTCAAATCCTTCATCAGCTCCGCACATGCAAGGATCTTGTCCACCAAACTGCGGTCCGCCGTCCCAAATAATGAGACCTTCATCTGCCGAACCATCATGGCCTTATCAGAGTGAGCAGACAGGGTCTCCAGGCATCCTTTGGCTCTCTGGTTTCTCCTCGAGTCGATCACGATAGATCGATAAAGCAAGGGCTCTACTTCATCCTTAAAGAGTCGGTTTACCGATATGAGAGGCACCCATGCCTCTCGAGGGCAGTACTGGACGATATAAGCCTGGACTTCCGGCGGGAGCGACTGTTATTCGCCATGTCTTTAGGTAGAAAAGCAAGTAAGGTGGGACAAGGGTGCTCACTATGGTCATCTTCGTGGTCAGTGTCATGATCAGGAGCAAGGTCCGTTCAACGCACGCAAGCGCTGTCGAGCGGTGCCAGTACAAACATGCACACATTGTCTGGTGATGGTTGGCATCTTCCATTGCTATCGCGCCGAGGCCCGATACTGACGCCAGACAAAGTGCATATATTGGAACAGGATTGAGATCAAACTAAACTAGTAGGTTCTGTGAGCATCGTCTTTACCCAGAACTTAATAAACTACAAATCTTTCGATTGAGTTGTAATAGTTTGGGGAGAGGAGACAAAGAGACAGTTGCCCATCGCGTGATGCCACCATAGTTGCAACCTCTCGAGCCATGAGTAAACATCCTTTCGTCTGCCCTACTGGTGCTGCTTCGTGTCGGAAGTCATCGACTGATTCCGGATAAAGCTGGTTAACAGTTCCACGATAGCTGCATGTCCCTTCTCCTGAGCTGCAGACAGCACTGTCGTCCCAACATTGTTGGCAGCATGGGCGTCAATGCCTGGGCACTCGAGGAGCCGCGCTACAATGCCCTCATGACCATCTCCAGACGCTATGATCAGGGAATTATCACCGTCGTTGTCGGCCGCGTTGGGGTCAGCTCCATGTTCGAGCAGCTGCTGAACAATGTTTTCGAATCCGTATTCCGAAGCCAACGTGAGCGCGGTTGAATTGCGGGGGGTGCGCGCGTTAACGTTAACACCATGAAACTGGAGGAGTCGGTGGACCACTCCCTCGTGGCCTAGAAGGGAGGCGAACAGCAGCGCACCCCACCCTTCGTTGTTGGCACTATTGACGTCGAGGCCGTGAAATAGGAGGAGCTGGTTGGCCGCTCCTTTGTGGCCATAACGCAAGGCGAGCAGCAGGGCAGTCCATCCTTCGTCTTCTGCAGCGTTGACGTCGACACCCCGGAACTGGAGGAGCTGTTTGACCAGTTCATCGTAACCCCCAAATGAGGCGACCATGAGTGGGGTCCACCCTCGGTTGTCTGCGGTGTTGACGTCGATGTCACGGAGTTGAAGGAGCGTCGTGACAACCTCATCACGCGCATATACTGACGCCATGTGTAGTGCGGTTTTGCCGTCTATATCTCTTGCATTGACACTGACATTTTGAATCTGAAGACTTCGTTTCACGAAGTCGATTTGACCTCGAGCCGATGCTATTGTCAGCGCCGTGGAACATAGCATTGTAGTAGCCTCATTGATTCCAACGGACTCCGCCTGTTGGTGACCTGGCCGTGCTGAGCAGTCGGAAGGTATTGAGCTTGGCCGTGTATGACCATCGGGGGTTCCTTCACTTCCAAAAACCCGGTCTAAATATATCGTGATACCATAGTAAGCAGCGACGTGGAGTGGTCGCAACAGGTCAAGGTTCCAGCGGATGGTGCAGGGAAAGGAGGTGCACTGCAGTAGAAAGGCCATCGCGGCGTCATTGGCTTCAGGTGAGTCTCCGCATTCCAGAACATGAGCACCCCAATGTTGGTAGGCGTAATGGAGGAGTGGTTCTTGTTCGACGAGGTTGAATAAGTCTTCGCGCGAGGCTATCGTGGAATTGGGGAGATTGCTGTCGACCATTCGCTGGGCTAAGACTTTGCTGATGAAAAGATGAGGTTGAGGGAAGTCGTTGAGAAGAATGCGTCCCAGCGCATCTCGCGCGGTAAAATCTAGACAGAGGTACGTGAGCATGCAAGCACAATGGTGTACAGGTATAGCACTTACGAACGAGTCGAACGATGTCACTTTCTGTGTCCAGCTCGACGAGGCCACAGCACAGCTCAATGATGGAAAATTCATCCGGCATAAGCGATTCCTCGATGCTGTACGTGTCAGGGTTTGCGCCGAGTGCAGCCTTGAGGTCGCGCAGGGATAAAGGCCCTCGGGAAAAGACAACCCAGAGGAGCACCTGTTTGGCAATCTTGACGAGTTCGGGGTCCTGACTTTCGATCCGGGACATGCTAGCATTGTACATGCCCTCGATTCCTGCGGGGAATTGCTCCAGCTTCGCTTTGATGGTTAAAAGGGACAGGCAGTTGCGCAAAGCTTCAATCTGCAGAGCCGCGTGGAGGAACCTGGGCAATACCGCGTCAGCAGGGGCCACGTATTTAGTACGCAGCACTCACATGCCGTCCGCCTTGTCAGCTATCTTCCTGGTGGCCTCCTCTTGGTAACCGTGCTTCCCCAAAACGCGATGTATCGTCGCAGTCTTTCATCAATGAGCAACCAGAGGTCTTCATCCTGCGCCCGCAATGTCAAATACCGCGCCCCCTCCAGCTCTGTTTGCAGGTCTTCCAAAGGCCGAGAGGCGAAGATGAGATTCCCTTGCAACTGGGCCAAAGTCTTGATAAGGTCGAACTGGTACTTGCGGTCAACCTCGTCGACACCATCCACGATGCAGTAGGTACGCTCGAAGTGGGATTCGAGTCTGAGGAGTAATTTGAGAAGGTCATCGTCGGGCGGGTTGGTCTTTTCGAGCAGATGGCGCCGGTAAACGGGCTGAACCAGATCCGCGAGGTGATTGTGACGTTGAATAATTTGAAGAATGAAACTCTTCAGGATCTCGCCAATCGTGAGTGATTCGTCGTAGCGGTTGTAGACGAAGAGAACGCATATCTTCTGGTCGTCCAATTCCTCGAGAGGTAAGAGATCATCCACCACCCGAGACCTAGGGGTTGATTAGTGGTGCGGTGAATTGGAAACATGCTTCGTTCTCACATCAAAACTGTCTTCCCAGCGCCAGCTTTACCATCCATTAGAGCGGATTGTAGCAATCAACACAAGTAGACTCACGAATGCCAGTACCACAAAGAATAGCACCTTTCGTGCCTTTCCAATCTTGGTACTCCCTGCTGTTGATGAACCAGTCTCCTGTCTTATCGATCCTTTTCTTCCTTACGTCGTTGTGGATCGCTCTCGAGTTCGACTTGAGATCGAACCATGCAGTGATGTCGGATATCAGACCATCTGGGTAGATAATACGGTAAGAGACGCAGAAGATGGGGCGGGCGAAACACTCACCGCGACTCTTAGACGAGTTGGGGTTCAGAGGTTCGGCGTGAGGGAAGAAGATGTTATGGACATGGGTAGTATGTGAATAATCTCGCCCGACCATCATCCCCCCGGTGAATGTGTTGCCTTCGCCGACGTTAATGCCTGGGACTGTTGCACTCGCATTGCGTTCAGCGAGAGGTGATATGTCCCTCATCGCAATCGACATATTGTAGGATCCTAGTAACCAGCGTCAGAGGGTAGCAAAGGTTATCGCCTGTGTCCACACACCCGATTCAAATCCAACCTGGAGAAATCCTCCGTAAACACGAGCAGAGCGCCTCGAAGAGCGAATGCACTGGCTCCAGAGATGAAAGTGATAAGGTATCAAGAAATCTAATGTGGGCGCAGCGTCGGTGGGATGCGGCTGTGCGTGGGCAACATGTAAGAGGCTTAATCTAGCTTCAAAGTGCGCCGTTCAGTGAGCACTCTCCGTAGGAAAATCGCCTTTTCGATTCGGAACATGGAATATGACCAGAATGAAGAGGTTCGAAACAAGTTAGAAAGAGCAGAGTAGAAGTCTGTAGAAGTGAGCTCGCGCGCCGTGGAAACGCGGATCATCGGATTCCCACCCCTATCTTTTGGCTTGCGCGATGAAGTATCCGAAAATCCTTGAGATCGCATCGAGCATTCAATAGTGTATTCCAGTATGTACATACAGGGATAATTTGAAGGAACAGCTTAAAATTAACCAATAACCTATTCAATCCAATAAGTAGAGAAATTGGATAAATAGTTGCCTTCCATCTGAACCGAGTACCACAGAGCATCATCAGTACGACCGACCAGCCGCACCGACCCTCGCCCTCTTCGAAGGCGAGCCATCTGCCGAAAATCACAGCATAGCGTCAGAAACATGTTACATCGCCCTTGCACACCCAACTTGAACCTACTCACCAAATAGATCTTCCCTCCTCTTCCTCTTCCCACCACCAACCATCGAAGACGACGGCGAAGGAGACGAAGGCGGAGTCATCAACACCCCCCTCTCCTTACCTCTCCTCCCACCCACCACCTCCAGCTCATCACGCTCCATCTCCACATCCCTCTCCTCACGTTCCAAAGGCGACACCGGGAACGGCCTTGGAGTTCTTGGTACCTCGTCTCTTTGCGGGCGTACGGTAGGCGGTGGGGACATAGGGAATGGTCTCGGAACCCTAGGTACACTGGACTCCTGTCGGAAGTTTCGTTGTCGTTGAGAACTTGGGCCTGGAGTCGAAGGCACCTCAGAGCTCGCTTGGATAATGGGAGTCTCCCTCCTCGGCGCCGCATCCTCGAGCCGCTGTCTAGTCCTTGTGAAGAGCTGGTCGAGAGGCATATCGTCCTCCGAGTCCGAATTATCCGAGAGTGTAACGGCAATGCGATCAGGCTCTGCAGGCCTATCTGATTCGACAGTGACAGATTCAGAATCTGAGTCCTCCGACTCGTCGATGGATTGCTCGTCTCCAGACTGTCCAGGTTCGAACGAAAGTCGCGCAGGCCCCATCGACCGTGTCATACGTCGCTCCGTAGCCGGTTCTGTGTAGAGCCAATGAGCGACCCAAGACGAAAGATGAAGTTTATAAACGTACCAGTAAGTGAACAATCCGACTCGACATAATCCTGGTCGTCGAAATCCACATGAGGCTTCCTCGAAGAACGCTTTCGCTTCGTAGCGGGTGGTGTAGCGAGTTGCATGGACGGTCGACCTCGTCGGGGAGCTAAGGAACGAAGTGAGCAAATCATGGAAAAATAATTATCGGGGATGCTGCTTACTGGAAGGGCCAGGTTCCGGACGTTCCTCGTCACCAGCGGTTGAATCAGCCTCACTCTCATCTTGGACTACATTTTGTGCAGCACGTCTTCGAGGAGCTAACTCCATTTAAGTATCTGCTTTCAGAAAGAACAGAAGGAAACGTACTAGAAGTGGGAGCGGATTCCATTTCTTTCACTTCGCTTTCATCTGAGCTCTCAACCCGTCGAGGCGCAATCTTTTGAGACGTTGTGGGTGCTGTGAAGGTCACAACCATGAGCATGGACTACAAATGTAGACAGCCAATCTCACTCTTGACAGCCGGGGTGTACTCTTTGACTGTACTCTCCCCTTCACTCTCGTCGGAGCTTTCGACGATTCGTTTGGCGGTCTTGATACGAGGGGAATATCTTGAAGCTTCTGCCAACAACAATGAGAAAGCTTCACAAATACTTTGTATGGGATGCTTACTACGAGGCGTGGGGTGGGCAGGACCAGCAACAGACTCGTCACTGTCCGAGATTTCGATAATTTCTCGAGCTCTGGTTGGGCGTTGCTTTCGAGGAACTGGAAGCCTGGACGTGAACGAGGGACAAAACTGGCCAGACCGACCCCACTTACTCTTTGGAGGTGGTTCAACATCCTCGTCCTCAACTTCTTCGTCGCTCTCGACAGTACTCTCAACGAGGGGTGTTGTAGATTTCTCGGCGAGACGCTTGGATCTTCGATGGGCGGATGCTCCTCGCTCCGCATCCGAGCCTTCAGCGACTGAAGCTTCGTCGTCGCTTCCATCGTAGGTGGACGTAACTGGAGTGGTGGACGAAATGAAGCCCGAGCTCGAAGACGCAGAGTCGCTGAATTCAGCTTCACTTTCTGAGACCTCTGCAGAGTCGCCACTGGAGACGACCGAAGCTGCTCGCTCAGAGTCGGTCAGCGCGCCTCTGCAAAATAACATGCATCAGCTGTGCCCTTTAGGCTTTGGGGTTGACCTATGTATGACTTACTCGCCCTCCTCCAATTCCCTGTCGGCTCTCTCCAACTCGTCTTCGGTAGTCTCGTATTCGATGGGAGCGTCGTCAGGCTGAACGATATCGGCGAGGTCTCCGTCTTTGGTGAGTGCCTCGTCCAGATCACTCTTGCAATGTTGTTCGAACGTTTCATAACCAACGTCGTCAGCCACGTCGTCTTCGTAGTCGTCCTCATCGAGTGGGTCGTCGGTGTCTTCGTCGTCTGTGAGCACATAATCGAGGTCCTCTTCGTCCGTGAGTTCGTCGTCGCCGTATTCTTCATCCTTGAGCAGCTGGCCGATGTCCCGGGTTGCTTCGTAGCGGCGACGGCCGTATTTGAGGTAGAGGTCGAGGGCCCGGAAGAAGACGTCGAACTGAAAAGGCGCAGTCGTTTTGGTCAGAGATGTTCATGCATAGACTGAGAGGATACGCACCTTCTCCCTCAATTCCTTCCTTCTCCCTATCGGTTTCTGCAGCCACTTCATCCATTTGATATCCCTGACCTGGAAGATCTTCTTGCCTCGATGCTTCTTCCCAAGTGGGACGACAAAGTCTCGGTAATTCCTCTCTTGCAGCCGCTCGGCGTACTCGATGAGACCTGCACGGTAGCGTACGAACGCCGCACGGAACGATCTCTACACCCAAAACGCATAGTCAATACCATTTCTTCCAAACACGCCGCAGAAAACAAGGAGGAAGATACACACCGCCAACGTCAAATTGATAAAACACCACATCAAATAGCTATACGGCACGTCGTGCATTCGCTTTCCTCGATGGATGCCCCATGGCATCTGGAACCCTCCAGCTTCCTGTCCAAAGTAGAAGTAGAGTCCGTGCTTGTGATTGAACTCCGGGTCGTCAGCGTCGCCCTCGCCTCCTACTCCTTCTATGTTGTCAACCAAAGGCCCAGCAGCCAAAGGGGGTGATTCTTCAGGCCATTGTTGTTGATTCTTCGAGGAGGAAGCCATTTAGGCCCTCAGCGTTTCGCTCGTCTGTTGTACACTCCTTGATTTCTTGAATTTACGGTTACACTGTAAATGATGATGTTGGCGGAAGAGAAAAGAACAAAAGGTCCGTGCTCAGCATGTTGGACGAGACGTTCCGCGCAATGGTGAGCAATGAAGACGAAACCGTGTGATCGCCGAAGCACGCGGACGGCGGGTGCCTAATCCAGGTTCCGCGCTTCCCACGCCTAGCCTGCTCGTCGCGCGGTCGACGTCCTTCACAGCGCAAGCCCTCCTAGTCGTTCTAGGGAGGAAACAACCCTCCATTCCTCCCCACAGGCGCTTATTTCGGCGCAAATCAAACTGCGGCGTTATATCGGCAGGGATCAACCTGCCTCGTGTTTCCGTCTCCGGAATGACCAGCTATAGAAGAAATGACAAAGTGCAATCAAGGGTCGATGGCGTAGTTGGTTATCGCATCTGTCTAACAAACTGGTGCGGAACCGTGCCTTGTACGAGGTACGGTTCCGCACTTGGCCACAGAAGGTCGCCAGTTCGAACCTGGCTCGACTCATTTTGCGTTGTTTTTGTGGATTTTCTTGGTCTTTTCCGCCATTTTTTTCTTATGATGTTTCTGTCTTCGACCAGCTGTGTTTCTTGCGTTCGACGATGTGCCTTATAATTCTTTCTCAATCGATGTTGGTGAGGCTCACTTGAGGACTGATTCTCATGGCTCCGGAGGGTCTCGGCTCATGGTACCGATATGGTAGAGCTCCTACCTGATTGGTATAGAGCCAGGAGCCAAGACTCTGTTTTTCCATCTTCTCTCACTGTTCTCCTTATACCGTCTGACAACGACACTCATAAACTACACTGGAATCTAGAAATACATCTCGCTTACCCACGAATGACTGTCAATGCCGACTCCGGCGAGCGTGACACTCGATTTCCGAGAGGCAATCTAGTATTCGAGTTGGAATGCGCTCAAACGATCCGGAACGACCTGGGACTCTTAGCGTACGTTCATCTCCAGCACCTCAACAGACCTTCGAACCCTTATCATACAGAACGCGATGCGAACGGTGAACGGCGGGAGCTGGTACCAAAAAAAGAACCGAGCTGCCGAGCGCCGGGGAATGACAACGGCGATGACTTATCGACACCCAATGACAGCCACCCGCCTTATCTCTGAGTCTTCTTCTCTTCCCACATTCGCCCACGTCGCCTGCCGCGCTACTCGAGCTACCAGCTCTTGCAGACGTCGAAAAATACGAGCCCTTCATGCCGGTCGCCTTGACTTTCGAAAACCAGGGCCCGCTCGAGTTGGCCGATGGAAAACTCGAACAATTGCAGCCCCTGTTGGTATCGACGCTCGTCCCACCAGCCCCCTCCAAAGATGCTGAGGACGAAGACCCAGATGGACACACTGTATGGATGACAACGGCTACCTCCCAAGCACAATACCACGCACACAAAGGCTGGCCGTTCCCGCTCCCCAAACTCCCGAAAAACAAACTGGTCGTCAGACCCACCGAAGACGGGGCAGGTTTAGGCGTATTCGCGACGGATGACATCAAGCGTTACGAGCCCGTCCTCGTCGAACGCCCTTTCCTCATCTACGCACAGGAGAACTCTGTCCTTCCCATACCCAGCGAAGGAGTAAAGGAACTCTCGGAGAGCCAAATCGCGCAGATGTTGATGAAGAAATCGGAGGAGGCCTTTAGGTGTGCAATAGAACAGCAGTTCTCGGCGAAGGCGAAGGAAGAGTTTATGTCCCTCGCGAATTCGCATTTGGATGATGGGAGTGGGCCTGTACTAGGGATCGTTAGGACGAATGGGTTTGCGATCAAGTTTGGGGAGCGCTTACCGGGTGTGGACGAGGAGTTTCGAGGGGGTTATGCTGCAGTTTCAAGGATCGGTAGTCGATTGAATCACAGGTGCGTTTTCCCATGTTCTACGGTCAACGACAAAAACACCAACTTCACTCGCCTTCGGACAGCTGCATCCCCGACGTCGTATTCGGTTTCGACCCCGCAACCTTCTCAATGCGCTTCACCGCCGTGCGCGACATCAAAGCCGGCTCCCAAATCCACACCAGCTACACAACCGTCACCGCTCCCAAACTCACCCGCCAAAAAGCGCTCTCAGCCTACGGCTTCGAATGCCACTGCCGCGCCTGCCTCCAATCCACACCTCAATCCGACAAACTCCGTCAAGTCTGTCATAAGTTGACCCAGTTATGGCGGAATCAGGCTATTAATGTGTGGCCTAAAGACCTGAAGCTTACTGAGAAGGTGCTGGTACCGGTGTTGGAGACAAAGAGACGGATGGAGGAGGATGGGTTGGATTTTGATGATGCAGGGTATTGTTTTTTCCCGGAGATTTTGCATAGGGTGTATAAGTGCGTTGGGAATAAGGAGAAGGAGAGGGAGGCGTTTGAGTTGACGAGGGAAACTGTGAGGGGGATGATTGAGGCAGCGGGGTGGAGGAGTGGTGTTAATTTGTTGGGGTGATTGTGAAGCCAAGCGAGCTGAGTGCCATTGGGTGGTTCGTTTGGCATTTCAGTTTTGTCGAAGAACGTGTATTTGTATTTTGAGTCTATGGGTTTATACGATCGATGTTGATACGTACATGGAAAAACTTCCGTGGTTCGGTCCAAGCGACCGATTTGGAAGCGCTCCTTCCGTTTTAATCAAGAGCCAAGACAAATCCCATCTTCCCGTCTACGTCGACCTTCCCATGGCGTTCGGCGACACAAGATTATTCGAACGTCAGATTACAGATCCCACCAACGGCAATAAGCTTTACTTCGAGAAAGTATCGGACACCAAGCAAGGGTCGATGGCGTAGTTGGTTATCGCATCTGTCTAACAACCACCCCCTTCTTGCCAGCGCTGGCTTGCCTTGTACGAGGTACTGCTGTTGGCAGATGGGTGTGGTCCACAGAAGGTCGCCAGTTCGAACCTGGCTCGACTCATATACGTAAATCAGCTTTTTCTTTGGCCACAGGGGGTGTCTCCTATGTACGCCTTTTGGTACACGATGTCGATGTCATACCACGGCATTCGTTTCTTCGTAGGTAGAAGGGTAACTCTTTCTAAAATGTCAGATTGCTCGATACAAGGTGTCCCAGATCATGGCTGGCTTGTACTGTGAACACTCAACTCGAAGTGTTAGAGTTGCCCCATCGAGGCCACTGGCAGAAGTTTAGCAGCGTCAGATGATTAACGACTTTAAGCGAGGGCAGAGCCATTCAAGAATAGACCTATATACACAGGAATGCCAATCCTGAACATGGCACCCAACTATGACCATGTCCTTGGACTAGATCCATAGACGGCATGCGGAGGGGAACACTCGAGCATGGCCGTTGCGCACAAGTGCAAAAATAGGGGTGGGAGTCAGACGATCCGCGTTTGCATGGCGGGTCCAGACCCAGTCCGACCAGCTCTTCTGTCCCTACCACTATGTTCTGATCACATCTCGGAAAGCCTACCCGTTATTCGAAAGACAACATCATTCGTTGTAGAACAGCGATTTCGCAGCCCATTTCCGCTCCTCGCCTTTACCAAAGGGTTGGAGGCAGTGGAATGATTTCGGGAAAAGCGACCTTGACTTACACTATGTGTGGGCGCCATACTGTCTTTGACACGAATCTGATTCTTAGATTACTTATGTTGCCCACGCACAGCCGCATACCGACAACACTGCGCCCATGTCAATGATCTTGATACCTTATCGCTCTCATCTCGAGCCAGCGCACTCGCTGCCCGGGACATTCTATTCTGCTCATCGTCACTGAGGATCGCGCCTAGATTGGATTTAGCTCGTGTGAGTACACGGTGACAGAGACAATATCGTTGCAGCCCTCTGACATCGGCTACTAGGAGCAACGGTATGGCGCTTACAGCAACGGACGCATCGCCTCTCGCGACTCGCCCCAGCATAACTATCGGTGAATGCAACATCATCTCCGGTGGGATGATGATTGCCGGAAATTATTCCAGTACCACTCATGTCCATAACATCTTCCCTCACGCCGAGCCTAACGACTCGTCCAAGAGTCGCGGTGAGTGTTTGTCCCGTCCCAGGACCACCTCCCTTACCGTGTGGTTGACCCAGACACTCTGATATCCGACATCACTGCATGGTTCGATCTCAAGTCGAACTCGAGAGCGATCCACAACGACGTAAGGAAGAAAAGGATCGATGGGACCGGATACTGGTTCATCAACAGCAAGGAGTATCAAGATTGGAAGGGCACCAAAGGAGCAGTTCTCTGTGGTACTGGCATTCGTGAGTTTACTTGTGTTGATTGCTACAATCCACTCTAATGGATGGTACAGCCGGTGCAGGGAAGACGGTTTTGATGTGAGCGGACTGTAGTTTTAATCCACACCCGTCGCTAATCGGTCTCGAGGTCCCGAGTAGTGGATGATCTCTTACTGCTCGAAGAATCGGTTCAGAATGTCTGCGTTCTGTTGATCTACAACCGTTACAACGAAACACTTTCGATTGGCGACATCCTGAAGAGCTTCATTCTTCAGATCATTCAACGTCACAATCATCTCGTGGATCTCGTCCAACCTCTTTATCGGTCCGGTCGACTCGAAAGGACCGCCCCATCTGACGACGACCTTCTCAAATTGCTGCTCAAACTCGAAGGCCACTTCCAGCGTACCTACTACATCGTGGACGGTTTCGACGAAGTCGACCGCAAGTACCAGCTTAACCTCATCAAGGTTTTAGCCCAATTGCAAGGGAATCTCATTTTTTCCTCACGGCCTTCGGAGCATCTACGAACAGAACTAGAAGGCGCGCGGCATATGACGTTGCTGGCGCAGGAAGAAGACCTCCGACTGCTCGTCGATAACAGGCTTGGGCACTACAAGGGGCTATGTCGCATTTTGGAGAAACATCACTACCGAGAAGAGGCCACCAGGAAGATAGCTGACAAGGCGGCTGGAATGTGAGTGAGGCGCGAGGAATATACCAGTCGTATCACCTGCTGACACGGTGTTGTCCAGGTTCCTCCACGCCGCTCTGCAGATCGAAGCTCTCCGCAACTGCCTGTCACTTTCGGCCATCGAGGCGAAGCTCGAGCAGTTTCCCACAGGTATCGAGGGAATGTACACAGCTAGCATTTCGCGGATCGAAAGTCAGGACCCCGACCTTGTCAAGATTGCCAAGCAGCTGCTCCTCTGGGTTGTCTTTGCCCGAGGGCCTTTATCGTTGCGCGACCTCAAGGCCGCGCTCGGCGCAAACCCAGACACCTACAGCGTCGAGGAATCCCTTATGCCGGATGAATTTTCCATCGTTGAGCTGTGCTGTGGCCTCGTCGAGCTGGACACGGAAAGTGACGTTGTTCGACTCGTCCGTGAGTATTGTACCCGGCATTTCCCTTATTCATTATGCTCAGGTCCTTCGGTCTAGATTTTACAGCTCGAGAAGCGCTTGAACGTGTTCTCCTCAGGGACTTTCCCCATCCTCACCTTTTCATCAGCAAGGTGTTAGCCCAGCGGATGGTCGACAACAATCTGCCGAATTGCACGATCGCCAAACGCGAGGACTTTACCAGCGTGGTCAAACAAGTCCCACTCTTGCGTTATTCCTACCAACATTGGGGCACTCATGTTCTGGAATGTGGACGTTCACCTGAAGCAACTGATGCGACGATGGCTTTTCTGCGCCAATGTACCTCCTTTCCATGCGACCTCGGCTGGGGGACACTTGACCTATTGCAACCACTCCACGTCGCTGCTTACTATGGTATCTCAATATATCTAGACCGGGTTTCTGACAGCGAAGGAAACCCCAATGGTCAGACACACCCAAGCTCAATCGTTGGGGCCGGTTTACTCCAGCCAGGGCGCCACCCTGCGGAGGGTGTCCAAATCAATGGACTGACAACGGTGCTACGTCACACGGCACTGATGATAGCATCAGCTCATGGTCGTATCCATTTCGTGAAACGATGTCTTCGAATTCGCAGCATCAGCATCAATGGAAGGAATGAAAGGGGCGAGACAGCCTTGTTTTTCGCCTCAGCATTTGGACACGAAGAGGTGGTCAAGGAGCTCCTCCAGTTCTGGGGTGTCAATGTCAACGCCACAGACAATCACGGGTGGACCGCACTCATGATCGCCTCAGTGCAAGGCCACGACAGAGTGGTCCACCGATTGCTCCAGTTTCATGGCATTGACGTCAACACTACGGACAACGAAGGGTGGACTGCACTCATGTTCACCTCGCAAGACGGCCACGATGGAATCGTCAACCAGCTCCTCCAATTCCATGGCATCAATGTCAACGCTGCAGACAAGGAAGGGTGGACCGCGCTCATGCTTGCCTCGTTTGACGGTCACGACAGAGTGGTCCGCCGACTCCTCCAGTTTCATGGTGTCAGCGTTAACGCGCGCACCCACCACAATTCAACCGCGCTCACGTTGGCTTCGGAATATGGATACGAGATGGTCGTTCAACAGTTGCTCGAACACGGAGCGGACGTCAACGCAGCCGACAACGACGGTGATACATCCCTGATTATGGCGTCTGGAGCTGGTTATGAGGGTATTGTAGCACGCCTCCTTCAATGCCCGGGCATTGACATCCATGCTGCCAACGAATCTGGAACGACAGCCTTGTCTGCAGCACGGGAGAAGGGACATGCGGCCATCGTGGAAATGTGAACCAACTTCATTCGGAACCAGCCGACGATTTCCGACCGCGACACGAGGAAGGCAGAGAAAAGACTGCTTGCTATTTCCCCCGGTGACTCTGGGACATCTAGCAAGAGACCTCGCCGTTAGGAGACACACTTTATAGACAATTGCCTCTGTATCTTCACTTTCTGTACTACACAACCTGGTGGCCGATTGACGATTCGTAATCTTTTCAAGTACAGGTAGAGACGAAGCGAGTCGTGGAAAACGATTTCGTTTGGATCTCGTTCGATTCTTTATTCCCACTTTGACTCATACCTAGTATTGATGCAGTAGTAAAGAAATATTAGTCGAGTTGTTTCCAGATGTGGTTTCTAATTGACAATCCTAGATCCCATTTCCTTCCCCTGATGACGAAAAAACAAAACTCTCATCGGCAAGATACGAGGTGATTCGGGGAGGGATGGGAGCATACATCATATATTCCCAACGTCAGCGATGTATATCTCCGCATGTACTTTGCTCATTCCTCGTCCTCTGGCACTATAATACTGCACCATATGGAGTCTCGCGGATTGAGGTTCGGGCCAAGCCACCAATTAGGAAGCGCTCCTTCCTTTTTAGTTCGGAGCCAAGACAGCCGCTCACCCTCCCTCACCCTCCTTTCTCTCTCAACGTGGCATACCCCCACCAAAAGCAAAACCACTCACAAAATCGTAATATATCCCATAAAGCCTTATTGGCTGCTCGTGCCTTGTACGAGGTACCGCGTAGGGAGCGCCCCTGGCAGTCGGGATGGTACACAGAAGGTCGCCAGTTCGAACCTGGCTCGACTCACATCTGCCGATATTTCTCTTGTTCGCTTTTTGCATTGGTTGTATTTTAATTTTTAACGTACGTATTCTGAATTTGAGCGCCAGTCAGCGACCAGTCAGGCCGGCACCATAGCAACAACTTAAAGCTATTATCATAACTAAGTAGTCTTGTACTTATGGTGCATGTATGGCGTATCCGATAAACGACTGCGGACTGCGTTCCTCTGACCCTCAGCGCTCAGCTCAGGCACGAGGTTGTTTGATATGTACACTTCCGAAGATATATCGTGCTTCGATAAATGCATGCTCGAGTATGTGTGTACAACACCAACTGTACATTCGCATTCACGGGGTGTCCAATATTATACGTTCGAAAAAACTAAGAACTAAAGAACTACTAAGGGACTAGGAACAGAAAGAAAAAAGGGGGAATAGATAGATAGATGGTAGTGAATGAACGGAAACATATAAAGATATACGCGACGTATGTTCCAGAGCACACCACAGCAGCCCTAGTAGCCGCCGGGAAGACTACACCTCCCCAAGCCCACTCCCACTACACCTCCTAAACCCACTCCCTAATAACACCCCCAACCCACCTACTACAGCTCTCCAAACCCACTCCCACTAGCCTGCCCACCCAACGGACTCCCCGGCCCCGACAACTTGAGAATAACCCACACAATCCCACCCGACACGGCTAGTACCACTCCGAAGGCGGCCGCAACGTACATCGCGACTTCTTTGACGGACATTTCGGTTGTTGTTACTTGGGGGAAGTCTGGAGAGGGGTGTTAGCGTTCATAGTTCGGGTTTTCATTCGTTGGAGGGGGAAACGGGAGTAGGCGAAAGGCGAGGAAGAAGGAAAGGTACGTACCACTCGACTCCCCATTCGCTCCACTCACACCCCCACCACCAACAGCCCCACCACCGCTCTCCTTCCTCTTCTTCGCCAACACCTGGTTCCGATACGAAATGGCATTAAAAATCCTCGAACGTACGTCTGAAGAGTCGATTTCGGGGCGAGGGCCTTGAGGCGAGTCGACGAGTTTGACGAAGGAGGGGTAGTTGTGTTCGTACCATTGTTCGATCTGTGGGGGAGGGAAGGGGTCCGTTAGTTTTGGTTTGGTTTTTGGGTGGATGGGGGTGGGTGGGGGATAGAGGTGAGGAGGGGAGAGGGAGGGGGTGGAGAAAGGGAGGAGGAGGGAAGGGAGGAAGAGGAGGAAGGGGAGGAAGGAAACGCACCTTGCCGCATGCAACGGAAAGTTTGAGGAAGCTAGGGTCGGAGGGGAGCGCCTTTTGATGAATCTTGCGAGCGTAATCTCGGAAGATGAGTGCTACTTCTTTGGGATTTGTAGACCTCATGATCAACTACACAGCATCACCCACACAGAAAACGCAAACAAAAAACACAGAAAAGTCGTCAGACATCACTAAATCCCCAAAGTGGTACGACAAATGACATACCCTAGCAGCCTCCGCCTTCCTAATCTTGATATTCCTCTGGAACATGGCGGGGTTCATAAAACACAACTCGAGCGTCGCAATCGCCATCGTAGCCGGAATCGCACAAAAGTTGAACACACTCTGGTTCTTCAACATCTTCAAATAATCCAAGGAATCTTCGCAATGCCTGAGGGCGTCCAGGATCATAGCGCTCTGCGCCCACTGCGCTCTCTCCTTATTCCCCTCCTCGTACATCTCCTTCATCTCCTTGAAACCGAAGGAGCCCCAGATTTCTTTAGGCCAGAAGTACCGCTGTTCGTCGGTATCTTCGCGGTAGTCCCGGATGATGTTGGTTTTTTGAAGGAGCAGGCCCATGGAATTGCTCAGTTCGAGTTGCTCGCCGAGCCAGGGAGCTTCTTTGCCTGAGGCGCTGAAGATGCGGGAGAGTCCCTCGCCGACGAGGCCGGCTACGTAGTGGCAGTAGAGATCGTATTCGGCGATGGTGGAGAGGTATATTGAGCCTGTCGTTGCTGCTTTGTGGGCGTAGTCTGCCATGCCTGTCTCCATTTTGCGGCAGATGTCGATTATGACTGTTTTGTAGCTATTGCGGAAGGGTTAGTTTAGTGGAGTCAATTCAGGATTCGCGAAGGAGGACGGGCGGTAGACGCACTGAGGGGCGAGTCTGTTAACTTCCTCGACGATGGTGTCGTATTCGACGAGGAGCTGGCGGTCCTTCTCGTTCGGGCCACAGCCTTCGTACTTCCAGCCGGGTGTGACGGTGTACTCGTGGAAGCGCCGGAGGATGGGCTGTTTGACATCGTCTGGGATGGTCATGTCGTCTTCGATCGTGTCCAGTCCGCGCAGGACGAGGTAGAACATGCAGATCTGGATGGAGTGATTAGCATCTTGTCTGGCTCCTATATCGAGCCCCAACGCCAGACGCGCGGGTGAGCGCGTCACAGCGAAGCAGCATGGCATGGCTGGCGGTACCGCGAGCGCGCCACGACGACTCCCGTTCAGAATCCACGTCGAACGTAAACTCGTCCCCGGGAGCGAGGCGAATCCAGTGATTCTAAAGAATATGACTTACGGTTCTCGCCAAATCCCCATCGAGCTCCTTGATGACTGCAGCAAAACTCCTGCTGGTGAGGTCGAGGAAGTGCCAGCACCTGCGCATGCTCTCGCGGTCCCAGCCGGACGTGGGGTGCTCCTTGATAGCCTTGATATCGCGTTTCTGTTCATGGTACAGCCAGAACTGCACTAGAGTCCTGAACTCGAGCGGGTGTGTCAATAGGAGGACGAGCCAGTTGATTGCGCCCATGTTTGTCGTTTAGTTTTTTCGTTGAAGAGGAGGAGCGGAGGAGTGTCGTGCAAAGAGGGTCGTGGGTAAAGTCGTGTGTGGAGTCGTCGAGGAGAGGAATAAAGGGGTGCCAGGGATATTTCAAGGGAATAAAGTGGATTTCCGTGTGGGGAAACCGGGTTTTTCGACACTCGTACGATTCCCTTTTCTGGCCTGACAAAATTTGACATCACCCATCAAAAATACCCTCTCTCCGCCCTCTCGGCGGTGCACTCGACCCATCCTTTTAACTATCAACTTGTAATACTTATGGAGGCACCGCTCAACCCGCCAGTTCGCATTCAAGCCGTCTCATCGGTTCCCATCTCCGTCAAAGCGACTGAAAAACACATCGCCGCCTTTTTGGACGATTTTCAGATGAGGAGTGCGGCGAGTTTGGGAGGGAATACCGCTGTTACGGTTCAACTCAAGAAACTCAAGGAGGCGCTGTATGAGGAGAGGAAATCTAAGGATTGAGAGGTGCGTTTCTTTTTCTTCGAGTCCGTTCATTGACTTAGAGATCTACATACTTACAGGGTGTAGGATTGACACCCTGCATCGAAACCAAAACCTCGAAACCCGGTTTCACCGAATAGCCGACTGAGAGGACCCTACGCCGCGTCGATACACGCTCATCCTTCTTTCTTGCAGAGATAGAGACGGACCCGAACTGTACGCTCATAAATAGGGCACCATCATCATCATCTCCAATTCCATTCATTCGTCATTCATGATTGGGGCGATATGTAATTGGACATGAATCGAATCCTACATGTAATCGTTATCAGTCAGAATCAGGGTTCCATAGGCCGGATAGTGAGTGAGTACAGTGCGCCAAACATCGTTCAGGGTTGACCACCATTTTCAGGGCTATTGACCGGGACGTCGGAGGAGTCGGTCCTCCTACTCCCCTTCTTGCTCCTCGCACCCCTCTTCTTCTTCGGGCTCCCCTTCTTCTCGCTCGGTTCTGCAGCAGCACCCGGCACGCTTTCTCCAATAATCTGGTTATGCTCATTTCTCCTCGTACCAACCGGCGGAGGATCCTCGATCCTGCGGAGCAAAGTCCACAAGATCGTCCCATCCTCCACTCCATACCTCGGAAAGATAAACCCAGTGCGCTTGGTGTACTTGCTCAGCGCCACCTCTGATGGGAAGACTTGAATTCTCTGGGTGTTGTCGTTGTGGCCCTCGTCGTCGGTGAACGCTGTGTACTTGGTGGTTAGGTCGACTAGGTTGACGTGGGCGTTGCACACCGCCTAGAAGGAGAACGTCGAGTCAGATGTCTATTCGCCTCTGTTGTCTCTGCCTCTCGCGCCCGGATAACCCCAGGAAGAACAACCCAAGCACTCACCTCCCTGGCAGCCTTCAACTCCCCCGGAACAGGCACAACCCCAACAGTCTCACACAACCCCTGCCACGCCGGCAAACTCTCCACATCCGTCCCATAGCGCCAATGAAAATGCTCAATCAGCGCCCGCCTAAAAGTCGCCAACCACGCCTTCCTATCCTCCTTCGCGTTCTCGGATAACGCTAGCCGCAATTCTGGAAAGGCCTCCTTGCGCCACCGGAGCATGCGGTTGAACTCGCGGTAGGCTTCTCTGCGCGGGTCGAACATGAACGTTGGGAGGAACTGGTCGAAGAAGGCTTGGAGGGGCCCGTCGATACGCGGCGGTGGGGAGCTTGGGTTTGTGCCTGCGTTTGGGAGAGGTGGGCGTAAGCTTGGGCTGACAGGTCTGCTGCACTGCTCACTTGGATCTGGCTGGGATTGGACTTGGCGGCTGGCTGCTTTCTTCGCCCTCGCGAGCTATACATCGGTGGATGGACAATCACTGAAAATCAGATCGTGATCTCCCTCACGGACGGTGTTCGAACGCACCTCTTTGCGTCTCTTCCAGTACGTGCTTGCCTGGGGTTTGGATTTGCCAGTGGTAGATTCGGGTGCGCTTTGGATTTGGGCTGGGTCTGACATGGTGAGGCTTGTATGCGTAGAAGAGCTCAAGGAGGTCGGGGTGTGTCGGCACGTCCGCAGTAGCAAGGCGTGGCGGACTTCCTTCTTATCCCATTCCCGTTCGAAACCTTAATGCCTCGAGGCGACGCTGTTCTCACACGCACCTGGACAAGAAGCTTCTTTGGCGCTTATTTGACTACATATCACCTGGGATCGTGACAGTTCTTGCCGTCGTGACTACACCCGCGTTCTCGAGATGTCGGCTGGCTCGACGTCCACTTAATCCCTAGGGCACCATCTCCAATTCCATTCATTCGTCATTCATGATTCAATGAGGCGTTATGTAACCGGATATTGTGAATCGAATCCTAATCGTTATCAGTCAGAATCAGGGTTCAATTAGTAGGACACTGAGTGAGTACAGTGCCCCAAACGTCGTTCATGGTTGACCTCCAGTTTCAGGGTTATTCACGGGGACGTCGGAGGAATCAGTCCTCCTACTCCCCTTCCTCCTCCTCGCACCCCTCCTCCCCCTCTTCTGCTTCGGACCACCCTCCTCTCTGGGCGCAGAACCCGGGATCACCAGCCGGTTACGCTCATTTCTCACAGTCCCCACCGGCGGCGGGAAGTAAATCCGGCGCAACAGCATATACAAGATCGTCCGCCTGTTGATCTTGTTTCTCGGGAAGATGTACTTGGTGCGGAGGGTGTAGTCGCTCAACTCGGCTTCGGAGCTGAACTTGGTGAGGCGGCCCCAGTCTTCGTATTCGTCTGTTAGGTCCACGAGGTTGACATGTGTATTGAACACCGCCTGTGGTACGGTTAGTAGTGAGACCTTTGACACTACCTATCCTCGAAGAGAAGAATTAACAACTAATCATTTACATAGTACTCACCTTTCGCGCCTCCTTCAAAGTATCAGGCACGGGCTCAATCTTCATCGCCACGCACAACGCCCTCCACGCATCCAAACTCTCCACATCCCTCCCAAACCTAAAATGGAACTGCTCGATCAAAGCGATCCTGAACTCCTCCAGCAGCGCTTTACGCGTAGTCGTCGCGAGCGACGGGTGGTTGGTCTGTTTTCGGAAGGCTTCGAGGCGGTGGTACTCGTCGTAGGAGGGGTTGCGGGGGTCGAAGATGAAGTTGGGGAGGAAGCGGTCGAAGAAGGTTTGTAAGGGACCGTCGATTCGTGGAGGAGGACCTGTGTCTTCGTTGGATGCTCTGGTTTGAGGGGCTTGTACTGGTTCTTGGGTTTGTCCTTGGTCTTGCCCCTGGATCTGCTCTTGCTCTTGCTCTTGTTGCACATCTTGGTTCTCCCCCGCGCTATCCGGTCCAACGTCATCCTCAACCACTTCGACTATGGTCGCCTCGAGTGGAGGCACGGGTTCCATCGCACCTGCAGCCCCCGTTCTAGCCCCCACTTTCTTCTCCCTCAATTGCTACTTCCAAACAACCATCGATCCCACACATAGTAGGACGACCGATCGACAAATCAGTACAATTTTCTCTCCCTTTCCGCGCATCGATCGCCAAAGGAATGAATGGCTCACCGCTCTGCGTTTCTTCCAGTATCCGCTCTTTTTACTTGTGGACTCTTTTGAAGCTGCTCCTGTTTGGGTTTGGACTGGGTCTGGCATGGCGCTCTTGAGCGTATGGGTTGGATATTCGTTGGATGTGGGGCAGGACTGGACTTGAGGGGATCACTCGGTTTGTGCGTGCGCAGCAGTAGCAAGGCGTGGCGATGTGATTCTTAACACTCAGACCTTCTTATTATTTATATGCCTTCCTGGAGTGAACCTTAACACCTTCTTGGTCGAGACCTTAGTGCCTCGAGGCGCCTCTTGTTCTCACACACCCCTGGGGAAGAAGCTTCTCTTTTCTTTGAGCGCTTATTTGACGTGGGTCGTGTTACATCGTGACTCCTTACACCCGAGGTGCTGTCCATCGATAACATTTCGTTCGTGTCTGCACGCGTACGCAGGATCAATTGACATCTGCAATAGGGGATAGGGGAGGCCTAGTTTTTGTACCAGATTCAACACTCCTAAGTTATATTATTAGCTGGGCCGCAAGGTGGACATGTGTGGTTCGAGGTGAGGGCATGATTCACCCTCCAGCCTTTTGGAGATTGATCTCTACTGGAGACGAGGCCCCTCTGGATTGCTCAGTGGATCCTGAATGGCTGCGGATACGGACGAGACCCACATGCATGTCGGTACGGGCGCTTATCTGATACTGATACTAGTACCTGGGAATCGGGGTTGTCTTGGAAAGACCATCTGATTCTCTGTATGTACATATGTGATAGGGGTAGATCGTATGCGGGGGCATAGATCTGTGTGTATACTACTGGACGTGGGATTGGTGCGACAGGACACTATATACTTAATCAGCCTTGCGTTACGGGCGCTTATTCTTTTTCGCGTGATCATGCTCACGCTCCTCCAAGTTCAACCCCCTCGTTCTTTCTCCGACCCCCGCCCAAAGTAATACTCCGTCCAAGCATCACGTCCCGATGACCTCTCCGAGTAACGTAAATCGGTTGTGAGAACCGCCGTGCTACATTCGCTGAAGAACGATCTACGGGTATCCTTCTCCCACTGGGAATGTGCTCGCTTCTGAGTCCAATCATTCCATTGGACTGGAACAGTGAAATATGGCGCGTCGTAACAGTAGTCATGTGCATAGTAATCCATCTGGTTCAGAGCTGAACACGGATGCGAAGCTCGATGTGATTCCGATTCGTGTCGTTGGGATGCGGTGACATCGGCTGTACGGCGCGGAAGTTGCGATTCAAGTGAGTCAAGTTGGGAACTTGAAGTCGGTTTCGAGGGCGGGTCAGAGCTTGGACTGGTGGGTGGGTGGATGGGAGCGCTGTCGATGTCGATGATACTTGCGTTGCTACCGGGATTGGAGGAGGAGGAGGAGGTGGTGGTGGTGGTGGTGGTGGTGTGAACAGACGCTTTTTGGCTCGCCTTGTTTGCTTTCGCTCTCTAAATTATGGCAGGCGCGATATGAATATCAGTCATTAGTCATGGTTAATCTTTCTACGCGGACAATAACGATGCGACTCTCACCGCTTTCTTCTTCCTGTTTCGAAGGGTTTTGGCACTGGGAATGGGAGGGACTACGGTAGCTTCGTTTGGGGATTCGTGGTCCGTCATACTACCAAGCGGCTGGCTAGGCTTTATGGAGCCCAAGAACGGGGAGCGGCACTTGGTGCCCTGGGGTCCCCTTTCGTCGTTTCATTTATAGGTGCGTATGCTTACAGCTCTGCCTCCTCGGAGCCCTGAGCTCTTGAATGACTCGGAATGACTCGGTAAGAAGTCTCCTGAGCGCCTTATATCTCACATGAGTCTTCTGCCAGTGGAAGGAGGACACAGGGCTGTGTTGGGGCGCTTATCTGTCATGGTAGATTCAGAACTGTTAAGGGCCCTTGATCATAAGGGGTGCTGTGGGACTACAGCAGGACTGCCAAATCTGAATTGATAAGTATCGTGGTTTCCTATTTATACGTGTCGTCCAATGAGTCAGACTCTGGTTGGGCGCTTATGCCATCTCAGAAGTAGGGTCCACTGAAGCCTTCTAAGTACCCATCGAGAAACATGTGGATCGGTGAAGATCTCCATCTCGCAACCGTTAGTTCAAAATGGCAACGTAGCTGATTGTTTAACCATGATAATGTAGACAGTATATATCTGGGATTCGAAGAAAACTATCAAGAGTCATCGTTCTTTTGACGACGCCCCTTTCAATTTGGCTACAGCATGTCTGGCCGTTTTACCGCGCTTTGGGTCGGGTCGGACGATCTTACGAAGTAGATGACGCAGCAAGCCACGGGCATACGCATTTTTCTTGGGAAAGATTCGGTGCGTTTTCCGTGTGTAAGAAGAGAGCTCTGGTTCGGTTCGGAACTTGATTAGGGGTTCTCTTTTTTCCGTGAGGTCGACGAGATTTACAAATGTCTGTTCGACAACCTAAACGGGAGACAAGTGGATAACAGAGTTAGGAAATTGTAAATAGGAAAGCGACAGTCCACAAGAGAACACCCACCTGCTGACAATGTTTCAAGGTGTCCGGTATAGGGGCGAACCCGATCGCCCTGCAAAGAGCTTGCCAACTTGCTAAATCCGACTCGTCAGTCCCGTACGTATCGTTAAACTGCATCACGAGAGCATCTTGAAACGCTTTATATGCTTTCTCCCCTTTGGTCTTCTTCTTCTTTTTCTTTTTGGTCGGATTCTCCTGACCCTCCTTCGAGGTCTCCTTCGAGGACTTTGGGATCTTCCATCCCTTCAGCTTTTGCAAACGATGGAACTCGTGATTTGCGGGGTTCGATGGTTGATACTTGAACTCGGGGGCGTACTGGGCAAAGAAAGCAGCGAGGCGGGTGGCTTTGGGATTGTAATCTGTGTCTGAGTTGGGCTGCTTGGCGGTGTGCGCTTTGGCGCTCCTGGGAGGAGTCTTCGACGGGGTGCTGTAAATCCGAGAGGAACTGGTGATGTAGACTCTGAGACGACTCTGGGATCGTTTTCAAGTTCTCAGTGCGACGGGACGATGGAGAATGGTCAAGAGATGGAGCTTACGTCTCGGGCAAGTATTGGTCTAACGAACCTGGGGTACAGTAATCCCCTGACTGTCGCGATCGATAGTAGAAGAGGAGAGGGGCGCATCATATTCATTCTTGCGGTAGAACTCAGCGAAAGACTCGTCAACTCGAAGCTGCGTCCGAGGTTTAGGGGTAAATGCAAGCCTAGTGGACAGTAGGAATCGAGGGGACTCGCGGAGAACACGGTACCCTAGATTCGACTGGGAATGAGGAAACATCGTGCCCGTGCCCACAGCACCCCCGAACTTAAGCTCGAGGCACGTGTTGGTCGTTTCTCATGCGTCGATTAAGCTTTACGGAAGGAAGCCACGAGGTGTACATAGAGACGGCGAGAAAGCTTTGTATATCGCGATTGAAGGCCCCGATCAATTGCTTACTTGGGCGCCTATTCCCAGTAGGGAGTACCTTTGGAAAAAAAGGGAGTGCACAAAGGTAGGATTACACGGAAGTACAACTATCCAGAGACACTATTTTATACGCAAGATGAAGAGAGAACTGGACCTGGCTGAGTTATCTCGAGAGAGAAGTGATCACCAGCCAATTGCATACGGATGTGAGATAAGATTCACGAACTTCCTCCGCCTCGGCGTCGGCGAGATCTTCCGTGGTGCCCACCCCTCGAGGCACCTGGATTCATGATATTTCGTAACAGATATTTGAGAAGGTTACCCGAGTTGGCGTTCTCCCTCGGGAAGAACAGTCCATTATCCTTGGTATACTCGCTCAGCGCGTATTCAGTTGGGAAAATGGTGATCTCACGACTCCCGTCGTAGCCCTGGGTGAGATCAACCAAGTTCACATGGGTCGATTTCACTTTCTACTCGGTCTATTAGTGTCTGGAGCAAGCAAAGTGTGAAGACTTCGGAGACGAACCTGCCTTGCCTGCTTGAGGGTGCTGGGAATCGGGTGTATACCGAGGCGTGCGCAGAGGCCTTGCCAGGCCTCCAGATTTTGATGATCGGTACCATAGTTCTCGTTGAACTGCTGGACGAGCGCGTCTTGAAACTGTTGGTACGCCTCCTCCCGCTCTGGATCTTCGCGCTCCCACCCATTCCAGTCGCAGAGTCGATAAAACTCTTGGTTGGCGGGTCGGTTAGACCGATAGATAAATCCGGGAGCAAACTGGGCGAAGAATTCCTCCAAAGGCGTAGACATTTCTCTGTTTCAGGAAGGCCAGAGTTAAACATCCGGACGTCCGGATACCGCGCAGCTGTCGGACGCACCTTTCCCTCAGAACCCGTGTTCGTTTGTCCAAGATATGGTGCTGTGGATGGGACAAAATCAACGATGGTTATTGATGTCGGGGTAGTGACTCGACGCAGTTCAATTCGATTGAGGTGTCGGCAAGACTACTATAGACCTCCAGACAGGACGGAGCGAGGGGACCAGCTGCAGCTTGGGAGCGGTCTGGTACCCTGGCTTCGATGGGGTATGAGGGAAAGCCTACATGCTGTGCTGTCGGAGATACTTATCGTTCAGCGAGGATTGTACTTGTTTTCACTTTCTCACCTCGAAGTTTCCGAAATGAACGAGAACGTAAGCACAACTACATTGAGTATGTACCAGTGACCATGTGGCTCTCCCAAGCGACCTCCAAGCCCTCCGATGTCATCAAGCCCTCCGATGCAATGGTAGTTTGAAATTTACAGCCCTTGTATTTGGATGAAAAGCTCTGTGTCGCTGGAAGCCTTTGGGTCACGAAATCAACAAGCACGTAGAGAGAATGGTATCACTTGTAGCTACATCTCCGACATGACGTCTACGGGCGAGGCTGTTGTCCATATCCCTCCCGGTAGTACTGTGCACGCACAGCTTCAACGGACTCATAGTACTCCCTGACGGCATCTTCAAAGGCGGTTCTCTCCCCCTTGGCAATCCTCTGGTGAATCAAATCGGTAGTCGTATGCCACATGTTGTACGCCAGATAGTCAAGTGGCTGGTAATTAGCCATATGGCCAGGACGCCCTTGAGCTATCGGAACAAGTTAGCTTTCAGAATGCGGGTTTCTGCGGAAGTTGGCAGACTCACCGAGGATTTGGGGCTCGAAGCGCGAAAGTGCGTTCATTATCTTTCGGAGTTGCGGTAGAAGCGCCCATACTTTCGGTGTCGAGTCGTATACTGCTTGGACGGCTGCGGGCGCGGTTGTGCAGTTTCTGAAGACCTGGGGTAGAAATGTGCTGTGAGAAGCGTATCTCTGAGGTACTCAAGACGTAGAAGTCACCTCTGTCTCGACCCACCACAAGGGGGAGACGAAATTATCGAGCCATTTCCGATAGAATTCACTTGAAGCGTGATATAGTCCCTAAGCGCCCAAGTGTACGTCATGAATTCGAAGTCGTTTTAGGACTTTGATAGGAATACGCACATCAACGTCCTCTGGAGTCGCATCAGCCTCGGGGAACGCACAAATGGCAGCATCGTATTCGGCCAACGCCTTGGGGAACGCAATGTCGATCGCGTTCTCGTAGGAAGTCTTTCCATCGGGATTGGTCACTCCACATAGAGGACTTGGTCCCTGGGCAGTTGCGAGGCCGACAAGCAGGAGCGTGAGGAGGATATGAAAGACTTGGAACATGACTGTCGATAGTGGGATTATGCGAGGCTATGGGGGACGAGGTGTGTACTTAAATCCTTTGTGCCCTGTTGGAATAGGCAACAACTTCGGAAAGAGCGGATCGTGGGGCGTTGAGGTGGCTGGGAAGTTCAAAACAGACTTTAGGTGGCTGCCTGAGTGCCTTGGGTGGGCAAGGAGCTTCTTGTTGTGTCAGTATCAGAGTAACCCACGAGCAGAACAAAGCAGACCACCCCAGAGGTCTTCTGACATCCGCCCATGGGCATTGGATCCCGTCACGCCCAAGACCCTTTCACCTTAAATGTACAGCAACTACCCACCTACGAGGACTTGACACTCACACGAATTCCAACTCGTGTATTATCCCTTATTCATCTCACTCACCCATGCTCATGCACGACTTCGAATCCCAACCTCTGACAACATAGGTTGTTGCGAGATATTCCCTTTGACGTTCTACCGCCGATGTTTGAGCATGGGCGGCTCACGAGAAAAGTCAGCCTCAGGTGCTCGACCTACGACGATATACTTCACATGTCCGAGCTGGCCGAATGGTGAGTAAACCATTGTTTCGATTAAGGGAATGAATACCTTCGTACAGTGGAACGTTCGCTGTGACTTCATCGATATATACATAGTTATTCCAAGGCATATCCGAGGAGGTATACACCGTCTGGTGCTTTCAGTAGAGTTTAAATACGAGCCATAAGAATAGAGCGAGTGATCACAGCAACCTAACATTCGATTCAGAACCACACCTAATACACACTTCTCCACTGTTTAGATATCGATATGCTGATCTCAACTATCGTTCTCGCCATCTCCTTCCTCGTTGCACCAGCCGCCCTCGCCAATCCCACCTCCAAGCGCGCCTATATCCCAGAGCTCAAGCTCTCCCTAGAGCACATCGACCAATCATGGAAGAAACTCGAGGGCGACATTGTAGCTTTATCCCAGGAGGCCACGACGGAGGACTTCGAGGTACTACCAACCTGCATTCCAGCGCCTCGAATCCTTTCTCCTGGGATTTAACTTTCGAAACCTTTAGGCTGTCAAATCATCGATGGACACACTCACCAGCTACGTTCGTCACGGAGAGTACCAAGTCGCCATCAGAGTACGTTCCCCTCCTCCTTTATTCAGCACCGTACCCCTTTCAGACTTGACTGACAACCACCATTTACCAGACAAACGGTCCTTTCACAAACACCAAATGGTCAGACGAATTCATAGAGGACATGAAGCCGTACCAAGCAAACGGTGCCAACGCCCTGCGTAACCTGAGGTCGCACGTTACTCGAATCAATGGTAATCGATAATCATTTATCAGATTAAGTCGTGGCACTTGTTAGCGCCCACTACTGGCGCCCACACTTTAATGATCTCAAGTTCCATTTCCCAATCGTGAACTAGCACTAAACTAACACTACCCTCTTGTTGTCGTGCAGAAACCGGCGGTATCGATCTCCTCAGAGAGTTTGACACAAGTACTGCAAGTTTGACTGGAGCCTTTGGCGAGATGGAGTGGGACTTGGAACGATACTTCGTGCGTACCACCAACCAGTCTGTCTACCTAATAAGGTCGAGACGAATTGATTGAACTCGTTTGTGTTTTCCTTAGTTCCAATTCGTGAGCGGTAAAGAGCTCTTGGCGCCTATCCGGGAATCCCGTCTCGTACAAGAAGGACGCGAAACGGCCGAACTCTTCTATCAGACTTGGTGTGCGATCGAGTGGGGACAACCATGTTGGTAACATAACTCTTCAAGACAAGTATAATAGTACATCGAATACAAACGCAGAGCAGTTTTACACGTCAAAGCAGTAGTAGTGGAAAGCGATTGCAAGAAAGCATAGAGAGAGTGGTCGTCATTTCGCGTCCAATTCAACACACAGGCTTCACCCCAGTCCTCCACTCCTCCTCCGCAAGCGACCCATTAATATGCTCCATCATCAACGCCAAAACCTCCTTCTCCTTCCTCCTATTCCCAACCTGCCCATAAACCCGATGCATAATCTCATAAATCGTCGTATACCCCGCCTCAATCGTATCCAACCCCTCCTCCTCCATCCTCTTCTTCATCTCCAACACAGGCTTCAAAACATCTTCAGTAAGCTTCCGGTCTTTAGACCAAACGTTAATGGCCTGCCGACGCATCGTCTGCGTCATCTTGTTGGAGATTTGGCGCAGTTTGTCGGATTGAGGGGTGGCGTGGACGCAGGCGCGGCATTTACATTCGAAGCCGTACCTCTCGAGGGCCTTTTGGCGCTCGGCTTTGGGAGCGTTGGTGAGAGCGTAGCCGACGTGGACTTGGGAACCTGCTTTGATGTCCCGGGTGGCGGTGAATCGAATGGAGAATGTCGCAGCGTCGAAGCCTTGGACGACGTCTGGAGTGCAGCTAGCAGAGCGATTTCCCGTTAGCTGGCCCACTCGAATTGAAGTCAGAGTAGAAAGGAAGACGCACCTATGGTTGAACCGACTGCCAACCTTCGCGATAGCAGCGTACCCCTGGTTGAATTCGTCGTCCAGGCCGGGAAGTCGCTCACCAAAGGATATTCCAAACCCATTCGTCCTGACGATTCCCAACAGAGGTCCACTCCCGTCATTCAAATGCGAATTCCCCAACTCCAAGAACCCTTTCCTCGCACGGGACATCATCTGCTGATCAACAGCGTAGCGAAGCATACCCTCCGCCTTCTTCATGTACAACTGCGCAATCTGGTTGTCGGACAGCTCGCTCAGCCCTTCGGAGTTAATCCGACCAAAGATATTCTGGATGGGATAGACGAGGAACGGGCGCTCGACGAGGACGGGTTCGTAGCGCTTGATGTCTTCCGTGGCGAAGACGCCCAAGCCAGATCCGTCGCCCGTCTCGCGTACGACGAGCCTGTTGCGGATTTTGGGGAGAGGCCGAGGCCAGTTCTTGTGGGCGAAGTACTTGGCTTTGGATGCTGGACTCGTGATCCAGATCGTGTGGCCATCTGGGTCTTCCTTCGATTCGTCGACGGGAGCGGAGGGGACGTAGGTAGATATGATGTCGGGCTCTACGACCTTGCCGTTCTTGACTTTGAGTGGAATCTTGTCCACGGGCGTCAGCTCGAATTCCGTGAAGCGTTTCTCGATGTCTTCAGGCACTGGGCGAGGTGTTAAAATCAGGTATATGGGGTATGGAACTGTGAATACACCTACGATTTTCATTCTTGGCGTTCCCAAAAGGCATTTGTACGACTCGAGGTTTGTTGGCGGTAGGCGGAGTTGTAGTTGAACTCGACGCTGCTGATCAACGGATGAGCATCAAACTCAGTGACGAAAAAACATAAAGTCCTACCTTGTTCGTCGTCTTCCTGAGCCTCGTCAGGTGTGTTCCCCCTCTCTATGATATCCCTGAGCTTGTCCAAGGCTATCATTGCCTTCTGCACCTCTTGCGATGCTGTAGATAACTTCTCGGTCTCCAAGCCGATCGCGATGCTGAACATCCAAACTACGACGGATCCGAACGTCGCGAAACTCTCCGACAGCTCGCCACTCTGCATAGCCTGCAACGCCTCTGTAAGCTCCTCACACGCTCCCGCAACCTTCCTCCACTCCACCAGCATCTCGCAGAACTGGCGTGGACTTTCGAGCGACTTGGCACCCTCCGAACCGGGCACGCCGTTGCGGAATAAAAGAGCCACCAGGACTGACCAGAGGACAGATTGGTTGGTATTTTGGCCTTGAAGAAGGGCTATTTCGAATACCCTGGCGATACGCTCGCGGACTTGGATTTTTTCCCAGACTTTTGGGAGGACGACGAGCCCGCCGGGGAGGTTGTACTCGGTGACGGACTCTTCGTAGGGTTCCTTGCCTGTACCGAGGTTCATGGACTCGAAGTTTTTTCTGAGTTGGTCGGAGGACGTGTCTGTCATGTTTCGTAGTGTGACTGTGTGGTTTTGAAGACGATGTAGGGTGAAGTTCTGGAAGAAGAAGGATTATGACGAGTGGCTAGGGGCTCGTGTACCATGTTCATTTAATTATGCATGCCGTTCCCCGGCCATCAATGCATCACGTTGACCGTGTTTGGCCCTAGCCCTCCGATACTCTCGGAACTCTTTTCCCCTTGGACACGAATCCATGCAGTGGCTAACAACGAAGGAAAGTACTTCAGGGAAAGTACTGGAGGTGGAGTGCATGGTGGGATCTCTGGATAAGCCTGTCATACACTCACATAGGACTCGGAATGACGGATCCAGACGGCCCCCGCGGGGGAACTCAGAATAGACGCCTACTCCTAGCCGCCCGTGTTGCGGTATCTGGCCACGACAGTACCCCAGAGCTAGCATGGAGAAGGGCGGCTCATAGTTCGTTGCCAATCTTCATTGACAAAGTTCCTGTGCTTCGTGATCAAGGATCGCGCCATCATATATCAGTTACGGTACTGACTGAACTCTACACGAGGAGAAGCAGCAGCAGTCTGCGGTACCTCTGAAGGTAGTTGATTAGAGGACGCGGCTCAGGTAAGTACTTTAGGAGAGTATGAGCAGGGAGATGCTTTCAGTGTGGGAGACAGCGCAAGAGCCCAAGGTGAAATCATGTGAAAGAGCGCAGCAGCAGGTAGCGTTATCTAACCTCGAAGAACGGAAAATAATTATCAGTATGGTGTCACCATCAGTTTGTATTGAACCGCCCTTTCCATTCTAACAGGGTGTACATCTGCAGTCCACCGGCAAAGCGCCCGACGATTCATGGTGGGCGACTGTGCCCTCGATCGAATCCCGACGTCGTCGTTTAATTGATCTGACCCGAGTGCAAGATGTCCAAAACACATCCTTTCCTCAATATCTGGCCATTTAATTGTCGTACAGAGGCCTCCAATAACATTACCTGGATTCCAGAATCGGCGCGGCAACTCGACCGCAATCCAGATGCCTTTGCCTCTCACCGAGCCTTGATCGGTGGTATTCCCGAATGGGGTAACCGTGAAATGGGACGACTTGCCACGGAATGTGGTTTCCTGACACAAAAAGTCTGCGCTCTCTCCAACATTCCCTTCACGAAATCCCCCTCTTCCTCTTCCCCTTCCTCACGGCACGAACGCCAACGACAGCGACGATTCCATAGACGACGACAGCGACGCGACCTCGATGGCAAAAGCAGAAAACCACTATGATGTCGTGATTGTCGGTGCAGGCATTGCAGGATGCGCTCTGGCACACGGGCTGTCCACCCTCCCTTATCGTTCCAAGCGCCTGCGGATAGCCCTCCTCGAACGCTCCCTCGCCCAACCCGACCGCATCGTCGGCGAGCTGCTCCAGCCCGGCGGCGTCATCGCGCTCAAACAGCTCGGTCTCGAATCAACAGTGGAGGGCATCGACGCCATCCCCGTCAAGGGTTACTGCGTGCTCAAGCAGGGTCAATCAGTGCAGATTCCGTACCCGTCTGGCTTTGAGGGCAGGAGTTTCCACCATGGGAGGTTCATCAACAACCTACGCAAAGCGGCGAAGCAGGCCAAAGGCGTCGACGTGATTGAGGCGACTGTCACCGACCTCATCCAGGAGGAGGGAAACCCCAAACATATCATCGGTGTTACTGCTTCACGGAAGGAAGAGGGGTCCACAGAAGCTGTCAAGGTCCAATACCACGCCGACCTCGTCGTCATTGCCGACGGGTGCTTCTCCAACTTTAGGACATCGGTCATGGGCGAGTCTGGTTTCAAGCCAACGACGAGGAGCCACTTTGTCGGTGCGGTCCTGGAAGATATCAGGCTACCTATTCCTCAACACGGAACTGTCGCATTGGTACAAAACTCTGGCCCAGTTCTGTTCTACCAAATCGGCCAACGGGAAACCCGTATGCTGGCAGACGTCAAAGCTCCTCTCCCGAAAGACCTCAAGGTAAGCCTTTTCCATTCTCCCTTTCGTAACTTCGGCTAACAGCTCCACTCCACACAGGGCCACATCCTCACCCACATCGCCCCTCAACTCCCTTCAACCATCCAAAAAGCCGTCGAAACCGCCCTCCACAAAGACCGCCTCCGCCAAATGCCCAACTCCTTCCTCCCTGCCGTCGACCAAAACGGGCCGGGCTGCAAGAACGGCGTCGTCCTGATTGGCGATGCCTGGAATATGCGCCATCCTCTGACAGGCGGTGGAATGACGGTTGCGCTATCGGACGTGGTCATCCTGCGTGATCTTATCGGAACCATACCCGATCTGAGCGACGTACCGAGGGTGAGCAAGGTGCTGAACACTTGGTTTTGGAACCGGAAACCGCTCGCTTCGACGGTTAACATTCTTAGTTTTGCGCTGTATGACTTGTTCGGCGCTGATGGTTAGTACTTCGGTTCACGCTTTTACCACTCCCTCGGAAGCTAACCGTCCCGACTCTAGATGATAACCTCGAAGTTCTAAGAACAGGCTGCTTCAAGTACTTCGAACGGGGCGGAGAATGCATCAACGGACCGGTATCATTACTCTCCGGGTAAGCCATCCATATCCGTAACCAATCCACCATTCATCCACTAACCGCATCCCCTAGAATCGCCCCCTCGCCCGTCCTCCTTTTCAACCACTTCTTCTCCGTCGCCTTCTACTCCATCTGGGTAATGTTCACGCACCCCCGCCCAATCGCACCTTCTCCCTACGCAAACGGCGACGCCAAACCCACCCTCGCCGCGCCCCGCCTCTACGAGTACCCCGGCCTCCTCATCAAATCCTTCCGCGTCTTTTGGACTGCATGTATCGTTTTCGGACCCCTGTTGTGGACCGAGGTGCGGTGGTGGTCGCCGTCGGATACGAAGAGGAGGAATAAAATCTTTTGGTTGACGGTGTTGCCTGTGGTGGTGTTTGCGGCGTTTGTGGCTGCTGTGTATGCCAAGGCGGTGCAGTTGGGCGCGTTGGAGGGTGTACCGGTGCTCGGTAATGCGTCGTATTAGATCGTTTTGTTTGATGTATTGTATTAGTACAACTATACCTCTAGACCACTATTACTATTCGTTATTTCATTGTTGGATATATAGCTTAATTTCTATACATGCAACCATTTAGGTGCTGGAAACCACTCGCCCGGCGGGTTAAGATGTAAGAACAGGATGTTTCACAACGAATACCTCTTTGGTAGGACAGATAACCACCCGAACATCAAACTCGGAAGAAACCCAGAAAAAAGCCTGACGCACTCCTCACCAAGTTCCTCCCATTCACCCCATTTGACCACCCTCCTATGGTCGTCTGTAGGATAATCCCTCTGGATAGAAATATGCATTGCCGCACTCTTCAATCCCGGAAAACGGGTTTTGGGGAGTTTGAGGATTGGTGCGCACATTGACATGGAGGGAGACAGCCTGTTTACCTTCGTCAACGAGACCGGCGATATGAAGAGCTGGGGTCTTTCAAACTGCTCAATACAAATTAAACGAAACAAAAGGTAAACGAAAAAGAAAAGTAGAACAGAACGCGCCAATAATAAAGACCAAGGCATGCAGAGCATGCGACTCCTTCGAGGAGAGAGTTTCCAAAGATTGAAACGCAGCATTATAGTGTGGGAGCGGCACGGAATCCCCTAGTAAAAGGCGAGGGGATTGTCTGTTTGACGTTCCCACTGCTGCGACAACTTCTCTTGAAGTTCCACGCGCATCATAAACCTTACTTTTGTATTTTGTTCAGCTGGCGGGGTGCGTTTTGCACGTGATCTAGCCCCTATTTCCTGCCCCACATGGAGCCTTGGATCGCGGTTTGCTATCTCTCCACCTGCTGCTGTCGCCATCGATTAGAGTCCTGCTAAGAGTAGAAGATGCTTTCTGAAGAACAGAGGAAGAAGTTGATTGAAGGCGCTTTTGCTGGTTCGTACTATCTGTTTTGGGGGCTCGAGGCGATCGATGCTGTGACCACTCGCTAACTCCGTTCTCTCATTTGTTAGCGAAAAAGGGGTCTTATAGCCCGTATTCGCGGTTTCCTGTGGGAGCTGCGTTGCTGACGGCGGAAGGTGAGATTGTGAAGGGTGCTAATATTGAGAATGCCTCGTATGGTACGTGTACACCCAAGATATATCAGACTGTATGCTATCTTTAACCGTGGTATGGATCTGTAGGTGGAACTATCTGCGCTGAAAGAACTGCAATTGTCAAAGCAGTCGTGCGTTATTCATCCTAGTAACCGCCCTCAACAATAACACTGAACGCAACCATACCATAGAGCGAAGGGTCGCGTCGATTCGTCGGTCTCGCAGTCGTGACGTACGTTCCATCTCCTTTCCACATCCAAAACCAGAGTCCCAATCTCACCACCGCAAAACGACGATAGCAACGTCCCGTCATCGATTTCGCCATGTGGGATGTGCAGGCAGGTTCTCCGCGAGTTTTGTGCGAATGAGATGCCTATTCTTTTGGTACCTGGTGATTATCCTCGTCCGTTGAAGGAGAATGAGACACCGGAGAAGGGGTATATCGAGGGCGGGGTTAGGTTGACGAACCTTGCGGAATTGCTTCCTGATAGCTTTGGGCCGGAGCAGTTGGAATTGCCTCGGGAGGAATCTTGATTTTTGAAGATGCGCGCGATTGTATAGGGAGGCTAATGATGGTTTGGACTTGGTTAGTTCGAACGGTGCTTTTGTCGAAGCTGGAATCCCATCAGCGGAAGTGTTTACTTTGACAGATTGGGATGTAAGTACTACATCAATGAGATCAAGTCGAGTACGGCAGAAACAACCTCCTCCAACTTCCAAGTCGGATTTTGGGATGGGGGATCGTATCTCGATCTATGTTCTCACATCGCACAAGGCGAGTGAAGCCAGGAACTCAATCTGTCATGGTATGAGTTTCGTGATCTTGAGTATACAACGTCATTGACCATGATTGCAAGCTGGCCGTGAGCTCAAACGTCCTTTGCATGTGCTAAACAGAGTTGCGCTCCAGACAATACGATCACTAAGGGGATAGACGCTCGTCATTCAATTTCACCAACAATTGGGAGTGTACCTCGACATCGACGGTCTTAGCGCCCGTCACAGCATCACTGATGTGAAGGAAGGCAGGAAGCATTCAGCCAATGAAAGTCATCTTATATTTGGACATAGACCCCTTTGAGGCTATTCCGTCCGTCAATTGTATTCACCGCCCATCGTAACGAGGCACTGTGATACGTCCATCACCCGCAAGACCATACTTAAAACATTAGGCCAGCGGTGTTGGTCGATCAGCCCCACCCTCTTCTTCCCTCCGCCTTTCCGCTTGGGAACTTGGTCCCAGCACCGTCGTCGTTCTTTGGTTCCTTATTTTCATTTGTTCGAAATTCTCTTTCGTTCTCTCTTTCGTTCTTTTCACACCCCTTCTCCCAGCCAGCAGCCGCTCTCTACAGCCACGATGGAAGGAAAGCGCCCAACATCAACGTCGATTTTCTCTTCCGTCTTCCTTTACTCTACCAGCCTATTTTCGATCATCAGCATCCCTATCTTTGTACTATCGATCTTCAACTTTGGTCTCATTAGTAGGTGGTACAATGGCGCCATCGCCGGCGCGAGCTTCGTGTTCGGCCTTGCTTTGCTCTACCTCAGGCGACGCGAACGCGTCCGGGCTACACCCACTATGGTCACAATGACGCTTCCAGTGCATTCACCAAAGCCTATGGACGACGCAGAGTCGGTTATCAAGGCTGGATCGGACGAAGCAGCTCAGCCCGGCGAACCATCACCTATTCCTACCATCTCCACTCCATCGACAACAGAGGCGGCCAAAGCAGCAGCAGAAGCGGACCCTATATTCCCCATCATCCACACCATGCTCGTCCTCATCCCCCTCATCGTCCTCACCCTCGGCTACCTCGTCGCCTTCGCCATCATGACCGACATCACCATCCGAGGCGGGCAAAAGAGCACCCTCCCAGCCGAACGCGATCCCAAGATGACGTATCCTTGGAATATCAAAGTTCAAATTGCGCAGACGGCGTGTATTGGTGTGCAGATGGTTGTTGTGGGTATTTCGGCTGTTGCTTCGTATGTTGGGAGGGCGAGAATTGCGAGAGAGTCGGATGAGAGGAGGGAGGAGGCTGAGTGTGGGTTTGAGCCGTCGCAGGTTAGTCCGGTGGGCTTGGAGTTTGTAGTGGTGAAGATGGATTGACGGTTGGTGACAGTAAAGCGGCATAAAACAAGATAGGAAGAAAGTTGTTTGGATACCCGCTGTAGGTGGTGGTTCCGTTCAAGTCATTGGTGGAGGTAAGTGTACCAGGATCCCTCGCTGCTACGTCAAATTGACTTCGAATGGAAATTACAGACGCATTCAGGCAGCTTTGGAAGTGCCAAGGATTATGTTTCCCGCTGGTCGGGAATTAGTAACTTAACTATGCAAAGGCCTGGGGCCTTTTCTAACCTTATTGTGCTGGCGCTATGTTGTATCTCTTCCAATTCAAAGTTCAATTGTGGGGGCCCACTTAATTCAGTGACGCTTTGAAAAAGTAGTATATCTTTAAAGACTCAATCTATGTCACTTCACTAACGAACAGTCAGCCGCTCAACTAGACTCTGTGGGCGTTGAATGCCGTTCCATGCAATCAATATAAGCGCCCAGGCCCCTTTCGGTCCGTCGCGGGATTACTAAGGGGCCGGCTGGGGCCGGCCCTACTGCATCCGAGATTACTGGCGTTGGAGACATCGTCCTCGACGTCGATGGCGACGAGCACGCTCGCAAAGAGAACCCGGTTTCCTCTAATTCTCGACACATCACGCCAAGGCTTTGAGCTAGAACAAACCTATAGTTTGTGAGTTACCGGTGTATTGAGCCAATGTCACTGCTGACAGCGGAAAATGTAGGGCTCATTAATTAGGTTCTGCATACATGTCGCTTCAGGTTTCCAAGTACCGACTTGGGGACAGCCTAGGGTACCGTATGTGCCCTAGAGCGATGATTCGACTTCACTGGGGTCCGGCAAATGAACATGTTCATCCCAGAAGATCGATCCACTGCTTCCTGGTGAACGGCGAGGGCGACAAAACCACCGCTCCACGCGCAGCAGTGTCTGGTCGTCGTCGAAGTGAATGGTCTCGACCTGGCAGCCGAACCTATGCAACCGTGGTGGATGATGCCGCACAAGGCCAGCCTCCCAAGTCGCCATACCCGTATCCAACGCACCCTAGTCCATCTGCTCACCAGATATTCCACCTCCCACCCGGTGCGACGCAGGCTCAGATCAAGGCTCGCTGTGCGTATCTTCGAATTCAATACTTTTGAAAGGGCTAATCACCGACTTTGATTGAAATGAATCTCTAGATTATGAATTGGTGCGATGTCACCATCCCGATTCACATCACTGTCGCGTTCTACCTCCTCAAGTTGCCCACGCGCGCTTTCAATCGATCGTTGCGGCATACGACTACCTGCGAGGCAAGGCGTCATCGCATCTACCAGGTGCCAGATCATATGGTTGGAATGGGTCCCAATCGAACTTTGATCCATACCTCCACGAACTTGCGCGTCGTCGGCGAGCGCAACAGGCTGCGCGAGAAGAGCAAAGCTGGTACACTGGGTTTGCCGCTCCGAAGGGTTGTCAGGCCGAAGACTACAAGGAAGATGGGATAAAGGAACGCACGATTTTCGTGCTAGGTATCATCGTGAGTGTTCTTCGTGATGTTATGGTTGACGTCTTACTTCACCACGCTGACCGTCCTTTGACCTAGGCCCTTATCATCGGCGTCTATCCGAGCTTTGTCCTGTACCCTTTCCAGCTGGACAAGAACCACAAAGCGGCAGTGGTGAATCTGGCTCAAGCTAGGAGCGAAGCGAGAGAGTTTGGTAGCGAGCGGCGTGCTGAAATTAGGAAACGTGTGCAAGCGATGAACAAGTCGGCCCCTGAAGCACCCTCCGCGACTGGCGAATCTCAAGGACCTGCCCCGTGAACTTAATGTCGTTCGGTTAGGTACACATTTTTGAACCATGTTGAACATGGTAAAGGGCAAATATGACTGTCTTTTTTTCTCTCCGGCTTACTAGGTCGCATGCAACTGCTGATGATCGCAAGTTCTCCGTCATGATGCTCGTCTTCTTTTGTCACTCAGGCTGAAGGACACGTCGTTGCATACCGCATGCGCATTGGGAGATTGCAGCGCTATACCTGTCTCTGATGGCTAGGTCGGGTATCTAAACACTCCCAAGAGGGACAAGTCTGGAATCTGACCGATCTATGAGTTGAGCAACGAGGGCCTCACCGTGCCCAGAAAACGTGGTCGAGGCAATCGCGATTGGGAATAGGTAAAAGGTGACCTTAATTCCGAATATCCAGGTATGTGATTTCCCTTACCTTCTCACGCCGCTTCTAACGCTCCATTTTTGCAGATATGAGAGATGACGCTCGGTGAAAATTTGGCTCGTCCTGCTTCAAGACCCCTTGGAAGTTGCACACAGGAAGCCTTTATCGACTGAGCATTATCTGATCACTCTCGGTAAATTAACCTTCCTCGTAAATCTCCAATGACCTCGTTGGGTCCTCGCTGATCATCGCCACATCGATGGTCACTGGCAGGTCAGCTGGCCCGGAGACAACCGAAAGGCGGTCATTGCGAAGACTTTCTGTCCCAGCCCCTTTCCATCGTTTTGAGCCTCAGGTTTGGAGACAACGACCGCTACCCTTCCTAGGTAACACGATCAGTTTAACTTGTCATCCTTTGCTAATTTCCGGGTTTCGACTTCGGCTTGTGGCGGGATCGCTCGATCCTTGCGGGCCCTCAACGCATTCCGATGGATTTATATTGAGAGGCGCACATTTCTCTGTTCCGCTCCATGGATTTCCTCCACCCTAACCCTACAAGCAGAATGGACCAATGTCCTCCGGAAATCTGGATTCGAATTTTCTCACTCGCATGCACCGACGATGGCACCACTGGTCGATCGCTTTCCCTCGTCTCCGGCGCCTTCAACACGTTGTCGAAGCCCTTCAAGTACCAGTCCATCGCCTTGACTCGCTCAAAGCGCGTTCTTTCCTTCAACGCCCAACTGGACCGACTCCCATCGGACGATAGAAGAGTGAAATATCTCTTCGTCCACTGCCCGCACGTTTTCTTGGATAACGACGACGATGGAGATGACGACTATGAGGGGTCATCAAGCTCGGGGTCAGGATCGACTGGAAGCTACGACGATTCTGCCTATCAATCCGACTATCAGGCATCATCGCCAAGGCTCCTCAGCGAGCTCAACGACCTCGCTACGGAGGCCCACGAAGCACGGCAGAACAGGGAGGACGAAGACTTCGACATGGCAGACAGTACATCATCCGTTGCGTTTCGGGAACAACTTTCTCAAGCAGACGACATCGTCTCAAAATCCCTTTTCGATCTCCTCCAGAAGATTTCGCCCACGCTCGAACTTCTGTCCCTGTACTATGTCTCCTGTCAAGGGCGGCTGATCGAGGAGATGATCCCTCCTCTTCCTCACCTTCGGGAACTATGCCTCTTCAGACGGTTCTCGGACGAACTTGCTATTGAACCAGAGACCGAGGATAGAGCTTCAATGCTATTTCCCGTTCTCGAGAGACTCCACCTAAGTGGATACTTGGAAGAACGCCCGACCAGGATAGGTGAAACCGTCGCGGATTTGGCCCCGTCTCTGCGAGTGCTTCGCATTCCAAAACATTCGTACAAGTAGGCTTTTCATCCCTGTTTTTCAATGGGTTTTCTGACTCTGTGAATCTCTATTCCTCTAGTCCAATCCATCTCCCTCCGCAACCCATACGATTTGGTCCCCTGATCGAAGTGGTTATCTTGGAGCCGCCGCCGATCAACTCTCAGTTCCCAAACGAGTCTTTCCTGCCGACAAACATCACGCAAGAGAGTCTTTCCATGACTGCGGATGATCCCATGGGTTTAGCTGACCCTCGCGTCAGGGTGGTTATGATGCATCCCTCTCCCCATGAAGATCGATACCATCCGGAAGTCTGGAAACGGGATTGGCTTCGTCGAGTGGAGGGTGGTGAAGGGTGCTGGACTGTTGCATAAAGGCGATTGGGAAGATTTCGATGTAGGGCTTTGGTTTGGTATGTGGTTATGTCTGTCAGTGGATGTTCTAGCGAGATGTGAACGTCGTTACCTCACTGTGTGTTATTATTTAAATAATGATGGCGGGGGCACTGGTTCATTGATGCGCTACTATTGCCCGAGGTTGGGCCAGAGGCGGGAAGTTCATCTGCCTTTTTCTGGCCTACCATCACCATCAGAGCTTGAGGCAGGCGCCAGGCTACGTACGCGCTTTCTATTCTCTTGAATCCAGCAACTCGTCAGTCTGAAGGGCATGGTGGTCCCAACTGAATACAGGGGCTTGTAATTCGTAACGGGTGCGCTTTCGGTTTCCGGCGATTTCCACAACTGAAATGTATATATTCCCATTTCCTCTAGCCTTGGGCGCCCTTTGCACATGCCACCTCGCTGCCAGACTCCCTAAAGGAGACTTTGCGAAGCCATCCCCATAGGTGACCATCAGTGACGTTGGACGCCGATGGCAATACAGTACTTCAGGTATGTTCCATGATGTTGATAAGGTCACTTTCTGGATGGTTTCTAGGGTCTGTCATAGCACCCCAGAAACGAGGTCGTGCAGGATCAAACGCGGATATACTGAGGCTTCCGGTTCCTTCGTACGTTGACGCCATTCTATGTTCCACCCATCATGATCGAGAAACGTTCTGTGATACGCTCATTGTCAGTGTCTATGGTACCGAACACTTCTGGATGTGTTTTCCGGAGGGTTTTTGTGATGGTGAAAGTTGTTTAGGGGTATTCACTAACCTACTCTGACCCCAACCTGACCCAGCGGGCGTCGACGATAGGAGCTGACCTTCTTCAATACAGTCGTATGCAATCCCGCGGGAGCGCACCCGCGTACGAGCCTCCAGAGATTTGGGTATGGTAGTTGTCGATTTCCATGGGCTGGGTTGAGGCAGTTCGTCGATACCGAATCCAGGGGTGTCGGATAGCTCTCTGCTCTTAGAAGAGGATGCCAAGGGGGCGACTGTACCCCATCGCACCGACAACGCCGATCCAAAATAGCTCGGATGTCGCGGTTATCGGCTCTGGAGATGTCGATGAGAACACAGCGAACGTCTGCAGCTTAGACGACTGTATCTATCCGAGCTGGTCTTCCAATCTCTCTTGGAATTGCTTCTATTTTTGGACGGGTGTCGGAACTGGCATGGAGCCACATCACTCTAGACAAATGTCCGTTATCTCATTCCGTGGAGCCCGTTGCCGTTTGAGCGAACTCTCCTGGACCAGCGCCCAGATCGTGCCAAGCACATCAGCAAAACCCAGATATGATTACCAGAAATTTTGGCCACCTTGTATGGTTCGTAATTTCTTGTCAACACGCGGGATCTTGTAGACCTTATAAGAAAAAGTGGGAAAGTGACATGATCTTTCGTAGCTTATAAGATTATCTTGAACGTGGTAAGATTTCTCGGAACCTTGCAAGGTTGCTCTATCCTCGCAAGGTTCCCAGGATCCTTGTAAGATTGTCCAAAGCCCCTCAAGGATCGCGACGTCGCGTTGTCTGGGATCACTGCTGCCCTCATAGAGAAGAGACCAACCTATTGAACTTTGAAGTAAACCAAAAAGTTTGAGACAGGAAAATTGATAGCATTGGACTACTAATACGCGACATTTCTGCGCTGTTTTGAGGCGACTGGGAATCGATGTACTCTAGATCTTTAGTATATTGAATCCATAGATGTCACGACGTCAACTATAAACATAGCCGCGGCGAGAGGTCTCTGGGAGGGGTGGGAAGCTCGCACGCCAGAAAAGGGATAGGCAAGATTGCAAGGACTTGGGGAAATTAGAAGGAAGCCGAGGAGAATGTAAGAACGTCACTTCACATTGCAAGGTAAAGGTAATGTACTACCAACATTACAAGGTAACAGTAAATATTATAAGCTTTCGACAAACCTTGCAAGGTTTGACGAAGCTTACGGGATCTTTTGGAGGTTCCGATCAAAACGTCATTCCTTACAACGATACGTCATTCTTACCATACCCGTAAGCTCTCGGAATCATATCTAGGTTTTGCTGATGCATCGGATTCAGACGCGCCGGACATATTGGGGTCGGGAGTTTCCTTAATGGGTACGTCCGGCGGCATAGTTCTTGGGAAATTGAGGGAACATTTAGCTGAACCTGAAAGGAACCGTAGCCTCCTTGCATCCTGGATTTGAGAGAACCGACTCAGATTTTCATTGTTAAGGGAATGGGACAATGGCTGCGTAAAAGGAGCCCGTGGGCATGACGGCGTTTACCCCGTGCTCTCGTTACAGCTAAATATAGAATTCACTTTCCATCACATACTTATGTATGCTTTGACGACTTCTGAGAAGGCTGTTCTATTCAATGGACTAATCAATCGGGTCATCAAGAACTTACACCATGGTGTCCACCGCAAAGAGCTATATGTCTTTGTTCCGGTAAGTTGTTGCAGTTAGTCATGAAGCAGATGGCAAGATTTCTGTTCAGATGTTATTTGTTCTACTTATGTCGGAAAGGAAATGTTATGCACAGGTCTCCAAATAATGGATACGCTACCGAACTATAAGAGCTACAGCGATCTCTCTCCCCAGTCCCCAGTCTCCCCCAAACATTTCATCTTCATTGGTCAGTTCTCTAGTCCCTTGTCCAGTACCACATCCTGAAGCTCACCGCTCTTATCCAGCTTAAAACATTACTGCAGCCGGCCTCCAGTAACCCCAATCCATATCTTACATTACGGTCAGCACCAGATCTCATCCTCCAAAATGCGAGGAACTCACTCCCGTCAACACACAGACAAAAATGCGATTCACAGCTGCAACTATCCTTACAGCCGTCTTCCTCGCAAGTTCTGGCGCTCTCGCATTCGTAAGTATCCGTCACCTTGAAGCATTGCACGCTTCTGATCCGCCTTGGTCGTCCATCATTAATTGGCATCAGTTCGACGACGAATCATACGAGGTCCGGGACATCAACGATGTCGACCTCTTCGAACGAGACTTCGACTACGAATTGGAGACCCGCGAGCCTCGCCGCCGCCGGGGAGGCGGACGACGCCACAGCAAGGGACGGTTCAACGCTATCGCTGGTGCTCTAGGTGATGCTGCCGGTCAAATCGGAGGTGCTGCTGTCCAGGGCGCCATGGCCCAGCGTGATTTCCTGGATGAATTCGATCTCGTCGAGCGTGACTTCGATGACTTTGAGCTCGAAGCTCGCGAGCCCCGCCGCCGCCGCGGTGGAAGGAGACGCGGCAGCAGCGGACGATTCGACTCTGCTGTTGGAGCCCTCGGCAACGCTGTTGGCCAGATTGGTGGCGCTGCTGTCGAAGGTGCCATGGCCCAACGTGATTTCTTCGATGAACTCGATCTTGTCGAGCGTGATTTCGACGACTTCGACCTTGAGGCTCGATTCAGAGGTGGCCGTGGAGGTCGCGGCGGTCGTCGTCGGGGTGGGCGTCGTGGTGGATTCCGTGGTGGACGTGGAAGGAGAGGTGGACGGGGAGGATTCGGCGGAGGCCCTGGCGCTGCTGCTGCCCAGGCTGCTGGTGGCGCTGGAGGTGGTGAAGCCCCAGCTGAGCGCTCCTTCACTGACTACGACGACTTGTTCGAGCGAGACTTCGATGATTTCGATTTCGAAGCCCGTGAGCCCCGTCGCCGCCGCGGTGGTGGACGACGTGCCAGCAAGGGACGTTTCAACGCAGTTGCTGGTGCCCTCGGCGACGCTGCCGGACAAATCGGTGGTGCTGCAGTTCAAGGCGCTATGGCCCAGCGTGACTTCGAGGACGAACTCGAAGCCCGTAGGTTTGGCAAGATCTTCCGTGGAATCCGTAATCGCTTCCGCGGAGGAGGAAGTGCTGCAGTCGATGCCGCTGCTCAAGCCGCCAGTGCAAACCAAGCCCGCGAATTCGACGAGTTCGAGCTTAAAGCTCGTGAGCCCAGGAGGGGAGGATTTGGTCGCCGTGGAGGACGCCGCCGCCGTGGTCGTGGCCGTGGCCGAGGACGCAGAGGTGGCTTTGGTGGTGCTGGTGCTGGCGCTGCTGGCGAGGCTGGTGGTGCAGCCGCTGGTGCCGCAAGCGCTGAGGCTGCCGCTGCACCGGCCGCGCGATCCCTCGACGAAGTCGAGGTTGAGGCTCGTGAGCTCGCTGTTTCGAGCCCAATCGAGGTTAGCGCCTAAATTTCTCGCTATTTACCATCCACCATCCACTCTACACCATTGGTATTTTTAAATTATTTTGTAGTTTTCACATTCTGCATCCGCATACACTGCCTTCCATTATGTATCCTGATCATCTCAGCGCGGGGTCGTCATCGAATGTGATGAAATAATACTCACTGTGCTATCTTCGCTAGTAGCTCTATGCGGAGGGTCAATGGTAGTAGATAGGCAGAACTTAAACTTGATTCCTGCGCGGAACGATTCCGCTTTCTAAAATTGGATCGGAGTCCAAATAGCAGAGTGCTCGGCCAACCCGAGATCTTTGATCATGAATTAAGCAAGTTGCTTTAAATACATGGTGAACTTGATGGAATACAACGTGAAATAAATACTAGGATGCAACACCCATTACTCTCCTCGAAGCAGGGGAGGGAGCTGGGTGGCCTACGGCAAAGTTTTGACAACTTTGGGAGGGCTGAGAAATCACGGAAACATGGACAGTAACTGGTAGAGACGGAAGAAAGGAAGAAAAACGAGCAACCTGCTCGTGTACTTTGGGCCATTGTGGGCTACTGCGCTCTTCTTCGTCATCGTCATACTCATCGCCCTCCTTTCCGTTGTTGTCGTCCACCGGATCGTCGTCGATATATACGGTAATCAGGATCTCCACCTCCTCCAAGTCCGGGAAGCGCATGTTGTCCGACAGAACTGTTTCCAAAATATCCCAGTGGACATGGGCTTCAAAGAATTCACAGAGCTCCTCGGCGCTGAACACCATCAACTCAACATCAAATGTCTTGAGTCAAGTTGCTGGCGAATCCGCGAACGAGGTCCCGATGATGCGGATTAGATCCTTCCCCTCGCGGACAGGCATTCCCAGGAGTCTCAAGAAAAATCGGGTAAGGCTAGATGCTTTGTTGAGACCGAGGCGAAAATCTCCCTCAGAAAAGATGGTACAATGTTGGAATCTGCAGAGATATTAAAGGATGGGAGAGTCAGACAACCGCAACAAGGGTAAAACGTGGGTGACTTGCCTGAAGTTCCTAATGTGATCTCGATATTCTCGAGAGAGTTCGTCTTAGAGCTCCGAATGATGATCTCGATGGCGATGGTGAAGAACCGAGGGCTCTCAGTCAGCGCGATTGCCCTGAAATAGTGAATATTGTTGAAGCACAAGACTCAGTAGGCTGCTCCCATGTCCCTTGAGTGGGCTGACGGGCGAATATCACATCAAACATATAGCTAGCTGACGAGCCGAGGGTGAACATAAGCACTACACCAATGTCTCAGCCAACAAGGATAGTACACCTACATTGCTGGGTCAGCTGAGGTAGGGATATACCCATGATAAATAGGTCAGCCTGGGCTGGTATAATTCTCGTAGCAATCACTTGTGATGGAATTTCCTGATCGCATCATTTCCTCCCCTGAGATCATTCCCCCTTTACCAATTTTGGCTACCGCCCATCCAAGCTGCGGGAATTTCAATACCAGGAATCCCGCGAATTCCCCATCTATGTGGTGGTGTTTTGGGATGGATCAAACCATGTATTGGCTACCATGCACGTCTCCATACTACGTAGGCATACCCAACGACAAGTCTGGGGAAATACTTAAAACAAACAACGAGAATCTAAAATCAATGGCCCATGCTGAGAATCCCACCATCTTGAGCTATAAGAGCGCGCGCCCAGATTGCTCCGTCCAACAGGGACAACTGGTTGTCGACGCGCATTTGGAGGTTCAGAAGACTCTCCATAGCCTTCACCTCTTGTTTAACCTGCGAGCGAAGTGTTTCAAGGTGCTTCTCTAAGCACAAGGGCAGGGTAATGGAAGCATCCCAGCCCCCCATCGCGATGAAAAGATGGTGCTCCAAACCACCTTCCCCGTGGGTCTTGGATTCTCCTGGATTGTCCCCTCGAACTTCAGACTAACAACGATCAATCAGGTTGCGCAAGGAAGGTGAAAAGAAACGACGGTACGGACCTCTGGTCCTTCCTCGTGGGTCTTGGATCGTCCCGTACTGTCCCCTTGAGATTCAGACTAACAAAGATCGATCAGGTTTCGCAAGGAAGATGAAACGAAAGGAAGATACAAACCTCTCGTGCCGAAGTCGACGCATTCGGGCCTTTCTTGCAATTTGTATTCCCCGTCGAAGTGGCTGATGTACCCAGGACCGGTGGTCTGGCCAAAAGTCTCTCTAGTTCATCATCGTCGATCTCCTTCATTGCAATATGTTACTCCAGGGACAGTGATAGGAACATTGATTGGAAACGTACCTCTAGCGCGCCGAGATCCTCCTCATTCACCGCATCTGAGTCGTGCGGGAATTCCATTTCAGCATCCGAGTCTCTGTCGATGCCCGATTGCATTCCATCGATGCAATCGATAGAGAGCAACGCTTCAAAATCGACATCTTCATCATATGCATCCTCCAGCTCCTCTGCGGGGTGGTCTTCGCTGGGGGATGGTGGATGGGATTCAGTTCCCCCAAATCGATGAGAAGATGAGACGGTGGTTGAGGGCGCTCGAGAAGGGGGTAACGTCGTAGTCGATGTGAGTGAGGGCGAAAACAGATCATCGAAATCCTGGGGCCCTGTAAGTAGACCACATATGACTCAATGAAAACTTGGCGAAGGTGGGATTGTGCGTACCTAAGTTCTTGACCTTGCCTTTTTTTGCCGTCTTCTTGCTTGCCATTGTTCAAGTGGGGAAGCTTGTGGTGGAGGTTGGGGGAAAGGTAAAGAACCCAAATGCCGGCCCAATATATCAGACTGCTGGATTCGATTTCGCATTCTGCCGGTATGTCAGATCCTCTTCTGATAACGAGGGCACGGGGCTTACCTGGCCAGAACCGCATTCCACACCTGGATCTTCATCATTCCCCGCGCAAAGTCTCCTACCATCGCCATGCCACCTAAGAATGACAATCTTGTACCTTCGACTACACTGAAGCGGCGGATTGATATGTTGGTAGATGAGTTGTACGCCAGTGAATCGAGGGATGGAGTCACGAATTTGGAAAAAGTTCGACCGCTTTTGGTGAGTTCAATCTATAGCATCAGATACACAGACTCACCTGTTAACTTAGCGGAATGTTCTGGCCACAGCCACGAAAGAGAAATGTCGCAACGACCGAGTCCTAGGTCCTGAAATCAAGGCGGCGTTAGAGCAGGCAGCCATTCACAAACACTATGTCCTTCCCGAGGTCGAAGGCACCACTTTCGATGCGACTTTCATGAACCAATTTCCCAATCGGGTGGAATCTACAAACAACATGTTAGAGGGCGGAGCAGGGGACAGTGGTGGGCGAAAGCGAGGAAACGACAATTCACCGGACCAGTTGAGGAAGAAACCTAAAGGATCCCAACAGCACCAAGAGGACAAGGTGGAAGAGACGAGTAAGTTTGTGCGGGAAATGTTCGGGAATCAGAAGGACTCACATTCCATTGAAGGCTCAAACCCCGCAAACCCCGCACACCATTCGGTGGCAATTCAAGGGCATGAACAACCTGCGCCGTTCTCAGGTGGAGGGAATTCGGAGGAGAGGCCGGGAAAGCGGGTAACAGGCGGGGGAGCAATGGAAGGTGTACAGGGAGCGGGTGGGGGGGCTGGAGAGGCTGCGGAGAAAAATGGAGATGCGGAGGAATTGGCGAAAGCCGTTGAAGGAGAGGTTGCGCGACCAGACGACGACGTGTCCATGGATGAAGAACCAGCCGCGTCTACGATGGGGGAGGAGGCCAGAACTAGTAATGAGGCTCACCCCGATACAATTCCACCATCCACAGACAATACCGCAGTTGGCCAGTTCGGACGTCAGCACAAGTTGACTTACGCGTTGCTGTACGAGTGGAAGTTAACATCTCAGAAGATCGAGTCGTTGGAGAAGCGGAAGAAGGCGATTGTGGAGCTTTTCGGGTCGGATCGCTGTGACAATTGCTCAGCGGCTGGTGTGACGGGGAGGTGCCTTCGCCCAGCTTCATTCTCCTGTCTCAGATGCAACGCCATTCACAGGGCGTGTGTATTCCCCAACGATGGAGTACGAACCACTCATAAGCCGAAAAGGCCTGGTCGTGGTGGGAGGAAGAAAAGCGCTGCGACCGTCGAGTCCTCGGAGGAGGGGGAAGTTGAGGAACAGCCAGCCAGCAGGAACACGAAGGCCAAGGGGAAGTCGCATTCGAGATCGACCATCGACGACTCAGTATTGGAAGTCCCAAAACAAAAGGGCCGAGCGTCCAGTCGCGAAAAGAGTACCAGCGAACCCAGCAGTCGAGCGATGTCCCAAATCCCAACCATCAAAATTCAGCCCCAAAGGTTCACTCGGAGTAGCACGGCGAGTATGACGGAGGGGAATGGTTTCCAGGGCCCTACAATTGTGGTAAGCCCTTCGATCGCCCCTGGATTCCCTGTATGCACCAACGGAATTGTATATTCCTTCCAGGGTCAGAGGGAAGGGGGTACGTATCACCTCTACTCTACCCCAGCATCTTCAAGACACGTCTCTCCGTATCCTGGCCAAAACGAAGGTCAGTTCCACCAACCATTAGATATGCATCAGTACTCACCATGTTTCAGTCACAGTCATTGCCGATGGACCGTCTCCGCTACAAGATGGTCCCCTCATTGCGCTCGCTTCTCAACTTCGAAGCGAAATTCGCCAGGTCGACTCCCGGATTAGCTCGCTGGACTACAGTCTACTTCATGGGGAACATCTCGGCATGATTTCTCAACGGTCCTCCCTCCGCAACGAATTCTTGAACCACGATGACGAATGGAAGGAGAAAGTCGAGCTGCACATCAACAAAACGATGTCCGCACTTGAGCAGTGGAAGCTCGGTGCGGTTGTGGAGATAAAGTCTCAATTGGAGGAGGTGATTCGGGGGCAATCCACAGATCTTTCGAACTCCATTGAAGATCAAATCTCCGCACGGATCAACAACTTGTTTTGTCCCAGCCAACTCCGGGGAACGATCTCCGAAGCACTTACCAACTGTCTGTCAACTGAATTTCAAGCCTATCTCACCGCTCACAAGGGTTTCTTCCACCAACTGATCGAAGAAAGGTTGGATCATGGGCTGCGGGCTTTTATGGATGCCGAGTTGGACAACCGGGTACGGGCGATTGTAGATGAGAAGGTTAAAGAAAGGCTGGTGCGAGCCCCTGTTGGACCACTGGAGGCATCCCCCCAGACTCAGTCAGTTCTCGACGAGATGGAATCTCGTACGAGGGTCATCATTGGGGAATCCATGAAGCAGTACACCCGGGTGCAAGACAACATCGAGCGTTTGGAGACGAGATTCCAGCGTGCGCTATCGACTATATCGAAGGACGTTGCAGGCCATCAGGAATCATTGTTGTCCCTTTGGAGGGACATGGAACCTTTGAAGCCATACGGTAATCCCTTGATGCAGCTGCTTGGACAACTGGTCACATCCATGCCCCAGCATCGTGAAAACTCCGCACCAGGTATCGCAGGACCCTCGACACTCCATCCCCCCCTCTTGTTTGAGGAACAACCCCGGCCCCAGACTCCCAGCTCCAGAAACCAGGACTTCAACCTCTCTTCGTTCCTCCAAAGCACCCCGGCGGTCCAAGGCAATCTCTCTACGGTCCAATGGGAACAACCCCTCGGCTTTGAGCACTCCCTGGTAAGCAGCATAGTCGCCCTCACATGACACAGGCCCTTACATTGATTTAGGACGTGAATTTCGAGACAGGGAACTCGGCCACAGCGACATCTGGGCTTCCATCCATGTCCGATAGCATGTGGGGTAGTGAACTTACCTCATTCAATACGACTGGGATGAACCATCCCCGAGCCTCAACGACCGCATCCTCTACTTCCAGCCACCCAAACAGCTCATCAACCGAATCAGCATCGAACGAATCCCATGACGAGAACAGTGTTTCTCCATTCATCCCTAGGACAGGTGGTAAAGGGAATCCCGCACCCCGCATGAAGTAGTGTAAAAGTATATACAAACACATCGTATGAAGTAGTGTTAAAATATATGGTACAATGTCTCAAGTAAATACCTTGTAGAATCGTATCACTTTTTCCGGGATTTACTTCTTGTGGATGAGGCAGGTGGGGCGAAGGATCGGGTGGATGTGTTCCTAGGAGTTGGTGGCACCTTGACTGACCTCCGAGCCCCAGTTGATCCCGATGACATGAAGTTCAATCGACGGGGGGCCAAGTCGAACGCATCCTGTTCTGGTTGCTGAGATGTGGAAGCTTGCTGAAACTTGCGGGGTTTTGGCTTCGGTGGGGGTTTCATGGCCTTCGATGGAGGTGTGGTTGCCGAGGCGCCCTCTTCTGGGATAGTCGAAAGAGGGATGTCATCATCCCGGCGACGCTTTGGACCGGGTTCACCTCCTTCCTCCGCTGGACCACGTTTGGGTTTGGAGATATGTCGGGGAATGGGTGGTGAGTCGAGCGGATCACTCGGGGATTCAGCTTTCGGGGATTCAGCTTTCGGGGAATCCGCTTTCGGAATTCTGGGAATCTTTTTCCACTTTGATTTGGGACCAGCCACGTAGCTGCGCATATCGACTTGTTCAACCACCTGGATTTCGGGAACCAGGTGTGCTGGGAGGGGGGTAGGACTGGATCTTGGGTCTTGGAAGTTGAACTCCATCATGGAACTTTGCCCGAATGCGAATCGTGGCCTTTCCGATCGGACTTCTGGCTTTGGGCTGGCACTGGCAGGAGGTTTTAAAGGAGCGCTCGATGGGAATGTTGTACCACCGGGAGCTTGGCTACGAGAACCCTGTGTTGCTGTTCCAGAGGTCCCTGATGCCGAGTCACCAACGTCACGAACTAGTTTCGGTCGGCGTGGGCCAGAAGAAACAGAGGCACTACCCGATGAGACTGGCAATGGCTTGGGAAGCTCTGATGGTCCTCGTACAAGTGAGGGGGTTGGTTCAGGGCCAGGGACTACGGAGGCGTCTGAAGTTTCGGATTGGGCTGGCGAATCTGGTCTTGGTTCGGGGGTCGAGTGTGCCCGACGATTGGTGGACTTCCTTCCCTCCTGAGCCAAACGTCTGCGAGACTTTCGGGAAAGGGGGGACTGAGGAGGCGACTCTGGAGATTCTGGAACGGTGATGTCGATGAATTCGGATGTGGGGGAAGGTTTGGTATTTGCTTGATGCTCTGTCCTTTTCTTTGGGTTGCTGGGGCCTGCCTGACTACGATCCTCCCTTTCTTCCTTCGCCATTGCCTTCTCCTTTCCCTTCCCCTTCGATTCCTTCGCTTTTCCCTTTCCTTTCGACTTCTTGCCCTTCCCCTTTCCGTCTGTGTCTGCGGTCTTTCCATCGTCATTTCCATCGTCACTTCCATCGTCCTCGACATGTCCACCCAACAAAATATCCATCTCCACCGCGTCCATCACCTTCCTCGGCTTCCTAACCATCAATCGTCCATCCTTGAGATATTGATGAAACTCGAAGGGCGGGTCTTCGCCAGCGACTTGTCGGGCGTAAATGTGCTGAAGCATCTCCAGCAATGGTCCTGCATCTATTTTGGAAGGATCCTTCCAGTGTTGACGGAGATGGTTGGGGATGTAAACGCTGGCCACGAAGTCATCGAGGCTGGTGTGGGGTATCTTGGACCAGGGGACTGTGGGGTTCGTCTTGATCTGCCCGGAGCACCGACCGTACCAATGGGAGAAGTAGGCCCGAGCAAGGTCAATTCTCCACTGACGCACACTGGAAATACCGGGTGGGGGATTATCGGGGTTCGACATAATCGGTTCGCCATACTTGTTCAGCCGCACCACAAGTCTTGCCCTCCTGACGCCCTTGGTGTTCAATACTCGCATAGGGTCACCTCCATCCCCTGGGTACACAATCTTCGCATAATCCCCGAACAACTCCTCTATTCCCGACTCCTCAATCTGTTGTGCCATCAAATCCAGAAACCGTGGTGCGCCGTCCATTTCGTGGTTGTAGTCCAATGGAGCTGTCCACACACGTCCGTCGGGTGTTTGCCAAGCAGCCAGGATGAAAAGTCGTATGTACCCCTGCCGGTATAGGTCTAGGGCATGTGCGTGATTTCGCTTGTGGTACATTCCCTCTGCTCTCCTGGAGGTGAAGTCAGCCCTGGAATCGAACATTATTTAAAGTGCACTTACTCTAGTCGAACATCGGCCGGAGGCCCCAAATTCGACCACAAGATAGCCTTCTGCTCCAACTCCACTATCTCCGTGTCTGACAGTTCATTGAAGAAAGCTGTCACAGCCCGTTGGTAGTAGTCGAAGGGTCGTTTGTTGTGTCCGCGTTCCTTTCCCTCCTCCCATAATTCCATCTGCTTCTCTTGTATCTCCTCAGAGGGGGTCTCACGAACGAAGACGTCTCGCACACTCCAGTCTCGCGTCCCGGCCTTCTCCTTCGCCTTCCGCTTCTTGCAATACAAGGCGAACCATTTCTCGACAGCCCTGGTGAGTGCAATCTTCTCGTTGGTGGACAATGCCTTGCCGTTTGCCGTCTCGTGCAAGGAACGAATGGAGGCTACAGCCTCCCTCTGAACTCCAGCCTTCGCGACCTTCTGGACTTTGTGAGGTTCGTGAAGGGCAAGTAAGTATCGCTCTCGGAGGCCCTCGAGGATCTCGATCTGGGGGGGAGTCAACTTCCAGCCGTGAAAGGTGATTGCTCCTTGGGAAGGTTGGGACATGTTTGAAGATGCGAGACGGGCACTTGGATGGGGTATCTTCTGCTCTTACTTTCACTTTCGACTCTCCTTCTGGATTTTATTTGATTCCATCTTCATCCCTTAGTAATACGCGTCCGCCATGCAGACTCCAACCCGCAGGAGCCGTGCAAGGGAGGTGAACAGATCGGGCGTGACCCAAGTCCAAGTCAGCACGTCCAGGACTTCCAAAGGGACGATCTTCCACCAAAGAACGAGGCTTCCAAGATATCAAAATCAATCTCGGTCACCAACCAAGAGAACAAATTCCGACTTTGCAGACAGATTTTCAGGCTACACGTTTGAAAGGGCCGATCCCTGCAATGATCCGGACACGAACGACGATTCCCCACCACCGAAGTTAGGGAAACTCCCACCTAAGACGAAAGTACGTTTTCTTTTTTTTTTTTTTTTGCTCGCAAGCATTCAAACTTAACTGATTCCTAGTCACAAGACGACTACATGCTGGAATGGTTGACCCTCAGGCAGCAATTCCTACATGAGGTGCTTCATTTAGAAAACCCCACTCAAGACAGGGTCTGTTCTGCCTGCGGGAATCCCGGTGATTGGAGATGCTTGGAATGCTTCTCCCAGCCGAACTTCTGCACTGGATGCCTGGCAATCGTTCATCAAAGAATGCCCTTGCATCGGGTTGAACGGTGGCAAGACAACCATTACAGTATGGCGTGGCTATGGCAGGCAGGTCTCATTTTGCACCTAGGACATGGTGGACGGCCATGCCCTCATTACGGGCAGTACGAGAGGATGGTGGAAGATGACCCTTTCTTGGACGAGCCTGCGGAGGTAGAAGACTCCACCATTCAAGACGAATTTGCAGCGGGCTTCAAACCGAAAGGGCGGTTTCTCCAAGGGGACAAATTGTTTACTATAGTTCACACTAATGGTCTCCACACCCTCCCAATTCGCTTTTGTGGATGCCCAGACAACATCCACACACCTGAGTGGACTTCCGTCCTACAGCACCGACTTTATCCCGCCACATTCAAAGATGTCCGCACAGTCTTCACATTCGAAGTTTTGGACCTATACTACATGCTGGAAGTGGAGTGCCACTCTTCGACTTACCAAGTTTTCTCTCTCCTCCGACGCACCACGAACAAGACATTCCCCTCCACAGTACCCGACCGCGAGAGAGAGCTTGGACGAGTTGGGCGACAGTGGCTTTGGCTGAAAGAGAGAAAATGGTTCGGTTTTGGTCACGAAGATCGAACGCCGGGTGATGGTGAAGCAGCATTATTCTGCGCCGCTTGTCCTCAGCCAGGTGTAAATCTACCTGATGACTGGAAAGAAGATCGCCGGAAAGCTAGGCAAGTCACCTACTACACAATTTCTGTGAGTATCTAACCTGTCACTTCAGTTGGAAATACATGCGGAGTTTCGTCTTGGACGGCAATTTTTCCTGCGCTCACCAGTACAGCAAGAAAGATACAGAAGACGTATGGTTGAAGGCTGGGGAGGGATTCATGACGGAGAACTCCGCGTTCGAGGAACATTTGAGGACGTCCCACCAGGTGTCACAAGTAAGGATAGCCCTCTCACTTCGTTCTGTGTTGTTTGTAATGAGGACGGCCGATTACAGAAACCAACGTGCCATGAACACAAAGCGGCGGAGGATCAGTGGCAGGTCCACAAGGGGTGTGATGTGACGGGAATCGGGGCTGCAGCATGCATGAGGCATGGTGCATATGCACCTGGTTCCGTCGTGAACTTCCAGAAAGGTGAAAGGTCAGCAAGAATTGTTCCGGGACGTTGCTGTTGGCGCTGAAAGATCTTTCACCAGACAAGTGAACATGGACTACGCCATTAACAAGGCATTCAAAACCACTCAAATGGAGGGAATCACCACGGCACTGGTGGCTTACGATATCGCCTGCCAGTACGCCGTCCATTTCCTTGAAAGATTTGCCAAAAGCCCGGAGCTCGACCTTGCGGACGACCTCATAGTCAAATTCGTCATCGGCTTATTCCACGTTCATGGTCACAAAAAGGAATGCTATCCTCGGTATGCTTCAACCTTTATGACTGGCGCAGCTGTCAGGAGTGGGGAAATTTTAGAATCTCTTTGGGAAATTCTGAACCGTGTATCGGGAAGAACGAGAGTGATGGGTCATGCTATGCGTGTCGAGATACTCGACGCGGTTATGGCGGATAGTAATTGGAAGAAGCTTCTCAAACTTGGTAAGTCGTGGAAGTTCCCAGACCCCGCGAACGCTGCGCTCACCTCCTTGTTCCCAGTGGAGGTCATTTGTAAGGAATGGCCTGATAAATGGGAGAAAATGGAGTTGGCTATTACCGAGTTTGAACTATTGGACTCGACGGTTACCAACGAGCAGAGGGAGGCCTGGACCAACCAGGCGAAGAAAGCTCAGCGAGATCGTGTTTCAAACCCACAGGCCATGGACGTCTACCTGTCGAACTTAGAAGCCCGTACGTATACCGCGTGTTTTGCATCTTTCCCGTAAGGTATCCCTGACGAGTCCGCTTAGCAAAACCACTAAAACAGAAGGAAGTGAGCTTGATGGATGGGGAGAGGAGTCAAGGGGATGGCCTGGGGGTAACTCAATGGCTGTCGTTGGGCATTAGCATCCAAGAATCACAGTAGGTCTCATTCCCTAAGACCACCGCGAGAATTTACGACAGGATTGATGATATAATAGATGCTCACTAGTCGCATTCATCCGCAGATACAAGCGCCGGATGACAGATTCCCGTACGCACGAAGTGGCTCGACGGAGGGAAAAGATCCTCAAGGACCTTGCATCATTCGTTGAAATTGCGTCCCAGCTTTTTCCCGAAGTGGACTTCCCTGAATCTGGTGGCATTTCCTTCGTCCCTCTGTCTGAGGAACTGTTGACGGACGATGAAGATGAGGGGGAGGACGATTTAGACGAAGAAAGCCACTCCCAAGATCGGGTGGAAGCAGAATACCGAGCGTGCCCCCTTCCTTCATCTCTTTCGCCCATTCCTACCACGCTCACCGACGCTGTGAACAAAGAGAAAGAATTGCGGGTGGCCCAAGCCGAAAATCATCTGGAAAGTATCCGCTCTAAAGTGAGTCGGAAATCATACCTTTACAGAAACAATCTCCGCCATTCAAACACCAAAGTGGCCAAAACAAGAGCGCGAGAGACCATTGCCGTAGCAGAAAGGGAACTCAAGCACCACTGTCGCGTTTATGAGCAAGCTCGGTGGGCTTTGGGTCGCCTCCATGTTCCGCAGGAAGTTCTCGCAAGATTTCAGAAGATCAATCCCCGCATTGATCTGAGAGTTAACACTGCCATCGCTGATCCGAATGCCCGTGGTCAAAGTTCCGAGACTTTGTCTTGGATTTGGAAAACAGCTACGGAACTTGTCGGGGACAGGGATCAATACTTGGTTGAATGTACGTCTTTTCCTTTGGTTTTGTTCCTATTCGACATCCTAATTCAGAATCGCGGTACAGTATATCGAGTGAACTGGCTGCAGGCCAGAGAGAAGAAGCACAGGTGGATTGAGGAAATTACGCTAGTGGAAGCCGAAATGGACTGGATTCCCCGCTTTTTCTCCTTCCAGGCGGGGAAGTGGAAGTCCCGGGCGGAGACTTCCACTCAGAAGCCTGGGCATTTGGCATATGCCCACCGCCAAGCAGCGATGTGGGAAAAGCTTGAAGGATATGCCAGGAAATCTTTCACAAAGCTTCTGAACCCGAGTCAGAGTTCGACAGAACAATGATGTATTTGAAAGCTATGTAATCTGTTCGGTTTTCATAATCGTCTTAACGCAAAATTCTTGTCATTCTACCATGCTCCCTATCCCTTTCCCAACAATGTCTCTCACTGAAATGCAATCTATCGTCAACTATCAGTCGAGTCGACTTCGCTCAATTATGCGAACATATTTAGAGGGGGAACAAACACGGTCGGCGGAGTCGAACAAGGAATTCATGAAGGGATTTTACCAAGAGTTGGTAAGCATTCGGCATGCCTCTTAGACCGACTGCGAAGTCTTATGAGTGAGTGGCATCCAACAGGAGGTGTGTGGAACGTGGATCGCTGTCGCCAGTTTGAAGTACGAAGGCTTGATCCAAGCTCCCCCCTGCTACAAAGAATGTATGCTCGTGGTGGTCAATAACGGTACAATGGTTCGAGAGGCTTGGGTGGATGCAATATCCGGGACATCTGGTGCGCCAGATGGTTATTTGGATCGATATGAGCGGGCATGGTGGAAGGATGGACTGAGCGCTGTCTCCCCAATTCAAGACGTTAGTGACTCGGTCGCTGTTTGGAAAGCGCAGTCACCCAATATGTGCCGTGCGCTAGAGCCGCTCCCACCACCGGTGACTAGTCTGGAGTCCCTTTCGCAGGAAAGACTTCATTCGGCCAGGGCCGTCGCTCGAGACTTACGCGCCTTGATTGTGAAGGAAGTTGCGGAACGTGTGGCACGGATAAAGGATCTCCAGGCCCGGATCATTCACATTACGATGGAGAGGAATAGGGTAGAAGCGTTGGAGGTTGAATACCAGCGGAATCAGGCATTAGGAAAGGATTGACTTGGACGCTCTCTGTGTAATTGGAATATGCATCGACTTTGACCAACGGGATTCCCAAACTGATTGTCTGATTCCCCGTTCGATATACCTCACCACTGGCGTGTGAGGACAGTATATTTTAACACTACTACTAGTGTTAAAATATACTGTCCTCACTCTGGCCTGCGATCGGAAATCCCACATACGACTTCACACTCCTGTTTCCGATCTTGCTTGCCGTCGGGAATCCCGTCGGGAATCCCACATACGACTCTCCATTCGTCTTCTGTATCCCCTTCAAACTCCAGTTTCCCAAGTTGTTTTCACAGGTATTAAAGAGAGGGTTCTTTAGCTAGGCGAACCCTATTCGAGCAATAGCCCATTGCCCTCTCGATGGCCGATACCTTCAACATATCGCCAGATGACTTCCAGGAGATACTTGACTATTGCGATGGCCGCCTCGAGTTTTCCAGCAAATTCATCTATTTGAGAAGGGACCAGATCACCGAGCACGAGTGGAACAGGTTGGTTAGTGCATTTGCTGATGAAACGGTACATTTCTTTTACATACCTAGCCTGTCCAAGTGCAAGTTGCTGATTCACCTATCGTTAGGCTTGCTGCGTATCACTGGCCTTGAAGTTCGCGAAGATGGCTCCCGGGGAAGCGTCTTCACGTTGCGTTTCTGATATCCTCAATCATGCCCCACCCGATAAAATTCAAGACAAATTAAAGGATGGGTCATTGATGAGGATGTTATGGAGTGGAGACAGAAGAAAGGTGTCCAGGGACTTTGCGTTCTCCTGGTGGGATTCCCACTTTCATTGGGACGACGAAACGTCCTTTATGTCTTGGTTCCTTTATGCATGGCAAGGGGATAGGTCAAGGCATGGACATTCGGGGCTCGGGAAAGTCGGAGATTGGTCTACTGAATCACTCAAATTGCTTCGGGGTATCCAGAAAGCTCAGCTGGACGACATCTTGGCCGAAATAGTGTTGTGCAGAAAGAAATTGGACATTTTACAAACAAGTATCAAAGAAACAGAAGTTATGTTACAACGCTTGTATCTCACGTAAATGCACCGAGTTCCTCACTCTCTTCCGGGGTTTTCAGTTGAGACAGCAGCTGGGAGAGGATCGGTGGCGCTGGCATTGAACGATTGGAGTTAGTAACCAGGCGTTCCCGCCAGAAATGAGCAAGACACCACCGCTCCCCATTCACTGGTGCAACACCATGAAGAAGGATCTTCCCCAATAGCGCAACCAAGGTTCCGGGGTCATAAGCCCACCTCAGGCCCAACCCGGGGGTTTCAAACCTTCCATTTTCATACCTCCCTCCGGTTACGAGAATATCCATCCCATATCGTGGGCCGCTAGTGTCTCGGTGTTGAATGGTTTCGCGGTTGATGATCAGAGAGAGTGCGGTAAAAGGTGAAGCCCATGTTTTCAAAACTCGGTGGACTTGTTCGGGATACTTGACTTGGGACTCGTCTGCCACGCGCATTTCATTCATAACATGGCAGCCGATCTCATAGAGTTCGGGGTGAACCACCGAGAGAATGGCTCCAACCAGTGCCAACGATTCCTCCATCTCGTCGACAAACTTGATCCCCGATTTGGATTTTAAGGGCGTGGATGGGCCGGGGAGCGATGATTTCTGTCAAATGGTTTCTCCTCATCCGCTCAAGATATACATGGAGGAAGAATCTAACACTAACCTCGTGGCCCACAGCCCACCATGCTGGGGCGAAACACGCAACACCAGGTGGAATCTCGCACAGCTCGGGGTTCTTGAAAGTCCCGGTGTCCGTGCGCCAAGTCTGTGATTTCAGTTTAACAGTCGGTGGGCTGGCCTTGCCCAATTCCTCCACGGCAGAGGTGATGATGACCTTCCAGAAAGAATTGCAATAATGGTAAGTCCGTTGCGGACAATCCCCAATTGGCAGCGCACTCACTTGTCGATCTTTCCTGAGGACGCCTGGCGCGTAAACCATCAGAATGACTCCATCGTTATCGAGTACGACAGCTGGGCGATGCTCTACGGGGTATCCGTCCTTTCCCTGCGACCAGAGCGATGGAAACATTTCGGCGAGCCTAGCTTCAAGGAGTTCATTCCTTCCCGACTGCTTCACCCCCAGCTGTGCCTCGTAATCCTGCAACTTCCACTTCATGCGGTCTGTGGGCGTGTTTAAATCCCATTAAGTGCAGTATGCTAAGAATATAGGAATAAATCACTTACAACGCCTTTCGAACGCTTCCAATATAACGGATGCCGCATGGAAGCAGTCGTCGATAAGTCGACGAGAGAGACCACGGGGGAAAGGCACTTCGTGGTGCAGAGCAGCCCTGGGTGCGAGTGCATGGCGAATGAGGGCCCGGAGGAATGAGGCGGCATGGTCAAGGATATCCACAAAGGGCGACGAGGAAGTAGAGGATGGTGGCGATGAACCAGTCATTGTTCGGGGGTTTTTCTCAGAATCACTGTCCATAGCATGACGGGCGTTGTTCAATCGCATTCTTTTAGCTTTTATTGATTTTCCCGGATTACCACCTGTAAATCCCGCGAATGTCAAAATCTATCAAACTCCGTGGAAGGAAATCCCGCGGCAATGATGTCATGGATTTGACTAAAGCTACCGAAAACCATGCTTTGAGAGACTTCGCAGGGAAATGGGCCGATGCAAAAGAGCTGCGCATTATACTCTGTTGGCTGGAACAACATAGGTGGTCTAAATCACTAAGGGGCTGCTACAAAGGTGATGGTAGTACCACTGCATTGGCTGACCCAAGGCTACTGATGTTTTGATCTGATCTCGGCTCGTCAGCTAGCCACATGTCTGATGCCATATTTGCCCGTCAGCCCACTCAAGGGACATGGGGTATCCTACTGAGTGGTCTGGTTGAAGAATTCCTGCTGGGGACACAGAACGAGGTTTGCAAGATCGTCCAGTTGTTCCTGGGAATTGAGGTCTATGAACGCAAGGTCGAAACGCTTTGGACGTTGCCGGAGGGAAGATGGAACAGAGAGATTGGTTTCGGCATGATCAGGTGCAAGAGGATGTCCCTTGATAGTGCAATCCACCAAACGCAACCCGTAAACTCCGGGTATTGAGAAGATGCGTGGGGATAGGCCCCGACAACCCCGAAAGGTGAGTCACTGGATCGAGGGGGCGATGACAATTTTAGTGGAGTGGGATTGGAAAAGAAAGCGGGATGGCGAGCAAAAGAGTGGGATTGGGATAAAAGAGTGGGATCACGCCATCATCCCACTCTTTTGCTCGCGCCTCCTCTCGCTCGATAGCCCCGCCGCCCGAAGGGCGGCTGTTAGAGTTGGGGTTAGTCGCTGCGCGTAGCGCAGCCATTAGGGTAGGGGTTGGTGTTAGAGTATGGTTTAGGGTTGGCCTTTAGTGTTGGGGTTAGTGGTTAGAGGTTAGGGAGGGGGATATATTGTGTTTCGCGCCCCTGGCGCGACTTCATACACTAAATTTGAAGGGAGCCGCAGTTGTTATCAATCCCACTTTTTTGCGGCATCATCCCACTTTTTTGTGCAATCCCACTAATATTCCCAATCCCACTCCACTACGATAGTATACTCGGATCGAGGGCAGCTCGCATATGCCATAGATGGCAGCCAACATCTCCGGGGACATCTTGGTGATGGTATATGTACTGGATCGTGAATGAAACAACCCCCGTGAATAGGCGCAGGAACCTGGCCATCTTGCGTTGCGGAAACATCGATGCCAGTTCCAAGTACACATGGTGAACGTACTGTGCGTACCCAGGACGTTCTGAAAGAATCTTGGAGCACCGTCGGAGATGGCGACCTGGAAACTGGGTGGGATAGAAAGTTTGGAAGAGGAATGGTCTGAAGATATTTGCGAAAGTCTGGCACGCCAGCATGCAAGCCTTGGCTGTCCCAATTCCGTCGTCGTCGTCGTCGTTGTTATTGACATGACCGGCCACTTTGGCTAGCAATTCAGAAGGAAGGTCGAGGATGGGCGCAGACATTGAGCTCCGTGGCATGAGGTTCGAGTTAAACGTGGTTAGGGCAGAGGGACTCGTGTTGAGCCCATACACACAGTTATAATTAATGTTTGGACCAATCAAAGGTTTCAAACATGATACCCACAGACATCAAGTCACAGATCCCAGGTCAAAGGAGAGCCTTCCACCCTAACAAGTGTTGACAAAAGGTATACGGTCGGTAAGAGCATAACTGATCCATGCTATAATACAAAATTAAATCCCATGATGAACGAAAGGTACCCATTGGTGAAATGGTCGGCCAAGGTCGCGTAACTTCTTCACGGCAAGGTGTAGGCTATACGCTGCATCGGTTATGTCAGGAGGAGCTGCTGTTCCACGACGGAAGAGGTGGCGATAGAAAACATCGGTTACGAGGGGTGCATCTTCGTCGTGGATTGACCTGAGGTTTCAGCGAACATCAGTGGAAAACTCTTTCAGGACTGAACAAATGGGACGGGCTCACCACATAGTTGCGACCACACTTCGGAAGCCGGCGAACTGCATAGTCCCAGCCAGCGAGAGAGATTCGTCGGGACGTTCCTGGTCTCCCATCGCCGTCTCACACGCGCTCAGGTATGCAAGAGCAGCATTGGACGCGCGGCAACCTCGTATCAGCGATCGCATGGTCAGACACCCTCCACTGAGCATTAACGAGCTATCCAGTGGACTTGAGAAGTCTTGAGATCCGTGGCAACCAAAGTGAACGATAGATGCTGTGTTGATGTGCCCCAAGATTGCGTCGGGAATGGAGGGCGTCTCTGCTGACCCTATGCGGGTGACCAAATGTCTTCCATCGGGAACTAGGCGCTGAATCCTCTTCAACTCCTCCAAGGTAAATGGAAGGCTGAGTGTACGGGGCCCTGAATCTCCTGGCTCGACGACGACGAGCATTTCGTAGTCAAGATTTGGTGTTGGCGGCGGGGCTATGAGGTCTTGCGGCGAAGAGCAATAAGAAGAAACAACGTAATCGGATAGGCAGTCGGATGCTTCAGGGTTGTCGGAATAGACGCCAGCAGCATGGATGGGAAGGAAGGCGAATGGACCTGTTGGACACCACCAGATTCGTTTTGGGTTATCAGTCTGACAAGCTGATCAGCGAAGTCGGGGTAACTAGACGATGACGGGCGCTGTACCTTCTGCAAACCCAGAATTTTGATGACCGGCTCCGTTACCACATCCCAGAGGGTCTCGAGTACCTCCTTGAAATCATCGTCCACCGTCCGTCGCATTTTGTTTTTACGGTGTAACTGCAAACGGATATTTCGGCTTTCGCAAAAGTTGTCAACCTTGCGTTGGAGTTCTTGACCCACGGCACGCCCTTGGGACAACTGTTGGACTGCATCCGACAGACCAACTATTCGGTTCACATCAGTCGACAGTGGATGACGATGCAAAGTACCATCCTCTTTGAGGATCAGGATGTCACATCCGTACTCGCTGGCGTTAAGGAAGACAATGGGATTCTCTCTGGTAGTATTCCTGAGAATATCGAAGGACGGAGGGAGGAGGAAGTCATGGAAGCCGTCGATGGCTCGAATCTGTGCGATGATTTCCTCCCTCCTCTGAGCGAGAAGGTATGGAGGTGGAGGTGAGCCTTGGGCCGACATGGAGTCAGGTCGTACATTCTGGTGGGTCGCAATTTCCAGTTGGCGAGTAACCAAATGCAGTTCTGACGCCAAATCAGGATGGAGGTCGTGAAGTTGTTCGAGGCTCCCCTGTAGTTGGAGTGCTTGGGACCAGAAGACGGAACGTGCGGTAGAGAGAAAGATGACAGCCTTCTCCAATTCCCCTTGTTCGATCGCGCACTGCACCGCGTCCCTCGACAAATGTTTGGCATGGACAAGGACGTTTTGGCGTTGTTCCAGCGTGAGGTCGAGGGAGGCTAACTGCGGGAGGATATCTACGCCATAGCTGTAGGCCTCTAGTGCAGTGTCCAGACGGCCAAACACGCGGCAAGTCGAACTCCAGCGGATGGCATGGCGCAGCCTCGCCAATGGAGGCGATCCCTGGGATTGAGCGCCAGAACTAAGAAGCTGGAATATTTCATCCTGAATTTCATTGTCGTCGGTCGCGTGATACTTGATTTTGAGAACTTCTACAAGGTTCCAAATTGCCGCAAGCGAAAGGGGATGGTCTGCCAACGGGGTACTGGAATCAGACTTGGCTGAAGGTGAAATACCCGCTTGTGACCACGCGCGGAGGGCGTCCCGCAGGAGCACGATGCACCCCTCTAGGTCGCCTGTGCCACCGTTGTATTCAAAGCTCACAGAAAGCGAAGATGCTAGGTTGTTAAGGGAGCTGGGGTGATCGGGGTGGCCTGGAGGGCGAAGGCTGAGCGCTTCCTTGTGAAGCAAAATGCACTCTTCCAGGTCGCGTAAGTCGCTGCTGTGCCCGAATCGGGTTAGCAACGAGTTGGCCAGGTTGCTGAGTGAGTTGGGGCGTGAGAGATGGCCTGCGGGGTTGAGGTCGAGCGCTTCCCGCTGCAGCGTGATACACTCTTCCAAGTCGCAGAAGTCCCTTTTGTGTTGGAAGCGGGTGAAAAGGCAGATTGCCAGGTCACTGAGCGAGGTCGAGCGGTTGGAAAGGTCTGTATGACGGAGAGCAAGCGCTTCCCTGTGCAGCGCAATGCACTCTTCCAAATCGCAGAAGTCGCCCTTGTGGTCGAAGCGGGCGCAAAGTGAGTTTGCCAGGTTGCTGAGCGAACTGGGGCGATCAGGATGGCCTGCAGGGCGGAAGTCGAGAACTTTCCTGTGCAGTGTGATGCTCTCGTCCAGGTCGCGGAAGTTGCCCTTGTGTAGGAACCGGGTGAAGAGCGACCTTGCCAGGTTGGTGAACAAGCTGGGACCGGTGCGGTGGCCTTCAGGGAGGAGCGAGACCGCTTCCCTGTGCAGTGACACACATTTTTCCAGGTCGTAGAATTCCCCCTTGTACTGGAACCGGGCGGCAAATGAGGTGGCCAGGTTGTTGAGCGAGCTGAAGCGGTCGGGATGGCCCTCAGGGCGGAGTTCAAGCGCTTCCTTATACAGTGTGACACTCTCTTCTAGGTCGCGGACGTCTCCCTGGTGATAAAAGCGAGTGGAAAGTGAGGATGCCAAGTTGCTGAGTGAGGTTGGGCGGTCGGATACAGGGCAAAGATCGAGAGCTTCCCTGTACAGAGTGATGCTCTCTTCTAGGTCACAGATGTTGTCCTCGTGTCGAAACCGGGTGAAGAGTGAACTAGCTAGGTTGGTAAGCGAGCTGAAGCGGCTGGAGTGGCCTGCAGGGCTAAGATTGACAGCTTCCCTGAACAAAGTGACACTCTCTGTTAGGTTTTCAAAGTCCCCTTTGCGTTCGAACCGCGTGAAAAGCGAGGTTGCAAGGTTAATGACCAGACGGGGGCGATCGTGATGGGTTGGAAGCCGGAGAGCCAGCATCTCCGTTTGTAGAGAGATGCGCTCTTCCAGGTCATCGAGGTCTCCGTTGCGGTCGAAGCGGGCGCAAAGCGACATGATCAGGTTGCTGAGTGAGTCAAACCGGTTGGGATGGCCCCGCGGGCGCAGATGGAGCGCTTCTCTGTACAGCACGACACTTTCGTTCAGGTCATGGATGTCGCCCTTGCGCTGGAACAGGGTGAACAGCGAACTTGCCAGGTTGTTGAGCGACCGAGGGCGGTCGACGTGGCCTGCGGGGCGGAGTTCGAGTGCCTTCCTGTGCAGTGTACCGCTTGCTTCGAGGTCTCGGATGTCCCCCACATGGTTGAACCGGGTGAGAAGCGAATTTGCCAGGTTGTCGAGCGAACGGGCGTGGTCGGGGTGACCTGCAGGGCAGAGTTCGAGCGCCTCCCTGCGCAGCGAAACACCCTCTTCCAGGTCCTGTAAATCGCCTCTGTGCCTGAACCGGGTGATAAGTGAGATTGCGAGGTTTTCAATCGCTTTGAGGCAAAATGGGTGGCCTGCAGGGAGGCGATCGAGTGCTTCCCTGTACAGCGTGACGCTCTCTTTCAGGTCGTCTAACTCGCCTTTTCGCTGGAACCGGGTGAAAAGCCAGCTTGCGAGGTTGTTGCCTGAGATGGGACGCTGGGGGTGGTCTGAAGGGCGGTACGAGAGCGCTTCCCTGCCCAGCGTGATGCATTGTTCCAGGTCACAGAAGTCGCTGGTGGAGCGAAACCGGGTACCTAGAGCAATGGCACACTTTGCGAGTGTATCGTGACGTCTTGGATGCCCTGGCGGCCGGAATGAAAGGGACTGTTGGAACTGTAAGATTGATTCCTCCAACTGAGGTTTATCGCCCCCCATCAACTGGGTTCCCAGCATGTACGCGTTCCTCCCTTTTTCGTCCTCGGCCTCCATTTCGTCCCGCCACTGCTTTAAGTCCAGCAACCCGACCGACTTCTCTCCTTTACAATCCACTAGCTTGATGGACGCAATGTGCTGGAGATTGAGAAGCGTAGTGAACAGCATTGGATCACCGCTCCGGAAAACCTGCTTAGCAGATTGAAAGGACGCCTCAGCCAAAGCCAGGTCTCCCTCGTCATCGGACACCAGGTACTTCAAAACGAGGGCATTCCCAGCCCGCAGCAATAGTTCGCCTCGACGTTTGGTCGCACCATGACACTCGGAAGCGAGAGCTTCGCTGGCGATAGCGATGGCGGTTCCTAGCTTGGACACGTCGATGGATTCTCGGTAATCTCGAAGTGAATCGAGGGCGGAGGCGGCACTGCCAGCACAGTCCTCATCCTGGGGTAGTGTTTCAGTTTCCACTTGATTGAGTGCAGTCACTGAGACAGGGCTCACTGTGAATGCGGCTGGATTTGTCCTCTCCCTCAGCAAAAGCTCCACTCCTTCATCCAAGTCATTCACCCATCCATATCGAGCGAACCGGGTTACAAGGGCTTTGATCAGGGTGATCTCAGCCTTTGTCCGCGCTTCCTCGTTCTGTTCATCGCGAATGGTCTCCCGTAGCACAGCGACCGCGCTTGTAAGGGTATCGTCCTCCATCCCTTGCGTGGCCTCGTCCAGTAGCTCATTCACGCGGGACAAAGCTTGCTCTAGCTCGTCCTCGCCTTGACCTAGTGTGGTCAGTTCGTAAGGGCGCTCATGACAGGGTGAAATACATACTCGATGATTCGTGCTCGTCGAGGACCTTCAGATACGTGGGTTAGTCTAAATCTTGTACTGCTGGGTGCGCAGACACTCACCGTGCATTCAGATCCTGGCGTATTGGTAGAATTGTCCATGAGTAGGAAGGCAGCAAGGCTAGCGCTCGATCATAGGACACAGCGGCATTCCAACCACAACCAGGGCTATGCTATTGATGTTCATCAAGACATCACAAGTACTTCCTGTTGGGTCACACCGGTTACTGCTTCCCCAGTCATCCTCCGGCCAAACGGTGAAACGACAGTCAACCATGAGTATGCACTTGAAGATACCCGAACAGGCCGAATGGCAAGTTGCGAATACTTAGTTTGCAGGTCAGCACACAGGCTTTGACTGGTCTCTGTGTCGCCAATTTCGTAGTCCATGCATATGACACTCGGCCTGTTCCAACTTGGATAGTAGTAACGGTGCAGCCGCAGGGGATCGAACTCGGTTCCAGTGGTTTTCTGGTTTGAATCGGAGCTCAAAATGGAAGATTCCACTCGCCGCCGCCGCAGCGTAGTACTTAGCTGCTTTCTTGTATCCCCTCCCATCCGTTATTCCTAACTGTATCTTTTGAGGATTCGGGGCTATGAAAACTGGCACCTTGCCAGTTCTCGATACTGACACTCGATACTGACAAGGATCAGAGGGCCCTGAATTCTGCAACGATCCATCGTTACACTCAACCTTTGTGCTGACTGAAGTTCGCTTAGTCGCTATATGAAGCTTATATTCGACCATTTCAGCTCTTGAGTGCGGAGGCTCCTTCCTGAAGTTATATCGGAATGGAGCCTGGAATTTTTCAGTACGTGATGACGTTGCAGCGTCGTCCCCCTCGCATCTCGCTATACTCCAAGCACGTTGGTGCAAAGGAAAACGCGCATGCTTATTATCAGGATATATTGCTCACACTTTCCTGGGTTTCCTGTCACTGTGAGCGCGCCTTCGCATCTCGACGCAAGGCGCGATTCGCGTTGGCTTCGCCCCCGGGATGGTGGGTTGCCCAGAGAATGACACAACGGGCTCAGATGACTCATATGGTGCGTTTAAACTTCTTGAACAATGATTAACGCCAAACTGGAGTCTTCTGCCCCTTCTCCAGGACACGTTCTTGTATGAGGGCAGCCCTTGAATAGGGGCGTCTTTCCTGAAACGGAAACTCAAAATTGATTGCACGTGCGTTGCGGGGCTCGAAGCCGATGATTGAAGATGAATCACATCTTGGCTTCCTGACGTCTCTATCAAGGCTCCGAACGGCGACCTCGGATTTCTTCCTGAACGTTCATCGCTGGTCTTAAAGTCGCGCAATCGCCCAACGGCAAAGGTAGCAAGACTCGCCGTTCTCGATAACCTCTGTACTTCGTCACCTCGAGCGGTACAGAACCTCCCGGACAGTCCGACTGATACGAGAGAGTTTTCGCCAACTCTTTCGAGGTCGTTCAGTCCTTCTACACCGTCTGCATGACCTTGGCTCATGATTACTTCAACACCCGAAATTTGCAGCAGTTCCAGCGGTTGCTCGATGGCGGACTTAACGACCGGAAGCAACAAGCTGGGAATGGTGCATCTGCTCAGCCGAGCACCAGCGGGGCCAAGTCGTGGAACAAACCCAGCCCCTTAGCCACGATGACACCGCCTGTGGACGTCAATGCAAGAGATTGGCTCGGTCGAACCGTACTTCACCTCGCTTGCTCCGCCGTCGAGAATGTCGAATACGTCCGGGCGTTACTCAAGCACCCCAATATCAACGTCAACGTACCTGATACGGAGAGCCATTGGACGCCGTTGCATCGAGCACTTTACCATGCGAATCTTCCTGCAGCGTACGTTACCCCCTGTCGTTTACCGTACATTTGCTCAAATTGGCGTCACCTTCAGCCAAATGCTTCTCCAACGCTCCGATATCGACATCTCCCTCAAGGATTGGGAGGGCTACACGGCATTCGACCTATACAATTCGACAATCAACGGGACCAATCCTGACTCTCGCCAGCTGAACGCCGAGTTGTTTACTTGGGGAGCGAATCGGTATGTAGCACGATCGCGTTCAGATTCTTGAATCTAATCGCTACTTCAGCAATGCCGCACTCGGACTTGGGGATGGAAATGACAGGAGCCACCCTGACCAAGTCATCATCCCAGGGAAGGGGAATCCAGAAGATTTGAAAGACAACAAGCTCACCGAACGGTTCATTCCAATTTCGATTCGCCAAATTCAAATGTCAAAGCTCCACACAGGTACGCCTATCGTAAATCGCCTTGGTGTAAAGCTGACAGGCCTACCTTTCTCCCAGCCATTGTAACTTCTGAAGAGAGCGGGAACCTCAGGGTCTGTGGGTTTGGCAGTGGTGGAAGGTGCGCAGCCAACCTTAGCGGCCGGTATTCATCTTACCGACATCGTTCGAAGACTCGGTCCCGGACAACACACCCAGTTCAGCCTCAAGCCCTTACCTCAATTCAGCTACACCATCACACAGGTCGCCTTGGGCCAGGACCACACTCTCGCGCTCACCAAGAACGGCGAGGTTCTCAGCTGGGGCTTGAACCACTTTTCGCAGCTCGGCTATCCACTAGAGCTGACGGGTGGAAAGTTGGAAGAACCGATTCAACCAACGCCGAGGAAGATTCCAGGGCCTTTGAAGAAAGAGACAGTTATCGGAATCGCAGCGTCGAAGAAAGCTTCGGCGTGTTGGACGCTCGACGAGGTCTTCACCTGGGGAACGAATGCTGGGCAGTTAGGTGAGTACTCGAGGCCGTGCTTCCTTGCTCTGATCTAACCGATAGTAGGCTACGACAAGAATGCCCAGCCTGTCCAGGTGATTCCCCGCAAGGTGACCAAGTTCTCTCAGCCAGTCATCGCTCTGGCCCTCTCGGTGAGTTGTACGTCCTACTCAACTTGTAATCTCTGGTTTATATGGAACCAGGACAACGCTATGGCTGGACTTTTGCAAACGCAGCAGGTTGAATGCATCTGGAATGACCGCCATTACCGAATCAAGTACGTTTCCTCTCTGCGCTCGGTCCTCTGCGCGACGCTTATCACACTGTCAGCTTCCCCATCCACGCGTTCCCCTCCGAGATTCAACCCTTCCGACCACGACAAGCGATCAAGGATTTCCACATAGCGAAGGTGACTTGCTGCGGGGATCTATTTGCCGCCCTTTCCTCGAACGGCGAAGTGTTCACATTCTCCCCTCCTACCGATGGCGGAGACGGTGTGGATGGTTACCACCATAAGGGTTCTCCGTTCAAACCCCAGCGTGTTTGGGCGCTGCGGAAGAAGTTTAGCTCAGTCAGGGTACGCTTCTTTCGCCGCGCCTCTTGGTTCCAGTTCACTAATCGCTAGCAGGATGTCGCTATGGGCGCGGAAGGCTCCATAATCATCTGCACCGAATCAGGGCATACCTATGTCCGTATCCGAACTGGAAAAGGAGGTGGAAAGAACTTCAAGTTCCAGCGCATTCCACATCTCCAACGCGTCACCCATGTTTGTGCCAACAGCACTGGTGCCTTTGGAGCACTTCGTGTCGACTTTAGGCCCAAGAAGATCGACATTCAAGGGCCTTCGATCGCGGAAGACCTCTCTCGAGTTCAACCTTATCGTCTTCCCTTCCCTGCGGAAGCTGTCCCTTCCGGACATCGCTTCCACCCGACCGTCGTCGATGCCCTGGATGAAGCTGGCCGGTCAAAGACATCGATCAACGTCCCTGCATTGTCGCTCGACGATGACAACTATATCGATGAAGATGGCGACGACGCAGATATTGAGAAGGACATCCGAACGCTTCAGGGCTTTATGAACATTATCCAGAGAGAAGAACGCAAGGTCAAGGCTGCCAAAGGGAGCCTGAAGTATGGTGGAGTTGCCCTTCCGCACGGCGCCGATACGCTCATTTCCATCGGCACAATCCACGTCCCGGCACACAGCGTTATCCTTGCTGCTCGGTCGACCGTGTTGGATGATATTCTGTCGAAAAGGACGACTGCAACGTCCAGTTCCATTTCCATCGTCGTTACTCGACGTCTTCCAGGACCGGGAAACGGCGTCTCTAACCTTACTTCCCTCGCCTTCTCGGGCATCCATCCGCTCTCGCTCCTTATCATCCTCCATTATCTCTACTCCGATGAAGTCCTCGCTATTTGGGATCGACGCGTCTATAGCTCCTTAACCGATCACGCCTTGTCAACGCTGAAGGTGGACGTCGCGGAGATCAAATCCGACCTACGCACCCTGGCTGCAACCTTGGAGTTGCCCCATCTCTCTCAAGTTCTTCAAGCACCTGTGAAACGTCCACCTGCGCCTTCGCTGTCGACTGACCTATCCGCACTATTCGAGAAAGCACAGGGCTCGAAACAACGACGTTCTTTGCCTTGTTCGCCCGACGTGGTCTTGGAGCTGAGAGATAAGGAAGTTTGGACGTATTCCGTCATCCTCCGAGCGCGATCAGAGTTCTTTTCGTGCTTGTTGGATGAGGATACGTGGACGCGGAAGAGGTGGGGTCAGGATGGCGTGTTGAGGGTTGATTTGAAGCATATGAGGTGGCACGTCATGGAGTTTGTGCTCAAATTCCTTCTCTGCGGGAAGGATAAGGAATTGTTCGATGTTCTACGTGAGTGGAATATGCCTTTTCTTCCTCTCTCTCCTGGTGACTAAACCGTTTTCAGCGTTCACCGAATCGGTCGATGATGTCTTGGAGTTTATGTTCGACGTTATGGCCGCAGCGGTACGCTTCCTCCTCAATGCAGCTTTCGTCCCGTCCTGATGCACTCCTAGTCTGAGCTCCTCTTAGATCGGCTTATCCTTATCTGCTCGTCGGTCATCCTAACGTTCCTCGACATTCACAACTGCTGTTATATCCTGTCCGAAGCCAGTTACTACCATGCCTACCAACTCATCAACAGCGTCCAAGAATACATGGCGGCCAACATGGAGTCTCTCCTCGAGATGGGGATGTTGGATGACCTGCCATACTCCCTCGTCAAGCAGCTCTCCAAGTTCATCAAGGAGCGACAACTCGAGAAGTCTTCGTTCTCGAGGACGGATGTTTATCTCGATGGGTTGCTGGCGAAGCATTGGGATTGGCTTGAAGGGCAAGATATCCCAGTTCCTTATGTGCGTTCTGGGAAGCAGCATCCGTCGAGGGAACTGGCGAAGACGAGGCTGTCTCCCCCTGTTCCTCCGAAGGAGGTACCATCTACGCCCTCTAAGCAGCTCAAGATCCCAACTAGCGCTGTACAGCGTCGACCATCGGGAGACGATCTATTCGCCATGGATCTTGGTGAGCCCGCTACCCAGCCAAGCCAATCTTCGACTCCCTGGAAGGTACCCGACGCTCCTCGGTAAGTTGTTTTCATTAGGAGTATGGTTGGCATCCCTCACCGAACCGTTTAGCGTCGACATGAGGGCGTTGATGGCTGAAGCTCAAGAATCCAATCGATCCATTGCGCCTCCGATATCTGCAAGCCCCAGTCGAGGGCAGACGCCACGTACGACGTCAGGACCTTCGACTATCAACGGTCCAGGGTGGAAGACTCCCGGTCCTTCGACGACACCTCTCACTCCGTCTCGGTCGTCAGCATCGCAAGGTCCTTCCTGGAGACAGCATGCATCACCCCAGCTGCCGCCTCCTGCTTCCGCGACACCCCCCTCAGCGACACCAGGTGCTGGACCCTTGGCACCAAAGGCGGCGCCTCCTTCACCTTCTCCGTTGAGGAGCAAGGCTTCGAAGCCGACGACACCGCTGGCACCTTTGCCTGGTATGGGCCCGACGTTTACACCTACGAAGCAAGCCGTTTCGAAGTCTTCTGGCATTCGTAACGTTTCGTAAGTGTTCCAAGGTTCTCACTTTCAACCTTTTTTGCTGAATGCTTCTGCTCCTAACAGTGGTGGAAAGGCGTGGACTGCTCCGCCCCCCGAACCTGTGGTCGTTACTACCAATTCCAAGGCCGTCTCGTTTGCTGCTATCCAAGAAGCGCAGCAAACTCAGCATGCTCCCGTCAAAGATCGGCGGTCGCTGAAAGAGATTCAGGAGGAAGAGGAGGCGTTGCAAGCTGAAGCTGATTTCCTGAAGTGGTGGGAGGCGGAGGAGAACCGGGTGAAGGAGGAGATGGCTGCTTTGGAAAAAATCAACCAAGGTGGGCTTACGAAGGGGGAGAGGGGAAGCGGTGGTGGCAGAGGAGGCAGAGGGAAGGGGAGAGGAAAGTCGGAGCATCATCGACCACGGTCGGGCAATAAACCTCCTGCGACTGGTGGGTCTGGAGGAGCGCCTGCGGATGCTGGGGAAGGAGGTCCTTCCCGGGGCGAGGGTGAGACTCAAGGGAAGGGAAAGCCGACTAAGTCGAGTAATCCGGATGATGGACAACCGCGACGACATCGACGACCACCCAAGAAGCAGGCCCAGGGACAACAGGCCGGCCAGGTCCCCTCGAGCTAAGCGGCGGACTGTATGTTTATTGTGCATCTTATAGGACTAAACACACTGTAGAACAGAGCATTATGTTTAGACATGTATAGGTTCATTTAGGTTTTTCTGGCACACCCAGTTAAAAAACCTCCAATTTGTATTACATAAGCGCACACATAAATACTTCGTGTCACGATCACGTGTAGACGCGTCATTTTACGCGTCATCTTTCGTGGGAATTCTAGGTGCTATATCAACCCCCTGTTGAACGCGATGGTCTCTCTTCATTGCTCTCTCCTCGACCAAACTGAAGCAAGGTTTGACCTAGGATAGACCGACACACTCATACCTACGGATACTAGTACGACATACCCAGCATACATTTACCATGGGCCGTTTGAACAGACGACACTACAACCTCAAGCACAAGACCGCTGCGCAGAGGGCTGCTGAACCCAGGGAGAAATCACCAGCCCCTTTGGGCGTTGGACCTCTACCTGACGGTGGGCCCTTTGGGGGTCCTGGGGACCCCAACGACCCGGAATACAACCCTGACCACCCACTTTATTGGCGCTTTGGAACCAATGCTGGAGGGATGATCCTCCGCATGAAGAAGCACTACGGGGAACGCATGAATAATGTTCCATATAAATACCTCAAGTGGTGCTACAAAAACTTGAAATTTGCTGTGAGTAGCCTTCGACGCTGGTTAGGCGGTTGAATGTGGTCCTTATTTCTCGCTTCATAGTTGACGTTCCGGAAGGCATTCGAAGCTTACGATAAGGGCCTCCGGAATTGGATCCAGGAATTGGGTGGTTATGGTGATATCCTCGTTCCTATTGGGAAGACGTACAAGGGTCTTCCTCTGAAGGAATGCCGAGACAAGGAGTGGATGGAATGGCTCATGGAGAAAATGACTCCCGCCTACAAAGAAGATGTAAGTATTGCCTGCAAGTACTGGAGCTCGCTCGTAGATGGTTCTAATCATATACGGCAGCACGAAATCTTCTTCCTCGCCATAAAGGTATGGCTCGAGAACCCCAACCATCAAGGCGTTAAACGAGATGTTGGCGAAAGCCTTGCCAAGTCCAGGTTTAGAGATGAGCACTGGTTGCTCTCTCCGGACGAGTACGATCTCGACTTGGCGGAGGATCTGAATGTTATCCCGTGCACTCTCGAGGATATCGGCGAAGTCGATGAACACGGAAACCTTGAGGGCTTTATCGCCTCTGACTCACAAGACATTGTGTATGAGTCTGATAATGGCACTTCTGTGGACTCCTTGTCGGACCTCGATGCGAAAGCGGAGAAGGTCGCGGCGAGGATTCGTCGAAACAAAACTGGTCAGACTCCTAGGAAATCTCCGAAGAAGAGGGTTCAACGTCGGTATGTCGCGTTTCGCTTGGATTCTCGTAAGTAGCAGCCAAGTTGACGTGTTGTATTCTCTCTGCAGCGATGTAGAATCTGACGGTGAGGCTACGGAGTATTCCTCCAGCGATGACTCGTATCAAGAGACAGTCGTCGCCTCGGATGACGAACCTCCTCCAAAGAGTGAGTATGGTCCTTTCTTTCGGGTAAATATGCTCATTTTCGGTGCCAGCTCCGAGAGCGAAAGCTACGAGGCGTCTTGTCGTCTCTGATCAGGAATCCAGTGGTAAGGGTTGAGACCTATCGCTCATGGTAGCTGAGGCTGATCAAAGGGGATTTCAGGTGATGAACTTCCTTCAGTTTCACCCTTGAAGCGTGGAAGGAGTGCTACGAGCAGCACGCCGGGTAGTCAGGTTTCGCGGTCGACCCCCAAGAGACGAAAACTGGATTCCCCTGAGAAAACTACGAAGTACGCCAGGAAGGGCCTAGGTAATTATAAGTGCTTCATTTCACGCCGCATCGTTTCTGATATCTTTGTAGATGGTTCGCCACTTGCCCGCCCTCGCCAAAAGGCCTGAAATTGGATTTTGGCACAGTGAATGACACTGATGGAACTGTCCTGGGCTGGATTCAGGCAAATGCTCCATCTGCGGCTCACTCTCTGTCTAACGAGTAACCGTGGTGGTTCACTGTACTAGTAACGCTTGTCCAATATCTAATTACATTTTGATTTGCAATGTCTGTTGTCTATCTGGGATGGCGAACCTAAAGTACAGAATTGTTTTCCTTGTGAGCCACCAACGTCTACTTCCACAACGCCAAGAGTTTGTATCACCTGCCTCTCGACCACCATCATCGACGCGATATTGATGCCTTGATGGACATTCAATGGGCATCAATACCGAGCCCTGGTGTGGTTCTGGTTCTGTGTGGTTGAAACTCGCCGCAATGTCAATCTAACAAGCATCCGGCGCTGGCTCTGGGTTGCAATAAAAAGCCCCCCTCCATCCCTCGTTTCCCTCTTCCCATTGCATCCTTGTAACTCATGGGCAGCCCTACGAATAGTCCCAGTTCTGATGACACGAAAACGGTGAGCGTCTGCGCATCTGCTGATACAACTTTGACTAACCGCCATTTTCTGAAGGTCATCGATGAGGGCGAATCATCGAGTATGTATTTTACCTTGTCGTGAACGCCCTTACGAGCTGTTCATACCATGTTGGGACCCTCAAGGCAAGGACGAACTAGAGGGAGCTCTGTCTCGCGTGAATGAGCTCTTGGACGAGGCCACGAAAGAGATGAACGATGATAGCCTCGCAAATGCGATCGTCGCGTTACAGCAGACCATCCTTAATGAAGAAGACGAGGAAGCGCTGGCGAAGGCTGAAGTTGTCCTGACCAAAGCCCTCGTAACCCGGTTCGCTCGATATGGATGGGCGGGTGACTTGGATGAAGGGGTAAAGCTTTTGCTGATGGAGAGACTAAATCCATCCTTATTCATCGTGAGTGCCTCCCACACTCAACCCAACGGCGAACTCTGACAATACACAGGATCAATTATGGACTTTATCTGGTCCACCAGGCAAGCACTGTGCTGACAACGTCTCCGACTCTGCCCTCGAGACACTCCGGGAGTACCGACGATCAATCGACATTCCCAAGCTAGAGACAGCCATCGTGATTGCCAACGAAGCTCTCGCTTTGTGTCATGGTGCGGCCGACAGTCGAGGCAAACTATTGCTCCGGACTGGCAATGCCCTAGTTCTGAAGTACCTGGCGTCCGATGACGGGGAAGACCTGGATCTAGCTGGGACGGTTTTTCAAGATGCCAGGCGGGCGTTCAGAAGTGGCGACCCAATGCTCTTCATCACCCTTCTCAATCTCCAACATATTGCATGCGTCAAGTTCGTGGATTGTATCGGCGAGGGGTCAATGGAGGTGCTGGATTTTCAGTTGCAAGAGGATATGGATGCCGAGGACGGAGAAGGGATTGACGCGTGCATGTTGGGATCAGAGCTGATAGAGAGTGATGAATCCCTGTTAGATGAAGATATCTCATGGCTCCACCATTCCCTATCATTCCGACCGCCACAACATCCAAGACGCTGTGAGATACTTGAAATTTGTGCCATTGTCCTCCATAAGCGATTTGGCTACAACAACGACTTGTCCGACCTGGAAGAGTGCATCGCACTGCACAGGGAAGCCCTCTCGCTCCGCCCTGCAGGCCACCTCGACCGGCCCCGCTCACTCAACAACCTGGCAAGCGCCCTTGGCACTCGGTTTAGACGCCAAACAGACACCCGCGACCTGGAAGAGTGGATCAAACTCGACAGGGAAGCGCTGGATCTTCATCTCCCACGCAATCCGGACCGCCCCCTGGCACTTAACAACCTTGCAAACGCACTTCGCACCCGGTTTGAACACAACGGTGACCTGTGGGACGTGGAAGAGTGCATCAAACTTGACAGGGAGGCCCTCTCGCTCCAGCCTCCAGACGACCCTGACCGCCCCCAGCTGCTCAACGACCTTGCAAGCGCGCTTCGAACCCGGTTCCAGCTCACGGGCGACTTCCGAGACCTGGAAGAGTGCATCAAGCTGCACAGGAAAGCGGTTGATCTCCATCCTCCAGGCCACCGCAGCTGCCGCCGTTCGCTCAGCGACCTGGCAAATGCGCTTCGCACCCGGTTTGGATACAAGGGCGACTTCCGCGACCTGGAAGAGTGCATCAAGATGCACAGGGAAGTGCTTGATCTAGACCCTCCAGACCAACTCAACCGCCCAGCATCTCTCATCAACCTGGCCAACTCGCTTTCCACCCGCTTTGAGCATAAAGGCGACTTCCGCGACCTGGAAGAGTCCGTCACGCTGCACAGGGAAGCACTTGATCTCCACCCTCCAGACGACCCCGACCGAGCCACATCACTCAAAAATTTGGCAAACTCGCTTTCCGTCCGGTTTGAGCACACAGGCGACTTGCACGACCTGGAAGAGAGCATTTTGCTGGACAGGGAAGCGCTCGATTCTCACCCCCCAGGTCACCCTGACCGCCCAAGCTCCCTCAACAATCTGGCAAACTCGCTTGACACCCGCTTCGAGCACAACGGCGACTTCAGCGACTTGGAAGAGGCTGTCGGGTTGCATAGAGAAGCGCTCGGTCTCCGCCCTCTAGATCACCCCGACCGCGCCATCTCACTGGACAACCTGGCAATCTCCCTTTGCACCTGGCTCAGGCACAAGGGCGACTTCCAAAGCCTGGAAGAGTGCGTCACATTGCACAGGGAGGCTCTCACTCTCCGCCCGCCAGGCCACGCTGACCGCGCGGGCTCGCTTAACAGCCTGGCAAACTCGCTTTCCACCTGGTTTGATCACAATGGCAACCTCCATGACCTGGAGGAGTGCATCAAGGTGCACAGAGAGGCGCTCAGCCTCCGCCCTCCAGGGCACCCTGACCGCCCCCACTCGCTCCACAACCTGGCAAGCGCTCTTGCTACCCGGTTTGAACACACCGGTGACTTCAGCGACCTGGAGGCATGCATTGCAACCCTGCGGGAGGCCCTTGATGTGTATGCACGGCCTGATAATACTTTTGGAGTCGAGTCGGGTTCCACTCATGCTTTCGTTGATCATCCTTATTGGCTTCGGGTAGTTGGGAACCTCGTGAACGCTCTCACAATGAAGTACCGGGCCACCGGCGACAAGGATATACTGGATGAAATATTCCAGCTTTTCTGCTCTGGAGCTCAATCCCATGGGTCCTCGCCGCTTCGGAGGCTACGCCATGCTAGGCGCTGGGGCTCAACTTGCCGAGAGTTCAACCGTGCAGACGGTGCGCTGGAAGCTTACACTTACGGCGTGGATATGCTCCCCCAGTTAGCCTCTCTCGATCTCACGCTGGAACAGCGACAGAACGCCCTCGTCCATGCTAAGGATTTGTCGAGGGACGCAGTACAGTGTGCGATCGAGCAAGGACAGTTGGAGACCGCTGTTGTCTTTCTCTCTACGGCGCGATCGGTTTTTTGGTCCCAAGCCCTCCAATTCCGGGGACCTCTCGACCAACTGGATGCCCTCCATTCCGATTTGGCGGTAGAACTGCGCTCCGTCACTCGCCAACTGGAGATAGCAACCCACGAAACCCCGCGGTCTCGCTCAATCTCGGATAAAGGATTGTCAAGGCGTCCATACCTTCTCGCCCAGAAGAGAAAGGAGGTCCTCGCACGGATTCGAGCTATCGACGGCTTCCAAGATTTCCTCCTCCCTCCTTCCTTCGCCATGCTCAGGACCGCCGCCAGGGATAATCCTATCGTCTTCCTTAACGCGAGCAAGTACGGCTGTGACATCCTGATCCTGAAACAGGATGGCACTTTGCATCGCCACCCTCTCGCCACTGATCTGGAGCAAATCACTGGTTTTGCAGACGCAGTTCAGCAGTTGTCGCGAGGACAGATAGTGGGCGCACAACTCCAGCGCAAGATCGACAGCTTGTGCGAAAGCCGAAATACGCGCCTGCAACTACGTCGTCGAAGCAGACGCACGGCTGAAGATGACTTTAGGCAGCTTCTGGAGATCCTCTGGGATGTGGTAGCGGAACCGGTCATCAGAATTCTGGGTGTGCAGAAGGTACGGTGCTTCTCATCGTCTGTTTACCCCAACTTCGCTGATCAGCCTGTCAGACTGACAACCCAAAACGAATCTGGTGGTGCCCAACAGGTCCATTCGCCTTCCTTCCTATCCATGCTGCTGGTGTCTACTCCGACAACCCTGAAGCATCCGACTGCCTATCCGATTATGTTGTTTCTTCTTATTGCTCTTCGCCGCAAGACCTCATAGCCCCGCCGCCAACACCAAATCTTGACTACGAAATGCTCGTCGTCGTCGAGCCAGGAGATTCAGGGCCCCGTACACTCAGCCTCCCATTCACTATGGAGGAATTGAAGAAGATCCAGTGTCGAATCCCCCACGAACGACATTTGGTTACCCGCGTCGGGTCAGCCGACACTCCCTCCAGTCCCGACGCAATCTTGGGTCACATCAACACAGCATCTATCGTTCACTTTGGGTGCCACGGGTCTCAAGATTTCTCGAATCCTTTGGATAGTTCGTTAATCCTCAGTGGGGGTCGTCTGACCATGGAATCGTTGATTCGAGGTTGCCGCACTTCCAATGCTGCTCTCGCTTACCTGAGCGCTTGTGAAACTGCAATGGGAGACCAAGAACGCCCCGATGAGTCTCTCTCTCTGGCTGCGACTATGCAGTTCGCCGGGTTCCGCAGTGTTGTCGCAACTATGTGGTAAGTCATCTCACCCCTTCGGCGCGTAAAGAATTTAACCGACGGTCGCTGCATCAGGTCAATCCACGATGAAGATGCTCCCATTGCAGCTGATATTTTCTATCGTCATCTCTTCCGTCGTGGAACCGCGGCCCCTCCGGATATCACTGACGCAGCGTATGGTCTACATCTTGCTGTGAAGAAGCTGCGCGACCTTGGGAAGCCTTTTCACCAGTGGGTTCCTTTCGTCCATCATGGTATTTGATTTTACTTCGTGGATTGTTTGTATCCCACGAGTCCACTACCGACCAGCAACATGTACCAATCGTTGGCATATCCGCTGTATAGCCGTTGCTATATACATCCTTCTCTTCTAGCATCAACAATGTACGGTTACCCGACACACCGAACCAGGAACCTTACAACGTTGATCTCAACCAAACCATTGCCAATGGTTTGGTTGAGATCAACGTTGCGATCTCCATCGTCCCATGGACAAGCCTTCGTACAATGGCGCTCTCGGAGGTATGTTCTGTTGAATAACATTTCAGATGGGACTTGTTCCTAATGTAACTAGCACATTTCCTGGACTGTAAATGTACAACGTTGGTCTGGCGGGACCACTCACAGCGCGGGGAAGGCGTCAACTAGGGCGGCCTCCCAGGCGTCGTAATGATCTGCAAGGACAACCGGGTCAGGTTGCTCAACATGAATGAATTCGCCTGTAACGCTGGCCAAGGTAGCATCCGTCGTGCAGTGCGTTGGTGGGATCCTGCCATTCACAACCCTCCCGAAAATATTCTTGGTCGCAGTGAGTTGGCAATCGTTGGCTGTGCTTGGAAGACCGTGAACGGTTCCGGGGAGTGGGGCCATGTGGACATCGAGCGCTTCTTTCAAGCGCCGAACGGGGCGGATAGTAGCACCGTGGTACCACGCGTGAGACGATGCACCATTCCCTATGGTGAAGGTGGGTCGAGTTACTCGATGCGAAGAATACGATGGGCCGTACCAGGACCACTTGACAAGAATACGTCATAGTTGGGGCAGCTGACTTTCCTGTGCCATTGAATATAGGCACAGTTGCTGTTGGGGCAACCACCCTGGTCGATTTGCCATTCACGAGTAACTAAAAGGGCGTCATGGAAGGGTTCATCCTTAACACGAAGGTTCAGATCAGTTTGATGTTCTCTTAACATTTTGGGTAGACTTACATCGTCGTGAGAAGGGTCAGTCTTGTAGTAGGTGTCGTTAGGGTTGCTAGGAGTAGCACATGTAGAGGAACTGCTGGATGCCATCCGGTGTCTTCCAGCGACGATAAGCGACTTGGCGCCGACGCGTTTGAACAAGGCTGCTGCTTGCAACGGCGTAGTCTTGTCATACACCGGGTGAGGTGCACTGAAATGAAGTGCCCTTTGGTGGTCCGCATCGTTCGCAGTGGTGATGACGAAGCCCCATCCGCGGGCGAAGACGTTGGTGGTTCCGCTGTAGGTGTTCGTCTCTGAGATGACACAGAACGACTTCCCTCCGCTGACGGATTCGGTGAAGAGGCCAATGGTGTAAGTTCCTCCGAGGCCTGGGACGTTGATGGGAGGGCTCGGGCAGTCGCCATCGACGTTAAGTGCTGTCTCGACGGCTGTACGCCAGGCGTCTAGTTCCCCAGCTCCCGGCTGGGCGACGCTGTAGTCGCCTGCTCCACCAGGATTGTAAAATCCGGCAGGGACCGTGTAGCCTACGAGGCAGGTCACAAGGTCCTCCAGGGTGGCGGAGGTGGATGTGCAGGTTATGGCTACGCCGTGAGCGAGCCTCGCGGTGAGGACAAGGGCGAGAAGAAGCTTGAGAGAGGAGAAGAAAGACATCGTTCAGTTGATTAGATTATGTGGCTTGTGTTGCTGAGAACGACAGCGGATGCTCAACTTATATAGTACTGAATGCCTCACTTCAAGGATGGTCGGATAAAGGTTCGTGGTACGAATCTGTGCCTGACTCATGGATTCCGTGAAGTAACGCAGGGTGTTCGTCGACCGCAGCGGACTATGTGTTCGCTGCGTGAACATCGGCGGGTGCCCTTGAATTCATTACTCGTTGCGCCGATGCTTAATAGCTAATCTCATCAGAAGAGTCCTAGTGCCTCCGAGAGGTATCCTCTGCACTAGGACCTCTAAGACCGGCATTGCATTCCTGTAAAGGAAATGCCATAGCTCTTTTGGGAAATCACAGCCTAGCGGATGGATCGAGCGCATCCGGTAGGGCTTGCGGCCGCAGGGGAACTACACTCGTACCTTGCGAATGACCATTCCCCCACGTAATGCCATGGCAAGTCTTGCGCGGGTGTTCCTAGCCAAAAGCTGTCTACATATATTGGGCTCGACAGGAACAAGATGGCTATCGACTAGGGATGACCTAAGGGCAATATGAGTCAAGTATGCGTCAAGTCCGTCTATTTCATCGGAAGCGTTTACTTGTAATAGATAGAGTAAGTCGATCGTGAGCCAGCATCTGTCCTTTGTAATAAAGATAGGGTACCCTAATCGACAGAGGAGGTTTCGCCTACTCAGCATTTTGCCAGTGGAATAATGTTGCGCGCCCACCGTTCTCGACCCATCACCAATGGGCATTGGGGCCTATTGATCATACCTCAAAGAATGTGCACAACGGGATATGCCAGGTCTCGGATGATCTCTGTCGTCGGTTAGAAGCGGCTTTCTTTTCGGTGCCATGTGTCCATCTGTGGGCGCCACGAACGGTTGCTCCATCGATAGATCAGAGTGTCGAAGCCGACTACCTGCCTTGTACTTTCAAGTCATCACCCTCAGTTTCTCCGACAGTGAGAGTAAGGCATTGTGGGTAACCCCCTTGTACTCACCACATCACGCGCGAGAACAAAAAGACATGAGGCATCTGCCAGAAGGCAGTGCTTGACCGTTATCGATTGGCTTGGGCGCTAACCCGTAGAGCGTGGAATATTCCGATTTCCTCCTGCTCAACAGCTCCCTTCACCTCGCAATCATGCCTCTTTTTGAGGGGGCGACCAATGTCTCTATCACTGGCGGCAACTTCACTGATAATAGTGGTAACGTGTATAGTAAGTCTTGCAAGCTGCAGTAGCGGCTCAGGAATTTGACTGAAGGAATTGTTGCAGACTTTGCACACAATGAAGTTAGGGTACAGCAGACGATTGAAAATCTGAACAACTATGGAGCTATGAACATGGCACCCGTGTACGGTAAGTATCTGCACCGATCGTCACAATCGCACGTCGCACTAGCAGACGCTGAGTTCTGCGATGCAAGGGGACCTGCGCCAGAACGTGACTCCACGGCGACCGCCCCCACCGAACCGGCCACGAACAGACCCTGCTCCCGGTTACCCTCAACCCCGACAGCGACCCCCATACAGGCACGGCCAGAGCGACCCCACTTCCTACCATTCTTACTATCCGGGCGAACGGTACCGGCACGGAGCGCAAGCGTATGACCCCATGCCGCCGGGAAACGCACCTTATGGACCAACAGCATTCGACGATCCTGATGCCACCTACAATGACCACGGGGATGGGACGAATGGCTATTATCCAGCAGACAGGGGCCCACAGTCTCATAGAGCGCAGGAGTACTTAAGCCCCTACCCACAGCATGGATGGCCGCCGACATACGGCGACCCCAGCTCCCCCCACCATCGACGATCACGCTCTGCCCAAAGCACCTTCAACCGCGATCCAAGTCGAAGCCCCAACATACGCTCATCCGCCAATCATGCCGGTAGTTTGAGCGACGACGATCGGCCACCAGAAACCAGCCCCCCCGTCGAGCAAATGGAAAGACTTTCCTTCGACGATGTCTATGGAGACCCCTCCCCGACTCCCCCTAACGCCAGCATGAACGGCGAAGGGGACAGGTCAAGCGAACGTGAAGAATCCGAGGAGCCTGAGGAGATGCCACGATCGAGGAACAGGATGAACCACAGCCCGTCGCCGCCAAGTGCGAGCTCGAGCTCTCACCGCCACCCTCCTCGCAACAACGCACGGTCCCCGCAATATCCGACTTCCTCCCCCTCAAGCCCAGGTTACAGTGCATTTGGCCAGCCTAGTGGGGGCATGGTCTCGTCGTTCCCGTCCGGCTGCAATCGTTTTCGCGGTTCCAGAGCCGCCGACGTTCCAGCAGGGCGGAGGGTCTTCCAAGCTGCAGCCCAGGAATTCAACTTCTTCCCTCGCAAGCCTGAGGACAAACAGAAGCCGGATGAGCACTCCATTGGGGTGGAAAGGTAGTGGCTCTCCTGAGCCCTGCGCCTGGTTGCTGAATCGCGATTCACGATCATGACATGCCCAATCCATGGCCACGACCTACTTATCCTATCTCTGCTCATTTTTGTATACCCGATACCCATCTGCGTTTTTCTGGCTTTCGTCTGTTTTCTCGCTGTCGTCGCTATATGTACTCTTCTTCAATATGCTACTTTTACACCGTCGCTCTATACCTTACGAACAACTCGCGCCACACATCTCCCAGCTCGGACTGAGGCTATATTACCGTCAATTATATGTATGTACGTACAATAAAGATACAAGGAAAAAGTGCAACAGAAATCATTAAAAATACATGCGTCTGGATGGGTGGGGGGTGCTGGTACAGATGGAGTGGAGGTTGGTGTCTAGGGTGTATGTGTGGGTACAGAAATGCAGTTAACCGAAAGTACTGGCAGTTCGACTATACGGCCATCATCTCGTCGAGCCAGTCATTTAGTTGTCCTCCTTGTCCTCCTCCGTGAGCGGCGGTTGTTCTACGGGGTTGACTTCAGAGTCGGGTCGAGAGAGGGTAGGATCGGGGGGATGATTGTCCTTGATATTGAGGGCATTGGCGTCCTCAGAAACGGTAATGTGAACGGTATCACCATCCCTACACAATCGATCAGTCAGCAGCCAATTCCAACTTGGAAACACTGAGAGAGCAAAGGAGAACTCACCGAATAGTACCCCTCAACAGCTTCTGAGCCAACGGGAACAGCAAATCCGTGCGCACAATCCTAGCAATGGCACGAGCGCCATACATATCCGAGTAACCAGCCTTCGCCAGCCACTCCTTCGCAGCAGCATCCACATCCAACGTGATACGACGCGACTCCAAACGCTGCGCCACATCCTTCAAACGAAGATCAACTACAGACAGGATGGACTTGCGAGAGAGCTTGTTGAAGACCTGGATGGAATCCAACCGGTTGAGAAGCTCAGGAGGGAAGTACTCGTGCGTCCTCTCGATCACTTCCGCCCTGGCTTCAGGCGTGACTACGCCGGTTTTTGGGTCGCTGGCAGTGGGGTTGGCCAGGATGTCGCTGCCGATGTTGCTGGTCATACAGATGATCGTGTTCTTGAAGTCGACCTTTCTGCCTTGACTGTCGGTGATCGTTCCCTCGTCAAGGATCTGGAGGAGAATGAGCGCGACGTCCTTGTGGGCCTTCTCCATCTCGTCCAAGAGGATAACGGCGTATGGCTTTCGGCGGACCGCCTCGGTTAGTTGACCTGGATCCCAGTTAGCCAAGAATCGTAGGTCGTAAGCCTGAAGTACATACCTCCTTCCTCGTAGCCAACATAACCGGGAGCAGCGCCAATTAGACGCGACACGGTATGTCTGTCGTGGTACTCGGACATGTTAATGGTGATCAAGCCTCTTTTCTCGTCGTTAAACAAGAAGGCAGCGAGGGCCTTGCAAAGCTCGGTCTACGGGTGCCACCAATCAGTCATTGAACAGACACATGACGAGCGGGAGCGTACCTTGCCAACACCGGTAGGACCCATGAACAAGAACGAGGCGACAGGACGGTTGGGTGCTTGCAGGCCTGCTCTCGAAATCCGCACCGCATCGCTGATGGCAGTAACGACATGATCCTGGCCAACGACCCGAGCCTCGAGTGCCTCTTCCATCTATTGAGGAAAACAGTCAGACATCATGAAACGCGGAGTATAGTTTCGAAACACCCACATGAACCAACTTGTCACGCTCACCCTTCAGCAAGTTCTGAACCGGGATACCTGTGGCCCTGCCGACCACCCTGGCGATATCGTTCGAGGTGACCCGGTTGTGGAGCATCGACAAGGGACCTTCAGGTTCCTCTTCGGTCTCGTTCGGGAGCTGCCGTTCCAGCTCTGGAATCGTCGCGAAACGAAGTCGGGAAGCCAGCTCATATTGACCCTGTCTTTGTGCAACTTCGAGTTGGTACTTGGCGTCTTCGAGGCGTTTCTTGGTGTCCTTGATCTTCTCGAGACGTTCGCGTTCTGACAGGACGGTTTAGATAACCGTTAGACTACGGCCCGAAAGGGATACGCACCGGCGTGCCATAACTTGGTCAACTGATCGCCTTCCTCCCGTTTGATCTTAAGGTCCTCTTCAACCTTGTTCCTCCGCTCCACACTGAAAACATCCGTTTCGTTCTTCAAGCTTTCCAGTTCGATTTGAAGGGTCATGATTTCTCTGTCGAGAGCCTCCAGTTCATCAGGCTTGCTTTCTTGGGCGAGTCGGAGAGCCGAAGCGGCCTCGTCGACGAGGTCGATGGCTTTGTCGGGGAGGAAGCGGTCGGAGATGTATCTTGCGGAGTAAACAGCAGCTAGAAGGGCGGGAAAGGTCAATACACGCGCTTGGGGCCTTCCAAGCGACAGAGCGTACCTGTGACAAGCGCGCCATCCGATATTTCGACACCATGGTGTACTTCGTATTTGGGCTTCAAGCCACGGAGAATGGAAATGGTTGCTCCAACGGTCGGTTCATCAATGGTCACTGGTTGGAATCGACGTTCGAGTGCAGCGTCCTTTCCAATAGTTTTGCGGTACTCGTCAGCTGTAACGAAGCGTTAGCTATGGCCAAAGAATGCAATAAACATACGTACGAGTCGTAGCTCCAACCAATCGAAGGCCTCTCGCCAACGAAGGCTTAATCATCTGCCCTCCATCCACACTTCCTTCGGCCTTTCCGATATTGAACAGAGTATCTACATGGCGAGATTAGATTCACAAGACTGATAGAAGTAAGGAATGACGCACGAATTTCGTCGATAAAGCAAATGACGTTGCTGGCTTCCTCCTCAATGTCCTTAATAAGTGCCTTGAACTTCTCCTCGAACTGGCCTCGAATTCCAGAGCCTGCTACGATGGCGGCGAGATCAATCGACAGCACACGCTTGTTGTGTAAAGACTAGACGTCCAAAGTGAGCCCGTGGACAATGGGTGTGTAAGAGAGCTGCGTACCTCTGGAACTTCCTTTGCGATGATACGGTTAGCGAGGCCTTCGACAATTGCTGTTTTACCGACACCAGGTGGGCCTAGGAGCTAGGATGGAATTGAGAACCGCATCGCATGGTTATTGCTCGGATCGAACGCACCACTGGATTTGACTTTGTCCTGCGAGACAGAACTGGGAGAAGGTTGGTCAATTCAATGGCAGGTTTGCGTGGTCGTTGCATAACATACTTTGAATAGTCCTTCGGATTTCTGTAGTTCCATGTTAGCCTCTAGTCGATGCTGCAACAAGAGAAGACATACCGTCATCCCGGCCAATTACTGGGTCCAGCTTTCCTTGTTTTGCCAACTCCGTGAGATCAACACTCTGTTCAGACGAGGACAGGTCAATACAATACAGTAAATAGAGGTAAAATACACGCACAAATTGCTTCAACGCCTCTCCCTTCTGGTACTGCTGCCCAAAACTGAGCCCAGGGAATCCTCCCCCTGCTCCGCCTCCCGGAGGCATACCAGCATACCCTCGTACACTTCCAGCGCGATTCCACCTGAGAACAGGAATACATGCCGATGGTGTAACAGCCAACGGCCCAAGACGCGTCCTAGTTCTCGTATACCTGACAGCTACAGTCGAGAAAGCGCGTCCTGAAACCTCTGCCCCTCGACTACCGCCCAACAACGGCAGCCTCTGAATCGGGACTTTGCTGGCAATCCTTTTCGTTGCAAGCATTGTAAGCTGGAGAAATTTGTTAACACGCTAGCGATGTATGTCGGGACTATAAAACATACCACCGACACCGTTTCCAGTCGAGAATTTGCCAGAAAGCGCTGGTGATGACGTTGAGAAGGGAAGCCGCGGCAGCGGTTCCGGCACGTCAATCAAATTGATGACAACATTGCTCTCGGAATCTTCCAGATCCTCCATGTTCGCCTTACGCTTGGCGCCCTGCACTGGTGCACTTTCATTGCGTTTTCACGCCAAAACTTGGGGAAAGGACGCACCAAATATCGTCCCAGACACTTAGATACAGTCGTTTGACTTGGTACAACAAGGGATAAACTTCAAACTCATTACGTTCAACTCAACCAAGACTTCCAAAACAAAGAACAGAAAGGAGCCAAACTATACAAAATGTAGCATATCATAAAAACCAAAAAGCGGCTGCATAGAGTGCAAAGTAGCCAATGAGAACCGAAAGAATGGTAGATAACCGCCCATCAGGATATCGTCTATCTACAGTGAAACCAGAGTCCAAAAGCAATGGGGTCGTGGCGCGCGCAATATCCAAATTGAAACTTGAAAGAGCGGGGGCGCAATATGTCCCGAGGTTAGTCCCATCTAGATCGTATACCTAAAACTGACCGCCTTGTCCCCCAACTTCCTCTCCTCCCGAATAATCTCGGCGTCTAAAACCAGATCAACCCCGTCACCCGCCAAACCCTGTTTTTCCGCCAATTTGTATCTTCGTGCATTGATGAGTCTGTATCCCACGACCGCAATAAGGCCTGAGACGATCCCGAGTGAGATTACGATGAGTTCGAATCCGACTGTAGGGAAGTGGATAATGGATTAGATAGATTGGAGGTGCTGTCGAGAGAAGGAACTCACATCCAGGCAAGAACCGCGGGCTATCCTGCTTCCTAAAAACCATAGGCGACACCAACCCACCCACATTCGCAAGCGACAGAACCAGCGCCATCGACAATCCGCGTTTATAGTGACCTGAATAGTTGTTTGCTTGCCTAAAAAGGTTTCCATCATCAACCCTTGAACTCAAATTGCTCCTGCAAGGTCTTGGAGAAAAGGGAAGACGAGTGCGATGAGGAAAGGAGACCCACCAAGCAGCAACACCAGGGACACCCGCATAACTCCCAGTAACGCACAAGAAGATCCCAAAATACTTGACCGAAACACGGACGTTCATGAAGTTGATGGCATAGCCGATGAGGCCTATCAGAAGGGACGCCAGAACGAAGGGAGAGCGGATACTGTGCTTGTCGGCATAGTAGGAAAAGACATTGATCACGATCGCTACATGAGTTGAGGTAACGGAGCGATGAAGAGGACGAGTGGATATCACTTACTCGCGAGGACATAAGGGGGGATGGAGAGCAACTGGGTAATGGCGGGAGAGTAGCCGAACCTAACCAAACACATTCTCAATCAGTCAACGAGCCGATTTTGTGACGATGAGGAAAACCTCACGCGTTGATGATTGTCCTACACCCGTTCATCCAAGTAGCCGTGGAAAGGGACGTGTGAGACTAACAATATAGTGACAGCCAAAGACCACCTACGGGGAGAAGAAAGTGATCCCATATACTGCAGGTCATAGGAGAATAGACACGGAGTCAACGAAGGTCCAGCCCCTTCACTTCGTACGACGTATTAAGAAACCGAACTTACAGGAGCACACAAACGCGAAGCTCATGCCAACAAACGTGTAGAGCTAGAACCAAATAGCACCCGCATGTCAGCAAGCCACTCGAGTCATCGGAATGTCGCGGATAAAGTCTGACAAAGGGTTAAAGAAGGAAGCGAGGAAGAGGACGAATAGAAGAAAAGGCAAACTCGAGTCAAATGAGTGCGCAGCAAACGAGGGTAGAATCAAATCCAAGTAGAGGAGAAAACGGAATTCACGACCACTACACACCTGCCAATCGGACAATGCAGCCCAAACATGCCTCGTCTCAAAGTGCTCCTCTTCTCCAAGAGGCGAGCCTTGTTCTGCAAAAGAGTTACATTAGTTTCGATTTCACACCAGTCGAAGGAAGGAGCAGGCGTGAGTCCGAGTGCGGAGTCAAAGATCAACTTGTCAGCAAAAGAGGGAGAAGAAGTGGGGCTCCAATCGAAAGCCCACGACCCGCTGAGATCCCCCTCGAATCTGGATTCACATATCCACATCCGTGTGTTCTCGCGAGAATCATGGAGCAAATACCAAACAGGACACGAAGTCCCAGAAGTGGCCAAAGTTCATACCAGAACAACCAAAACAGAGCGAAAAAAGATCAAATGAAACAAGTGAACCTCGAAGAACAAGCTTAAATTTTAAATAAAAGAAACAGAAGATGAAAAATGAAAAATGGAAACCAGAAAGCACAGCGTTGGGATGCCAGGGTTATGTATTCTCGCAAACTTAAAGGTGGACCAGGTAGAATCTGTGAGTACTCACTCTGCGAATCCAACACAAACATCCGCTCTTCTTCTGTCAGGAATCCCGCTGTCGCCGGTAGATCTACCATCACTGCAGTGTGCACAAGTCACAAATCGCAAAGAAAAACGGCGGTTAGTTATTAGTCGTAAATCATCGATGAAGCCGGGACATCCGCCAGAGTGGGGAATGCAGCGGCAGAGCGCCAATCGCGGCCTGTGGCCTGCCGTGCTTCGCAAATCTCAGGTCGCAACTCGAGATGCCCGATCCGAGTCACGGCGCACGAACGCAGCACGAACGAGGCCGTGACAACGCGGCACGGCACCCGACGCGGTCGTATTTGACTTCGACTTGGGCATGACACCGAAGACGAAGACATCGGTGCACATATAAGATCCGCAACGCGAATGGAAATGAAAAAGGGAGAGTGAAAAGAGGATCAAATACTCACCTAGGAACGCGATAATCCCAACGACAACAGTCATCCCTCCTTCAACGATCTACAGTGGATCATGAAAATCAGCAACCAGTTCATCCAAAGGACGGTGTGAAATGACTGAATTGATGGGGGTTGAATAACGGCGGCGGCAGCGGAAGAGAGCGGAAAGCGTCAACTTCAAGTCAAAGCGGGAGATCCGCAACTCGATCCAATCCGCACGCCGAAGGCGTCCCCCGAATGCGTCCCCCGAATGAGTAGTGAACAGACGAAAAGCTCGAAACCAAGCGCATGGGATGGAGGATTGAGAATCAGACTCACGAAAATCCACGACCACCCTCTCATACCACTCAACCCATCCATAAACCCGATAGCGTACGCCAAAAGACCGGAGAAGGCCCCCGCCATCGAAGCTGCGCCGAAGAAGTAGGCCATGCGCGTTTGGTACATGTTTCGGGGGTACCATAGGGAAAGGCTGCATTGAAGGATGAGTTAATACCATGCACAAGGCTATGTGGAACTTGTACGCATTTATTCGAGGGAACTCACTAGTAAACAACACCGGGGTAAAACCCAGCTTCAGCTGCTCCCAGAACAATTCGTAGAGCCAGTAGTTGAGGGAAACTAGTGCCCATCCGTCGTCAGTCCAGTTCAAGTGCGTACAGGAATCAAGGAATGGCTCGCGTACTTCTTGACAAATCCCGTCACGAGACTACCATATCAAAGATGCATCAGTTTCGAACTCACAGTGTATCAAAAGGCATAGAGGACATACACAACAAGCCCCCAAAACACCTGCATACGCCCAGGTCGCCCAAGTCCATTAGACAAGAATTGGTTCACGATTTGATTTTCGTGTATTTGATTCGTATTCGAATTCACCGAGACGGAAACGCAAGTAGAAACCAAAACGGAAGGTGGAAGATCAGCATATCACCCGATAACATCGTGACATCGCGAGAAACAGACTACCGTCACCAAGTCGTTCAGGGTAGGTAAATGGATGAAGGGGACTTACAGTGAGGAATGGGAGCCATCTAGAGAGTCGAGGGAGGTAGATTGGCATGAGCATGAGCAGGCGATCATCAATTCGATGTAAGGGCAAGGCCAATTTTCAGTGAAGGATTGAAGGGCTTTGACGTACCGCGAAGGTCGAAACTTTTTCAAGAGCAAACTGCAAACGACGTGAAGAGGTGGTCAGACGGAGTTCCAAGACGGGAAGAGAGTAACGCGACGGCGATTGGTATGCTGAAGGTGACGTACTTTGAAGGGACTTCGAATAAACAATAAGGCTATTGAAGCGGATGGAAGGAGTGATGTCAGATAAAGCTTCACAACCCCCAGCCTCCATCGGCTCGATTTTCGATGCGTAATGCCTTCGAGCCGAAGAGCGTCGACAGGAGACGGGGGACGGGAGACAGGAGACGGGAGACTTACAATGAAGAATAGAGTCTAAAGGGAATAGTAAACCGAACGAAAGAGAGACGATTTAGATGAGCATCGGATACTACTGTGTGGAAAAAGCGAAGCGACTCACGAGTGCAAGGTTATACTGGCTCCCCGTCATATTGAGTTCTTCCTCCAGTCCTTGGAGCCGCGCGTTGCCTAACCATTAAACAGAAACGCACCTTCGTCAGCGATAGCGACCTGTGCGATGATGTCAAACGCACCGATGTTAGCTGAAGAAACCCGTCAGCACTCACCCAAAGACCCAAACCCACAACTCAAACAACTCACCTCGATCCATAAACGAAAACAAATACATCACGGTCAAAATCGGCAACAACTTCAAATCCACCTTCCTCCACAACCTCCTGCTATCTATCTCTATCTCTTTCTCTATGCTTCCCCCCTCTGGTAGCCGAGTGGCCGCCTGGGCCTCGTCAACGACAGAGTCCGACTCTGCTCCCTTCAACCCCTTCTCGATGATCTCTAGCTCGGCCTTGGAGGAGCCGACGTCGGTTTTGGAGTCGAGGTCTTGGAGTGAGTCCATCTTGGAAGAGTGAAGTTCTGTCTTGGAGGGGGATTCGTGGAGGTCTGTCTTGGAGGCACGAGAGGAGTCGAGGTGCTGCTGTAGTCCGGATCCTGCTTTGATGCTTCCAGCAGGCGAGTCCGAGTCTAGGGATCCGTGTTCTGCTTTGCCCGTCATCGTATCCGCGGCGAGGTGAATGAAGGTGTAGAGATGATGGTCTACTGGGTTGAGAGTGGGCGATGGTCGCTGGTCGATGGTCGGAGACGTGCACAGGTATAAGTCGCCGGTATACGTCGATAGATGAAACGAGAGAAGAAGGGGCCTGAGTCGAACTAGATTAAAATAACTGGGAGAACAAGGGAGGAAGCGACGAAGAGGAAGACGAAGCGAAGGATAGGAGGGGAAGATAAAGCAGAAGCGGTGCGGTGAAGCTCGACAAGTGGGCTCAAAGGAAGAGGGGCACCGGAGATTCGAAGCTTCACGGAGTGGAAATAAGTAGTAGTACCGTAAGTAATGAAGTATGGGGGGTGGTAAGTAGGAAGGGACGAAGAGTTAGCCGCCCTTTGACCCTTTATATACTTGTGAATTGCTGCTAAAATATCAATTCTCCTCCCGGTATTTAAACTGGCAGCAGACAACGGGAGAGGAGTCAAAACCGAAAGGTAAAATCAAACGCGGAAAGGAATCCGAATCGTCGATTCGAAGGGGTTCCTGTATGTATCGAGATTCTGGAATCTGAAATCTGTGGAAACCAAACCCAACGAAAGAAAAAGAAAGGAAAAGAAAACACGGCGGAGCGGAAGGGGAGGCGTGCGTTGCAATTTTCAGAAGAAAAAAAGGTTTCGAAAAAGAACCTTCCTTGCAAAGGGATCGAAAGGAGGAAAAAGAGGACGTCGGAAGACTCCTGGCTTCGACAGCGACTGCGCAGAGTCGTCCAAGTGCAGTATGTATGTAAATCCGGCTGGTTGATTGAAGTACGTCAGGGTATGAATGAATATGTAAGTAAGTCCCCGTTGTGCGACGCATAAATGCCACGGGGAAGGAAGGAGAATCATGAATCGCGATGTCATCCAAGGAGGCACTGTGATTGGGTCGAATGGTGCCAATCGCGTCACTCAAGTCGAGTGTGAAGTGATGTTGGAACCTGGCGCTTGTTATGTTGGTAAAACGAGAATAGAAAGGGTGGTAAAGGATAAAGTGAATGTGAGAGGAGGAGATCCAATAACAGCACAGGTAGGTGAGAAATGAGTGCCCAGCCCGAAGCACCTAAAGCTAATCAGTAGAGCGCCCAAAGTTGGAGAAATCGAAGCTTGCGAACCGGACCTCGTGGTGTCGTGCCAATCGGGTCTTGACTAGGATTGGCTTGGTGGGTAGTGCCACTGGTTGCCCTGTAGTTTAAGCCCTATTGTAGAGATCGGCTATCGTTATGTGGTGTAACATCGCCTGGGCGTTTGTCTTGCTCTGGTCATTACTGGAAAGTTGGAGGGCTATAGTGAGCGGAGTCCTCCAGCGGACAGAATAGATCGAGAAGATTCGAGGAGATCCCTGTTCCTCCAGTTGTGCCCATGTCACGCTTATGGGGCAATTCAGAGCAGAAACTTTAATGAAATAGGGACGCGTGTCAAATACACACCGCAGCACTTGACGCAGTGGTAGTCGGAGGTAATAAAATCGCATGAGGCGTGTTCTCCTCCGTCGTGGTCGCCTGTAGGTGCACGAGCAAGTTCAAGGTTATTGTTTCTAAAGCGGTAGAATATTCCAGAGAACATCTCCAGTTCCGCGGGGCGCTTCTAGAGTCGGATTTCTGGTTTTCGGAGGGTCGGATCTATCGCGGGCAGGAGGCATAGCGGGGTTTCAGTTGGAAGAATTGAGAAGAGAAACAAGGAACAAGAGTCGCAATTTGTGATTGGGATTCGGAAGGTGGGGTCAGGAACGGGATTGCGAAGAGCGATGGTTCCTCCCTCCATGTCGGTCATGCAGCTCCCTAGGCGAGTATAAGGCGGTTGGCGATAAAACAAAGTTTGACCGTCCTTGAAGAAGAAGTATTGATTCATTGGTATTAGAATGCACGAGGAGATAAGAGTTGCAGTCAATCGACCAAGGCGGTTCCGTCAGAGCAAGAGGCCAGGCAGCCGGTGGCTGGAGCTTGTGATTCTAACAGTCGCAAACAAAGGAGTGCCGATGCGGTAACGTCTCCTTGGTGGCCGTTGAGTTTTCCGAACGCGTCTCGACCTTCGACTGGCCTCTGCCAATTTCTATCCACCGGGCACAGAGCTCGCCAACTCACCATGGATCAGGACCTCATCACCCTCGTAAACAAGCTCCAGGACACCTTTGCCAACCTTGGTATGCATTTCTCAGCCAGAAACATGTGCAATGACTGAACAATTTGCAGGCGGTGAACTGGACATGCCCCAGCTGGTCGTGGTATGTGGCTTTTACTCAAAACAAGGATTTCAAAGTGTTTACAAGGGACTAGGTTGGCAGTCAGTCGGCAGGAAAGTCAAGTGTTCTCGAGACGTGAGTTGTTTCCAGTCGAATTGGAGCTAAATTGGCTAATCGTCATTCAAGGATTGTCGGGAAAGACTTTCTGCCCCGTGGACAAGGAATCGTCACAAGAAGACCGCTCATCCTTCAGCTCGTGCACACCCCAATTCCAAAGGAACCTTCACCAAATGCGCCCCCTTACACAGAGTGGGGCCAGTTCCTGCACGTCGACAAGCGCTTCACCGACTTTAACGAAATTCGAAAGGAGATTGAGCAGGAGACGTTCCGGGTGGCAGGCCAGAACAAGGGCGTCAGCAAACTTCCCATCTCGCTGCGGATATTCAGCCCAAACGTTCTCGATTTGACGCTGGTCGACTTGCCTGGCTTGACCAAGGTGCGTAACGGCATTGTTGCTACGGAGCGCGTTTGCTAAATCAAATGCTCAGATCCCCGTCGGAGACCAGCCAAGCGACATTGAGCGTCAAATCCGCAACCTCGTCCTGGACTATATCACAAAACCCAACAGGTACGTTGGCGCCGGTTAAACGGTCACCCGCCCCCCTTTCCTGACTTGCATTCTAGCGTCATCCTCGCCGTCTCAGCAGCCAATGTCGATCTCGCCAACTCGGAGGCACTCAAGCTCGCGCGTTCGGTCGATCCACAGGGGCGAAGAACCATCGGTGTCTTGACCAAGGTCGACTTGATGGATGCAGGAACGAACGCTCTCGACATCCTCACCGGTCGCGTCTATCCCCTGAAGCTGGGCTTCATCGGTGTGGTTAATCGAAGCCAGCAGGACATCATCTCCGAAAAACCAATGTCGGACGCGATCGAGAGCGAAACAGAGTTCTTCCGCAACCACCCAGCCTACCGAAACATCGCCCACAAGAACGGCACCAAGTACCTTGCGAAGACCCTCAACCAGGTGCGTTTATCGTTGTCGTCTTCGGCTTCGACTCCCTTTAACCTCTTTCCCCCATCAGGTCTTGATGAACCATATCCGAGAAAAACTTCCTGATATGAAGGCCCGTCTCAACACCCTTATTGGCCAAGCTCAACAGGAATTGAATTCCTATGGCGACGCTGCCATCTACGGGGACAAAAATCAAGTAAGCGTTCTTCCGTGAAGTCACACAATCCCTCGCGTTACTGACAGCATCCCCACAGCAAGGATCTCTCATCCTCCGCCTCATGACCCAATTTGCTCGCGACTTTGTGTCCTCGATCGAAGGAACCAAGGTTGACATCTCCACGAAGGAGCTCTCAGGCGGTGCACGGATATACTACATCTTCAACGACGTCTTTGGCCAAGCTCTCTCCTCCATCGACGCCACTGGCAACTTGGATACACAAGACATCCGTACCGCCATTCGAAACTCGACGGGCCCGCGTCCCAGCCTGTTCGTTCCCGAGATGGCCTTCGACCTCCTCGTCAAACCCCAGATCAAGCTCCTCGAAGCACCGAGCTTGCGGTGCGTCGAGTTGGTTTACGAGGAATTGGTCAAGATTTGTCATAACTGCACTAGTGCTGTACGTTTTTGTTTCTCATGAGGCTATCGGTCTTCTTACTGACGTCATATCTGGATTGGTAGGAGCTCTCACGATTCCCTCGACTGCATGCGCAGCTCATCGAGACGGTGTCGGACCTGCTCCGAGAGCGTCTTGGTCCCACCTCTGAATACGCGCAGAGTTTGATTGAAATTCAGGCTGCGTATATCAATACCAACCACCCAGCGTTCATTGGTGGGTCCGCTGCTGCCGCAGCAGCGCCCTCTCAGCCACCTCCACGACAAATTCCTCCACGAGTACGTACTCTCCGTGTCTTTTTCTGTCTGCCTTTATGTTCCCAATCTGACTTCATTCCTCCATCTCCACCCCTTTTTACAACAGCCATCTTCGGCGGAACCACCCAACGGTTTCATCGGCGGGCACGAAGACGACGAAGACGCAGCTTCAGATGACATCTCCGGTCCAAATGGTATTTTCCCTCCTCCCCGTGACGGACGCTCCGGATCCGTAACCGCAGCCTTGCACGAACGCTCACGCCCCTCCTCCCGCACAGGGGTCTCCCATGGCCACGGACACGGACTCGGCGCGGTCGTCAAACGCTCCTCGTCCAAGACGCCGCTGCATAAAGACCATGTGGTCAGCCGGGACCGGGTGTCGAGTTCTACTTCGGCGAGGGGGATTGCGTCGTCGAGTGGTGGTGGTGCGTTTGGAGGACAGAGGGACAGCAGGGATAGTGGGAGTATGAGCACTAGTTCATCCCCGCATACTGCCCGCGAGACGTTCTTGAATTATTTCTTTGGGCAGAATGGACCTGGGCCTGTTAGTGGCGCCAGCGTTGACCAGCAGCGGGGTAGGGGAGTTGGTGGGGGACATTATGGGGGTGGAGCGGGAAGCCAGGATGTTGGGTTTACGCCCGTTGGGAGGGATGTTTCGGGTGCTGAGCCTGCGCTTTCGAGTGGGCTGATGGCTGGGAAAAGGAGTATTGATGGAAACGATGCAGCGTATGACATGAAGAGTCTTGGGAAGCATATCGAAGCTGTACGTCGTCGTCTTCTTCTCTTACCGTTCAAGGGATAATACTAACACAACGACAGGTCTCAGCGGACAATGGCCAACTCTCCAGGCGCGAAGAGATGGAAACCAACCTCATCCGCTCGTTGATCACCTCGTATTTCAACATCGTCCGACAGAGCATCCAAGACCTAATACCCAAAGCGATTATGCACTTCCTCGTCAACCATACCTCGCAGCAAGTCCAGAATCGGTTGGTGTCGGCGTTGTACAAGCCGGAGCTGTTTGCGGAGTTGTTGAATGAGGACGAGGCGTTGGTGGCGGAGAGGACGAGGGTTAAGGCGTTGTTGGATGCGTATAAGGATGCGTTTAAGATTTTGTCGGAGGTTAGTTTGAAGTCGACATAGACCTGGTGGGCTTTGGCGGTGTCTGGCGGAACCTGACCCTTATCGATATCTTGTCGGTGGAGGGTTTGGTATTTCTCAAAATGGCTGGTCCCTCCTGGTGGTGGTGGTGGTGGATGATCCATAGACGTTTCATGTGTTTTTTGATTTCTTTCTGTTTGATTTGATAGAGTATTTCGCGTAACACACGTATCCTACCATACTACCTACCTACCTACCTACCTCTTCTCGCCCCCCTTTCTTTCTTTTTGTTGTTTCATACATTGATTTTAGTGATGAACCCCACCTTTAATGACCGCTGTTTATATAAATGAATAGGAATATAGAATTTGATTAGTATCTTGGTGGATGGTTTGGGGTGGTTTGAAGCTGACTTGTCCCTCACGATAGGCCTATGCATGGAGTCGACGATCGTTTGGCTAGGGGATGCCAGAGCCTCAGCAGCACTAACCAGTCTGTGCACAGCGCTCACACCATACCTGAGACGCAGTAAAGTGCTGGAGGCTGTGGTTCGTCAAACCGCCTCGATGCGGGTCCAATTTGAGTTCTACCTGGGCCAGCACACCGCCACTCCCCTTGCTGTCAGCATCTTCTGACGAAGTAGTCAATTGTGAAGCGCACAGTGTATCCCTACAGCTTTTGCGCTCGTTTAGGGTAGCTTTGTCTTTAATTCGACCATTATAAGCGCCCGCCGCGCCATCTGCTCATTTTCGTTGCCATGCCTTCCATTTGTCAGAAGCTTCAGTAACTGTTGTATACCAGTGGGATAGCTTATCCTTCATACTGTGCGCTGGCTGGTAGTTCCAGTTGAGCCAAAACTCAAGCTACATACAGAGACTGGGAGAGCCCCTTGAAGTTGAACGGTTGAACCTTCGCGGACGTTTGGACGTTGCAGCGGAGTCCGTCGGGGTTGATTGACTGAGTTAGAGTGCACCTGAGTGCACAAGCTCCTTGTCATGAACACCCATCAACCCTGGATCATAACCTTTCGAACTCGGCGCTCGATTCGAGTTCAGAACTCTGGACCAAATGCATCCGGCAAGGCTGTGCATTTTAGGCGCCCCAGCTGCTGAGCGTTATCAGCGACAGAAGCCGGACAACCAAGTGTTGGTGTTACAGAAGACAGTCGTGTGAATTGGCCGGCGCTGGATGTTATGGCTTTTATATAACCGCCATGCAGAACCACTCTCTCACGTCACCCATCTGCCATTTCAACTTGCTAGGTTCTCGTTATGGGCGATGCTACTATCTGTACATCCGGAGAGCCTGACTGCACGGTATGTACCTGCGCGCCCACTGCTGCACAACGACCTTAAACGCCTTATCTGCAGGCCATGGACGGACATGAATCATCGGGTATGCATCTCACGAATCGTAGGCCTTGTGAGGAGGGCCTTCGCTAACCATGTACCAAGGTGAATCTGCTCAAGGCGAAGACGAGCTTCAGGGAGCTTTGGCCCGTGTCAACGAACTATTGGATGGGGCGACGAAAGAGATGAACGGCGATGTCCTCGCAAACACGATTTCCATATTGCGAGATATCATCCGTGACGAAGAGGACGAACAAAGGCTGGCAAAATCTAAGAGTGTCCTGATCAAAGCCCTTGTAACCCGGTTCGCTCGATATGGGTTGGTGGAAGACTTGGATGAGGGGGTGGACCTTTTGCTGAGCGAGGCGTTTCATCGTTTCGCATTCACGGTGAGCGGCAAACGGATGAACTGCATTCAACCACGCAGTAAGCTTATACAGTGCACAGGATCAACCACGTATCTCGCATTCAGAGGACAAAGGCTGCGCGGACAATGTCTCCTCCGCCCTGGATTCTCTTGGAAAGTATCGCAGAGCAATCGATGTGGCCAAGCTGGAAACCGCCATCGATGTCGCCAATGAAGCTCTTGCTTGTTATTGTGGTGCGGCCAATGGTCGAGGCGAATTGCTGCTTCGGGTCGGGAATGCCCTGGTTCTGAGATGGTTGGCGTCCGGTGACGAGAGAGACCTAGATTTGGCCGGGGCATCTTTTCAGGATGCTAGAGGCGTTCTCGGAAGCGGTTGCCCAATGCTCTTCACGGCACTTCTGTATCTCCAGCACATTGCGTCCATCAAGATAGTTGAGTGCAAAGGTGACATGTCGGTTGGGTTGCTGGAGCTGAAGCAGCTACGAGAGGAAATGGAGACCGAGGACGCCAAAGGGAGGACCGCGTACATGATGGGATCCCAGTTGATGGACGGCGATAACCTTGACGTAGAGGAATCTATCGTGTGGTTACGGCAGTCCCTTTCATTCCGACCGCTACGGCATCCAAGGCGCCTCGAGACACTGGACCATTGTACCATTGCCCTACGTAACCAATTTGGTTGTACATACGATAGCCGCGACCTGGAAGAGTGCGTCGCATTGTATCGGGAAGCGCTCGCTCTCCGCCCCTCTGGTCGCCCCGGCCGCCCACGCTCCCTCAACGACCTGGCAAGCTCGCTTCTCGCCCGGTTCCAGCACCAAGGCGACTTCCGCGACCTGGAGGAGTCCGTTATATTGGGAAGGGAAGCACTTGCTCTCAGCCCTCCAGGCCACCCCGAACGCTCTCGCTCCCTCCACGACCTGGCAACATCGCTTGGTACCAGGTTCCACCACAAAGGCGACTTCCGTGACCTGGAAGAGTCCGTCTTATTTTACAGGGAAGCCCTACCTCTCTGCCCTCCGGGCCACCCCAACCACTCTCTCTATCTCTACAACCTGGCAAACTCGCTGCGGACATGCTTCTTGCACAAACGCGACTTCCGCGACCTAGAGGAGTCTGTCACATGGGAGAGGCAAGTACTCGCTCTCCGCCCTTCTGGTCATCCCGACCGCTCCCGCTCCCTCTACCACTTGGCAAGCTCGCTTCTTGCCCTGTTCCAGCACAACGGCGACTTCCGTGACCTGGAAGAGTCGGTCACGTTGGGAAAGGAAGCGCTCAAATTCTGCCCACCAGGCCACCCCAACCACTCCCACGTGCTCAACAACCTTGCAAACTCGCTTCACGTCCTGTTCCAGCACAAAGGCGACTTCCGCGACCTGGAAGAGTCTATCGCATTGCACCGGAAAGCGCTCTCTCTCCGCCTTCCAGGCCACCCCGACCACCCCCGCTCCCTCAATGACCTGGCAACATCGCTTAGCACCAGGTTCCACCACAAAGGCGACTTCCGCGACCTGGAGGAGTCCATCGCATTGGTCAGGGAAGCGCTTACACTCCTGCCTCCAGGCCACCCCGACCGCCCCCGCTCCCTCAACGACTTGGCAGGCTCGCTTCTCATCCGGTTCCAGCACAAAGGCGACTTCCGTGACCTGGAAGAATCCATCGCATTCGCCAGGGAAGCGCTTCCTTTCTACCCTCCAGGCGACCGAAACCACTTCCAAGTGCTTAACAACCTGGCAAACTCGCTGCGCACATGCTTCTTGTATAAAGGCGACTTCCGTGACCTGGAAGAGTGCATTGCCTTGGAAAGGCAAGCGCTCATTCTCCTGCCTCCAGGCCACCCCGACCACCCCCGCTCCCTCAATGACCTAGCAGCATCGCTTGGCATCAGGTTCCACCGTAAAGGCGACCCCCGCGACCTGGAAGAGTGCATGGCGTCTCTCCGGGATGCCCTTCTTCTGTATTCAAAAATGGGACCTTCTCTTGCAGTTCAACATGATACCAGTCATGCATCGGTTGATCATCCCTTTCGGATTTTTGTAATCAAGAACCTTGTGGAAAATCTCATTTTCGAGTACCGGGCGACCACCCACACTAGCGTCCTGGATGAAATGTTCCAGCTCCTCAGGTCTGGCGCTCAGTCCCACGGGTCGTCGCCCTTCGCGAGGCTAGACCTTACCGAGCTCTGGGTTTCAATTTGCCGAGAGTTCGATTGTCTGGAAATTGCGCTGGAGGCTTACAGTCACGGGGTAGCCATTCTTCCCCACCTAGCGTCTCTCGACCTCACATTGGAACAGCGCCAAAACGTCCTCGTCTATGTCAAAGATCTCTCTAGGGACGCAGTACAGTGCGCAATTGGACAATGGCAATTGGACACAGCTGTTGCCTTTCTTTCCACCGCACGATCGACCTTCTGGTCCCAAGCGCTCCAATTTCGCGGGTCTTTCGACCGACTGGACGCCCTCCACCCTGATTTGGCGTCATATCTACGTTCTGTTACGCGCCAACTGGAAATTGCAATCGACGAAAACCTGCGCACTGACACGATATCGGCTCATGACCTGCCAAGACGTCCATACCTTCTCGCCCAGAGGAGAGAAGAAATCATCACACGCATTCGAGCTATTGACGGCTTTCATGACTTCCTCCTCCCTCCCTCCTTCGACACACTCAAGAGCGCTGCCAGGGATGGTCCGATCGTCTTCCTTAATGCCAGCAAGTACGGATGTGACATCCTGCTTTTGAAACAGGATGGTACCTTGCATCGTCATTTACTGTCTACATATTCGAGGCGGATCGATGGTTTGGCAGATGCAGTTCAGCAATTATCCCGAGGAAAGGCAGTGGGGAAACAGCTTCAGCGCAAGATTGACGACTTCTGCGAAACCGAAACTCGAAATACTCGCTTGAAGCTACGTCGTAAAAACAGAGGCACAGCGGACGACGATTTCAAGCAGCTTCTTGATATCCTCTGGGTTGTGGTAGCCGAGCCTGTCATTAGAATTCTGGGTTTGCAAAGGGTGCGGTCCTTGCCATCGTCTGTTATCCCACTTTCGCTGACTAGACTCTCAGACTGACAACCCGAAACGAATCTGGTGGTGCCCAACAGGCCCATTCGCCTTTCTTCCTATACACGCTGCCGGCATTTATTCCGACACCCCTGAAGCATCCGACTGTCTATCTGATTATGTCGTTTCGTCATACTGCTCTTCGCCGCAGGACCTCCTCGCACCACCGCCCGCACCGAATCCCGACTATGAAATGCTCGCTGTTGTTGAACCTGGAGAGCCGGGGCGTAGGCACAGCCTTCCATTTACCTTAGAGGAAGTCAAGAAGATCCGGCGTCACATCCCCCATGAAAGGCACTTGGTCACCCGCGTAGGTTCAGCAGACACTCCCTCCAGTCCCGACGCAATCTTGAATCATCTCAACACTGCATCTATCGTTCATTTTGGGTGCCACGGGTCTCAAGATCTCTCGAACCCGTTGGATAGTTCATTAATACTCAGCGGAGGTCGTCTGACCATGAGAATGCTGATACGGGGTTGCCAAGCATCCAACGCTGCGCTTGCCTACCTGAGCGCCTGTGAGACGGCGATGGGAGACCAAGAACGCCCCGATGAATCTCTCTCTCTGGCAGCAACTATGCAGTTTGCCGGCTTCCGAAGTGTGGTTGCGACGATGTGGTGAGTCTACTCCATTATTTCAATCCGTAAAGATTTTGTAATTGACCACCACTGGAACTTAGGGAAATCCACGACGAAGATGCACCCGTCGTAGCGGACGCTTTCTATAGCTATCTCTTTCGACGTGGGACAGCGGCGCCTCCGGACATAACTGACGCGGCGTATGGTTTACATCTTGCCGTGAAGAAGTTGCGCGACCATGGGGCACCGTTTCACCGATGGGTTCCTTTCGTTCACCATGGGATCTAATTTTGTCTCATAGAGTACTTGTATCTCCACATGTATACATACCCTTTGTACCCTTTGTCGACCGACAGCGTTCCTGCAGTTGGCGACTAACCGACATTCAGTCCTATTCACCCTTCGGTTTCAACTGCGTCCAACTTGAATGTGTCAATGTTTCGAGATGAGGAGGATACAGAGCAAGAGGCACCGGTAGATGAACGTCTATTAGATGGCAATGCGAGATTCAGGACAGATCGGACGGGTATACGGTATGGGCAAGGCAAGGTGAGATCGATATTGAAGCGGAGGAAGCAATGTATGTACTGGGGAGTAACGACGGAACGACTGGGAGGCAAACAAGTACGTAGGAGCGAGCCACGAAATTCAGTATCAGTTCTGGACCTAATCAATACGGAAACGCGGAAAATGTAACGGGGCAAGGCGGACGATAAGGGAGGGATGCGACACTGGGGGGTAAGTACATACATAGAGAAGACGCAAGTCAACCAGACACGCAACGGAACACAGACAGCGAGAGGCATAGACGAGTTCGAAGCAGCGAAAGCGGGGGAGGGGACACCGCAGCGAAAGGACATCCTGGATGGCAGCGAACGCGTGGTCACCCTTCCCGTTCAGGGCAGGAAGGGCGAGTCGACCTCCTGGAACAGTCGAGATGTAAACAACAGGCGTTGCGCAGTTGTGAATGATTCTCGACCACTCATGGAGGTCCGTAAAGCTGAGAACTCGTCAACTCAAGTTGCAGAGTCGGAGGTGTTTGCCTCTGAGTCCGTCTGGGCGGATGAGGTTGAGGTCGATTGTCCCTTGACGGACACCCATTTATCCTTCTTGTCCTCACTCGGCGTGGCTTTCTCCTTGTCGCTTTCCTCTTCAGACGTGACGCTCTCAGTGTCAGCATCAGCGCCGGTAGTCTCTCCCTCGGAACTGGAAGTAGACTTGGAGGAATCAGCAGAGTCCGAGCTGACCGAAGGATCGACTTTGGGCTCAGATCGGGCCTTCTTCTTTCCCTTCCTGTCCTGTTTCTATAATAATAGAGTTGAGAGAAGCAACACGCGGCGATGATACGAAAACATACCTCTTTGGCCTCCTTCTCTTCTTTCTGATATACGGAACCATAAGTCAGCACTCTCAACGATTAAAGGAATGGGCATAGCGCCGAGTTGGGGTATTTACCTCCTTCTTCTCCTTCTACAGGATGATCAAAGCGTGGTAAGTAGCTGGTATACGTTTTAAGCTAGAGCTGTCTCACCTCCTCCTTCTCTTTCTCTTCGGCCTTCTTCTTCTCTTGAGCCTCCCGCTTATGAGTCGTCAGCGCAGGTTCGATGCCAGCGATGCGGCGTCAACATACCTCAGCTTTCTCTTTCTCCTGCTTGATCTTTTCGCGAGTCTCACGCTCTTGCTGAACCCATGCAGCGACTTCGTCAACGCACTCACGGGGACGCGTCTTGTTCTTCAGAAGGTACCCTTGAAGACTCGCGACCTATAGAGAGCCATTCAGTTAATAAATTGAAACGGAGCTCTCACAGAACGTACGCTAAGCTCATTCTCAGGAATCGCGTCGGCGAAACGTTTCGCAAGTTCAGAAATCTCCTCTTCGGACAAGAGAGGGATGGCGTGCTTGTGGGATTTACGCTTCGACCCTGGAAGGTTCTTTTGGGAAGCATCCTTCTCCTTCGAGTCTTCCTCAGCCTTTGATTCAGTCGCACCGCTGGGTTTCGATGGGAAGAAGCACTTGAAGATGCCCTCCGCTTGCCATTTGGTCGCATGGGTAAAGTTAATCCATACGTCCATTCGACCTGGGCGGCTAAGTGCAGGATCTAGGCGTTCGATGTGATTGGTCGTTGCAAAGAGCAGACTATATGAATTCATTTCAATTTCATATCCACACGTCAAGCCAAATGAAAACGCACCGTCCTTCAGCAGCTGCAACTCCATCAAGACTGTTGAGAAGACCGCTCAAACTCAAAGTAGAGCCGTCAGAGGCTTCAGTTTCTTTCGTGGTAGTGGTAGAGGTTGTACTGGATGACGAAGAGGCGGGAGGTGGTGCTCCAGTTGAGGTGGAGTCACGGCTGACCCCACGGGTGAAAGCAGCGTCTAAATCTTCTAAAAGGAGGATACATCTAAGCGTGACGGCGGTGAGAACTCAGATCAGAAAGCGGACAAATGAGGAACGAACCTAGATGGTACATGGCTCATTAAAGTGGTTAAAGTATTATCGCTCATCCTAGAGATTACGGATTCATTAATCTTTCGGAACGACCAAGGAACGGTTCACTTACCCCTTCGACGAAAGTGAGACGACATAGATATCTAGGCCGAGTTCTCCCGCCAATGAGTGGATCAGAGATGTCTTGCCGCTAAATATAAAACAGGATAAGCATCACGAGCATCCCGGTCCAGAGCAGAGAACCGACCTCCCAGGGACACCATGCAAAAGGTATCCTCTTCGGAATGGAATGCCTAATGAACCATCAACATCTGGACCACTCGTCCAAGGAACGTTACGAACCTCGCTCAGCATACCTGGAAGTTAGTGTCAATGAATGATATTTTAGGTTAATGGTAGAAACAGTTTACGTACCATTCCTCGGAATTGAGGAAATCCTTGCAATCTGCGAGAAGCATATCTTTGACGCCAGGCTGGAGCACGATGGAGCTCATCGGTCGCTTCTGGCGAGAGCCGTTGAATCGCCAGCAGGCGTAACTCCTGGAACTGTAGCAGTTAGACAGGCTCAAATCAGGACGGGAGAAGACTCACGTATCGGCGAGGAAAATGTGAACACGATGCTCGGAGTCTTTTTCATATTCACGTTTGGCTTCGAGAACGAGTTTTTTCAGGATATCGTTATTTCGAGCAACGACGCTGCACGACCCGGGTGAGTTCCGTGAATGACCGATGTAGTCGGGAGCGCCTACCTGATCTTGAGAGACGCCCCGTGCCCATAAGAATCCGGGTAACGTTTGGTACGAGTAATCTGTTGCCGAATGAGTCAAATGGTGGTGGCGACACGGCCAATGGAGCTACGTACTCTGAGCCAATGACCACGGTAGTAAATGGTATGCGTCGTGTCTATGCAATCATAGGATGTCAACTAAGCATCCACGAATATCGCAAGTATCATTACTCACCGACACTAGGCATGAACTGAACCTTCCGCTTTCTGCGCCCATGAACCAACCCGTCATCCTCGTCCTCATCCTCCTCCAAGTCTCCGGCAGTGGATTGGGCGAGACTGTTACGGCCGACGGCCCTGGTGGTGATGTCGAACTCTCTGCTGCGACCCCATGCAGGTTGCTGTTAAATGCCAAACTGAGCGCTCCGTTATCGGGCAAGTGGAAAGACGTGTCATTACCTTCGACAACCAGTGCATCAACCTAATGAAAGCGAGGGAAGACGGGAAAGAGGTCAGGAAATGACCATTTACACATAGTTGTGGGAGAAAGCCCTACTTACCAATCGTACGGGTAGTCTTCTTGACTAAAGTGTGCAGTCAGGAAGAATGCTGTGACCACGGTCATTAGTACCCCGAAAACGTCCATGGGCTACCCCACGGGCGACTCACAGTCGACAAACCCGTTCCATGCTGAGACTGACGCCCTACGGGCAGTTTCCACTGTTCCTCCAATTACGACTAGTTTCTGCAGACGCCAGTCGTCAAAAATGATCCATTCGACGGTGGTATAAGGCAGAAACTCACGAGAGTGTCCTGCAGTGCACCAGTATTCATGCCCAAAGGGGACAAGAGACTCTTAATAGCGTCCATGGTGGGTAGCCAGATGAACAGTCAGAGGCAAGGGGAAGGAGAACCTGCTCAAACCAGAAGCGCCCCCTTATATGGGGCCTGCCCGCCTCGTGTCATATCGAAGATCGCACTTTCCGCGGCGCCTACGGCCCTTCTCTTCCCCTTCGGTTACACCAAATGAGATCGTGCGATTGCTTTCACTGTGGATTGAATCTTAATACGATCAATCAGAAAAATTGAGCAGCCACTCACAAATATAAACCCCGAAATTCTGTGATAGTGTCTACACGACAGCTATGGATTTCAGTGGGTCATCTTCATCTCCAAGGTACAGCCCGTAAACAGCATTTAATCACTTCGCCTTGGTATGAGTCAGTCAGCCCCGACCATAGCGTAGCTCATTCAGTGCATGTAATTTCATGTCCCTTCACCCTTTACGTCTACAGTTGATGCGACCGCTTCAGAATTTGGGTCGTGGCGCTAAAATTGAGGCAGTATATCTGTTGCCGGTTCCCGAACACTGGGTCCCTACCGTGACCCTGAGACCCTTCAGCAGGGCCCTGATGAAACAATGATGAAATCCCCGAATGAAATCTGGTTGTAGAAATGCGCATTCGTTGTCTGGCCCATTGTAGCGATCCGTTGACCAGAACCGGTATTGCAGCATGGTGGCAAGGAGAAATGCGATAGAGGATCCTTCTCGACTGTGGAGTAGAACCTTGCTTTCCAAATTGTGCGCTTATGGGGCGGTCTAGTCCATCTGTGGATATCGGAAGATTGGTCCGAGTATGACAGACATTTCTGCCCTTCGAAGGATTTAACGCCGAGTTACTATCATTCATGGAGAAGACGAACGGAAAAATACCCACCTACGAAACATCCCTTCGCGTCATGCACATGCTCCGGGTCTGTCAGGTGAAGCCCCTAAGCCCGGCAAGCAAAGATGTTTCCCTCGGCGATCTAAGGAAGAAGCCCTGTATAATGAGAAGGCAAACTCCCAACGTTCGAAGACTAGATACCGACCCAAGTACGGGAGTCCTCCAGCCAAGTATGCAGCAATGACGAGCATGGGTCCCCAATTACGCCTGTCCTATGAGGATTCGAAAGGTCGAGGTAGTCCGCCGGCCGGATGCAGTAATCGGCGTGGAACCAGGGAAGTTATTGGAGTTAGTGAAATGAACGAAAAATGTTCATCACGGATGACGGTAGCACGAGGTTCCTGAAGCAAACCATACCCAGACTCCAAAGCTTGAGCCCACTTTGCGTAGCCAATCGATCGCCGAAACTCAATGGTTGTTTCAAAAACTTGCCCATTTCGCTAAGGTGTGTTTTCGTCAGCCAGTCATGAAGCATCCAAGTTGTCCAGACGTTGCAACGTGCCCAGGAGGAATTTCGAAGTAACCCCAGTCGGTAAATTGATTGTGTGCACGACGTGAAGATTCTCACCAACTTGCCTCGCCATCCTAGGTCCGTTCTCTCGTAGCAGGCCAATCAAATCGGAGAAGAAGACGTTGTACGTCGCAGCACAGTGTACGAGTCACCAAGGCCCTGCCTGAACGGAGTAGAACCTGCCCTTCTGAGTCAATTCTTCGCATAGGTGAAAGCCAGAAAGTCATCGAACCCCGCAAGATGAAGACCCCTATCGGTATGACACGCTGCGACCCCTCTGGCTGCTGAGTTGGCCGGGTCGTGCTCGGACACGGTGCGTCATTCAGACGTCCAAGATGACGACTTCTGCTATGTTTGACAATTTATGACGACCGTGGACTGTCGACCTTCAGACGAAAATTCCGCTGAAAGGTGTTTCGCGCCCGAAACCTATAGCTGTCATTTAGGCTCAGGTTGACCAGAAAAGGAGCGGCAGTGGACATTCCTACTTGTGATCACATTGGCCGAGTCAGAATTGTGGTAGGTGCCCCTAGACCACGTCCGCCAAACACGGTACATAGTCCCAATTAAGTTCCTGGTTGTGGGCCATGAGATCGACAGACGGGCTTGCTCCTGGCCTTTCCCCGAGTCAAGCACAGCCGTTAGAGTTCCAAACAAGTTCGCCCATGGGTCCCATGACGGGCAAGATAGGGGGCAGATCCATAGATAATCATATCTTAATCGTCGTGATCGGTCGATGGTTGGTTCAACCGCGGTCGATAACATCTTCGAAGCATCAGAAAAGATCACTCATAGTGTAGGCGGAAACCACGAACATGTCTTTGGTGAACAGTCACTGCGCAATTACAAGTGCAGCAACCAGCAGCCAACGACTGGCAGTTAGGAACAGCTAAAAAACCAGAAGCACAAGGCAACGTACGGTCAAATAGCCCAGCTTGCAACCATGATTGATTAGGAGCGCCCACAGTCCAGCTGAGCGCGAATAACGAGACGCAGTACACGCCGAAACATGCTGGCACCCAAGTAACCGTGTACTCGGGGATGCGTAGTTAAACAACGCAAAGGAAGCACCTCTGAGAACCCTTATAGAGCCCCTATCGAACAAGCGCTCGCCGCCGCTATCAGAAGAACGCTGATTCCTTTGCAATACCGTTGACATGCAAACAGATTCTTGTCGCCCATAATCCATTGTCGAGTCATGCATATGCATGAAGAACCGCTGGCCACGCGTCGCGAATCGTTATCTTCAAGGTTCAGTCGATTGAGTTGGTCATGATCATAGAGCGAAGACGTGGAAGAAAAAGTGAATTGTGGATGATGACGGTTGTAACCAAAATCGTTATCGATGGTGGCGATGCTCGCTGCGGTCTGATATAGGCGCGCGCTGGACAAATATTGACAAGCAGAGTCACATGACCCGCGTCGCAAAGCGAACAGGGGCTACCATGTCAGTGTTATCCTAAGAAACATTCCTTCTCAACTATCCATGTCCTTGGGTTTCGTGGGCATTCCACGGGTATATTCAGAGGCCTGACTACAAAGTAGGTTCGAACTAGAAAGGCGTAAGCCTGCTCCGGTGTCATACTGCTACCTGCGATTCAGATTGGTGAAGCTAAGAAACCGTATAAGCTCAATCACAGGAAGGAGCAAGGTCAAGGAGGCCTACCTCCGATGCAATGGCCGTCCACTCCTGTAGCGAACGAATATACTCATCCTGAATCTCCACCACAGGGTTATCCGGTTTCCAGACCACAAACGAAGAGAACTGCTGGGTCGGGATAAGATTTCGCGTCGAAACCGAGTTTGGGGCCGGGGATGGGTCGTCGATATCCATTGAATCGTCAATGGTTTCTACCACGGGCTCATCAACGTCAATAACCCGTTTCGATGTCGCGCTTCTCGTCAAGCGACCCCTTGGCTTGGCTGATGTGGACTTTTTGGTTGATACCTCGGGGTCGGGAGGGTTTGCGGGAGATTTCGAAGTAGAAGCAACTGATGATGCTTGAGCTGGTACTTTAAGGACAACACCCCGGTATCCTTGGGGCACCTCTACCGCAAGCCCTTGTATCGTTCTCCCTCTAAACGCGGAAATGAAGCGGGTGGGCTGTTTGGCTGGGGAAATGAGCATTCTGGATGGTTTATTGTTGAGCACAATAACGTACTTTCCCGGCTGATAGATCCTTCCGCTTCCGTCACAGAGGTTGGACTAGCTTCACTTGTAGAAGAGGAGGCAGCGGGGACAGCGACATCATCGTTGTTCACGACCGTGTCCACCGCGTTGGCGTTGGATGCAGCCTCCTTGTGCAGAGCGCTCTCTGCCCCCTCCATCGTCTCATTGGGCTTCGTAGAGGGACTGTTCTTGTCGTCGATGTTTACCGGGGTCGTCTTCTCCTTCTCTTGCACCACCGGTCGTATTTTCATAAATGTCGATATCGCAGCAGGCCCAGTGTAGGCTATCCGGAAAGGCATGAGATTTGGCTGACATTGTTCCAGGTTATCAGGAATCCTGGGCATCGTCACAGCAGAGGTTGCCATGTCTGAGAATTTGAGGCGACGTGTAAATTGAAAGGAAGACGATATGCGGCGGGCTTGAGCGCGGTCGTGGACGTCGTGTGCAAAGCCGAGAACCAGCGCGGTACAGACGCGTTGTGTCACAGAATTTCGTGACTTTGTCACACGCGAGCGTGACGGGCTGAGTTTGGCTCTCCGGATCGCACGGATGTGCCCTTCGGGAGGCTGGCAGTTAATCCTCGATGTGAGATGTCTGCCTCCTACTCATTTCTCTAGCACCCGGGTCCACAATAGCGCCACGAGAGAAATACAGTACTTTCTGCTCATGGAACGTCGATGGATTCAGAGGCCTATTTTCCATCAGTCTTCCATCCCGAAGCAACTTAGCAGTAGCTATCAGTAGACAAAAATTCAGTATCACATGTATTCTCATTCAGCTTCACCTTACTTTTACTTGAATGAAAGTTGTTCAGGTTACAATAGGACTCCTATGGGGATTACTGCCTGACCCCTGCTGACGCTAGTAGCCAATCGGACACACATCGGTACTTTCACACTTCTCCGACGAGTCCACGCCGCTGAAATGGCACCATCGAAGCCTGCCTCGAGTACTACCTGGGACCCCTCTGACAGCCTCTCCTCTATGGAAGACATCCTGGATGACCAGAACTGAAAGACTGGATCGTGACGGTTATTTGGCCCCTGATTTCCTTGACGGAAGCCATCTAACAAGATGGACTGCTCTACACCTCCTAAGATGTTTAACCCTGGCTACTGCAGGCTACTGCCACAGTACTATGTCGGAAATATGCGGCAACCGTCGGCACGGCTTACAACGGCTCTCCACGAATGCCGAGATCCCGAGCGTGGAAACGCACCCCAACTATGACGCAACGAGGATACCGCAGTTGGCCTTGCCGTGGCGACGGCTGGGAGGTCCGTTCCGACAGCGGAGCTGACGTGGCAACCGCGTCGCGACGGGGAGGTTTAGGGGCCAGCGCCGAGCCAGCGTTTGAGATTTAGTGGGCTGCCTAACGAGCTGTAGAGCAAGTGGAAATACAGAGGAATGAAAGGGGGCATAACGGAGAGGTGAAGCACTACCAATCACATCAGGGAATGTAAGATACAGCGCCAATAGTCAGAATCCAATCCAATTGCTTCAATGTACAAGTGCCTTCGCGTTGGGACTCCCTGGGATGCCTATAGGCAGGTCACAGATGGTTGAGTGGACAGCTGCCAGTGTCTGAAATGCCAGTAAAGCGTCAACCGATATGTTCATGTGGAGTTATGCGAGTACTCACCTTCAACTTCACTCCAGTAGTCGTCGTGCACCGGCTTGCTCTTGCTGCTCGTCTCCAGGCCACATGGTCGCAGACTAAATTTGCGGAACAAACTTGCGTGGTTTCCAGCTGTGCCTGGTTGAGAAAGAGGGGGAGAGAGAGAGATAGAGGAGTGGTTGGAGAGAGAATTGGAGAGAGAAACTCGCCACCCTCTGGAAACAGCCTCTTGCTGGTTGTCCCGACTCATGATGACTAGCCTGGGCCGAGTCAACAGGGCATCGAGATGGTGGCCAGAGAGGTGTCGCTCGAGGTGTGAGTTGTGGTGTGAGTTACAACAGGCCGCGACGCGAGGACGATTTCGACGTATTTCACGCGCGGGTGATGCCATCAAAGTCCAGATTGCCTCCCAACTGTCGAGCCTCGACACAAACCACCTCCCCAACTAGCCGTTTTCTACTCCTAAGGGCCAAAAATAATAGAGTATAGTCTCAATACATGCATAATCCAATATATTGAATAAAATCGAATAGCTGATGATCTGGGGAGGAGGTATGAGAGATGTAAGTGTCGGGAGCCTCAATGAGCCTGCCCTAAAGTAACCCACGGGCGCCTGTTGCTGTCCCAGCTCAAATGCTTGAGCAATTTGCAGCTGTTGTTAGACGTAGTATATGTACAACTGATGCGAGGTAATACAATGATTTATGTACTAGAAGAACACGTAAAAGCTTGGTGTGATGTACAATGAAAAGTAAAGTGATGATGTGATGTGCAGTCTGTATGAGAGCCCACAGGTGACCGGCAGTGGTTCCAGCTGAGAAGAGCGAGTATGTGGGTAGAAGTTAAAACGAGCGTTGGCGCCATTCTGTAAGCTCATTTGACGAGGGAATGTGCTGGGATTCCAAAATTATATTCACAAGCTCTGGCGTTGCCATTTTGGTTAGTCTGTCGAGCGTGAAGACAGAAAATAAACATACCAGCTTTCTTGGTTGCTTTTGTCACCTTTGAGGGAATTTCACGTTCTTTAATCCACGCTTTGAGGTGCCGAACTGTCCATAGCTGGTGGTATATGAATCAGTCACTGTGACGCAAAATACAGATAAAAGAACGGCAAACGACTCACATTTAATGCTTTCTTGACGTCACCAGATGTAGGAACCGGCCCTGCTGCGGCCAGGTCTTCCACAACACTCTCCAAGTCTGAGTTTCTTCCTGAGCTTCGCAAAAGGCTGACCTGATCCAATGATAGTTAGCATCTATGAGAGATCAATGAGTAAGGTAATAAATACACTTACCTTTGGCTCTACGACGGTCCAAAGGACCTGAACGGTCTGGTCGAGATAGGCGTCACTCAGATATTCATCATCTTTGACTGGGATGTTCCGGTCTCCGCAGATGATACGGGCTGCATGACACGTGCGGATGGCGGCAGCAAGAAGCCTCGCAGCGTGTTCGGCACTGCCAACTGCATCCCAGGAGGTGATCGTGCTCCTCAAAGTCAGGGATCCTGCAGTAAACTGGTGGTGCCCCCAATTTTCGTTGCCATCGTCCTTCGGAATTGCAGGGTCATTGGGGTTGGCATTTTCGATACGCTCGAGGAACTTGAGGAACTGAGGGCTAGCCTCTCGTGGAACAGACGATGGTGCAACAACTTTGGAGAGCTCTTGTAGGCCATCGATGAGATCCGCCGAATGAGAGATCGAAGGGAAATGTTGGAGCTGGGAGCGTAGTTTGACGAGGTCATGGGAGATCTCGATTGATGAGATATCTACAGGCCAGCGTCCCGATTGCTGACCTAGAAATAGCAGGTCAGAATAACGATAAATAAATGTAAGATTTGAAGAGAACTAGAAGAGAACGTACCAAAATCATCCTCGTTTTCATCAAATTGACTCTCACACATTGCTGTTTTCGTCGTCGCAAAGCATTGCTGCTGCTGCTTCCTCATATTCGTCATCGTCTTGGCGGACCTCCCCAATTTCCTCCTCGTCAGTCTCTTGCATGGATCTTGGAAGAATGTAGGAGTTCCAGAACCGGAAGATATCCTTGTAAGGCTCCGACAAGTCTTTGCCATCTTTCTTTCCTAAGTTCATCCCCTCGATGAGAAACTTCTTGTAAAGATGGAATGCTTTCTGATACGGGAACTTGGAATTGGCACCGACAGGTTCGAGATACTTGTCGTTGTTGTGAATGAAGATCGCCTAAATGGATGCACAGTAAATATCAGTTCATCAACACAGACAGTACTAACGCTCACCTGAATGCAGGTGCGAGAGACGAGACCTGGGCCTGCTTTCTTGAAGTACTTTATCCCTCGGGATTTTGGGTCGGGCTTGGTTTCTCCATCAATAAGCCATTCCGGTATCAATGAATTTTCTGAAAAGAGGTCAACGCGCGCACACTACAAGAACATTAGTGCTGTTCATACTCTTAAAGAAATAACATTAACGACTCACCATCGGGAGCTCTGGGTTACGGAAAACACCCTCTCTGAAGTTCCGAACCCCATCTTTGAATAGGATTGGTGGGAACAACAGCAATGAGAACCGCACCATCCTCCTATCGTCCAACGCCTCGTCCCAGACAAGCTTGCTGAGGAAGAAAGATGTTTCTCCCCGCTGCTTGTACTTGTCAGGTGCATAGAGTGAGGCTATGTCGTCAGGAGCATCGAATATCACTGCTGCTGCTGCCTTTTTTCTGAGGTCCGAAATCAAGGTTCGTCGGAGACTGGACACGGCATGTTGAAACTTTAAAGGGGAGTAAGGACACAGTGTAACAGAGAGGTTATGTGACCGGCTTACCACTGCCTGAAATGCAGGTGACGTCTGCAGCTGGGGGTGGTATAGCTCATCGGTTTTCTCGTATAGCTCTGCAATAATAGCAATACGTAGGGCCTGAGGCTGTTTCTCTTTTTCACGGGGGTACCGCCCTTCAAGACTGTTGGTATTAGGTCGGGGTTGCATGAACCAATCAGCGTCGATGAACATTTCGTTGTTGAGGTAGAAAGCTCGTGCGATATCTCCAATTTTTTTGTCATGTCCAGGGTGTCCTGTTGTTGGGTTTTGACGGTTGCCTACCGGTGGAGCGGTGTAGCTGCTACTGTCGTCGCTATCAATACTGCCGTCCTCAGCTGTCCTGCCTTTCGCTTTCATCTTTTGTTTGGCTTTAGCCCTCTCTTGCTGCAGAAGCTGCCGTAGCTCTTGAAGCTCCTTGGTTAGGCGCTGATTTTCAAGCTGCTGCTCTTGCAGTTTCTATTACGATACACACGACGGTTCAGTTCGATGAATAGGGACTAAAAGGAAACAGCCACACCTTGCTCTGGTACTGCTGCAAGAGCTCGTCGCTTGACATTGGGACCGGAACATGGGACGTTGATGTCGACGTCGATGCCTGAGAGGACGCCTGCTGGCTGGGGTGGTGGTATGTGCTCTCGATATCAGTCTCGGAACGTAGTGAGAGCTCCTCCAAGTAGTTGTTAAGAGCTTCCTCTTCATCCGAGTCGTAGGTGACGGGCTTCTTGCCCTTGTTCTTGGACATTGTCAGTATGGCTGGGAGAAGAAGTAGTCCACGTCAACACAAGAGAGGGAGGAAAAAGAAAGAGAGGAAAGAAAAAAGCGAGCATACTTGACGTGAAATAAACCAAGGAATTGTTGCCGGTGGACCTTTCTAAAGAGGAAAGCCATGTGCCCCGACCAATAACGAGTAACGTAACTCATATATTCCATTTATCGTGCTTCATATACCACTGAAAAACAGACATATTAGCTTGTGACTCGTGAGTGATGATATTCAATGGAAAGCGACGAACCTAAATGACATTCTAAAATGGCTGTGTCTAGTACTACGGAAGATACAAGGCGGGCAGATATAACTATCTAGATCAGCATGCGAAGCAACTCTCGAACACGGAGAAACATGTCTGAATCGGCGACATCAAAGACTAGGTAATCGGTTTCTTGCTCATTCACGGGAATTAAAACAGCACCGCGGATAATGGAGCGGGCAAAGAACAGCTCTGCACCTGCTTGAACAGTCCTCCTAACGCGATAGAACCCTGCAGCTGCATCCTTCGTACTCAGATTTTTCGGGATTGGTGCGGTATATGGAAGGGCCAATGCAATTGGAATAGCGTCGGTGTCTGGCGTTCCGGGGGCTTGAAGGGTGAATAGCGCGAGAAGGCGAGCAAAGATGTTGCCGGTCGTTGTCTGGAGAATAACCGAGTCGTAGCGAGGGCGACCATGAAAAGAGGGAGAGCACCGAAGCAGGTCGCGTTCAATGTCCCATGACTCCTTTGACGTGTAGACTACTTCCATTGAGCGGAATGACCGAACCTGTTACATAGTTGAACGTGATGTTACATTGGTGAACTGATAGAGGCACGTACCAGCGTCGAGTTACGGATGGTAATGTCGAGCCCATTCAATGAACAGAACTCACTCAACATTTGGCTAAGATCAACCCCTTCAAAGAAGTGGGCATGCCCACCAAGTTCTTCCTGGCAGTCGAAGTAGAACTGGTCCAGTGGGCGTGCCTTTCGGGGTCCTTGAGGAGCCTTGAGGGTAATATTTCCGAAGCTGAAGCGATACTGAAGTTCTTCATCGGTGGAGTCGTCAGTGTCCTTCAGTGCTTCCAGGTGAACATCAATAATTGAGACAATAAAGTCTATAACGTGGCCACGTTGGTCTGCGTTAAGAATCTGCCGAGGTTGAAGAATTAGCAATTGAGGAAAGAAAAGCCGTCAGTTTACACACCTGTTTGTCGGCGTCTTTGAAATTGGTCATATACTGGTAATAGAACTTCAGTGCACGATGCATCGTTTCAAATGTTTTGGTCGTGTAGTTCCGCGTTGCGCCTTTCGCATAGATGTCGTGAGGAAGGTGCATCTGAAGATGCATCTTCGGAAATAACCAACTCTTGCCTTCGAAGAGATCGCCAAGTTTCTGTAGCGGTAAAGGTGAGATGGGCATTAGACAACTGTCAGGGGACACTCACCTTGATCTCTTCGCAGAATACTTGAAGCTCCTTCTCAATTTCTTTCACCGTTGACTCAGTATGGACTTCGAATGACGAGAATGTGTTGAGATTCAAGAAGACACGGAGGCATCTCAGAATCTGGAGGGTTGGCTTATCGGATTTATCAATCACATCGTCGTATAGAATGAATGGAAATAGCTGTGATTGAATAAGTTAACATAATTAAGCAATAGGAAGGTAGATGTCGCTCACCCGTGCCAAATCTTCCCACTTGTTCGAGTCTTGAAACGCTTTTTTCGTCGTGATGTTGTCATAGTGGGTCAGTCCAGGCCATCGTGGAACTGCACTCGCCCTGCCGGAACATTGAGTGATCTGCAAGAGTCAAGAGTGATATCGCTACAAACCTTGTATTAATTCGCTTCTGTACTTCCGGCATTGAATAAGGACCACGATCAAAAATTTCATAGAGCATCGGGAGAAGATGGGTTTTTGCCAGCCCGCCGGGGTAATTATGCAGTCGGTCAAACGACAGGGCACGATGAGGGTCCGAGTTCGCGATATCTGCAAAGGCATTCTGACAAATTGAGTCAGCACCGAGCGGACGATAAAGCTGAAATGGTATAAAGATACCTTAATCGGTCGGACATTCAGTTCCTGAAGCTTCTTGCGTGCAGTGCCTTTGACCCTTTCTGGTGCATCAGGCCTTTCGAGGACTTCAACCAGCTTTTGAGTGGTCTCTGCGTCTCGATATTCCCAGTTGGTGAAAAATGTTGCCAGGTTATCCTCGTCGACGAGACACACCGGGCATTGCTTAGTCTTCGATCCACGTATACCGGCCATAACCGCCCTAAACACAGTCAGACACAGCTCAGATATTAGGAAGAATGTGAGACGTACTGCTCTTCATAGTCGGCCGAGAGCATCAGAATGCACGGGAAGAGCCTTCGCACAACCCCATCCCCACATTTATAGTAAATCCCATCCTTCGAATGAGTTCTGATGGACTCGAGTATCTCGCGATCAAACTGTTGTGCCATACCACGCGCTTGTACTCTACCCATTCTGTGCTTCGGTTAGACTTTTTGTCCTTCTCTGGGATCTACGCAAGTCGTTAGGAATCCGCTCCGAGTCATAGGTAAGCCACGCACAATTGGAAGCCATCCGACCACACATCCTCCACCGATACCTTTCCCGTTCCTTATATGAGCAGGGAGGTTTGCAATCTTGGCATACACTGGGTACGCCTTCTTGCCCCCGAACGACGAGAGCTGCGTCTTATCGGCATAGACAATCAGACAGAGAGGTACTCCGTCGTCGGGTAAGTTGTCCTGTATCCCATAAGCTTCTTTTCGCGCTCGAACGACTGCAATCATACCTCAATCTTCGCCCAGTCATCCCCTGTCCATGGCTCCGTGACAAAGCGTTCCCACATCGCATCATCGTTCTTCTTGAACATTTTCGCACTTTCCCAAACAAACTCTGGTGCTAATTTGGGGTTCTCGACCAGCTCAAGCGCCCACTTCCATACAGACCGCACCCAAACATCGTACTTATGAGGTTCTTCCTTGTAGGGGACATCAATGGTGTTGCATTCAAACTAATAGGGTATAATTAAGATACATTCAATACTGGACGCAGTTCACAAGGCCAACAACATACGGGAGTTACAAGGCATGAGGCATCCTTCCAAGCATCGTGGATTGCCTGGCTCCCATCGAACGTGAGGGTATCCTTCTTATCGACACATTTGTTGATGAGGGAGAGCAGTTCCTTCACGTCATCGTCGCGCATTGCGGAGCGAAAGATGAGTTTGGCAAATCGATAGTCGGCATCCGTTTGGAAGGGGAAGTATGGAGACTTTGATGTCAGAGATGGGAGGGGGACACGTATGTCGGCGCTTGCACCTGGACGTCGCCGGCGTAGGTTGTATTGGTCGATTGTGATGTGTTCAGGTGGCCGCTTTCGCTTTGCGTGATGCTCAATTCGGATATCGGAAGGTGGATCCATTGTTCGTTGGGTTTGCCCTGTTCGACCGGTGAGAGAATGTGAATGTGGGTTGACAATACAACATACCTCGGACACCGCGAGGGGATGACGCTCGACGAGAAGAACCTGCTTCAGCATTAACGCGCAAGTTGTGCTTGGGTTGCCTGGATGTCGCTGTAGATAAAACGTGTGAGCAAGGACACCGGCTAGCACGATGCTTTAACACACATGTCTTGCGAGTCTGAGACGGGCGAGGGGACAGGTTCTCCCAAGGATTCTTCGGTGGGTCAACGACAGCATGGGCCGGCGCTGCATCTGGAAGACCTTTGGATCCTGTGAGTCAGTCCCTACAGGATATGTTTTATGAAGATAAAACTCACTGGCTGTACGTTGCGCCCATTGCTCCTGATCCTCTTTCAGCGCCCTTCGTTTTCCGCAAGACTTGCTGTGGCTAATTTGCGCGGCTTTCTTCTCAAATACAGCATTACAGCCTGCTGTGCACGGGTATTGCATCGCAGAGAGTTTAAGGGAGGGATTTCGAAAAAGAAGGAACGGAAACCGCTGTGCTTAGGTTCAAAAGGCGGCTTGTGTGGTGCGAATGGAGAGGGTTCCCTACACGCCTCGTCAATATTCGTTCCCACGGTGATCCCACAGACCTGTGGTTCGTTGGGACGACCCAGGCAACGTAGCGATGCCGGACCGTTTGATGGGATGCCGTTGCGAGGAACCGCTTGGGGCTCCCACGCACGATTCGTGGGGACCCCGGTCCGAGATTTCCGACATATCTGCCTTCTGAAGAGCCTCCAGGCCACCATCTGCTCCAGGTATGTACCTCCAACCTTCGACCCTTCATATCCACAGCCTGGGCTCATGATGTAGCGGGATTATGTAGAGCTGAACCCCTGCACTAGGGTGTCACCCCGTCGAGAATGCCCTTCCGACCATCCGGTTTGTCGACCTTCAGATGACATCGACTCTGACACAACCATGGGGAGTCCCTTTAATGAAATGGAATGGAAAAGAGCCTCCCGGTATGGCTTTGTCGATTCAACAAGAACTCCATTCACTAGGACTGGATGTTCATTATCCCACTTATACCTTCCCTATCCCGCTCCAATACACTGTGATTTTCGATCAACCTTGGGTTTACGCTCTCCCCTTTACCTCTAACGTTAATTTCTTCGCCACGCGTGGTTCAAATGACATGAAAACAACCATGAAATTAAGTGTATTGCAAGAACAAAGCCATGTAGACAGTCGGTATGCAAATGCGAGATGCAATCATGCTAGTGAAACGTCACGAGTTGCTATAAGTCCGTTTTCACGGTATACCACCTCCATCGAAGGAATAAATCCCCACTAATTACCAAAACAAGAAAGGGTATTACTCAAAACGTTACAGTACCAGAAAGTCCATCCCAAAGCTTAAAAAGTCGTAAATAAAAACCAGGTATAACCATGTAACCATGTCATGCGCGTGAAAAACGATCCCCCCAAATGCCACATACGCAACATCACGCCAACAGTTTTAAGCAGCGACGAGGAGAGAGATGGCAGAAACCGCCAAGGCAACAAGTCCAAGACTCGCACCAGAAGCTGAAGCAGCACCGTCATACTCTTCACGGACGGGAAGAGCAGATCCAGAAGGAATAGCCGGTCGCCCAGTGGCAGAGCCCGAGGCAGCGCCGACCACTCGAGCAGCAGGAGTAGAGACAGCGTCGTCATCGTCGTTGTCGTCGTCCTCGGCATCATCGTCGTCCGAGTCGTTAGAACTGGCGGTGGGCCTAGCCCCAGCACTAGCCGACTCCTCCGAATCCGAGTCGTCTGAGCCAATGACTGGGGGAGGGCGCGCACCGGAGGGGTCGACGAGGTTACCAATGCCCCAAGGGATAGCATCACCTGTGCCTGGCTGTTCCGGGAACTCTGGCTCTACGGTTTCGCCGTCAGGAGACGTGATGGTGAAACGCGTAGTCCAGGTCTTCGTGGACGTGTGAGGGCTCGTGAATTGGTAGAAGTAGATGGTGGCATAGGGATCGACCTGGAAAACAAGGGGGGGTTTTGCGTTAGCTCGAACTCGAGGTGTGAAAATCGTCCAGCGCGCGACAGACCTCGGGGCATGGCCAGCTGAAGCGACCAGAGACAGTTCCGTCGAGGTCGGAGGCGATGGCTATGTAAAGAGGTGGATGACAAGATTCAGCGGGCTGACCCATTTAAACGATGATGCGTTGCTCACTATCGATGTGGACCATATCATAGTTGCTACCGGTCATGAACTGGATGGACATGTCCTTCCAGAGAGTGTCGGATTCCCTGTCGCCATCCCAGGACACGGTGCAAGTTTCGCCAGCGGTGTAGACTGCACCTGGGCCTGGCTCACTGGGCACAACGTCAGCCCGTACGAGCGTCGACGCGGCGAGAACGATGGAGGTCAAAGCGGAGAGTTTGGCGAACATGTCGACTAGTTGGTTTTGGGGAATTAAAGGGTATAAAAGACTGGTAACAGTGTTCAGCCCATGAGCACGATGGAACAGAAACAGGTTCACCTACGTGAGATATAGACCAGACAGGGAATCCGTTGGTATACAAAGGAGCGACGTGGGTGAAGGAGTGGCAGGTGCTACAGAGCGTAGCAGTGGGCTTTGACCAGGATGAGGGAGGGAGGGAGGGGATGAGTTGGGAGGAAGGAAAAGTGCGTGTTGTCAAACCTGGGACTGATGCCGCACACCACCAGGTACGCGGGCCCAATTGACATTGCCAAGGTGAAGGTTGCACGCGCTCATTGGACAGAGGCCTCGCGCATACATGATAGTCGAGATGATGGGAAATATATTGAAGACCGTATAATACACCATAAGTCAGGTGGTAATACAACAGGCTGCAAGAAAGTCTAGCTTGCATAGAAATACAGTGAAAAAGTAGAGATCATAAAGTCGTAAGGAAGCGTGAGCGCCCGCACACAACCAGCATGTGGAGGGCATGTTCGTAATCTGATTCGTGGTTGCGACCCTTCTCTTCTACGGTCTAGCAACCTAGAAACCGGGGCAGTGTGGGCAAATATACCTGCCCGCCGCAAACCCTTCAAACTCTGACATATGTAGATCGCCATCGATCATAAAGCATAGCGTGGCGAGCAGTCGCTTTAAACAGCTGCTCTTCAGCGTGCGCTCGCAGCGCGGAGCCTTCATTGGAGCGGCTCACTGACGTCGTGATACTGAAAATGCGTTTAGTCAACAGAAACCGTGGGGGGTGGTTGCTTGAACTGAGCGTTCTTCAGCAAAGACTCTGCGAATTCTTTGAAGTCTTGCTTGGAGCAAGCTCGGCCAGGCTGCGCGTTGGCAATGAGCTACCTATTGACTGCCGAAAGCTGCTGCAGATTCATACCTTGAGCGCGTAGACGACTGGTTCAAGAATAGCGGGAGTAGATGGAGAGACTGGCTCCTTCAATGCGAGGCGGATGACATTCTCCTCGGCATCGTACACGACACGCGTGGCGGCGTTGAGACGAACATTCATCGATACCTGCCAAAGGGGCTCGCGGCGGAACACTAACAACAGCATGGTGAGCGAGAGAATGCGCGTTGATGTGGGCCACTTACGAAGGCGTTCTGCGAGGGTCTTCTTGTCGGAAAGAAGTTTAAGGTGTCCGACCATCCCAGAAGCAAAGGGCTTGTTGCCTCGTTTGATAAACAATTTCACTCCCTTGATCTCCTGCTCGACGTCCTCGTTTTCTTCACCGGTGGTAACTGTGCATGACACGTGAGATCGGGAAACTGGTCGGAGCCGACAGGGGACTCACGAGTGGAGGGCATCAAATTAACAGACTTGGATGGCGTCGCCGCGACGATGGCATGTGACCCAGAAGTTTGAGAATTCTGCACGTCTTGAGATTCAGTTTCTCCGAAAGCCAGACCAAGTCCGTTTTTAGAGGCGGATGAATCGGTAGAAGATGAGGCATCATTGTCGAGGTTCCACAGGGAAGCGCGGAAGGACGCTTGACTGGTCTTCTTGACAGACGCGAAAGGAGAAGCCGACCCAGCAAAAGCCGCAAATCCGGATGACTGGAAAGGGGTCGACTGAGAAGTGTGATGTCATGTCAACAGAGCGGAAACTAGGATGCAGGATATTAAAATTCACGCACAGCGGCAGACCTGGAGAAAGATGCGCCGGCGGGGGTGTTAGGCCGAGTGAGGAAGGGGCTCGCTGGGGAGTTAGTCGTCGATTTCAGCTCCGTCTGCCCTGCTATGACGGATGTGGGTGCAGCTGCACTGGCAGGGGTTTCAGGGATGGCGGCGGTGGAGGTGACACTGGGTGGGGGTGAGGGGGTCCTGGGACTGTTGATGGCCGGTGAGGCTTGCTCCTCAACACGAGGGACTTCCTCAGTCTCCTCAACCTTCTTCGTCTCAACAGTCTGATTCAAACACGGCCAGCGGGTGAGAATACGGTGAGACGAGTGGCACTGAACAAACACACGTTCTCCATCTCCTGCTCGATCGACACAGGTTCTTCGGGCTTGGTCTCCACCAGGGCAAAAATGGGAGAGGTTGCAGGCTTCTTGGTCGAGTTAGCGTGCTGTTTCGTGGAGATAACGGCCTTAACCAACATCATCGGCCTCCTGCTCAGGCTCGCTCGAGGGAGTTCGGGTCCGCTTGTAGGGATAGATGTGACGGAGGTTCTGGAACGAGAGGCCTGGTTTAGTTATCGGGTTCCAGCTGATTGAACAAACGTTGTGGCGTCTCACATGTGGGTAGCCATCGTCCTGGGGCGACATTAGAAATGCAAATGGGCGAAAGACGAAACACTTACTGCTGTGGGCTCATCAAAACCGTCATGAGGCACTTTGCGTTTCAAAGACTCTTTGCGCGCAGTCTGTGGTCGCGCCGCTCCCTCCTGGGATGGACTCGTTTCTTGTGTCTTTCCAGAGCTAGACGACGATGAAACTGGATCCGGTGACGGTGTGACAGAGGGGGTCCTGGAGAAGAGATCGTTTCAGTGATCGTTGAAGCGCGATAGGGATCGAAGCTAACATCGGGTTTTGCTTCCTTGTAAATGCGTACCCCACAGTTGCAGCTACAGTAGCTAAACTGCAGAATACGAAGTTGAAGTCTCCAACGGGAAACATGTTGCTGCTTTCAGAGGAGTATGAACGGATCACTTGTCGACGCTCTGAATCCGGAACGTGATTTGAAATTGAGGATGGAGGGCTCTGGTGTGTGGTGAAGTCGCCTCGATGGTCAGGGAAATGTTGGCGAGTGGCGAGGAGGGTCGTTCGCTTGCTGGGTGCTTTGTTTGTCGAGATATAAGTTCCGTCGGTTTTCGCTGGGCGAGAGGGGGATAAAGGAAGGAAGGAAATGGAAATGGCTCGGATTTCCGGGCGTGAGCTATTTGAGGGAACCGAAACTATGGTTCGACTGGATGCCTGCATCGACGCCGGTATGGGATTTGCCTCACCTCGAACACGAGTTCGACATGTGCCGGACCGATCTCAGTTTTAGGGATATGGAAACACGTGTCCCCAAAAACTAGATAACGGCGAAGAGGCATTGATTCGTCGGTATACCAGGTAACCTCAGGCAAAAAGCCTCTTAGGGCTATTTAGACAGGTGTATGTCTGGTTTCGTGTAGGTGGAGGAAAGCAATTGTAGTCGAAGTTCAGAACGGAACGCGAGCAGGCGACCATGGTGGTCGGAGGAAGAGAGCGCCGGGATTTATAGAGGCGGTCCCCCAAAATCAGATTGATTGCCGAATTACACCCGCCTGATGCGCCTGGCTGAATGTCTCACACGCCCACTGTTTCTGGCTTCCTCTAGCCTCTCAGCGACTGTGCTTCTTTTTTTTCGTTATGAATGCTTTCAGATCGCACTAGAACTGAGCCATCCCCTTAACCCTGACTATCTCTCGGATCCAAGCTCTGGCAACCGCACAGTTCGATTGGCTTCGCTTCGTTGATTGCGAGAACGGCCTTTGGCGATCGACGAAGGCAGCTGAAGTGGAATCTATGGACAGAAAGCCTGTCTGGGCGGCTATACTTAGGACTAAGAATACAATTCGATCTGTCAGTGATCACCTGTGGGCCTGGCTACGAGAAGGACGTGTTGCAGTACATCCTTGGAAGGCGAGGCACGCAGCAAGCAGCCACCCGCCGGGATTCCAGCTGCTGGAACGAGTATGTACCTGCTTAGGCTTCTAGTCGCTATACACCACATGAATGGGAGTCTGCCTTCCGAAGACAACCGACATTTCCTGGCTCGAATCCAAGGCGGAAGGCAGAGACCTAACGATCTCCCGGTCCTTTGGATGTGTTGGCGATGAATTGCCCCTCTGCATGCTCCCCCTCCGACTGGCGCCTTGCTCAAGGCGTAACGCTAACTGGAGATAGAAGAAAGGCTTCGAGGACGTTTTCCTATCTACCAACGTGATCCACTCGATGGGCCCAATTAACTCTGAATTCAATCCCTTTCGCTGGGGGCTTGTCAGATCTGCAATCCACTTTGGGAGAACCTCAGGCTGTCGGCCGCAACCTCGTTCAGGAGGTTTATGAATGTTCCAGCGTGACTCAAGCCAACCGACTGTTCTCCAAGCCCCGACGAAATACTCGATAGAAACTCGATGCCGTACGCTTCTATGACACTGTACCATTCAGCAAGTCAGTCAGGCTGTGCGGGTTACCATCGCCACCAATGGTTGGGAGACTTGGGCGCACCCTTTGCCAGCTTTCGTCTCCGTATCAGACAACGACGACGAGGCTGGTACCACTGTAACAAGAGCCTATATGCTGCACGACGGTCTCGGGGTAGACAGCCCTCTGCCCCTCTATCCAATCATCTTTCTTGCAGCAACACTACCAGTCGGCTTGTTATTGGCTTCAATTACTCACAAATTACTCGCCTCCAGAGCGAGGGCGGAGCTCTGGTTTGGCAACATTTGGCAACCGCTTAGTGGTCGTCTTGGTTTCCATGCGCTCTGCGCGACTACGAGCGCTTACTTATCGTTTCTACATGAATCGCGCTAAAGTGCAAAAGTATTGAACGACTTTGTCACGAAAAATCGGAGAGTCCCAGTTATAAAGGCATGAATTCCCTCTAGCCTGTTGTTCCATTCACCATGCTTCCCCACTTCCTTTATAAAATCCACTCGTCTAAAATCCACTTCAGATCCCAGTCCACACACGGCCCTCTCGTCCCACGACAGAGGAGTTCTCCTCGAAGGGCTGATAAATGGTCCCTCAATCTCCCCCGAGACCTTCTATATAGGATCATCGACAACCACGTCATCCCCGACTGCCCCATCGACACCCTCAAGAATCTCTCTCTGACTTGTCGTGCACTTCACGCCTATTGTTGACCACTACTCCTTCGTTCTATCAGCATCGCCGAAGTCCCGAATGAAATAAGACTGCGCCTCCCCAAGCTCGAGCTCTACTTCCCTTTACCAACGCCAGATCGGTTTGCCGATCTCCTCCAACAATCACCAGACATTCTCGACCATGTTCGCAGGCTTTCTGTAACCACCATTGGGGCCACCCTTCAAGAGGCGCAAGCCCAACTCTTTGGAAGGGTTATCAACCAGTTTCGCCGATCTCTCCTACATCCTATTCCAGCACTACCCTCAGCTTCAATCAATTTGCTTTTCTGCGACCCGTTGGACGACCATGCCCGAGATAGTCCAGCGGAGCTTCCTTCGCCTTTTGCAAACTGAAACCCTCACCAAGGTCGAGCTTCAAATACCAGGGATGCCGCTTAACGTTCTCGGCTACTGCTCGAGCACTGTATCTACCCTCACATTCCTTTCCGACCCATCACCCACAATATCCACCCTCCCTGCTCCGCGTCGCAGAAAGACACGAGCACCAAAGATCGAGATCCTCAAGTTCGTCAACAGCTTCGAAATGGACATCATTCTGTTGGCTCTGGTAGCCAAAGCTTCGGTGATAGACACCAGTCGCCTTCGTGGCCTTCGTTTGGGCGCCATCGATTCCTTCTCTCAAGCACACAACCTTTTCATGACAGTGTCCTCAACTACTCTGACGTCTGTATACCGCTCGCCACGCACATGGAAAAACGCAGGCGAGGCTATCTTAAACGCCCCTTCTCCCAATCGATGTTAAAGGAGATGATACAGTCCGCCTTGAGCTTGAAATCTTGCCAGCAATCGAGTTTCTCGAAGTCCGAGCGGAAAGCAATGAGCTCGGTTTGGTGCTACAGTGGTTATCCGACTCTGTCGGAAATCGTTCATCTCGCTGTGGAAAGTCCGCATTGTGTTGTGGTCCCCGACGCCAACGCTCACGAGGGTGCATGGAACAGACACGTCACACGAACGCCTGGCACAGACTTACTTGGCATTCTCTCTCGGAGGAACTGGATCTTTGGCCCCATCTTTCAGCTATCCCGTGCATTACAGGATTCGGTGAACTTGATCCTAGCATTACGAGAGGCTCGAAATTGATCCCTCTTGGGATGCTGACCCCTGGCCATGTTGTGGACAAAAATGACGAGTACGAATGCAACCCTGCAGTATGCCCTTGTCATTAACCTATGATATTCGTAACCTCGTGGCCGGCCGCGTAATACTTGATCGAAGATAGGTTCCTTTGAATAGTAATACAGATGTGTGTTACACACCTCGACGTAATGTGACACCCTTGTATTAAGCGCCCAAAAGCATAGCCTCTGACTCCGAACCCGGACCTGGACCCCGAGCAAACAAATCATCCATTCAAACACACATTGCCTGCCTGCGGGGTCGCCCTCCTTTAACCGTCGAGATCGCCAGGCCCACCTCAGCGCGCCATTTGCCTGTCCTCCCCCATTCCCATGAGCACCATACACGCGACGCACGATGGGTGGTCGCTTCCGCGCGAGATCGTGTTCAAGATCATCGACCACATTGCAGATGAGCGGCGACGCAGGCCTCGTGGGTCTGCGGAACAGTATACCGACTTTCCATGCACGCTGGTTCTCAGAAACCTTGCCTTAACATGCCGATCGTTATCCGACTACTGCCATCCAATCATTTTCGCCGAAATCACCGTCCGCGACCGAGAGCGTCCAGGGAGCGATCAATTTGCTTTCACCACCAAGCGTTGGGCAAAGTTGTTGGACCACTCGCATGGAGTAGCCCGTCGCGTCAATAGCCTGGTTATAAGCATTGGCAGCAGGGACTCGATCGAGCCCTTGCAATCATGGTCATCGAGCAGACGCAAGTGGAACCGACTCACGCGACGGTACTCGCTGGAAGCAGCGCGGAAAGCATTCTTGAAGGCCGTCCAACAGGATTACCCTTGCTTGGAGCAATTGAACATCCAGGTCGTGGCTCCGTGGCCAGCGCTACTCGCGGAGGTACAAGAAGGCATTATGAAGCTGCTAAGAACCTCGACTTTGAGCAGACTCAAGCTTGACTTGAGCGACTTCCCTCTAGAGCGATTGAGGCTCTGCTGCAATATTCAGCAGCTCATGCTTACGACGCACCTCCGACACCATCCCTTCCCCAGACCGGTACCCACAGGTGAAGAGAGCCCAGGGTTCCGACTCGAGCTAAAAGGCCTGTACCTTTTTGGTGGCTATGTGTCGGGAGATGCGTTGGAAGGAATGATCTCGGAATCATCTCCACTCAATCTGACGGAGTGCAACCACATTCGACTCCCCATCGACTTTATGTCGTCGTTTTCATCTATTCATGCGAAGTTCCTTGAACACGCCCCCAGATTAACCACCTTGGATTTAATATTCCGAAAGCCGAAGGATCAGCCTCGATTACCTTCCCGTGAGTAGTCGGATTCATTACTTCGACACGCAAGTACGATTGACATGCCCATTACTCTGACACTCAGTGCAAGTGCCGCTCAATCTCGCCACCCTCCCCGCCCTCGAGGTTCTCAGTATCACGGTAGAAAATCCTACCGAAGAGCTCCATTCGGTCTGCCACTGGCTTTCCTGTTCAGCTGGAACAATTCCTGCCACCTCTCCGAGCGAACCGCCAAAGATAAAGCTGTGCCTACGGGCCACTGGGAAGGATGTTGGGGAGGATAACACACTCGAGGGACAGGATGCATTGGAGAGATTCTATCGGGACGTGTGGTCTGGACTGCTGGGTAGGGCCGAGAGTGACTATCCTGGCTTCAGGGCGCTAACCATATATGGGCGGGGTTGGGTGAGCACGGAAGAGGTAATTCGACTTGGTCGCCTTCCTCCCGGGTAACCTTAATCTTCTGCTTTACGAAGGAAGCCAATACATTTATTACTTGTGCATGCGACTCTGCCAAGGCTTTTTGTCGAACCCAAAAGTTGCGACGTCCTGGCCATAACGGTATACCGTGTCGGATCTCAATAAGCGCCCAGACATAGTATGCTGCAATAAAGCAGATTTCAATTTAACATACAACCCAACAAATGCGACAGAGAAGCTTCCAATTCTCTTCCGCCCACTCTCCAAGAAACGTCGGGAGCGCTGTAGGTGTCAGCTGTGTGGATGGTACGTGTATATCTTTCTGCTGTTGACATGCACCCACAAACATGACACATCTCAGGTCACCTGGGATCTACAACGAGAGGTTTCAAAATTCGTTGGCTCCAGCAGTTGTTCATGTCCCGCTCTATTCTGAATCGCTCATGGGAAAAGCGTTTTTCCCTCTCTGTTCTCTTGCCATGTGCCCAGCGGAGACCATCGATGCCGGAGGACGACTGGCGCTTGCCCCGAGAAATTATCTTCCACATTCTCGATCTCATAATTAGCGACTATCGCCCAAGCCTCGCTCTAGACGGTCCTCAGCCTTGGGGACTTCAAGACCCCAAGTCCTCATCGATCCCCCCAGTTCTCAAAGCAATCTCCCTCACATGCCGCGCCCTCTGCGAATACACGCGCCCGTTCATCTTCGAAACGATCCGCATCACGCCAGAACCAAGAGTGTACCTCGCCAAACAGCGCTCAACAATGGAGGCGTTTGCGGCCCTCCTCAGACACTCCCCTCACCTCGCCAGATATGTCGAAAACCTCGTCATCAGCGCATCAAAGGCGGAGACGGAGGCCCTGAAAGACATGGGATGGAGGGCATTTGCACCAAGCCAGCTCCAACGGAGCTACACCTGGTCGAAGGTCCTGGAACAGAACTACCCCGACCTCAAATGGCTCGTTCTGGACATCCCGATCCGCTGGGTAGAGATTGCACCGGATACCGCGAAGTCACTCACCAAATTATTGGAGTCGGAGGGCCTTGAAGGGCTCAGTATCGACGCGCGGATGTTTGCTTCGAGGAAGCTAAGACTCTGCAAGAGTCTCAAGTATTTCCGCTTCGATAGCAGCCACGACATTCGCTGTTCTCCGCGATCCGACATTGTCGTCGAAGCACTACCAGCCAGTCGACTCCCTGCACTGACGCTGTTGGATCTTTCCGCGTCGATCCCTGCTACCCCCACTTGGTTGCAAATGATACAGGGTAGATGCTTTGATTGTTCAAAGCTGGAACGGTGCCGCATAGGGATAGACGGATCTACGTCGTTTCCTCCTCACTGTTGTGACTTTTTGCATCTTTCCACGCATACCCTCACTCACATCGAGATATATTTCCGGAAGTTCAAACTTGCGTCCTCGCGTCCTCCCGAAGGTCAGTAATTCACATCACTTTAGACTTTATACGAGAAACTGATAATCTGCGTCGTGGAAAGATTTTACTCCTCTAAACCTTTCTCTGTTCAAGAGATTGAAAGTCCTCGTAATCGCAGCACACTTTGAAGAACGGGAAAGAATCCTAGACTGGCTTTTCCAATCGGCTGGACCCATCGCGTCCCCAAACAAGCTTGAGATCAAGCTTCAGCTCAGGACAGGGAATGAAGTTCTCGCCCGTGGGTATCCACTACAGCCAGAAGACCTGGAGGTACCGCCATCCACTTCAACAACGCAGGAGTGGGAGTCAAAATGGTCCACGACAGTCAATACAAGGGCATGGATTCCCTCGCGCTTGCTTAGAGTTTCTGCTGTTCTCGACATGCGGAAAAGCGCAGATTATCCAGATGATTGGATAGTGCCACTTGATATCTACCATACTCCAGGATGAAACCATGGATGTATCCTACGGGAAAGGAGAACAATCCTTGGCGAAACCGCCAAGATAGGGATTTAGCGACTAATCAGGGACCCTCCGACTCGGGTTCTCATCCTACACCGCTCAATACATCCACACACCCCTAACGATACCATATCCCTCAACGGAACCACACAAACCAGACTGGTAAATTAGACCAACGATACTACAACATGAACAACAGTACACAAACGAGATCAATGAGATGAGAGGTATTATTTGTCTATATGACACTGAACGCCACCTGTGAACTACTGAATACAGAACGAACTACTTAGTACAGAGATGTGTGTCTGATATGCGTGCTGAAAGAAGAGAGAGAGAAAAAAAAAACTAAGATTGTATGCATGCGCGTACGGGTTATAGTACTAGTCCATCCATTGAAAAACAACATGAAAAGAAGCGAAAGGATCAATAAAATAAAATGCTACAAGCGCCAACTCGGAGCAGGCAACCCAAAGAAAGTCAAGCGAAAAGCAAAACATCAAAGGAGGCGTGAAACAACAAAACTCCTCCAAAAGCGAGAGGTGGGGGCGGGGGCCGGGTATCCCAAAAATCCAAAACCCAAAACCAAAAGAACCCTAAATCATACCCTCAACCTCCACAACCCCACCCCTCCTCATCTCTTCCTTCGCCTTCCTATACAACTCTTCCCTCTCCATCTCCGCTTCACTCATCCCATGACCACGTGCATGTGCATCACCCGCATCCCCACCCACCCCCACACCATCCTCCACAACCAAAATATTAGCAAGCGTAACAAGCGCCTCCGCAATCAACTTGGCATACTCCCTCTCCTCCTCCTCTTCCTCCTCCTCCTCAGCAGCAAACGACGCCAAAAGCCTCTGATCCTCCTCTTCCATACTCATCTCGCACGCCTTCAGAGCCGACTCTTCCTCTTTCGAAAGAACCTCCACGTCCTGCGACGAGGTGGTCGAGTTGGAGTTGATAGACGTAACAGGTGGACTCAGGGAAGGCGTCGATTGGTGTGGTTGGGGTTGAGACTGAGACTCGAACGAAACATCCCCCATCTCAACGTCCACATCCATCTGATCATGCGACTCGTCAACAACAACCATCATCGCATCCCGCTCCCGCTCCTTCTCCTTCCGCTTCTTCTTATTCTCAGCAGCAAGCGCAGCAATACCCCTCCTCTTCGGCGGAGCACGGTCAGGACTCGAAACACCATTCGCCCTCCCCTTCCCCTTCACCACCACCTTCTTCCTCTCCTCTTCACCAAGCTTCGGGCTCGTGGTGACAGTAGTCGTATCGGCATTAGGAACCTTCCCATTAACATTCCGCACCTCCCTCGCCCTCCTCTCCCTCTCCACATCACTCTTAACCCTCTCCCTCTCCCTCCGCCGCACTTCCACACCCTCCCTCCAAATCCCCCTCGCCTTCTCCAAAAGCTCAACAGCCTCCCTCAACCGCCCCCTCGCCTCCTCCGCATCCTCACTCTTCAACAACTTTTGAAGCCTCTCCTCCTTCGACTCTCGATGCTGGCGTTCATCAGAATTCGTCGGCGTCCCATCCCCGTCCTCATCCCCATCCTCCTGCTCATCAAACTCCTCCAAAAACGTCTCAATCCTCTCCTCCGCAACCGCACTCCCAATAATCAACGCACACCTCCCCCTGGCCTTCAGTATCACATCGTTATTGTTGCTATCCAGGAACAACCCAGGGTTCGTGCTGACATCGTGCACCGCCAAAGGATGAAGAGGGAACGAAAGCGACGACGGACCATCGCCATGGTCTTTCCTCGCCCTCGACTTGCTCTTATGCGCCCGCCGAGTCCGACTACCACTCCTCGAACCCGGATGGGATCGAGGCTCCCCATCCACATCCATCCTCTCCCCGTTGAGCATGACGATATTCGTACCGGGGCTCTCCTCCAACCTCATCTGCGCAAAGACATTATCGGCATAGGACGCCCAGCGGTACCTCGACTCGGCACACGGAAGCTTCTCAGCCAACATCAAAACCTCGATCGCAATCGTCAGGAGATGCGACGCCCTCGAAAAGCCCTGCGGGAGCTGATCACCACCGTCCAAAGGATGCGGCAACGGTTCAGCGTGCTTGCCATGTCGATGATGTCGGTGGTGGTGTCCATGATGATGACGGTGCTTATGGCCATGGTGTTTATGTCGATGTCGCCTGCTTCCACCCTCCGCACCATTCGAGTGCTGCCCCGTAAGACCCGAACTGCCAGTCCGAGGCATATGCAAAACACCCCTCGAGAACTGATCAACAGCCATCGTCATAATCTCATCCACAGTCGCACCCTGCCTCTTCCTCTCCTTCTTCTTTGCATCATCGCGGCGCTTCTTGCTGTCGACAGGATACCGCCCATTACCCTCGTCTTCATCGTCGTTCCACCACGAAAGCGTAAAACCAGAAGCCGCCGAGGAATGGTCGTATGCGTCGATGCCGTACTTGGCGAGCTCGGGTGTGGCAGGCATGCCGTTGACATCACCACCACCAAGAGTCATCCTCCTCGTCACAGGCGCCATCCGACTCCTAATAACCATGAACGGACTGTCCTTCTTCCAGTGCTTCCTCGGATCGTCGAGAGGAGTCTGTGGCAGGTAGGGCGACTGGCGCGATCGGCGGCCGGACACGGTAGAAAGTGTAGATGAGCCAGGACTACTGGAGCTCGTACCTGGAGACATCGAGGAGTTAACACCACCTAACGAACGGGACGCAAAAGGTGAAGAAACACCTGGTGTCGCCGATGGCATGCTCGAACAGTTCATTCGAGGAATAGCTTCGTCAAGTGGGAAGATGGCGCTGGGCAAGCTGACTGGCTGGTTGACACCCCGCATGAAGCTACTTCCATTCACCCGCAGACCTCCCATGCCATCCACATTGAATCCCATCGCTCTACCACCCGTACCTCCGAAATATCCATCCCCAAGCATACCGCTGTTCATGATAAAATCTTCAGCAAGGAACGAAGCAGGGTTGGGTGCTTTAGGCGGCGGCGGTGGCGGTCGTCCATAACTGGCATACGCAAAGTAACTCTCCTGATCTTCTGGTGGTCGTTGCGCCATCTTGACTTCCTCCGGCTTAAACAGCTCCTCAACCAATTTCTCCCGCTCCAACAACTCTTCCGCCAAACTGACCAACGTCCGGCCCCAAGTGATCGCCATCCTCCAATCCTCCTTGGCTCCAAGCCCACAGCAGTCATTGTGAGCAGCAGCGGCAGCTTGCGCTTGGGCGATGATATCCGAGGTAAACGAGTAGGTGCCGGTAAAGTCGTTATCCTCCTGATAGCCGGTATAGATACCACCAGACCCAGTGCGGGCTGGTAAACGCTCCGCCATTTCAAAGACATCGAGGGCATAAAGGTGATAAAAGGCTTGCGTGCGGGGTTCTCCTTCGAGGGCCAAATGCGGGTTGGCATCGATGATATTGCCAAAGAAGAAAAGCGCGGTGCCAAGGAGTGAGTGGAATGCAGTTGGGAGGTCTTTCGAGTGATGATGCGTCGCCGACGTCGATGACGTTGAAGCGCGGATTGTCGGGGCTGCATTCGGAGATGGCTCAGACGGGCCAACACCAGCGTCCACCTTGGTCGTGCCAAACAGCGGGTCCGTGCTTTTGCTACATTGTCACCAATCAGAAACAAAAATTCGGAGAAATAAAATCAAAAAATGACGCACTCGGGTGTCCCATTCTGTGCGACAGCGTGAGGAGCCAGGAACAACACCGAAGGGTCGTCGTACACCTGCAGGAACCGACTGCATTCATGAATTATCCCACGAAGCAGGGGAAGCGTTTCCGAAGGATCTTCGACTATCAATTTCATTAGCCCCCTCTGCGATAACAAATTTCAAAGAGGTAGAGACGCACCATCGACAACCTCGAGACAGCGTGCCCAAACTTCCTTGAGGTCTTCCCAATCTTCATACGCAACCGAGCCCACGGGTTGCGGCGAATCACTAAACCTGGTGCGGGCCAACGAAGTGGTATCCATCACCTTGGACCTCGTAAAATACTTGCGCGCATCCGAAAGATCGTCGAGCACCGGGATCGCCTTGGTAGACGATGCCAGGGCGGCAAGGGTGGCGGTATCGGATTGTGCCGAAGAATCGGGGGCGGTGTCAGCAGCGATAGACGACATGGCGTCGACGGTTGTCGTCGCTTGCTTGAGCGAAGCAACAGAAGAGAGCAAAGTAGTCCGACTTTGCATTTGTTGTGCTTGACGTTGCGGTTGGTCAGCGGACTCGGCGTGATCCTGATGACGTCGTCCATGATGCGACAACAGTTGATCCTCACTGCCCCCGCCCACCACCATCCTCCTCCTCTCAACTCCCCGCCGCTGTCTCTTTCGCTCGTTTTGACCCTCCGCTCGCCGGGTCCGGTACATCCCGTCATCACCGCAGTCCACATCACTCTCCCCGGCGCTACTACAACTCGACCACCCCGACTCACTCCCACTCTCGCTGTACACATCCTCCCCTCCTCCCCGGCCCCGACTCCGCCCTCGCCGCACCCTCCGCCGCTTCAAATTCTTATAATCACACTCGCTCATATCAGATTCAGAACTCGAACACGACTCGTGTCCACCTCCTTCACGATCACCCCTACCGCGCCTCGTCGTCGTCGTCACAGTCTTCTCCAGCGCAGTCGGCGTCGACGTACTCGTCGTTTTGGTCGATATCGAAGGCGTCAGAGACCTAGACGTAGTCGTAGTAGCTATACAACCCCCAAAAAGTTAGCCTTTTTTCTTCGTTATCGATGGCGTGCAAAAATAGAATTCGAAATGGAAGGGTGGGAATGTTGCGATAGACTTTTACCCCAGCAAGGAAAAGGGGGTGGAGATTCGAGAAGCGAAGCAAGGTGTGGAGAAGGGAAAGAAACAAGGAAGGGAACGAGCAGGTCAACCCCCACTCTTTAAACCCAAACAATCGCAAAACAAGGGGAAGGCGGAAGTAACCCCAAAACGTTGCTGCTTCACCCAATTCAAAAACGAACAAGAGCCCAGATCCCACTTCACTTTGCAAACCGAACAATGGTCCCATCTCCACGCGAGCTTCCTTCCCGTCGTGAAGTGAATGACCACCCACCCCCGAGGCAATCAAATCAAATCAACAGCGAAGATCATTAAAAACAGGCAACAGCTCCGCGCGTGCTCCACACAGAAAATCCAACAAAAAAATCCAGAAAAAAACGCAGAAAAAACGCCAAAAGAAAGAGTATGAGAGGAACATGAAAACTCACCACTAGCTTTACCCTTCCCCTTCACATCCACATTCACAGTACCACCGGGCGGTGCAGGCCCAGTCCCTCTTGCCCTCCACAACCCTCTCGGTCTCGGATTCGGATTCAAACTCCCAACACCAACACCAACTCCCGCACTCCCTTCCCTCTTATGCACCACCCCACCTCCACCTCCACTACCAGCACTAGCACCACCAACACCTCGACTCCGACTCTTACACCTCCCACTCCCCTGCCCAATCCCCCCAGAACTAGTAAACACACCCGGCGTCCTCGGCCTATCAAAATAATCCACACTCATCCCAGCACCACCAACACCCACACCTCCAATCCCAGCCAACGACGAAGACGACGGCGACGGCGACCCCCTCCCCACCGATCCCACCATCCCTATAGCAGAAGGCGACCCCATCCCACCATACGCAAACTGCGCAGCACCACCCTCCGACCCACAAGGCGAAGGCGTCCTCCGCGGAAAGGTAAGCGAAATATTACGTTCATCCGGGTCCGCAAATGGCGAAAGCGAAATCGTGCGCGAGACCATCCCGCTCCCAATCGTGCTCCCCGGCGTACACAGAACAGAGGAAGGATTCGAAAGAGTCGACGACGTAGATCCCGAAGTCGAGGAGGGGTCGAGTCCGGGTAGGAGGAACGGCGTCTGCGAACTCGTCGTCCCCGCTGTCAAAGTCGTCTCCGTAGTCGATGGTGGTGCTGTAGGCGAGGTAACCGCAACCACCGGCGTATCGATATCCATTCGTGCCCGTTTCGCGGTCGTACTAGACCTAGTAGGCAGTGAAAAATAATCCATCTCCGCTTCCACCTCCCTCTCTCGATCAATAAGGTCCTTCATATCAGGCGATTCAATTTCCCGTTTCCTCTTCTTCTTCTCCAAAGAATTGAGATTCGCAAGACTCAGCGGTACGACGACCTGTTGCTTCGTCTTGTTGTTGGCGTTCGTGTTGGTGGGCGATACCGATGTCGACGCGCGCGCCTTTTTACTCCCGTCGTTCAAAGCCCCCGAAGAAACAAGCTCGATATACGTCCGATAATACGGACTAAACGGATGCGCAGAAGAAGTGACAGGACTCGCAGCCGAAAACGTGAGCGAAAGCGTCGTCGAAGAAGTCGAACTTTCTTTCCTACTCGTCGTCGATGTCGTCGTCGATGTCGTCCTCTCCGTAGTAGCCTCCAAAGGCGCAGTCGTAGTCGTCAAAGGCAGCACAGATGCACCGGTTCCCTTCTTCAGTGCCTCCTCCAACAAACTCCTCCGATCCTCAAGCAACGCAAGCCCGTTGGAGATATACCCAAAGTTGTACCCGTAGGTATACGTATAGTTGAAAATGTGATCCGTAGGCGTAGGTCGCTTCCTCGTTGGCGGCGATAACGCACTCGTCGATTTGCTCGATGTCGATGTCGACGCCGAAGGCGAAGATGTATTTGGTTTGGGTGTAGATGTTATCGAGACGGGCATCGACTTGAACGATACTGGGGGGTTAAACGGTTAACAAATTGGTTTCTTTTCCGGTACAGGGAAGAAGTGGGGGAGAAGAAGAAAAGAGCCAAGTAGTCGCTTCGTGAACGAGTTTAATAACACAGCGTTTCAAAGGCGTGAAGGGGTCGTTTATCGATGCGCAGCGAGGATGTTGAAATGAAATGAAAGAAGAAAAGAAGGAAAGAAAGAAAGAAAACCGAATCTCCTTGATTGAGACAAATTCGCCCCGCCTCGATGGTACACTTCCAGCCCCATCCATCCATCCGCAAACGATCTCATCGCCGGCAAACACCCCAGCCTCGCCGCACGATAGACCAAAAAAGAACATCGTGTATCCCGGAACTGGAACATCACCAGATATGACTTGACTGGCCCAGCCGACAACTGGGAATCAAGCCCCTCGCAAGACTTCCGGAACGGGTCTACATCGACTATAGACCGTTCTAGTTCGCGAGTCTATGCGGGGCTTCACACCGTTCCGGAAATAACAAAGAATGCAGAAACACAGCAAACTCTCTCCCATGCAGTTAATCCGGAGATTCTGTCCCGGGTGTTGCGTGAAATGAGATCGTAATAAGGGAAAACGGGATAGACGAGGACGAATATCTGGTCAGAGCAGAGGCGGACGAGGCATGTTGTGGAGTTCACCGATATGGCAAATAGGTAACCGTAACCTGCCTGCCCCCCTACTCGATCCAGACCCAAGAACCCAGAACCAGAACCAGAAACGAAAAACGCAACAAAACAACAAGGCAATTTGTAGCGGATGGAATGATGATGGATTGGCACTCACCCAATCCCGAACCGTCTACCACCACCCCTCGGCCTTGTCTAGATTGAACGTAGACTACTGTAGGCCTGTCGGTAGGTCGGTAGTCGAATTGTCCCTCTGGACTGTTTTGGTGTTAAGAATGCAGAGACCGGCGGATGGAATGGGCGGAAGGAGAGGCCTGGAACACCAAATCCAGGTATATATAGCCGGTCAATGGGGCAAGCAAAAGAAATTATTCGCCCTTTCCCTCGCGCGTCGTCGTCTTCTTGGGTCCTCGTCGTACCCTAAAGTCTGGGGTCGTCGGGTCGATCACAAATAGGCACCTCGATCGTTCCGCGCCGAATTCGCCGATGTCTTCACCGCCACAGCGCGTACAATAAAGCGGTCGTCTGGGATAGTCTTGAACTGTAATAAGACCCAGAATTTGGGGAGTAAGCAAATGGTGACACAAACGCGGTGCGAAAGGGAGAAAGGGAAAGAGTATATGGGTGTGTGTAAACCTGAGAAGGGAAGCCCGCAACAATTGGGCCGCTGAGCAAGCAAAAAGGCACTGTGAGGCTGTTGCGTCCGAGGCCTAGGTTCCGGATTCCGATGCGCGTGTTCTGGCCCCTCCCTTCGGCATCAACGTTATCAACTTCGGAATAACTCACCAAGAGGCCTCGAACTGTCTAGAGTTGACCGCTCTCTTTCCTTATGAGCGATGCTGTGAGGATGTGGTTGGGCGTGCGTGTGCGTGTGTGTCTGTGATATCAATAGCCGTACTCGTCGCCTTAGACTCGGGCCACAGATACAAAAATAAACCTTGGTAGTGTGGTCGTGTGGCGGGTACTAGAAAGAAAAACGAAATGAATGAAGCGAAGGATGCGTTTGAATTGAATTGATAAGCCCACGACGCAAGACTTTGGACAAGTAGTACATACAATTACCGAATACCGAGGAGCCTGTCTCTGTCCGTCTCTGTCGTGTGTCAAGGCCTAGAACGCGCAGTACCCCAGCTACGAAACGCCAACGACGCCATAAAGGACAAGATAACGGGAATTGGGGAGGGCATCAGATCGTGGATGGGAGGAGCGAAATATCACGATATCACCCATGGGGTCCGGGTCCAGGGAGGAGGCGGCGAACGGGGATTCCAAGAGGTAATACCAAGAATTGGCGAAGGCGCAGCGTGCAGGCAAGTCGAGATATCCAGAAGCCATATCGGTGATCATGGAAGGGGTGCGTGGTGGCCAATGAACGGTTCACGGGTAGCATTGAAGTAGCGTGGTCCACATATCAAATCAACGGACGGGCACGTTAGAAGAAGAAACGCGAGAAAAAGGTCAGTTAAACGTGGCTTTCAAATAACGAATTAAAGCATGGCGCACCCCAGTAATTAACCTTTCCCTGAGCCAACTTGCGTCACCACCAGTCGAAACGCCCGTTCCAGTCGTAAATTCGTCCAAAAAACTCCAATTTTTCGCGGTTGGTGGTGAAATCGCCCAGTCAGAACAGCGTCAAGGACACCAAAAACAGGTCAGGAATTGAGAGTGGATAGTGGGAGAGAACAAGCCCGCTGCAAAAACGGCTTGGAGACCGACCACCGCCGCCATTGGCTTATTCCTGATTCCACTTCTCATGCAAGTCTAGACCAGCTTCAGACCAACAGCGAATCATCGAACAAGGAAAGTTGGCCGAGGGCTAGACCATCTTGATGCCATCAATTCATCCCGAATATGGAAAGACTGCGCCAAGCAAGGCCCAATCCAAGCCTACTTCGTCCGATCATCCAATCGTATTGCCCCGTTGCAGCCCGTTCTCCGTGGCAACCAGGAGCGCTCGCGTGGCGCTAATGAGGCTGATCCCAATTGGACCACGGTCGAGACCGTTCCTTTAATTAGCCGCCGGCTTAACCAATCAGGGCGTCGGTCAATTTTGCCTCACCCCTCAGCCAATAGAAGTCCTTCGATAATCGTCATTGCAGTCTGGGGTTCACTTTACACGCAAAGATGGTATAAATCATTGCGGGAACCAAGATAAATACAAACCATGTATAGGTATAACAGTAGCACACATCCCGTCTAACCCCTCCTCTTGGGCCCCTTACCCCACTTCTCTTCCAAGAACGCGGTAAGGTATTCATACACCTCCCGGTTGGCTCCACGTCTAGCAATGCTATGATCACTACAATCCGCAGTCAGTACAGTCATTCATCGCATCATACTCGACGTCAAAGGGCGCAGAGAAACGGATATGCTCTCAGGGAAAGGCAAAGCCTCCCAGAGAAATGAAAGGGCTCCCAGAGAAACGAAAGGAAAGCCCACAAAAGAAGCCCACAAAACGCAAACAACGCAGGCAAACAAAAAAGAACGAAACGCATGCTCACCTATCAGTAAACATCCTAAATCTATACTTCCTAACTTTCGCCTGGGTAAACATATCCAATAGATGGGCCGAGTTGGAGTAGTGGACGTTATCGTCTCCGCTACCATGGGCAAGGAGGTAGTCGACATTGTGGAAGCCGGTGACATTCGAGATGGACGCATTGACGTAGCCGCCGGGGTTGAGAGCCGGGAGGTTCATGTAGCGCTCGGTGTAGATCGTGTCGTACAACAGCCAGCTCGTTACAGGCTGGTAGCATCCAATTTAGCGATAAGGTAACAGCATCCCACAGACGGAGAGAAAACTCACAGCAACAGCCATAGCCAACGTATGCACCCCCTCATTCGCCTCCACAACCTTCGAACTCATAAACCCACCATAACTCCACCCCCAAATCCCAATCCTCTTCGAATCAACATACGGCTTCCTCACATACTGCCTCGCAGCTTCAATCTGATCAATCGTCTCAAAGAAACCTAAATTGTTCTTGACAGGATTGCGCAGCTTGCGGCCCTTGTAGCCGGTACCACGTCCGTCGACCGAGACGACGATGTAGCCGAGGCCGGCGGCGAGGTAGTTGCTCCAGGCGGTGCGGGGCCAGCGCGCGTCGACTTGTTGAGAGAAGGGCCCGCCGTAGACGTAGAAGAGGACGGGGTATTTGGTGCGGCCCGAGTCGTCGAATTTGGGAGGTCGGGTTTCTTTGACGTTGAGTTCTGCGAGCAAGGTAAGTACAGGTATAGGGGATCATGAAGGTAAGCAGAGCGCACCATATCCATCGCTCATAAGAGTGGAATAAGTGACGATAGGAGACTCGTACTCCGCATCGACAGCCTTCAATCGATCATTGGTATTCAATACATACTCAAAGGCTACAGCCGAATCAGCTCAAGCGCACTCAAGAAGACCCAAAGCGAAAAGAAACGCACAAGAGTTGTCGACCTGGATAACCCGCTGCCACGGCACACTCGGTCCACTATAGGTCAAGACATAGTACCCAGCCTGGGGCGAGAACGAGGTACCATAGTACCCAGGCTTAGTGATATCCGTCAAAGGCGTAGGACTATCCGTTGCAACAGGCGTAGATCCATCAAGCGGCAAAGGAACAGAGAAGAGGTGTCGCTCGATCGACGCTTGTCTCTCAGATTTGGCAGCAGTGAAATATCTGTTACGTGGGAGGGTCAGTTAACCGTGGATCTAGATGAACGAGAGGTAGAGGAAGGCTTACACCAAACCCTTCTTGGTATCGACAGCTCGAATCAGGCCGGTAACTTCCCAGTCACCGGTGGTGAGCCATTGGGGTTCGCTGGAGGTAGCCGGGCGGAAGAGAGCGATGTGGTTGAAGCCGTCCTTGCTGGGTACGATATCGAGGTACGCGTCCTCACCATCAGGAAGATACAGAGGATAGATCGCTTGGTCCTACACCGAACCATCAACGCCTATACCCAAAGCAAAACAGGAAGATACCCACAGCATCAATCCACCCATCATCACCCTGCTCCCCATCCTTGCCCAGCTTCCTCACAATCTGTCCCGTAGCCCTCGCCCTAACACTCTCCTCATTCGACAAATCGAACAAAATAGCATGCCCGTCATCAGCATTCCTGTTCACCTCCTTGACGATCAACGACGAGTTGGAGAGCCAGGCGATTTCCATGATGACGCTGTTGTTGGCGGCTTGGCGGTTGGGCCAGTCGAGGGTGAGGACTTCGGTGCCGTCGGGCCCGCCGGAGCCTTCGTGCTCGTTGAGATAGCGCTCTAAGTCGAAGACGTGCACCGAGACGATTGGGTTGGGGTAGCCAGGCTTAGGGTACTTCATGACCACCTCGGTGGTATAGGGGTTAACAGTCGTAGCATCCTCAGTGGGGTTGTAGATCGGGAAAGTAAACTCTGGGACCTCAGTCTCGTCGAAGGACAAGAAAGCGATCTTGCTCGAGTCGGGGGAGAACCAGAGGGCGTGGTCGCCGCTGAAGACTTCCTCCTCGTACACCCAGTCGGGTACACCGTGGAAGAAGGTCGCGTTCCCGGTGGTGGTGACGCGAATATGCTCGGCGGAGGGGTCGGCGGTAGGGATGACATAGAGGTCATTCTCTACGACATAGGCAATGGCTTCTCCCGTGGGGGACCATGTTGCGTACGCGGTCTTGGAGGGGCTGGAAGGTGGGATGATAGGCCAGGTTTGCTTGGTTTCGAGGTTGTGAACGTAGTAGTTCCCGAAGCTCGAATGGCGCCATTGCTGGTGATCATATGGTGCGGGGAATTAGAAGCGGGGAAGCATATGGAGAAGCCTTAGCGCACCTTGCGGTAGTCGGCTTTAACGAGAATGTGGTGCATGTCTGGTGACACTTTCCAATCCGCGATTGCGAGTGGATTTCCTTGTTCCTGGAATAATCCGCGTGAGTAGAAGCCGCGGGTTCAATGTGGGGCATACGTACATCCCTGATGTCCGCAAGGTCGACAAGTTTCCTTGTCGAATTGGTGCTCAGTGAGACCAGGTTGATTGACCCGTCTGTTGACACTGAGAAAACGCCGTCTCCAGCTACAACGAGTAATCGTGATAGGGTTAATGTCTATTCGTTTTGAAAACCAAGAAAAGAAGCCAGATAGAGTGGGAAAGAAAGATGTATAGTAGTGCAAAACATAGTCACTCGACGTACCCTCAGGAATCCAGTGAAGGGACGTGGATTGAGGGGAGAAGGTGCCGTTAAATATGTGGTCCATAGTAATCTTGCGCAACCCTTGTATAGTAAAGTAAAGTAATGGTAAGTAAATTGTATCGTAACGGTATAGTAGACAAAGTAGTAAGGTAAACGAGAGCAAAGTCCCAATAGAAGATCTATCGTACGGCAAAGGGTGAAATGGCTTACCTTCGGGTACCCAGTTCAGCTGCGTCGTTCGAGCCGAGAATGTCCCGTTGAAGATATGATCCATCGTGAGTTTGCGCAAGCCCTGAACCAAAGGAGCGTCCGTGTAAGTGACAGCGGCGATGAAGCCAATGCCGACAGCAAGGCCGACAAGGCCCACCAGCCCAATAATGAGCCAGCGAAGCGACGCAGATGTGCCCTACAATCTCGATGAGCACAGGTTGGGCTAGATCAATGATCAACGAAACATACCTGCTTGAGTGGGGATCGCATGCTGCGTCCGTCGACAGTGCTTCTGGCACTTCCTAGCCCCAGCTCAGCCATGCCAGGCGAGTCAGGCCTGTCCTTGTCGTCGTCATCCAACAAGGACTCTGCCTCCTCGTCTGAGCTGCCTGGGGCGTCGAACGGACCATCGTTGTAATAAACTGAGGGCCTAATGAGCGCTGGGTCGACGACGGTTGCTTGGGAGGTCTGGCGCATCTCCGCGGGCGTTCCTGGGCTCGAACGATGCAGAACGTCGTCTTCACTTGACAGCCTCATTTTAGGGTAATAATGAGGGCGTCCAAAAGGCCGTCCAGTTTCGGGGGAAGCCTTATATAGCGGATCGTGGTGAGAGAAGAGGGAAAAGGTCAATATGACAGCGCGCAACAGAAGCCGCCAAGTTTTGATGGGCACATGGCTGTGTACATGTAACCCGAGTTTGGTCCATAACCACCACTCAATTCCAACTCTTTACTTATCCGTGTAGATGATATAGGCGCGCTGTTGCTACCATGGCCCCTCAAAAGTCGGCGACGAACGCCAATTGGGACCCAATTCTCCTCATTTCGCAGGTATATATCCTCAACTTGCTTTGAACCATGACAGGATCTGAACTCTTCTAGATCGTTTCTATCCAAACTCTGCATTATTTGACACTATGCATTCTGGTTCCACCATTACTATCTATATTCGCAGACCCAGTGTCTCTGACCTATGAAGGAGGCCCCTATAACATCGGTATGCTCACTCAATCTTCCATTGGAGTATACTGAAACGAGAACTACCAGGCATGATCATGGACTGGCGCGAGATGGCCGGACGACCAACCGTCAGAGGAACGACAGATGCCAACCTGTGGAACAGCTACAGATGGGCGTGGAGCGGTGGGAAGAAGGTCGGGTATGGGTACGACGAGGCGCGGTGGGACGGTCGAATCGATCCTATACGTGGCTGGATCATCGCCGTTTGCTGGATTGCAGCTTGCTTTGCCGAGTAAGTCTCTTTTTACACCTCTAGAGGTTTGGCTAATCCCTTTGAAGTATCTATTATGTATACATGATCGTCCGAAAACCCCGCATGATCCTCGACTTTGCGCTCACTCTAATCTTCAACCACCTGGTTCTAACGACATACTATTCCGCCTCGATACCCACTTCGCTATTCTTCTATGCAGTCCTTCTAGTTGGAGCTGCGCTCACCATCATCATCGCCGAACAACTCTGCGTCAAGCGGGAGATGAGGGAAGGACTGAAAGTCACGACGTTGAGACCAGAGGAGGAGGAGGCTTTGGTAGACGAGATGGAGTTGGGTAACTTACGACGCGATTAATATGGTGAGAGACAGGCCTTTTCTACCCTTACCCAACGCTCATGGCATTACCAGACTTGTACCATAGACCTTTAATGACCATGACCTACACCCTATCCATGCGTCGGAGACGCGATATAGTCGGCATATGCTCATTTCTGGGCACTCATGGTTCGCCCCACCTCGGGAGCAAAGGAGGGAGACAACGCGGGATACCCACCATTCCCTGTCGTGCGACAGAATTCAGAACCGCGCGGTGAGATTCAGATTCGATGGCGTCAACATTTCATTTCACTAGGCATCGTATGCTAAGTACCGAGAAGGTATGCTCGTGTTTCTCTCTGGGATGTATAATCTGGGATATACGGGGGCGACATACCAGTCTGGGCAATCTAGCGTGTCTCGCATGTCCAAGAAGATGGCGATGTCGATATCTCGCAGAACCGGGCCAAGCCTACGATCCATCCGTTTGGCCCACTCGTTAATCCAATCTTCCAAGTTGGATGGTGAGTCGGTTTCTTGAACGTCGTATTGTGGAGGGCTGGACGGGACCTCCTTCACCGCTCTGAAATATAACTCTATCTTGCAGTTCACATCCCCTCCACAGGCCTGCACTGATCTCGAGAGCCAATCAAGGATACCCTTCCCCTCGGGAAAGTGCGCCGATATAGCGAGTATTCTCAACTGGGGAAAGTGGGCAAAGTTGAAGAGGTTGAATCCTATGTTCAGCATGTCAGAAACGAACCCCCATACTTCCTGACGACGAACTCACCCTCTGCAGGCCTGTACGGCGTAAACACATGCCACTTGAAGTATATCTGGATATGCACCAACGTCCTCCGCGACAACTCCAAAAAGTCGATATGGAAACGCCGGAACAAGCCGTGGTTATAGTCAACCGATATCCGACACCGCTCCAGCCTCGTACACTTAAAGGTCCTCTGGGACAAAGTCTCGAACCACCCCTCCATGCCCGAGGTTGCGGTGGCGGACAAGTCCAAGACTTTCACAGTTATGAGTTCGCGGAGGGGTATCCTCTCTGGGCGGAGGGGCATGGTGGGCGGCTTGGCTACATGCTCACTCCCGAACACCATGTACTTGAGATCCTTGCACCGCCGGAACACGCGCGACGTCATCGTCCGGGGGTTGAGAACGAGTCCTTCCAGTCCTTCCGTCTTGATTAAATGGATGAACGATGATCTGAAGGCTGGTGCTAGGGCGATACACTTGGTGGGTATGTCTAGGACTAGCCATTTGAGTTTGGGGTATCGTTGGTTTAGGGCTTTTGACCATGCGGATTTTTGTTTGGCGAGTAGTCTGGCGTTGTTAACGTTGGAGTTGGAATTGGAACTGGAGTTGGGGAGGCTTGGGAGGTAGGCCCACCATTTCTGTTGAAAGGTGCGTTCGTCCTGGCGGAGAGCGGTTGTGTACTCCATTGAGGCGCTGATGAAGAGGTACTCGACGTGCTTGGGAACTTGAGGATTTAAGGAGGTCCACGTATGTCTCCATTGTCGACCGTAACTTGTGAGTACCCGTTTTTTCTGCTCGCTTTCGCGGCTCTGGGCTGATCTGGACGCAACGAAACACAAACGGACGTGTGTATTCCGAGAGGGTGCGGCACGTCTGTGAGACTGATTTGAGGGCTTGAGGTGCGAAAGGCATGGCGGGTCGTTGCACTCCCCACCGGAGAGGACCTTCCAACACAATACGTGGGCAGTGCTCATCAAATATAAAAGAGAGTATATGGTATATAACCTCGTGGGGGAGGCACCAGGTCTGCCTTATAGCCGCAGTTTCCGACGAGCGGAGGCGGAGAAGGGATAGGCATTTGGGGAGCGAAAAGCGGTTGTGAAGGGGAAGGCGGGGATGGGGCATTGTCAGTTAATCATTTTCACAGTTGTCTTGCATATAATGGGTTGGGACTTGATGACAGTGTACAGATCATCTTCAATTCTGCAAGTAGGGATCAATTCATCATCGGTATGTGGGTGTGCATCTGTCATGGTGAGGTCCACAAGGATATGGACAGCGTTGGCGTACCTCTAGTGCGCAGAACCCACCCGCAGGCCTAGATCAACGCACGCACCTACTCTCGAGTGTACTGTGCAACATCGGGAGTCGAACCCCGGACGCGTATCCCGACTCGGACTAGGCCCCCTATTCTGGGCGCTTAATCTCCTGACATGGTTAAAACCGCGCACGAAATGCATACACCAGGGTTTCAAAATCGAGGAAAGATGTATTACAATACTATACTATTGGTGTCTCCGAAGAATATGGACCGAGAGGGGTAATTAGCGAGTCCGGGCAGTGCAGCGATTTTCGCGTGTCCAAGAAGGCAGCGATTTCCACGTCCCTCAACAACGGGCTCCGAGTATCATAGCCCATCAATATGTCCCACCTGGCCATCCAGTCTTCCAAGGAATATGGTGGGCGGTGCACATCGTATTTTGGGATAGGAATCCCCGTGTAAGGGACCTCCCTCTGCACCCTGAGATATAGCTCGATCTTGCAGTTCACCTCCCCTCCACTGGCCTCTACCGAACGCGCGAGCCAGTCAAGTAACCCTTCCCCCTCGTAGAAATGCGCCGATATCGCAAAAGTTTCCAACTTTGGGAAATGGGTGAAGTTGAAAGGGGTGAATACTGGGCAACATATCAGAAACGATTCCCAGATACTTTGGTCAACCCTGAACACTCGAACTCGAACCAGTACTCACCATTCGCAGGCCTGCTCGGCTCAGACACATACCATTTGACGTATATCGCAATGTGAACCAGCGTCCCGCCCCACAACTTCAAGAAATCGATGTAGAAAGGGAAGACCCAGCCTTGACCATTATGAACCGGTATCCGGCACCTCTCCAACCTCGTTAAATTGAACGTCCTCGTTGACAACGCCTCGAGCCACTTGGTCACACCGTATGGTTGGGTATTGGACAGATCCAACAGTTTCAGAACAGGAAGCTCGCATTGGGGTACCCTGGTCGCTCCAACTGATCCAACGAGGTCGGGGCGGAGGGCTTCGTCGTCCGGTCGGGAGAGAAAGCATCCCCCGAATACCATATACTTGAGATTCTTGCGCGGCTGCGGCATACATGGTGTCATGAACCAGGGGTTGATGCTGAGTCCTTCAAGACTCTCAGCCTTCAACAGACGCTGAAGCCCCTGTGCGACATCCGGTGCGACCAGATGCCACCGGGTGCCTAGGTCCAACACAAGCCATCTGAGCTTGGGGTACCGCCGGTTCAGGGCCTCGATCCACACCATTTTCTTCTTTTCCAGACGCTGCTTGACTTTTAAGCTCGGACACGTTGAGGGGAAGGAGGTTGCGAGTCGTTGGCGCCACTTGGGTAGCCCCTCCGCGGCGACTCGAGGGTAAGGGCTGTCAATGAGGATAGGGGCTAACTCACAGCCGCTGATGAAGAGGTACTCGACGTGCTCAGATGCTTGAGGAGAGTGTCGTAGGAGATCCACGAATGCATCAACTGTTGAGTACCACTGCCAAATCGGCATCTTTTCCCACTCCTCCTTGGGTCGAAGTGACCGTCCGGTGGAGAGCTGAACGCAGCGAAAGACGAAAGGCCGTGTGTAATCTGCGAGGGCGCGGCAGGTCAGCGAAACTGATTTAAGGTCTTGAGATATGAAGTGCGTCGCGGGCTGCCACTGGATTCCCCATGGAACAGAAGTTGGGCCTCGCAGCACGACCCGTGGACTGTGCTCGTCGAATAGGAAGGTGAGGATGAGGTATATGATTTCAAGGGGGATGCGCCAGTTTTGGCTTGTGGTCACAGTTTTGGGCAAGCGCGAACGGGAGAAGGTGATAGGCATTTGGGGAGGGCAAAAGGGTTGCGGAGGAAGGAACAGCGCCGGCGATGCCTGAATTGCAAATGGGAAATCAACCCATCATCGAGTGTGGGTGAACATCATTGATGGACTGGACCTCCTTTTGGCGCTTAATCGAAGCCGACGAGTTCGTGCGCTCAGCATGCTGTTTCTGCTGGCTGTGACAATTAAGTATAATTGGTGATACCAACATTTACAAGTAACGCCGCGCAATGAACCACGGAGAATCGTGCCCGCATTTGAGCCAGAATGTCTTTTTGCTACTGTACTGGTGTTATGTCGGGGACATACGACCCGAGAGGGATAATTGACGAGTCCGGGCAATGTATTGTTCTTCGCGTGTCCAAAAAAGCAGCCAGTTCTACTTCATCCAGCAACGAGCCCGGCCTATATTCCGTCAATCTGGACCACTTTGAGGTCCAATATTCCATGAGGTGTGGTGGGTCAGCTGCATCGTATTGTGGAACGTGACCCTCTCTGAAGGGGACCTCATTTTCCGTCCTGATATATAGTTCGATCTTGCTGATAACCTTCCCTCCACTAGCCGCAACTGATTGTGAGAGCCAACCGAGGATACCTTCTCCCTCGCTGAAATGCGCCGATATAACGAGGGTTCTCAACTTTGGAAAGTGGGTGAAGTCGAGAGGGGTAAATTCTAAGCACGGTGTGGATTAGAATCAAGGTTCGAGTTTAAAAACGCGAAATGCACTCACCCCATGCAGAACGAGATGCAGTCGTTGAGGCCTTCTTGAAATAGATCTCGACATGCACCAAAGTTGACCCAGACAGCCTCAGGAAGTCGATGTGGTAGGTACGTAGGCATTCACGGCGGCCAACAGGGATACGGCATCGTTTCAGTCTTGTACAATTGAACGCCCTGGTGGACACACTCTCGAACCATCCTGCCATACCAGAGGTTGCAAAGGTCGACAGGTCTAGGACTTTGAGAGTTGGGAGCTCGCTGAGTCGCTTCTTCGTCGCTTTGGCGTCCGGGGTGGAGGTGGCCGGCCCGTCTACGTATTCGCCCCCGTACACCAGGTACTGAAGGCTCTTGCATCGCCGTAGCACACTCGAATGCTTCATCCGAGGGTTGAGAACGAGCCCCTCCAACCCATCCGGCCGAGTCAATAGGCGGAAGAACGCTGGTACGAAATTTGGTGCGAGCGCGCTCCACCTGATGGGTACGTCGAGGACCAGCCATTTGAGTTTGGGATACCGTTGTTTCAGCGCTTTCGTCCACGTTTCTCTTTGTTTGACCAGTTTGGAATAGGGACTTGAATTTGAGAGGTAGGTACGCCATTTCATTTGAGGGATGCATTCTTCAGGGCGGAGAGCGGTTGTGTACTCCATTGAGGCGTTGATGAAGAGGTACTCGACGTGCTTGGGGACTTCAGGATTTATGCGTAGGAGATCCACGTATGTCTCCATTGTCGACCGTAACTTGTGCGCACCCTTTTTTTCTGTTCGCTGTCGGGGCTCTGGGCTGATTTGGATGCAACGAAAAACGAACGGACGTGTGTATTCCGAGAGGGCGCGGCACGTCTGGGAAATCGATTTGAGGTCTCGAGGTACAAAAGGGGAGGCGGGTCGCTGGACTCCCCATTGGAAGGATCCTTCCAACGTGATACGTGGACAATGCTCATCGAATAGGAAGGCGAGGATATGGTATATGATCTCGAGAGGTAGGCGCCAATTTTGGTCTTTGGCCATGGCGAGAGGAAGCTGCTGAGGTCTGTGGAAGGTAAGGCGTTTGTGGACGGGAATGCGAGGACGGTACATTGAGAACTGGAAGTATCAGCACATACCTCGTCAATGGATCTATCCAAGGCGGTTGAGTTGCGGGTGGGAACCACACTGGAATGTGTAGTACACATTAGTCAGGTTGAGGTCCACAAATAATATTACCAAATACGCGCTGGTGTGCCCTAGGTCGCAAACGCTGGCTCCCTCTATATTTCAAGTATTCGTATTACCATCTATTCTCGAGTCGCGATGGTCCCAGGTCACCCCAGGTCCCCAGTGGACTACTTCATCTCTTGCCTGAACGATGATGGCTTCCGAGTCGGATACTAAGGACCACCGACTACTAGTAGCCCGGGCGCTTAATTGTAGGTCGAGGGGATCGTCGGGGCGGGGTTTTGGATGGTGTTGTGATTGAAGCTTCCGGTTTTCCGAGTCGTTGTGTATCGCGCGATGGTAGATTCATTATTGATTGGGTCGTTACAATTCGTGCACATTGATGTACAATACAAATAGGGGGAAATGATAATCGCGACCCTACAATCGACGATCGACCTAGGACTGGAAACATGCCTTAAGAAACCTCCTCGCTCGTCGCGCATGGGCCCTAATACCAGGGAACAGCTGACGACGATCAGACCTGGCTTGGGAAGCCAGCGAAATGTTATCGACCACTGGGTCATTTGGAACCGTGAGGGTGTCTGTCTGCAGGGGCGCAGCGATGGTTTGGTTCTCGGCTTGCTCCACTACTGGGACTGCACTATGTTGCACTATTGCTGGCATCGGCATTGGCATCGCTTGGGGCATGGCGGGGGTGGCCGTGACCTCGTTCGCTGGAGCTGCTGTAACATGTATCGTTGTCGTGATACTTCCGTTTGTTACGATTGGTCCATCGCAGCCATCGGAGGTTGGATCGACTCTTTCCTCGGATGTCCGCGAGTCGTTGATGGAGTTAGATGTGGAGATGTGTTGTGCGGTTAGCAGTCTGTGAATTTGATCAGCCACGTTCACTCCCTCAACGAGCATGGGAGCGGTAGCTGGTGCCACGGGAAATACTGGTGCCATGGGTAGCACTGGCCCTAGAGCACGAGTCAAGTTCAGGAGTCAGACGAGCTTGGTGGTAAAGCAACGACAAAAACTCACCATTTCCGTATCCGGGGTTGGGAGGATTGGGAAACATGGCTCCATGGGCTCGAGCATAGATAACCTCCGGCGAGTTGACGACAGTACCTCCCGCAGCCTGGAAGTAGCCACCGACAGCGGCGTCTTTATCGATGATAACGTCTTGGACGGGCTTGCCCACGTCTTCCTCGGGGACAACAGTTGTGCCATTTAGGACATGCCTGCCAGCAATCTGGGCATAACCCCCAACAGTGCCGCTGATTCTGACGACCATCGTAGAGCCTAGGTAGGAGCGTGGACCTTGGGGCGATTCTGTTTTGACTGAACTGAGAGGCAGCGGTGCTATGCAAGGGTACTTGGGGGCCACTCGTTTTCTAGCCGTTAAGTATTAAATGTTTGTGGGCCGCACTTCAGCGGTGCGTTCGTGTCACATGTGCCCAAATGACTGTGGTTCAAAGTCAGCGCGCTCATAGTGAAATGTGATTGGGACCTACCTTTCGTTGATCAAGCGGGAAACATGAGAGGATTGGGTGCCGTGTAGACATGACCTGCCCCCTGGTTCATCGAAGTGCGAAGCTTTAGACGGCTCGCAACATTCATTCAGACCTAGTTGAGTTCGGACATTTTTCTGCATCGTTATCTTCCATCTTCCAGCGTTATTCTGGATCGGGTGAGCGTTGTTCAGGCGAGGAGATTGTAAGCACCGGACAATTGTCTGCATTGACAACGTGCACACCATGCAACCCACAACGTGTACATACAGATTCCAGAGTGAATATGATACTCACCGAATGGAGATCCAGGCGATAATTGTTCCACTCGAGCTCAATCGACTATATGGATGTCTACCATAGTAGTAAGTACCTGGTCACAGAGCGACTGGCATCACTTTCAGTGTTTGGCCAAACGTGCGCTTATTTGCCTGGCGCGTGACAGCCAAATAACATAAGCGCCCACAACTCGGGGGACTGATTCCTTGCCCAATGTCCACACCAACGTTGCAGGGACTGAATTGGCCAGAGGAAAACAATACTTCTTATTGTAACTGCTCCGAAGCGAGCCCCTAGCAACGTATGTACCGCGGACATGCAATGTTTGAGAACGCTGCACCCACAAAGAGGCAATGTGGCATTTGGCCGCGAGTTTCAGCGAATTCCCTCGGCAATGCCCCTCAGGTCTTTGTTCTATCCTGAGGATTAATCAGTGCTGAGCGCTGACGGTTGCTGAGAGATAAAGTTTCCGCTCAGAGGGCTGGTTCACAATCACACAAGGCGGCTGTATTATTTAACATACTAGTAGTATACCATTGGAACTCGTAAAGGTCCAGGCTAATTCAATGTACCGGTCACAGTCGTAGATAAATCGTCCAAGGAAGCTGGAAAAACCAGAATGCATGAGTCCAATTCAGAACGAAAAGAAAAAGAATCGCGTGAAGAGAGGAAAAGCGAGGTCCATGTCTCCTTCCTAGCTAGGCGGTAGGCGTCAAGTTGCGGCGGGCCAGTGAGCGGTAGGCAGTTTGGAGCCGCTTGGATTTGTTGTAGACCCGTTTGAATACTGCTCTGATGCCAGGGAATAGGACATTCTTAGGCATGGGTCTCTCCAGATCTGGATTTATCGGGGGGTTAGCTGGAGGGACTGCAGTTTGCTGGGTGAGCTCCCCCGTTCCTGTCGTCGCCTCGATGCTATCCTCCTCTTCAGGTGTTGAGGGTGCCGTGTTTGGAGTCGCGAGCTCCGGAGGAATTGTTGCCTGGACGGTGGGATCTCCAGAGCCTGCCTTCGTCTCAGTCTTAGCATCCTCCTCTTGAGGTGCCGAGGACGCTGTAGTCTGGCTAGGCGCGCCTGAGGGTGGAGGGACTCCAATAGTACTCCCCACCTTCGGCCGAAGGGTATTAACTATAGGACACGTTAGTTTCGATCAGAAAGCCCCAATCTAATACGGCACTTACTTCCTGATAACTGTGCCAGTCTTTGTTCGTGCTGTCTTTGTTCGTGCATTCTTTCTTCGTGGGCGAGGACTAACTTCAATCTCTCGTTGGCCTGCGGGTCGTATACGTTACTCCCCGCTATAATGGCGTGGCCACCAAGAGCCACTCCTTCAAGGTTGAGGGGCGTGGCCTGTACGGGCGGGTCTGGATCGCTTGCGCCGTTGAACACGACCGCTCCACCTGCGAAGGTAGCGAAGCCCGAAATGGCGGCGTTCTTGAGATTATGCATCGTCCAACTTGTTGAAATGCGAGTGGTTGTATACGTCGAGTGTGTACGTCTTGAGGATGGAAGTAGGCTTATCGCAGTTGTGTGGAGATTAAAAGTTGAAAGAATGAGTACTTTTATACCTGGATATCCTGGTCTGAGGGTACGACCAGTAAGTAATTCTCTAGCGCTCTTCAAGGAAAGGGCGGTGTTACATTGACACACACTTTGTTCTCCTAGGGGTATTGGAAGTTGCGAAATGACTGGATACCCTACAGCCGCTTTAATTACCGATAAGATATTGCCCAGTCCGTTGAAAGACAATAGGTATCGCTGACGACGGTGTGTACACTGTAGGCGCACGTAGTACAAAAAGCTGGGCACTCGACACTGGTTCATTGACAGGACACCCACATATTTAGCCAGGGTAACCGTGATAGTAGAAACCCTTTACGTTTGCAGCTGTACAGCGTACAACGCCGGTATTCAAGGTAGAAACACGTCGTCAAATGCCCAAACGATCGCCTGAACCCTAGCCCAAGTGGGACAGCCTGCAATGTTATTATTTACATTCCGACCTCTTCGAACAGTCAAAACAGAGATACATTCGATACCATTCAGCTCCAAAGACAATACAAAGCCCGAGGCGATATGTCTGTCCCGTCCGAACACTTCTTTTCCCAAACCCCCTCTCATTCCATCTTCGTCGTTTCCCATGTCGAGTAGAAAGGCGCCTTCATAAACGCGAGTCGCTCCTTGGCACACTTGTCGAACATGTCATTGGACGCTTTCTTGTATTTGTCCATGGTGAATTCCCCGCTGCCATAGCCTCCTGCACGTAGAGCCGCCCACGCAACATGAAGACTGAGGGTCGAAACATCTCGATGGGGTTTGGTGTCCAAAATGACGATGTATCGCACTGGGAACTTCTTGTCAGAGAAGAACCAACCCTTTTCTCCCGTCCTCAGGGTAGATATGTAGCCCCGTGGACCCACCGAACTCCCTCCCGGTGAAAATAAGATATCGCGCGCGCTTCTTTGTCCTGGATTCCAAGGCCCTTGACCCTCGGATGGTACTGGGTGGGGAGGTGCCTCAAATAGCCTTCCGCGCTTCTGCGGCAAGGCCTTCCCATTTTCAGCAGACCCATATTCCTCGACACTAGTGTCTGGTTTTGTCTCGTTCCAAATGAGTAACTGGAAATCCTGCGGGCGGGAGCGCAGCTCGTGCAAGAACTTGTCGGTGAATGGGTCTTCATCAAGCCGAACTGCTCCAAACATGTACGCCCGATCTTCCATTTCTGCCCAAACAACGTTCTCCCTACGGCTAGCTGGGATTACGGTTTCAGCAATCGATGAACTCCAGGCCCTTTTCGGTGATACCATGTCGGCAACGATTACACCAGACAGTGAAAGATGCATGCGGGGTGCTGAAGAGGACAGTGGTTTGCGATTGCCTGCAGGAGCTTTCGGAGTCTTTGTTTTGACGCCCATGGAAGCCATCGAAAGGAACCCAATAACATCGTCGTAGGTGTTGCATATCCTGACGAAGCGATTCTCCGTGTTCTGTTCAAATCCCACCATCTGGAATAGTATCTAGAGAGACAGCTTCAGATTCGCCTGATCGTAATCGACTCGGAAACTGATTGGACTTACCCACCACACTTCGTTCGAAATCGGCTTGACATGTCGCGCGTTGTAAATCCATCCATACAAGATCTGAAAGCGATTCTCTACAAGGGTTGTTGAGTTAACATTCGCAAAGAAAGTTTAAACACCTACCCAATTTACCCAGGTTGGCGGTTCTTGCTTGATCGTTCGTGTGGAAAATCTCCAGAGCCTCATAGATGGAGTCCTTCATCCAGGGAAGCCCGACGTAGTACCTCCGCAGAAGGTGAACGAACAAGTCAATAGCATCCTCGAAGTTGAAGTCTTTGCTAAAGAAAAGGTCTCTGAAGGAAACCTTGTCGATAGCTTTGTAGAGAAGAATGCTGTCATGAAAGATTGCGCGTCGGAGGTACTGCATCGTCGTCAAACTTGCGATTCGAGCGTGGTATTGAATGATGGGTTGGGATGGCGTATCCCCAAGGCTTGTGAGCTCAGCAAGCATCGCAGCTGCAGCTGCTTCCGGTTCAAACATTGGCTGAAAGGTGTACCAAATCTTCTGCCTGTCGCTGTAAGGTCTTGCTGTTAGAGGGTGACAAAGGAACGAATTGACATACGTACGCTTGAATCTTGAGGTAGATAAGGTCGTCGTCCTCAGATGAAGCCTTGACACTAGCATCGGAGGTGCTCAGTCTGCTCATCTGCTGGTCGAGCTCCTCATCAATCTCCGGAAGAGATCCACGTTCAAACGCCTCTTCCTTCAGCTTGCTAAAGCCCGGATCTGTTCCTCGGCTGCTTCTCTCCGTGCCATTTGCCATCCGTCGAGCCCATTCAGCCTCGGGGTGTTCGTCAGCGTATAAATCAAGGGCTCGAGTGCTGAGGAGAAAGCGGAGTTCGTTGACTTTCTCCATTTCTTTGGCCAATACGTTGATGCGCGTTTTGTGTCCAGTGTCCACTAACGAGTCCATTTAGCAGGGAGCCCATTTGACTCGAAAATGAACATACTCTTCAGAAAGAAGCGGGTCCCATGGATCTTTCTGCCATACCGCTCCACCCGAATCGCTTCAACGTAGTCCTCCAGCCACTTCAGCTTCTGGCGGGCCACCGAATAGTCGTTGATTTGGCTGATCTGCTCTTTGGTGGGTAAGAGCTGGCCGTCCCTGACTGTGTCCACTCGGGCTTGCGCAGCTTTGTAGTCCTTGCAAAGCCGTTGATACTGTTTATGGTGGACGTTGCATCTGCGTTGGCCTGGTGGCCCCTTTGTTGCAGGGAGACCGCATTGGCTGACCTCGTCCTCATCTAATGTAAGGCATTTCGCGGACCCTGAGGGCTGTTTGGCCGACCGGGCATGCGTAGGTGACGATCCTGCTGCAGCGGCGTTGGGACTGGGCATTGGGACCGCTTGGCCTCCCTGACAGAGGATCTTGATGGGGGAGAAAGACAAGGGTCTTCAACATAAGTGTTTATTATGTGTAGAAGTAGCGCAACATATCGTGGGCTTTAGAACTATGATCTAGAATTGGGTGAGAATAGGAAGTAGCATTGAATTCATAGGTTACTCACCTTTTTTCTCAGTGATGTCAGCCACGTCCTAAGGCTTTTAGTCGGGTTTTGTCACAGGTGACCGGTGACCCTTGCTTCTTATGAAACGAACTCGTTTCCAGTCATGGTACCCTTCCAACCACGGACAACCTCTATTGCTCGAATCTGTTGCCATCAATTTGCCCTTGTTTGTTACCAGCCCCTATCATCTGGCACGCAGGAGTTCTCTTCGGCGACGCATTTGGCTTCGTTCTAGCTAGGAGGTCAATTGGCGTTGATATGGTTGTCATGCTCCTCCACAGAGAGCCCTTGGGTTACGGATCTCCTTCAGCTGCAACCGATTTCCAGGAAAAACTCGCAGTCTTCCAACCGACCATACCAATCACGACTCGCAACTTGAATAACGGACACAGGGCTCTATCGCGGTAGTTCGAAATGTAATACATAGCAAACAAATGGTACATGTTGTTAGTTGGTAGTGGAGACTCGTGAGATATGGGCACAATGCATGCACTGAAAATCAAATCCCATGATGAACGAAGGGGACCCATTGGTGAAACGGTCTTCCAAGGTCGCGCAGCCTCTTCACCGCAAGATGCAGACCATACGCTGCATCAGTTATATCAGGAGAAGCCGCTGTACCATGGCGAAAGAGGTGATCATAGAAGACGTCGGCTACGATAGGCGCATCTTCGTCTTGGATTGCCCTAAGTCCCAGCAATTCATCAGTCAAAACCTTTGAGCACTGAATCAATGGGACCAACTCACCACATCGTCGCGACAACGCTTCGGAAGCCGGCGAACTGCATAGTCGCAGCCAAAGAGAGAGATTCATCGGGCCGTTCTTGGTCTCCCATCGCAGTCTCACAGGCACTCAGGTAGGCAAGGGCAGCATTAGAAGTGCGGCATCCTCGTATCAACGATCCCATAGTGAGACGACCCCCGCTGAGGATCAAAGAACTATCCAACGGGTTCGAGAAATCTTGAGATCCGTGGCACCCAAAATGAACGATAGAGGCTGAGTTGATGTGGCCCAAGATTGTGTCGGGGTTGGAGGGAGTCTCTGCTGAGCCTATGCGAGTAACCAAATGCCGTTCATGCGGGATTCGACGCTGAATCTTCTTCAACTCCTCCATGGTGAATGGAAGGCAGTGTATACTCGGCCCTGAATCTCCTGGTTCGACAACGACGAGCATCTCATAGTCGGGATTCGGCGTTGGTGGTGGAGCGATCAGGTCTTGCGGAGAAGAGCAATACGAAGAAACGGCATAATCCGACAAACAGTCGGACACTTCAGGGTTGTTGGAATAAATCCCAGAAGCATGGATGGGAAGAAATGCGAAAGGACCTGTTGGGCACCACCATAGCCTTTGCGGGTTGTCGGTCTGAGAGTTTAGTCAGCGAAATTCGGGTATCCGAGTAAAATCGATGACGACCAGGACTGTACCTTCTGCAATCCGAGGATTTTGACAACTGGCTGCGCTACGACATCCCAGAGGATTTCGAGAAGCTGCTTGAAGTCGTCGTCCGCTGTGCCTCTGTTCCTGCGACGTAACTGCAAGCGAGCGTTTCGGGTTTCGATTTGGCAGAAGTCGTCAATCTTGCGCTGAAGTTGTTTCCCAACCGCCTGCCCTCGCGATAACTGCTGAGTCGCATCCGTCAAACCAACAATTTGATTCACGTCTGTGGACAGTCGATGACGATGCAAGGTGGCATCCTGTTTCATAATCAGGATGTCACATCCGTACCTGCTGGCGTTCAGGAAGACAATCGGACCATCCCTGGCAGCGCTCTTGAGTGTGTCGAAGGAAGGAGGGAGGAGAAAGTCCTGAAAGTCGTCAGTCGCCCGAATCCGTGCGATGATTTCTTCTCTCTTCTGTGCGAGAAGGTATGGACGTCGTGACAGGCCGTGAGCCGATGCCGGTTGGGAGTGAGGGTTTTCGTTCGTTGCAATTTCCAGTTGGCGAGTAACCGAACGCAGCTCTGACGCCAAATCAGGGTGGAGGGCGTCGAGTCGGTCCAGAGATCCCCGGAATTGGAGAGCTTGAGACCAGAAAACTGATCGTGCGGTGGAGAGAAAGACAACCGCCGTCTCCAACTGTCCCTGCTCAATCGCGCACTGTACTGCGTCCCTCGACAGATCTTTTGCATGGACGAGGACGTTTTGGCGCTGTTCCAGTGTGAGGTCGAGAGAGGCTAACAGGGGGAGCACTTCTATGGCATAGTTGTAAGCCTCCAGCGCCATATCTAAACGATCGAACTCTCGGCACGTTGAACTCCAGTATCTGGCATGGTCCAGCCTCGCCAATGGCGACGCCGCTTGGGACTGAGTGCCAGACCTGAGAAGTTCGTATATTTCTTCCAGAATACTGTCATCGCTGGTCGCATGGGACCTGGCTTTGAGAGCGGTCGCAAGGGCCTCAATCACAGTAAGCCGAAAGGGATGATCAGCCCACGGGTAACTGGAATCAGGCTTGCTTCCAACGGCAAGACCTGGATGTGAACACAGAAGAAGCGCATCCCGCAGGGCTGCAATGCCCGCCTCCAGGTCGTGGAAGTCATGTTTGAGTTGGAAGCGGGTGGAGAGAGCTCTTGCCAGGTTGTAGAGCGATATAGGGCGACTTCGGTGGCCCCGAGGGATGAGATCGCGCGCTTCCCTGAGCAATGCGATACACTCTTCCAAATCGCAGAAGTCGCTCTTGCGCTCGAAGCGGGTGGAAAGGGAGTTCGCCAGGTTGTTGAGCGAGCTGGGGCGGTCAGGTTGGCCCGGAGGGAGGAGAGCGAGCGCTTCCCTGTGCAGGTCGATAGACTCTTCCAGGTCGCAGCAGTTACCATTGTGTTGGAACCGGTCAGAAAGCGAGTCTGCCAGGTTGTTGAGGGAGCGAGGACGGTCGGGGTGGCCGGCAGGGCTGAGAGAGAGCACTTCCCTGAATAATGTGACACACTCGTCTAGGTCTCGGGGGTCGCCTTTGTGCTTGAACCGGGTGGAAAGTGAGCTTGCCAAATTCATGATCGACCTGGGACGGTTGGGGTGGCCTGGAGAGTGCTCAGAGAGAGCTACTCTGTGCAATTCTATGCTCTTTTCTAGGTCACTGAAGTCGCGCTTGTGCTGGAACCGGGTGGAAAGGGAGTTTGCCAGGTTATTGATTGACCTGGCGCGGTTGGGGTGACCTGGAGGATAGAGCGAGACCGCTTCCCTGTGCAATTCTATACTCTCTTCCATATCGCGGAAGTTGCCCTTGTGCATGAACCGGGTGGAAAGGTCGTTTGCCAGGTTGTTGAGCAAGCCGGGGTGGTCGGGGTGGCCCCGAGGGAAGAGAGCGAGCGCTTCCCTGTGCAATGTGACACACTCGTCCAGGTCGCGAGCGTCGCCTTTCCACTGGAACCGAGTGGCAAGGGAGTTTGCCAAACTGTCCAGCGCGCTGGGCCGGCCGGGGTGTCCTGGAGGGCGGAGATCGAGCGCTTCCCTGAGCACTGTGACACACCCTTCCAGGTCGCGGAAGTCGCCCTTTTTCTGGAACCGGGCGGAAAGCGTAGTTGCTAGATGGATGAGCGAGCGGGGGCGGGCTGGATGACCCGGAGGGAGGAGGGTGAGTGCTTTCCTGTGCAATGTGATGCACTCTTCCAAGTCGCAGAAGTCACCCTTGTGTTGGAAGCGAGTGAAAAGGAAGCTTGCCAGGTTATCGAGAGAGTCGGGGTGATCGGGGTAGGCTGGAGGGCGGAGGGAGAGTACCGCTTCCCTGTAGAGTGTGATGCACTCTTCCAAGTCGCGTAAGTCGCCGGTGTAATGAAATCGTTTCCATAGGGCCATGGCATAATGGGAGAGTACCTCATGGCGTCTAGGATGGCCTGGCGATCGAAGTGAAAGGGACTGACGGAAATACGAGATGGATTCCTCCAGCTGCAGTCTATCGCCTTCCATCAACTGGGATCCCAGAATGTACGCGTCCACCCCCTTATCGTCCTTGGGAACCATTTCCTCTCGCAACTGCTTCAACTCCAGCCTCCAAACCGATTCCTCTCCTTTGCATTCCATGAACCTGATGCAGGCGATCTGCTGGAGATTGAGAAGTGCAAAGAAGAGCGTTGGATTGCCGCTTCTGGCAAGCCGTTTAGCATCCTGAAATGTTTCCGCAGCCAAATCCAGATTGGCCTCGTCATCGGACGCCAGGTACTTAAGAATCAGGGCGTTCCCAGTCCGTAGCAATAGATGACCTCGACTGTTGCTCTTGTCGTCACACGAAGCGAGAGCTTCATTGGCGACAACGATTGCGGTCTCTAACTTGGGCATGTCGATGGATTGTCGATACTCTCGGAGAGATTTGAGCGCCAGCGAGACATCACGAGCGCCCCGTGAGCCAGATATTGGTGATTCACCCTGCCAGTGGGCATCGTCAGGGGTTTACTGCATGGTTGAATGTGGTTGATGCTTTTTCACTCACCGTGCACGAGAACGGATTCAACCCCTCCATCTGCAAGAGGTTCACTGATTCCACCCAGTCGTCCACCCATCCATATCGAGCGAACCGGGTTACAAGCGCTTTGATCAGGCCAACTTCAGCCGTCGCCCGTGTTCCCTCATCCTTTTCGTCGCGGATGGCGCCCCGTAGCACAATGATAGCTTTTTCAAGTGCGATGCCCTCCATTTCTTTTGTGGCCTCATCCAAAATATCATTCACGCAGGACAAAGCTCCCTCTAGCTCATCCTCGCCTTGAGTGGATTCACCTTGGGCTATGATTAGTGAGCCCTTATGACAAGACAAAACGATTGGCGATATACATACCTGGTGATTCCGAATGCTCGTCGACGACCTACAGACAAGTTCCTTAGCCACGATCGTCATGTAGTAGTGGGCGCGCGGACGCATACCTTGCATTCAGACTCTCCGGATGTACAGATAGTAGAAGATTTGTCCATGAAGACTGCAGCAAGTTGCTAAAGACAGACTCCTGGTGACGTGGGAGGGTGATTTGAACGACCTTTATAATACCGAGCGCCGGGTACTGCTTCATTGACAGCGACTCAAACCACTTGGCTGGGTTTCCGTCGCTGATAACGATCTGCCGGGTCACCTAAGAGGCACAGCCGTGCCAGAAACATTTGGTCCATGGTTCTGATTCTGCAGCGACCGGGTTAGCAAATGGAGCCGAGCGCTGATTTCGAAAGGTTATGTGATCTTGTGGCAACAAATGTGCGTGCAGTGCGCGCTGACGGCGAATGTGCATTTGCAACTCCGACCACCTCCGCTCTAATTCGCCTGCAACGTCCCACCTCAGCTTCAAGGTCTCTTGCAGTCTCTGTCGCTTGAATTTCGGGTAATCTGGACACGGCCAATCCGCAGTAAGATGAATAAGTTGCTCGATGCAACAGCGCTACACTTCCGAATGGAAGGCATGACAACCGAGATGGACAGATGGCACAGGATGGCACGGGCGCTTATCAGTCCCATTAAAGCTTCCAAACGACCATGCGGTGTACTCCTTCCTAAACGAGTCCAGATGCTGGGTAAATACACTGGGCGCTATATGAAACAACTGATTACTGCCCGTCAGAATATGTGATGTACCAACAAGCGGAGGGCGATGTGCATGCTACGGAAGAACTCGAACGCGCGGTTAGTAGTAGCGTTGTGCGAACACAACAACATCGGCAACTTTCCTCAGTTGTCCGCAGGTACATCCTATTTCAGACTACTTGCTGGTAGCTTGCCAGAAGACGACCACTTCTCCACCCCAAACATCAAACAATTACCGAACGTTCGCGTCTTCCAGCGTTGATCAAGAAGTTGGGTCTGGGGTGTCGGACTCTATGAAAGGACGACATCTCCAGCTTTAGAATCACTTGCCAGCAGATCATAGAAAGCGCCAACCTTCGTCCCAATTATTACAGAGGCAACGGTCAGCCGGCGACTGCAGCGAGGCTCGCAGCGGTTCCTAGTTCTATCATCAACAGTAATGGCAACGTAATGACAGACAAAAGGCTGTAGAAAATAAGAAATCGAATCCACTGCAAGTGTGTCAACGAATGGTACATGGTGTTGGTTAATGTTACAGACCCTTAAGAACAAGTAATCCATGATAGCAAATCAAATTCCATGATGAACAAAAGGTACCCATTGCTGGAACGGTCTCCCCAGGTCGCGTAGCTTCTTCACAGCAAGATGCAGACCATACGCTGCATCGGTTATGTCCGGAGGAGCCGCTGTACCACGACGAAAGAGATGGTGGTAGAAGACATCGGCTACGATCGGTGCATCTTCGTCTTGGATGGCCCTAAGTTTCAGCAATTGTCAATCAAAATCTTTCAGCACTGAATCAATGGGATGACTCACCACATCGTTGCGACAACGCTTCGGAATCCGGCGAACTGCATAGTCGCAGCCAAAGAGAGAGATTCATCGGGCCGTTCCTGGTCTCCCATCGCAGTCTCGCAGGCACTCAGGTAGGCAAGGGCAGCATTGGACGTGCGGCAGCCTCGTATCAGTGATCCCATGGTCAGACAACCCCCGCTGAGGATCAAAGAACTATCCAACGGGTTCGAGGAATCTTGAGATCCGTGGCACCCGAAGTGAACGATAGAGGCTGAGTTGATGTGGCCCAAGATTGTGTCGGGGTTGGAGGGAGTCTCTGCTGAGCCTATGCGAGTAACCAAATGCCGTTCATGCGGGATTCGACGCTGAATCTTCTTCAACTCCTCCATGGTGAATGGAAGGCGGTGTCTACTCGGCCCTGAATCTCCTGGCTCGACAACAACAAGCATTTCGTAGTCGAGATTCGGTGTTGGCGGCGGTGCAATGAGGTCTTGTGGCGAAGAGCAGTAAGACGACACGACATAATCGGATAGACAGTCGGACGCCTCAGGATTGTTGGCATAAATCCCGGCGGCATGGATGGGAAGAAAGGCGAACGGGCCCGTCGGGCACCACCATATTCGCTGCGGGTTGTCAGTCTGAGAGTCAAGTCAGCGAGGTTCGGATAAAACAGACATGCCATGGACCACGCACCTTTTGCAGACCTAGAATTCTGATAACCGGCTCAGCCACCACATCCCAGAGGATCTCAAGGAGCTCCTTGAAATCGTCTTCCGCTGTCCCCCTGTTTTTACGACGTAGCTTCAAGCGAGTATTTCGGGTTTCGGTTTCGCAGAAGCTGTCAATCTTGCGTTGGAGTTGTTTTCCGGCTGCCTGTCCTCGCGATAACGGCTCAATCGCATCCGTCAACCCCGCAATTCGCTCCAAATCTGTAGACAGCGGGCGACGATGCAAGGTGCCATCCGGTTTCATAATCAGGACATCGCATCCGTACTTGCTGGCATTAAGGAAGACGATTGACCCATCCCTGGCAGCGCTCTTGAGTGTGTCGAACGAAGGAGGAAGGAGAAAGTCATGAAACCCGTCTATAGCTCGAATCTGGGTGATGATCTCTTCTCTCCTCTGGGCGAGAAGGTACGGGCGTCGTGGCAGGTCATGATGAGCCGACGTCGAGTCGATACGCAGGTTTTCGTCGTCGGTCGCGATTTCCAGTTGGCGCGTAACAGAACGTAGATCTGACGCCAATTCAGGGTGGAGGGCGTCCAGTCGGTCGAAAGACCCCCGAAATTGGAGCGCTTGGGACCAGAAGATCGATCGTGCTGTCGAGAGAAAGACAACTGCTGTGTCCAATTGCCCTTGCTCGATCGCGCACTGTACAGCGTCTCTTGAGAGATCCTTGGCATGAACGAGTACATTTTGGCGCTGTTCCAATGTGAGGTCGAGAGACGCTAGATGGGGAAGAATGGCGACCCCATGATCGTAAGCCTCCAGTGCCAGTGCTGAACGATCGAACTCTCGGCAAGTCGAGCTCCAGAGCCTTGCATGGCGTAGCCTCGCCAATGGCGACGCCACTTGGGACTGAGCACCAGACCTCAGAAGCTGGAATATTTCATCCAGGGCGCTGTTGTCGTTTGTCGCCCGGTACTTGAAATTGAGATTTCTCACAAGGTTCCCAATCACAAAAATCCGATAGGGATGATCAGCCAATTCGTGACTGGTATCAGGTAAAGAGATATCCGGCTTTGAATACAGAAGAAGAGCATCCCGGAGAAATGCAATGCACTCTTCCAGGTCGCGGAAGTCGCCCGTGTGTTCAAACCGGGCAGAAAGTGATTGTGCCAGACTGTTGAGTGAGTTCCGGTGTTCGGGATGCCCTGCAGGGCGGAGATCGAGTGCTTGCCTTTCCAGGGTGACGCACTCTTCCAAGTCGCGCAAGTCGCCTCGGCGCTGGAACCGGGTGAGAAGCGAGAACGCTAGGCTGTGGAGCAAGACGGGGCAGTAGGGGTGACCTGGAGGTTGGAGGGTGAGTGCTTCCCTAACCAACGCGATGGACTCTTCCAAGTCGCGAAAGTCGTTTTTGTGCTGGAACCGGGTGCCAAGCGATGTTGCTAGGTCGTTGAGGGAGCGGGGATGGTCAGGGTGGCCTGGAGGCAGGAGAGTGAGCGCTTCCCTGGCCAATGCGATGGACTCCTCCAGGTCACGGAAGTCGCCTTTGTGGTGGAACTGGGCGCCCAGGGAGGTCGCCAGGTCGTTGAGGGAGCGGGGACGGTCGGGATGGCCTGGAAGGCGGAGAGTGAGCACCTCCCTGTGCAATGTGACAGACTCTTCCAGGTCGCGGAAGTCGCCTTTATGCTGGAACCGGGTGTCAAGCGAAGCTGCCAGGTCGTTGAGCGCTCGGGGACGGTCGGTGTGTCCAGGAGGCCGGAGAGCGAGCGCTTCCCTGTACAATGTGACACACTCTTCCAGGTCGCGCAAGTCGCCTTTGCCCCGGAACCGAGTTGAAAGTGAGACCGCTAAGCTGTGGAGCAAGACGGGACGGTAGGGGAGGCCTGGAGGCTGGAGGGCGAGCGCTTCCCTGACCAATGTGACAGACTCTTCCAGGTCTCGGAAGTCGGCTTTGTGTTGGAACCGGCAGGCAAGCGAGGTTGCCAGGTCGTGGAGGGAGCGGGGGCGGTCGGGGTGGCCCGGCGGACGGAGAGCAAGCGCCTCCCTGGATACTGCGACACATTCTTCCAGATCGCACAAGTCGCCTTTGTGCAAGAACCGGGTGCCAAGCAAGGCTGCAAGGTCGTGGAGGGAGCGTGGACGGTCGGGGTGGCCTGTGGGGTGGTGAGAAAGCGCCTCCCTGGTTAATCTTATAGACTCTTCCAGGTCACGGAAGTCGCCTTTATGCTGGAATTGGTTGGACAGCGAGGTTGCAAGGTCATTGAGCGCTCGGGGGCGGTCGCGGTGACCTGGAAGGCGGTGAGAGAGCACTTCTCTGTGCAGTCTGACAGACTCTTCCAGGTCGCGCAAGTCGCTGGTGTAAAGAAATCGAAAATTGAGCGCGTTGGCGAAATGGGCAAGCGTATCAAGGTGTCTTGGATGCCGTGGCGGTCGGAATACAAGGGACTGACAGAGCCATGAGATAGATCCCTCTACCTGACGTTTATCGGAGTTCATCATCCGGGTTCCCAACTTGTACGCATTCCTCCCTTTCTCGTCCTCGCTCTCCATTCTTTTTCGCAGCTGCTTCAGCTCCAGCAACCTAACCGACTTCTCTCCTTTGGACTCCACGAGCTTGATGGATGCAACGTGCTGGAGATTGAGCAGTGCAATGAACAGCGTTGGATCGCCGCTTTTAAGGACCCGTATGGCATCCTGAAAAGATGCCTCGGCCAGGCCCAAATATCTCTCGTCATTGGACGCCAAGTACTTCAGAACCAGGGCACTCCCCGTCCGGAGCAGCAGTTGGCCGCGGCTGCTGGTCGCACCATGGCTCGAAGCCAGAGCTTCACTAGCGACAATGACAGCGGTTTCTAGCTTGCACACGTCGATTGTTTGTCGATACTCCCGCAGGGAAATGAGGGCGGAAGAGACATTGCCAGCCCAGTCCCCGCCCCGTGAACCGGATACTGTCAATTCACGCTGTGTATTGTCCAAGTTTACTGCTGGGTCGAATGTGGTTTGTATGCTGACACTCACAATGAATGCGGTGGACGAGGTTAACACCTCCCTCAGCAAAGGCTTAACTCCACGCTGTGCATAGGCAGAGTTCACCTGAGTTGAATGCAGCTGACGCGTTGGCACTCACAATGAATCTGGATAGAAAAAGATCCTCGTCCAGCAAAAGCTTCACTCCGCGCTGCGCGTTGTCAAAGATTACCGCTGGTTTGAATGGGATGGATGTGGTAGTACTCACAATGAGTTTGGTTGGATACGACAGCACCCTCAACGAAAGCTTTACTCCTTCATCCAAGTCCTCCACCCATCCATGTCGAGCGAACCGGGCCACAAGGGCTTTGATCAGGACGATTTCGGCCTTTGCCCGCATTCTGTCATCCTGTTCGTTACGGATGGTCTTCCGTAGAAGGGCAATCGCATTTGCGAGGACACTGTCGTCCATCTCTTTCGTGGCTGCATCCAATAGATCGTTTACGCGGGACAAAGGACCCTCTAGTTCGCCCTCGCCTTGGGCTGATACACCTGGGTGTGGATAATTCGCAAGGGCGCTCATAACACGGTAAGCAATGGGTGTAATACATACCTGATAATTCATAGTCATCGATGGCCTTCAGAACGTGGGTTATTCAACCTCGCTGATTAACAATGGACGCGTAGACACTCACCGTCGGGGGGTCAATTCCGGATGTACTGACACAATTCCCCATGAATGAGAAGACATTCAGCAAGTTGCAAGACAGAACGAGTGACGTGGTCGGAGGGCGGCGTTGTACTTGAGCCTACACAAATATAAACGCCGTTCTTCACCTCCTGCATCACGAACACTTGATTCGTCGTTCTGTTCCGGGGCGCCCAGAAGGCACAGCCATGTATCCAAGTGGCCAGCGGGGTCGATGGAAGAGAGAACTTGGCCGAAGAGGTCGCCAACGATGTAGCATCTCCGGAGAGCCTTGTCGGTGGTCAATTTTGGCATTGACATGGATGAGGGCGTGCGGATGGTTGTTGATTGAAGGCTCCCACCGCGCAACAGATCAGAACTTGCCCACGATTGATTTTGTGTCCGACTGTATTGCGCCACCCCGAACCAAATATTAGGGAGGTCGTCGACATCATCATTGCTATCTGCTCCAGCTTTTGGTCTTTCCCCTTCGATTTACTAGGTCGTCTACGTTCTTTATCCTTATGCGCATTCCCTACGAAATCTTGAAATCCACTGCAAGTATGTCCATGAATGGCACACATGGTTTAATGTTACAGGCCCTTATGATACAAGTAATGTATAGTACAAAATCAAATTCCATAATGAACAAAAGGTACCCATTGCTGGAACGGTCTCCCCAGGTCGCGTAGCTTCTTCACAGCAAGATGCAGACCATACGCTGCATCGGTTATGTCCGGAGGAGCCGCTGTACCACGACGAAAGAGATGGTGGTAGAAGACATCGGCTACGATCGGTGCATCTTCGTCTTGGATGGCCCTAAGTTTCAGCAATTGTCAATCAAAATCTTTCAGCACTGAATCAATGGGATGACTCACCACATCGTTGCGACAACGCTTCGGAATCCGGCGAACTGCATAGTCGCAGCCAAAGAGAGAGATTCATCGGGCCGTTCCTGGTCTCCCATCGCAGTCTCGCAGGCACTCAGGTAGGCAAGGGCAGCATTGGACGTGCGGCAGCCTCGTATCAGTGATCCCATGGTCAGACAACCCCCGCTGAGGATCAAAGAACTATCCAACGGGTTCGAGGAATCTTGAGATCCGTGGCACCCGAAGTGAACGATAGAGGCTGAGTTGATGTGGCCCAAGATTGTGTCGGGGTTGGAGGGAGTCTCTGCTGAGCCTATGCGAGTAACCAAATGCCGTTCATGCGGGATTCGACGCTGAATCTTCTTCAACTCCTCCATGGTGAATGGAAGGCGGTGTCTACTCGGCCCTGAATCTCCTGGCTCGACAACAACAAGCATTTCGTAGTCGAGATTCGGTGTTGGCGGCGGTGCAATGAGGTCTTGTGGCGAAGAGCAGTAAGACGACACGACATAATCGGATAGACAGTCGGACGCCTCAGGATTGTTGGCATAAATCCCGGCGGCATGGATGGGAAGAAAGGCGAATGGGCCCGTCGGACACCACCATATTCGTTGCGGGTTGTCAGTCTGAGAGGCTAGTCAGCGAAATTCGGATAAAACAGACGATGCCATGGACCACGCACCTTTTGCAGACCTAGAATTCTGATAACCGGCTCAGCTACCACATCCCAGAGGATCTCGAGAAGCTTCTTGAAATCGTCTTCCGCTGTTCCCCTGTTTTTACGACGTAGCTTCAAGCGAGTATTTCGGGTTTCGGTTTCGCAGAAGCTGTCAATCTTGCGTTGGAGTTGTTTTCCGGCTGCCTGTCCTCGCGATAACGGCTCAATCGCATCCGTCAACCCCGCAATTCGCTCCAAATCTGTAGACAGCGGGTGACGATGTAAAGTCCCATCCTGTTTCAAGATCAGGATATCGCATCCGTATTTGCTGGCGTTGAGGAAGACAATGGGATTCTGTTTGGCAGCGCTCTTGAGTGTGTCGAAGGAAGGGGGGAGGAGAAAGTCCTGAAAGCCGTCTGTCGCTCGAATTCGTGCGATGACTTCCTCTCTCTTCTGGGAGAGAAGGTATGGACGCGTTGACATGGCCGACGTCGAGTGAGCCTGCGAAGTTTCTTGGGTCGCAATTTCCAGTTGGCGAGTGACTGAGCGCACTTCTGCCGCCAAATCAGGATGGAGGGCATCCAGCCGGTCGAGAGGTCCCCGGAATTGAAGGGCTTGAGACCAAAAAACCGACCGTGCAATGGAGAGAAAGACAACCGCCATCTCCAACTGTCCTTGTTCGATGGCGCACTGCACTGCATCCCTCGACAAATCCTTAACCCAGACGAGAGTGTTTTGCCGTTGTTCCAGTGTGAGGTCGAGAGAGGCTAAATGAGGGAGAATGGCGACCCCATAACTGTACGCCTCCAGCGCAACTTGAGGACGGTTGAACTGTCGGCAAGCTGAACTCCAGCGCTGGGCGTGGTGTAACCTCGCCATTGGCGACGACCCGTGGAACTGAGTGCCTGATCTGAGAAGCTGGAATAACTCATTCAGGGTATCGTTGTCGCTGGTTGCCAGGTACCTCCTAGTGAGAACGCCCACAAGGTTCCCAATTACCACAAGGCAAGAGGGATGACCAGTCCATGTGGAATCGGGCTTGACTCCCAGTGAATTATCCGACTTGGAATACAAAAGAACAGCCTCCCGCAGGGCCTCGATGCATGCCTCAAGGTCACTGAGGTCACCTTTGTGTTCAAAGCGGGTGGACAGTGCGGTCGCCAGATTGTTAAGTGAATAGGGGCGGCTGGGGTGGCCTGGAGGGCGGAGGGAGAGAGCTTCCCTAAGTAACGTCAGGCACTCTTCCAGGTCGCGGAAATCGCCCTTGCGCTTAAAACGCGTGGAAAGCGACTCTGCCAGGTTGTTGAGCGGGTTGGAGCGCTCGGGGTGAGGCGAAGGGAGGAGAGAGAGCGCCTCCCTGTGCAATGTAACACACTCCTCCAGGTCCTGCAAGTCGCCCTTGTGCTTGAAGCGGGTGGAAAGTGAGTTTGCCAGGTTGTTGAGCGAGCCCGGACGGTCAGGGTGGCCTGGAGGGCGGAGAGAGAGAGCCTCCCTGAGCATTGTCACGCACTCTTCCAGATCGCGGAAGTCGCCTTTATGCTTGAACCGGTAGGAAAGCGATGTTGCGAGGTTGTTGAGCGAGGCCAGACGGTCGGGGTGGCCTGCAGGGCGGTGTAAAAGTGCTTCCCTGAGCAATATTACGCACTCTTCCAAGTCGTGGAAGTCGCCCTTGTGCTGGAAGCGAGTGGAAAGCGACGTTGCCAAGTTGTGGAGCGCAATGGGGCGGCTGGGGTGGCCTTCAGGCAGCATAGAAACTGCTTCCCTGAGCAATGTCACGGATTCTTCCACATCGTGGAGGATGCCATTGTGCTCGAACAGTGTAACAAGCGCGGACGCCAGATTGAAGAGCGGGGTGGGGCGATCGGGATGGTCACGAGGGCGAAGGTCCAGTGCTTCCCTGTACAAGGTGACGGACTCCTCCAGATCGTGGAAGTCGCCCTTGTGCTGGAAGCGGGTGCAAAGCGAGGCCGCGAGGTTGTTGAGCGACATGGAGCGGTCGGGATGGCCTACAGGGCGGAGGTCCAGCGCTTCCTTATGCAATGTGATGCATTCTTCCAGGAGGAGGAGGTTGCCCTTGTGGTTGAAACAGACGGAAAGTGATGATGCTAGGTTGCTGAGCGAGACGGGGCGGAGGTGATGGCCTGGAGGGCGGTAGGAAACCGCTTCCCTGTACAATTCCAGGCACTCTTCTAGGTCGCATAAGTCGCCCTTATGTTTGAAGCGGGTGTGAAGCATAGATGCTAGGTTGTCCAGCGAGGTGGGGCGATCGGGGTGGCCTGCCGGGCGGAGAGACAGCGCTTCCCCGAGCAATCTCACGGATTCTTCTAGGTCGCAGAAGTCGCCCTTGTGCTGGAACCGCGTGAAAACTGAGGATGCTAAATTGTTGAGCGAGCTGGGATACTCTGGGTGGTCTGAACCGCGGAGCGAGAGAACTTTCCTGCCCAATTCCAAGGACTCTTCCAGGTCACGGAGGTCGCCTTTGTGCTTGAACCGTGTTGAAAGGGCGTTTGCTAAGTTGTTGAGCGATCTCTCACTGTCGGGGTGGTCTGATGGGAAGAGCGAGAGTGCCTCCCTGTGCAGAGTCAAGCACTCTTCCAGGTCTCGGAAGTCGCCCTTGTGCTTGAATCGAGTGCCAAGCGAGTTCGCCAGGTTATTAAGCGCGTTAGGGCGGTCAGGGTGGCCTGTAGGACGGTGCGAAAGCAGTTCCTTGTATAATGTCAAGCACTCTTCTAGGTCGCTGAAATCACCCTTGTGTTCGAAGCGGGTGGACAATGAGATTGCCAGATTGTTGAGTGAATGGGGGCGGTTGGGGTGGCTTGGCGGGCGCAGAGAAAGTGCTTCCCTATGCAGTCGCACACCCTGTTCCAGGTCGCGGTAGTCACCCTTGTGCTTGAAGCGAGTGGAAAGCGAGGATGCCAAGTTGAAGAGGGCGATGTGGCGGTCAGGGTGGCCTTCAGGAAGGACAGAGAGCGCCTCCTGGTATAATGACAGGCACTCTTCCAGGTCACGGAAGTCTCCCTTGTGCTGGAAGCGGACGGAGAGCGAGGATGCCAGGTTGTTGAGCGAGGCAGGGCGGGAGGGGTGGCCAGGAGGCCGATGATCGAGTGCTTCTCTGTGCAGCGCCGCACTCTCTTCCAGGTCGCGGAAGTCGCGCGTGGAATGAAACCGGTTACGTAGGGCAATGGCACAATGCGAAAGTGTGTTCTGACGTCTTGGATGCTGTGGCGGTCGGAATGAAAGTGACTGTCGAAACCACAACAGAGATTCCTCTAACTGATGTTTATCGCCTTGCATCAGCTGTGTTCCGAGCTTGTACGCGTTCCTCCCTTTTTCGTCCACGTTCTCCATTTCCTCTCGTAGTTGATTCAGCTCCAGCAACCTAACCGACTCCTCTCCTTTGCATTCTGCGAGCTTGATGGATACAATATGCTGGAGATTGAGAAGTACAGTGAAGAGCGTTGGATCGCCGCTTCCGAGAACCTGCCTAGCATCTTGAAAAGACGCCTCAGCCAAGCCAAGATACCTCGCGTCATCGGACGCCAGGTACTTCAGAACCAGGGCGTTCCCAGCCCGGAGTAATAGCTGGCTTCGGCTGTTGGTGGTACCATGACACGAGGCCAGAGCTTCATTGGCGACAAGAATCGCGGTATCTAGCTCGGATACGCTAACTGATTGTCGGTATTGTCGGATAGAATTGAGGGCGAAGGATATGTTGTCCACGCAGCGCTTGCCCCGTAAGCCAGATGCTGGCGATTCACGCTGTTCATTGTCAACCGATGAGTTGAATGCGGTTGGTGTGTTAACACTCACGATGAATGGATTCAACTTGTCCTTCAACCAAACCTTCGCTCCACGCTGTGCATTGTCAGAGGTTAGCGCCGGGTTCAATGTTGTTGATCGGTTCGCACTCACGATGGATGTCAATGGATTTGACTTCTTCCTCAGCAAAAGCTTCATCCCTTCATCCATGTCATCAACCCATCCATACCGAGCGAACCGGGTTACAAGAGCTTTGATCAGGCCAGCTTCAGCCTTCGCGCGCGTTCCGTCGTCCTCTTCTTCGTGACGGATGGTCTCCCGTAACGAGTCCATCGCGTTTGCCAGGACACCATCGTCCATCTCTTTCGTGGCCCTATCCAATAGCTCATTCACGCGGGACAAAGCTTCCTCTAGTTTGTCTCTGGCTTGAGTATGTCCACCTGGCGTAAATGGTTCAGAATTGGTGACCCAAGGCAAGCCAAACGACCGCATACTCGTGACTTCATCTTCGTCGATGGCCTTCAGGAAAGTGAGTTAGTCGAGGTTGTCTCATTCTATGAGAGCGCAGACACTTACCGTCGCGTAACCAGAGTTGGGTGCATCGATAGAGCCGGCCATGTGTGAGGGAGCAAGGAAGACCGTTTTTTGCAGGCCACAGCCAACGCTGGGTAAGGGGCATTCCAGCCACAGCCAGGGCTATTCTATCGATAATCTGAGATATCACTTTTTTCTCATACAATGAGTTACTTACCGTTGATCATGGATTTCCCCCATCATCGTCCGGTCAGACCGTGAAACAGCAGCGAGAACTGCTTTGGGCGCTCGAGTCCGTTGCCATCAATTTGACCTTGTTTGGGTACCAGCCCCTATCCGCAACGATCACACAGGCCTTCTCTCTTCGTCTCTCTCTTCCCATCCAATCCTCGTCGTACAGACAAAATATGGGCCAAAAAGACGCATCCACCTGGTCAAATGAAACATGGAACTCATTCATTAAAACCAAAATTGAAGAGATTGCCTCGATTTCTCTGAACGATGATATTGATTCCCATCTGGCGCCACTGTCGACGATATCCAACCCAGAAGATCCCCGGTTCCCTTTAACAATCGACCATACCCTGCTCAAGCCCGAGTCAACCCCTGAACAGATTGATAAACTTTGCGACGAGGCCATTCAGTTTGGATTCAAGGTGCGTACCTCTATCTTTGCATAAAAGCCCAGTTCCGACATTGTCCTAGTCTTGCTGCGTTAATGGTCTCTTCGTCAAGCAAGTAGCGGAGCGTCTAAAGGGATCGTCAAGTATCGCTTGCTCTGTGATTGGGTTTCCTCTGGGTGCTGGGTCTGCTCTTGCCAAAGCCGAGTATGTTGGGTCTCTGGCTGTCTATCATCCGGCGAACGAAGGCTGAAGATTCGGTCCAGAGAGGCACGACAGGCGATAGCGGACGGAGCGAAAGAAATCGATACTGTGATACCACTGGGTCTCCTCCTCGCTTCTCCTCCACGATACGCAGAACTGTACCAACACCTCCGCACGATTATCGAGGCTTGCCACTCTGTACCGGTCAAGGTCATCATCGAAACTTCGTTACTTCCGACCAGAGAAGCGAAGATTGCGGCTTCGGTTATCTCAGCGGAAGCCGGTGCTGCCTTCGTCAAAACCTCGACTGGGTTCAGCGGTGGAGGCGCGACGGTGGAAGATGTCAAACTAATGCGATTGGCGACGCGTCATAAGGCGGGAGTCAAGATCAAGGCTTCTGGTGGTGTTCGGACATTGGAAGCGTGCATTGCCATGTTCAAGGCTGGAGCAGAGCGAATTGGAACGTGAGTACCGGCTAACTTGACAATAATCATTCACTGCGACTGAGGCACCACAGGTCATCTGGCGCCAGCATCATGGCCAATACAACGAACGCGGGACCGACAGGAGCTTACTGAACGTATCGGAATCAAATGGTATGTAGTATTCAAATGTAAACATCCTGGGTGCTGCGTTGCGCCAAGAATAGACCTCAGAAGGCGTAATACCCTGGAAGTTGCCGCTCCACTCTATAGCCCCTGTGTTTCCCCTCTCTCACAGACGCCCGCTGAATACAATCGGTTGTCAGCCGAGGAACCTCCGTTGCCCACATCCTTTCGCCAAATCGCGGTCGCCAACGCCTGGGAGTACTCACTTCATTGAAACGATTCCTCATGATCTTGGATGATCACCGAAGGCAATAAAAATGCCTTCACACGAAACGGCGACGTGGAGACTCTCATTGGCCTCGTATTCTCCGGTTGGACTTGGATCATTCTAAAAACAGGGTGCTTCGCTGGCCTTGACGCCGCGATTGAATACATTCTGATCCCCTTCTCGGGTCTTTGCCCCGAGTCTACCGTAACGCGTTACCGGATACAAATGAAACCCGCACTGGCATGCGGCCGTTGACTTCATCCCTGTCCTCTTCTTTCGCTTCTCTCATGCCGTCGCCCATGCCATGGCCTCCAACGCCGCAGAATTGAGCAGTAATGTCATAGCCACGAAGGTGCGTCTGTCCACTCATCCGTGTGGTTTGATGCTGACATTTTTGTCGTAGTATGCCTACGGTAAAAACCCTTGCAAGTACCTATGGAGAGAGGCATGATTTCCTGACGCGCTTAACTGTAGTCGCCGCCGCCACTCTTTTGTTCTGGGATATAGGATTGACGTTCGATGAAGAGGCATGTATTCCAGACTGTTTGTGCGCAAGTTCAGGCATGACGTCGTGTCTCGCAGATCGCAAGGGTGTGGAAGGCCAAAAAGACGTTAGGGACGACACTCTTCTTTTGCGTACGTTGTGCTTGATTGTTCTACCTCGACCCGTCGAGTTCAATCACCAATCGCCATCCCCAGAACCGATACCTCCCCCCTGCCATATTTTTCCTTGACCTAGTCGGTACGAGACCCGCCTCCCTCAGCACTCGAGCGACACGTCCCTAAATTGTCCAAACGTTTCCACTCACAGCCCAATTCATATGGGATCCCAGTGACACAGTGAGTCCCACTTCTGCTCGGCTCCTTTTTGGAGTGGAGCTCAGGAACGTCGAGGGGGTATGTACTAAATTACATCCTTGTTCCTAGTTGTGAGTGACATCGCCGTGCCGACGGCCGTCCATTTTCGTTCCCGGCATCTCATCCCATCTCTTTGCTCCTTGCTCCTAAAGCTGCAAGCAGTACAAGTTGTCTTCGACGCTGCTCGATCTCGTCGCGATAACGGTTGTTGAAGGTGTGTGGGGTGATCATCCTGGGATCTATGATTGGTGAGCTGACTCGGGGACGCTTGGTTATTGCATCCGTAGCGGTGCTCATCATGAGGACGCACGCTCTTTACCAAAGCCAAAGGTTGCTTTACGGCTTGAGCGCTCTGGCTGTCGTAAGTAATCATACCTTTAACGCGGCTCATTCTATATTTGTTGACGCTGCCCTCTTATCTTGGACTGACGAATACTTATCGGTCTGGATTTGTAGGTCGCGATTGTGAACATGACAGCGTGTTTCTTGATCATCTTGCCACACTTGACATGTAAGTTTTGCTTCGATTTCTTTTCGTGTTTCTGATTCTGGTTGCGAGGCCGACACGGGGAGGGTCTGAACTTGAATCTTTTTATTTGACACCTGCGGGAATCTCTCATGGTCTCGCCTATGTGTTCCGTGTGTGTGGGCGTTAGATTGCATGTACTGACGATTGACTTCCGACTTTGTCGTGATTTTTTATGTCGGTTTTGTATAGTCGTCCCGGCGGCGAGGAAGATAGGTCTCGTTGGATGTTTGTCTGGATGCACACATCCCATTTGTCAGCCTCTTCTCATCACCTTTTGGATACCTTTCTTGCTCTTCGAAACCTGTGAGTACCATATTCCCGAATCGCGCTCATTTAATTCCAGTCCTCATTCGCTCTGTCTTGCTTATAGCGGTCTTTCTGTTGACGGCGTGGAAGTCGTACGAAACTTGTAAGAGATTGGCTGTGATTAGCCAGCCCTGCAGTGCAAGCATCCTGACCGACTGTAAATAGATAAGATTGCTAGGAATACCCGGTCATTGAAGTTGGTTACGATTTTGTTTCGGGATGGTATGTCTTTCAAAGTCTCCCCTTCCGCTTCTCATTGACCGCCGTGCTTGGGACAGGATTCATCTATTATATCGGTATGCTTCGTCTTCTTTGTCATCTGTATAACATCGTTGAAACTTTCTGGATTCGCGGAACTTTAGTCATTATCTGTACGTGCTCCCGTTCTACCCTGCCTATCGAGCGCTGATGTGTGTGCAGGTGTCTCTCTCATCAACTTTATGATTTGGATTTTCGACCCTTTCGCGTCGTATTTGGCTGTCGGGTAAGTACATAATGGGTTCTGGACGCCGTTCTAGATCGTGTGGTTGACGGAGAACGTCCCCATCGCAGGTTGATGAAATCTTTGCAGGCAACGATTTGTTCCAGGTAAGCGCCACTTGCGCCCCCTAACTCCTTGTTCCTTCAAAAGCTGACGCGGCGTGCGCTCAGACTGCTATTGAATATTCGGGGCATGCTCGAGCCTCGGGGTGTGATCTGCCCGGACACTGGTCGAACCGACGGATTCACGTTGTCGACAATATCGCAATCGTCTATACGACAGTCTAACTACCAGTTGCCGCCTCCAAGACGGATATCGTGGCCCTCGTTCTCGGGAGATCCGTTCTGTCTGGACGAGCATGAGGCAGGATCCAGCGGAGACCGGAAATGCTCGGAGGAGGGAGTACGGACGGACAGGGGATAGTCACTCTTTTAGACTTTGCATTGTATTTCTAGTAATAAGCATACCACCCTCATTCTTCTCAGCTCTGTGCAATTTACGTCAGGAAAGCAAAAGCAAATGCCAAAGAACCGCCCTTTTGGGCGCTAATCATTCAAGGGACCCTCGGCCCGACATCCCGTCTCCATCAAAACTGACGTGTCACAACGTTTCCGCGCGAATCTATTTATTGCCGCCCGTGATGAGCTCGAATCATTTCTCCTCTTTTCCGACATTGATTCTGTGTGGGCTCTAAGCCTCTAGTTGGGCGAACCGCGACGAACTCGAAGAAACGACCGGAAGGCTGATACTAGGATGTTGCTCACGAATGCTTTGATCGCGTTGGCGTTGACTCCTTCGCTGGTGTCGGCGGCGCTTTTCCCGAGAGATAGTAAAGTGAAGTCGTTGGATGAGAAGGGGTTCAGGAAGGCTATGGAGAAGCCGGTACGTTGGCTGTCTCTGGAACAATTGGAGTTGGGATACTGATGTTATGGCGGGTTTAGGAAACTAGCGTGGTTGCGTTTGTTGCACCTTGGTGTGGGGTACGTTTCCCACTTCGAGACTGGAATTCGATGGGGACTGAAGGGACTGACTTGGGTTAGCACTGTCAACGATTGGTTCCTGAACTGAGCAAAGCGGCGAGCTCGCTGGCCCCGTTGGTGCCCACGTATGCGGTGGATTGCGATGATGATAAGAATAAGCGGTTATGTGCGGAGCAGGTGTGTGCGAGTTGTTGTATGGCTATGGGTGAAGCTGACTGTCTTCGATGTTCAGGGCGTGAAAGGTTTCCCAACAATCAAGGTATGCGTTCTGTCTCAACACTGTGCAACTGTGAGACTTACAGGCCTCTAGATCTTCCCCCGGGGTAAACACCTGAACCCCATTCCATACGAGAGCGAACGGTCAGCGAGTGCCATCTTTAAAGCTGCAAGCCTCCGAATCGCCAACCCACCAAAGAAGCTATACAAGGCTGCAGAGATTCAACCATGGGTGGAGAAGGTGCGTCTCGTCTCTTCCACGTCTACTCAAACGCAGAGCTGACACAGTGTTTTTCCTGCAGAGCACGAAGAAGCCGAGGGCACTGCTGTTGACGAAAGACTCCAAGGTCCCTCTACTCTGGAAGGTCCTCAGCAACAAATACAGCGGGAAGCTCGATCTCGGAACACATCGTGATGAGAAGGGCGAGGCTGCGTCTGCCCTCGGTGTCAGCGAAGGTGGAAAGGGATCCAAGGTCCTCATCTACGCAGCGGGCTCTACGGATCCCGTTCTCTACGAAGGTGCTACGAAGATGGAAGCTTTGAGCAAGTTCTTCGACTCTGTGTTGGACGGCTCTGCGGACCTTTCAAACGTTATTAAGAAGGAACGGGCGAGTGATGAACTATAGTTTTGGATATCCATTTTGTACGCATACCACAGTGTAATTTAACTAGAACTTCAAAATCTACTAGAAGCGCTTGAGTGGCACTGAGAGATAGGGGCTAGATGTCACGTGAGCAAAGCCCGAGCGCGTCACTGAAATCACTTTGAGGGAATCTCCCTGAGTTTGTTGCGGACCATCAACGATTCCCAGTCGCGACGTCGATGGCCAGGGGACCGCGCCATTCGCCAGGGCCTGCGGTAATACCAAAGGCCGAATTCGAGAAGATCAAGGACGATGTATCGACGCAGCCCAACGGCGTGCACGATGGGCAAGCCCGGTCGTTTGGCTGTGAGTACGAAACTGGTTTGCAGGCGACGGTGTTGGGCTGAACTTTGAGCACAGACAATGATTTCTCGGACTTTACGAGACCAGACTACTATATACGACATATAGGTGCGTTTTGAGTGGTGCTTTGGTAGCGATTGGTGACTGAAGACTCGCTTAGAGCCCCTGGAAATCGACCTGGCTCGGCAAGTCGAATACGATATGGACGAGCAAGACCTCGAATGGCTGGAAGCCATCAACAACGAGAGGAAGAAAGAGCAGATGGACAAAATCAGCTACGAGACCTTCGAAATCATCATGGATAGGCTCGAGAAGGAATGGTTTGACTTGGTGCGTAGTATGTCTTTTGGATTTCACCGGGACCAGTACCGACGCTGTGAACGCTTTAGACGAAGAATTTGCCAAAACACGACCTCGCAATGCCCTCAGAAGACTCGACTTGCGCCATTTGTGACGATTCTGAAGGAGAGAACACGAACGCGATTGTGTTTTGCGACGGCTGCAATCTCGCGGTTCACCAAGGTCGGTCCCAGGTGCTCCAATCGAAATTTCGACCCTTTAACCAAATGTTGTAGATTGCTATGGTGTCCCCTACATCCCTGAAGGCCAATGGCTATGCAGAAAGTGTACTGTGTCGCCGGAGAACCCAGTGGTAAGCCCGCTGCTCACACCTATCCCTCCGCATGCTAACCACCCGCGAAGCAATGCATTCTATGTCCCAATGAAGGAGGTGCCTTCAAGCAAACAGTAACCGGCGACTGGGTCCATCTGCTTTGCGCAATCTGGGTGCCTGAAACTCGAGTGGCGAACGAAGTGTTCATGGAGCCTATCACAGGAGGGGAGCAGATATCCAAACAGCGGTGGAAGTTGGTGCGTATTCTCCTCTCTGAACGCGCGCGATATGCTGACTGTCGTTTTAGAAATGCTCACTATGCGAGCAGCGAGGCGGTGCCTGTATTCAGTGCGCAAAGCCATCCTGTTTTGTCGCGTTCCATACCACTTGCGCAAGACAAGAGAAGCTTTTACTGCCAATGAAATCCACCCCAGGAGCGGAGCCGGCCACACTTCAAGCTTACTGCGAGAGGCACTTACCTGTACGCCGTCCCAACAGTCCACCCAGACTGGCGACTGACATTTGAGCAGAGGGAGCAACAAGAAATCCGGACAGCAGCACTAGCCGCCGAGGCGCAGAAGAATGCCCAACTCTCTTCAACGCAGATCTCCAAGACCGCTAGGGCGTATAACAAAACGTACAAACCCGGTCCTCCCATCGTTCCCGCTATCATCGTCAACCGGATTGTCCAGTACATTAACAAGATCAAGATACGGAGGAAGGTTGAGTTCGTGCAACTGGTCTGTCGGTATTGGAGTTTGAAGCGGGAGGCTCGGCGAGGGGCTCCGTTGCTGAAGAGGCTACACTTGGAACCATGGACGGCGAGTGGAGGCAAAATTCAAAGCGACGAGCAGAAGGAGATGAAGCTGGATGTGAGTCCATGTCTACCTCCCGTCCCTGTCTTTGCTAAAGCTGTTATTGTAGCAACTCAAGAGACTCCGTCAAGACCTTGTCAAATTGAAGGCGCTGACCCAGCTGACGCGGTTGCGGGAAATGAGGAAATTGAGGCAAACGGAAATTATACATCAAATTCTATCTACGTCTCTGTTCCCCCATGAAGCAGCCCTACGAATGGCGTTGGAGCACATCATGGCGTAGGTCTCGAAACGTTATCAATGCGATGCCTTTTACTGACTTGACGTCAGGGCCGACCGCAATGACTACTTCAAGAATCCCGTGAACAAAAACGAAGTACCAGACTACTACGACGTGGTTCTAAACCCGATGTGTTGGACGATGATCGAGGATAGGCTGGACAAGCACGAGTACTGGGATGTGCAGACGTTCAAGGTAAGTCATTCCGACCCTTCGAAACGAAGATGTTGACTGGACGTTCTCCAGGACGATATTGACCTAGTCATCGCCAACGCCCTCTTATACAACAAACAAGGGACAGCGCACTTCAAGGTGGCGCTACGACTCAGAACAATGTCGCGACCTATTCTCGAGAAGCTCGACCAGCTCGTCATCCGCCCTCCAGCCGATCCTGCAGCTCCCGCAGCCAGCACCTCCGACGCGTCTTCTACCACAGCTGCGTTACCTGTAATTGGCGACCTGGAACCACCTCTCGAGATACTGGACCTTCTCACTTCCAATGATGCCATAAAGGATGGATTGAACTTGGAATTGAACGAAGACCCCATTGCTTCTCTCTTCAGCTTCGAGTTCGCTAGGTACAAACCACAGCCGCCACCCTCTCCCATCCTTCCGCCTCCCAAACCCAAGAAGAAGAAACGGGACCGGAAGGCGGAGTACGAGAGGGCGAAGGCGAGGAAGGCGGCGAGGGCTTCTTCAGGCACGCCTGCCGTAGAGAGAGCCGCGGGGTCTGCAGAGCCTGGCCCTTCATCCAGTGTCTCTAGTGGAGCTCCCCCAGCAGCGCCTTCGCCCGAATCGCCCACGAGGCCGAAGAAGAGGTCTTCTTCGTCTTCGCAGCCTCTGCCGGGTGCACCTAGGGTGGTGGACGATGTGGACAATCGGGGCTCGTTCCAATTGTTTAATGCTGGGTGGATTTTGCCTGCTGATCATCGCAGAGGTGGGAGAGCTCCTCCTTCGGAGAACAAGACCCCTATGCCTCCTCCGAGGAAGCGACAGAAGACAGGTGTGTAGATCTTTTTTTGGCTTGTCGTTACGCCGCTGTGTCCTGATGGCTGTGCGTTCACAGAACATCCATCGTCTCGGCTTTCGATTGTCAGCACCGCCGCTTCGGAGAACCAGACGCTGGAAACCCCCGCGCCAGAGGACAAAGAACCCAAGGAGGAAGACACGGAGAAGATGGAAGTCGACCTTTCCGAGCCCAAACCCGTTTTTAGCGTTTCTCCGGCGCCGCCCGGTACACCCCTGGTCGGTGATGTCATTTCCAGAACTTCGACAGACGCTGCTGGAAGGATTGTGATTGAGGAGCTCGACACGCCGTACACGAGGAAGCAGAAGAGTATGAGGCGGAAGGCTGAGAAGGAGCGGTTGAGGAGGGAAGCTGAGGCTGCTGGAGCGAGTCAACCGCCCCAAGGCGGTGCTGGTCCTGGTCCTGTTGATGAGACAACTGCTACACCCAGTGCAGCGCCTTCGTCAACATCTAAATCCAAGACCAAGCCACCCAGCAGCAGGAACGCTGTTGCTGGATCTTCCAAACCACCTTCAAGTGGTCGGAGACAAGCTGCGCGGAATGCTCAAGGTACCACCGACGAGGGTTCGGATCTGAGCGAGTTGAGCGATTTACCGAGTGATGAAGGGGATCGGGATGCCGAAGGGGAGGAAGAGGAGGAGGAAGAGGAAGAGGGATCGGCGGATGTACCGGAACAATCTTCACCTGATTCGAAAGGGAAGAAGAATAGGGGTGGGCCGCCTGCTCGGAGGCATCCTAGGAAGGTTACCTACGAGAGTGGGACCTTGGGTATGTTTGGTTTATTCTCCTGGACGTAGTGTGGAGGCTGATTTGCGATTACGTTCTTGCTTGTAGTCTGGGCGAAAGCAGGTATGCAGATTTCGCAAACCCTTGGATTGGTAACCTTTCTGATGTCTTTGGTGTTATACAGAGTCCTACCCTTGGTGGCCAGCTGTGGTGTTCGACATGGACCATCCCGATGTTCCTCCCAACATTGTGGCTGATTTCAAGGCTACAAGGACGAAGAGGAAGATCAAGCTATGGATTGTGAGGTTCTATGATAGGACTAATTCATGGTACGTTGTCGGTCCTACACACCATTCTCCCTCTTTAATTCATGCTCTTCGTAGGCAATATCTACCTCGAGAGAAACTACATCTGTTGGGCGAGGACTCGAGTAAGTTGACATTTACTTCCGTGATTAGCCTCCGAGGCGGGTACTGAGACATTCCCTTGGAAGAACTCGATGCGGATATGTTGGCCCCTCAATCTGTGCACCAGAAGTGGAAGTCCGCGTCGGCACGGCAGACGTGTCGAGATGCCTACAGGTATGGATGACTAGTCGTTTTGGAGAGGAGGATGCGCTGACGAGTATCGCAGGAAAGCGTGTGCTGAGATGGAGACGAAGAGCGATCAGAGCACACCTGGGATTCCAGGTGAGGAAGAAGAAACTCTCGCTGAAAACGAGGACAAGGAGTAAATCCGTTTCGAGGGCCTTGGATTGTGTAACCTTTTATTGGGAAGCGATTGTGCCTTGGTTGCTAGAATGATCGCATAGACGTTTTTGTGCGGTATACTTTATGAGTTATTTTTATTTTGGTTTTCGAAATGGGCTTCTTCTGCCCGTTCTGTATTGTTTTTATTTTTATTTTGTTTAGTTACATTCACGAATTGCTGATATCGCACAAGGTGAATCGGAAGAATCCAGAATGCAGCGATCAGGCCTGGGGAGCTGGACTATGTCTGACACAGAGTATCGTTGCCGCCAGCCTCCCGGCACTACTGTATCTTGAGAATGTTCACAATGTCACGGTTCCCAATTATCCCAAGTCGACAGGGATGGTCGGCCAACGTGTGGCTGAAATCGGCCTTGAATCCAATAAATACAAGAGATCTCGCAGGGGGAACTTGAACACATACTATTAATATAGGGGCGGGAGTTCCCTCATCGATGAGGCCGTTCGACAGGGAGTGAAAGTGGATAGCCTGCCAGGCGATCGGATCCCCTGCCAGGGGGTCGAGACTCGATACCGAGCGGCACTCTCCTGTGCAATTCCGAAGATGCACTCACGTCAGAGCCTGTTGGAACTTCAGGTTGTTTGGTGCTTTCACCCTCCCATGATCACATTAGCGAGGCCCACGCACCCTGTGCAACTTATTCGGAACGAGATATACCTTCGCCATGCTCGTGATTCAGACTCATGGATAGCCTCACCGGGGCCTGCTGGTCGAAGCGCCTACATTAACATTGTGGGGGAAGTGAATACTTCTCAGCGATGGTTGTCTCGATAGCCCTTTTTTCAATATGGAGCATCGTACTGCAGGCGTCCGAGTTTGAAGAGAGCGTGCATTAGTATGGATTCTTGGGATGGCAGTCGCAACTGCTCCCATCAGTGTAAGTCCATGTACGATCGGAAAGGGTATGGTCATCCTAGCACAGCTCCGCTGTCCAAATCAAGTATAAAAGCACTTCGCAGTAGAACCGCACAGAAACGCCGCCGTTATCGATCATGGCGCTTCAAGTTAAGCCACTCGCGCATCCATTCTATCCTCAAGCCTTCGTTCACACTGCGGGATTGTCATTACCATGCTCTCTCTGATCTCTACTGGACAATAGACTGTTACTAATTCTTACGGATAATCTACTGAAGTCCCTGCTCGAAGAGAAGCGTGTTGATTTGAAGGGTCAGGCGCTTTGGGCGCTTAAATTCTGGCACGCTAGCAGGGGTGGCAGCGGAGTTTGAAAACACAACACATGTTTCGCGTCACACGGACACCACCTGGCGATGGACCCACAGCTTGAACACGAGCTGCCTCTGACCACAACCTGCCTCGAGCCACGTTTTGGGACTCATCTTGCCTCATTTAACTGGATCTCGTTTCACCATATAACCAGGTAAGCCACCTTCCAGGTCCTCAGCACTACCTCTCGTGATGTCCGATTCAAACATTCAACAGCGTACCCCCACCAAGGGCAAAAAGCTCTCTAGCCAGAGTCGGTACGAGCGCACCAGATCGCGCACACAAGAAGGAAGCGCCCTCGGCCAACAGGAGTTTCTCAAAGCAGTCGACGACTTACACGTCCAAATGGCAAGGGAAGTGGAATCCAACATCATAGGCCCTATGCCCGTCGAGACCTTTCTTGATGAATTCGTCCGAAGCGAGAAGGGATTGAAGCTGGCTTGCAGCGACCAATACCCTGCCTCGTTTTTTGACACTGTCCCCACCACCGCCACTGATACCCAACGAAACAGTTGGAAAAGTGCGAGAAAAACGCGACAGGCCAAGTTCAAGAAATGCGGAAAGGAAAAGGGAATGGCTGAACCCTGGGTATGTCAAATCTCTGTGTCTGTTGATAGTCCGACTAAGCACCGCACCTTTGACCAGGCCCGTAGACTTAATACCCTGATGCCCCAGTACAAATCGGTCAACTCGTCTGATTCGCCCGACGCCCAATCCGACTGGGATAAGAAGTGGCGACCGGACGTTTCCACCTACAAGAAGCCAGAAAAGGGCTCCTATGGGGCGAGTAAAATACTCAAGGGTTTTAAGGAGACCCAGCTGGATAGGGTCGAACTTGTCACAGAGATCAAAACCACCAAGAATGCAGTTCAGGCCTTCCAAGACGCCGTTCACAAGAATGCCAACCCGAAGGAGCACGAGTTTCTCCTCGATGGTAAAGGGGCAGAGCTTTTGCGTGGAAAGGTGGCGACCATGGCTACGGAAGTTCTCAACCGCCAACATCGCACTTGCTTCTTCATGGTCCTCATCACGGACCCGCACGCCCGCCTTATTCGTGTCGACAGGGCAGGTATCGTTGTCTCTGCAGCAATCCAATTCCGCATCGACCCCCTTCCACTCATCGACTTCTTTCTCCACTTCAACAACCTCTCAAGAGAGGGTCGCGGACTAGACCCGACCGTGCGTGATCCTACCCTCAAGGAACAGGCCATCGCCCACGAAAAGCTCTCAGCCCCGAAGGATGGACGCGGAGTGAAGGTCATCGCGGTTCCTGGTAACGGACAGGGCGAGTCTTCTCGCGAGGTGCTCGCCTATCGACCCATGGTGGACGCAGCATCTTTGACAGGGCGGTGCACCAGAACATACAAGGTCTGGGACCTCAAAGACAATGTCTTTCGTTTTTTGAAGGATACGTGGCGGCCTGACACGGAGGATTCGGAGAAGGAGTCTGCCGTCTTAAGGGAGCTGAAGGAGCACGGCGTCCCTCACATCCCCGACCTGATATGTGGCGACGATATTGAAGGCAACGTGACACGAACACAAGATTTCCTCGACGCTCCTTGGGTCGGCGCACGGAAACGCAAACCTATCGATCCACGGGTTAATCATCGGTTGCTCGAGAATCTAGTGCCACGTTTTCTCGAAGACTGCAAAAATATCCGTGGTGTCTTCCAAGTCATATACGATGCGCTTGTCGGTGCGTAGCTCCAGCCGTGGCCTGAGTGGCTTCCATTGCCACTAATGCTTCTATATGCAGCTCACCAGAAGGCCTATGAATGCGGGTGGTTGCACCGCGACATTAGCGACAATAACGTTTTGGTTCTTGAATTCGAGGACAGAGGTGTCCTTGCCGACTGGGAGCTTGCCATTCGCGTCAAGGATAGAAATGACGAACCCGTCGATCGGTCGAAACGTCCTCATTATAGAACCGTGAGTGAAACCGATCTTCTCACCGAAATTTGCTCCTGGACAGTCTTATCCAGGGCACATGGGATTTTATGTCGATCAAGCTCCTCAGTTCATTGGACGCCGCTCACACTGTCCTTGACGACTTGGAGTCTTTCTTTTGGCTCGTCCTGCATGTCAGCATACGAGTCGTCCCCATTCAGTCGCGCTTAGCGGACGTGAATACTATTATGAAAGATCTCTTTCACGCCTCCTCCTGGGATTCTAACACCCGTTCATTCTTTGGCGGCGGTTACAAAGAACACTGTCTGCTCATCGATGGAGGGTCCACCTCCTTCAGCAATCTGACATTCCCCGGCAACAAGGCACTTGATTCGTGGTATAAAAAGGTGCGACTGGCACTCCGCGCCTCCTTTACACGGTCAGCATCCTCAGAAGAACAATCTGGTTTTAATCACGACTTCCTGGCTCAACAATTCACAACTGCGCTAGAGAGTACAGAATGGTCGAAAGAACCACTCATGGGAAGTGAAAGCAGGGTCGTGGTAAAAGCGAAGGGTGGTCCAACGACAGCCGCCCGGGGAGCTGGGAAGCGCGATTTGGCGACTATGCAGGGCAGTGATGATGATGTTGCCCAGCATGGCGAGGAGGACGATGACGAGAACCAGGGTGGGGATGGGGACTGTGACGGGGATGCTGAGGAAGGTCAAGGGGAGGCAGACGACGACGAGGGAGAGGACGAAGAAGCAGAGGACGAAGAAGCAGAGGGCATGGATGAGAGCGAAGGCGAAGGGCCAGAAGATGAAGATGAGGGTGCGGATGGTAGTGGAGAGCCACCTATGAAGAGTCTGAGGTTAGATGCCCAAGGTACCCGTCGCAGCACGCGCAGAACGGCCTGATGCCTCCTTACATTCCCCTATATACCATGTAGTATTATTCCTATATCCTAATACCTTAGTCAGTTCGTCGCGAGGGCCGCCGATCTTACTCCATTCGCCACTGGTTACTACAGACTTTCGAGGTCAATGCGTGGGCGATGCACCCCGAGGTGTGAAATGAAAGTTCGAGAAAATAGCCAACTGAATGCCGAAGTGCTTGGTTTCAACATCCGCCGGTCTGATCAGATGGTGATGCATGCAACTTCAAGTTGCCGCCGAATGAATCTGCTAACAGACGATTTGGCAAATACTCAGCTTCTGCAACTTTATGAGCGAGGAGGTGGTGCCTGCGGCCACAAGAGTTCTCAACCGCCAAAATCGCAAAGCCCTTTCGTGGTTCTCTCGACGGGCCCGTATGCCCACCTCAGCGATTCGGAGAACGTGTGCGACCATCGCAAGGGAGCTGAAGGAACATGGTGTTCCTCCCACCACCAACCTCATCTGTGGCGGCGACGATGGCAATGTGACATGGAACCAAGAGGTGGTCAAAACTCCTTGGATTGCAGGGAAAAGCAATCATCGGTTGCTCAAGCATTCAGTGCCACGCTTTCTCGAAGATGGCAAAGATATTCGTGGCGTCTTCCAAGCTATATACGATGCATTTCTTGGTGCGCACCTCTGGGCGTGATACCTGCAGCACTCCTTTTTACTGACGCCTTTATGTGAAGCTCACCAGAAGGCCTACGAATGCGGGTGGTTCCACGGCGACATTAGCGACAACACTGTTCTGGCCCTTGAATCCGAAGACAGAGGCATCCTTGCCGATTGGGAGCTTGTAGCTCCAGCCGCAAAGAACAGCGAACCCATCGATCGCTCGAAACGCCCTCATTACAGAACCGTGAGTGCAACCAACCTTCTCACTATAAGTTGATCCTGACGCAAGATTCAGGGAACTTGGGACTTTATGTCGATTAGGCTCCTCAGTCCATTGGACACTGCCCATACTATCCTTGACGACCTGGAGTCTTTCTTCTGGCTTGTCCTGCATGTCGCCATACGAGTCGTTCCCATTCATTCGCGCACCAAGGACGTGAATGTTATTATGGACTTCCTCTTTCACAAATCCTCCTGGAATTCTCAGGCCCGTTCGTTCTTTGGCGGCTCTGGCAAGCAAAATCTGGTGATGATCGATCAGGACTTCTCCCCCTATGGAGAGATGTCATTCCCTTGCAATAAAGCACTTACGACTTGGTACCAAACTGTGCGGCTGGCACTCCGCGCCTCCCTTTCACGGCCAGCATACTCAGAAGATCAATCTGATTTTAATCACGACTTCTTGGCTCAACAATTCAGAACTACCCTCGATAGCCCAGAATGGTCGAACGAGCCACTCATTGGAAGTCAAAACACATGTGTAATGAACGCGAACGACGATTCAACGGCAGACGACTATGATGACGAGGATGAGGATGACTCGGAGGAGGCCGTGGAAGATGAAGATGAGGGAGATGAGGTTGAGAGCGACGAGGATGGTGATGAAGCGAACGAGTCGGATAATGATTATGATTCGGCCAACGAGGATGAAGACTGTGAGAGTGCGGATGGCTGGAGCGAGCAACGCACGAAGAGCAATGCCCAAGGCCCCCGTCAAAAGGGCTGATCACTCCCTTACGTTCCTATGTATTGCTAGGGTTGCTGGATTCATTCCGTTTTATTTTGTCAAGTATTAGCTCACGTTAATGGTACCCACCTAGTGTCCGCCGTTCATCGCACAAAATTCGTCGATCCTACATTTACCAGTGTCTGGCATCCTTTGCATGGGCGATGCACCCCGACTCGGCGTAGAATTTCGAGCCATCTTCGACTTCACTCTCAATATCTCCGAGTGTCTGACGCACGGCTAGTGTGTGGAGAAGGAGAGTGAGCGTTTGCCGAGTCTTTGTAGATTTTATGAACAGTCCGAACTAACAAGTTGGGCACACCTAAATAGACTCGATGCCTTCAGAGCGCCCTCTGTATCGTAAATGAACGTTTAATCGTGATGCTGACTATAGTAGGCGATCCTCTTGCCTGGTCTGCCACTCAATCATCGAAGAGGGCCTCTCCTCGGAGCCTTCGAACAAGTGCTAAATCTGCCGGCTTGATGGTAGTGCGTTTCGCATGCAACGCCGCCAATTGAGCCTGCTCCAGAAGATCGACCGAGTACGCCTCTGCAGCTAATTGGATCGCTTCGAGGGCCTCTGGACGGAAACGAATGTCATTCTACGGAGAAATGTAAGCTTTCTATTATTTTGCAGACTCGATATACTTCAGCTACTTTGAACTCAGCTGTACACTCGCGAACAAGTCGTTGGAACGGCCCCTTTGGGATCAAACGACCGCCATTTGCCTGGTGGTGGCGGATCTCTCGCAGCGCTACGGTGCCATTGGGTGCCCTGAACTTGCGGGGTTGCTGAAATTTCATGTACGCGCCATTGGTGCCTCTGGTCCTTTTTGTCGTAGACTTATGGGCCCCAACACGTGCAGACTTGACAGCGAGAGGGACCTTTTTGTATTTTTGCATCGCTGATGAGCTGACCGGCACTGGTCCAGGTCTGTCACCATGGATGACGCTGTATGGAAGGGTCTTTCCACCCAGTGCTGTAAACAATTTGCTGATGGTAAGCAGGTCCCGAAGGCTATGAGTTAGCTCCAACTTACAGTGGTTTTGCTTTCCCCCAATACTTTTACGCGACGTATGCTTAGTTCTCGCCATTGTTTCAGCGGGTCGGTAAAGTACTGGTGGCTCGTATACTTTGGTTTGAGTTAGCTGAGTGTCTGGTTAAAGCTGGGACTGTAGAGAAGGCTACCAGAATCGAGTATAAATATGTCTTGAGCCTCTGTGGAGACGAGATGAGCGGCGGTTTACTTGTATCCATAGAATACTTCTTTCGGAAATTTCCAATTCGATCGGGCCTCGTTCTGTGAGTGAGCATAGAGATTCTAGGTAAATAATTCAGGAGCTCATTTAAGCAAACTACCACATTGGAATTGGGTCATTTTATGAACGTATCTTGTTTCTGAGTGCGGTTTCCTTCGGATTTCGACTTGCGCTTGTCCTTCTCCAGGTGAGGATTTGATGGCATCAAGAGCCCCTGTTGACCTTTTCGGCAACGGTTCCCACGGCAATACCTTCCGTGGAACAGAAACGCGACTTGCATCTTGACCATGTTTGCTCCTTTGCTGAGCGCGTTCATGACGCGACGACCATCGACGACCACCACAATTCAGCATCGACAACGACGCCGACGCGATGGCAGCTGCTGACCCCAAGGAATCGTCAGCTACGACACATCTACCCTCTTCGTTATTACTTTGCGAAGCTTTGGGTTTTGCACCTCAATTGCTACTTGACGACATTATCAACATCGCCAACAACGCTGTGCAGGATGGCGTTAACGGAATGGAAGAGTTTTTGCTGAAATGGGTTGAAGAGCGCAAAACCAAGGTTATACAGCCTCCAGAACCACCGCCACCAGCGAAGGGCAAGAAGGGGAAGAAAGCGGTGAAAGGTGTGTATGTGCCCTTGGTATTTTAAATTCTGAGGCTAAACTTTTTCTAGCGCCTGAAAAACAGGCGGAAGATTTGACACAGGAAGTTGAGCAGGGACTGGTCGCGTTCCAGACTCTGCTGGAATACCATACCGATATCGCATTCGACTTTTTCGAGGCATGGAGTCTGCGGAACATTTTCTTTATCGCACCGGAGCTCGAGCAGGGAAACGTCGTGGTCCTACCCCACTATGAGGGTGCTGACCTCACGGGTGGAAAAGGAGGCACAGAGCTTGTCGAGAGGGAGAGGGAGATGATGGAGGAAATCGAGGAATTGCGAAAGCAACTGGACGAGGTATGTTCAGCCCGGCAGTCACTTGCTGTCTAGCGACTAAAGTGTCATTAGCAACGGCGATTAACCCGACTTCTGAAGAGAGGACTGTCCAGCTCGAAAGCAGCCAAACGGCGAGCAGAGAAGCGCTTCAGCGAAATCGCTGCACTGCTAGGCTCCGAATCGCTAGCCAACCTATCCATTCTTCCGGAATCACTCAACCATCTCTACCACACTGTGGCCTCCCTTCCTCCACCGGACGCGTCCATGCCCTATGCCGAGGGTCCCTCGTCTCAAGATGGCGCGTCATCGCTCGCGTTTGGCAGTGGAAAGCGACAGTGGGAGATCGGTACGACTGGCTATGTCAACTGGGCTGTAAACCGAATCGTCAGCGGACGTCGCCAGTCAATAGGGGCTGGAACAGAGGACCCCAAGGATGGACAGGCCAAAAAGGATTCTGGCGCCAACCTGCACGCAACCTACGTGGACAAGCTGGAAGCCGTTACTGCTTATGTCGGGAGCTCGAACGATATGCGAGGAGCTGTGGAGACCCTGGAGAAAGGGGCTAGTGCGGGGAACACGAGTGAAGGAGATATGGAGTTGGATTGAGAGATGGGCCTTTTTAACTTGGTATATTTTGATTTCTGTTTGCTATGTATAACTATTTAATGCCAGCTCTCATTACCGACTTCACCCCATTACTCAATTAGCGTTCAAAGAGAATCAGCACGGAAGGAGGAATGGGAATGCAAGGTGCATGCATTCGCGCGTAAACCAGAGTCTACTCCCTTTCTGAACATATCATTGACCCTAGGAAATATCTGTGAAGTATAGCAATGACGTCTGAATACACTTACAGTCCAAATCCAATGTCGCCGACAATCTCTGCTGACATGGACACTGGCGACCACAACTTTCCCCGCCTGATCATTCGGTTCATCGAAACTGGAAGTATGGAAGCACTCGGGGCCCTACGACACCAGACGCCTCGACATACCTATGTACGATTTGCAACTGGGAGTAAGACCAATTGGTCAGCGGCTGCAATGCTCCGTTCTTCCGTCGGACTCAATAGGAAGCTTCGATAGCTCCTACCAGCGCATCCCCATCTATATTTTTGCAACTTTGCCGCTGCGGTTGATGTGCATAGCAAATGGTGAGTCTATACTTATATCTGACTGCAATTCGACCATCCGGGCTTCCTGGTTAGACCCATGACTGAATATATGCATGACAAGAAGCCACTAGAAGCAAGGTCGTCTTATCATTATCCTCCTTAAGTTCTCCAACTCCTCTGCTTCCTCACGTGTGCCATGGACTTCCCATGTCTCCAAACCGGCCGCCGAGAAGAATTGTTAGGTTACCCAACCGGATGCAAGCATTTATTTTCCTTTAAACAGCGAAAGAACCCACAGTTGACACGCTCCCTATTTGAAACAGGATAGGTAGGAATGTTGATCAGGCGGTGGTACACCGTTTCCACACATGGCTTCTCTTTCTTATATCTGTCTCGGAAAATCTTTAGCGGTGGACTACCACGCTCAACCCTGATTCTTCTCACTTGTTCATCCACTTGAGACCTACCAGCACCCTCCCCAGTCCCTTCGCTCCCTCGTACCGACCATGGACTCAGTTTGGCAGGGGTTGGAGGCTGCCAAAGAACTTGTTTTGGAACGGCCTGGGACTGCGGCTGCCTCGTTGGGTGCATTGTACGCTGCATGGCTCGTCTACCACCTAGGCGACACGCGCAAGGTACGTACATTCCCCTCGACTACTGCTTGAGCTAACGATCCCCTCATTCACCTGGTAGGTCAACCACATCCCGTCACTTGCGAGCAATTCGGCCATTCTCTCGTACCTGGATGGAATAAAGTTCTTCGCCAGGGCACCTCAATATGCAGCCGAGTCGTATGAAAAGGTTGGTACATCACCCAAGTCACCTGTTGCACCAGGCCAGCGCTCACATCTCGAATGTAGCTTCGTTCACAGGTGATCAAAGTCCCCGGTCTCTTCAACTGGATTGTCCTCGTACACGGTCACGACCTCGTGGAGCAAGTCAGGAAGGCTCCTGATCACCAATTGGATTTCCATATCGCTGTAACCGAGGTCCGTATTTTCGAGCCTTTGAGAAACAGGTTTCACCCTGACGACCGTGTTGGACAGAGTTTGCAAACACCACTCACCATGGGTCCAGCAATTGAATCGAATCCCTATCATATCGGTGTTGTGCGCAATCAACTTAAGAGGTTCACCCCGCAGTTGATACCCGCCGTTCACGACGAAATTGCGAGTGCCTTTGGGGAGTATTTCCAGGCTTCTTCGAAAGGCGGGTTCACTTCACTTCCATGTTCTCCTCCGTTTGCTCAAGTTTTCTCGTTACAGACTGGGCATCTGTTGTTGCCCACGACGAGATCATGAAAGTGATTTGTCGAGCAAGTAACCGCACCTTCGTGGGTCTCCCTGTGTGTGAGTGCACTTGATACAATTCCCCAATGATCCCCGATGTGATAATCTTTCCCTTCAGGCCGTGACCCAGATTACATCGACCTCAACATCAAGTATACTATCGATGTTGTCACGTCTGCCGCCGTACTGAGACTCTTCCCGCCATTCCTTCGCAAGTGAGCGACACCGGACTTCCGCGAATACCTCAGACTGACGACTCCGTTTTTAGGACTGTCCATTCGGTGTTCCTCCCCGCAACCAGGAAGCGGGTCGAGCAAGGTGTGAGACACCTTGCACCCCTGATTAAGCATCGGCGAGAGCAGATAGCGCTCCTTGGAGACGAATACGAGAGACCAGTGAGCAGTTTCGCGGGGTTGATGCTTTGGCTATGCTAATTCATTTATAGATGGATTTCCTGATGTGGCTCATGGAGGAGGCTAAGGGCGAGGAAACTGCTGAACGAGCCTTGACACTTCGAATTCTGGTACTTAATTTTGCTGCTATCCATACGAGTACCATGGTAAGGCAACCCCATTGAGATGAGGGTCACGGGTGTATTGACCACAGCGACTTGTATCAGACTTTCACACAAGCCCTGTACGATCTCGCGGCGCACCCAGAGTACCAGGAGCCACTCCGTGAAGAAGCACGAGCTGCGGTGAAAGAGCATGGATGGTCCAAGACGGCGGTGGACAAGTTCGTTAAAATTGATAGCTTCATCAAGGAGTCCCAACGACATCATCCTATGGCGTCTGGTAAGTCCGTCTAATAGTGTCACGGAACCATGCTCAAGCCCAAACCGCGTCGGCTCCAGTGATGATGAACAGACACGTCCTGGAGGACTTCACATTGGCCAACGGCGTCAAAGTACCCAAAGGCCTCACACTCGCAGTTGACATCACCGGCATGCACCAAAGCTCTGAATACGGCAACCCTTCTGAATTCGACCCCTGGCGGTTCTCCAGGATCCAAGAGGCGGGGAAGCGAAGTGATATGACCACCACCAACGCCGAATTTCTGGCCTTCGGTCATGGACGACATGCGTGCCCCGGAAGGTTCTTCGCGGCGGTGGAGTTGAAGTTGATGATGGCGTATGTGGTGCTTAATTATGATGTGAAGTGTGAGGGAGAGAGGCCGAAGAACCTTTGGCTTGGTGTTACCTGCGCCCCGAACCCGAAGGCTAAGCTGTTGTTTAGGAAACGTGAGCCTGGCATATAAACCAAGGTGGACACTCGTGGGCCTCAATTCTACGTACTTGTATATTTACTACATGAATGCAATTTGAACACTAGTCAATAAGTAGTCGTTCGCAGACCTTCGCGTCGCGTCGCCCAGATAGGGAGCTCCGAGTCGCGTCCCGTCTTCGCCGAAGTATATGTAAGTGACAGCACGCCATGGAACTCAGAGCAGCTTGTCCTCATGTCACCACGGTGAGTACCCTCATTCCCATTGCATCTGTGTATGTAGTAATACCGTAGGTAACAGGTCTTGCCTCCGGAGGTCATTGCGAGTATTATTCGACTTTGCACGCCGTTCACTTTGGCCCCGTTGTCATTGGTCAACTGGTTTTTCAATGGCGAAGCTGAGCCCGCCCTTGCACTATCAGTCTATCACCCTGACTCTCAGCAACACCGGATACGGCCGCGACAACGCTTTCGCTTGTCTAAGGGCTCTTAGTAATCCTGAAATAGCAAAGATGGTTATATATCCGCCTGCAGATCTTCATGATTGAGCCCGCGGTGGCATTGGTCGACAAGCTACTAGCTTGCTTGTGCGGACCACATGAACAACCTGAAGCATCTCAGGCTAGAATCACAGAACCGGCTCGATGTTCATGATGAAGCCGCGGTTCGGGAATTCCCAAGGACTACTATACGAAGTTAGCCTTCTTGTTGGACTTTGCGCCCCCGAGGAGAGACCTCTCATTTGCTCTCGGGTTTCTGATATCCACGATCTCAAGGATGATGGTGAAGACCGTACCTCACCCTCTGAGAGGGTTCGGCTTGTGTCGCTCTGTTGGCTCGGATTAACCAGCGACGAGACAACTGTATCGGCATCTCCAGCAATTCATGGATTCGTTGGTGGCGTCATTCCCTGCTCTAGAAGAGCTATCGATCTACACTCACCTCCCAGTCACCTGAGATTGCCTAGGATGTCCTTCTTTCCTAACCTCCCTGCTCCCGAGGGGATTACTCACCAGGCCTTTAACCACGGGATCACAGCCGACTGAGAGAAGGGTTTTTACCACTGTCCCAAGCTCCCCTGCTCCAATTGCGCATTCATGAGTGGAGGGACCCTTCTGATGGCCCAACGTCGCTGCGGTTAGAGGTGGCTGAACAGCTCCCGCACGCTGAAGATTGGGGAAAACATTTCCCCAATCTGACCCACTTCTCTGTGCTCAATTGTGCTATGCACAGAGAAAATGGACAGTGGGTAGGCCACGACTTCACCCAGCGTCATGACGACTAGGAGCTCAGTGTAATTTGTTAGTTGAACTAACAAATTACACTGAGCTCCTTATTTACTTTTCGCATGGAATACATGTTATGACATTCTTCTGTTCAAGCAGACTCTCTAGTTGCTGGACGAAGAAGCCATTACTGCACTGGTAGAATCCATTGACATTTTGCAGCTATTGGTAGCAGCCCTTCGATTCCTACTGTGTACAGGCTTTGCAGATAGTCCGCCGCGACGCGTCGCGTCCCCCAGATAGGGGCGTGTGAGCTCCGAGTCGCGTCGGTCTTTAAATTCTGTGCCGAAGCAAATCAGTGACAGCACGCTAGTATGGACGCTTCGGACCTCCCACTGCCTTGCCAGAGTGCTCAAGCACCTTCTACCTCGAGACAATATGACTGCAGTGAGTACCCTGTTCCTAACCTCTCCCCACACATCCAGTAATGGCGCAAGCAGCAGGCCTTGCCTCTGGAGATCGTGACCTCCATCGCTCGCTTTTGCCCGCGAGATGCCTGGGTCCCGCTGTTGTTGGTCAACCGGTCTTTCAAAAGCGCTGCGGAGGCCTTGCTTTACCGTTCTATCACCTTGGTTCTCGACAACACCAGTGCTGGGCGCGACAAGGCATTCGCTTGTCTGAGGGCACTTGGGAATCCTGAAAAGGCGAAGATGGTTAAACGCTTGAAGATCGTCATGAGTGAGCCGATGATGGCATTGGCCAACAGGATACTTGCCTGCGCGGACCTTATGGATAACCTGAAGCACCTCAGGTTAGAATCACATATGTGGGGCGATTATCACGACGAACCTGTGTTTTCGGAATTCCCATCCAAGCTCTTATGGTGAGTTCACTCTAACCAGTTGCAATATCCGAGTTCTGGCGCTGATGTGTCGTCAGTCGAAGCAATTTCCAGCTCTCGTCCTTCGGCTACTACCCTTGGTACACCGAGTTGGTTGGGAGTAATGATGCTCTCATAAACTATCAGCAGGGTTTGGAGGTCATTGTGCTTTGGGGCCACTTTTCCTTCTTCCGTCAGGACATGCGCGAGATAATTCAAGTTGTACAATGGGCCGCGGGGAACACTGTGGATAGTGACGCGCTATTGGAGCCGTATGATCTACCCGAAGACCCAGAATGTCGCCTTCCGATCATCTGCGCCTTGGGGGGATCAACAGAGGAATACTTCCTTTGTCTTTTTCCTGAGCTTTACGCTACGGAAGAGGATAAACTTCGTATCTGCCCTCTAGCTTCCATTATTCTCGATCTGGAGGATAATGGCACGTATGTGACCTCACCCTCCGAGAGAGTACGGCGCGTGTCACTTCATTGGCTCGGATTAATCAGCAAAAAGGCGAAAACGAGCGTCTTGGAACTCCAGCGATTTTTGGAATCGGTGGTGACTTCGTTCCCTGCTCTAAAAGAGCTATTCATTTACACGGAATTCACGCCAGACACAGTATGTCTTCATGTTCTTGTACCCGATCAATTATTGACTGCAAGACCCAATTACAGGATCATGGCCGACTCAGGGAAGGGCTTTTGCCACTGTCGCGAGTTCCCCTGGTCAGGCTGAGCATTCAGGAGTGGAGCAGCGGCCCTTCCGATGATCATGCACATGACCCGATGTACCCGCGGCTCAAGGCGACTGAGCAGCTCCCGCTCGCCGAATATTGGGGCACGCATTTTCCCGACTTGGCCTATCTCTGTGTGCTGGACTGTGTTATGGTAAGGAGAAACGGAGAGTGGGTAGGCTAGTACGACGAAAATATATGGTGACGTTTATTAAATCACGCCGCTCATTGGTTTTGGCATAGGAATTTGTGAAGCTAATGTAATTTTCTTCCGACATGAGTCTCCACGGATGACACGTCGAATCAATTATGTTTTCAGGTACATTCTCTAGATATCATTCTGTACGTTGCGTCAGATTCCAAGCTTCAAGGATTGCCGGTGTGTGGGCGCCAACGTTGGAGCAGATAATATCGATGTTGCACACTGCTAATCATCTAGCCAGGCACCGGGCTCCCTCTCTCATCGAATCGGACGGTCGGGTATGGTCTATATAGCTAGGAGACTCTGTAGGGCTTAAAGCCTTTAACTTTAATGACGTTCACCGAGCTAAGGTTGTTAGCCTGTGATCGATGTGGCGCGACGTACATGGGACACGCCTGCATCAGGTATCGGCCGACTAGCTCAGTTGGTTAGAGCGTCGTGCTAATAACGCGAAGGTCTTGGGTTCGATCCCCACGTTGGCCATGGTATAGTTTTTGGCACCCTTTTGCCTCGGAGTGATAAGCCATCTCCTCTGTAGACACTTTGGGAACCACGATAATCGTCGCTTTCACCTTTTTTGACGTGTATGACTGCTCGCAGATCCTGATCGCGCAAGCCCGCGTGGAAGTGACGTCAACCATACGCATCGGGAGGCGGACATACCATTTCGAACCTTTCCAGATTCTTCCGACGATATATTCTTTTGGGCATTTTTTCGCATGTTTTATCAGCGTATTTTAAATCCTTACATATTATTGGATTACGGAATCGCCTTAGCCATGTGCATCTGGGCCGAAATCACATATAAAGACCAAGGCAACTGGACTTGCGCTTTCTCTCACTCCTTCGTCTCTATTCACTCCCATCTCTTACCGTCCTACTCGCCTTTATCGAAACACAATGTCGACCGGCCCCAACATCGCTATTATCATCTACACCCTCTACGGTCACGTCGCCAAATGTAAGTCTATTACATGGCGAGTATTGCCATAATTATTACAGGGGCTCGGTCGAACGACGTACTGACCTCTTATCTCTCTTCTCCTACTAGTGGCCGAGGCTGAAAAGGCGGGCATTGAGGAAGCTGGTGGCAAAGCTGACATCTACCAGTACGTCGGTCGGATATAGTCAGCCTCTAAATGAGGGCAGGCTCCAGTGTAGTGTGGGTTTTTGCTAAATCTGGTGTCTTTTCCACCACACCAGGGTTCCGGAGACGCTTACCGAGGACATCCTCACCTTGGTGAAGGCACCGCCCAAGCCGGATTATCCCATCGCCACGCCGGAAACTCTGACCAAGTATGATGGTTTCTTGATGGGTATTCCAACGCGATACGGTAACATGCCCGTTCAGTTCAAGGTATGCTGCGACTAGGCTTCCTTGTGGTGTTGGCGTGGAGGATATGACGCTGATAACACGTACGTGTACAGGCTTTCTGGGATGCCACCGGCCCTCTCTGGGCTTCAGGCGCCCTCGCCGGGAAATATGCCGGAGTATTCGTATCAACTGCTTCTATGGGTGGTGGACAAGAAGTCACCGCGATGAACACTCTGTCAACTTTCGCTCATCATGGTATCATCTATGTGCCCTTCGGTTACTACGCTGCCTTTGCGCAGATGACCAACCTTGAGGAAGTCCACGGAGGTGAGTCCAACAAGAGCTCCATTGGCGCCGTTGGCGAAGTTGACATTTCGTGATTTTAGGATCGCCATGGGGTGCTGGAACCCTCGCTGGTGGTGATGGCTCTCGTCAACCATCTAAACTCGAGCTCGACGTTGCCAAAATTCAGGGCCAGCAGTTCGCCAAGATCCTCGGCCGCGTCAAGCGCGATTGATTGGATGTCGAGAAGGAGTAGGCGGCGATTCGTACACACGATGGAAAGATCGTCCACCTATATCGTCGGTAGAAGTATTTATTAATCAAGAAACCAACTCGTCGCAACCAAATTGCTGGCAAACATCTGCAAGGCCTTGTTCAGAGTTAAGAAAGTCGGATGAAGCGTTTATGCTCAGAGTGCAGTAGGTTTATGCGACGGAGAAATCGCAATCATGTGACCGCGTAGTGAAGTTGTTCTGGCGGGAGAACCGTGTGAGGTCAAGGACCATATATGAATTTCGCAATGCGTTACAGATGCTGAGCATGTTTGATTCTGGATGAAAGGAAGGGTATGATTTACAACAGTTCGATTAATAGGGGGTTTGAGCGAGAAAGTTATTCCAAACCGAGGTAAGTCTTCAGGTGGTCGTGATTGTAGCATTACAACATCTTGAGGTTTCATGCCCCCTCGAGGAGGGCTTGGGCAGCCTTGCGTGCATTGGCACGGATCGTTTCGACCTGCAATTCCAGGTTCCGGATCTTCTCTCGGGCCTCCCGGAGCTCGGTTGTAAGGCGAGCGTTCTCTTCTCTCAAAGCAGCCTAACAAGTAGTACCGAAGTTATCAGAACACTTTCCCCATATCATAGAACTGAATGAAAAGTTAACCCACCTCGGCACCACTATTGCTAATAGATTGAGAGCGAGATGCAGCCGGAGCGGTGAAACTGGGTTCTGAATGCTTGGGCGTCACGGGAGTGGGCTCAGAAACAGCAGCAGGGGTATATGTTGAAGCAGACGGTGCAACAGGGGAAGGAGCAGCGGCTGGTGCGGGTGCCGAAGCGGTGAAGGACCTAGTTGGCAGGGTAGCGGTGACTGGAGAGGACACACTTGATTGGGCAGCAGAAGATCGCGGGCCTGATGCAGCACTGCCATCTGAGAGGTTGATGTAGTTCGCCGGAGCGTTTTTGCCGTTGAAGAACTCGGAGGCTGAGAGGGAAGGCTCGCTTGACGGGGCTGGCGGGTAGATGTCCGACTGGAAGGAGTCGGCCTGGTGGGTGGTGCGTGGGTTAGGATGTGAATTAATGGACGGATATGGATCAAGGCTTACTTTACGAGGAACAATGAAGGCGATGGGTTCGACGGAAGAACCATGCACCTTGTAGGCTCGTGCGATCTCACAGTCTGAGACGTTGAGAGCACGGCGAGGAAGGAAGCACATTCCACGTTGCGGCTCGGAGGACTTGTATTCTGCTAAGGCGAAGAGTGAATCGGATTCGTACTCGTAGTAACGAATGTTTCCATCTCTGGCAATAAAGTCAGTAGGCTCAAGGGAGAGCACGTTGGGAGAACGCACCCCTTGCCGGCAAGGAAGAGGATGTTGTTGTCGGACCAGAAGGGCATGACAACACCGGCTGATTGATCCAAGGAGATAGTCTTAAGGTTAGAGAGGCTGCCGGTTTCCCAAATGGCAGTTTGGCGCTCAGACATCTTGCTGAAGCCCGTGGTGGCGAGCCTGTCCAAATCGCCCATCCAGACGACCCGCGAGCCCTTGATGCCACTGTGACCATCATTGATCCTGACAGCCTCAGAGCCAGCTCGAGGATCGAAGATACGGAGTTTACGATCTCTGCAGGTGGTGGCGAGGAGGGTACCGGTAGGGTTGAATGTCAGGGACTGTATGATGTCGCCGTGGCCGGTCAGGGTGACCCTGGGGTCCTCGGGGTTTGCCAGATCCCAAAGCTTAACGGTGGCATCGCCAGACGCGCTGGCAAGAACGTTGGAAGCGGTAGGGTGGAACAGAACTTGTCCGACCTTGCGCGCCGAGGCATCGAGACGCGCAACAGGGTCGAAATCTTGGGGAGCCCAGCCTTCCTGGCCCCAGCCCTCGAAAGCAGAGGAGTCGACCTTCCAGACCAGGACCTTTCCGTCTTCACCACCAGATGCGACGACCGAGTCGTTGTGGGGGGACCAGTCGGTGTCGAGGACGGTTGCGGTGTGTCCGCGGGCCAGGGGTAGACTATCGGGCAACTTGTGGGGGAATCCGTTGAGGCCATGGAACGGGGATGGCAGGGGCAAGATCGCGAACGCGCCGCCTCCCGAGGAGTTCCAGTTGATGCTAAGATATTGCTATGCACACGAATTCATGAGCTCTTCAGCGCGCTATCTCGAGAGGGTCGACAAGATCCACGACTCACACCAGATGCAGACACGATGTTCGTGTCCCAGGCGCTGTTGGTCACTTTGGCGTTCTCAAATCCATATTCTTTCTTCGCGGATTGGCCAAAGACGTGGCTGCAGCACGACGATTGCGCGGTGAGCTCGCTGGTGAGATCTGGCTGGACATCGACGAGCTTGCTCACCGGTATTTGGATGCTCTGACGAAACGAGACATTAAGATCGGTAGCTGGACGACCCTGGCGGCCTTGAAGAAAGTATGTGGTGGTTGTAGAGAAAGCTGATAGCGAGGGACGATTGCGACGGTAACGCGAGTCGGCGCCGTCAGTCGCAACGAGCTCGAATGATCGTGAGGTTAGGGTTACGACTGTATACGGGGGAAGGAGCTCCAGGGTCCCGCCTTCTCCCCAACTTTCAACGACCATGACTGCATTTTGTCGCGTGCTGGGAATTCGAGGATCGCTGAGGGCAGCCTACGTTGCCAATGGCCTCAAAACCACAGCCAGGCGCTATGCAACGGCGTCAGAACCGGTAACTTGGTCAACCATAGCTTCACAGGGCCCCTGGCTAAAGTTCTCTTCTTTTTCCAGTTGAAACGTACCGGCCTGTACGATTTTCACGTCGCAAATGGCGCCAAAATGGTGCCTTTTGCTGGATACTCCATGCCTCTTGCTTATGGCGATGTAGGCCAAGGTATGGACCTTTGCTAGTATATCAGGGCTGAGTCTGTATTAACGATAGACTTTGGGCAGTTGCAAGCCATAACCATGTCCGGAACAGCGTCGGATTGTTCGACGTAGGACACATGGTCCAGTCCAAGTAAGATTAAGCCACTTCTACCTATCCGAATGCTGAATGCGACGTTCCACAAGCTTCCGGGGTGCAACGGCAACTGAATTCCTGGAATGGTTGACACCTTCGTCACTGTCCTCGCTCCCAGCCTACAGCTCCACGCTTTCCCTGCTCCTCAACGAGAAGGGAGGAATCATCGACGATACTATAATCACAAAACATGCCGCGGATGCGTTCTATGTTGTCACCAATGCTGGACGCAGGGAACGTGATTTGGCTTGGATCAAGGAGAAGCTGGAGGAGTGGAATAACAGTGAGGCTGGGAAGAAGGGTCCTGTGGAACTCGAAGTCCTTGAGAACTGGGGTCTTTTGGCTCTCCAAGGTACGTACCTGGCAGTAAATGTTGTATGTGTGTAAACTCAATGTACTCTTTAGGGCCCAAGGCTGCATCTTACCTCCAAAGTCTCACTTCCTTCGATTTGAACCAGCTGCTCTTCGGAAAGGCTGCCTTTGTCCCTATCGAGGGCTTCAACCTCCACGTTGCTCGAGGTGGATATACTGGAGAAGACGGTTTCGAGGTTCGTTTTCCACGTTCTCGAACACCTGTAGTTCGCGTAACAATCTAGGCCCATTTAGATCTCAATCCCACCTTCGCAAACCGAAGAAGTCGCTAGGCTCTTGTCCAAAAACCCTGTTCAGCTCACCGGTCTCGGAGCTCGAGACAGCCTTCGTCTGGAGGCTGGTATGTGTTTGTACGGCAACGAGATTGACGAGAACACTGGTCCTGTGGAGGCTGGATTGACATGGGTCATTCGTATGTCTTTTGCCCTGCGTCTTGTTCTTGATCTCACATCTTTCCTATAGCTAAGGAGAGGAGAGAAGCCGGTGAATTCATTGGTGCTGATGCCATTCGCAAGCAAATCAAGGAAGGTCCTTCTCGCAGGCGTATTGGCTTGATCGTGGAAGGCGCCCCTGCACGACAGGGCGCAAAGATTGTCGGCCCCGGGAACGAGGAAATTGGTTAGTCGCGTTCCCCATCTCGCCCATTGCCCTGGGACTAAACCTTACCCCTCGTAGGTGTCGTCACGTCTGGAATTCCTTCACCTACCCTCGGTAAGAACATTGCCATGGGATACGTCAAGAATGGTCTCCACAAGAAGGGCACCGAGCTCCAGGTGGACGTCCGAAACAGGCTGAGGAAGGCTGTCGTAACACCGCTACCGTTTGTGAAGGCAAACTACTACCGCGGCTGATGCGGTCTGTAAGCATAGTAAGGCCAACCTTCGACTTGCCCGCATAGAAATTCTAGATCTATTCCATTGTTCTCACTTTTCTTGTACTCACAATCTCAGCGCGTTTTGAAAGCAAATGCTCAAACTCCATGGCGTACATGTCTGTCTGTCTGATCCCTGTGGCCTTGTTACGTCACTTGAAGGCTATGTACTCATTGTCAGAGGGATACCCATCACCAGCCAATACGTGCATGTTTGTTCTGAGCGATGCCTGATCGTTGCCATGAGCTGTTTAGACTGCGGCTACAGCGAACGCAACTTGACAATGACATTCACCACCAAGATGCCCACAGTAAGCACCCCCGTCCCATTCACTGTCTTCTCTAGCTCAAGACTGGAATGTCAGTCACATCTCCCAAAAGTTTTCCAGGTTGACACGGAGCCCTTGCTCCATCGATCTATCGTTATCGACTCAAGCGACAAGGAGAGGGCCAACTTATGCCTGGACATGCTGTCCGCTCACCCTGAGCGGGCCATAATGGTTCAGAATCTGAAGGTCATGATGATTTCGCCAGACCGAAACTTGGTGGATAAGATTCTTGCCTGTGCGGAGCTGATGAAGGGTCTGAAGCATCTTGACCTCAAGATTGGACTGGATCCCAACTGGGATGATTATCTGGTTCGCACACTGGTCCGTTGGCTCATTTAGTAAGTCATGTCAATGGCAATACGTGTTCTCAACGACTGAAATTCTGATATGGATTCAGCGATGGCGAATATCAGCTAACTTCGTTGCTCTACCATCCAAGTGAGGACCCAAAGGTATACGACATGGCCCTCACCGATCGACACAAGGCCCTGGAAGTCGTCGGGTTCTGGTATATTCCTCGTACCACCCCGAAGGGCCTATTGCGATTCCTCCAATTAATATTGTCATGCCGCGCTGGGAAGTTGTGTGAATCCCAGGCCCTCGAACCCTATTGCCCTGGAGGCATTGGAGAAGCTGGATCCCGCCTCCCCAGCATCTACGGAATAATGGACCTGGATGGACTCAGCTGGTCTGAGGTCGGCATCTTCCCTGGGCTTTATGCTGCAGAGGAGCAAAGGCTCGCGCTTTGCCCACGAGTGGCCACTCAGCTCGACACCCTCCACAAGGATGGGCTGAGGGTAACGAGTTTGTCGTTGCATTGGTTTGGGTTGACCAACAACGAGTCGAGCGTTGCTGAGCTCGAGCCCTTTGCGGAGTCGATGGCCGCAGCGTTCCCTGCTATCCGAGTGCTGCGCATCTTCACTCGGCCACCTAGACCAGCAGACAAAATGGTAAGTTGGCTATTGCTATCGTTGTTGGACGTTCACGAGCAGGTTCTGACTGAGACACTTCCACCCCTAGGACTGTTACACCCGACTCGGAGCAGGCCTTGCTCCGTTGGCCAAGACGCCGATGTGGAGAGTGGATGTTCTTCCATGGGGAGATTCCGACAAAGAAGATGGATCACGTCTGACGCCCGCTGAACGCAGTATGGTCAGTGAGCAATGGCGTCGGACCTTTCCCAATTTGCAGAAATTCGATGTGTTTGGGCAGAGTGTACATACTAGCCTCTAGGGAAGGTGGCCCAAGGAGCTACTGAGCTTTGAGGCGAACTGGGAGTTATTTATTTGCCGCAAGTAGAGCAGAAAGGGACTGGAGTATCTTATGAGGGTAATATGAACAGAGTTGAAAGACTTATTAGGCACCAGCAAGGTTTTCACTGAGCGTTGAGTTTCGACACCGACAGAAACGAGCCGAGTCAGCCGAGCGTGGCAAGTTCTGTCGGAATTTCAATCCCACAGCGCCGAGTCGCAACCCCCTCGTTTCACTCAACATCGACTGATGGCCACAGTTTTCACAATTTCGAAACTTATGACGATAATTTCAAAGGTTGTGGCACGTCGACTGGCACCGAGCCTGTCGGAAGTACAGGAAATGTGACGAAGCTGGCTTGGAAGATCCGAAAATTTGTACCTAGCGCTGCCCTGTCAACTTCGCAGTCCAAAACAGATCGCTTTGGACCTTGTTCACGATGCGCACATACCTGCTGTTGAACAGCTTCCATCCTCGGGGCTAGTGCTTCAGCTATTCACTGCTGTAGCGGTCATGCGGCTATGCAGACTGCTATGGGACGATGTCACACGGTCATCCTAGACCAAGGCTATGCGGCACGAATGCTATGTTTGCTGTGACTTCCCAGCGCTAGTTGGGGTCTATAATAAGCGGCGACATTGAAAACGTCAGTCTTTTGCTTTGAAGCCCATTGCAAGCGGTTTTAAGCACGGGAAGCCCTCGCATGGAGCAGACTCGGTTTCAACAAGATGGTGAGCCGCTCGTTAGTCGGTGTGTAGCAGTGATCTTTGCTCACCGACCGTAAACTCCCTCTAACCTATTGATGAACATGGATCCTCGGGTATGTGTGCCAACCTATAGCCCTCCCCGTTTGGAGTCTTACTGACTGTACTCAAGGTGGATTGGATACGTTCAGGGCGAGCTGGATAAGGCATTGTTGCTCGTGAACAGCCTATTAGATGCCGTCACAAAAGGAATGAAAGACGACCTCCTGCAAGACGCTATCACCATGTTACAGGGGGCCATTCGCGGCGAGGGCGATCACAGAACACGAGAAAAGCTTGAAGTTGTCCTGATCAAAGCGCTTGTAACTCGATTCGCTCGTTACGGATGGGCCGACGATTTGGACGAGGGGTTGGGACTTTTGCGAAAAGGCGATCTTGATGTCAAATTGACGCTCATTGTATGTGATCATGCACTAACCAGGCACGACTCAGTACTCAGTGGTGACCTTTGGCAATTCACAGGATCAACTCCGAATCTCAGGTTTGCGGGGCGACCACTTCCCCGCCATCGTCTCCTCCGTCCTCGATCTTCTCCGAGATTATCGACAATCGATTGACAAGTCCAGCCTCGACACTGCCTTTGCTCTCGCCATTCGAGCTATCGCTTCGTGTCAAGGTGTGACCAACACCCAAGCCCAACTATTGCTTCGGGTTGGAAACGCATTTGCTCTGAGGTACCTGGCATCCGGGGACGAGGGGGATTTGGGTTTGGCCGGGGTATATTTTCAAGACGCCAAGCGCGCCTTCAACAAGGGCGATCCGATGCTCTCCGTCGTCCTGCTCAACCTGCAACACATTGGATGGATGAAGCTCATGGAATGCGAATCCAGGCAGAAGCCGGTGGGGTTTAGGGAGATGGAGCGGTTTGGTAAAAAGGCCCAAGCTGAGGACCGAGGAGGATTGGAACCATACATGCTGGGCACGGCTTTGCTGAAAAACGGAGGTCGACTTCACCTGGATAATGCTATCTTTCAATTCCGCCGATCCCTTTCACTACGGCCGCCGCAACATCCAAGGCGTCATGATACGCTTGGTAACTGCGCCATTGCCCTGCTCAAACGATTTATTTTGACCAGTAACTTTGAAGATCTGGAAGAATCCGTTCAGATGCAACTCCAGGCACTCGCGCTTCGACCACCGAACCACCCGGACAGATCCCGCTCACTGGACAACCTGGCGAACGCCCTTTGCACCCGATTCAACCACAGGGGTGATTTCAGAGACCTGGAAGAGTGTATTGCGCGCCACAGAGAGGCACTGAGTCTTCAACCTCCAGGCCACCCAGATCGCCCAGCATCGCTCGTTGGCCTTGCAAGTGCCCTTGACACGCGTTTTGAGCACAAAGGCAACGTTGTAGACCTCGAAGAAAGCATTGCGTCCCACAGGGGAGCACTGGTTCTTCTACCTCCAGGCCACCCAGAGCGGTCTTCATCACTCATCAACTTCGCAGGCTGCCTTCTAACCCGCTTCAAGCTCCAAGGCGACTTTCGCGACCTCGAGGAGTGCATTGCCTGTAATGAAGAAGCGCTAGCCCTGATGGCCCCGGGCGATCCGGAACGATGCGGCCCTCTCGAAAACGTGGCAATCTCGCTGAGTACACGGTACCAGTACGAAGGCAACTTTCTCGACCTAGAAGAATCCCTTTCACTTTTCAGGGAAGTCCTCAATCTTCGTCCTCCAGGCCATTCGGACCGTCCCAGGACGCTGAGGAATCTTGCCAGTTCCCTTTCCATGCGCTTCCGTCACAAAGGAGACTTCTGCGACTTGGATGAGTGTATTGACGCTCACAGGAAAGCACTCAGCCATCAGCTTCCGGGCCACCCTGGCCGTGGAATCTCGCTAAGCAGCCTGGGAGGGGCTCTTTCTATCCGCTTCCAGTACAGGCATGACCTGTGTGACCTGGAAGAGTCTGTCGCATCTCACAGCGAGGCACTGGCTCTGATCCCTCCCGGCCACCAGGATCTCTCCAACCTACTCAACAACCTAGCAATTTCTCTTAGCGCACGCTTTGAGCGCAAAGGTGACATCCACGACCTGAAAATGGCCATCAAGTACCATAGGGAAGCACTCACTCTTCGACCTCCAGGCTGCGCGGACCGTCCGAGCTCGCTCAACAATTTGGCAAACGCCCTTGCTATCCGCTTCCAGCGCGAAGGCGACCTCAGCGACCTCGAGGAGTGCATTGTACATGTACGGGATGCTCTAACTGAGTTTTCACGCATAGGTCCCGCTCTTGCCCTGGAACACGAACCCAATCTTCCTGTTGTCTACAATCCTGATTCGCTGAAGACGCTGACGAACCTTGTCACATTCCTCAAACTCAAGTACAAAGTCCACAGCGACAGCAGCATCCAGGACGAGATCTTCCGGCTCCTCAGGTCTGGCGCTCAGTTCCACGGATCATCGCCATTGGCGAGGCTAGACCACGCCGGCCTCTGGAGTTCAACCTGCCGGGAGTTTTGTCGCTGGGAAAACGCACTGGAGGCTCACAAACATGGGGTGGATTTACTCCCCCATCTGGCCTCTCTCGACCTCACACTGGAGCAGCGCCAGAATGTCCTCATCCACGCCAAAGAACTGTCGGGCGACGCAGTACAGTGCGCGATTGAACAAGGTGAATTGGAGACTGCAGTTGTGTTTCTCTCCACAGCACGATCGGTCTTCTGGTCTCAAACCCTTCAGTTCCGGGGGTCTCTCGATAATTTGGAAGCCCTCCACCCTGATTTAGCGTCGGAACTCCGTTCTGTTACTGGCCAGCTGGAAATCGCGACAGGCCAAAACCTGGAGCCTGACTCCATGTCGGCCAAACTGCCATCACGACCATACCTACTCGCTCGGAAACGAGAGGAGGTCATCGCACGGATACGAGCCACCGATGGCTTCCACGATTTCCTGCTTCCACCCTGTTTCGACACCCTCAAAAATGCAGCCCGTGGCGGGCCCGTTGTCTTTCTGAATGCCAGTGAATTTGGGTGCCATGCTCTCATTATGAAAGGGGACGGCACTCTTCTCCCCCTTTCTCTGCTCGCAGATATGTCACTGTTGCTATATTTAGCAGACGCAATTCCGTTGCTGGCCAGAGGTCAAGAAATTGACGTTCATGTTCGATGCAATATCGACAACTGTTTTGACGGGCGGGATGTTCGGTTGAAGGCAGTCCGCAGAAGGGAAGATTACCGGACGGCCGACGACGACTTCCGGGATGTTCTCGAAATCCTCTGGGAGGTGGTGGCCCAGCCAGTCATTACAGCACTCGGACTTTCGAAGGTAAGTTATCCTGAAACCAACTGACGATGTTGCTGAACGGTGATCCCAGACCAGTGCGCCACAACGAATATGGTGGTGTCCGACAGGACCCTTCGCGTTCCTTCCCATCCACGCTGCGGGCATTTCAACAGATGCTGTAGTCATTATCCATAATGTACGGTTACATCCAACTGTACATTATCCATAACTACATGGATACACCCTGTGAGGTGTACTTGGGACCGTTATCCATAATCCCCTGGATAACCGTAGATGGTATATCATCCCCTATTTTCTGTATAACACCTTCTCCATCAACCTTCTCTGAGATCTCTATCCACGATTTTGACGGGCCCATCAGCGTATCCGCCGTATCTGGCATCTGACTGGCGCCTTCGAGCGCATCAATGCCCAATTTTGGAACGGCGACAGGTCCTTGTTGGGATCGAGAAGGCTGACTTCTCTTGTTTCTGCGGACCGACGTTCGCATCGTCGTGAAATTCTAGCTCGCATGCAAGCCCTATCATGGCAACGGAAGCGCCCGGATTCACAGACCGTGAAAGAAAAGAGATCCACTATATCACAGCTTGGTCAATATTTGGCAGACCACTGACCACCAGTGACCAAGGGCAAACAGTACGGCCAGGCAGGTGTATTCTGTTCGCAAATGTTTTTTATGGCTTCCAGCCGGTCTGCATGAAGTTCAGGCCGTGATTGTCGGCAATGGGCATATTATGTACATCCACGTCAGGGCTTTACGATTGGGCGCTTCCGGGCGTTGCCGCTGGAATGATGGATTAAGATCATGCCGGAGATTTGCCGAAAACATAAAACCGGTCACAGAACGTGCTTCAGCAATTCCCTGGCGCTCAAGTTGGGCGTTTGGCGTATGGTATGTAGATTGTACTGATCTCTGTCTTTATTCTACTGTTCCGGGCACATCAAAAATAAAAATGAGACGAAATCCAATGAGCCATGATAGTGTTCACTTTCTCGCAGTAAGACCTTCATTGACATTGACACCAGGACCGTCCCTTGCAATAGCCATCACCTGGGTCAGGGCCAGAGGGCCTACACAAGTAGCTCAAAGCTGTCTGACATTCATTCTTCAAGTTTTAAAGCCCTGGTTAAGGGAATAGAACAGTTTCCGGGTGCTCCAGAGCCATCCGGAAGGGGTGTGGAAAGGCGACATTCATTGCAAGTGTCGTGAACAGCCGGTACAGCCCCTATTTTTCACTTTATCTTATCTAATCTGTCTCGCATCTTATCGTTTCACTTTGCCCCTATTCCTTCGCTTCTTTATTCCCTCTATGGACTCTTTCATTCATGGAACACTGCCTCGTATTGCCCTTCGCCCCACTTCCATTGTTCTTATTGTTACGCACTGCCTCTTGACTCATTCTGACGTTCTTTTGTTCCATTATTGTTTCATCCTTGTTCTCCGCGCAGCCTTCACGCAGCCTCATGACCTTTCTTATTGTTCTTCGACGTTTCGCCATTTGTTCGTCATCTTGACTCATCGCGGCTATGTAGACTGTAGAATAGGTATATAAGCTAGGTAGTCTGCTCTGTATTTCCTCAGCTTGACCTCTTCGTCAATACATCGACATAGCTTTCTGGTCTAACTTGTCGCTCATCGCTCTCATCTCTCTTGTCGCTCTCAGCCCTCTGGCACTTCCGCTCTGGTTTTAAGGTTTGGTTTGGTTTAGTGTTCGCTCTTCGCGACATTAGGTCAAGCTACCCCTGTGCACTGGCAACGCCGATCGTTGTCCCTGCATCCCGCCGTTACTCTGGTCCTTACTGGTTGACCTGCCGATCAGGTCTCACTCTGGCAACTATCACCCCGTACCACCGTCAAGATTAGCTGCGTAGGAAGTCCGCACTTCTGCGCTCGAAGCACCGACCCCGCCAACGACTGGATCTTCGACTACCACATCAGGAACGGCAACTTCGAGCAGTGTTCACTTCAACCCTGCCCCGAACGCTACTCTCTTCCGCCCACTCAGTCCCAGTGGCAGAAGATCAACGCGCTCACTAACGAATGGAGTTGCAGCTACTCCGTGTACCGAATCCAACGCCCGTAAAATCCGTGAAGTGTCGCGAAGAGCGAGCACTAAACCAAACTAGAAACCAGATAAGGCGAGCGGTTAACGAGATAAGAGAAGTGAGAGCGATGAGAGACGTTGAGCACTGGGTTAGAGCAATGAATAGAGTGATGAATTGACAAAGAGGTCAAGCTGAGGAACATGCAGAGCGAACTACCTAAGTTATATACTGTAACTACAACCTACATATCCGCAATGAGTCAGGATGACGAGCGATGAGGCAATACAACAAGAACAATAAGAAAAGGTCACAAGGCTGCGCCAAAACAAGGGTGAAACAATAAAGAAGTAATGACGAGTCATAGCGAGTCATAAGGCTGTGCAAGAATGAAAGAACAATAGAGAACAGGGTAGAGGGCAAGACGAGGCAGTGTTCCATGAGAGAAAGTGTCCATGACGAGAATAAAGGGGAAAAGACAGGGGCAACGATAAGATAAAAGATGAACGAAGCGATAAGATAAGATGGGAAAAATAGGGGTCGTACCAGCAGTTCACGACATTACCCCCCTTCTAAGACTCATCGTCCTCGATGATCCTAGGCAAGCGACGCCCCTCCCTCCCATCCAGGTCCGTATGCCAGAACGGTTGAGTTGTCGGCTGTTTCTGCCATGGCATAGATGCGAAGGCGGTGATACGCCGATTTTGCGGCTAGACTTCAAACTGAGCTCAAACGGCTCTATTAGACTCGTCACAAGTGTCTACGTCTAGCCTACAACTAAGGAGTCTTCATGATGAAACCCCAGACCAAAAGCGCAGCGAACCCTTTGTGAGTAGCCTAAGGCGCAGGCCCTTACCAAAAACGCTAGTAGAGACTCTAGTCGAAGGTACCGCAGGAAGCCTAGCCCTAAGTCTAAGACTCGTGCGCGACGTCTAAGTCTTATGGTTTGTTACCTTTCGGGTCTGAACCTAGATCTTGAACCGAGGCGAACTCTACCCACCTGCGACTTGAATATGAGGACTTAGCTGTACCAGCAGAGCTCATAGGGCAAAAGCCTAACCAACTATAACCCTAGACGTGACGACTCGACGAACCTAGTCGAGGCATCGAGTCTAACGGATCACCAAGTCTAAGAGTCTAGACTGGTTCCTCCGATTCGGACGACCTAGCGGAAGCAAATGTCATTGGAGTTGATGGACCAACCGGAAGGACCCCCGACGCCGACACACGGCATTGGAGCGGGACGACCAAAGAGAGAGAGAGCCAAGTCTAAGGTGGAGCGCACCACGTCTACGATGAGACCTCGGCCGATCAGTAACGGACCTCGGGACTGTCTAGACGCGGACGGCTCTCCGCCGAAGGAGTCATAACTAAGCTCCGGTGGAGCAATGTAGATCAAAGTCTGACCCACCAGGTGGCGAAGTGGAGTTCCCCCTTATGGAACCGGAACTGGGTCATGGCCGCGTCGATCACGGCAAGGCGCCCGGCCACAAGCCGTCCTCGGCTGCCCTGATAAGGCAAGCCTAAGCAAAAGTAACCGCGCGTCTACGAGCGCCTAATACTCGAACCGTTCCATTTCTATCCTATCTATCGAAGCTCGTGTTTCTTCTGTTCTATTTCTGTCTCTCTTAGTCTGCCTGTCTTACCTAGTCTTCCTAGTTTTTCCGTCTTTGTTTGTCTACAGCCTTAGTACACCAAACACTCTCCTCATGTATAAAAGCTAGCTAGTTCTCACTCGAATTCTACAGATTATCGCTGGCAGCTTTTCTCCAGGATAAGACTCCGTGAAGTCCGGCGCGACTCAGCACGTTAAAGGTTTGTCGACGTCGGTGTAGATCGACTTTTGGGTTATTCTTTGGCCACTTCGACTCGGTGTAGATCAATTTGGTAACAGTCGTCCCGGGCGTGTTCGACTTTGGTTTTCTGTGAGCACCGGCGTGTGTCTCCTTGACTTCTTTTGTGTATTTTCTCGACTACTCAGTAGCGAGGAGGTGGTGGTACCCTAGTCTAGCTAGTGGTCTGCCTCTGCACGACTTATCACCTTCGCGCCTTGAGCCTACAAGCTCTTGTTTTACCTTTCACCTTCTCACCTACTGTCCGCCCACTCCCGTGCACCCCCCTTCGAACCTTTGCATTGTTAAGGGTTTGTTTGGTTCTAGTGCCTTACTACATACCGTCGTTCCTTTGGGTGAAGTCTAACTTCATTTGGCCTTAGACGTAGTCTTTGGTTGGGTGTAGAGGATTAGCCTTTTCATTTCTCTTTACTTCTTTACCTTCACCTGCCGGTTCGGTTGGTGTGTGTGTGGTTTTAGAGCCTCCCACCCCTGACCGCGCATCATCTGGAGCCCACCGCGAGGGGGTTGCTTCAGTTTACAAAAGAGGAGTGTAGTCGATTGCTAGCCTAGCTGGTATTCGCACAAGTCGAGGAGAAGTCGTCACTTGTCTAACAAGAGACGGACACGAGACGATTGGTTGTCTTCCTTTGGAAACAACAAAGCGTAGTTTTGGATACCACGGCGTCGAGGTCATCTCAGCCCCGTAAAACCAAGGCGAGCCAGAGAGCAGGAGTTGTGCCAGGACTTGAGTCTGAACGAGCGCTACGCAAAGCACTCCAAGGACTTCAAGAAATCGGTGCTAGACGCGACGGATCTCTTTCCGAAGAGGATCCACCTTTCGAGACTCCTAACGCCTCGATTGACGAAGACTCGTTTCCACAAGGACTGTCTTTACCAAAGACTCCCCCACGAAACACGTCTACTACAACCTCAGTGCCATCCGCACCAAAGTCGACGAGGATTTCACAATCCATTCGACCTCTTAAACCTATTCGAACTCACCCTTCGATTACCCCAACCCCCACACGAGTAGAAATGCCAGACGTAGAGAATCTCAACCCTAAGGAGGTTTCTCCTGGGGATGAGGCGATCCCTCATAAAGACATGCCTTCAATTACGAAAAAGGATCGACCTACCTTATCTAAAGACGATGCTATGGACGTCGTG